TCTGCTCTGCTCTGCTCTGCTCTGCTCTGCTCTGCTCTGCTCTGCTCTGCTCTGCTCTGCTCTGCTCACGACGAAAAGGGAAAGTCGTAGTTAGTTAGCTAGTGACTTAGTCAGTCAGTCGATTGGTAGGTATCAGGTAGTAGTAGAGCCAGGCCCGCGTCACTTGGTTCTTCGCGTCTGGTTTGCCTCGACGACGGATACACAGGCAGGCAGACAGACAGATAGGTAGATAGGTCTAGATAGAAGAAAAGGGAGATGCGCTGCGACGCCCTGGTGGGGTTGGTTCGTCCATGTGTCACGGATGCCCAGTCGTGGATGGGTGGATGGATTGATAAGGGCTTGCAAGAGAGGGAGAGCGAAGCCGACGTCGCGGGCGCAGCACAATCTAGGGCGAGGAGTATGGAGGCGCACGAGTAGTAAGGAGGAGCACGATGACAGGACAGGTCAGCCAGAAGAATCAGTGCAGAGTTCGAGTTCAATTCCAAGTTACAACAACTATCTAGGCCTGAAATGGGTACATGATCCATTGAGCCAGTCGTTCGGTGCGACTCAATTTGGTCTTGCTTGAGGGACAAGACGCGTCCAACCACTCATATATAAGGCGGTGTGTACATGGCATATCTTAGTTATCAGAACACCTTGATAATCACTGATCAGATGACTGGTTTAACTCGTTCTCCTCATGATAGGCACGGTTGGTGTCGGTCTCCCCGTCGGCATTACGTAATCCGAGCACCTTTTTTCTTGAGGGCTGCATCATCCATCATCTCTTCGGTCATGGCGGGTGTCGGGTTCATGTTCGTCGTCCGCATGTCAGGCCTGATACGCGTCTGACCGGGATTCCTGTCCGGTGAACATTGTCTGAATTAGGGCACGGCCTCCTTATCATCCTTGATACATGTGGGTTTCGCATGACCTCCCGCGACGCATGAGAGTATCTGTCTACTCACCGCCTGGCTCAATATCCATGGTCCCCTCATTTCGCGAAATGAAGGTCATAGAAAAGCCATTTTCGAGCATTTACTTGATCGGGGGTCAAGCCTGGCCACCCGTATGTGAGAGGGAAAAAGAAGTAGAAGCCGTACAAAGCTGCCAATATGACAACACCCGTCGCAATCCAGGTGGTCAGCAGACTTTGACCCTTGAGACGTTCCTGAGCAGTTTGGAAACTTCGCCTCGCCTTCTCTGGGACCTTGCTGACAACCTTGTCTTTCTTGGCATTGATGGTTGCTGCCATGTCATCGTCAATAACAGGGTCGACATTGAAAATGAACTCCACCAAAGCACCGGTCACGAGACAGGCAGCCAGATGAGCTGGTAGGTAATGATGCAAGAACAATTGACGTCCCATCAGGTAGAAAGGGAAATAATGGGCAGCCCAGCAGAGGAAGAAGAAACCGGTACTGTTATACAGACGAGAACGAGTTCCTGAAGGACAGTTAGCGGTCATGATATCAAACGAAATGAGAGATTGCACTTACGTCGATCTAGTGCATCAACACCACGCCTCAGACTCAATTGATCTGCACCCAGGATTCCAGCAAATACGGCCAGAAGGGCGGAAGAAATCCAATAACCAATGGGATTACCGAGGAAATAAATTTGCTGCTTGGTACTGTCCTGAGTCCAGAAACTGACACCACGAAGCAGGAAAGGCCATGAGTAGGGTTGAGTTGCATAAGGGTGACTTGCGGTCAGGGCGTTATTGTGATAAAACATGGCACGTTGAAGTTCGATATATTTGATGTAGAAAGGTAGGTGCTTGACCTTCTTCTGTTCTTTGAGAAGTCGTGGGGAATCCTCCGGAATACTGGGAATGTCGTCAACATACCAGATATTGCTGGATTGTGCAGCATTCTTGTTGCCGTTGATTTCAGCTTGCTTGAAAGCCCACTCGGGAAGAGGAGTTGTGTGAGTCCACATGGCGACTTTGGATGGAAAGTGGATGAGTTTAAATTGACCCGACTTGGACCGGAAAGGAGTGGTCTTTTTCCCTTGCTCCAACTTGATCTCGAACAACGTATCATTATGACGATCTCCCGACGCGGCATCGAGAGGAACAGTGGTGAATTCCTGGTTTGTGGGATGATACGGAGATGCAACATCGTGGGTCAAAAGAATGGTATCTGTGACTATGTGTCTCAACTTCACCACATCACCATTCATGACAGGGGAGCCGACATGAGAACCGTCGGGGTGCTGAGTATTCGGGAGAATTTGCCAATGGTTATTGGTGTCATTGAAGGGATAGCCAGTAACCTGTTGACCTTGACTGGAAATACGACCATCATCATATCTCAGAGGATACTTGTCCGGATGGCTGTGGAGGAATGTTTTGGTATCCTTGTGTCGCAAGACGATGGTATCATAGTACTGGATGTCAATTGATGCTTGATGCATGAGGTTGTCGCTCAGAGTCTCTTGAAACTCCGGAGTCATGAAGTCGTCACCGGGACCGGATCTGGTAAGAATGGCGAAATGGACCTGGAACCAGAAGAGATAGAAAAAGAAGGGGATGACGATGAGACCCACAGCTCGCGCGACAAAGTGTTTGCCGAAGGTGAAAAGATCCAAAGCTCCACCTTTGCGCTTGACATCGAGGAGATCCCAAAGATCGATCAAAACAGCACAACCGATGGTGAAGAAGGAGAAAGCACCGACATACTTTGTGGAGATGACACAGCTCATACAGAAGCCGGTCAACAACAACCACTTCCACCATTTGCGACCAAATGGAGTATGCCTTTGCTTGTAGAACTTGATGTAGGAGAGAATGCTGAGAGACATGAAGAAGACCAAGGTGGCATCGAGTAGAATGAGGCGTGTCTGACCAACGTGAGAATTGTCAAAGAGGACGAGGGAAGCTGCCAGGACGCATGCTGGAAGGGAGTATCCTGATTCCCACATGATCAAGAAGACCACGACGACAGTGAGAGCGCCGAGGAATGCAGGTACGGATCGGAAGGCGACATAGGGAACGTTGTTGGCGATGTATGACTCTCCAATGTTGTCAAAGAGGAAATGGCCATCGTATCCAATCACCCAACCGATGAAGGCGAAGAGGAGCTTTCCGAAGGGAGGATGAACGTCGAAGAAATAAGTGCGTTGGAGATAGTAGGAAGCGAACTAGGGAGATCAGTTAAGAGTCTCGACGAGGTAAGTGGGAGAGAGAGAGAGATTGTACTTTTCCAAAATGAACCTCGTCAAAAACGACCTCGTCGGGATGGCTGATGCCAAAGAAGCGGGTGAAGACAGCGAGCACAGTAATGATGCCCAAGGCTAGCTTGTAATCCCATTCATTTGGCTGACTCTGTTTGGCCTGGAGGAAAGCCTTGTTCAGAGCCTCATCTGAAGCGGTGTCTCCATTGGACAAGCCCTTATTCTTCTCTTTGCCGGGCCTCTGGCGCACGGTGGAATTTGGAGTGGACATTGTGCGATGTGGACTGCAGAGAAGGGGGAAGGAGGGGCCTGCTCTTCGACGGCAAACCGGTTGCTTTGACCCAGAGCAGGGTAGGACTCGCAGGGACAAACGAGGGGTTGAACGAGATTAGAAGACGATGAAGGAAAGAAGAGATGGAAGCTGGAACATGGAAGGGGAAAAGAAGATGGATAAATGAGGGAAGTGGAAACGGAGGAGGTCAAGTCAAGGAGAGTGGTACGCAAGACAAACTCGAGGTCGGGGTTGGACGCAGGACGACGTGTCTTCAACTTTTTTCGGAGAAGCACTTCGCAGAACGCGACTTTTTTGGCCTCGGGGTGTCACTCGGTTACTCCTGAGGCCTGTCAGCCTCAGCCTTTAGTCTCCAACTAGAATTCAGGGGGGATTTTGGAACTGGGAGCTGGTCTCCCCACTCGATATAGCTCTCACGTCTGGATCGATGCTTGTTTTCATTTTTGTCAATCGTACTCTTACATGGCAGATCATCTGATAATTTCTCAAACATCTTCATAGATACTCAGAGTATCCAGCTCCCTCTGCACGATTCTTTCAAATTCCTCACGATCCATCCCCGCACTTTTCGCCAGTCGATACATACTCTTCACACTGGTCCCGATGTGTTGTCTAATGCCAATATCTGATATTCCATACCGTTCGGCGTGTTCTTCCAGCCTTGCCACCGCCTCCGAAGCCTTAGAAGAAGGTGAGGAAGGCACTGGCTGCGTGACTTCCAGCTCCTTCTCTTGACCATCACCATGTAGCCCCAGACCCGATAGATCTTGGTATGGCGGTACTAGAGTTGGTGGCTGTCGGTCCTCGTGTACCTGTGACTCTCGTGACAGATAATTTTCCAGTACGGTCCCCTTCAAGCTTGACTGTCCTGCATCTTCCATGACTTCATCTGGGTCGTGCCCATCCATGGCTGGCTGTACACTACCATACCGCGCATAGTAATCATCCTCGGAAGACCCCGTCAGCTTGGGTTCCACCGATGCTATTCGAGCTGGTGTTCTTCCAGGAGTCTTGTCATACATTGCCCAGTAGTCATCCTCGTCGGCAGGCTGCGCAGATAGATTTCTTTGTGAACTTGATCCAGCTCGGTCTGCTTCTTGTAGAGCTTCCGTTACCAGCCTCTCGTTGGCGCTTTCATTTGCATGACTGATCGATGAGGACCACGTGCTGTCTTTTTGCAGAGCTTCATCTACTGGTATTACCTCGGCGACCTTCCAACCATTTCCCTCGTCACTCCCTGTGCACCAGAGATATATTACAGTAAATGGCCATTCTTGAAGTGATATTTGAGCTTTCAATGTCTCGTGGTCAAATCGTTTGTATGTGATGGGTTCGATGTCGCCGACCTCGATCTCTCCCGATGCAGGATGAGGTTCAAAGATGGCATTTTCGATTGTATCCTTGAGCGTCTCTCCTTTGGCCGCATCCCACGTCAGAAGAGGGGCCCAGTTGTTCGTAGAAGCACCTGCGGTGTTGATGTGGAGGCGCTGGCGGAGAATGGGTGACAACAGAGGGAGGAGTGCTGGAGGAGGTTTGGGAGAAGCAAAGGATGTAGGTAGGCATGCGAGAAGAGGAGGAATTAGAGACTGAGGGTCGGGAGGAGACACCAATTCGACCATGGTGTTTAGATTGTATCTGAGTTTCAAGTGGTGGTGCAGTAAATGTTTTTGTTCTTATTCTTGTTCAGTGGTAGAAGTGCACCGAGGTTCCAGGTAAGTTTGGGAATCACAATGGGCTAAGAGTAGAAATGAGCAAACTAGGGTTACAAGACGGAATATTACAACATGAAGTTGAAGGAGATCATGGGTAGATCTCGCGTGGCTCACCAGGAGCCAACGGGCGCCGAAAGTTCGACGATCGAGATACAATACTTGCCCGGTTCTAGACGAAATTCCTTTGATCCGGCCGATGATGTCGTGAATCTCCGAGCACCCGTGGTAAACTTGGAACCTGGGATTCTGATTACCACGGTAGCACTGTGTCACTAATGAATCCTGTCCATCCCTTTTCTTGTTTTATACTTTACGAAGATATATTGTTTTGTTGGACTACGAGGCACTGGCAATCCGATGGTTGTCAAACTGCAGATGCACGTGCATCCCACCTGGAATTCAAGTTCAAGTTGGAAGTGGAAGTGCAGCCGAGTGCAGCCGAGTGCAGCACATGTCAGGCCGGCGACTCCCAGTTTCCAGAACCTTCAAGTTAGGCTAAGGCGCCTCGGGCTCGATGTGGGGAGCTTCAGGCATCTCCCACCCCCGTCGTCCCCCACATTGCCGTTGGTACTGTAACCTGAAGCTACTGAGTACTGACTCTCAAATCTTAACAGCTGCAAGTATCCTAGACTCTTTCCTCTGGCAAACTGACCTCCATGTCTAACAATAGATGCACTGTAGTTGCGCAGATTATGTACTGCATAGTCTCTTGGTAAGCACCTAGATAGCGGTCTGTGGAATCCTCGCTCTCGCCGACTATGCTCTCACATGCTCTCAAGTTCTGGGCCGCCGGAGAAATAAATGATGCCGATGGCGCTTCGGGTCCCCGCATGTCATCAGGTTCTGGTCGGAGCGTTAGAGTCACTGAACTTACCACTGAGGTTCCTAATTATGCCCAACTATCTGTGGAACTGTTTTAGGGATAACTGGAAGCCCCTCAAGTGTAGTTTTGAGCGTGTTCTTCACTTGATTCGCCATATCATAACTCTCTAATAAGTATATCGAAACTTCGGAACTCCCTCGATCACAGACTGTCCTCTATTTGCCTTCCTGTTCGCCAACCAGAACCATACGGTACAACCCAAAACAATGCCGATCATCAGTGCATGGCTCCCAATGCTCACCCAGATTGCAGTCAGGTATTTGGGCGCTTCGGGTTGCCGGACGATGTAACTCCCAGCAATGCCTCCTAAACCGTTACATGCAGCGACTGCTGCTGCCACAGTGGCTCTTTTCCACTGTCCAACCACATTGTTGGCCTGGTAGGCATTCAGAGCAGCCCAGTTGGAGACATAAGCACCTGTAGCCAGAAAAGTGCCAATATACCGCACCGTCACCTGTGACACAAATCCAAGCATACAGAATCCCACAACCAGGCACGTTGCATTGAAAATGATGATGGGCGCCCGAATCCGATATTTGTCGCCGATGTATGATGACAGCAGAACCGGCAGAACCGCATAGTAGTATGGTGGAGAAGACAGGATGATGGCCTTGTTGGTGCTGAAACCCATGCCATTCTGTAGAATTATAGGAAGGAAATAGGACAATGCAGTAGAGACGAGGTTGAGCAGGAAGAAAAGGAGACAGAAAGCGTACAGCTTGAGGTCGAGGAAATGAATGGCAATGGCAGAAAGCGTGAATGGTTCTGGCTTGCCAGCATCGCGACGGTCCGAGTTGATCCGAGCAATGGCTAGGGATTGCTCATCCAGGGAAAGAAAGCGGAACGACTTTTCAGCATGGTCGGGAAAATCAACCATCCAGAAGTAAGTGATGATGCCGAGAAGGATTGTGATGCTACCTTGAACAAGGTACATCCACTGCCACCCACGAAGTTGATAGGGGCCGCGTTTGTCGAGATGGTTCAGACCATAGTTGACAATAGAGCCCGTCGCGAGGATTATGACTTCGCCGGATTGTAGTAGAGCGAACCGGAGTTGCTGTTCCTTCCGTGTGTACCAGGCTGAAACCAGCCAGGAGAGCCCAGGAAATATCCCACTCATACTGATTCCAAGAAGGACGCGCAATGCAATCATTTGCTGCCATGTTGTGATTGCAGTCGTACAGATGGTGATAATGCCAAAAGAAATGGTTGTAACTGAGAAAAAGATGCGTGGACCCACAAATCTCATGAGAATTGTAGCCGGCAGCTGACAACAAACTGATGCCACCGTGAAAATGAATATGGAGACAGAATAGCGGTTACCCGTGAGCTGGAGATCAGAGAGCATACTGGTGACAGCGGCGGATGAGATGATACCACTGTCAAGGAGGTTCAAGCTGCAGAGAATACCAGAGATGGTGCAGAGGCGAAGGTCGATTTTGCGAACTAATCGGGCTTCAGCATCAACGTCGAACTCAGAATCAACGTTGATCTCATCCTGGTCTTGAGATTCATCCTCTTGGACAATGCTGATTGTGGTTGGGTGGTTCGCATGGTCACCATTAGATAGAGCTTGATGAAGAGATTGAGCTGCGTGTTGAGAGGAGGAGTTGATTGAGCCTTGTGCAATTGTGACTTTTGGATTGGAAGTGGACGCCATGGTCAGAACGACGATACTCACAGTATAGAACCTACATGTGTATTGTTGACCTGCGAGTGCTTGTTCTTGACATGATGACTCATATGCATAATCGTACGGACATTGAGTGTTTGTCAGGGTTTGAAGCACAAACTTGGATGACGCAAAATGGCAATGGCGGGTGCAGCGGCCATCTGCGAAAAGCTATGCTTCAATATTGAGACACACTAACCCTAATACAGACGCGTAAATAGTTCCACTCCAGTGAAGCCACCGCTTGGTACCATGAGCCATATCTCAGCTGCCAGGCTTAAACACAGTAAACTTCACGTGTCACGACGCGTTGCAGAACCTTTCAAGTCGATAAAAACCCGTCGTGCCACTGTCAACTTCGCCCACAACTCGTCAACCCGGCAGACTGCAAGATGGACCAGCGGCAGGAATCCACCGCGGAACACACCTTCGCACATCTTTCCCCTCGCGTGCGGCATATCTCTCAAAGCACGATCCGCAAGAAATGGAAACCACTCCCTCAATCATCTCAGGACCGAGTGCGCGCAATTCTACTATCCTTGAAGACCAAACGCGCCGCATCCGGCAGAATACCACCAATTGGTACAAAAAGGACCGCGAAGACGAAGAGGACGAAGAACGATGTCATGGATGAGGATTACGAGCGGGCCGTCGAGGAAGTCACAAATAAGTAAGCAAGTCTATTTTGCGTTCCTTTCCCATGATGTGTCTCCCTAGCTGGGTGTATTCTGACAACTACAGACTCTTATCACGACTCCCACGAATGCCATTCCCCAACAACGCGACACCCTCATCGACGGCATCGGTGGTAGACGAGCATTTCTCCTTCGAAACCACATTGAACCGTACTTCGTCCCTGCAGTCCACACTCACCATGAACCAGAGGTCGAACCGCTTATTGCGCAACCAGATCAGACGAGAACAACGGGCCCTGAAGGATGACAAGGCCGAGCTCTCGAGGCTCGAAGCGGCTTTGAATAGTAGCTTCAGTTTGAGACAGAAGCAGGAGCGGGGATTACATCCTCTTGCGAGACTTGCTGACGAGGGCGAGGAAGAGGAACATGAAGATGAAGATGAGAATCAAAGACCGCATAAAAATCCGACCGAGAAAGACAGCATTGACAGAATCAACGACATCGCTGGGATATTCGCTCAACCTCAGACTTCCACCATATCTCTCGACCCTGATCAACAATCGCATCCCGAACTTGCACCCCTGTTGACACAACTCCGCAACCACCTGCAGAGCATGGACAACAACACCGCAAGCATACGACCGGTTCTCCATGCCATGTCTGAGGCGCAAACCGCTTTGGACCTCTTCGCCGCGGCACGATTTGACGAGCAGACAAGGCGGAGACTTCATGGTCTCGATACTTGAACTTCAGTGGGCTTTGTGAAATCTTACAAAATGTTGTGCTTTCCCAGTACAACTTCGACTCGGAACTCGCACAAGGTCTCTGAATTCGTGTGCATCTGTGCGAAGAGCTATCAGGTGTGCTTACTCGTCCATCGCTAGCCCGCTTGGTCTTCGTCCAAATGGCGCCTCGATGGGGAGATTCGACGCGCTTACATGTACCAGCCTGATGATAGCGGGAATCGACCCGCGTCGAACTCACTCACCATTGACAGCTGGCTCAGAGTGCAAATTTGGCACGTCAGCAGAGCAGGGCGAAGGAAAATACTGGCTGTAACAACATCACCGTGGTGTTTGGTGTGGTACTTGACCAGCTCCAGTAGATGTGCACAGGTCAGTGATGCTCGAGGAAGGAAACGCAAACGAAAAGTCGAGAGGAATGAATCCACGGATAGATAGATAGATAGCCCCAGTCATCAAGTGGCATGACATGATCGGTGAAAGCCATTAATCGCCCATTTCCATCCGCCGACATGAACCACCGTCCGTTGATTGGGACAATGAAGCAGATGATTACGAAATACCAATAATAAATCAAACAGAGCGTTTTCGCATTCCACAGGTCACAATTGTTCAATAAATTGACGGTCGGATGATTCTCCTTTCTTCAAAAAATAAATCATGAAAACTTGTTATCTATTCCTCGCAACCCACTCCTATGATCCTAAATCTCATCCTATCGCAATCAAATCAAATCAAGTCAAGTCAAGTACAGTCCATCCTAGTCCGCCCATCCCATCCCATCCATCCTATTCGGATTTTCTTGGTCGCTGCCCGGCCTGATACGTAAGCAGTGCTTACTACATATCCAGCTTTGCACTTCGCTCAATCACTGCAGAGAAGACAAGACAAGACTGGAGCAATGAGATAGGCAAAAAGGAGGTAGCACGACTCAATTATATGTAGATAGAGAGAAAACGAATAGCGATTGTGGTATCTCGGGGGAAAAAAGAAAAATATCCATATATCAGAGAAACGAATTCGCAAAAACATGATATACCAAGCACGTAGGATAGACAGGACAGGACAGGACAGGACAGGATAGACGGCGGCCCTCCCATTCCCATTGCGTTGCATTGCGTTGATGTAAACCCCTTTTTTCCTGGTCCAGAGCAGCAAATTCGTTTTATTACTTCGAGTCAATCCCATTCGATTCCATTCCGTCCACTTGTTTCGTTCACGTTGATCTGGTCTGTTATTCCATTTGTTCGTATTGTCGTCCCTCATCACCCGTGTCCCGCCTTGATTTCACTCTCTCCGGTGTATTTCTACATCACTTCTGGAGGACCTCCTGGTAGATTTTTGGGTCCTCATTAAGCGCAGGTGTTGGGGGAAATTCACCTGGGATGTGGAGATCGCTGATCGTGGTGTGGCTTTTCGTTCGACCGCTCGCCTTCAGCATGAAGTCTGTTGGCGCCGTAGTTGATGTTCTTGGTCCAACGAATACGCCGTTGCCGTCGAACATGCTGTCACTCTGGCTGGCGTAGCCGGTGCTAGTGGGGACTGTGGACAATGTTGCCGTCTCGGTGTTTGATGAGGTAGTGTTGCCTACAGCAGAGCTGGGGGCGGTAGTTGTCTCGCTCAAGGCGCGTGGTCCTGTGGGCGCATCGATGGGGGCAGCAGTGGCGACCGGAATCGGTGGCGATGAATGGCCATACGCGGGAATGGCGCCGTCAGATTCGACGCCGATAGGCGCTACAACTGGTGGGTATGTTTGCTGTTGCTGCTGTTGCTGCTGCTGGTGGTGATGGATCACACCCGCACCAAGTGCTGCACCTGCAGCTCCTACACCAATAGGTGCCATCCACTCACCATATTGACTACCACTTTCGTGAGATGGGACAACACCATGGGCAGTAGGAACAACGTTGTTATGATGTCCAGACACATACTGAGTGGTTGGATGGGCATCTGTGCTGTAGTGACTTTCGGACCGTGCAGTGTTGATCAAGCCAGGAGTCTCGTGAGAAATAGGTTGCAATTCCGTATGCCTTTCGGGTGTGTTGGCGAAGGGCAAACCACTTCCTGGTAGGGCACCTGCTGCGGCTATGATGTCTCGATCCCTGTCGGAGCTCTCTCCACTAGATGGCGAAAGGGGTGCTTGTAAGCCTCGTTGTACATTGACGTCTGATGGAAATCGCCCACCTGGTGCCGGTCGTTGTTGAGGGGGTCGCCATCCAGCTTCAGACCGATTGTCATCAAGGTCGTGACCAGTAACGCCTCCAAGACCATCAACGCCACCTACCACAGCTCCTTCTGCGACCGAATTTCCACGGACAGATTGCTCACCAGCGAATGCAATGCGATCAGCTTCATCTTCTTCCAGTGCCCCATCAGAACTGATGATACTGGCGGGTTTCATGCTATTTCCCGAAAGAGACCTGGCGTGCGATCGACGAACAAATTCGTTCCGCTCTTCACCTCTCTTCTCAGTCAATTCCTTCACATCATTAAACCATGCTAGCATAGTTTCGTGAGTCTCAGCCCTGAAGACCCAAGCATGTCCACGATGCATCGAACCTGTTTGTCGACCTTTGAGCATAAATTTATGTGAAGAGGATCCTGGTTCGGAATGCGAGCCCAACTTTTGTTCCGGTAGATACAGAGACATGACAGGTGTCTGAGCAGATATCCGGTCGGCAGACCTGAACTCGTGGAGATGTGTGGGGGACAAAATGTACCTTTATAAATCAGCGTGGTAAACAAAAGCGATCACATGCAATACTCACCAGCCTGGGGTATAGTTTTTGAGGTATTTACTCTTTCGTTCAAGCATGCCACTTCGCACTTCAATGGCAGCGGGATGATCCTTTCCAGGATACACAATATGAGAAAATTGTCGGATAGGGTTTCTGGGATCGACCATTGAGTTGTTGCTGACGACGAATTCCTCCCATTCATGATCTTTGGCCATTGCGACGGGGCCATCCTTCAATTTCTCGGCGGTATCGTAAGCCTCATCAGCTTCCCGGCGAAGGATCCCAGCAACAACGTTATATGCTTTTTGGATTTCTCCAACGACGATCGACTCTAATTCACGCCCTGATGCCTCAAGGTTGAGATAGGCCTAAATTGTCAGCTGGACCGCTTCGTAGACTCAAGGAAAAGTGAACTAACCCTGTGCAAATAGTTCTCCTCGTCGATCTGGCGCTCAATTTGCTTATCGACCAGCATCTTGACGAGGAATGGATCGCCCTTCCCACTAGTTGAGGCTGCATCATGGTCGACTGTGCCAAGAGCCTCCTGAAGAGAGCGTACGGCCTTTTTAGAACCTTCTTGTTCCTTGTCTACTGAATTCTTAAAATCACCAGACAAGCTTTTGATCTCCTTTATTTTTTGTTGGAGATCACTGCGAAGGCCTGTTAGTTGCATGACAACTTCATTACAAAGATCTCGAGCTTTATTGGCTTCAGTGATAGCTTGCTTGTGGAAGTCTCTCAAGATATAGGAGGCGTCGCTCAACCCGCCGGAACTGAGAAAGTTGGGCGGTAAGGATGTGTTGTTTATCACCGACGAAGTCGCAAGTAATGACTTTGCGCGAGACTCATAAGATTTGTGGAGATCACGAAAGTATGCTATAAGGTCTTTCAGGGCTTTGCGCCATGCTAGAAGATATGTTAGTCGGGAGTCATCACAGAAAGAACAGGGTACTGACCTTGAAAGCGATTGGCGAGTAGTTCTGTTGGGTTGCCACTGGTTGGGACAGGGCAATAGAAGACACTGTTGGTCTCCTCGGTTTCGCCATATTTCTCTTTCTCGCCAAGTTTCATGCTTCTTACAGAGCCTGCATAGCTACTCCGCTTGCTGGCGGTCCTTTTCAGACTGGCGCTTTTATGCAAGGAAGGTTTCTTCTTCAAAGTGCCGCTTCTTGAGGGGAGTATTGACTGAGAAGTTGTCGACAAGTGAGAATTGGTGCGCGGAAGCTCCGGAGCTTCTTCATGGTTCGCAGATGTTGGGGGCTCTTCGTAGGAGTGGGAGGCCTGGGAAAGTACGGATGATTGCTGGGGAGCACCATTGGCGGCTTCCAAATGCGACACAGCATCGGTATGATGTGTTCCCACGTAGGAGACGGGTCTCGAGGAAGGACGAGCGCTTGTAGGTCGCGCCGAGTTTATCGAGCCATCTGCAAGAATGGTAGAGCCTGCAGGAGCGGCTGAAGCGGGAGTGAAAGGCCTCTCCATAATGAACTAGACAAATCACCGGATGATGATTCCTGGAGTGAGCCGAGTCGGGTAAGCAGCAGATCCGGGGCAGGGTAGATGAGGAGCCAGAAGCAGGTCAGGTTGCAGAGCTCATCTTGATGACATTGTTGGAGTTTGTGAATGTGAACAAACGGGTGGAAGTTGGAGTCTTTGCAATCTGATCAAGAGTTGGGATGGATTGGCCAAGATCAGATTCAGAGCTGGAGGAGGGAGCTTCGAGTATGCGAAGGAGTCGAGGAAGAGTTACAAAGGGAATGAGAGCGAGGGAAAGTGGATGACGTCGAGTGGAGGTGAGGTGAGGTGCTGTCGAGATCCTCTGTGGGCTGTGGCACTCACACACAGGTGCCAATCTTGCCTATGATTTCTTGGTTGTTGGGTGCAACAACAGGCAAGCGACGAAGAAGAGGGGGCGGCGGTGCCACTCCCACTGTGGTGCAGGTTGATCACAGTTTAAAGGGCAAGCCCGGCAGGAGTGGAGAGACTGGTCGAGGACTGGGACTGGGTTTCTGGGAGCTGGGAATGGGTCATTCCATTTAACCACCATTTGGCTTCGGTGCGGGCGGCCACTTAACTAGCTGCTAGGCCGAGGGGGCCGCTAATTAGCTACCGTCCGGTTGCTCCAAAGCAAGCTGAGAGCTGCGTGGGAGCTCACTAGGACTTGAAAGAGCAGGAGTCCGGCAATCATGGTCCAAGCGATACCATTCATCAGCCCACTTGTCTCGATCGAGAAAGGACCTTGGATCCAACTTGGAAGGTCTGCAATGCTCGAGCTCGAGGGCTTTGTCAGGACAAGGAGGATTTACAGCATGACCTAGGTTGCTACTCCAGGGTTTTCTGCAATAGCCACAGAGTGACCAACTGCCATTGTTCAACAGCTTGAAGGACCGTCGAATACGGATATGGTTCGGCCAGATTGATGGTATCTCGAATTAGCATCATCTTCCACTATTGAATCTTATGAGCTGGACGATAAGTTCCATCGACGAATAATTGACCCACCCTGCAGCTAGGACTGATCGGTAGCTCAGAACAATTAGAAATCGGGGGAGCTTTGGCTGCAGTGTGCATGTGGCACTATCCTGGCTAACCAGGATTACTACGGTAGTACTTCCTGGGCGTCAAAGTTGATGATACATGCAGAAGTCCACCACGTAAGCAGTTAGAAAGCACCCACGTGAATTGCTCTGATTGAGGACGAGGTCTCCATGTCAGACATTCACAGTTCATAAAGGAGCCCATCCAATCCACCTACCTGAAGATGGACTTCTCTACCTAATACAGGGAGTATACCGTAATCAGAGAAAGAAAGTCGTGGGTAGGACTGCACTCCAAATCCATGAGTCGGTTCGCTGGGCGTGCCTGGGTAGCCTGGGTTGCGGAACTCTCGGCCTACGCAACATATGCTTGCGTCATGACTGACATCTCCACGAGCTCCCTCCTTCCAGAACCCACAAGGGCTGGGCATGAGGAATCTCAGTGGCCTCGGGCATCATTATGACCTGGAGATATCTGCTTAGGCGTTGTTTGACAGCCATCATAATGATCACAGGCAAGGTATCCATGTATGTAGTTCTCCAACTCGGTCCTAGTATTGACAGTATTCCTATCTTTTCGAAAGCTCGACCTCGTTAGAACTCAATCATCATAAAATGAATCGAGTCTAAAGTTGCCGAGGGAAGACATGCCTGTGGGAGGTTCCTGTCAAAATACCGTTCGCCTTCTCCGCACTGGCATTTGTCGACAGGGCCACCCGAGGGGACAGCCATCAAGAGTTTAGTTATGCCCATTCGTATCACTGCATGCATTTGCAGCTGCCATGGTACCACCATCTGTAGACAGCAGCTGGCCTCATCCACCGCTAATCCAATCACAACTCCAACCTCAAACGTACCAGGTAGACGTCCAGCTGGTGGCAATCTGGCTATGCACGTGCGGGATCTTTCGTGCCGTTTTACCATTGTCACGCATTCTGGATAATCCTTACCGAACCTGAACTCGTTCTTTCAAGGTTGAACTGTTGACCTCTAATAGTCCTCAGCACTAAAGGTTCGCAGACGAACTAGTGCCACCGGAACATTGCACTATCAATGCAAGATCCGACTCTTCAGCTTTTGAGTTGAATTTAGCTCGTTGCAATATCGCCTGAGTGCACTCGTATGCAAAGTCGGTTAACTGTAGGAACATTAACTTGACGTGACCAACATCAATTCTGCATTATCCGCCTGCATTCAAATCAAAAACCCCAAGCTGTTTAGGAAGAGAAGGTCTTATGTACTTCGGGCATTCACAAACAGGCAGTCATCAGCGTCGAAAGAAGTACTTATCAGGTTCAGCTTGCATGGCATTTCTCTCGAGTCTGTTCTTGAGTTATAGTGGGTTTTTGACCCACCAAAGTACGCTAACAAGTATTTCGATTTCACTATATACAATGACTGCCACGGAGTCTGGCTTGTGGTGTCGGTTGGGTCGGCCACAACTTGAATTCCGAGATTCTCAATGGAGAACGGTGGTTTCGCTCGGCATCAGGCGATATACCATCTGCGAAATGAAACCATCATGTTGTTGTTGCATGGCGACGTTGGGTCCACGACTATGACGGTGTGGACTTGTAGTATGGCTCGGGCACATCGATTCCATAATTCTCCTTCAATCGTTGCTTCCTCCTCTCTTCATAGCCTGGACCATAGATACCTATTCGAATGGTTAGCTTACCGCAGACATGATAGTTCTGGAGACAAACCTCTGCCTTCACCCAATTCGTTTATAGTTTCGTTTATAGGTCTTCGGAATCGCTTTTTGGCTGCATCCTTTTCTGCAATGCGATCTATCTGGGGATCATCCCCCGCGGAGGCAAAGGTAGAAGCTTGTGTAAACCCTACGACACCTGCAGCCGTCCCTAATAAAAATGCGTTGAGTGCAACTGCAGGGGCTTTTCGCTCTAATCGCTGTTAGCTAAACTATCCAAGCGGGCTGGGACAAGGTATTGCGTACTGGCTGCACCCATAAGCGCACCGGCTATGGCACCTCCAATTGTGTTGTTGACGAAGTCATCTTTCTGGCGCAGATTGGCAGAGACACTGGTTGCGAATTGATACGCTCCACCGGCAGCAGCTACAGGAAGTCAGATATGTCCAAGTTCACTGCGTCTGGACCCTCATATGACCATACCAAATATTCCCACAGTGCTCCCAAATCGTGAAATTACACCAAAAGCACCAACGTTCTGCTTGGTCACAGTATTTTGAATGGCGGCGAGGAACAAACCAGCAGTGCCAGTTAACATAATGGCGCGTGTCGAAAGACCTAACGCATCTTGGGGGTGATAGTATGGATCGGCAGGAGGAGGGTTAACAGTCTTTCCGTCGACGAGATCAGCCATTGCTGCGGTGGTCTCGATCAGGAGGTCGTGGCAGGGTGAAATTACTTCATGGACAGCTTGGTATACCCTAAGGTGAGGAAAACCTGGGTAGAAGAGTGTGAAGGATAATGACAAAGGCGAAGAGTCGGTTGCATGCACTTCAAGTTGAGGTTGAGCGAGGATGAGGTTCAGATTGAGAATGTGGTACTTAGTGGAACATGTGAGCTTGCGGTGGGAGCTTCAGGAATAGGCCAATTAAATTGCTGAGGGTAGCTCTAGCGTGGCACTAGCCCTCACATTAGTATGGGCGACAACGGGCGATTCTCTCATTGCCACTGCCAGGTGAAGTCAGAGCCGCAGCCGCAGCCGCAGTATTAGGCTGCTCCATACAAACGCAGACTGGGCATCGCATCGCATCACATCACAAACAACCAATTCTGACCATCACCCATCGCACTTTTTGATTCCTGGTAGATTCTTGTAAAGTGTCCGTTATCCAAGCATTCAAACAAGTAGATTCTTGTACATTAAATCCACGTCAATCTGTCTGGTGTGGGGTTGGAATTGGAATTGCTGCCATTCTCCATCGCTTTCTTGCGTTCAACGCTCCGCCTTCTACTTGATCCTTCCTTGCACCCAACGAGCATAGAACCCACCCTATTATACCTGGGGGCATCTATACCAGTATACCTCTCGTGATCGTTCTTCCCTACGCATTGATCATCTTGCTCGCCCTCTCAAATCCAGCCACGGAATCCTCTACCTCTCTGCTGGCTCCCCGAGCCGGCAGGCCTTTTCAAGAGTATCTTGCATGGCCGGCGTGCAAGGGAATATAAGGTCCTTCATTGCCCCGGTAGAAGGATCCGGTGCGTATCCTGCATCCTCGTATACAAGGAAGTAGCTCATTGACACTCGTATTAGGACGGACTGCTCCGGCACTTCTTGAAGACCTCACTTTATATGAACCATGGCAAACCACCGTCCGCAACCTCCTGGCTGATGCACCACTCAAGTTCAGTCAAGGTCAGTATCTGGGTGAGGCCATCAACCTTGACAGCTGCAGACACAGATTTGCTGTGAAGGATCGGCAGTCGCAGCCACCTGCACAAGATGAGAGGCCGGGCCCAGACACGATATGGACTGTTGCGGTCTTCTGCTTGGTCTGCCGCCTGCATCTTCGTGTCAAGGTGGACTATACCGTTAGATTTGAGCAATCGCCATGCCCGACCCCCGAACACCCTCTGCATCATTTGGTCCGGTCGAAATATCAAGAAACCTTGGATCGGAATCAGTGGAAGAGACAAAATCCGAATACAGTTGATGAAATTTACACCTTCAAGTGTTCTTCCAACACGTGTTCTGCCAGTGTCACCATTCAATTCAGCCCACCCGTCCTGCGACCCAATGATGTCCGTACCCTAACCAATCCGGAGCTGTTGAGCCAGCGCACTGAAGAGGCATTTCGTAGACAGGGAGGTCAGACTGAAGGCATGAAGAGCCCTACTCCGACTGATGTTCTGTGCGACCTCCGTTCGTATCTCAAGAATGCGTGGAAGGCAAAATCCGACCCCAAGTACAGTTTGATCAAACTCACAAACAAGAGGTTCATTGTCCGCTTTGGGCCCGACGGAATTGCTTGTCGTGAGGTCCTTGAACATCTTGGCTTTCAGTTGGAGCCTGGAAACGCGTGGAAGGTACCTGAACCTATATTTGAAGAGGATCAACCTTTCCAAAGCCCCGTCAATGTCTTCCTTGACAATGCCGAGCACGAACTTGTTGCACTTCTTCTAGCACGTCCACCCAAAGAGCGAGAACAAATTCCAGACCTCTCTCAACCACCTAGCGCTGACAGGGAATTGTCTCGCCTTCTGAGTAGTCAAGATTATGACAAGAATCCTGCCAGCAGGTCTGAGAAAATCACTGCAGAGATGAGACCCGGCTTCTTCGTAGCACTGGGGATCCCCTCCGATGCGTCAGATGATCTCATCATCAAAGCCTATCATCAGCAAGTGCAAACAGACCCCCAGGGCGCGCCCACCTACTTGAGCAATTTGCGTAATATCGCGAGCCACCGACAGAGTGATGTTCTCGAAACGGAAGTGGTGTTGGAAACCTCAAGGGGTCGTTTTGAGGTGGAAACGTTGAATAAAGCTTACAAAGCGTTCCAACTCACCGGGCGTGAAGGCATGGTGACTGACGATGATATTATCGGTTCATTTACTGCCATCCTGGCGGATTCACCTGCGCACGAGCATGAGCTTCGCGAATACCTGCGGATCATTGGTGTCTACCGCAAGAGCAAAAAGCTCATTGATACAGCGCAGAATGGTAAGCCAAATCATGGGTGCGCTTAAAATTCCAATGACTAACGTGATTATAGTTCTTGAAACGTACGAGCAAGCTCTTACCTACCTGGATGCCGGTCCAGCCACTGAAGACGAACATATTCAAGCTTTGTTTGCTGTCAAGGTTTGTGTCACATTGCCCTCATCTCCCTACAAACTTATACTGACTCTTAGGCATAAGACCAACGATAACAAAAGCGCAGAAGAACAGGCAATAAAGGCTGTTTCGATAATCGCAAAGCACCGCAGAAGTCCCTTCCTCACATCTTGGATTGACTCAGGCTTTTCCATCGATACCCCCGCAATGGAACCGGCATTGGGTTATCAGGCCCTTCAGATTCAAAACCGTGAAATTGATGATGAAATGGTTATGCTCCAATACAACATGGCAGTGGAGGAAAACCCCGCAAGTGTGGAATTTTATACCAAGGCACTTACCGCTATTGCAAATGGGCGGAACAGTACAGTCTTGTTCGATCATTTGCATATGAGGGCACCGCAGGGACCGCAGGGCACTTCTGAGGAACCAGTTGGACTTGAGAATATCGGCAACACATGTTATCTGAACAGCCTCTTGCAAGTTCTATTCACCACGACCGATCTGCGGAAGGTTGTTCTCAATTTTGAGGATTATAAGATGGCTCTAGACGGAAACAGTATCGAGCGAAAGCGAGTTGGACAACGACAGATCAGTCTTCAGGAAGTCCAGACAGCTCAAAAGTGTAAGTGCCCATCTGAGATTTCAACTGCACATCTAACTCTGCCAGTCGTGACCAGCCTGGCCTCGCTGTTTCGAGGAATGATTGAGAGCCCGCATTCCTCAATCAGACCGGAGCAAGAACTTGCACGTCTTACCTTGGAAAGCCACAATCTGAAGGAAAGGATGCGACGAAGATCAACTCTCAAGTCCACCGATCGCCCTACTATAGGAGAGACCGACGAACTGGCCTTTTTTGGTCCTTTCACCCTAGACGAATATTCCCGAAATGGTACAGGCGATGCCATCGTCCAGTCCCCCGCGGAGAATAACGAAGCCGATCCCATGGACACGAATCCATTGGTAAGCTTTGGACGAGAGGCAGACAACCCAAAGATGAATGATGCGTCCAGCGAAGAAACGTTGTTTTCCAAATCGGACTCTGAGCAGGCCCTTCTTGAAAATAATACCCTAGCTGGCCAACGAGCGATATTGGACAACAAAGAGAATTTGTCGCAAAGCAAGATTTCGACCTCCCCAAAGAATGCACACTTCCAGGGTCAAAATTCGTCTCCCCTCGGCCCCACATCGCCATCAAAGCTGAACGCACAGGCTGGGGTACTATCTCTTGGAGCACACTCTGAAGAGAGCGAAACGAAGCAAGAGCCAGTGAAGTATCTCCCTCCTCCTGGAAAGCCACCACCGATCCCACCTCGGAAGCCCGTCGAAAACCCAACGACTACACTTGAGGAGTATGCTAGGCAACAAGATGTAACAGAGGTTATATCTCATGTTCTTACTTCTCTGTCTTCAGCGATCAGACCCACAGGTTTCGACAAGACTGGTGAACAGCTAGACGAAGTACACGACACATTTTATGGGCAGCTCAATCGACATACCGAAAACGACAAAGGTCAGTCGAAATCCGAACAATATCGAGACATTATCACTCGCGTAAGTAACCAGCCGGCGGATCTTTACGCGGCCATTGATAATGAATATGACTTGCAAGTTGGTGGAGCTGAGAAGAAAGGCTACACATCACTTGAAACGCTACCACCTGTTCTTTGCATCCAGCTTGATCGGGTGATATGGAACAAGGAAGTAAACCGCCAGGAAAAGGTGAACCACCATGTCGAGGTCCCAGAAACGATATACATGGATCGCTACCTCGAAAGTCCACCAGACTCTGAGCTCATGAAACGTCGCCAGCAGACATGGGATCTGAAAGTTGAGTTACAAGCCTTGTCTGCAAGGAGGACTATTCTCGAAAAGAAACATGTGAGTAGCTATATGACCAGGCTCTTTGACTATGGCTGACATCTCGCTAGGGACAGTCCAAAGACATCCCAACTCTGTTAGAAGACGCCAAGATTGCACTTGAGTATCTCGCAGAACTTCCAGGCGAGTCGATAGGTGGTGAACTCGAAGTCAAGGCGAGTACCATTGCGACTCTTGGGTCCTTGGCCGAGAATGCTAGGACTGAACTCGATGGTCCGATACCACTTATTTCACTTTCACTTTGCGTAGGCTGACTCTGCTACAGAACTCAAAGCTCGATCCAATGTCATCACACAGCAAATTAAAGAAGCGTTTGTGGATATGCGTAAGCACCCATATCGCCTACATGCAGCCTTCTTCCACCGTGGAAGTGCTGGTGGTGGTCATTATTGGGTATACATCTATGACCACGTAAAAGAAATGTGGCGCAAGTACAACGACGATCGTGTCACCATTGTCCACAACCGAAATGAAATATTCGGCAAGCCAGTCCAAGACAGTTGGGGACCACCGCCAAATCCATACCTCCTTGTTTATGTACGATCGGAAAAGGTCAACGAGGTCGTTGAGACTGTGAAGCGAGACATTGTTTATCCGCCACCAGACGTCCCACCACCGATTCCTGCTCGCAATCAGATGAGTGCAATGCCGCCGGCTGGAGAGAACCCTGGGGATGTGGAAATGAGGGAGTACGTCAATGGTGGTGAGCAGAACCCCTTTTTGGAGGATCTTAGCCTTGGAGAGCCCCAAGAAGCTACTGTTCCTAAAGAGGGCAACTGGGATAACGACGGGCTGACAACGGACAGGCAAGTTCGTTGGTGAAGAGGACGCAATGATGCAGCTACAACCTCTTTTGTGACCAAGACATCTCGCAGGGTGTGACACTGGCAAGGCTGTCTCTTCGGATTTGAGAATCTTTGGGTCTCCATTACCGTCCCTCGATGAGACAGAAAAAGTCCAATCCCCGGCAATAAAATTACGAACCAACAGTCGATCAAATCTTTCTTCGCAATCCTGTGTTAACAGGTTTTCGAATCTCATTCATGCATCTCGCCATAATGCAAAGTTCAAGCCCATCAAGGAAGCATGTCTCAATGCAGGAAATACCATCAATGTGGTCGGGGCTCCCTACGCTGGAGAAAAGCTGAGGTTCAACGGAACCCAAAAGATTGGCTTCTGATATACGGGACACTTTCATTGGACTATCACGGAGTGCTTTCCGAGCCACTTCAGCTGGTGGAGATAGATTGCACGGGCGCTGCCAATCATCACCTGGGTACCTGTGAGCTAGATCGCTCCACCGACAGGGAGACGGGCGCTCCTGAGCATGGACACATCTGACACAGATATACAAACACTATGAATGCAATACAGCACGAGTTTCATGAAGGGATTGTGTTCTGTCCACGTAGGTATCTACACATATACCTCCTTAGCTAGTCGGACGGTTCAGAGGCCATACAAACCACAATTTCAATGAGCAAGGGGAGTGAGTCATAGACAAATTTCCGGGTATAAATCCCTTCCGACATTGCGTTGTGTGCATTCAGGGGTTTTCTTCGTCTGCTTCATCGCCTGCGTTTACTTTTATATTCGCATTTGACCAGGGTACATGTGCCAGCCCCCGAGTCAAGTGCTAGACATGTTATCTAGTCAGGATGGTTCCGAAGTTGTGATATCGGGCGGTTTAGCCGTTCGACCAACATATTGAGATATGTCGAGCGTGGGACTTGTTTTTTTATTTCATCTTGCTTTTGTATGAGCTATTATGCAGCTAAAAAATTATGGAGATGAATTCGGTCTCTCAATGTCGTGATAGACCTGCCAGTTATTCAGTCCATACCGCTCGTACTCTTGGCCCTTCGTTTATCATTTCTCCCATCAATGCTAATTAATCATACATAAGGCTACTGAGCTCCGTCATAAGCTTATTGCGCGATCATAGCTCTATTCACTCTTGTGTGCTGGAGCCTTGCTACACACGCTCCCGCCTTTGTTGTTGTACACCATATCACCATGGTTGATGCTTTCGTAATTTCTCGTACACCGTTGTAAAACATGCGCCATCGGACCACGAATTGAGTCTTTGTCACTCAGATCCTGATTAAGGCCTTCGACGGCGTCTGACTGTCCTCTCTGCCTCTTCAAGAGCTCCATAATCGATGTCGCGCAGTTTGGCCCCTTGGGATCTTGTCACCCGGGCTGTTTGAAAGCGTGGTGTTCGAAGGCGTCGTTTTCGATCTGTATAATCTTTGTAGTCCCCACCAGGTATGGCAGACATGGCTCTCGTGGGGGTATTTGGTGGCAAAATCCCCTCCATTACTCTCTCGGCTGCTTCTCGTGTGAGGGATGGATCTACTGGGTGTGACAATGCCTCTAATCGACGTGTTACTTCAAGTCTTGCCTTCTTTTGGCTGGTCGGGTATGCACGCAGGAATGTCCATATGTCTTTTGTGTGCGCACCGTTGACAGGGATGGAATGCTGGCTATAGTCGAGGACAGCGGAGTCGACGAAGTAAAAACTGAGTTTAAGTCAGATATTCGAAAAAATATGCTTTGTAAGATGGACAGGACAACTCACCATCGTTCTTTGTACTTCAGAAACACAGGCCCCATACCAAGGTCAAAGCGTGGAGCGTTGAAAAGGTCTAGATACACATTGAATTCATGGTCTCCCAGTGGGTCGTTCACATCTCGTTGTACAAGCGTGTTTTTCGTGCCATTGTCCCATACTGGTCTTTCAGGTGGGATTGAGGGACGTCTCACGATGAATTTGGAATTGCTGGTAGACTTGAGTTTGTCGCTTTCAAGCAGTTGCTCTTTGCTTGTTGCATCACGTTCAGTACATGGTTGCTGTGTGTTGCTGAGAGGTGCTGAAGCTGGGGCTCCGAACAAGTTCAAAAAAGCACGACTTTCTGGAACAAGGCTAGCCAGAAGGATAGATTCTCTATCAAGGGGCGGTCCTTCCGTTGCCGTGGCATTTCCTGGTAGATGTGTCGATTCTATCGCGTGTCTGAGTATCTCTGGCAATGGCGTCTTGGACCATTGCCAAATGAATCGACCTCTCCTCTGGTCTATTTTAAGCCTTCTTTGTCCACAGGGTCGTGTGCGATCGATCAGAGAGAATTTGGGTTTTCTGTATCAAAAGTTAGTGTGCTCAACAAGGCTAGAGAGTTGTATGATGCTTACCCCTCCTGGTTTCCACCGTACCGTTCAAGAATCAGAAGGCTACGTCCGATGCTTTCGCGATGAACGTTCATAGCGTCCACGAATTGTCGTAGAATTGCTTCCGGTGGTAGACCATCTTCAGAGCCAGCCCCCTGGCTGGGAGCTGTGTCCATAGCCCGGTTGGGCTGAGGATGAGACGTCATGTCGGATGAGTCTTGTTTGACATTGTTATCTCTGTGAGGCAGATCTTGTTAGCTTGATTAGTGTAAAATCTGTCCATATTATCCAAAGCTCACACTTGGTCTGGTCGAGTAGCTGCTTTGGTCTGTTTGGACTTCTTGGATGTCATTTTCATCGCGCCTGTACTTCCTGTCAATCGATCATTTTGAGCAGACTGTGCGACACCACCATTGGTATGGCTATTGCCGGTTTTCGCGACTCCGGTTGCTTGAGTAGGTGAGCCGTTCCCATCGTTCGATCCTCTCCGAACCGGTAAATTAATGGAGATGGCACCCTTCATTGCGGGCAAAGGGGGACGCACGCGATCCATTCTGGAGCCATCGAGAACGTGAGGAGACCGTGAGCGGCGCCTAAAGTTTTCCCTAGCATTGGCACCGTTCCCACGGTGAGATTGTGACATCTCTGGGCCAGGAGATTTTGGACGTTGTTGACCAAAGGAATCTGTTGCGTACCAGTCGTTCCGTGGTCGTTGATTCAGAGAAGTGGATGGTGGGTTATAGCGGTCATACCCAGCGTCTCCAGGTCTACTAGCAGGCGGGGGAAGTCGCTCAGGGGCTCTGAAGCTGAAATCATGACGAGGGGGTTGGTTCCGTTGACCAGTACCAATCCTAGGTCTGAGGAACTCATCTTCGCTGCTATTGTTGTCGCTAGGGCGCCCACCTGCATTGCCCGCATGATGAAGACCTGCCCTTCCTTTGATTGACAAGCCTTGCGGTCTCAAGCCGCGATTACCGGCCTGCGCCTCCAATTCCTGCATGTTTGAACCGAGACTGAGGTTGATAATTTGTTTTTGACTGATAGATCGTGTTGACCAGCTTGTCACAAAGCTTTGGCCAAGATCCGGGCAATCTCCAACATAATGAGATTTGCTTGCACAATTGCAGCAAGAGATCCATAGCTCCAGGGGTCCTGTTTCGGATTGGACTCGTGAGGGGAAAAACCGTTCAGGACATGATGGCTCGGGGTGTCCTAAGCCACCACAAAGATCACAAGGTGTGGCAGTAACAGTTGTCCACACATCACAATCAACAGCGGAATGGCCGCGTTCACGGCATCTTGTGCATCTGGTGACTGATGGGCATAGACGAGCAGGATGTTCACCTACGAGACCACAGTGTTTGCATAATATTTCCGGGCATGTCTCCTTCATGTGACCTTGTTTCAAGCATCCGAGACAGAACGCGGGCCAGGCGAGATCAATCTCATCTCTTTTGAGAGAAGTGAAGACATACCTGGTTTGCAACTCAAACTCGTGCTCGCTGAGGTCGGCTAGCCGCCGTGGGGTATACTCATCGTGTGCATCAGGTCGTGAGACGTGAATATTTTGTTGGTTTGGCAGGAGTCGAGGATCGGTGGCATTCTGATTGGAAATGAGGATCTCGGCAGCTGTTTTTGAGTGGTCTGGGTCAGACTCTCTCAATTCCCCTTCTTCCTCGGACTGACTGTCGATATCAACAACCATAACATCTCCAGACTGTGGACGGAAAGCATTATCAACATTCAGTAACATTCCCCCACCCTCTGAGCTGGACTCATCATCAGAAATCTCAATCGCGTCTTCAGCTGAGGCACCCGGACTAGAGGTAGTACTCGGAGGGGCTGATTGATTCTGTTGTGCAAGGGCAGCTTGCTCGGCAAGGATGACTCGAGTCTTATGGAAGCCTGTTACCAGACGATTGTTGCCAAACCCTGGCGAGGCCATGATTCTCGGTGGAAATTGATAAGCTCGTGGATAATATCAGAGAATTGAGGCGAAAACCTGGTAGAAGAGTATCTCGATACACGTCACGTTACAAAACCGAGACGTGACTGATGTGCAGCTTGAATGAGATCCAGCCTCAGGAAGTGCTTTCCCCTCTTCAATCGTGGGGTGGAATCTCCTAGAAGTGGATCGTCTCGCTACCCGCAGATATGAGGTGATTCAAAACATCAGGAAGAAAACTCGAAGGAGTAGTGAAAAGTAAACATGTAAGGATGCTGTGGTCAAAGAACTTGGTGGTCATCCTTTCAACAGATCCTGGGCTTTGGATGATTGAAAAAAAGGAAGTGACCCAACTGGAAAATGTACCGAACAACGCGTTTCTTTCTGGATTGAACGTGTGAAGAAGAGGCTAACTCGAGGAAGGAGCCTTTTGATAGCCAAGATTTCCTCACATGGAGCTTGATTGAATCTGAAGTGAGATAGTAGACGCTAGATTACGCTAGTGGCTCTAATAATGGGTATTAGATCGAGACTAGTGGAGTTAGCCCATCTAATGTCTCTCCCACCAGTCTAAGTGCTACGTATGCTGCATCCGCCGCCGTCCAGGGCTGCAGCAACCTGCAACCTCCTCCGTAGTCCATTCAGGCCGCGAGCACATCCACCTGTTCCTGTTCATTCACTATTTCTCTACTCAGTCACTGCATTCTTTTCTTCCCACTTTCCGATATTCTGTACACTTCTTCATCATAAAGGTTCTGCTACCTCTGATCCATCTTATTGCCATCTACGGATCGTCCCAGCAAACCCAACAGCCCCTCTCCGTTCCCGCTACCGAACGGACAACGCCACACATCCAACGCGACTGCACTACTGACATATTCATCTCACCCTTTATACTTCATGACCTCCCAAACCGCTTTACACCGGACCATCTCCTTCGAAGCCAATGCCCGACTCGCTCCTCCAGTGTCCGCCTACAATTCAGCCATGAGTTCCACAAAAGGTGGTCGAAGAAGAAGATCTAGTAGTATCATCTATCAAGAACCACCGGAGTCTCTGGAACAGATCAGTGATCAGGAAGCCCTTCCCAATCTCAACTCACAATGGGTCAATGCCAAAGGTACGGTTGATTGACAACCTGACAATTTCGAGCCTGGAGGAATGCTAACACCCTAACAGGTGCCTGGACGATACATCCTGTCCTCATCATTGGACTCAAGATCCTCTTTGACATCATACCGGGGGTTACTCAAGAGATATCCTGGACTCTGACTAATATAACATACATGGCTGGCTCATATCTCATGTTTCACTGGGTGCGAGGAGTACCGTTTGAGTTCAATGCGGGAGCCTACGACAATTTGAACATGTGGGAGCAAATTGACAACGGCGACCAGTATACCCCAGCCAAAAAGTTCCTCCTCACCGTCCCCATTGTTCTATTTCTCTTGAGCACTCACTACACTCATTACGACCTGACGTATTTTATTGTCAACTTCATGGCCTTGATGGCCGTTGTGATACCCAAACTACCTCAATTCCATCGCATGAGGATCGGACTCTTCTCGGATCCCCCGGACGACTAAACTTGGAGAATTGTTGGAGCAGGATTGGCTCGAGAGGATGGTTTTATTCTGGCCATGTGTTTCTTTCGCTTTCTGGGAACAACTATCTGTAGTACTATGATACACAATACGAGGCTGTGGCTCAAAAATTGGGACAGAGAAAGGGAATCACTTCATTATGGAAAGGGAGACAAAGTGAGCATATGATGGGCAACTGGAGTTTACATCCTCGATTATCTGGATGAGATGCAGGACCAATTGAACCTCACTCTTGCTCCTAACTATTTTGGCTCCTTCGGAGATGCTTGTGCTCATGCAGTGGACTTGATGTGAATCCGGTATACAACCTTCTGTGATCTACTGACGTGTCCGGTTCAAATCCGTTATCGAACATCCATGAAAACACCATGTCCCTGCACCATAGCTAGGCCAAAACCATGCACCAAGTTGCGACATGTGGAGCACGTGTGTCCTGATTAACTCCCTTCGGATACCCGTACGGTACACTGAATCTAATCATAGCAGAGCCGGTCTTGCCGCTCCCACCCACTTGGGACACGGCTGCCGGACGAATTTTTATGCCTCTCAGGTACTCAGTAATACTTCAGGACCCATCGCTGACTGTATTGGATTTCGTGATCTCTGCATTCGTTTTTGACATCATCGGCACAATGCTCAGACTCGAAGGCCGTTGCCTGACTGGATTTCCACCAGGCAGACGAGTTTCTCTTGGTTGCTGATTATGTAAATTATGCTTGATGGGATCGTGTCAGCCTGGTGAGTGAGATTTCATGCAAGATTGACTTGGACCACTACTGACTTCAATGGCGTCAACTAGTCTCACTAGACTTTTTTCTGGATTTTGGATAGCACTGCATGATCAAAGGTTCATTGTGGGTTTTCCACAGCCAGGTATTCGTGTCAACGTTCCGGTTTCATATCCTGTGACTTGGCGCCCGCACCTCCAGGCCATCGACATCCAAGTTCCGTTTGTCTCGTAACTCATTCATCATGCATTATATACATCGTACAATCTCCCCTCCATGTTCACGCTCTCCATCGGTTTCGCTTTGATAGCAGAGGCTTAGCACTCCACTGCTGTGAACAATTGCGCTCATGACAAGAATTCCGTCAGCGTTGTTGCAGACAGGTATGCCTTGGAGGTTCGGCGAACAATTCGAACTCAAAGATCGATATACTCGTCTTCCGATACACTTCCGTCTTGGGCATTGTCGTCAGAATCAGTCTCCTGAAAATTGTCGTCGTTTTCATCGTCTGACACAGCAGTATTATCGTGGTCGAGATGCTTTCCCACAAAACAACCACCGTTGTCATCATCCACTTCCATTTCCATGTCGATATCTTCCTGGCTGTGGCTGACTTGTTCGTTCGCGCGATGGGTACTGCTGACACGGTTTTCTTCCATGACGTGTAGATTTCTAGCATACTCGAAGGACATCCGACCCCCTGTTCTCCATAACGCCTTGATTCCGCGGTTCATGCAGATAATGTCTCGTTGTTCCACACCACAAGGTAGGTCTTGGCTGTTTTTATCCGACAGCAGGCAGTCGGGTCCATCAATCAATACTCGACGAGCAGGGTTGGTCTTGAACGTCATCTTCTGGAGCAAGGCCCCGAGTTCCACTTGGTCCGACCAGTCCTGAGGGCGCCGTAGGATGGACGTGCACAGAGCGTGCATGGCTGCATTCTGGAGGGGTTGGATGCTAAGCATGTGCGCCAAGTGGGTGTATTGGACCAAAGTCGACTTTTGTTTCTTGGTGAGTGGGGTGTCGTTATCGGGGAGAGGGATTGCAAGAGGGCCACCCTGGAGAAACTTGAGCGCTCTCTTCAGAACTTTTATGCCAATGTGCTTCAGGCGGACGGTCCCGAGTAAGCCCTGCGAAGATGGTTGATCAAGAAGTTGCCGAAACACAAAGTGCAGATTGAGGCAGAAGTTGAGGAGAAGATCAAGCGAAACTTCGATAGTGTTGGTTTGACCATTGGCGTGGTTGCATTTGAGAAGGATGCGGCGACTGTTGTTGATTTCATTATGTAGTCTGTGTTCAAGAAGTCTGAGATTAGCTGAGCACATGGGATGTGGAAGGAATTCCGACCTGCGGGTTGAGTGCAATTACTCACTTTGGGATCTTACAACCATGCTTGTATTCAACCATCAACGTGCTCTCATACATCTCTACGACCTGGGTGGATTGAGAAGTCCAGATACGTGCCGTCTCTTGCAAACTGCGGGCATTGTCAACTGACATGGATAGCTTTTCGGTGAATGACGCGTTTGCACCTAATGTGCCTGGCTTGGGGGTGTCGCTCCGACTTGATGCTCTAGAAGTGACGCTTTCAGGGTGCAAATTGCCTGTACTTGCAATTGAGATAGGTGTGTCGGGTCTGAGACGCGCCGACTGCTCCATCTCTCGTTGGCGGCGACGCGCAGCACTCTTGACCGGATTCTTGAAAATCCATTGCCCACGCTCTTGTAATCGTACATCGATGAGCGCCATGTTGATCTGTTGTGTCATAGCTTCGTCCATGCCAGCTTCGAGCTGTGGAAATGCGCCGGTGGGATTCTGTTCTCTGATAAGATCGAGGAGTTGATGCACGAGACAGTTCGGACAGATCCATAGATCGAAGTCTTCCGCGAGTTGAAGGTCTTTGTAGGGTAGACATGCCTTATGATACCATCGAACGCGACAGTTTGGAACATCACAACGGATGCCTTCACTCCCAAGAGATCCCTGCTTGCAATGGCACCATGGCTCATCATCGTCTTCCTCCTCTTCTTCATCAAAATTTGGGTGATGCTTCAAGGATCGACCCAACCGAGTGATTAGGTTCTCATAAAAGCGAGAGTTGGTGGCGTCGGCATCGGATGATGCTGAAGTCTCTTGGGAAAGATTCATGCTGGGGAGAGGAGCCGATGGGCGTCCGTGAAGGAGGAAGACGAGGAAGCTTGCTTGACGTTATGAAAGAAAGCCGATGCTATGTCTGTGTCTTGCCAATTTTTGCTAGCAATGACGTTGATTCACGATTGATATGGTTGCAAAAGATTCAAGAGAGAACCACATAAGAATGAGCATGGTCAAGAAGAGCGCGTGCAAGGTGAACGCACTGAGATGATCATTTCGCTGCCTCATTTCCTCGCTGGTGTGCGGCAGGCGGGTGTCATGTGAATGAAGTAGTGTTAATCGCGTGACTAGCGCTAGCTAAGGCCACGGAATACATGCTCCGGCTATCTCTTCAAAAGCTGCATAGAAAGGTTGACTGTCTGGGGGAACATTGCATCACCTGCGAAATGTAAGGCTCAGTCTGATTTCCTCGCAGGCGCTGATCCGTTCAATTCTACCGGAATACCATTTGATCTTGGTGTAAGACTCTTCAACGTCAAGTTGTTGAGCTCATCGATCCGGGCACTAGATATTTTCCCGCCGTGAAAAGTCTGTTAGGGGGATCCCAATTATGCTCTGTAGTATCTCTTGGGCGGCTTAGAGACATGTTTCTTTAGACGTTACGTGATGCTGAAACTGTTCATGCCATTTTCTATCCATCCACAAAGAAGGGATCAAGCGAAGTGGCCTTCCCATTGCTCTGTCACCAGCATCGTCTTTGTTGTTGACATAATGAACACGACCATATGCAGCAGGACTAACGCCTTTTGTCAAATGCTCGATTGCGAGCGGGACTGCCACAATGAATAGGACGAAACATCTGGCAGCATTGCTGGCTTTGTCAGGTGGATGGTACTGCAGCTTAGGTTCAGCGCTGTAGTTTGGATGCAGTTATAGAGATGATCATCTCTCAGCAGAAGTTCTATGCACATCAGATGAAATTCTCCTTTCAGCCCCTAATTCTTGCAGCTGGGTGGCCCGGCAAGTGTTCGGCACATTGCTTAGTGCCTTGGCTGGCAACCTTACCTTGACTCATCTCACTTCTTGAATTTACGTCTTCTTCCTCTGCTTCGTTCCTACTGTAGCTCAGCGTTGGCGATCGACCCTGTTCATAAGCATATGTTGCTATTAGGATAGACTTTTACGATGGACAATGCACCATCGTCAATCAGCACCAGCGCTAGAGAGCGAACCGGCAGGCCCCTTGGGGAGCTGAAGAGCGGAAATTCGCGACACGCGCTGCACGCTCTCTGCAATCGCATTGGTACCTGTATATGCAATACTCCAACCATGTCAGAGGACTCGAGGTAGGTCGAAGATGTATGTCTGCTATGACAGCAAAGGCAGGGGCATCACTCGGTTGCTTGTGTGGCAGGAAATTCACTGCCACCTCGCAAGGTCACATGACTCAGCGCGGTGAACTGGACCAAGGGTTTATATCTTTTGATTTCCAAATTCTGCCGTCCGAAAGGGTGAGTCCTCATGGTCTAACTGGAAAACTCATTCCTTGCTAACTTCTGTCCTAGACATTGCAGCCCTGGTCAGCGGGTAGCACGGCCGAAGGCTCCGAAGCCAATCGTTGCTGTACAATCACCACCGAGTACAAGCACCGGTCCTCGACGAAGGAAATCCATAATTGGGACACCGGGTCTTCGTGATTTCAGCTAATGACACCCCTAGCTAAAGGCTGGGGCTGTCGGCAGCCCTTTTGCCATTTTGCTCAACAGATGGGGGTTCGAGTCTGCGTTGTTGCAATTCTTTTTTTGCACTTTGAGCTCAATTTCCCAGGGATTTTTGTGGGTTGTTCTGATTATGGCCCACGAATCTTCACAATCAGATCTGACGTGAATGTCCTGGCTCACCCCTAGACGATTCCCCGGAATGTTCCTATCAGTAAGTCCTCGCGCTCACCTCCTCCTACGTCCAAGGTGTCTTCATGCTATCTGTATCTGGACTGTGTGATTATCTATGGACTCCATCAGCCACCATCAAGAGAACTGGCAAAACCTCTCTGAATAGTATGTGGTTCAAAGGCCCGGTGTCAAAAGGTGCCCAGTTGTTCCTAGTAGTGAAGGTTGGGAAGGTGCATGTTGTGATGGCAGTCGAGTGAATCAGATATATTGCAATTCACTGTTCTCCCACCTGCGCAATTGACCTTGCAACACAATCATGATCCAGATTTCTCGAGATTTCCTGCAACCCATTTCTCTGTCCTTCTCTTTCTGTAATTTCTCTGTACTTTCCGTCTCCATAAGCTACCCGTACCCGTTCATCCTTCCCTGCGATCCCCCCCTTTTTATCAACCACGAGAAGCCATGCCTCGACACCCAGCTAAAGCAGAGAGCGTCAGCATCTCCGATTTCCCTGTTCAGCCTCGCCGGGGTAGACGCGCCAGGAGGGAGCCTGAGCGTTTGATTGACCGCGCAGCAACCCCCTCTCCTACCAGACGCGTCCGCTCCTCGAAACGGACATCGTTTGTCCCAAATCCTTGGTGGATCAAAGTCTACGAACACCTGGATGAGATCCTCAAACACGCCCCTCCAACCAGTGAATACAAGGCAGATGATGATATCGCCAGCGAATACCATGTTTCGATTGAAGACAACACAGATGACAACGAAGATGCATCAAATCAACATGTTGAGTCCAACGAGCCTTCTGAATCAACGGAGCTTTTAAAAGACGACCAGACTTCTTCCGAACTTGAATTCTCGGACGGGGAGACTCCATACGACTTCAACGCTTCACACCAAGATCCTGTGGGCAAGGCGCCATCCTCTGCATGGGATTCATCTTCTGAGGACGAAGCCTCATCGGCACCCAAGGCTCCCGGCGAGGAGGGGTGGTGTATATGCAAGAAATATATAGAAGGGACCGACTTCTTCGGGTGCGACACACCGGGATGTGAGATTGTTTGGTGGCATCAGCAATGTGTCGCTAACGAGGAGTATGACGAATCATACGTCCTGCAAGCAGAGATCGAAGACGGTAGGGCTTTCTGTAGAACACCCAGGAGAAATATGCTAACGAATTTTGACCAGCCCGCTGGATTTGCCCAGCCTGCTTTCCCCGTCTACTGAGACAGACGGTCCTCCATACCAAAGGAGGCGACAGAAGAACACAGGTAAGCCCTCGGAAATCTTAAAAGCTTGACCACCGTCTAAGCGCTTCGCAGGAGGAGAAAGTTGCAGAGATCGATGCCAAACTCCGTGAGAAGGGCCTCTGGTTCTTGGATGATGAAGTCGTCCCGGGTATCAACGATCGTGAGGATTTGAATGGTGCTGCCAAAAGTCTGGTTGTAATTCCAGCGGGACAAGGTCCGTCAGAGCCGACCGAGCACTCAAGCTCGCCTACGGCATCTGCTGCGGTTGAACATCCACTCTCATATGTTCAGCCTCGGCATCACTCTCAGACACGCGAAGTCTTCCTATCCGTGTACAAACTCCGGAGTCTGGAGGAATCTGCACAGTTGTGGACATCGCCGCGAACTGTTGTCACGGAAGGCGTAGAAGGTAAAGAAGACCATCTCACAATCGCGTACGAGCACGAGCTTGTCCTGCCAAGGTGCGTGACTTCCCTTCACTTTCATTGCCCTTTGTCGATTAACAATCCATAGCATGTCAGAAGCAGCAAAAGACCACGTACGATTCTTCTGCACCGAAGCAAGCAGAGGTATTCCCTCAGTCGACATTCCTCTTGCATTGCTCCGTGCTGTTGGAGCAGATACCAGTGGCTTCTTCCCACCGCCTAAGCCAATCCCCAATGTTTCCTCCATCTTCATGCTTTATGGAGTTGACGCCCTCGTCCTCAAACGAGTTGCTGACTTTCTCCGTGGACGCACCTTGTATGTCAGTCTGGGAAGCATCGACGAGCCACTCACGCCTAAGCAGAAGCGTCGGCTGGTTCAGTATGTGCACATTGCGCACGTACTCCGCATCGAGTGCCTCATTAAGCTTACAATGCACGCTCTTTGCGCCTCCATTATTCGGCGGTCCGAAGACTGGTCAGAAACTTTCACCACCAAAGAGCTCCTTGACGAGATCACGGTCGAAAACAGTCCAGCTCGTCGAGTCTTGCTTGAAGGTCCCGGTTGCATGTTACCTGCGATTTCTGGCAGAGAGACCCTCCCGTGCAATCCAGAGCACATACAGGAGATCTCTTCCCTTGCAACAAAGGACAGTGCTTAAATTATCGTGGCAGGCGAAAGACTAGGCGCGCGCGAATGGCATTGGAAACTGGCGAGCATTGACTGTTGGAAAACAAAATGACCTCAGTGCCTGAGAGAGCCATTGGACATGAGGAACGAATAAACAAGACTCTCTCCGAAGCATCCAATCAGATCACAGCTTTAGTAACAAGCGACCTTTTGTGCTGAGAAAACGTTGGACACAGAGGGCCACGATATGAATCATAAGACCATCATTGGTCGCATGACACGTGTTTTGATTAGAGCTATTTGGAAAACTCAAATGATTGAGGGAACATCAGTCCACTAACACCAAGGGTATCTGATGTGGACTGAGAAGACGTTGTCCAGACAGAACAGCGATCTCGAAATGAATGTACGAGTAACGACTTCCACGATGACGAGAGCAAGAATTTAAAGGCTTTCTCGAGCCTTAAATTAATGATAGACACTTGATAGCTGACAGAAACAACAAATGCACTTGGTTGATTTATTGGCTCATAGCAGAATACTTTGAAGGTTTCAGATCTGACCAGTTCAGGGATCTCAGAAGTCTAAAGTATTTCACTTCACTCATGAGTTGACCGAAAAACAACATTGCAGTGTGAAAAGGTCATTAATATCATCAATTCTAACAATACATATATGGGATGAAACCCTCCGATCTAACCAGCTCCAGCCTCAAATCATATCCACCGCGGGGGCGGCGCAGACACGACGGTTTTATGCTTGGGCAAAAGCGACGGCAACGGCAACGGTGGCGGTAACGGCGAGCGAACTGCCGCCGCCGAGGGAATGAAACCGAAATCAAACGACTTGGGGCTGGCAATCGACCTCGTGCGCTCGAGGTCCTCGAGAGCCCGATCGCGCTCGCGCATCACGGTCTCAATCTGCCTGTTCTCGTCCCGATTGTTCTTGTTCTCCTCTGCCTTGCGCTTGAGCGTCATCTTCAACCTCAGCTTCCGCTTGCGCTTGAGGAGATACGACACCAACAGGCCGATGAGTGCCAACCCCGCCATGCTGCCCACGACGCTGCCCGCTATCGTGGCTGCGGGGGCGGTTCTTGATGCGCCGCCCTGGCTAGAGCACTCCGAGGCGCGGGGGATGGCGCTCGATGTTGATGCGGACATCAGGCTGAGGGTTTTGGTCGTGCCGAGAGTGCTGGTCACGCTCACGGTGGTTTCTCGCATGCTGCTGGAACTGCTGATGCTGTCGGTGGTGGGAGTTGGGCCGGTTGTTGGTTCGGATGTCTGGGTGGTGGTGCCGTAGACGGCATTGAGGCCGACATTTGGTCGGCCTGTCGCGGTCGCGATGAGCTCCTCCGTGATGCTGGCCGTGGTGATGTAGCCGAAGTCAACGAGAGTGCTCGTCGCTGCTCCTTGGAGCACTGTCTCGGTCACGGTCACGGTCTGTGCTGCGCCGCATGGGTCGTCGTCTCTGCGCCATAGTTGGAACATGATGGATTCCTCACCGGAATAATGATAATGTTGTTCTTGGGTTCACGGATGAAAAACAAAACGCAGGTCACACAGAAGGACTATAAACTTATCGTCAACGAATATATTGTTCGGTGTGTATGGTGCAAGGCTTCGGCGGTATCTGAGGTTGATCGTTCCTCTCCGGGGAAATCAGAGGCCTGAAGTAGCCGGTCTCTGATTTCTCGAACAATGTACCATAGTCTTTGTGCGTGGGGAAACTTAGAGCAGACCGAGATCAGACACGAACAAACCTGTACAAAGAAACCCACCAAGTCATGTTAAATATAGTACCTCATAGGAAGCATATCATTGTCGCCATTGTTATCACCCATCAACAACAGATGTACGTCGTATCAATGATTGTTCTTAGCGATCAGTAGGAGAAATAGGGTACGTTTCATACCGCCAGCTCACTATTAGAAGCCATCTTGCTGGTTTGATGTCTTACTAATCTGGAGCCGGTAGGGTTGCGCGAAGTTTTCGACAGCACGGCCGAAAGAGTTGCCAAAGCCACGGAGGTCGCAAGCGTCTGCTAAAGGCACGATCTATGCTTCTCTCAACGAATCAAGGCGTACGGTTATGCCAACCACGGCAATATCCTGCTTCACCAGGCATCTCAATCATGAGCCCACGATTCAAGGACACCCCACGACAGGCATACACCATTAATTTGACACACTGTCACAGCCATCGATTGAAGATGGAAAATTCGAGGCAACTCAGACCAACACAGAATTCTTGGATAACACGTACGGTGATGATGTGCGCCGCAAGTGACAAGGTAATAATAGGTCTCTCGTATAAGCACTGATCGAGGCAGCCTCGCTCTTTCATTTTCAGTGGTGGTCAGCGTTCAATTACAACAATGCGGCCATACTTTATGGGATGGAGCCGTTCTGGTTCCTGGAAGTCCTCCGCGAGTCTACTACTTCGTGCACGGTGCGATGCCCATTTCGAGTCCAAATGTGAGTGGGTCTGAATCGGGATAGCCACTCTTTCAAAGTCGAGAATGCCAGAATGCCTGCCAGACCGTCGTCGGATAGGTTGATTCATGGGTTTGGTCGTCAAAGTCTTTCGCAGCGACGAGCCAAGTCAAGCTTCGGACGTTCAACATTGTTCAGGGGTTAAGAGCCTGATCAACCCGACCGGATTTCTCCATAGTGTACGAGTAGGTGAACCAGAACCTAGTTTAAGTTTTGTTCTGCCGATAAGGGATATTCACAGTTCTGTTCCAGGGGGCCGGATGTTGCCGGGAGTGGATGCAGGTACCGAGTGCGCAGGACTACAGCATGGTTTGTGCCTGAGTCTGAGGATGAGCGGCGTGATGAGTCCTTCAAGTTTACTCGTAGTTTGCACTTGGTGGCTGCAGCAGTGCTCGAAGACTTTCGGAAACTACCTACTATGTCCCTGCTCGCGAGCAACAATGAGCGAGTTTTGGACAATAAGTTCGGAAGTTGTGGATCACAACATACTCGTAAGACATTCATGTGTGCACGGAAGGCTGTCAATAGTCTGGGATTGCTAGAGGCAGATGAGCTTACTCGTAGGAGTTATGACTCAAAATTTGTGACATACGAACACATCACGTTTAGTCTCCGTGGGGCATGGAAGAAGCTGTGATAATTAAAGTTTTGATCGGTAGCAGATCAGATTGTGGCAGCCTCAGAATACGAGCTCTTGGAGGAGAAGGATCTGATTTGGTTTTCTTGAGGCCGCCTCTGGAGTAGTTACGAGTAGTGCACAATTAAACGAGTGGCTCTGGGCAATTATTGCCTCGAGGAGAAAGGCGTGGGGACTGTCTTGTTGTGGGAACGAGATCTGCGCTAACTGGTGAGATAAAGAACGAGATTGATTGTGTACTGTAAGTCCAGGGTAGGTGAAAGGTTGGTTCTTTGTTGACCTGAGCCACATGCCAGCAGGCAAGGGTTGGAACTTGGACTCTGTTCTGATCTGGGTAAACCCCTGAACCTCTAAATTCTTACCATGATCAAAGGCGCCACCAATCTGAAGAACATCAATCCGTTATATTATTGGAGATGGCGAGCGTTACCTGAGGGCATGAGAAGCTAGGGGACTAAGGGCTCATGACTCAAGGCTCAGAGCTCAGGACTTCTCCGAATCTGCCCCGGGTTTGATTGTCAGGGAAATGAGAACCAGAGACCGTTGCGAAAACCATCAAACATTTTTTATCACACGTGTATCGGATAAGGTAAGAACGGGTGTTCCTGACTAAATCCGTAGTATCTAACCATGGGCAGGTTAGTGAACGTTGTGAGGGTGCACCGAGATCGATGACCACTAGCTGGTCCTCAGTTCTGAAAGTTCAGCGGTGTGATCGGAAGTACGAAGTAGCAATGGATCTGGTGGATACCATATCACGTAAATAATGGTAGGGATACAGCCACCAAACAATTCCTAGTCCATGGATTGAGTCGTTGCCACAGAACGACGCCGGACAGGCTTTCCTCCAGGGGCTTCAACCTTCGGTAAATTGTCATCTCTTGGACCAAAGCGCCTCTGGCGCAAGGGGGGTTGAAAACTGCAGAGCTCGGATGGTTTGGAGAGCCCTGGCGGTCGCGGTGGCGAGACGAAGAGCACTCACTGCCAAATTATGGAGGCAAGAAATGTTCTATCAAATCAACCCCCCCAAAATATTTTCATCGTAAAGATGAACTTCGGAAAGATCAGAGGGGCGATATGCTTTGTACCTGCACGTCAAAAAGTCGGGGAAGTATAGAGGGACAACACCAGCCATTTCTGACAGGTATCACAAGGCAAGTTCTGGCCAACAAAACGAGAATAACTGTCCCAGCGGGGCCAAAATGGAGTGCGAACGTTTGATAGTCAAAAACGTGACGGGCTGGGTTGTTGGGTCTGTGAGATGGGCTTGTGGATTTAGGGACCCTGTCGAAGATGAAACTTGAAAGTTGAAAGCAGTTGTCATGTGCAAAAGTGAGTTCATCTACATACGAGGTAATGGTGAAGCTGAACGGCTTGTGCTTGTAGACCAAACGGATACCTAGGTAGCCTGTGGTGGCCTGGACGAGGAGGCACGGCACCTGAAAAAGACTTCCCAAGGGCTCTCGGCTTCTAGGTTGAGAAGGGCTAGGGCAAATTAGGGGCCTCCACCTCCATATTTTAGACTGGCGTGGGCGCTGGAGCCATTGGCCAAGGGTTCGGGAATCTCAGAGTTTGCTGGATCGCGCCCCGGTCACTCGCGTATCTCTTCAGTTCCTGGCCAACTAAGGTGGACTAAAGCAAGCCATGACGACACTTTGAATTGTCAAATCCTCATCTGCTACCTACGAAGTAGTAACTAGTACGAGTAGTGGTGAGTCCCTAGGTAACCATGTCCGTCCAGGAAGAGGGGCATTGAACCATTATGTACAAGAAAGATATCATTTCCGCCACTGCTGGCAAAGGGACTGGGGTTGGCGCCATGCCATGCCATGTCAACGACGCCTGCCAACCTCGGTGCTACGAAGTAGGTCAGTCTGCGAGACGAGGAGGAGTTGGTCCGCACTCGGCATCTCTTCTTCTTTTCACCAAGTCCTTGAACTCAAAGTGAGGATAGGAGAAGAACGAGTATGTTGGGCAAGTCTGAGAGTTCGGTCGCACAAATACTAGTACCTTGACCTCACACGGAGAAGTCGTCCAGAGCCTGAGAGTGTGTCTTGCTTGGTGGCCATGGTTCCGGAAATGACGCGGTGGAGCTGAAAATTCGATATTGGCAACAGCTTCATCTGGGACAGGATGGCCGTCCGGATTGCTGAGTGGTTCAAGAGGCTCAGACTTCAAGCCCGGGGCGGGTGGATCACAAGTGCCAGCCTGCGAGGGTTTCTGGTGGCGTCCGGACCACCTCATGCCCACCTCTGATCATCCACTTTGATCAATCTACAATCCCAAGATGTTCACAACTTGGCCGATCCGGACTTTTCAACCTTTAAGGTTGTCTGAAATTCTCCTGGGCCCAACTCGCGCTTGATCCAGTCACATTGGAAAATCAACGTTTGGGCTAGGGTACCCATGGGTTCAACCCCTCCTCACTTTCTTGACCGTGACTCTCTTGACAGGCACAATGCATCCCAAGTCCTATCAAACTCGTATCCACCATTTACTAGGTAGATCGATCTCTTGCCCAATGCCAGCATTGACATGGTTCTATTCCTGAAGCGCCCAGTCTTGTATAACGTGTTCCAAGTACGAGGTAGAACATTCAAAAACTACTCCTTCTCCCTCTCCCGTGTTCGTGGACAAGTGGTCATTGCTGCTTCCAACTCAAATACTTCGCACGTCCCCCCTCTCCACGTGCTATTAAGAAGTTCTGTTCCAGTGCCGAGGACTATTTCTTCACAGCAACCTCACTCTCTCCCGACTCTGACCACTCATCCGCCAACATGGTTCTCTCACTCAGTTACCGCCGTCCCGTCTATGTTTCACCATCGCGCCAATCTCTCGACTCCGAGAAGGGTGGCCAGGCTGAGTCTGTCACCTCCAGCACCAGCTCACCTTACGGTATCCCCGATGCTCTTTCCTTTGACAGAATCATCAGTAATGGCACCTGCCCAGTAAGTCATCCAGCTTCATTGCCCAGAACAGAAATCTGATCGGCAACCATAGCCTGTGACCATTCGCGAGTTCATGGATTTCCTTCGCTACATTGAATACGATGCCGAGAATCTCCAGTTCTATCTCTGGTACCGTGGTTACTGCGAGCGATTCGCTCAACTCCCGGAGAGTGAACAGCAGCTGGCCAAAGAATGGACTCCCGAGCAAGCTCTGGCAGAGAAGACCAGCGCTGAGAAGGAGAAACTTCCCAAGAAGATTGCTCCCGAGGCTGCTGCAGCTCTCAAAGGAACCGATTTTGACCCTCAGGCCAGAGTCGTCATTCCAGAAGCTGTGCACAATCCTTTCAACACACCACCACGAACACCGTCTGCCACTGATCGTGACAGTGTCGCTCCTTCCACCGTTGGCTGGAGTGAGGACGGTTCCACCTTGCCAGCTGGTTCTTTGAACCACGGACAGAAGACTCAGACCGCTTTCAACGAAGCAGGTACTCTTCAACCATGTATGTTTGCAGACAGAACACCATCAGGTCCCCAACTCACTTCTAACTTTTCCTCTAGTCACCATTCAGCCATTCCGTGAGGAGATCTCTCGCATAATTGCGATCTATATTGCTGATGGCGGAGCGCGTCTGCTTAACCTTTCGGCCAAAGAGAAATCTGTGCTCCTCAAGGCACTGTCTGTCACCACTCACCCTTCCGCTTTCCGAGATGTCGTTGCAACCGTTGAATGGACCCTTCGTCATCAAGCACACCCCAACTTCATTCGTTGGACAATTTGCAATGGCAATCCACCAAGACAAGCATTTGCCCGTGGTCTTGGAGTTGGTGGCATAGTGGCCGGCATCGTTTATGCCATCGTCATAACCTTGAGCTCCGCAAACCGTGGCTGGAGGGCCCTTGCTTTCCTCGGCTTCTTCATTGGTATATCCACACTGTTTGCGGCTTGGAAGGGCATGTGTGTTGTAAGTCGAATCTGATTCCGCCCTCACGGCTTTTGCTGACATCACAGGTTTTGCACGGCATGCACCATCGTCATCTGCGGCCTTGGGAACTTTTCCAGGATTCCGAGACAGCGTCTGCCGAATATGCTTCAGGAAAAGGATCATTCGATAGCGTGGGATCGGGCAACAGTTATGAAGATGAACCTTGGGTCGCACAATACGAAAAACGCAATGTCATTCGCAAGATCTTCGATCGTGAAGTCTGGATCAAGGAGCCCGCTCTTCGCCAAATCCAGGACACCATTTTCGTACAAGCTCTTATCACCGCCTTCGTCATCGGAGCCATTATAACTGCGGTCTTCTTAGCTGTGAGTCTTACCTCCCTTTATCCCATCTCTTCCTCATACTGACCAATCTAACTAGGTCCCTCGCGGTAACTACTTCTGAGCGAGCTCCATAACCTCCGCCAGTCAGTATGATACATATTCTATGATCGCTCTCTTAAGATACCCTTTGTGCAATAATGCGTGGGACATTTATGCGCTTAATTGTGCAGTTTGACTTGCCCTGGCGCCACGGATGAGGACACGCTTACTACTTAAGTAATAGCAAATGTAATGAATGGAAAAATAAAAATGTAAAAAGTGTACGTCGCTCTCGATCTCGCGTTGATCGGGTACAATTCTTAAGACTTGTTCGTTTTCAGTCATCGAGGGTGACCAGATCTAGGCTAGATTCATATCGCATTTTGCGACTAGGGCACCGCTCAGTCAAGAGCGGACACTTTAGGTGCTAAATCACGTGATAAACGCGTCAACCCTACATCACGTCAAGTCACGCGTTTGCCTATGGCTTTGCAGGCCTACCACATTTGAAGCAACCACATTGCACAGTCTCTGTATTACACCGCATCAACGAGCCAGCCACCAGGGCAACCTCTGAGATCTCCAATGGCTTCAACGACCGGTCGTCGGTCGAGAGCCGTGGATTCTGACGATGATGATGAATCCAGACCGAATACCCCCTCGTCCACGGCTCCCAATGATAGCAAGCGGATACGTCGTCCTATTGTCCTCAATCCTGATGAAGACTCGAATGGCTCATATGCTGGTTCAACCTCCGTGGGTCCCTCGCAGGCTCGTCTATCGACCTCGATGGTGCAGAGCAGCGTAAGAGCTGGAGCGAAATACCAGCCGGGCGCAATTGTGCGAGTGAAACTGACAAACTTCGTTACTTATACCTCCGCCGAATTCTTCCCTGGTCCGAATCTGAACATGGTAATTGGCCCTAATGGAACAGGTAAGAGTACGCTGGTCTGCGCAATATGCCTTGGCCTGGGATGGCCACCTTCGGTATGTCTATCCTGAACTTGTCTCTGTCTTAACTTTATCTAACAACGGACAGTATCTTGGAAGAGCCAAAGATCCCAGCGAATTCGTCAAACATGGCTGCCGCGAAGCCACAATCGAGATTGAACTATACGGCCCTCCTAAGCAACGGAGAAATCCCATCGTGGTCAGGACTATAAAAAGAGATGGCAATAAATCTGTGTTTCTACTGAACGACAAACCATCCAATGCGAAGTCAGTCCAAGCCATGGCAAACTCCTTCAGCATACAAATCGACAATTTGTGTCAATTTCTTCCACAGGACAAGGTTGTGGAATTCGCTCAGATGAGTCCAATCGAACTTCTGGCCAGCACTCAACGTGCGGTCGCCGGTCCTGAAATGACGAGAATGCACGAGGATTTGAAGAAGCTGCGGGCCTCACAAATCCAATTTATGAATGAGAACAAAGGCGATCGAGATCAACTTACCAATCTGCAGAACCGTCAGGAAATGCAACGGACAGAGGTCGAACGGATGAGGGAGCGAGCGTTGGTCCAGAAAACACTGGCGTGGCTCGAACTGTGTCGTCCGGTCGCTAAATATGCCGATGCAAAGTCTAGAGCGCGAGAGGCGAAAGCATTGATTGCACCCCTTGATCGAGAATTGGCTCTGCTGAAGAACGCTTCCGCTCCAACTTTAAAGAAGCTAGAAGCGAAGCAACGATACGAGGCACAAGCGAAGCAAGTCAAAACTCTTCGCGCCAAGGCTGTTGCGGACAGTGAACGCAGATGCGATGACCTCACGAAAGCGGTTGAGGCCAAGCAAGACAAAATAAAGGAGTGTGACGATAAGGTTGAGGCTGAAAAGAATAGTGTCGCTGATATCAAAAAAGATATCAAGACTAACGAGTTGAAATTGTCTCAACTCAAGACAAGGAAGAACCAGTCTCCTGAAGATTTTGATGTTCGGGGCATTTCAGAAGCCATTCAAACCGCTCGAGCTAAACGCACAGATCTTGATGACCAAAAGCAAGATTTGACAACTCGTGCAGAGGGGATTGTGGCGCAGGGCAAAGAGAGAAAACTCAAATTGCAAAGCCTTGTGAAGAATGTCGAAAGCCTTGAAACGCAGTCAGGCCAACAAGAAAACAAGTTGAATGCGCTTTCGCGTGACACATTTCAAGCTTGGAAGTGGATCCAAGAAAACCGAGATGATTTCACAGCTACGGTATACGGACCACCAATACTGGAATGTTCACTGAAGGATCCCAGAATGGCAGATGCTGTTGAATCACTGTTGCAGGAGAATGATATCAAAATCATCACAGCCCAAAATCGGGAAGATTTTCTGAAACTACAACAAAAACTGCTGAACGAGAAGAGGCTTCATGATGTCAGTCTGCGCACATGCTCTGCGACTGACCTCTCCCAATATCAAGCCCCACTTTCCGCTACAGATATGGCCAATCTTGGTCTAGATAGCTGGGCAATCGATCATCTCACTGGTCCCCCTACCGTGCTTGCGATGTTGTGCAGTGAAAAGAACCTGCATCGCTCTGCCATTGCTTCTCGAGAACTCACTCAACAACAGCATGACGATGTTGCAAATACGACGGTTATGAGTTATGTTGCCAGCCGCAAAGTCTATCAGTTCATACGAAGAGCAGAGTATGGATCAGCAGGTAGCATGGCTCGAGTTCGAGACGTACGACCAGCTCAACGATGGACTGATCAACCTGTCGATCAGGGAAGAAAAGCAGCACTCCAGCGCGAGATTGCCGAAAAAAAGGGCGAGCTGAATATCATCAAATCCGAATTGGACGGCCTCAAAGAGCAAACTCGAGAGACTCAAGCAGAACGAGAAAAGATTGAGACAGAGATTAATGAGCTCGTCAGTCAGAGAGATGCAAAGCAGAACGCTCGGAAGGTATGGCTTGGCCTGGATGAGAAGATTCAAAGCACCCAGGCGAAGCTTGCGGATTTACAAGAACAGTTCGAAGGATTTCGTGGACGAGTCATGGCTATTCGAGCTGAGAAAGACCAGCTCATGCTGGAGAAGGCTGAAATTATTGTAGAATTTGCAGCCGCCACCAAATCTCTCAAGGAAACGATGGCAAGTTTACTTTTGGCCGAAGTGCTCTGCATAGAAGCCTCATCTGATGTCACCGGTTTGAGATCACAAAATGAGCATATTGTGCGCACCATCCAGGAGAAGGAGGTGGAACTTGCCGAAGCAAGACGTGTTTCTGCCCAGGAGAGGAAAATTGCGGAACAGATCCTCGCAGAAGTTTATCGAGTGAAGGCTGAAGCCGAGAGATTGGAGGAGGAAGAGGCAGAACCTGGACTGGTCAAGATAATGGAGCAAGTGGGCGGTGTTCTAAAGACTGAAGAGAATTTAGAAGCGGAGATTGATTCGCAGAATGCCCAACTAGCACTTACGGAAGGTGGAAGCGCAGGCATCATCAAAGAATTCGAGAACCGTGCCAAGCATATCGAAAATCTCACTGTCAAGTTGCAGGAATCAGAGAAACAGCACGAAGATCTCACGAATGGTATCAAAGAGATTCGAGACCGATGGGAGCCGACCTTGGAGGGATACGTGGACAAAATCAGTGCCGCATTCTCTGACTCCTTCGACCGTATCGGGTGCGCTGGTCAGGTGGCAGTCTTCAAAGCCTCTTCTGATGACCCAGCCGATTGTACGGAAGAAAATGGCGGCATGGACAATGGTCTAGACTTTACCAACTGGGCCATCCACATCAGCGTTAAGTTCCGTGAGCAAGAACCTCTGAGTCTACTAGACAGTCATCGTCAATCCGGTGGGGAGAGAGCGGTCAGCACCATTTTCTATCTGATGGCATTGCAAAGCTTAAGCAGGGCGCCATTCCGAGTTGTGGACGAAATCAATCAAGGTATGGATCCCCGTAACGAGCGAATGGTGCACGGAAGAATGGTCGATATAGCAGCGGACGATGGTGGCAGCCAGTACTTCCTCATCACGCCAAAGCTCCTCAATGGCTTGAAATATCGCAGAGGCATGACCGTCCTCTGTATCGTCAGTGGTGAGAATATGCCAGCTGCACGTCAGCAAGACGACAATGGGCATTGGGTTAGTGGGCCCAAGATTGATTTCCGAGCGTTTGCGAAGAGGGCGCGAGAGTTGGGCTTGGGAAATCATGTCGAACACGGCAGACTCATTGCCGGCACAGCGACGAGTCTTCGGTCAGAGATTGACGCTTTTTGATTATCAGCTTTGCCCAAAGCTACGATGTACAAATGCTGTTATGGAAATATGTCTATGAATAAACGAGTTGTATGTTCGATACCAGTTTAGACAGCACGCTGATCGTTCCTCAAAGAGGTAGAAAGGGCCTTGAAGCCGAGGCAATAAAGCAACCACTGCACGTTCAACCACCTTCAAGTTCTCCACATTCTCCAATTGCAACATCATCATTGCCCATGGGTCCTTTTCAACGGCCGATCTAACCGATCAGCCTACATATGACCGTGTACTTTGATTATCATTCTCGACCATTATTGCTGTCTCGGCTCTAAACTTAGGATACACAGGACGATGATACAGAAATTCAACACACAACAATAACGGGGTACAAAATGGTGCTTTTCAAATCGCCCCATGCGGATATCGACAGTGAGCTTGCTTAATCCATCCCCTTCCCCTCACCCACTGAGCCTCGCTCGCTCCATTCGCGGCGTCTGGTACCTCCTTACGTCTAGCTCACGTCGCGACATTGCCAAAAACTAACCATCTGAACCTCTCCCAGTCCCGTCGGACATCACAACGTGGCAATGGGCATTCGAGCCGGGCGCCCACTCACCGCTGTACAACCAATCAACGTTGCCGTCGCCGTCGACGCCGCAGCTGGCCGGGTATGTCAACGCTGTGACGAAGGAACGTCTCAACTGGGACGCGGTCAAGACCAAAGCCACGCAGTTGAGCACGGCGCTGATCCGGAACTATGGCCTCACTCCGGGCGACACCGTGTCGCTGTTCAGCACGAATACCATCTGGTATCCCGTCGCCATGTGGGCGGTCATTAGAGCCGGTATGTTGGGTTTCTCTTCAAGTTCTGGGCAGATCATCTGATATTGTCTTCCTTGGGTGGACATTTGTTTTGGGTCTAATCCAGAAGTAAAATCAACATTCATGAGTATCTGACGAGATTCTACAGGCGGCCGCGTGAACGGCGCTTCACCGGCCTACACGGCCGAAGAGATGACACACGCACTGAAGACGGCGGCGTCCAAGATCCTGATCACACTGCCGTCGTCACTGGACGTCGCGTTGAAGGCCGCTCAAGACGCGGGCATCCCCCAGAGCCACGTGCTTCTCCTCGAGGGCCACGCCGACGGCTTCACTAATATCCAGTCGCTCATGGAGTATGGGGCGCGGTTCGAGCCCGAGGAGTTCTATCGCATCCCGCGTGGTAAGACGAATGCCCAGGTGTGTGGGTACTTGAACTTCAGTAGTGGGACGACTGGGTTGCCGAAAGCGGTGTGTCTTGATTTCTGTATGCTAGGAGTTCGTCTTTTGCTAATGATCCCACCGCTAGGTCATGCTGTCGCATCAGAACATCATCGCGCAGTGTCATCAGCTGAGGCAGTTACAAGCTGGAGGGTCGTATAAGATCCTTGCGGTCATGCCGCTGTTTCACAGTACGTTGTGTCACATTCTCAAAGGTTGAAGCCTTGATTTTTGGCAGAAGACTGACACTTTGATGACCAGTCACTGGGCTCGTCCGATTCTGCACATATCCTGTCTTCATGAATGGAGACTCGGTAATGCTTCCTTCGTTCTCGATGAAAGCAATGCTTGACGCGATTGTGGAATTCCAAATCAAAGAGCTCATTCTTGTTCCTCCCATCATCATCCGTCTGGTGCGGGACAAGATCGTGGACGAGTACGATCTACGGCACGTTGAGCGATGGTCGTCCGGCTCCGCGCCGATATCGCCTGAGATCATCGAACTGCTGAGAAGGAAATTCCCCTGGACCGGCTTTCGACAAGGGTACGGCGCCACGGAATCGACCGCGTGCATTTCTTGCCATCCTCCAAGCCATTACGACTATAAATATGCAACGACCGGCGGGATGTTGGTCGCAAATACGGTGGCGAAAGTAATGGATCTGACGACCGGGAAGGAGTTGGGACCAGGAGAGACCGGAGAGATTCTCGCGCGTGGTCCGCAGATCGCCATGGGATATCTGGGGAACCCAACCGCGTCGGCCGAGACGTTCGACCAAGATGGGTTCTTCCACACAGGCGACGTGGGAAATATCGACCGCGAAGGCCTGATTCACATCGAAGATCGCATCAAGGAAATGATCAAGGTCAAGGGCTTGCAGGTGCCCCCTGCCGAGTTGGAGGACTTACTGCTCGGTCATCCACAGGTCGAAGACTGTGCAGTCCTCGGGATTCCAGATGATTACTCCGGTGAGCGGCCCAAGGCGTACGTGGTGTTGAAGAAGGGCGTTGAGCCTACCGCCGAGATGGGAGTTCAATTGTTGAAGTTCGTGAAGGAGCGCAAGGTTCGGTACAAGTGGATCACCGAACTAGAATTTGCGGATGAGGTCCCCAAGAGTCCGACGGGGAAGTTGCTGAGAAGGGTGTTGAAGGTCAGAAATAAAGAGGAGGGCAGGAAGGGGGTATGGGTCAGGGACGAGACAGAACGCGCGAGACTATAAAGAAAGAATCGGCATGGTGGAAAGTGCTTAGACAGTAAGTGAGGTTCTCCAAAGGCTTAAATACTATACGTGATAAAGATGCTAGATACTTAGGTAGCTTGAAGGCTCCGAGGCCGAGACAATCATATTCAGTGTTTACAATAATCACTACTTACAGACAGCAAACAAAGTCTTATGATCGATGCCCACAAGGCTGCCAACCTCATTGGTGGCAGCGAGAATGAACTGAATTTCTTTACATATGGTGGTCCTGGGTACTGGGAAGACATACTGCTGAGTCTGTGGCTGAAATGGCCCGGACCCCACTGTATCGGGTCCACCTGCGGCGATATGGGCACCAGCTCCGAAGAAGTCGAGAAGTGTATGGGTTCTGTACCAGACGATGAGATTGCGAGGACCAAGGGATTTCGTGCTTGAAGTGTGAATTCATACCGTGGACATTTGATTCTCGGGTAATTAACATGTGATCGAGACACTTTCTGCTTCGACAAATTCTTCTGTATGCTATGTTGAGGTCACATGAAGTGTATTTCGACACATATCCCGTCTCCTGCAGTGTAGCATGCCGCGGTGAGAGGCAATCACTCATCATAGCTTGAGCATACCATTGATGATTCGTTGCAGTCGAGACTTCTTAAAATGGACCTTTCCTGCTGCTTCATGCCTGATTCCTGGCTGATGCAGCCATGACAGCAGTATGAACCGCTGAGCTCTATCGAGGCGGAGTGTTCCGTACATTCTCACTCGCCAATTCGTAGGCTGTAGGATGGTGTTGTCTCAACCCTGAAGCCCAAGCTTACAGACACGTAGGGCGTGGCTGGCCACGAAAAGTAGGCTTGAGCTGATTCAATCATTTGACTGGTAAGCCAATGGGCTCTGTCCCAGCCACAGCAAGTATTGGAGCCAGCGCCCGCTGATGGTGCCTACCCTTCTCGGCGGTACAAATACGGATTACTGAAGAGGTAAACCACATGAGAGGGCCCGGAGAAGTGGGCCCAGAGACTCCTTTCTCAGGGGGACTCTGTGTCTCACCTGTCATCTATCCTCACGACGAACTTGAGGCAACGTCATACAGCACATCGGTGCGTATAACGTACTTCGCCGAGGGCATTGACTCCAGCTGTACACCTGTGCCCTCATGAAGAAGACTGCCCTCGGTCTCTCCATGAGGGAATAGGAGTACACTGCCCTGAATAGGCTTGACAGGATACGCATTCATGCTCCCCTCCCTCGCACTGGGCAAGAAGAACGTCGTCTGTCCAGCCTCGAATTCGTCATTCAGATAAATGAGGAACGTGAAGAGCGAGGACTGTTTCGCCTCTGGAGGGGATGAGTCATAGATATATTTGTCGGTGGTGGGATCAATTGATGACGGCGGCCAGGCACCATCGATATGAGCGCGGTATTCGGCTCCCGGGACGTATCGGTAGACTCTGAAGCGTCTGTTCAGGCCACGAACAGTCTTTCCGTGAACCTCGGACGGGACGAATCGTTCGACTCGCTTCCACAGCTTGCTGCAGAACGATGGGTCGGCGATCCAGTAGAAATTGTGCGCTAGGATACTGCTCTCCTCGCCTGGTGCTCGGATAGGTGCGTCAGGTGTAAAGCCGATCACTTCTGCCGCGCTGATGATGTGGGTGCATTCTTCGGCGGTGAGAACGTCTTTCAAGAGGTGTAAATTTGGGACGATCGAGTGTCGGTGATGTGTTGTTAGAGGTGGTGTGCTCGAGAGGGATATTGTGTCATTCTCGCAGGTGTATAGGATTGCAGGATGGAGATTGGCTGGCTTTCGCTGAAGACCGGGCGTGGTGTCAATAATGCGGAATTGAGATGTTGTATCTTTGATGGTGGTAGGGAAGATGCTGCGATCAAGAACTCTGACATATGTTGGCTGCCTTATTCTGGTGCCCCTCATATTCCACTCCTTTCTCAGTACTATCGGTCGCTCCACAATGAGGTCTTGCTCGATTGTGTAGTCGACGGGACCCGTGACTCGTAGAACAGCATCGAGGACCTCGAATGAATGATCTCTCTCGATATTTCTCAACACGTCCACAGTCTCATTCATCTGCTCGTTCACTCCACTCACGACATCCAGATCTCGGACCCACCGAGACAAAGCCCCCAGTTTCGGGGTTTGATTTCGAATCCGCATTTCTGCTAGCAGAATTCGAGCTTCAGTGTAATCTTTGTCTGCTAACGCTCCACTGATACGTGATGTCAAGTTCGCGTCGACTTGGGAGTCACGGTCAGTATGGCTTACTGGAAGAGGATGTGGAGAGCACAAGGACCCACCTGTGGCATTTTGTCCAGTCGTACAAGCCTTGCGAAAATTGAACACAGCAGTACGTAAATCCTTGCAGTCTTTCAGCTTGATGATACTAGCATTATCTGCAAGTACATTGAGTGTATCAACACTGATTTCGAGGTCATCTTGTGTCAGTCCCAGGTCATTCAGAGTCTTCGGGGTTGACGAGCCGTCCGGTGGTGGGGTGGTGATAGAGGCGAGTTTGGTTTTCTTGACGCTTCTGTCGTTCTGCGGCACTTGTAATGCTCTTTTAGCCTTGTTCTTCGCCATGTTGATGCATAGACCAGGATTGAAACCTGGCTTGAGAAGCGTACCATAAATGTGCTTCGGTGTTCACGATGTGGAATGAAGTTGGTTTTTGATCTGGTGGCGAACGGTGACGGCCTTGGCGCCAAGCATTAGATCTACAGGGTCGCCTCGTCGCTTACTACACCAGCACTAGGGTAGTCGCGCGATCCGAACTACGAGTAGGAGTATCCGTAACTTGATTGCTGTACCCCGGTCGAGCTGTGAAACCTGGGACGATCTGACACGGCTTAAAAGTTGGCCTTTAGATCAAGGCTTAAAGTCAACTTCAAGCCATCTCCTGAACCCCCCACGACTTTGAAAGAAGAAATCATCATCGAAATGGTGGTGAAAAAAAATGGGCCCAAGCAAGTGCGAATCAGTGCCATACGTCAAGAAAGAACTGGTTCCGCTCGAGTCCAAGATCAGTTTATTGTCTACGCTACACCAGGCGGTTGATAAACCGACAAAACAGGTAGCTGTTGTTGGGCGCAGTACTGCTCCGACTTCAAACACAGAACAAAAGATCTTGGATATACTCAGAAGAAGTTTGCAACCATTCTCCGACCGGCTCGACCCTTTCGCTGCTTTGCCGATCAGTCTGGATCGATTCCAGGAACATCTGGTTTCCTTCTACCTGTTGTATTATCCCAAAGTTACATACGGTTTCAGCCCACGACTTCAACCACATCCAGTGGCCAGCAATTTTTCCATTGCATTGACCACTCCAGCCTGTTTTCAGGTCGCCTTGGCTCGTTCAGCATCTTACCGACTTTCACTCAACAAGTATGTCTCTGAACCGGAGAAGAAATCCTTAGAGCTGGCGGTGGTGCGTCATAAGGGGGAGGCGTTGAAGATAGTCCGTTCGCTGAGCATCAAATCCAACCCCAAACGAAAGGACGATTTGCTGGCATCCATGATAAGCCTAGGAACATTCGACCGGCGTACTGGATCCACCGAGGCATCGGGAATGCACTATGCAGCGGTGCGAAAGATTCTGAAGTCCACTGGAGGCCCACTGGCTGTCAATTCTGTACTGCTCTCAAGAGTTATGTGCTTCTTTGAGTGCATCTATGGGACCAGCCCGGAGAGTTATATCTGGGATGAAACAGACCTTACCAGGCTTCTGAATGGACTGAATCGGTTCTTGGGTAAGCTGTGGGAGCTTTGGAAATCCTTGTCGGCAATCAGGGAATTGACCAACCGGCCATTGGTGTCTCACCAATCGGCACCTATTCATTCATTCTGCTTACAGCCGGATTCGACGCTGTTATCCTTGGTGGAAAGACAGCCACCCCCGGGAGCAGAGATTACACAAGCGCGGCGACTGGAAATGGTATTTCAATTGACGTGTCTTTTGACCTTGGCCATGATAACGATGGACTACGCCGATGACTTTCGATCATTGCAACAATATATGGACAATCTCCACAAGACTATGCATGACCTCCAGCTGGCGGGGCAGAGTTGTAATAATGCGATGTGGCAGATTCAGGTGAATGATCATAGCGAGCCACATAGTCGACGAATCTGGCGCGCGGCGAGTTATGCTTGGATCATGAAGCATGTCTCCTATAATGTCCAGCTGACATTGAAAGATTGGCTGCTAGGCTTCTTTACCGGGAAGCCTGTTGGCAAAGCATTTCGATTGGACAGCTTTCATTTCAGTTATGCTAGTTGATGACAGACGCGGATTTGACAGAACCTTGACTCCTGGTTGATAGACGATGGCCGGTCACGTGGCTATCACGTGGAGCCCCGCCGGATGCTTGGAGACAAGTTGAGCCAGCTGTTTTGCGGCGTGATAACCAAACAGCATCTGTTATAATATATAGTGAATACCAAGATCTATCATCATTGAATGTCCGTAAGTGTGATAGGGACACAAGTGTTCCGCCTTCCGCCACCTTTTGGGAAAGAGGAAGCTATTAAAAGCCATATCTGAAACGCAATCATTTATCGATAGAGGCAGACACGCCTATCTTAGGGGAGATGGGATGGTGATTACGAGTAGTTTAGTGGAGTCCGAATAGAGAAGGGGCGTCTCCGGAACCTGCCAAAACAGCGACCGGCAATGGGGGAGGTTCCAGTTAAAGCAGGTACCTAAACCTTGCTTGGTTAGTGGCCCAAAAGGTAAGATGGTGGGGCTTAAATGTCATGTTTCTTGGGCAGGGCCTTTCTTTGTGGGCACCTGCCACCGAGCTGCTGGTACGAATCAACTTTGGATGGTACCTGATCATCTCCGCAGCAACCCTCCAACTCCAATTCCAACTCGAACTCGAATTGAACAACAATCATCAGGATTCGAGGGACTACCGAGTATGAAGAATCAATGTTAGCGTCTCTGAGCTGAGTTGTGGGAGAGAGACCGTAAGTCTCAGTCCGTCCTCGCTAAGCCTCTGACTCTCCCTCCTTCGCATGATGGCCAGTGCGTTCGGATGCCACCATGACACCAGAGCCTAGCGCCCTGAAGAAGTCGGTGCGGTTGGTCCAAAGAGGTGCTCCCACCCTTAATTTCTCATTCATGCGCAGCCATCCACCACCCTTTGTCCACTCACCTTACTTCTTATCCTCGCCTTGTCCCTTCCAGTTGACCTCCTCTTCCTTTCCACACCCTCCCGTCCAAACTCTCGAGAGTCTGGAATGCAATAATATCAGACTCATGCGCGCACAGACGTCTTTGTGTCGCCTCTCTCCCGAACGATCCCAAGTCCCACGAGGACTGATCTCTTCGCTCATCATGGACTGACCCCCTTGCGTCTGTGCGTTCGTTGATTCACCTATAGTCACTCTTTTCCCAATATTTCCCACATCGTGGACCCCTCCTTTTGTACACTCGTTTGACTTACTACGCTCTTTAACACACTCGTTGAGAAATATGGCTTCGCAAGGTACGTTGAGCTGTTCCCGACCAGAACAACACCCAGCTAACAGAGACTCAAGATGGCCTTTCGACCATTTATGGTGTACCAACCAAATATATATCCCTAATCATCCTGGTCGTTCAGAACTCCACCCTTGTTCTGACGATGCGGTATTCTCGAATCCTCCCTGGACCACAATATTTGAGCTCGACAGCTGTGGTCCTCTCCGAACTCATCAAATGTATAATATGTCTTGCTATTCACCTTCGCGATCAGCAATCCGTTCGTGGCTATTCAGAGCTGCCTACTCTTTCAGATGATGCCTCTCCTTCCCACAGCTCTTCATCTTATACCATCCGCCAATTGGCCACCGACATCTTTTCTATCAAGAGCGGCTTCCCAAAGCTGCTTGTACCTGCAATTCTCTACACCCTCCAAAACAACCTACAATTCGTTGCAGCTTCCAACCTCGATGCCGCCACTTTCCAGGTCACCTATCAATGCAAGATTTTGACAACAGCTCTGTTCGCGGTTCTGATGCTGGGTCAATCTTTGTCGCCCAAGAAATGGTTGGCACTCTTTGTCCTTACGGCTGGAGTCGCCTGTGTTCAAATCCCTTCCTCTTCAACAGCTACTCCTATCAACGAGGGCAATTATTCTTTGGGAATGATTTCGGTGGCTGTGGCTTGCATATGCTCTGGATTCGCGGGCGTCTACTTCGAGCGAGTGCTAAAGGGCGGCCAGTCTACATCTATCTGGGTGCGCAATATCCAACTTAGTGTTGGCTGTTTGGCCATCGCCTTGTTTGGAGCCTTCGCCTGGGACGGCCAGGCAATTCGTACAAATGGCTTCTTCCAAGGCTACAATCCAGTCGTCGTTTTTACGGTCTGTGTTCAGGCAGCAGGAGGACTAATTGTCGCCATGGTTATCAAATACGCCGACAACATCCTAAAAGGCTTCGCCACCTCCCTCTCCATCATCCTCTCGACAGTTGCCTCGATTTTTCTGTTCAATTTCGTTCCTACGATCTACTTCTTGTTCGGGTCCATTCTGGTTTTTGCTGCCACCTATCTCTACAGTATGCCTGAGAGGGCGCCAGCCGTGGAAGAAATTTTCAATGATTCAGAGAAGAACCCAATTCTTGTGGTTGACGATTATGATGCTGATAGCTCCACTGAGCATTCGAAAATCAAGAAGCCCTTCCGGGACGAAAGTGACCTTGAGTCTGGTGATGACGAGACTTACGATTCCTCAAGCATATACGAACATGACGATGGGACCAAGAGCCGCAACTTTTCACCTTCCCTCATTCAGCAGCCCACGATGGAAAAACAAGTTTATTCAGAACTGGGATCTGTATGATTGATTGATTGATTGATTGACGGACCGACCATTGGGCTGAGGGAGACCTGAGGCTGAACATTCTTGTGGAGCTGGAGTAGAACCCAAACAGCGACAATAACCTGTACGAGAAGAAGCCCGAGTTTGACAAGGTTGGAATGAACGAATTTCAGGAAAAGAGAGAATCTCTCTTGGTTACTATCTAAAGGAGTTATTTAGGATACCCACCAATTCCACTGGTGTTCTCATAGACTTGTTTTAACAATATATTGGACAACAGATGAGATTTTGAATTAGGTTAGATTGCTGGAACCAGGTCAAATAGATGGGAGTTGAATTGAGTTATCAATATCAGTTTATTATCGCGTTTCTTTATATTCTCAGAATCAGTCCATTGTATCGTCGTTGGATATGCTGCTCCTTGACTTGAGGCTCGTATAGAATATATCTCGGGCACAAGACCCCGTGAATAAAAATCTCGGTACCGAACAGTCCAAGCTAGGAGGAGCTGCTGCAGCATTCTTTCTGCACAACATGCATATAATCTCATCTCCTCCCAAAAGAACTGCCACGATGATGGCATCGCCGTTCGCTAAACCCGCAGCGAAAAAAAGACCAATCCAGACCTCAGATTCACGTGGACCACAGTTTCCGCGCGTCCAGAAACCTTTTATGGTTTATCCGTACATCACATCAAGTCCATACATACATAACGGGACCCAGAAGGACGACACGTTTGACCTTCGCACCGAAAAAGCAGGGTTGGTAGAGGACATGAGACGGTTTGACCCAGTACGAGGTACTCGGTAGTGAGAAAAAGCTTGACTCGGTCATGGGTCCATGACCTCCGAAACACTCTACGCGCCAGGACCTTACAAGTCACAGAGAAGTGGATTCGGCGCGCGTCTTTCATTTTGTACCTACTCGTACCTAGGTATGTACCTATGTACCACTCCACTCGGAGTGCATGCCTTGTCCGTCTGTATCTGACCAGTGACCACGTCATGGTATCATATGGGGAGGACTCGTAATCTCGCCGTGGTAGAGTCAGGGTTGCGCGCGGGCACTCACTAGTTAGTTCACTACCTAGGTACCACCTTGACTCACTTCCTTCCCCCCTCTCCTCTGAGACGTGAAGCCTTGGCTCTCTGGAACGATGCGTTTCAACAGTAATCTCGCACGAAAGAGTCTGATTGTGAGGAGAGACATGGGGGTTTCTTCCTCGAGTCTCGAGTCTCGACCGATCCCTGCATCCATCCAGAATTCCTGAGGCTCTCGAATCTCTTGAGTCTTGAATCTTGACTGGCAAGGGTGACGCCTCGAGGTCTAGACCAGGTCGGTTCGCTCGCTTCCCAACCACGTCAGATCGTCTCGATCTTGCAGTGCTAGCCGTCGCTAGGAGCTCAGAAGTACGACGAGGTTTGATATGTGTCCGTAAGTGGCTTTGATAGGCATTGATAGCCTCGTCGTTCCGCTCTGGTCCTCCCGTAGCATTCCGTTCCGTTCAGGGGAGGAGACGGAGACGCAACGGATCTGGGGACATGATTGACACTCCGTCTCCAGTATCAGACCTACGAGGAGGTAGTGGATGAACCTGTCCATAGGTGCCGCTTGCTCTGCTGCGTTGTTGACGAGTACTGGTCCGACTTGGGATTTATGGTCGTCTTCTTGCTGGCCCTGGTTTGGTGCGTTGGTCATGATTCAAGTGCGTGTGAGTTCACGACCTCTTAGTTGGTATTCATCTTCAGGCTGGGAGGCAGGCAGGCAGACGCGAGGCTACTGGGGATTTTTATCCTTCCCATTCGTCCTTGGTGAGGCTGGTTGACACGTACTTATTTATCTCTGTATACTCGAATTGAAAACGATATTGGTGAAGGCGAGCAGTTGGTCGTTTCCAACACTGGACGAGGTTAACCAACAACAATAGAGAATATCACAGTTTCGCAATGTGGAAAAGAATATTATGGGAACAAGAAACACATTCTTTTTTTTCGCCGTTTTCAAAAAGTGCTCATTTGATTTCTGTATCTATCTCTCCCTCTCTCTCAATTCACACAGATATTTCCCATCCATCTGTCTCGTTTCTCTCTGGGATCTCTCTCCCTACGTCCTGGCTATTTTCCAACTCAAGAGTCAAACATGACGGTGAAATGGAGGGAAAGAACCGAATTATTCGAACCCCCTTGCCGTGTCAGATATTTGCTCCGAGGGATACATGCTCATCAGCTCGCCGCGGTGGCAAACAGGAAAAAACAAAGAATGCTCAAATGCATAGTGTGGTATCATTCTATAGGGTGGGTTTCGATGGTGGTGTTGGGTGGATTGGGTTTTGTTCGGAGGTGAGGGGCGGGTTTGAAGAAGATGGTTGGACCACATCAAAGGTAATACAGAGTGAGGCAAGATGGTCGAGCTGATGAGAAGAGAGAATCGCCTCCTGCTTGCCTCTCCTTTCCCACATCTGCCGAGAAAGATTTGTTGCCCTTTCCTCCACTTCAACCCCGTTTTTGGTCTTGATTCATACGTGCCCTGTGACGATGAATTTGGAAGAATCCTTCGCCTTTTCTGGCCCGCTCCTCCAGTCGGGGGGTCATCCGGTGTGTAAATTTCCGTTTCGCAATGCAGTAAAGTAAAACAAGTGACAAAGAACAAGTATTGAGGTAGGCTGTGGTTCTCTCTTTCTTGTTCAGGTGGAGTGGAAGAAAAGAAAAGAAGCTAGTCATACATCAACAACAGCAGTGGTAGCGACAACGATGGCGGATGAGGTGATCAAGAAAACATTCTCTCTCGGTCACCAACCCAACCGCATTCCTTCTAACTGCTCGTCCAAAAGTGAAGCGAAGAAGAAAGGAAACCATTGTACAAGAAAGGTAGATAGGTAGCTGAGAGAAAGTGTGGGACGCTATCATGACATCGTGAAAAGAAGAAGCATTGGGGTTTCGGAGATATGAGATCTCGTGCCACGTCCAAGCCATTCGTCTTCTTCGGTTTGATTTTGGGGTTTCTAGAAATTCTCCTTGCCCCAGACGAAACTGAAGCCTTTATCACCCTCGGAGTACATGTTGCACTTGATGTGAAGCTGAGAACCCAAGCCCTTAGGACCGCAGAAGAAGACACCAGCCTCACCAGGAGAGTGTAGTTTGCGGATGGCACGGAAGACCATATCCCAATTGGGGCGACCAAAGTTGGTTGGGGTGCGCAGACCGGTGACGGCATCGGTATCGCTGCTGTTGAGCATGATATTACTGGCATCCGATGCAGAGATCTTCGCTGTCAGGTAGGTGTGGATCTCGATATTGTGTGCCTTATCTTGCGCCTCGATAGCCATCAATAGCGACTTGAACCATTCCAAACTACCGAAGTCACGACAGATCCAGAAGAAGTAGACCTTTCGCAGTCGGGTCTTGCCTCCTGATCCGGTGCTCATGCGATACCAGATACTCTTGAGAATACTGGCGAATGGGGTAACACCAATACCAGCACCAACGAGTACTGCGGTTTCAAACTTGAACACGTCTTCCGATGCGGATCCAAATGGTCCATCAACGTAGATTCTCGGAAGTAGTTTCGTCAGACCACCAGGCGCCATGGAGATAACCTCGGAGCGTTGTTTCTTCTCACCACCTCCTTTTTTGGCTTCTTCACAGCCGAGAGCTTTACCCAAAGCTTTGGTGAAGTTACCCACCATACGGACGTGGACAGAGATGTAGTCTTCCTCAGGGGCGGATGTGAGGGTGAAGGGGTGATATTGCCAGATGGAAACCTCAGGACAGCACAGGAAGATGTACTGACCAGCACGTGTCTTGGTCTTTTCCTTGTGCATTTGGATTTCCACAACGTTACTTGGATGTTGGATGACCTTGGTCACATAAGTCTGATGACGACCACGAATCTCACGAAGGATTCGCTCGAGGAGATAGGCAAAGCCACCAAACATCCAGTACTGCCAGAAAACACCGATCCCGGCGCAGAAAGGTGCCACGTCGGGCTTGATCATGCAGAATGCGCCGTGAATGGACCACATGACAAAGAAGATGATGAACAGATGATGGACTGACCAGAAGCGTTCGTAATTTGCTCTTCTGGGCTTTTCGATCGCGGTGAAGAACATGGCCATCAAGGCAATGAGCATCACCCAGCCGGTCCAGCCGGGTCCAGTGAGGAAACCGAGCTTCAAGAAGCCAACAAACCCGATCTTGGCGTTGATGGCAAGTTGTCCAACGTTCTTGATATGGGCGAGAGTATGAAGCCATGAGAAGAAAACGATCGAGTAGGCGACCTGTTTGTGGAAAGTGATGTTCTTGTCAAAAGGAACGATACCGTTCAGCGGAGTCTGCCGTAATAGCGAGATGAGTGTTCGGCAGACAGGGAAGAGGACGAGGGCAATGTCGAAATGCAGGACCAGGGCGGACGATCGAGCAGTGGCGAAGGTGAATCCGAATGTCTTCCTTGGACCTGACAGTGTGTCCTTTAGTTGGTAATGTAAGAAGCCGAAAGTGAAGACGAAGGCGTGAACCAGCACAAAAACGCCAACCACCATGCGCCTCGAACCTTCGTTTACCATCCATCGGTCGAGTCGTTCTCTTAGGTTGAGGTCCCGAGGAGCCTCGCCACTGACCTCTCCAGAGAGGAGCATCCTCGAGAGAGGAGTTGATCTTGTTCGCTCCATTGATGAGGTTGTTGATGATGTGTTCGATCTAGCCAGTGGTTTCTCGACGTAATACATGGCTGCATTATTATGTGTAGTAGTGTTGGACCGTCCCAGCGGCTTGTCGTAGAAGTGAACTGGTTCCGGTTGCGCGGCGTAGTAGTCCATGGCGGCGATATGTAAATGAAGGATCGCTGGGTTTCGACGCCTGACACGGATCCTCCACTTGCTCTGGCCAGGTCCACCGTCGGTTGCGTTGCTGCGGCAAGTTGATCAAGTTCGAGACTGTCCACCAAGGTACTTGAAACGCCCGCTTGACACAGTATCAGTCTCGACGAAACATTCGCCTAGCGTTCCAATACCAAGACGTACCTTGATACCGCTTGTGATAATGAGTAAGATTGCTCCAGGCAAAGCTGCTTGTCAGTTGAGAATCGAAACAATGCCAGTTGTATGGTGAGATTTTGATCGATAACCACGAGGTCTGAATGGAAACTGCGCTCTACGAAGACGATCGACATAAAACAAGAAGAGAAAAGATCCCTCTGGACAGGGAACAGTGGTCTACAAGAGTCTATCCGTACGGGGAAGCCCCTCGGCCGTCTCGGCGCTTGCGAGCGACATCATGGCCCATAGGCATACGTGGTATGCTCGAGGGCTGGTACGCTGTGATGGGACCGAGGGGCTCATGCACAGAGAAAGGGGCAAGCAGCAGTGGGCGGGCCATCAAAGCAACGACGGTGGTTCGACACCGGACAGAACAAAAGGAGCGCTGACCAGAGAAGAAAAACCCACATAATTGGGTCAGGAATCGAGGTCCAGACGCCGGTAGAAGAAGCTTTTGAATCTGTGCATTTGTTTGGCAGCAAAGGAGAAATGATTTGCGGTGCGTACAAAGTGGATGGAAGTCGGACTGGTTGGGGAGGTGGCTGGTGAAACGCGCCAGGGGCTGCTTGAACCCCCCCAGACGTGGTCCACGGGGGGCACAATCCTGGTTGCCACTCGGCCTCCTGGTTTCATCACTGCAAGGCTTGCAGTCTTACCCTCGTACGATACCATCTCATCTGGCCCAGCTGTCAGTCTACGAGTACTCGTGCTCCTTGCAGTGCGTCAGTCCACCTGTCGGCTGCATCATCTACGAGTAAGGAACCATCCGGCGCCTGCCCAAAGTTCCAACACGTGCTCAAGGCTTGCAGTCTCGAGTGCGACAATCGGACTCCGGTATCTTCATTCCGATCCGCCTTCTTTATTGGTTGTTCCCTGGCCTCGAATCACTGCTACGGAATGTGGTTTGCCTGCCTAGGCTGGGCAAGGCGGTTGGCTGGTCTCATGTTGGCCAGAGTGCCATCTGATCTATTCGTGGTCACGGATCGGCAGCAAGCATGCATGGTTTCGTGCGAAATCTGGAGTACGAAGTCTGGGCTCTGGATCGCCTGTTCACACAAAGGCCAAGCCAAGAAGGACTTCCAAGTCTGGCAGAGTAAAAGCAAATTGTTCAAGTTATCCCTAAACCACGCCCATAGTGTAATGCATCATAATGAGTTCATTCCAGATCGTGTCGTTGGATTTGCACCACCGCCCACAATGATCCTACGCCCGTTTCTCCCGTAACTCTCATTGCGTCGGTGTCGAGATGCTTGTCCCCACGACCAGCTTCGTCGTCCGTTCTCTAATGTAGGTTGATTTCAATTGGTCAACTCATCGCCTGAAGCCTCAATCCACTGTATCGCACCCATGCCCAAAAGTGATGTTTAGCAGCAAAGCCATGACTTTCCCATTCTCCCGATTTGATTAGATGGCAAACTTCCGTGTCCATTCCCTAGCAGTTGCTTCGTAGCGGGCACGATCGGTTTTGTAGACGTGAGCAATCTCTGGAACCAGAGGATCGTCGGGGTTGGGGTCGGTCAGCATGGAGCAGATGGATAGAAGAACTATCCGACAATGGTTAGCACTTTGGGGCTGCATATACCAGGATGAATCAAGCATACCTTTCGATATTGTCAAAGCAGGGCTCCATTGGTCTCGAAGAATGTCCAAACAGATACTGCCATTAGAGTTGATGTTGGGATGATAGATTCGAGTGGTGAAGTTGACCTTTGGTGGCTTGAAAGGATAGTCTGTGGGGAAATGGATGGCCAGGAAGAAGACACCACCTTGGAACGGACTGTCGCCCTGCAGAATCCGTTAGTTGAGGAACAGACGCAGTTATGCTAGAGTGGTTGACTTACAGGACCCATGATGGTTGCTTGCCAGTGGAACTGATTCAAAATGTTAGTTGTTTTGACTTTGCTGAATGTGCCGCTTGCCTTGCAGTGGCGGGATTCCAGGGAACTCCAACGTACCAAATCATCTCCCATGGGACCGGCTGAGCATGATGAGGGAGGATCACTGTAGGAAGAACGATTAGTACCCTGATGGTATGGGCATGTCTGGCCTTATCATGACATGATCAAGAGAATCCGCTTGAAAAAGGCCAGGACATTCGAATCATGATCAACTCACCGTCCGAGATCTGTGAGCTCCTTGTTGATTCGCTTCAAAGCCATGGCGGAAGAAGTAGATTAAAAGTGGTGGAAGAGGTGATGATGAGAGTGAGGCGGCGGTCGTGGTGATCAAAACCTGATTCAGCGTGGGGCTGCGATCTGAGTCAAGCGTGAGGGAGGACTGAAGTTTGAGTGTTATCGATGCGGCAACAAACTCGGTCTGAGATACAAGTTAGAAGGAGGAATTATTGCAAGAGAAGAGCACAGGTTGAAATACCGAATCGAGTGAAAAGGTGTAGTATGGTGGGGTTGACGAGGCAGGCGGCGGTTGTGTAGTGGTGATGGTTTAAGGACAAGGACAAGGAAGGACAAGTGACGCTCAGGCGGACGCAGGCTGAAAGAGAGGAAGGAATTAAACGGCCAGTGCACCACTACTGAGGCTTGGCGAAAAATGCAAATGGAAGTTACGAGATGCCTTCCAAGGGCCGATTTGATGTGAATCAGTCATTGTTCTTGCCTGCTGACACCACAACCAATTGGCAGTGGACTGGGCTTCAATATTTCCCACTTCCGCCAACGACTTCGCCACCACTCCCACGCTTTTCATACTTTCAAGTTCCGGAAGATACCCAGGCATTCTGGTCGCCTTCTTCTGGAGTTCTGACAAAGCAATATATACATCCAAGTTGCGGCAAGAACTACCTCTACGAACAATTCCGCCTTGTATTGGCACCAAATCCATGCTTATTTACAATCATATCACTTTTTCTCTCGCTCCAGCATGCCCATCGTCTTAACTTATACAAATGCTTGCAGTCCAGTAATGGCCCGTCCCAATATCAGTGCATGGATGTCACTCTGTCCCTCGTACGTCTGAGTCACAAACAAGTTGGACACGTGCCTCCCAATGTGATACTCGTCACTAACCGCATTGCCGCCAAAAATCTCTTGCAAGTGCCTTGCGTTTACCAGTGCTCGGTCACAGTTTTGTCGCTTAATCATTGAGATCATCTCCGGTGCCACTTTGCCCTCGTCTTTCAGTCTGCCTACCTGATACGCTGCAGCTAAACCAAATGCTGCATCGGTCGTGGCATCGGCGAGCTTCTTCTGCACCAGCTGGTATTTTGCGATGGGGTTGTTCTTAAATTGTTTTCTTTCCAAAGCATATTCGCGGGCTCGACTGATGCAATCTTCAAGCGCGCCCATTGTGCCCCAGGCAATACCGTATCGGGCAGAGTTCAAGCAAGAAAATGGTCCCTTGAGTCCTTCAACATCGGGAAACATATTCTCCTTTGGTACAGGGCATTCATCTAGCTGAATCATACCTGTTATCGATGCTCGAAGCCCGTTCTTGTCCTTCAATTGTGGTGTCTCCAGGGTTCCCGGCGGGCAATGCTCCCGCTCAACAAGGAAGCCTCGGATCTTGCCCGTCTCTTGCAACTTGGCCCAAACGAGAAGAACATCGGCTATAGGAGAGTTCGTGATCCATGTTTTGGCTCCCGACAGCGAGTAGTAACCTTCTTTTGTAGGATGGGGTTTTGCGGTTGTCTCCATCGATCCCGGATCTGACCCATGGTTGGGTTCTGTCAGACCGAAACAGCCTACCAGCTGGCCATTGCCGAGTTTCTCCAGAAACTTATCCTTTTGCTCTTGTGTTCCAAATTCATCGATGGGCCCCATGACGAGTGAGCTCTGAACAGACATTGCTGATCTGTACCCTGAGTCGACTCGTTCAACCTCGCGTGTAATGAGTCCAGCAGCAACACTGCTCACACCAGCACACCCATAGCCTTTGATTGTGGAACCCAGCAGACCCAATTCTCCCATCTCTTGCAAGATTGTTTTGTCAAAGTCTTCCTTGCGAAATGCTTCTAGAACTCGTGGCAATAGGCGTTCTTGACAATAGGAATGCGCCGTTTCTTGCACTGCAAGCTCTTCTTCTGTGAGAAAGTTGTTGAGGTTTAAAGGGTCTTCCCAGTTGAAAGCTACTGAACTTGAGGCATGTCTGCAGGAAACTGGCTTCGAGGTGAAGCTAGGTCTCGTGCGGGCGAGTTGTCGCCAGACAGAACGAGCTAACATTGTGCTTGTTGGAGGGAATATGACACTCAGACGTATAACAGCAGCCCAGTTCGCAGAGCTTCAATTAAGAGAAGAGATTTGTGATAGAAATCTGTGAGAAGGTTGTAGTGGTAATATTCTGAACAACGTATTTGAGTCAATGATCGGTCTCAACTGGGCCGAGGCTACGATCGCAATGATATGGGGACCATTTTGTACCATCCAAGCCTAGAAACTGACCTCCGACTACCCCTCAAAAACTCCGTGATCTCGCCGGCAAAGTCAATTATGGATGGTGCGCCACCTGGCTGAGTTTCACGGGGGTCGGACAACAAGAGGAGCCAAAGTTCAGGTTCGAGAGTTCTACATGTAGTTACTTACTTAATATACGTGCGTAGGGAACAATCTAGACTCGTAGCATTTATGAAGGACACGATGGAAGAACAATTAGAAGTTACTTCAACCATTCTTGGGGACGGGAGACCTTCCGCAGATACTCCAAATGCTTTGCCAAGCACGACGTCACCAGCAGTAACTCGTAGTATGGGGAAGGACCGCGCGAGCAACGCGCCTTGCATCAGCACTTTACGCGCTCCTGCTCGCCATCATTTCACCACTACAGCGAGAAACCTCTTTTTTTCCCGTCATCACGAAAACGCACCCACAACCATCACGACACATTTGAGAACGGAAACCCGTTGACGTTGCAAAGATGGGTATCAAACGTAAACCTTGCCTGTTTCATTATCCTGTCCTCAACCTTTGCTAATCGTCTCCCTCAGAGTTATACCATGTCATCGCCGAAGAGGCTCCTGATGCCATCAAAACTGGTGAAATCAAGAATCACTTTGGTCGCAAAGTCGCAATTGTGAGTACATCGTTACTGACCACCATACATGAGCTGACACTTGTTTTTAGGATGCGTACGGCTTTGCCCAGTGCCATTCTTCTCCTTGCTAATCAACTGCAGGTCAATGTCCATCTACAGTTTCCTCATTGCCGTCAGATCGGAAGGCCAGCAACTCATGTCGGATACGGGCGAGACCACTTCTCATTTGATGGGAATGTTCTACAGAACGTTGCGCATTGTGGACAATGGCATCAAACCACTCTACGTCTTTGATGGTGCCCCTCCCAAATTGAAGTCTGGAGAATTGGCGAAGCGGTTTGCTCGGAAGAATGAGGCCAACGAGCAGCACGAGGAGGCAAAAGAGACGGGTACCGCAGAAGAAGTAGAGAAATTCTCTCGACGCACCGTCAGAGTGACCAGAGAACACAACGAAGAATGCCGAAGATTACTCAAGTTGATGGGTATCCCATATATCATCGCCCCCACTGAGGCCGAAGCTCAATGTGCTGTTCTGGCACGAGCTGGCAAAGTTTATGCTGCAGCCTCGGAGGATATGGATACCTTGTGTTTCGATGCGCCCATCCTGCTCCGCCATCTGACTTTCAGTGAACAGCGCAAGGAACCCATCCAGGAAATTCATCTGGACAAAACCCTGGCTGGTCTCGACATGGACAGAAATCAGGTGTGTGAACCGTAGCTCATATGAGAGTGCATGTCTCTAGACAGCAACTAACTATCTTAGTTCATCGACATGTGTATCCTTTTAGGATGCGACTACGTTGATCCAATCCCCAAAGTTGGGCCCAATACAGCATTGAAACTCATCCGAGAACATGGCTCTTTGGAGAAGGTTGTGGAGTTTATGGAAAATGACCCCAAGAAGCGATATGCCATTCCTGAAGATTGGCCATACAAGGATGCCAGAGAACTCTTTCTCAACCCTGATGTCCGAAGTGCAGATCATCCAGAATGTGACTTCAAATGGGAAGCACCAGATGTGGAAGGTCTCGTCCAGTTCCTGGTTACTGAGAAGGGATTCAGTGAGGACCGAGTACGGAGTGCAGCACAGAGGTTACAGAAGAATGTCAAGACAGCCCAGCAGTCGAGACTGGAAGGATTCTTCAAGACGGTGCCCAAGACGGAAGAGGAGAAGAAAGACCTGAAGCGGAAACACGAGGAGAAATTGGCCGAGGCCAAGAAGAAAAAGAAGGTGGATGCCAAAACAAAGAAGACGGAAAAGTCCAAAGCTCATGCTTGAAGGTTCTTTGGCAGGCGAAGGGATGATTCGGAGGACCTGAGTGAAGGTGCATGTTGTACTCGTAGCAAGGCGTTGGGGGTATGTGATGAGTCCAAGAGGCTCTAACCACTGGGGAAACTACCAATCAGGTAGATGGATGAAATCTCAGACTGAGAAACAACTGCCACGTTGACGAAGTCCCGAATGATAGCATGAGTCATCAGTTGTTGGGAGACACAGCACCTAGGTACTCGTAGAAGAGTCCAAGCTCGGGTTGTACCAGGTGTGTTACTACTGTGGCCGAGTTAGGCAACTCGAGACAACAAAGATGTCACATGATGATTGCAGGCAAACCCAAAGTGCCTGGAGGCAGTCAGACACGTTGAGGAGTGAAGGTATGCTTGTACGATTCTCTATCATGACCACAATCATGCGGAATGCAATAGTTTAACACCATGGAGGCCAACATGGAAGCGAGTGTGGTGGAAACAATAATTTGGTGAGAATAAAGAGTCAAGACGCGATAAAGCGAATGACGACACAATCAGAATAATAATGGGGGTGTAAGAATTGAAGGGCAGATCACAGACGAGTAGGAAATGACGGGAAGGGAAGGAAGGTTTGGAAGGTGGAAAGCGGGTAGGAGCGTCCGAGAGGAAAGAGGAGAGGAGAAGAGAGGGAACTCTGGGAAGGAACGGCGTGACTCGAGAGTTGGGAGGAAGGTGCAAGCAAGGTGCAAGTCCTCCAGGTGAGCGAGCGCGTGATCTCGTTGGAGCAGGAACTCGAACATTAAAATAAAAAACACAGGCGAGTGATGATTGGCCAGTGGGGGCAAGTCAGTTGTGATCTTCCAACGGCAAGACCAGATCAACTCAACTCGTCCAATTCGATCACATGCGACTATAAACACCCGCGCCCTCCCCGCCGCCCGCGTCCAAAGACGCCCATCGTCCACTGCTCCTTCACATCTCTCAACTTCCCTCCGCTCACTGTCCAGCTCAACTCAACTATTTCTCTTATTCCACCATCTGATCCATCTTTCCATCGTATCCAACCACCCTCACACTTCAAAATGGGTCCAAAGAAAGCTGCTCCCACTGGCGCCGAAGCCAAAGACACAAAGGCAAAGAAGCCCGCTGCCGCCCCCGCTCATGCCTCATACAAAGGTCCGTTTCACCCTTCCATCCATGATCGCGTCCCATAACGATCATACCATCATGGTCGCATTGCAATACTGACTTTGTCTATCTAGATATGATCAAGGAGGCTATCCTGAACGTAAGTCTATCGTCTTTGCGACAATGTCGATGCCCTCAAGTTGCCTGTTCCACCACCTTCTATCTGCCCGATTACTGGTTGCAAGACCCAGGCATTCCTCCTCGCTTTACATGACCGTGCAAGAGCTCTACTAACACAACTGGATATGCAGTTGAAGGAACGCAACGGAAGCAGGTCAGTCTCCTCTCTCAACCTCGTCGTCGCTTCACGATTCATCCATACTAACTCATTTCTTAGCCGACAAGCTATCAAGAAGTATGTCAAAGCAAACAACAACATCACCGTCACGTCAGAGACCCAATTCGATTCTCTATTCAACAAGGCTTTGAAGACCGCTGTCGAGAAGGGTGACTTCACGCAGCCAAAGGGTACAACCTTTCATCACCTCTTCTCATACATATCCAATACTAACCTGGCATCTCAATAGGTCCCTCAGGCCCCGTTAAGCTGGCCAAGAAAGAGCCTAAGCCTGCTGAAAAGAAGCCTGCAGCAAAGGTATTTTAGCCCATGCCTCATCATCATTCATTATCATGCTAACTTGGTAAACAGAAGGAGAAGGCATCCAAGGAGACCAAAGAGGCCAAACCCAAGGTAGCAAAGACCAAGACTGCTGCTGCCGCCAAACCAAAGACTGCCGCAACCAAGGCAAAGAAGCCTGCCGCCCCCAAGAAGGCCGCTGCCGCTAAGCCAAAGGCCAACACAGCAACTAAGCGTGCACCCAAAGCCAAGGCTGCTAAGACCGAGGCACCTGTATGAACATGTTCACTCCTCCAGCTTGACTCGTTCTAACTGTATGATAGGCCCCTGCTGTCACCGATGTCCCCACTGTCCTGAAGAAGACCAAGTCTGGTAGAGTCAGCAAACAAAAGGCACCTGCCACCAAGAAAGCACCTGCAAAGAAGACGGCAGCGGCCAAGAAGGCCACACCCAAGAAAGCCACTCCCAAGAAGGCTGAAGCAGCTGCATGAACGATTCCATCTCCGGATGTCGTTGTTAATGACTTGATGTATGTTGCTTGTGCTTTTCTTGTACCAGGTATTATAGGGTCATGTGGATGATGGTTGGGTCCTAAGGATGGCGCGGCGCGTCTGGAGGTGCCAAAGACTTGAGCAGAAGGGATCAGGGCGTTGACCGACATTTGCAATCTTGGACCATGGGTTCTTTTCACCCTGGGTCACATACCTCGGTGTGTTGGGCTGTTTGTCTCATTTTCTACCCAAGGATGGTCTGAGGGTTTGGGCAAAGACGGATATCTATATATGGGCGTTCCGGGGCACTTTTTCAGATGCTGTTTGTTTTTTTGACACTGCATAAGGGATGATGAGCTACTATCAACATGGATCAGGGGGCAAAAAAACACCAACAAGAGGCCGTGGAATGACACCATACCGACGTATAGCGCTTCAAGTCCCCACCTGTTGCGCAGTGAGATATCCGATCTCCAGTGCTCTATTACTCACATATGACATCGGGTACACAGAAGCCAATGGAAAGAAGAAACCAAGTGTCTTGTACAGTAATACTTCACCATTTTCGAGTCTCCTGTTCTTGTTTCCTCCGAGTTGTGCGTAATGGTAATCATGACGTGAAATCCAGTACTCGGTATGTTGAAGTGGTAAGAATAACATACAAGTCTTTCACGGTTCTTAAGCTGTAGAAACTGTTAGTTACAGGCCAGCGTTGGGAGATGCTTCTCCACTCTCCCCCTTTTGGAGGCCAGAGGCCATGCATATTGAGAGAGCATGAGAAGATCCAACAATTGCAACTACCAAGTCGCAGCACTGTAACTAAACCATTGATGGCCGTTTGAAATCTCTTTACATGGGATGAACCTGTAAGAAGTAGCTTACTTTTAGACTGTCGTACATACTTTTGCTTGGTGCGTGTGTAGGTATGAATCGAATTCGTGTTCCAGAGGACTGGCTGCCTTGCATCCCGGAAGTCGAGGGAATATATTCTGCGAAATTCGTAGTATACTTTCTTTGAGCTCGGCTCGATTTGATGAACAACCCACCACTACACTTCTACTATTTAACTCTACGACACAATATATCAATGTCATAAGGAGCATGGTTTCACGTTCTTAGAGAGCTGGTTATGCATACGATCCATGTTTGGTGGGAGAATACAGCTAAATAGCCAAGACCTGAATGAACCTAGCAGTAGCATTATTCACCAACTACTAACCAGCCCTCCCTTCTACTTAAACCGCCCTTTACCCCAAACACATATATATATAATAAGGGACTCCCTAAAAGCCCATTCGCATCTAACCATCATGAGATGTCCCTTTGAGAATGTACTGCATCATGGTCCAGTTCCTCAACGAGTGGAGGATAAGTCGTTACTAGGAAAGTCTGAAAAGGTAGTAGATCGGTCCTTATCCCGCCTCGATGTGACAGAGGTATCATAAAGGCGTGTCAAGGCGCCCATTCTTTTGTCGAGGGCTATATTGTCCAGGAGGAAGAATACCCCTGTGAGGACATCCGTGGTTGGAGATTGAAGAGCTGTTGTGGAGGTGGTCGTCTCCTGTGTTGTGTTGCGGCTGCGACCGGTGTGGGCGCCGGTAGAGCTGAGATGGGAGTAGAGCTCGTGCTGATATCTTGCGGAGAAAGAGCTAGAGGCATATGTGACGATGATGGCAACGGGGAGGGCGCCTCAGCTGTCGGAGTATTGCTAGGCCGCACCATGGTTTGGTTTGGTGTCTGTCTTACTTCTTCGAAGTATTTGACGATTAAGATGGCACCACCGTATAACTCGATTGTTTGCGGTTGTTTTCGAGAGCTCAGACTGTGCAGAACGGTGACGGTGTTGAGAAGGGCCATGATGATGCCCAGGGTGACATTGAGGATTACCTCCGCTGCAAGACTGAAGCTGCTCCTACTGTAATTGAAGTCGTACTCTGGGAAAGTGAAGTTCTCATGTAGCCATGGCATTGATGAGTTTGGCATTGGATGAAATGAAATTGGAGGTGGAGGCATTGATGTCGTCCCTGTCCTCAACGAGACGTGTTGATGATTGTGAACAGGTGAGATGTGTAGTCAATTTCACGAGCGAGTTTGAACATGATCATGATGCTTTCCACGAACCGTGCAGATTTCACGAATTGATATATTCCTACCTGTGGTATTTTTGTTTTCGATACATTTCTGAAGGTTAGGTCCTTATGCGTTCTGTAGAATTCGACAATGATGTTGATTGTTTGTTGAGGTGGTCATGTTGGTCCTTTTGAGCTCTTCCGTTTTCGACGCGTTTTCCACCAACGCTCCATCGTCTTCCCTCCGACGCCCGAAAGGTGGCTGTGATGCCAGGTGGGGGCCAACGCGGTCCTTTTGGTTTCTACCTACCGAGTACACGTCGCGCTGTAGAGGCTGTGCACATTTCATGCTTTGTCAGTATCAAAGACTTTTACTCTTCAGAAATGCAATATCCTCTTGCTTGACATCCCCCAACACGAGACTATGCGTGACAGGCCTAAGTGGTGGCTAATGGTCATCTCAATCGTGATACCATGAAGTCCACCAGCGAACCTCGTTCAATTTCGAAGGCGAAACAGTCTTGTCCCACCTACACTGCTGAACAATGGCTAGAGCATCGAGACCGAATCACAAACCTGTATGTGGAAGAGGAACTCACTTTGAAACAAGTCAGAACTATCCTTGAAGAGGACCATCAATTCCCCGCGACCGAACGCCAGATCAAGAGGAAGATCAAAGAGTGGAATTTGGACAAGAATATCAAAGATGAGGAGATGAGAATGATTCTCCAGCATAAGCAATTCAGAAACGACAACTATGGCAAAGACAGCATCTTCTATGTACGTGGCCGATTGGTTGATTACAAGAAGATCCAACGCTTCATTCAACGAAAGGGATCCGCCAGCCTAAGTGTTTTGCCTGATAGGAGCCTTCTTTCCTTGCCCGAGGACATTATCTGCCAGACACCCACCGACGAGACTCCTCCTTCCTTCCTAAAGATTGACGTCCAGGAGTTCACAACTATCGTCAGTCATGAGAGCGGTCGAGAACGGCCAGAAGACAACAATAATCTGATCACTTCCACATCTTCCTTGAACGTGACCAAACAGGGCGAAACTATCGAGGTAGATCATGTATTCCTCACTGACTTCTGGAAATCATATTGGCCGAATCATACTCCCGGCAACGATATCCGAGACTTCCGATTCCTGGATCTGCCCGTGCAGATTCCAAAATCCGAGGACACGCTCAGGCTGGGTAGATCTCAAATTCGCATGCGACCAAGACTTGCAGGCCAACTTACCGATGACTCCGACGAAGATCGCCTCAACAAGCGTAAAAGACTGAACACCTGGGATGGGGATGAGAATTCGGGTTTTCCCCCAGCCATGCCACGAGAAGACCCATCCTTATCCAGGGCATCTGAATCTACAACAAATGTTGTGACAACTGAGTCGATTACGGAGCACGGCCTTGGAGCTGTGTTGAGCGAACTCCAGGCTATCAAGGGGCAACAGGATACACTGAACAGTATGTTGTCAGCATTAGGTCAGAAACACAACGATCTCAACAAAACTGCTGAGAAGTTCAACTCAGCACATGTTCGTCACGAGAAATCGGTTAATGCCATCTTGATATATTTGGCGTCCGCCTTTGGGAGCAGTCTCACTTCTGGAAGTATTGACCCCGAGATGGCATTCTCGGATCTGAAGCGTAACCTCCCTCATTGAGCACAAGAGCAGTTAGTCAAACCATCACTTGGAGAAATGAATGACTCGCTCTTCGCCGACCAGTCGAGATGATTGGTAATTGCCAGAGTCATACGTAGCATCCATCATATACAGGCCTATGGTCCGCAAAGCAAAGACAACAGGCAATCCACTCAAGCTATCATCGTTTGGTCCACTTGACCTTCAAGTCCTTATTCCGCATCATCTGCAATGTCACTTTCGGCTGACTGTTCTGCATGACAGCCTCGAACCGTGCCTTGACTTGATCACTGGTCTCATCATCACGGACCTTCACCGCTTCACACCGGTAGGATCCAAATATGGACATGAACACACTCACAAACTCAACCTGGCTCATCTTCATGCCCGGACACGTTCGCGGACCCCCTGACCAAGGCAGAAAGGTGCCGCGTGCGGGTGTCTTGATATTTGTGATCGTTGCTGTCTCGGAACCAGGTTTTGCAGAAGGATCTATTATCCATCGAGACGGTTGAAAGACATGTATGTCTTCCCCCCATGTCCGTACGTCGCGGGTCAACGCTACTGTGTTGATGTATACGATTGTTCCGTGTGGAAAAATATATGTCTTACCTCCCGGCGTCGTTACCGTCACGTCCTGGTGCTTGATTTGTCTGGAAAGGTGGGTTAATGGTGGGAATAGCCGAAGTGTTTCATACTAGACAAGTAAGGTTGAAATGTTAGCGCCTGGAGCTTTTATCATGTCGGATGACTGGCTGATGTTGTGTGTGAACTTACCATCAAACTCAGACACCGCGGAAGTTTGGGAAATATTTCATTGTAATCAAGGCTGTCCATGTCTTTGTCTGAAAGCACGGCAGATATCTCTTCGTATAGCCAGTCTTGCCATTCGGGGTATGTGGAGAGAAGTGCAAGGGCATATGCCATAGTATTGGCCGTGGTGTCGAATCCGGCCGCGGTGAAGACGAACAAATTCCCCAGGATTTCTTCCTCACTCATCGACAACGATTTCTTCTTGACGTTCTTCTCGTCAACGGTATCATTTGTGTCATTGCCACCTCCCGAAGCGGTCTCATCCACAAGTCTGACAATCATACTCATCAGATTACTGCTGGTCTCGGAGGACGTATTCTGCCGCGTCCTCTCACGCTCCAGCATCCTCCTGGTGTGAATTGGAAACTCGACCTTGGCGTGCCCGATGGCGTGCCATGGAGGCGAGAAAAGTGGCGAGGTGAGCAGCTTCGTAGGCATTATGGCGGCCTCGACGATGTTTTCAACTAACGTCCACACTACGTCCATGTACGTCAGCTTGAAACCCTCTTCGGGCTTTTCGTCTTTCCCTTTCTTCCATGGTCGGGATATTCCGAATCCAACGGTTCCGAGTACGTTGAGCGCGATCGCTTTCATGCCACGCATCGTGTCGTCGGTCACGCCCTGGAAATCGTCCACGTATGAAGAGAGCATCTGTCGTGCCTGAGAGGTGGACTCGCCGAAGACGAGCTTGCTGATCTTCTCATTGAGATTGGGAGCGATCTTGAGAGGGGAAGCAGAATGTCAGTCTTGGAGATATATACATATATAGCTAGCAAGCAAAATATTGACGGGTATAAGTGTTGTACCGCCATCAGATTTATCTGTGGGAGTCATAAAGGTGCATCGTGACTACCAAGTCGACCCAGGCCAGCATACCTGGTCTACAACATGTCCAAACGGCCAAAAGGCAATGAGACAAAGAACTCACCAATTTCCTCTGCCTCGACCAATCCTCCCCATTACTAGTGAGGACATTCGGCCCAAACACGTTCAAAATAACGCCCGCGATCTCCGTGGTGGGGAAGTCTTTCATCCTCTTGAGAATCTCCGTCGCCAGCTCGGGATCGCGAATCGACATCTCGACGGGCCCAGAAGTGACCAGCACGACGACATCGTTATCCTTGTCATCGCCAAACACGTTCTCCTTGCTGCGAAACTCGAACCCGTAGATCCCCATGTTGATCGTCCGGTACCACGCCGTTGGCAGGTATCTCTGCAGGTATGGTGCCAGCGGCACCGAGAGTATCATCCATATTGGATTGTAGATGTTCCAGGGGATGATGAAGGTTGGCGCCTGGACTTTGCGGGCGGATATGTAGTTTCTACATAGGCTGGACAGGTTCCAGATCAGCCAGACGAGGATCGTCCCCGCGAGGAGGGTCAGCCATGTCATTTTGTTTCTGGCGCGGATAGGGGTGTTTTGGTCTTGGGTGTTTACAGTGGTCGCGATGTGGAGGGAGAGATTGAGTTATACTATTATATCAAGGGCCAGGAAAAGATTCGACGCTTGTTTACTTCGGCGGCTATTGGATACAGTTTCGTGGGCATCAAACACTACTGCACTATCCAATCGCGGAGGCTGCTAGGGTTCCTAAATCCACATGGATTTATTCCATCGCTATACGTTTATGTTAAAATACAACACCCAGCATTCTTTTCCATCACCACTACTCTCATCGTCGAGCTACTTGAAGCGTGAGATTAGTTATTATTGATCCATCGGGACTCGAATCAGAGTAATGCAGCGCTGGTCTCTGCGTATCCATGCCTGGATATCGGTGCCCCTCCAATCGGGGTTTTCATTTTCCAAGCATCGGCGGGAATATGTCAGCACTATTGGACAACACCCCTGCAGGTCTCAAAGGATCAAGATTGAGGCCGAGGAGGATTTGCAGAGTCGGACGGTGGCATGATTCGGATTCGCATTTACCTCTGTTTATTTACCATCACCGCAGCGCAGGATTGCTTCTTCCTACTTGTGGGTGGTTCCAAGTATCCATCTAACTAGTTATTATACTTCCGAGTATGAATGTGGTTTACTCAAGCATGGGTTTTCTAACCAGGCAAATAGGTCTGTGATAGTGAGCCTTAGATCAAAATGGCTCGGGTTCGAAACCGAGACCGAGATGCACTAATTGATAGCATGTGGACAATTGCTGGCTGGGTCGCTGGCAAGTCTGCCCACCTGCTCACGTACTCATAGGTAGTCATGCACGAGTAGCTGGAGAGACCTGTCTATACTTCTTGAAATCCCTGATACCTTGTGTCGGAGAGACTGCTGAAGGTGATAAGTCGCCACAATGTACGGCAGTAGTTCGTAGACTCGTCCTGATTTCTGCATATCTCATCATTACTATAACAGACATTGATCAGTTTTCGAAACATGTTAACGTCAATGCCTAGGAGCAATGTGCTCGTGGGCTTGGAGATTTGGTTCTTCGGCAGCCACGCTATGCAATTCATCATTCCATCGGACCTAAGGGGTGGTGGTGCCGATTGCTCTAATGCTTTTGGTGAACTATGTATACACTCCGTCTATCGTGACAGTGCAATATCATCAATGCGTAGTATCATCTTGACTGTTTCAGCCGCCAACTCAATGGCACTGGTGCTGACCAGTAAAGGTTGGAGTACCTTCTCATCAGCTATGTTGGTTTTTACACCTCCGCTGCGTATGCTAACTCCAGCATTCTTTTCTCCCTGGTCGTGTCGATGTCTCAGCTCTGTCACCACTTTGATACTGTTCAAACCGGCATTCTCTGCCAACGTCGTTGGAATTACCTCCATTGCATCAGCAAAAGCTTTCCAGCAGATGGCTTCGGTGCCAGTCAACTCTCGTGCCTTTTTGGCCAGTTGTTGAGCGACCTCAATTTCCGGGGCACCGCCACCAGCGATGAGAGCCTTCTTCTTTACCAGGCAGCGAATAACACAAAGGGCATCGTGAAGTGAACGTTCAGCCTCATCCAAGACGAGAGTATTGGCACCCCGTGCGACAATGGAGACGGTTTGGTTCTGAGTAGATGCAGCTCGAATACCAGTAATCTTGACGTATCTAGCACCAGAAGAGGTGATTTCTTCGACCAAGTCTGCACTACCGAGTTTGTCTTCGGTGAAGGTGTCGATGTTGGCGATCGGCTTGCAACCTGTGCTCTTGCACAAGAACTCGACCTCATCACGCTCGATGTCTTTGATGGCCAAGATCTTCAATCTCGATAAGAAGTGGAGCGATAGATCGTTGACTGCGTCTCGTAGGATGGATTTCTGGATCAGAAGGACGTTGCATTTTGCCTTCTGAATTTTCTTGACCATGTTGAGTAGATATGTTCGTTCCTCTTTCAGGATCTTGTCCATTTGTCTGTAGTCATTTACTACAATCTGATTTTCCATATCTGGTTTGGGTGGACTGAGTTGGAACTGGATCAGGGCAATGCGCGCCTTTTCTATGCGAGTTGGTCCTCCAGAACCCTTGATGACTGGTTGGTTGAGAACCAAGCCTTCGATCAATTCCGAGTCATCAATGGTGCCTCCAACTTTTTTGATAATTCGGATGTTCCTTAAATCAACATTGTCGGCCGTCTTGGGATCGATTGTTTTTAGAACAGAGTCGACAGCCATAGGTCCCAGTAGACTGGAGTGCTGTGAAACGATTTTGGATGAAAGTGATGTCGAAGCGGCTTGGAGTAATGCAGTGCGGTCTGTGAGGGAGACTGGCTGAGACATATCGTGTAGAATGTCAACGGCAGCCTTTGCTGCACGTTGGAAGGACTCGGAAATGATGGTAGGATGAATGCCTTTACTCAGCAGCCGGTCTGCTGCACCCAGGAGACTTCCAGCAATAACGACGACAGAGGTGGTCCCGTCACCAGCCTCTACATCCTGAGCAGCACTCAAATCGACGAGCATCTTTGCAGCAGGATGCATCACGCTCATACTCTTCAACATGGTATTTCCATCATTGGTGATCAAGGTTTCTCCTTTGCCTGATTGGATCATTTTGTCCATACCTCGAGGGCCGAGAGAGGTTCTGATGGCATCGGCGACAGCACGGGCAGCCATAATGTTGGCTGTCCGGACCGCCATGGGCTTTTCTTTATCCTAAGTGACAAATTAATACAGGGCTCGATTGAGGTTTGGATTCTATTTCGCACTTTGAAGGCGGCATTTCCAATGTTGCCCTGAATGCCTAGGGCCGCAGCCATATTGATAGAGGAGTGATTTGAATTGCGCAAATGCGGTAGAATCTGTAGGTTCTTGATTCTGGTTGTGGCCAAATTGTCGTAACCTAAACGCAGCAGTGGTAGTGGGGTTTTGTGCAGGCGGGAGTGAAATGCAGTAAATTTCCAGGCGGGCGATTTTCTGTTGCAGTGCCTGCGTTTATTCCGGCGCTTATTATCAATAGCGCTTATCGCTAGCTTAACCTAGTCGCGTTCATGAGCGGCGCTAATGAAAGTGGCGTCCACTACTCCTATTGGACAGCTGGTCGCGCCTGCAACTCAGGCACAGCTGCGATTACGATGACTTGGTTATTGCGAGTCTTCCGCCATACAATCTGAATGAACAACACCATTTCATCATATTCGCCCTGCAACATTCAAACCATCACCCACCATCAACCCACCCCCATCTATTTTTCAAATTCCCCCCAGACATCCACTCACCCCTTACACTTTCCCTTTCCTCCATTAAATCCTCCCCGAGGCAACAATGCCCAGCGCAACCGGCTCCAGTTGGGAGAAGTACCAAAAGAACTTCGCCGATGATGAAGAGCCTGAGAAGAAGATTACACCTCTAACAGACGAGTATGTTTCTTGGTCGATATATGAGTCTCTCATCTAAACCTTGACAGAGACATCCAAGTCCTAAAAACCTATGGCGCTGCTCCATATGCTGCCGCCCTCAAGAAGCTCGAGAAACAAATCAAAGAGAAGCAACAGAGTGTGAACGAGAAGATTGGGGTCAAGGTCAGCCATTGCCATGTCAGATCTGCCTGTTTTGTCACCAGTGCTGAACAACTATATAGGAATCCGACACCGGTCTTGCTCCTCCTCATCTTTGGGATGTCGCTGCCGATAGACAACGAATGTCCGAAGAACAGCCACTACAAGTCGCCCGCTGCACGAAAATCATTCAGGACGAGAAGGACAGTGAGAAAAGTAAATATGTCATCAACGTTAAGCAGATTGCCAAATTCGTTGTGAACCTAGGCGAGCGGGTCAGCCCTACCGATATCGAAGAAGGCATGCGCGTTGGTGTCGATCGACAAAAGTACTCCATAATGCTTCCCCTGCCGCCTAAGATCGACCCCAGTGTTACCATGATGACAGTCGAAGACAAACCTGATGTCACCTACGGTGATGTGGGTGGCTGCAAGGAACAGATTGAGAAACTCCGAGAAGTGGTCGAAATGCCTCTACTGTCTCCCGAACGCTTTGTCAGCCTCGGAATTGATCCCCCCAAGGGCGCTCTACTATACGGTCCACCAGGAACAGGCAAGACACTATGTGCAAGAGCTGTTGCCAATCGAACAGATGCCACATTCATCCGAGTTATCGGGTCCGAATTGGTTCAGAAGTACGTGGGCGAGGGAGCAAGAATGGTGAGAGAACTGTTCGAAATGGCTCGCACCAAGAAAGCATGCATTATATTCTTCGATGAGATCGACGCTATTGGTGGAGCTCGATTCGATGATGGCGCCGGTGGAGACAATGAGGTCCAGAGAACTATGCTGGAGTTGATTACACAATTAGACGGGTTCGACTCGAGAGGAAATATCAAGGTCATGTTCGCGACCAACCGACCGTCAACCCTGGATCCTGCTCTGATGCGACCTGGTCGTATTGATCGAAAGATTGAGTTTTCACTACCTGATCTGGACGGTCGAGCTAATATTCTTCGCATTGTAAGTTCTCAATTCCCCCTTTTGATAGATCATCTGCTAACTGAAGGGGCTGTAGCACGCAAAGAGTATGAGTGTGGAGCGTGACATCAGATGGGAACTTATCTCCCGACTATGTCCCAACGCCACAGGTGCAGAACTAAGAAGTGTTGCGACCGAGGCTGGCATGTTTGCGATCCGTGCGCGGAGGAAGGTGGCAACTGAAAAGGATTTCCTTGCCGCGGTGGACAAAGTGATCAAGGGCAATCTCAAGTTCAATTCGACTGCCACATACATGCAATACAATTAGAAGCACGTTGGGCTCGTCGAACCGGATTTTTGAGATAGATTAGCGTCGCATTTGCTTTGGAGTTCGCTGAGATGACTACCAGCGAGGGAAGCCTGCGGGCTTCATGTACTCTGTACCATAAATGAATCACTACAACGGGTGGAGGGTGATGGGATCAGCGTATAATCACTACATCCGAGTACCCCTCGAGGCTGAACTTTGGTGTCTCGACTACTAGTAGGAGGCGAGAAGGCTCCTGATTTTTCCGATGCTTCATGTTCAAGGCTTGCAGATAGCCGTGCCAAGATTCTCGATTGCTGGAAGGTCACGGGAACACGAGTTGCAGTGGCAGAGAATAGCTGGGTCATCAAACAATGATAAAGTCTATCAAAGTCTGGCTAGCTTGACTATCATGGTCGATGAGATGGTATTGAAGAAATGGCCACGGACATATGAAGGAGGAGATGCTCATGACTCGAGTTACCCAAGTACTTCAGTAGTGTGTTTTGATGTGCCTAGGCAAAGCCGAATTCACTAATCCGAGTCCCGTGATTCGCCAGCAGAGCTTCAACGACGCATCGATTCTCGTTCCGAATCTCTACATGCTACTTGCGTTCTCTTCCATTCTTGTCTTTCTTGCTCTACATCGCTCTCCGCTCCGAAATCCCCAGCTCTCTGATGATCTCTAGCCGCGCAAGATGAGTTCTTCATCTATCTTGCGGAGCTTGACTCCTGCCGCAAAGGTATGCGCATGCATTCCATCTCTGTGCACTCTTCCGATCCTGATCCGATTTGCAGTTCTCTCGATCCTTTGCTCGGAGCACGAGACATTTCAGTTCAACTCGACCTGCCGGTATGTCGTCTACCTCCCTATCTATCTTCCGGAGCATACATCTGACTCACGACAGCACTTATTTATGGCACCCAACCTTTACGAGCGAAAGAAGCCGAGGGACCAATCAGCCGACAATACCCAGTCATCGTGAGAGAATCTCGACCTGAAGGATGAGTACAAGAGGCTGATACATGCAGGACCATGAATATGATGCGGTTGTCGTTGGTGCAGGTGGTGCAGGTCTAAGAGCAGCTTTTGGCCTGGCTGAAGCGGGCTTCAACACAGCCTGTATATCCAAACTATTCCCTACTCGAAGCCACACGGTGGCGGCCCAGGGAGGAATCAATGCAGCGCTCGGAAAGTAAGTTAGAGTCGTCCTGTATGAGACGTATGGGGATGCCCGGCTAACACGTTTGCAGTATGCACGAAGACGACTGGAGATGGCAGTATGTTCCCCCGTTTTGAGCTTCTTTACGGCCCTTGGTCGTGGGCCAAATCAAAGAACTATACTAACTGGTCACCCTTTTCCAGCATGTACGATACTGTTAAGGGATCCGATTGGCTTGGAGACCAAGACGCCATCCATTATATGACTCGTGAAGCCCCTCGATCCGTCATTGAACTCGAAGGATATGGCTGCCCATTTTCGCGAACCGAGGACGGACGGATATACCAAAGAGCATTCGGTGGTCAATCACAGAAGTACGGTAAAGGCGGGCAGGCATACCGCTGCTGTGCTGCTGCCGACAGAACTGGCCACGCTCTCCTGCATACACTATACGGTCAATCATTAAATTACAACACCAACTATTTCATCGAATACTTCGCCTTGGATTTGATAATGGAAGATGGTGAATGTCGAGGAGTCCTCGCCTACAACCAGGAAGATGGCACCCTGCACAGATTCCGCGCAAACAACACAGTCTTAGCAACTGGTGGTTATGGTCGAGCCTATTTCAGTTGTACATCCGCCCATACTTGCACGGGTGACGGCATGGCTATGGTTGCCCGTGCAGGACTACCCAACCAGGATCTCGAATTCGTCCAATTCCACCCTACTGGTATCTATGGTGCTGGATGTCTGATCACCGAGGGTTCTCGAGGTGAGGGAGGTTATCTATTGAACTCGGAAGGTGAACGATTCATGGAACGATATGCACCAACTGCCAAGGATTTGGCTTCTCGAGATGTCGTCTCAAGATCCATGACCATGGAAATCCGAGAGGGGCGTGGTGTCGGTCCGGATAAAGATCACATTTATCTGCAACTGAGCCATCTACCAGCAGAGGTGCTACACGAACGTCTTCCTGGTATCTCCGAGACAGCATCCATCTTTTCTGGTGTCGATGTTACGAAACAACCGATCCCCGTTCTTCCGACTGTGCATTACAACATGGGTGGTATCCCCACCAAATATACTGGTGAAGTTCTCCGCATCAACGACCAAGGCGGTGACGAGGTTGTTCCTGGTCTATTCGCATGCGGCGAGGCTGCATGTGTCAGTGTTCACGGTGCCAACAGACTTGGTGCCAATTCTTTGTTGGATCTGATCGTCTTCGGGCGAGCCGTTTCGCATACTATCCGTGATAATTTCTCCCCTGGAGCACCTCTCAAAGAGCTTGCATCAGATGCGGGTGCAGATTCGATCAACGTTCTTGACAAGGTCCGAAATGCGGACGGTCCCAAGAGCACCAACGAGATTCGAGCCGCCATGCAAAAGACCATGCAAACTGATGTCAGTGTTTTCCGAACTCAAGAATCCCTGGATGAGGGTGTCAGAAAGATCAATGAGGTCGATCAGACATTCGACCAAGTGGGTATCAAAGACCGCAGCATGATCTGGAACTCCGACCTGGTGGAGACACTGGAACTTCGAAATCTATTGACTTGCGCGTAAGTCACTGGTCAAACAGCTGGGCATATTGACATATTTGCTAACAACTAATTGCAGAACACAAACGGCAGCATCAGCAGCCAACCGCAAGGAGTCTCGTGGCGCTCATGCCCGTGAAGATTACCCTGAGCGTGATGATCAAAACTGGATGAAGCACACACTGTCATGGCAGAAAGCTCCCCATGGAAAGGTTGAGCTCGGTTACCGAGCCGTGGTCGGCACCACTTTGGATGAGAATGAGTGCAAGGCTGTGCCTCCGTTCAAGAGAACATATTAGTGCTCCGGAGAAGGTGGGAAGTGGTGACAATATGGGTGTAATTTGACACCTTTGATGTATTTGTCCCCATTGCGCACAGACCGTAATCAGCGTAGTGTACAAAAAGAAAATATATAACACCTTGACTACGAAAACAGTGGTATCCTCATTCCCCTATGACGTACTCACAGCCTAAGATATCCAAAGATCAGCAATCATCTGAACAAGCCGAACTCAGGGCATGATAGACCATGTACCTTCATTTCCCATCCAGACCTCATGCAGTCTCCCTGCGGCAACATCTAGCCTCGCTCCAGCGCCAAAGGTCTCCTTGGTTGGGGTTTCATCCTCGGGATATGTGATAGTCAAGGAACCCCGGCGGATCAAGTGCGTCGTGAGGCCTGAGTGCGAGTGTGGAGAATAATGTGCATTTGGCCCATCTGTCCAGGTGAAGACATGGGAGAATCCCCAATTGCGGACTGTTTGCTCGTCATCTGCGCGTGACTGCTTCGGCGTGGAACTTGTCGCTGGGTTGTCTTGTCTTGTCATGGTGGTTTCTTGGGAGTTGTCCAGTTAGGTACTGAGTCTGCACCTAGGTACCTAGGTAGTTAACTAGCACCTAAATCCTCTTAACTAATTCCCATGTGTGGTGTGCATTTTATGGATGTGCTGACGTGTCCGATAAGGATAAGGGCACCCTGAAGGGCAGGTGGGCTTGGCCTACGCCACAGGGTCCCTGACTTGGATCTTGATCCTTCAGGCCCTCAGGCAACTTGCAAGGCATGTTCCAGGGATCCAAGTTTATTTCGAGCTCAGGCTGTATGTTTGTTCATGGGATAAATATCCCCGCGCGTGCCACCAACTTATTGTTGGTAGAGCCTACTTCTGGCCCCTCGGACGAACCATCACCATCTACGACTGTATAGGTTGACGCGCATGTCCATGAGCACTTCAAGTTCCGCTGAGATGTTCACTTTTGTTTGCTGTTGGATGACACTAAATCAAAGGCTACATTGAGTCGCATTCCTTCCTTCCATTCACATTCATGCAAGCGCCACTAAGCTGCTCCTTCCCTCAACCTCGTTCAGGCGCAAAGGATCCCAGGTCCTCCTCGACTTACCAATAGAAAGTTACTTCGAGGCCCAGACTGCCACTCCCACAAACGTCTCTTTGCTGCGACTCCTAACTTCATCCCTCCCTGTTCAGCTGAGCTGAACTCAACGTGTCCGCTCCCTACTCTGCCTCCCGCTTTGACAGCGCGTATATAATCCATTTCACACTCTGTGCCTGGACTCTCTAGCTCTGGGGAGTGTCAATCACACATCATGGCTTCCAACAAGGCCACCGAACATCAACTTCCAATCCGCGCAGCAGGAGGTGGCCAACCTTCAGAGAAAGCTGCTTCCTTTTCTCTGACTCCCTTCTCAGAAGCAACTCTTGGCCATCTCCTTTCCGCATACAAGGCATTGCCCGCCCAACAAAGAGCCCAAGATGGCCATCAATTTTCGGACGAGTCGTCCTTTCTATCCTACATGGCATCTCCCGAGTCGGCTGCCATGTCGGACTCAGTCCCGAATGATCTGAGTTACCCTCTCTCGTCCTACTACATCAGTTCAAGCCACAATACCTATCTGTCAGGCCACCAGCTTTATGGCGATGCTAGCGTTGAAGCGTATACCAATGTCCTCAAGAGGGGCTGTCGGTGTCTAGAAATCGATGTTTGGGATGGCAGCGACTCGGATACCAGTAGCTCCGATGAAGACGAGGAACGCTCCAAGTCATCTCGCTGGGGCAAAGTCAAGGCTAAAGCCTCCCGCATGCGTTCCCGCTCGCGTTCTGGGTCTATGCGTAGCAGTGGTCCACCAAAGGCTCAGTCAGACGCACAGGGAGGTACATCACAATCATATACCGAACACCACATTTTGTCTCGCCATTCTTCAATAGCCTCCACCACCAAATCAGCTTACCTTTCCCCTCATCCTTCTCCCAACATTTCCTCAAAATGTGAACCTCGTGTACTTCATGGCTATACCTTAACTCAGCCCATTACTTTTCGCGCCGTTTGCCATGCCATCAAAGATTCGGCCTTTGTCAGCACCGACTTGCCACTCATCGTATCGCTAGAAGTCCATGCCTCCCCTGCCCAGCAAGAGATGATGGTACAGATTATGAAAGAATCCTGGTCGAGTCTACTCGTCAACCTTAGCGCCGAATCTCAGACAGCCACTCTGCCCTCCCCAGAATCACTGAGGAGAAGGATCCTGATCAAAGTCAAGGCGGTGCCTGTCCCAGATGAATCGAGCGCTCATATCGAGCATGTTAAGTCCAACACGACTGATGGAAGTCAGGAGGATGGTGCTTCCTCATCTCCGGAGAAAAAAGTGAAGAAGCTCTTGACCGCACTTTCGGACCTTGGAGTCTACACACGCGCGTACACTTTCAAAACGTTTTCCCAACCCGAAGCGAAAATCCCCACGCACGTCTTCAGTTTGTCTGAAAGCAAAGTCCACGACATGCACCCAGATCCCTCTTCCGGTCCAGCATTGTTTGAACACAACAAGAGCTATCTCATGCGCGTGTTCCCAAAAGGTACTCGCATTGGCAGCTCAAATGTCGATCCGACTTTCCATTGGCGACAGGGTGCGCAAATGGTGGCCTTGAATTGGCAGAAACTCGACAAGGGTATGATGCTGAATGAGGGTATGTTTGCCGGTTGTGGAGGCTGGGTATTGAAGCCAGAGGGCTATCGCACACGTCGTCAGGGCGAAGTGATTTCAGAAATGCGCGGAGATCCGAAATCAGCAAGTCTTTCCAAGAAATGTGCGCTCGATCTTGAAATCTCCCTTCTTGCAGCTCAAAATCTACCACTGCCTATCGACAAGGACGTCTCGCATGCGTCAAAACTGAAACCCTATATTAAGCTACATCTGCATGTAGATACCCATGGTCCTCCCGGTCAAGGTCACACGAAGCCGGAAACAGATGCACATAGTGGAGAGGAGATCGATGAAAAATTCTATGAGCGGAAATCTGCGACATACAGAACATCAAATCCCGATTTTGGTGGTGAAAGGGTGACGTGGAAACAGATTCCGGACGTGATGGATGAATTGAGCTTCATCAGGTACGTTTCCACCTTCTTATTGATGACCTCCTTCTGTTCCGACCCCTTTGAGCCTCTTGCATCCGATTCGGATTCAAGGCTCGTCAGATGGACACCATGACTGTTTTCTTTTGATGATCTGCCCTATTTCGTATTTCTGCCTAGGACACGACGGCTTTTCAGCCCAGTGGTACGATGTCAAGCCTTGTGGCGGTATCGTTTGATACTCGTCAATCGATCAACCAGCGCGATCTTGGCGATAGTCAAAGCCAGATCGTGATGCCCTATGCAATGTCGCGCATTTGGACGGCTCTTAAAATCGTGGCCGTCCAATCGCATACCTTTGGCGCCTTGACGACCCTTGCAACGATGTCCTGTCAGTTCTGATGACCCTGGTGATTTTCCGGCTAAGAGGGCTATTCTCTGCACGATCATGTTGTACGAATCACAGAATCTGTCGGCAGCGCTGGACATGCTGGTTTTGATCCTGCTATGTTATGTGACACATCATATTGTGGCTTGAGTTACAACCCACAATGAACTATTACTGACATCTGCACTACTCCATAGGTTGAAAATCAAAGACGACCGATCCATTGGCAAGGACAACCTACTTGCCTGGGCGTGTATCCGCCTTGACCGCCTTAAGCCGGGCTATCGATTTATTCATCTTCTTGATGCAGCGGGTTTGCCCTCGTCCGGCGCACTTCTCGTTCGGGTGACAAAGCAAGTGAGTTAAACGGGCGGGGAACCTTTAAGGTGGAGCTTGGGTTCTGGCCCGCCCCCACTCAAAACACAATTGACTACAACTACTCGTGCGAGTACATCGATCTCCTCATCTGAGTTAGCATGCTCGAGTTCACAACATCCCCTCCTGGCTGTGTTCCTTGCGATCGCAGCATCTGACTCGCACCCATGGCACTTTAGAGAAGCCTTGTCCACCAATGCGCCGTGGTTCACCAACGGGGAACGTCTCTGCCGGTGGCGTTTTAGAGAACACACAATCGTCTTAGCGATGCTATCATCATGTTGCAAGGATGTGTACTGGGCCAATGACATCTACAACTAATTCCCCAGACCCATGATTCCGGAATCGAGCTAATGTGTGCTATCGGCAAGCTGCTCGTTTCAGTACAGCTTGGAAACGCATTCTACCGAGCATTTTATTCTAGCCCTTTACATGTTGGAGCTCCTTGATGGACTTTAGCATTGGACTTATCTGCGTGTGAACATCCGTAAATGCTCAAGCGACACACTTGGTCACTACCCCTGCATGCCGGCTCAGAATGTCAACTACTCCCACCCAGCTGACATTCCTTAAATCTTATCATATCAAATCAGAATCTTCAGTTATCCACTGCACAAGCTTGGATTGCCTGGCCCTACCTTCCACCAACCTTCATGTGACATTGTAGTCTACAATGATGCTTAATCAGGTTTATTCCCCTCTTACAGCCCTCACGGCCAGCATGGTCGACTCGCGGGTCACCGTGCCATTTCTTCAAAGTCAAAGCTTCCAAGATACGAGGCCCACATGACGGGGCAGAAGGCGCCTCGAACTTTCTTCTGGCGATGCATGAAGACTGTATGAGCTGGCAAATGAACTTTTGCTGCCGTTGCTTCCAAGTTTCACAAGTCTGGTGTTGAGAACCAGGAATCAGCTCACCGACAAGCTCGTGAAACTTGATCGCTTGGTATCTAGACTACCGATTACTGATTTATTGAGTTCACGACGGAATGATCCTGCAGAAACGTTGACTGAGCAGAGGCGAGAGGAAACTTTGCTACTCTCGAAACGTACTCCCTGCAACTGCGCCATAACTTTCTGGCTAGTTGCGAGGCTTGGGTCCAACTATTCATTCCGCCCGAAGCTGTGGGTCAATACTCTATCCTGTGGTGCCAACTTATGGACGATACTGGACTTTATTCCACTATACGGAAAAAGTATAAAGATTGCAAAGTCACCGCGTCTTTTCAGTATCTACTTCAGTCGTTCTTGATAGAGATACCATACCCACTGTCGATACATTCAATCCATCACGTTACTATACCTCCTTTTCAATCATGCCCTTTTCAACTCTCGAGGTCGGCATTCCCTTGCTCCACGGTGGTGACCATAAACAGCCATCGCTCCCGTCTCAGCAGGTGCCAAAAGTCCGAGCTCGACCAGTAAGTCAATCTCAGGAACCATGATTTCTCAATCATAGCTGACCGCGCTGTCTTTACAACGCAAAAGATGAACGGCACACGTTGTCCCAAATGCAAAGGGAATGGGGAGGAGGTCTGGGTCATTCCAGGCACACGTTGTCACAAATGTGGCCATCCTTGTTGAATCAGGTTTTCCTTGAAGTTCAAGCTCAGCGTTTGTGGTGGAGGGACATTGTCATTCATTCGTTCGGGAAAGGAATCCTGGCGTTGGGAATATCGCCCGTTTGAATCCCTCACTGGGGAGGCTAGCGAAAGCTGGGGGACTGGATGGTTGTTTAGAGTCCAAGGCAGATATGGTCCGGGCCATGTCTCTGGTCCTGGGCATTCCAAAGACGGAAGATCAGGAAAGGTACACAGCCTATCCTTCACGAGTCAAAAGCCCATGTCATGTCCTCAAGCGCGGACGGATCGGGTCTCAACTGTATGCGAGCGCCAGAGTCAAAGTCAAAGTCAAAGATCATCCTCGTGATGTTGTGGGCTCAGCAGAGTACCAGGCTAGCTTGTGAGGTAGTTGGAGTGGTTCCAGCCCTGGGAGGCTCAATCCCACCGTATCTGATCCTGAGTCCTGACTGGCTGTTCTGTTTAATTTTTTCACCGCATAAGGGCAGGCTGAAGGGTTGAAGCTGCCTTACTCGTCGCTTCCTAGCAGGTCCTGTCCAGAGCCTGACTGGCCCGTACTTTCGATTCTAGTCTGGGAAGAATCTGGTCGGCCCGACGCTGCGCCGTCTCTGATAGCCCCTGCAGTTGGATAAGGAGAGATAGACAGAAAGCGTAAAAGAGAGTAGCCAAACATTTTAAAGTGGAAGAGGGCCAGGGCCTTCTTGGTCGACAGATACGGCGGTGGGCACATAGGTACTTACAGTACCTCGGTGTGCTGTGTTGTGCCGCTGCGCTTTTGTTTGCACTTACGGTGGAAGTTAGACCGTTACTAGTTCCTACCTCGGGTGGTGAAGGCCTCATCCCCGTCCGTAAGCAGCCCTCGGAAGTATGCCGCGTTGCTGCGATGACGGTAGGTGTAGGTGTATTTCTCGGGAGTCGTCTCCAGTACAGCCTGCATAAGGGCCGAGGGTTCTCACGATTCCGCGTTTGGCAGTCGTTGGATGGACGCCGCCATGTCTGCAACGCATGGCCCAGCCCGATGTACGAGTTACATACGCAACAACACCATGTCAGGGCTCTGGGTTGCCGTCCGCATCGAATGGCATTGCATCTACCGAGTTTCTCCAACTTGTTGATTGAACAGGGGACTTCCCTGTAGATGAGCATCGGGCCCAGAAGAGGAAAAGATTTTGGCACATGCGCACACCCTTTGTTTTGTCAGGCGTGGTTTTGTGGTACTATTTTCCAGCCTTGTTCCTCCGCACCCCCGGTCGGGTACCTACGAGTAGGTACATATGTACGAATGGTTCACTGTGAGTATCCACAAAAACCCGTCGTGTATGGAGTCAGCAAAGTCGAGTGGGCTGACCATCTTGGCCTTTGAATCGGATCCCATAGGCCATGATGACGGGGAACGGACGGAGGTAGTCAAGACTTGAAACAAGAATACGTACTCCAAATCCAGTAGTAGTGTTCAATATTCATTTATTCCGTAGTGGCTGGGCAGAGCAAGATACACCTCGGCTTTTTGGTGTATCGAGTGAATTGGTCGCCTGAATGGCTGACGTATGCTTTCGACGAGGGAAGAAGGAGCCTCGAAGAATTGTGTCAATTGCCCAATTATACTATGCATTGGTTCATCCTGGGACGTTGGCACGGGCTGCCCAGAAGCATTATTGAGGGTTGTTAGGATGACTGAAGATCCATACATACGAAACGGCTTGGTTGACTGGAGGTACGAGTACACTGGGAATTCAGCAGGCCCCTGATCCGTACATCTTCCGTGGTTTTCCTCAACGTCTTGCCCGAAGGCTTGGTTTGGAATCCGTTGTCGGTGAATTGTGAAGACGTGTTCGACCAATCCAGGGGCCAGAGAGGAATAATGCGAAGAAGTGGAGGAAGTTGATTTACGAAAGATTAGTGTTTTGTTAAAGCGGCGACTCACTCCATCACTTCTGGCAGCCACTTACCAACTTCAGTTCCGTGGTGGAAGGCTCGACCAAGTTTGTTGCCATTCACAGACTCCCATCATCCCACGGAAAATTCATCTTGGTACAAGGAATTGCGCAGTGTTTCTCGTCAACTCCACAGCTATCTAGATTATCAGGTCAGTTGCTCTCACAAAGGGTTGAGAAGCTGGCACCCTGCTGCCCACAATTCAACAAAGAGATTTTCTCTACAATCAACACGCACACCGAACGACTTCTCAAGTTACACGTGCAACAGCTGGAACTAGCCAACCAGATATGCATTGGGAGCCCGGTCAATAGAAGTTGGATGATGAAAACGGCCGGCTTGAGCCTTCCGAAACAACGGCAGAAACTCATTCGGCAAGAAAGGTGATAGTACCGCTGAGGAATTCACTAGCCTGTCTCTGCTTCAGGTTATCTGGCACTCCACCTCCAGCTTCACTAACCTCGACACACCCCCAAAAGGGCCACCATACAGAAGATGACAAAACCAAAAATCTACCTATATGCCGAGGCGTTAATGCATATCCGTCAGCTCACACTACATGCCTCCCTCCAGACGGACAAAAACGAACACACTAAAATATTCATCTCGTCAGACAAGCAGATCATCACAGCCATTCACGATGGTGAATCCTCTAGCATCTATCTTCCTACTCAGATATCAGGCACTGCAGATGTGACTTTTCCTACTGAGAAAAGGACCGAAATCTCTGCTCGAGTACAGATTGATGATGCCGACCAATTGAAGGCTGGGTCCGAAGATCTGGCCGGTGTGGAAGTTCCATGGTGTGCCACTGACCTATCGGACACCACGTCTGCCGAATGCAAGAGTTGCAACAGCAGAATTCTGGATGGTGGCAAGATCACCATTTGGAAAGATCTGCCAAGTGATCACTGGGCAGACTTGATGGACGTCTGGTTCTGTCACAAGCCTCACAATGACCACTCTCATGACCAGCATGCCGCTGAGGCTAAAGGCTTCTCTGCTAAAAGCAAGATCACTGCTCAACCGGGCACTGGGTTAGTGGACGCTGTATCATTTCTGCTCAATCAAGCCGATTGTTCTGGTATTCAGGTAAGCCTCCATGCAAGCAAATCAGCATTTCATTCCTCCCGCCCTCCTTGGCGAAAAGAAAGAGACTTGTCATCCTCGGTTCGAGGTATTGTTGACTCTGCCTCTGATACACTCGCCATAGACCAAGTCTGCTTTTTGCGATGATGTGAGATTGCAACCTCGTTTTCAACGATGGTCGAATCTCCTCGAACCGCTCATTAGTCTCTCCTTTCACCTTCTAGTCTAGTACAAGACGACATGAAGAATATTGCAGAGGCACAATTCGGCTAATCTCGAAGGGTTAGGAACGAGATTTGTCCCATCAGAATGGCACCACCCTGCATTGTGCATCATGCAATACTGCCCTCGGTTCTAGCCAAGAAGATGGCTATTTCAGGTTGTATAAATCAAGATTAGTACTGAAGACAGTCCAAGGCCTAGAACCGCAGAAATTCCCTCCATCTGTGTTTATCTGTAGCCAATTGCTGTCCTTGATTGAGAGTACAGTCAGTCGCAAGATTGTGCTTCACAGCGAAACTCAGATGGAGAGGGAAACTGGAGGCGGTTCCGGAGGGCTCATCCTCTGGATTTTCAATCCAGACCTTTACTATTCGAGTTCGAGTCGGGGACCTACCGTTCACCGTGCAATGAAGGTCTTTTACAAATCTCTTCTGGAAATTGGAGAATTCTTAGACGAAAACTCCAATACCCACGAAGAGCTAACCGTACCACCAGAAGATTTGGAGGATTTCAAGAAGACGTTACATGATAGTACCACAATTCTCCCACAATCTGCAAGGTCGTTTCAGGATTGGGGAGTTGGTCTAATTGATCGATGGGAGAAGAACGCGACTGGTGCTTCATGGATGGACAAGAACCCACTCAACAAAAAAGTGGATCCAGGATTCGAAGCTTTCAAACTCCCCGAAGGCATGCAAGAGCTCTACTTGTGAACTTTTGAAGTCATGAGAGGCGACTCCTTCGTCCAATGGCTCGATGCAGGAAGTGAACTATTCGACAATCAATTGCCCACTTCCTGTTGTCGCACGCGCACAATCACAGCCCGCCAACGCTCCAGAAGACAAGTGTAATCAGGCATTCCAGTTTCTGGCCAATCAGCATTCAGATACTCTGTTTCATCCCACCGGGGAAGGGTCCTTAGTGGCCTAAGCAGAAGCTCTCCCCCCAACGGGACAGATCGCTTCCCTTAGCGAGACGGAGCAGAATTGATTGTGGTCCGGTGATGTGCCGGTGCTGCTTGCAGGAGTAAACGATGGTCCATCTGGATCACGCGGTACTCTAATCGGACGACCCGGCTGACTTTTACACTTTTTGGCAACCAGCTTTATGATGCAATTTGGGTTGTGTGAAAGACTTTTTGCTATTGCCAAATAGATCAACTCAACGGTACCGCAAACGCCCAGTCAATCGAATCTAGCCTCGATTGGGACAGACTCAATGACCGCCGTCCTGAGAGCTAGCAGGACAGATGGTAAGAGCTTGACAAGGTCTCGCGACCTGTCATACCAGACCCTGGTCGATGGGCGACATGTTTTTTACCCCGTTTGAGTTAGCTCGGAATCAATGCCTGCGTTCAAACAACTTCTTTGCAAGCTCGTAACAATTAGGGGCCCCGATATGCTGTATAGAGTTCAGACCGCACCCGTTAATACCTGGACCAGTTACAATAGGCTGCTAATACATTAGTCTGAACATCGGGTTCACTCGCTACACGTTGAACCAAAAGTTTAAAATATTTTGGACTCCTCCAGAACATCTAATTTGACGACTAACAAGAGATATATATGGTCCTCAGCCAATTCTTTGCAGCTTCGCCGCTGGCCGAAGATGTACGGGGTCCCCTGCCGATCAACGTTACAATGCATTGCGAGTGCTTGATGGAAACCTCTAGTTTTGGCCCATTCTGAACATGAGGTAACAGTGAGTGCCTCAAGCCTCCCAGATCCCACGACTGTTGAGGCGGTCTAGAACCTCTGGTAGAAAGCCCAACCAACGTTCAATTATCGGCCCAAACTAGCTCGGTTGCGGGTGTGTTCGAAGGGAGCCCGTTCGATCAAAATTGACTCCCCTAAGGCCAAGCTGAGCTCCTCTTGGAATGCAAACATTCAGCCTCGAACGCCACCCAAATCATCTCGCATAACGCCTCCGACTCTAGTTGCACCAAAGGGTGTGGCCTCGATGCGGTGCCGACTCTTTACGAGTAAGATAAGTCAATGCCCGTGCAGAATGCGTCAACGCCCGTTGCCCACAATCCTCTATCATCACATTGCCATCGTGGGGAATACCATCATTGCCGGCAATGCCCGTTTGGCATACCCCCCGGGCTCCGGACGCTCCTCTGAAACTCTATTCCGCCCTCCGTCAATCCCTACACGTCCCGCGTGCATGTGAGGCAGATGGCCGCTGCTCAGCGCAGACTATACCTCCAGACACCTCCTCGAGGTACGTAAACAGGGATGCAGAGGACTGCGAACATCCCGGACAATGTATCACGGCTGGCTTGCCCACGTTTTAACTTTCCAGAAAGTATATACAGTCTCAAGCCTGCTTAATGACTTAGCAAGTTTGTTGTAAGATCTCCGCGGGAACTACACAGGTGACTGGCCGTTGGACGATGACTTTGAGAAACCTGATGAACACGCTTTGCGATGATGATTTCCTTGGTCTAGATTGGCTCATAGTTGGACCATTGGATAACCCTCAACTTCTCTTGACCAATAGATCGCATATGCCGATTATTGAGATGTATTTCCACTACAAGCTCTCGCAATGTTCAGCGGGGGGACTGCATGACATCAGAGAATTCACTATCTCTCTGTCTTAAACATCTCTGTAGCCCTGTCGTCCTAATAGGGTCTTTGTTCATGTGTAATGTACGGTCCCGGCACTGCGGATACAGAAAGAATACAACAACTGTATCTTGATCCCTAAAGCTTGATCTCACGGCTGCACCTGGGCCGGTCGGGAGAAGAAATGGTATCTGCGGACTGGTCAAAGAGCTACAGCAGCACATAATAAAGCGCTATAGGTCGGGAAGAGCCTGGCTGGACTGATCATTGAAGACCAACGGGTGATATTGGTTCGGCCGGAGGCAGCAGTAGGCCAGGGAAGATGACCTACAAGTCATCTCTTCTCTAACCGACTTTTATGCAGATGTTCACTCCACCACTGCTACAACACTTGCGTGGATATCTTTTCTAGGCGCTCTCCTCGCCGACCTCATCATGCTCCCCAATGAAGCCAAGCGACCCTGTGTTCCAAGGGTCGATCACAAACCCTGTTGCCTTGCCTTTTTGTCATCGAACTCTTAGGCCAGCTGACTTTGTGTGAGCAGCAGAAAAGAGCAGTTACGTCCACGCCTCATTCTAGACCAATCCACAAATCCACATATCACCGTCCTTGGGCTCTTTTGTTCATTTCCGATGACACTAGACTAGACCGGGGCCATGATTTCAAGCGTCCACCACAGACCATGGCCGGTTTTGACTTTCCCATGTTTCTGCATAAGGCATCTTTTCCATCCCCGTATCCTTGTATGTTGGTTGGGATTTGAGTTTCTTCATCCCTCAATGTACAACGGATGCGAATGTGTGGATCAGACAGAATGCCGCCCAGACCTAGCGGATCCTCCATCGGCGATCCGTCTGTACGGCGCAGTGTTCATGACTCGCGGACTCGCTACACAAGGCATATAGAGTTTTCGCACCCCGAAAGGTGATGCGAATGAAATTATGGTACATCAACGGTTCGAACGGGCAGCTTTGTCCCGCTGAGAAGTCCACTTGTTGGGGAGATGCGTGAGACACCCAGGAGAGGTAGGGATGTCTGCCAACCCACCAGCCACAAAGTATTTCAGCTTGACTACGAATCAAAGTGAACCAGAAGAAGGCTTTTCATGACTCGGATGTTATTTTTGTTATCGTAGAATGAAGTCGGGAATTTATGAGGTCTCTTTCCTTCTGATCAGAGACGGCCGAGTTGAGGCAGGCTTGCGATCGAAGAGCTGGGATAGAGGCGAGGCAAAATGAACTTCGTATCATATCTATGACCTCATTTGAGTCAGCATATCTTCATCTCAACAGCTCAGAGGCATAACCAAGAGAGCAGTAGCATACAACTATTGATGGAAATCCTAAGCAGTGCCCGTTCCAATGTACCAGCCAGTAGTAGGCGACAAGGCTGAACAAGGCTGACCTTCGGCTGAGTTGCCTCAGATGGTGACTACGGTCACGTATTCAGTCCACCCTTCGCCCTCGATGCTTGGCGTCTCTATGCTGGACCGCAGTTTGAGCTCCGGGGGAAGCTTTTCGCAGGGCCAACGTGAACTTGGAACTTCGAACGGGTTGAACAATTTCCACGAACGACCAACCACTCCAGTCATACTTTGATCGCTTTCTTGTTTACAATGAGCGCCCTTCGTCTCTCTCGCGCAGCTCTGCGTGTCGGCTCCGCTGCCGCATTCAAGCCCGTTCAACGCAGAGGCTACGCCGATGCCGTCTCCGACAAAATAAAGCTTTCGCTGTCTCTGCCTCATCAGGTATGCTTTGCTACGAAACCCCCTTCGATCTTCCGGTTGCGGGTCGAGTGGTATTATAGGTGGGATCTATGCTGATGATGTTCTGTTCTAGGCTATCTACAAATCTACCGATGTGTACGTGTAAACCTCGAAAAAGGATCTTACAGGGTTGGGATTGGAATGAGCACGGGAGTCGCTGACTGATATTGAACCATTATAGTGTCCAAGTCAACATCGCCGCCGAGACCGGGGAAATGGGTATCCTCGCACAACACGTCCCTTCGATCGAGCAACTGAAACCCGGTCTGGTCGAGGTCATTGAAGAAAGTGGTGGCAGCAAACAATTTTTCCGTACGTCGTGCCTGTGAAGAACGAGGAGACCTTACTCTCTCGCTGGGTGACCAAGATCACGGAGGAAGTCTGCGAGATTTCGAACTTCGAGGAAGAAAGGAGGCGCTGATATTATATTCTCTTACAGTATCCGGAGGCTTTGCCGTCGTTCAACCCAACTCGGTCCTGAGCATAAACGCAGTCGAGGGATATCCCCTTGAGGAATTCAGCTCCGAAGCCGTCAACTCACAAATATCCGAGGCACAGAAGATTGCCAGTGGCAATGGGAGTGAACAGGACATCGCCGAGGCGAAGATTGAGCTTGAGGTGAGTGGTGGTTGGGAAAGCGAGAGCCTCGGACTGGCCTTTCATCTCTGAGTCCCTGTTCATGACTAACTCTTCTGATAGATTCTCGAGTCGCTCCAAGCTGCACTGAAGTAGAAGTGATGGTGATTGGTTGACTGCTTCTCGATTTGTTGCTTGTGTACATATAAAGAAAGACTCGGAGCGGCAAAAAAGGACAAGAATCAATTTTGATATGCATGGGTGATGGTGAGCTGGGTTATGGTTGACCAAGCTCATCTACCCACTGCAGCTCATTCCTATATTCTCTGCTTGCTCGTTTGTTTTCGTGTCATTCGGTAAATCTTGTCGAATCCAACGACTAACATATGCCTGCATCTCGAGCGATTATCAGGCTATCAAAGTAGCACCTTTGATACCAAGCTAGGCAGTTACCAATCTTCCTTCCAACGGACGGGTAGCTGCCAACGGTGGTAACGCAAATGTTGGATGCAACCACACCCTTATCCCATCGTTCTTGCACTTTCCGGAACTACATGTCAAGTCATACCTGCAGGTGTGGAAAGACCTATTCTCTCAGCTGTGGAATGGCTACTTCTTGTACATGATCATCTCCATATTCTTACTCCCTAGCAATCCTTACGGTGTGAGAAGTTTTTCACATCTTACCTTCTCTCTCACAAAGTCTACCATTGGAGCAGCATCACGATACTCTTTTCCCATAGATCTCAACAATATGAGTATCATACCGAGGTTTGATCAAGACTTCCCGTTTTCGTTCTCTTCAAAAGCACTAACCTTTGGATAGCCCCCAGGCTGGCACCGTTGCTGATAGAATTCGAGCCTTTCAAGGCGGACCTCCTTTCACTTCACCCCGAAAGCAAAACCAATCGAGAGCCGATCAGAATGTGCAAAGTCCACGGAAGTCATTCTCTCGTCCCCGGCCTTCGGTCCAAGTGGAAAAAGATGAAGTTGGTCAGAAGACTACAGCAAAAAATGCACCTGCAAGTCGAAGGACGAGCCGCCGGCGTCAATCCATGGAGATCCTGGCTGGCGAGCCTTCAAGATTTGCAGATGCCAGATCACGCCTTCGCTCTGTGATTGATGACCATGAGGAGAAACCCAACTCACAACGTTCACGAGCTTACACACTGGCGGAACTTAATCACATGCTCGATGATGCAATTGGTGGTAATGTGGACCTCGATGGAAGACTCTCGAGTTCAATGACAGAGGAAGCAACACCAAAGGCGAACGTGTATCAAGACCAACCAGCTCTCTCTGATTCTCAGCGCCAGTCCCATTCGCAAGAGCGAAACATTCGTTCTAGTCTCGATTCTGCCCATCCTCGCAGCAGCGGCTCATCTGAGCATGGTGCTTATGATGATGAGAAGAATGCTCTTTACTGGCCACACCTTATCACCAGAAATGTTCCGAAACGTCCACATACTAGCCATTCCACACGACACGCAAGCACGGCAAGGGTACCTACTCAGGTGGTTGTCGTACCACCTCAAGCAAACCCTGTCCCAGTAAAGTCGCAATTTAGTCCTGTGCGTCAGAGAGCTGCCATGTTCGAGAGTCTGGGTCCAGTGACGGTTGTTCATGGTGAGGACTGTGGGCCTTCTCAGCACCCTCATATCAACTCCACCCGCTCCAAGCAGGAGTTCAAGCCCCCCCTCACGAAGGTACACAAGATTAAACTTGGCAACGTCATTGATGAAAGACCGGGAACACCTCTTATACCACTAACATTGCCACAAATGGTCAGTCCCCGCGAATTGCCGACTTCCTCAACTCCACAGACGGATAACGTTGAGGTAAAGCCGGCTGAATCAAATACTGGTACGGTCACGCAGGACCGCCAACGGAAGCCGTCAATGGGTTGGCCATTCCGATGGGGCATCTTTAACAAAAACGCTTCCACGCAACATGAAGCCCAAGGAGATGCACCAACAGATGCCCAGTCAACAGCCAAAGTGCAACCTGAAACTGAATCGAAAATTGTCAAGAGCAGAGTGCAAGACTTACTCTTGGCTGCAAAGGAAAGAGACGAGGAAGAGAAGAAACGATGGAACTTGGAAAAGGACCGTATGAGTCGAAGGCACAGCAGATTTCCCACCATGGTTGTCAAGGACCCTACTGCTCCCGAGCAACACGTTGAGCCTCAGAGCACTATCACATCTCAACCATCACCTCAGCCACCATCAGAGTCAGCACCTCCGGCGAAGCCTAGCCAGACACTATTCGCAGCTGAGAGTGAAGTCTTTGAACAAAAGACACCCCTTGAACGTGCCATGACAGAGAAACAGGTTCTATCGCCAATGAGTCTACCTCAAGCTATGACGGAATCAGAGACCAGCCCCAGAAAGTCTACACCTCAAACCCCAATCAGAGGAAGATCCAGGAGACCAACGCACCGAATTTCTTTAAACGGCCAAGAGCATCCCATGGAGTCGCAAGTCAGTCTTAGCTCTCGACGTAGTCGAAGCGTGTCTCGGACTGGGGCAGGCGGTGGCGTCAGGGTGGAGGTGGAAGTGCGAGACAGTCCGGAACGAGAGGCAAGAGAAAGAGGTGAAAAGATTGTCATTATCCGAGCGAACGTTGAGGATCTGGTCCGTGAAGAGTGATATGTATTAACCAGATGGTTTCAACATGGTAGTGTTCATAACTTCAACCCCTATGGACTTTATCACTTGTCATTGCATATGACTCCCAGGGTGACGTATGAATAAGCTACACTGATTTCCAGCGAGGCTGGTGAATGCATGTTTGAAGTAGGATTGGAGTTGAAAACCGTAGATTGATCAATAACATATACTTCAGTCTTGACCCTACGGAGTGAAGCACCCGGTCTCGTATGTCTTGTTAGATTGAGTCGAGCCATATATTTAAGTCAGCTTCGCCTGGACACGTACGGACGATTCCAAGAATTCATATGTGATCAATCAGAATTTGCTAAGAGATCAAGGCTTTCAGATCATCTCTACGTTCAACTTCCTCCAACAGACCTTTGAAGTCATCGTCGTCATAATCACGAGCCTGGGATTTGAAATAGGCCATATTGTCCTTGAGCCAACTCGCTTCCTCGCCAGGCTGAGAGCACCAGTATTGATTAGCAAATGAACTCCAACCATCGACTCATACATCAAAGCCCAAAGCCTTGAATGAGACAACAAAGGGGGAAAAAGACTTACACCCGGAATGACCGTGCCCGCCTCCCTAGCCGCAAGCATAGGGTAGAAAGCGACCAAATGCAACTTCTTGGCCTTGCGCCCCAAATTCGACTCCGAAGTCACGTTCCCATTCGCAACACCAGCCTGACCATTCCCATCCCCTTTAACCCCGCTGACAACCTCATCCCACGCATCCTCGATCCTCTTGGCCAGGCGATCAAAGTCCGCTTTCGTGCGACTCGGGCCCTGGCGCACCATGCCGAGGATGCGATTCGGTCCCGCGGCGTTGTGTGCCACGGGCTGGCCGGCGAGGAAGTAGGTCGTGCGGTGGTTCTCGGACTGCAGGTGTTGGAAGACGACGTTCACGAACAGCGAGGGTGTCAGGAACGTCGTGCTGTGGAGTGTCGTGATGTGTTGTGCGATGGCTTGTTGTTGTGATGGGCTGAGCGGGTAGGTGTGTTGGATCTGTTGTTTGAGGAGGGGGTGTCAGTCGCTGTGGGATGTCCTTGGGAATAGTTATATTTCTCATGGAGGGTTGAAGACGACGAGGCTGAGAGTGGCGTGGGCCTTATGCCATCCATGTTCTTCTTTCACTTGTGTTCTCGGCTTTTATTTTTCCGTTCCACGCATCACAAGAGCAGCATGCATGAAGCTTCGTATAATCCCACCCCAAAGGATTAATGCGAGGTTGTTTGTGGATTCATGACAGTGTTTGACAATCGCGACAGGAGACTGACTCACCTCGTAGAAAGGCATGGTGGCTCACTGCGATGCTCTGATAATGTCCAGTATCGACGTCGGAAACAAACTCACTTTCTCCCTTCTGTAATGCTTTCGTATTTGAGAGGGAGATGTTGCAACTGGGCTCGATGGAATATGATATGCCTCTCAGATGATGCCACTGTTGGAAATATCTAATCAACCAAGAATCAAAGGGCTTCAGCTAGGGTTTATATCATCGACAGTGTACATCTCATCTTGCAGATCAACCTGGGGTATTCATGAGGAAGGATCTGCCATTGTCAGCAAGCCCAAGTCGGGTGTATACTAATCATGATTCGATCTTCTCAGGCGAGGAGAGCGGGTTAAGCGACTTAGGATAGTTTGGGGTAGCTAGCGATCTTCACAGGCGGGACCAGGACCCCCGGAAGCACCAAACTTTCTGCACTCCCCCGCAAACGATCGGCTTTGTTGAAGCATTCATTACATCGAATCTTTCGCGCTGATATCTCGGCCCTTACATGCAAGAGTAAGAACAACCGGACTAGCCCGGACCGTTGCCGGTGAGGACGTCTAGGACTCTTCTGTGTCATGTTCATATTCGGATCGGCCTGGCACTCGATCGATGATCAGTGTTCGATCCAGGATAAGCTCAAAGAAGCATCCTCTGTAACTAGTGATACGATATCAAAGAGCTTCATCACTAGTTAAGTAGTCGATTAGCGCAAGGCTGCCCCTGTTCGAAGGTGTCCGCTCGCTTGGGCGAGGGCTTCGTCTTGACTGTACGTCTCATGACGGAGCAGATGCAAGCAAGTCCCCCTACATTTCAATTTCGATTCTGACTTGGAATGTCCTGTAAGCTAACTATCACCTGAGAGTTGCGATCATTAGAACAACGGAAGCGGAGCGAAATTCTTCCAACATCCAGGCTGTCGTCTCTCCTTGATTAGGGCATGACAGTGATAAGGCGCCCCATCCCACATGTCGGCCGGTTCGATGGCTGAGGACAGCTGACATAAATACCTACCTAGCTATCAAGCTAGATTTCTGGTAATTCTGAGCCCTTTGTTTCTACTTCGGCTCCATCAACCACTTGAATGCAAGAGGTACAATTAGCTAATCTGGCGAAGTTGACAACCAACCATGTCTGGCTCAATCTCACCACTCCGCAGCATTCTCATCCTACTACAACCATTAGTGTCTGGAGCACTCCTAGCCGCAACACATTGGTATCCAGAAGAAGTGAAGACGTTTCTCTCGAGCACCATCATCAAGGACACAGTCGGACTCAGCACCATCAAAGCAGGACTGTTACCGATCGTCCTGTTCCTAGTCTACCACGCCAACAAGCACCTCGATCGCCTGGCCCTCAACAATTTCACGTCAGACACGACGTGGGACTGGAAGCGTGAAGTCGTGCTTGTAACGGGCGGCAGCAGCGGGATTGGAGCGGCGATTGTACGAGACTTCTCAAGACGGGGCATCACGGTTGTGAATGTCGACATCTCACCGCCTCCGCCCTCGAAAGGATCAACCCCGTTATCAAAAGTCCACTTCTACAAGCTCGACGTGCGCTCCAGCGCCGCCCTCAGCGCAGTAGCAGAGAAGATCCGCGGCGAAGTCGGCGCACCGACCGTGGTGATCAACAACGCCGGGCTCGGCGGCGGACAACTGGTGCTCGACGAGAGCGACGAGACGCTCGAACGCACCGTGGCTGTCAACCTGGTCGCGCACTTCAAGATAGCCAAGGAGTTCGCGCCGGACATGATCGCCAAGAACCACGGGCACGTCGTCACGGTCGCGAGCATGGCGAGCTTTGTCGCCGTGACTTCGAGCGCGAGCTACGCCGCCACGAAAGCCGGTGTTCTCGCTTTTCATGAGGCGTTTGCCGGGGAGTTGAGGTGGCGCCATCGTGCGTCGAGAGTGCGTATGACGTGAGTAGCCACAGACACTGCACCATACCCTTTTCATTTTCTCCCCCCTTTCAATGTCTTGAATGGAATCCTGCCTGGTATACATTTGTATACACCCTAACTCAGCGCTCTACCTATCTAGATCCGTCCATCCGATGTACGTGCGTACGGCGCTCACGGAAGCACTGGTGACAAGTGCGCAATGGAAGAAAACCCCGCAAGTCCTGCTCGAGGCCGAGGACGTCGCAGCGGCGGTCGTGGCACAGGTGCTCAAGGGTGAAAGTGCACAATTGATCCTCCCGCCGCGAATGGGCTTCGTCACCACCCTGCGCGGCTGGCCCCATTGGATGCAGATCTATGCGCGGGGACTTTCGAGGGACTTGATTTTTAATCCGAAATAGATAGGTGAGCGAGTGAGCGAGCATATATGTGGAAGAACAGCAAGCGCTTTAAATACTTGGGCAACTCATGGGAACATTGCCAACTAGTTACTGTTGGAGACACCACCCCCAGCTGAGCATGGAGAGGAGCTGCGCAAGCATACCGGACGGAACACATCAATTAAGGAGACGTGGCAGTAGAAGTCGGACATCAGTATCACTGGGTTCAAATGGATTCAATTCTCCCACAGACCTTGTTACATAGTACTACAACAATCACGTCCGATCGAGCATGACAGACAAGCCGGTACTAAAATCCAACTCCAGCTCCACTGACTTACTCCTCTCAGCCTTGCACTGCCAAACGAATGCCTCTAAGGCACACCCACCCCACCCATGATCTATCGTCTAACCGTACTGGCCTTACTCCTGCGACTAGCACGACTATCAACACTGATCTGACTGACACTGTCTTCAGGCCTGACTTCCTTACTCGTGACATCTAGCCTCGCGATATCCTTGTGTTTCCCAATGACGCTCTCGCTGCCGCCGTTCTCCGCAAAATCCTGGTAGACCGTGTTGTGCTTCAGATTCCGGGGCGTGAGTTTACCAATGATGGTCCTCGCGGCGGGCGTGTTTCTCGACGGGCCGAGACCTGATCGCGCCGAGACGAAAGACCCGTTCTCCGATCCTGCCCATGTCGCGGCGCGGGAGGGTGGGAGGGGGTAATCTTGGGGGTCTTTGTCGTGCTCGCTGTCTTTGTGGTGGTGGCGATGGTGCGAGTGTTTCGATCCGGACCGACTGGGAGCTTTCGAGCCTGAATGGCTGTGCTCGGAGGATTTTTGATAGCTCTTCGTGCGGTGTGAAGACTCTGTGACGTGGAGGACCGTTCGCGCTTCTTCGTCGTCGAAATCGTCTTTCCTACTGCGTCTTGAGTGGCCCGACTGTCTTGATTGGGATCTGGGTCGAGTTGATCCGGCGTGGGATTTCTTCTCGTCATCCTCACCACTCCGACCACGGGCGAGACTCATCACACGGCTCAAGCTCCCGGAACGACTTTTCGACCCAGACCGTGATTTTGTTTTCGAGACCTGGGTTTCTACGGTCGTAAGCACCGTCGGGGCACGGTAGCTGGTCGGTGGTGCTTCTAACATCTTCGTCCCCTTTTTCGATGGCCGACTTGCCTTCGAGGTTGCTTCAGATGCAAGCTCAGGATCTCGAGGCCCTGGGCCAAAGCCAGAATCGATACTCCTCCGTCTTGAAAATGCCGTCCCTGTTTGAGCTGGAGCTTTGATGGTGGATTGGTAATCTGATTTTCCTCCGTCATTGTCATACATAGTGATCATCCTTGGATCTTCAATGTGACTCTTGGTGTTGTATGTGTAGGCCGATGGTGCTGCCTCAATGGCGTGATATACTCTAGCTCCTTCGTAGTAGGTTGCCGAAGCTCCACCTGCAGAAGAGTATTGGGGTCCTATCATATTCGGCTCAGTTATACTCCGGCCTGCCACACTAGGGCGACGAGGTTCTGGTTTGTGTTCTTCACCACTGGCACTTTCCTTTGATCGGTTACTGAATGCATAATGAAGGGCAGCACCAGCAGCCACCCCGAGAAGCGTCCCAACAATAGCATCACCGGCACCTAAACCGGTAGAATTTGTATTCGTTGCAGTATTGGTGGCTGGTGGTGATGAATTTGAAGAGATCAGATTCGGCCGTATGCTATTGACGAGGCCGCGTGCGACACCTGCAGCGTTGCGTGCTTCATTTATCAGTGTATCGAGTACATCGCCCTGAGGTTTAGGCTTGGGTGCTGTGGGCTCGGATGTTGGAGCTGAGGGGGCGGCCGAAACACGAGTATGAGCCGCGACAGTCCTGACTTGAGATGGAGCATTGCTCCGAGCCTGGGAAACAACCGTTGGTGCCTTGACCGAGACCACGGTCCTTGGTGGTCCCACGGCGGTCGATGGGGCTTTAGCCACACTACGGGCAGCAGTTCTGTGAGAGACCGTACTCCTCAAATCTTCGGTTTCCTTATTCTCGTCCCCAAAGCCAGGGCGATAGACTGCCTCGATAGAGTTACCATCGAAGTCGATCACTGCGGCGGAATAATATCCCGTGACGTCCCTCTGAGCTGGTTCGCCATGAATTTTGCCACCAGCTTTGAGGGCGGCGAGAAAGAATGCTTGAACATGGGCGTGGGACGCTGCTGGAAATGCGACATGTGCAGCTCCAGCAGGTACTCCGGGAATTTCCTGCGTGATCCAAAAGTCGGCCGGGGTATTTGCAGGGGATTCTGGTCCAAAGCCGATCGTGTTTGCTTGCCGTCCCCGAAAGACGTAATTCAAAGGTTGTAAGGCGGAGAGGAAGAAGGACGTTGAGGTGGGGAGATGGCTGACTGTGAGGGTGATTGATGTGGGCATTGAGTGAATGGCTGGTTTGAGGAGTCGTGATTGATCAACAAGGTATCGGGAATAGAGAAATTGAAGATCGATAGTTTTATACAACGGTAACTCAACCAAGTCACTTCTGGATTGCGTTCAGAAATGTGAAAGTGATCGGTCTCGTGTTGCGCTCTGATTGCGAGGGTAGTCGAATGAACCACTTAGGCCTGGCCAAAGGCGAACAAGAAGAGTAGACTGGGACTGAGAACGAGACTGTCGACTCGATTGCTGGTATCTTGTATGCAAGAGGACAAATATAGCCACAGCCTGTGACCTGTGGTGATGACAAGTTCTTCTCAAGAACGAGAAGAGAAAAGAGCGCAATTGTGGCTTTCGTTCTGTAGGCAGAGAGGTGCCTGGGTGGAGGAAGCCTGAAGAAGGCTAGACTTATGCAAGAGAGGAAGCCACCAAGAGGGAACAGAATAGATGCACAGGCACGAGTGCAGAGGAAGCGGATCGTCTCAGACCACAAACAAGCAGCGTGAATGCTGAATATAACAAGCGCAACAGTTCAGCCAGGCACGTTTCCTTCAGGGCGGGTAGTGGAGGAGGAAAGGGCAGCGAAGCAGAGAAAGATCAGCAAGACGAAAATGGGATAGTTGGAAGCGGACCTTTGCTCGGAACAAAACCCTGAGAAGCCGCTGATCAAACCTGTGATGATGATGCTTATGATGATTCAATCAAGAAGATGTGGTAGGGACTTGGGAACGATGAACGACGAACCACCTCGAGGGGAAGTAGAGGAATAGGTCGTGAATTGGATGGATATGAAAACCAAAGCGACGCAATCAGACACGAGGAGGGAAGTGGCTGGGTACCTGTACAGTATCTGTAGGCTGCCATGAGCGTGACTTAGTAAAGTGAACAGCAGACGCTGTGGTTTTCCCCTCTGGCGTGTTGATTCCGCCAGTTCCAATGGATGCAACGACGCCAGGACGAAACAGCAGGCGAGTGGGCAAGAGGATGGAACAGGCGCCTGACCACTGCAGGGCCCATTTCAGCTTCACAGCCTGAGGTACTGGAGAGGGATACTTGGGATACTCGTACCTGCCTAGTTCCCAGATGGATTGCATGTCCCGTCTTGACTTTTGGGAAACGGGACCACTGCACGACCGACCTACCTTGGGTACATGCGTCGTCCCTCACCTGCCTGCCAGACGCCTTCTTTCCCGCTCAGGACAAGTCCAGACGAAGAGAAGAGGGAGCGGAGCGACCAGGTCGACAAGAGTCTCCGTGCATCGGTGAGGCGGGCAGATCCTCCAGATGTTGATGGTGGCGACGAGTAAGAATCAAAGAGAAAGTGGAAATGCAGTGGTGGAACAAGCGAGAGGCTGCCACGTCGATATTTGAATGGATCCGCAGCAATCATCGGAGAAGGGACCCTCCTGTGACCTTTCCAGGGCCCGTGGCTTTTAGGCTTCTTTCAGTTAAAAGCAGTGCTTGATTGGGAGGGCGAGCCCTGTCCCAGGTGCCCAAGAAGCCCCTAAACAGCCCTAGAGGAAGCTACCAAGCTGGAGCAATGACAAGGGACCCTGTGGTGCTTTTTTGGTTGGCTCTCCCGCGGGCCGTCGCGAATCGTGCCAGTCGGGCGCCAATGCATCCTGGAGCCTGCAGTGAGTCAGTGACTGAGATGGTGATGGTGGTCATCTTCAACTCGTCACGCTCAAGCTCCACGCGCGGATATATCGCCGCCATAATTATGTCAAGGTCTGATCTAATCTGACAGAAGCAAATAAGACCGAGAAACGTTTTCTGGATTTGTTGACTGCATGCCTGTCTTTAGGCAGATAGTTCTCATCAACGTGGTTGAATGATCGTCAGATTTTCATTCTTCATCACGACTCACCATTCCAGCTCTCACAGCGTGAGTGCTGATCATGTATGGTATGGCCTAATTTACTTCTGTCTCCTGATCGAATACGATCTACCCGTCCCACGATTAGACAAATGACCATGTAGGAGCATAGCTAAGGGCGCCGAGTTTGTATGCCCACCAGCGCAACTCTCCACCACCACCGAGGGACTATTATATCGACAGTGTATCCACTCTCTCATGATTCAATCATTATGTTCTCTTTCCCTCCAAGTACTATACCGCTTTTCCCTTGTTCTTTTCGTCATGGATAATTTTCCTCCTCTCATAACACATCAATTTTGATCGGAGCCGGAAAAGGATTCCCCGTCGCCTGAACTCCGGCTGTCGGGCCTCCTTTTTAAGGAAGATAGGGTAGGTTGACTACCACTACCAAAGGTATTGTCGCCAAAGACGGGAACGAAATCTCGCCTTGAGGTAGTTTTGTGTTGAACCATGTTATGTCTTGTTATGAAAACAAACGCCAGTTCCAACCAGGTTTTCCCCCAACGCTCTTGGACCACGCAATTGGCAAGGCAAGAGGGCGATGGATGTTGTGATCCAGCCATTGCACTCCAAAAGCGCCCTGTCCAAGTAATCAAAAAGAAAGAAAAGAGAGACGAGCGGAAAGAAAATATATCCTAGACAGAAAGGTATGTAAAGGGGGAGTATCAGTCATAAAACGCATACCTAGACGATGTTCCAGGAATCTTCACAGGCGTGGCAGAACTTGCTGCAGGTCACACTGGCGCTCAGGCTGTAATTGCTGATACTGATGGCCTCGTCTTTGAACTCGTCGGCAAAGTCGTCCTTTCCTTTGGCCATGGCGCCGACGAAGACACAGATGCTTTCGGTGGGGGACAATGTGTCGACATAATCTCGGACACCGACGACATCGGCGTCGAAACTCAAGGTGACTTTTCTGCAGTTCGGCGGGAGGTGGTCGGTGATGGGGTTCTTGATGACCTTCAACAGCTTTTCCTGGGAGTTGACCGATCGGATGGAGAGTCGATGGAGCAGTTGCACCATGAGACCCGCAAAGCGTTTGAAGGTTCGAGGGATTCGCACGGTCGGGCTGACCTCGATCAAGACACCCTTGGCGGTGTGGATGAAGATCTGCAACTTTCCGGCCTTGTTGATGGGCGAGTCGAGGAGGGTGAGAAGACACTGCACGTTGAAGTCAGTTCATTCACGACCCGTTCAAGGTGGGAGATGTAGCCACCTGATGGGTGATGTCGGGGCGGGCGTCACTGATGTCGCGGCCCATCTTGCGCATGACTCCGATGTGTTCATCGCTGTTCAGCAACGAGTATTTTTCTTCTTTACCGCCAGGCTTTCCGCCGCTGTGGGCTGCTCGGTAGGTTTCGAGACTGGCATTGGACAAGACGACGATCAGTCTTCGGGTGTCCTTGTCGCTCGAGGAGATGGGCACGTGCTGCTCTGCAACAAGTCGAGGAAGTTCAGGTGGGGGAAGTGACTGCGTTCCTGGTGGGTGTGAGTGCACAGAAGGGTATTGGTCATACGAGATGTCGCTATGGAAGGATAGGATGAACTGCAAAGGATCAGTATTGGAACGTACTTGTACGCTTCCTCTTGTTGGCCGTGGTTGAAGACATGGTGGTGGTGGTGAGGCGGATGGTGCGATGAACAGAGGCGGTGAGGGTCAAGTATACAACGTGAGAGCGATCGAGCAGAGGAGGTGTGAGTCTTTATGGACAGCCAGGTGAAGTCTGGATCCTGGTGAAATAATCTTGTGTAAAAGTCTGGGAACTTTAGTGAAGCAGTCCGAGTGTAAGGCGACCAGAGAGAATATCGTGTGCGTGATGGAGAGAGGGTGCGGGGGAAGTGTAAGAATAAGTACCTCGTATGCGAGGTCAGGAAGGATCGGGAGAATCGATGATGCTGAAAAGAGATACCGGTAGAGCTTACTAGTATTGATTTCAAGGGGTGCACGGTTCGTGTAAGATGTAGAAAGAGAAGTAGAGTTGGACAGCCGGTCCAAGCCAAAAACCTTGTCGACGTCCGCAATTGTAGGGTCACGGTTGTGAAAAATGTCCCCGAGGATACGACTCACGCGAGTGGCTCCGATCGGGTGGAAAAATCAATCCTGGTCCATGCCAAGACTCGTTAGATCCCCACCATGTCATGCAGGACGTCGTTCAAATGAGCACGGAGGACCCATGGAGTACGGATACTTTGTACGACAATCAAGACAAGGAAACATACCTAGGTAGGTACCTAGGTACTGATATTAACCGTGCGTACTTCGTATCTATCTGTCCATGATGACAACAAAGTCTTGGGTTCAGTCCAGTCAATCTGAACCTTTCAGAGAAAAAGGTAGGTTAACAAATGCCTCATAAGACTAATGTAAGTACAGTCCAGGCCAATCCTTGTTCTCTCCTACTAGGTAAGGTACACAAATCGAACATTTTTCTGTCTCCTTCCAAGAGAAAAAACCCTTTCATATTCTCCAAGAATAAAGAATTGGGAAAGATATGCGCCCATCACCACCGGCTTCTTCCCCATTGAAAAACCACAAACGAAATTGACTTGTACTCTAAGGAAAATGAAATTCGGTTTTGCTCTCGTCGCTGCGTCAAAGTCGTAACGCCAATGAATTCCTCGTCCATTGATTGCCGTTGACAACATAGAACCCAAAAGTACACCGGCACCGCCACAGTTGATAGAGCCCTTTACTTGACTTCCCCGATTGGCTTGTGAATCCCATTGCTACTGGCCATAGATTCTCACTTTTCGGATCGAATGTGTTGATCGAGTGAGTTGAACATGTTTTCCCCAAGAGGTGATTGTGGTTGGATCAGGTCGCTGGCTATGCGAGGTGGTTTTTCGTATTCCCGGTTCAAAACCCGATCGGGGATTTCATCGTCCTCATGGATTCCAGTCTCGAAATCTGCCATCTGCGGACTGGACACACTCGTGTCATCGCCCATGTCAGTCGCTGTCCCCACCGTTGACGGCGACACCCTGCGAAGTCCAGGTATTGAAGACATGTGCGTAATCGAAGAATGCGCCGTGCTACTGTTGCCCACTTGTTGCATTTCCCTTCCTGTCGATCCTTTTCGGTCGCTGACTTCTCCACCTTCTCCAGCTTCTTGAACCACGGGGAGAAGTGTATTACTCTTCGCCTCCTCGGTCGTTCTCAACGTCCGATCGGGCTTTTCTTCTTCACTCCCGCTTCTGCCCTTCTCTGCCGGCGTGGATTTGTCCGTCTGTTTCTGTGCCCTTTGCATTGTCCTCTCCACCTCGGGGCTTAAGACTGGGGAAAGAGCTGCCTCGTCTTGACCATCATGTCCGATTCCAAAGCCAGCCGAGTTACGACCTGGATTGTCCAAAGACATCGAAACTGCCTGTCCACCTGTGCGTTGGCTTTCTTCCGTCCTTCGTCTGCCTGCTTCTTCTTGTGTCATGGTCACCCCGGTGACAAAATTGAGAAATCGATCGCCATACGCCACGGGAGGGATGGGCGATATTTGGGTGCGATTCGCTGATAGTCCCTTCCAGAAATGTTCGATACGCTTGACCATGCCATACTGTCCAAATGTTAGTCTCCTCCACGAAATAAGCTAGGTTTCACTTACATGAGTCAGACAGTCAATCAGGCCGAGGTAGTAGACTGTATCACCACCTCGACCATCTTCGTGGGTAGCCCTAATACCGCCATCATAGCTGTAGAATACTCGGTCGCGTCTCTCGTCTGCCGATGACAGTTCGGAGGGCATTTTGGCCCCTCCCATACCCATTGGCATCGGCTTCTCCTTCTTGAGGGTCAGTCGAAGCTCTCGTGCCTTCTTGGCCGTTTCGAGCCGGGATGGAGTCCTAGTCAACATCGACGGCCCATAGTCATCTTCTTCTCGTTCTCCGCCAGGCTGGAATACTTTCAACGTGGTCTCCCGCAAATTCTCTTCGTTGCCTTTCTCCAAGTCATGCATTCCCACCAAGAGCGAGTAGTCCATTATGTGCAATCTCTGTAAAAGAGCAACGTCGCGTTTCAGCTGCTCCAAAAAGATCTGTCGAATCCGTGCTTCGAATTCGAGATGAAGGTCTCGGCGCAGCCAGTTCAAATCTTTGAGCGTAGCTCTGGGATTGGAAGCAAGATCCTCCTCTTTAAAGTCTCGGCCGATGGTTGAGCCTTTCAAATCAAATGTTTGATGTATATCTCGATGGGGTGGAAAGAGGTTGTTCATCACCACAAAATGGATTTTCCTGCCATAAGGTATCTTGACCCGATGGAGACCATAGAATTGTGATATCAGCGTGTTCGGGTTCTCCGTGACATGTTTGTAGTAGTCTCGGAGTATCCTCCTCAACAACTTGTGCTCCGCATGGTGGATCGTTTTGATGATATATTTGTAGTCGCGCGAGAAATAAAAGAATGACCCAGACTTGCCAGGGCTGCCCAATTCTGACAAGATGTATTTACTCGTCAGACTCATCAAGTAATCGGCGGGATCCAAGCCAAAGGTGGCTCGCAATTGTCGAAACACCCAGGGCATATAATCTTTGAATTTGAAATCGTACTTTGCGCTCGGAGTCAATTCATTTCCAGTGATATCGAAACTGAATTTGTGCTTGGCATCAAAGTCGGCATCGGTCAGTTCTCTCATCATCTTTGCATTGGTCCTCGACACCGTGAACCGAATTCCTGTCAGCATATTGTAGGCGGTCACCCAGTTGACGTGACCTTCTTCGACCTTCTTCCCGACGATAACACGATCTTCATCCTCTTCTTCCCTCCTCTTTCTTCGACTTGCTCGTTTCTGTTTTATCAATTCTGTCCAACGTGCCGCGTCATCATCGGGAGGAACCTCGTCCAAGTGCGCATCGGATTGCATTGATCGGGTGGTTCGTCGGACAAGACCAAGTGATGCTCTCCTATGCCTGGTAGCGGTGCTATCGAACTGATCCCGAGTGGGTGAAAAGCGTCCAGTAGCTGACAATGCCTCCTCCGATGGTCCACCGGAAAATGAAAAGTCCCGCGAGTTACGAGTGACTGCGAGGTTGGATTTGGGGACTTGCAAGGTATGACGGTGGGTAAGTTTTGGGGCCTCCGTAGGTGGTGCCAACTCGGGATATTTATCTTGCAAAGATTTACCCGGTGACATTGGAGAAGGTGAGGAAAATCGAGGAGGCGGCTGTAACGACCCACGCCCAGTGTAAGCAGCCAAACTATTGCCATCTGTTTGTGCTGAGTCGGGAAAGGTCGAAGCAGTATAGGCATGGGCTGTATCGTATTCTTGCCTGATAGGCGAGATGTTGGTCTTTAACTTTCCAAGCTCCGGGGTATGTCCACCAGGTTGCTGTACATGGTTGCCGTTACCGAGATCTGGTGAAGCAGACTCTACGTTAGAGAGCTTACTCAGTCCATCGAATGAATGGGGATTCCGGGCAAGATTCTCGCCATTTCTGACCGGGCCACTCGATGTTGAGTGGGTGCTTCCTGCTTTTGAATGCGCGCGGTCTCTCGAGGACTTGACTGTGCCATTTGGTAAGCCGTTTGTCAAGGAACCATGGCTGTTGTTCCTCAAGTTCTTATAATGATCCAGCCTGTGTTCAGGGAGTCCGGTTTCGACGTCGGTTCCGTTTGTATACGTGAAGACGCCGCTGATGGTTTTGTCGTGAGATTTTCTGGGAGGGCCATCAAAGGAGGAGTTTGTGCTGTTGGACACGAGGGAGAGGGGTGGTTCGATAGCGATGGGCGGCATCTCAGTTTAGCAGGTCGCTGATTATGAGGAATGAATGAACAAGAGCATTGGCCGCAGCAGTCACCGAGGAGCAGAGCAAATTGAGTGCATTGCTCGGGTTGAGAGACTTGGGAGGAGGTTGATTGATTCAACTCAGTCAGATGCCGAAATTGAGAGCGAGGTCACGTCGAGGGTGAATTGAGGCCCAGGAAGACGATCGAGGAGGTAGCTAGTGAAAAAGGTTTATTGCATAAAGTATTAAGTACTGAGTGACTTGGTGCTGGTGTAAAACATGCCCGTTGTTGTGGTCAGATGTGGATGTTGCAATCGCAAGTCAGGTTTGTATGCTGTGCTCGGAAAGTTGTTTCGGCGGTTGCCAGTGGTCGGTAGCGAAGTTGACTTGTTGGAGTTGCAATGGCCGTGGCAGTGGCAGTGGCAGTTGCCGTTGAAGTGCAGTGCCAGTGGTCCCCTGCCTGTGTTAAGGCTTAGGTACCTGGTACTCGTAGGCACCCTGGGCACCTAACTCCGTACCGCCCGCCTACCGTATCGGTCAGTTTTGCTAGTACGGATAGTGTTAGGTCATCAACAGCTAATAATGCCACCGGCAGTGCCACCTGCAGCGTTCCGTCTTCCGTACTCCTACGGGCTACCCTCCCCGTCTACGAAGTACTAACTTACGGCTATCATCCACCGCTGCTGTTGCTGCTGCTGGCACGGCTCTGGCCTACTCGTAAGTTCTGGGCGACCCAATCTTGCGCCAAGCTATTTCGGGGACTCCCCAATCTCGCTGCAATCGGCCCAAGAAAGTGAAAATGGGCCTCTTGGAGTCTCTGACTGGCTTCCTCCGGCAATCGACCCATAGTCCTCGTCACCAAACTGGGGGCAACTTTACTGCCCATTAAGCCTACCATTGACCGAAGCAGCCTAAGATACGACGGATACAGCTTAACTCGTCGAACTATTTGGTCAAATACTTCCACTAAAGACATCTGGGAAGGGCCTCCGGTATTGCGCTTGTTGATTCAGCCACGTTGTTGCTCAGCAATAATGGCTTTGATTCCACGACTCCAAGTAAGCGGTGCCATGATATCGTCAGGTCCTTGATCATGATGTGAACTCTGGATAAATTTATGCCCAGTAGTTGATCCATTCGCAATTTCGCCTTTGGTGCAATATCCGTCATCGAAGCCCCTGGGAGTCTGGAGAGACTTCCAACTGTCACCCGTACAGCCGTGCTAGGGTTTCCAGTAGGATTGCTGTCATCGTAACGCCATGGGCGGCCTCCACAGAGCCATACTTGGTAACTAGATTTCCCATATCCAATAATCACAAATCATTCAACTACTAAGTACACATCCACATGCCCGCACTTCGTCCCCCGTGGTTCCATCCCATTCGTTCTTACCTCATACTGTGAATGCTTGAAAGTTGCACAGGTCGTCGAGTTGGGTCGGGCGGTAACTTGGTAAACATGGATCCATGAACCTTGACCGACCGAGCGTGGATACCTAGGTAGAACGTGGCACAGCCTCGTTTTACAACTTGTTCACGGAGTACGAGGTACTTGGAGAACATGCAAGTTCCAAGTTGGAGACTATCACGATTCACCACGACCACCACCACCCAAGCCCCAAGGCCGACGTGACGTAAGCCCCGGTGCCGACCAAGCGGCCTGGGGGTCTTGGGAGTCAGAACGCTCGTTTGTGGGAGGTCTCATCCAGACTTCCGAGCAACGAGTGTTGTTGATCGTCAGTAATGTTTCAAGTACTTGTACGATATCATGTATTCTTATCCATGTATACTTGATGTTGCTTAACCACTGTCTGTCTGTCGATCACTGACCGATCGAGTCCGATTTTCGACATCGTCAAGGCCTGTACGCGTGCAAGACACACCCAACAAAGTCAAGCTAACTCGCTCATGTCGCCCGCATTTATGACCCTAACCGTACGCCGCGCTCCAACAATATAAGCCATTTTGAGACAAAACACGTTTCAAGTGAGTATGTCAGTCCTTTCTCAGTGCATCAACATCCGAATTGCATGCTCGACAGTCTCTCCACCCTCGGCCGCAGCACGGCCGTTGGAAGTGGTCAATTCGGCGTTCGGATAATAGTACGCAGTCACCGCAATGATGACATAGACGACCTTCACGCAACGAAGAATCAGTTTTGAACCAGCAACGAATCTCTTCACGTCGGGGATTTCACTTACCACGAGCAGGGCACCTTCGAGATAGTTTGACGACCCATCACGCAAGAAATTGCCCACCACCAAGATGGAGAGGACGAGCAGAACCACGGTGAAGATCTCGAAATTCAAATCCATGGGTTTGTGTAGACCCCATCCGACGATGACAACGAGTGGAGCGTTGAAGAGCGCCGTCTGCAACGAGGGGCCGAGACAGTGGAAAAGGGCGAAATTCTGATCCACAGGTTAGTATTTCTGGAGGATGAGAGCAACCTCCCGGGATACTCACCATTTGGTTGTCATGTGCCTCATCAATGGTGGTGATGTGCTCTGCAGCCTTTTCGACGAGAGGAACGAGGATCAGGCCGAGGAAAGTGTCTGGAACACCGTGCTCGACGACATATTCGATCTCTGCGACCAAAAACACCGCGATCAGTGAAATAAAGGTAAGTGAGATGAGGATTGCAATGATGGCCTCCGTCATGGTGAGTTTGGCCTTTCGAAGATCCTTATGGCGATCCCTATCTGCCAATTCGTCGGCTTTCAGGACTTCCTCAAAGACATTATCGTGAGACACGCAGTTGTAGACGAGGTAGAGGAGGAACGAGATGATGAGAATGATGGAAACGCCATGACTGATGCTTTGTGTGTCCCGCCGGAGAAGCGTCTCGGTGTAACCTTCTTGTCCCTCGGGGACGGTACTTCCACTCAGAGATGAGAAGAATGCGCTTGGAATCAGCAAAGCAAATCCCGCAACCAGAAGCAGACCAGATCCAACCTCGCTGATAGCTGGGTGGAATTTCTGTTCTTTGTGCTTCATGCCACCTACCAAGAAACAGGAGCCCAGACAGAGCAACAAGTTGGTGAGGATCGAACCGAGAATCGCAGCCTGGATGACGAGGATTTTATTACCATGTCCAGGTTGACCAGTCCCGTCGTCCTTGGCGATGAGAACCATGAACAAGACAATCTCGACCACACCACCAAGCATTGTCTCGATGATGATACCGGCGACACTGGGCAGTTTTCGGGCGAATTCTTGACCAGCAAAACCAAGCAGATTGGCAGCGGGCACCATGGCGATGTAATTAACGGCAAATGTCCACAGATGGTGGTCTCCCTTGACGAAGTGAAGAGCGATCGCGGCGGGGACGAAAGGCCATAGGACATTGACGATACGGGAGGCGGTGCACGAGGATCTCCAGGTGATCTTGAGGAAATGGATCGGGCTGAAACCTTTTCGACCGCTCTCGCCATCGGGGTTGATACCTCGAGTTACTTCATGGTTGTTGTGGTTGTATTGAGGTAGGACGCCGTTGGACGTTCCGGGGGGAGGAGTGGTGCCGTTGGTGCCATTGGCCTTTTCTGCGGTATCATTGCTTGCTGTACGGTGTTCCTTGGTCACGGGCTTTGATTTACGGTTGAAGAGACCCATTCTGAAGGATCAAGAGACGTCGAGGGGAGTTTCGAGCTGTATGTGGAATTCGTAGTGGTTGCGAGAATGACGCGAAACGAACAAGCTAATATTGTGTGGGCACTCAGGAGCAGAGGAGTGTGGATATGACAGAGCAATCGGTCAAACAAGAGACATGGTTCCCCGTGATATGAATGATTCTCTACAAGTTCCCGTGAAGAAATAGAGTGAACGAGAAAGTGAGACGAGGAAAGTCGACGATTCACGACGGGATGGGAGGTGGAAAGACGGGGAAGGGAAGGGCCAGACAGACAACGCTAAGCAACGACAAGAGTATTTAAGGAGAGTGAGAGATGCCTCAAGCAACGAGAGCCAAGCAGGAATGACAGCACAGTGCATGCAAAAACTGGTGCAATGCAAACAAGACCTGAAAGAGTGGAATCACCGCAATGCTTGGTTGCAGGCCACCGCCACAATTCCTTGGTTTTGGTCAGGAGTCATTATTGGCGTTTCATTTTGTCTTTTGCAATCGGTGTCAAACTGAACAAACGCAGCTGAAGATCGTGAATTTGCATGGGGAACATACGGTGGATCGGTGGATCGAGTTTAGTTCAGGCTCGGCGCGTCACGTCGACTGCCAGTCTGCCACCAGATAGAGGTGCCTGGTTCAGCTTACTTGTACTTGTCTCTCGAGGGCTTCAGGGCTGCTGCTACTGCTGTCGTTGTTCTCAGTCTAACTAGTATTACAGAGTGACCTACATTCTACACCAAAGTGATTGAAGTATCCCATCCCACATTGATCACTCACTCAATAAGCCTCTCAACCCAGAGCCCGTGATGGACCTTGATCCCCTGCAACCAGAAAAGCCATCAATTTCCATGGGATTTCCCCCATTCACCTGTTCTGACGTCGTTGTGCAGCGCTGGCGGCTTGGCATGGTGACAAGCGACACTCAGTGTCCGGGCACAAAACCTGCTGGAGATGGTGTCCAACATCGAGCCTCGAGAGTTCTATGCCGTGTCTGTGTCATCTACATTATTCAATTTACTGCTGTTGTACCTGGACTGCTCAGATCCGTGGAGTAGAGTCGATCTCGATTGTTGGCTACCTAGCTGACTATTCCCGATTCTGTGCGACTTGAACAAACAAGAATGCCTAACTCGGCCTCTCAAGGATAGAATATCATCCTAACACACAGCAACACATCGCTGTATACTTTCATATCCCTTCAATCCTACCAGCCCTTTTTGAATCTCTTCGTTGTCCGTAGACTGTATCGTTACAAAAGCCACCTCTTCGTGCTCGTACTGAGGGTATATGATAGCCATTCCTGCTTTCCCGTCCCGTCCCATATCATCTGATCCCTCGTCCAAACATCTCCAGCATAAACGCTCCAGCTCAACCCCTTTGATTTTTCTGATCACTCATCACCGTCCATTTCCAATTTGGTATCCCACCCGGCTGCGGCGTCTGCACGCCCATAAACACCTCTCCCGCACTGTTGTCGTTGGCCGTGGCCGTCGAGTTCGCACTCAGATTGGGCATTTGTTGGCCGTCGTTCTTCATATCGACCGGTCCTCCTATAAGGGATCCGATGCTTTGCGCATACATCCCTCCTGACCCTCCCATTCCCATGGAGTTGTCACCTGTACCTTCCGTCGGCGATGTCTGCGCGAAGAAGTTGCTGTTGGGCGAATTCGTCGACCATAACGTTGACGCTGGATCCAGCGATAGATTCGCCGGCTGCATATATTGGTCCCACGCTTCCTGTAAAGATTGTCAGCGATAAATCTCACACAAAGTGTCACTCGTGGATATCAAAACTTACCCAATCAAGATTCATCCCTTGACTGACGTCGTTCATGGCACTGTTGAAGAATCCGCTGGGGAATGGACTTGGTGCATTGGCTACTCCAGTTCCGAAGAAATCACCCGTCATCCCCGGTGTGGTCCCCGCTCCCCATTGTGCTCCTGGCGAGGTCGGTTGTGTACCATTGCTTCCAGGCTCACCACTACCCACTCGTCCGGCTTGAAGCATTTCTAATGTCATTGCTGCGGTTTGTTCATCGTTACTCGAACCCTGCGCCTGCCGTCCCGGTGGTGGAAGTTGCGTATGCATCGGATTGCTCGGCGACGATGGCAATCTGACATGGTGCAGAAGCACATTGAGCAATTCACTCGCCTTGTACGCTTCTATGCTGAAGTCGCGATTGGCCATCCAGATTTCCCGGCTGTCTTCGAGTGCTTTGACAAGATCTTCGCGGCAATACGTCAAGCCGGGAGCATACACACCTTCCGAGATATTGCTTCCCTGACTGATGCTTCCGCCACTCACAGACGTGCTGGGTGTGCTGACATCGGTATCTGACCGGTCTTTGTGGTGATATAGATCCATCATGACCACCGTGGCAGCCAGAAGATAGTCGTGTGCCGTCAGAGAATTGACATGATTTCGCAAGCTTCGCAAACGACCGCGCTCACGACTTTGCTGATGTTGAATGGACTGGAAGCTCAGTAATTGCATCGCCGAATCCAGCGACGTTCGCCGAGAATGTGTATAGCGATTGCCATTTCTGGCCAGTCGCATAAAGCGACGATGCAGCACACACTGTGACTTATGATAGACCGTTGCCAGGCTAAATCGAGCCATGATCAGAGAAATCGGTGCCAGCGTTTGTTCCGCCATAGGTCTGAGTTTCAAATGCTCTGGAATGCTGTCGTAAATATCGCGCAATCCCTTGTCAATCTTCAATATCTCCTCATATCCCTTCTTGTTGACCCCGTTGATTTCTTCAAGTACCCGGCCGAAACCAAAAGATAGTCTGCCTTTAGCTATCATGTAGGAAATAGGTGTGGCTTCAGATGACGGTCGAGCAGGAGGGAGAGAGGTCGAGTCTTCGTCGAACTCATCATCGTAAATGTTCCTGGGAAGTTCGGTATCCGAGTCACCGATTCGAATCATCGGAGGGAGGGCGACCTGAGCAGAGAACAACAGATCCGCACTTCGCACAAATGTCCAGACTCGGCGGCGCATTTCACCCTGGAAAGGACTGAGATTAGGGAACAGCTTGGCATCTCGATGATAACCCATCCGCATTGCCAGGCGGGCAATCATCCCCACGAGCACCCACACGCTGGCTTCAGCATCCCGATTCGAGGTGTACTCGGCATGCAAGTGGAATATCAACGTCTCAATGATGTGATTGTGAGGCTTGGTGTAGTCCGCCGTGATGAGGCAGTGTGCCATCTGGGTTCGAAAGTTCGCCGCCAGATCCTGACACTTGCCGCGAAACTCGGGCGGTTCGTCTCCCTCTCGTCCGTAAGACAACATTGCCAGCCGCATCATGGTGAAGAGCATTGCGACCCACACGATCGAGCTCTTGGACGGATCATTCCAATGCTGATTGTAATTCCGTTGAAACGTCGGGCCATGCAGGATATGTGTGGCCGGGTCAAAAGTGTTGAAATATCGACCGATCAGAATATCCGACATGTACCGTGAAGGTATCTGAGCCAGGATCTCGGCACGGCTGGGAGGGATGGTCGAACCGAACAACAACGCCGGGCCAGCACCGACATCGGTGCCCATGGATTTCCTCGCTTGCTCGACCTTCTCAATCTGCGCCTCGTATTCCTTCTTGTGCGCGACGAAGTAGTTCTTCACCTCGCCGATCTCATTCAACAGCGCCGCCCAGTGCGCCTCGCCCACGTAGAACGTCTTCTGCGAGTCGGCATCGACCTTGAGGATTCCAAAGCTCTTAGTCACGCCATCGGTCTCGCTCTCGTCTTCTTGGGTATCCCCAATTTCGTCCCCATCCATCATCGTAGATTCATCCATATCATTATCTCCATTCCCTTCCAGCGGCTGCGTCTCACCGGTGCTGGGACCAGAGGTCGACAGAGCGCGCTGTGCTGCGGCGGGTCCGACCGCCTGCGAACCTGTTGTCATCAGCGACAGCACCAGGCCCTCCAGTCGGTCAATCCTATTCTGCATGTCATCCGGACTCGTGCTGCTGGAGTTCTGACTGTGGCTCCCCTTCTTCCTCGCCGCCGGTGCGGCATAAGTACACGATCCACTATCGCCTCTCTTTGTGCAGTTGTCACATGGTGATTGTCGATTGCATTTCAGCTTCCGATGTCTACATGGCGCACACGATAAGGGGATTCGATTCCGTTTCCGCACAACTCGGAAGTCAGGTGATGCGCCAGAATGGCTCGTCGCGGCGCTCGGGGGTGTGGGTGTCATGTTCGATACCTCTCGACTATGAGGTGTGAGATTGTTTTGTTAGAGAGGGCCAAAAAGACCCGGCGCAGCGGGTTGTGTGTGATGCGTTCTTGAGGCCGGGTTCGCACGGCGTTTTGCGCTCCAGTGATGCTGGGAGAAGCGTTTGACCTCGTTGATTTCCTGCGACGAGTAAACCGCCAAAAAGTGTGGTTGTGCCGTTGCGTCCCGCCAGAAAGCCCTCAGTCCAGCGAAAAACGGTAGCCTGCCAACAGCGTATTGGCGCGGACTTAAGGAGGGTTATCGGCGGTGGGCCGAGGGAGGGATTGATGGGGGTTGAATGTGGTGGAGGAGTGCTCACAAGCTCTTGTCGCGGCCACGAAGTGAGGTGGTGAAGTATTTATATTGCGTAGGGTGTCTTATGCTATAATCGAAGACCAGAAAAGACTTATTGGTAAGGCAGAAATTGGGGACACGCAAGGAGGGGAATCGAGAATCTAGTTTTAGTGACGAGTTAGTACGGATACTCTGAGGTACGCTGTAGCTTTAACCTAGACTGGGAGTGGTAGGGTTGAAGGGCTGCCCACATCCACTGTTTTGATGTACTCTTAGGCCCAGCCCGCCCGTGGTCTCATCCTGGGCACTGACACTGCCCGGCACCAAGCCATATGATTGCATGCATGGCCCGTGGCATGTCAGCATTGACAAGATAGTAACTTCTGCTTGATGGGGAGAAGCGAGCAAGTCATTATTGGATGTACGGCGAGTCGGCTTTGACTCGATAGACCAGGATCTACGAAGCTCAAAGAAATGAGATACTGGGCGTCAACTACGGTACGAAGTGCCCGTCCGGGACCCCAAGATCCTCATGTCGCGGCTTGCTTACATGAAGGCTCTGGATAAGGGCTGCCACCTCAACCGCTGATTGACCAGATGCTCGTGGATCAAGACTTGAGGAGAACTTAACGATGACTCACAGACGGCTCCCCGGCTGTGGCTAGCGTCTTTGATTTGCAGCAGGAAGAGAATTCCATCAAGGAACTCTTTCGAGGTCTGTCGAGCGACAATAACGTGCCCGTACTCTGACTTCTGATGGTGTCGAGATGGGTGGCCTTATCTCCGGGCATGGGCCAAGTCTCCTGGAACAAAGTTCTTACTCTCGAGTCTCTGCTCCCCGTTCCTGACTCCAGAGAGCCCACCAAGGCCAATGACAGCTCGTGGGCAGGATGAACTCTCCGTCGGGGCTGAGAAAGACTAACTAGGAAGGTTACAAATGATGTCAACCTGGTGATGATCAATGCATCCAAACTCTTTTATATCTGGGAATGCGTGATTTAACTACTTTAAGTCACCATAGGGCGACGTTGAGGTTTTGAGAACAATATCATTATCTACCGCCCAGCCTTTCCAGTTCATACGATCCATAATCTTTACAACTTAACGGTTCATAACCTGTGACTCGAAAACATCGACACAACAAAGGCCTCTGCCCACGGGTCACTCGTACCACATGTGTGACCCTCTCAAAAGTCCCAGAAGCTCTTGGTGACATTCTTGCCATTGTTGTCTGTCGACTCATGATCCCCCATCTGCCACTGGCTTTCCAGACCCTTCTTCGGATGTGTATTCTTGACAGGGATTCTGGCCCGTTCAGTAACCTGGTCCTCGTTGTCCCACTGCGAATCCATCATCTTGACTGCTTTCGTATGGTCGCCGCCGTTGTGTTGGTTTTCGTGGCTACCCTTTTTATCGGCCGGTGACTCGTCTGTCATGCTCCAGTGGCTATCAAAGTCATTCCTACGACCTTTGTTGTTGGTAATGGTGGCTAATGGTGCCTTTCCTTGCGGTTGCGAGTTTTCGTCTTCGTCGTAAAGATTATTGGTGTATAAACCCATGCGGTCACCTCCTGAACTGGTTGGGCGCGCTGAACGGTTAGGGGCAGGGGTGTCAGTATCCCGGAACTGGAAGTGTGTTTCAGCATCTTTTCGCGGTTTATGAACAAAGTGTCGTTCAACAGGCGTACCATCATCTCGGAGCTCGAAGTGAGTCTCGTTGTCCCGGCGTGGCTTTGCGCCTGCTCGAGCCGCTGGGGTTTCTGGATTGTTTTCCGGGTTCTCCAGACTGAAATGAACCACGTCATGGTCACGGACCTTTTGACCAGGTTTAGCTGGTGTATAGAAGTCCTGGAACTCCCACTGAGGGCCATGTTTTCCAGACTTTCCTCTGAAAGGCACTGCGGCCTTTGGTTTGGGTGGGCTGTCATGATGCTGCAAGGGATCATATTCGTTTTCGTCTCCAATATCAAAGTGATTGTATTTGGCAGGGTTTGACTTGTATGGCACGGCAGCAGGCTCATCTGGGTCATCGGCGAACAAACGAGATGGTGCAAACTTCTGCTGCGTGCTGCTGCGGCCCTTTGGTGCTGGAACAGATGTGACGGGGACCTTCTTCGGCGATCCAGGCTCGTGGTCTTCATGGCCGGCTGCGAAAAGCTCGCTCATCTCACGTGGAGCCGGTTTGGCTGAAGCTCGTGGAGCCACCGCATTGGGGCCGGTGGGTTGTTTGTTCTCATCAAAGGTTCTTGGTTGAAAGAGATCGAGACTGGCATGGGGATCCTTGATGTATTTCTTGCTTGGAGATGTGCTGCGTGAGGACACGATGCTGGGATTGACTGATCGTCCGCGAGGGCTTGCGGCATCTTCCACGGCCGCCGCGGAGACACCGGATTTGATCAACCTGACCTGCTCTTGACCATCAAAGACAGGCCAGTTTCTGCCTCGTGAACCAATGACTTCTGTTTGTTTCAACAAGGATCCTTGATCCCAAGAAATGCGGATGTGTGAAATCTTGCTCTCGGCATCAAAATAGACAATATGAGTCTGAGAGGAAATCAAGCGTCAGTAAAGATTCGACCAGCAGTGAGCACATGAACTAACGGTTGGAATGGTCGCCACCTTATCCACGATGAAGTTCTCCAAGCCCGGAAGGTATGCACCTCCACCGGAGATGAATTCTAGAACCGTTTCCACTTCCAAGGCCAGAGCGCGGTGACCTTCGATCGCAGTGATGACCTTGGCACTTCTCGTTTGTACCACCTTCTTGTTTTGCGTTTCAAGGTGACGAACAATTGCAGCGGAGGTGGAGAACGAGGTCAGCGTGGTGATGTAGGATAGAGAGGCATTGTCAGACAGGCTGATGGGATTGGGGACCTCGAGAAAGCGCTGGTAGATGGATTTGAGGCTCATCTTCGAAGGTGTGCCTCGTGACGCTGCGATCACTTCAATTGGAATATTTCAATCCACTTCGAGGAAGGTAAAGTCCAAGTAGAAGAAGATGCAGTGGTTCGTGGCGCAGTTTGGGGACGGGGAGAAATTATGGGATGTTGTTGACAAGAAGGTGAAAAGGGAAAGAACACAACAATGAGGAAGGAGCAGCTGGTGATCAGCGGGAGGTTGTTTTTAGGATCAAAGGTTAATTCCCGGGTCACTCGTTACGGACCTGATGGACTGCACTGTGAAGGAAATGCTTGTTTATCTAGAAACACTCTACTGGCCACTTTGTGTTGTGTGTTGGTGAAGGGGTAAGCAATAGGAAGACGCGTGAGCCCCACCAGTCGCGTCGCTGGGTGTTTCATGTCATCAACCACAGATGCCACCTTATGAATGGGGAAATTCGGGGCCACGTTAACTCCTTGCAGCCTCAGCTCATACCTCTTCAATAATTGGCACTTTGGCCTAGAGAGCTTGGGCGGTGTTTCATCGAGACCATTCTGGTAAAGTTGTTTCAATCATCCTCGCTTGCATTTGCATGCACCCTGTCTCCCAATTTCAAGCCACAAGTTACGGCCAGTTGCGCAATCATATCCATACCCCAATCCGAGTAGGATATAATTGTGGCTGCCTTCGATCGAAGCAGGCACTGGCACAAAACGTCACCTCGTCTGTGAGATTTGCACTGTTTCTACTGTGTCATGATCTGATCGTGCATGGGCGAGTTGACAAGTCTACCACAGGTAGTAGCCATGTATCCAACGAGGGAACTGAAAATTGTTTCCCCAAACCTTTGAAGCATTTGGGATGATCCAAAATTGATCAAGTAGCACTGCTGTGATCAGCTCCGAAATTCGCCACCGAGCGAGCGATGATAACGACTCACCCAAACCACGCAGCGGACATTTTGCCGATGGAGTAGATATTGCCAACGTCACTACGAAGGCCGATAAGCTGTACTCTCACGGCAGAACCCTTTTCAATAACATCTCCCGCACCGTTGGAGTACTGTGGAGGAGTTGCATCCGGGTTGTATCGCATGTCCGGGGGAAGATGCTATACTTGTTCAACACATTGCTCACCCCTCTCGCATCTCGGAGACAAAACCTACCAGTTTGGAGACAAAAACCATCAATGGTCCGGCTTCACAAAAGACACCTTGGGGTTTGATGGAGGTGACAGCACAATCAATCTGTAGCTCTCGTCAGGGAATGCATGTCAAGGCAGGGGGACGAATTCTCGCACAGTCTCTCCCTTGAATGGCTTCCACAGAATGGCACGGTAAAGGATAGTGTAATGGGCTTCACCCGAGCCTGGCCGGGTTCTACCAGCAGAGATGTTGTAGATGTCCATGATGCAAATGATGTAATATTCTCCATTGCAACTGCCTTCGAGATCGGCGTAAAGCTGATCCTTGAGTCTATCAGGTATTCCCTGGCCAAAGAATGATGGATGGATACTGATTTCGCGTTCAAGATAGCGGAGGAAGAACATGGTCACGGGCGGGACTGGATTCCACCAACCATACAAGGAGGTGTGTTGTGTTGTGAAGCCTTAATTCATCCTCTTCGAGATGGAGACCCTGCCACCGGTTCGTTGCGGTAGGTGCTGATAGACCAAACTGCAGCGCGAAAGAAGTTTCGATGGATCGCACCAGAGAGCGATCAAGACCACGCGATTGTGCTTGTGTAGCAATTTTGTCTGTGTTCGTGAACCGTGGTCAACGCTGGTATGTCGGTGTTGGTTGCCGGTGCAAGTGTGTGAAGAATGTCTGGAGAGTCAGTGAACAAAAAGACTAGCGCAGGCACGGCTGACTAAGTTGTGCGGTGAAGCATAGGAGAGGAACATGGCTCTATCATTTTCCATCGCTCTGATCCGCCGGGCAACACGAATTCGCGCCGAAGAACCCTGAACACGCCTTCCATGCTCTAGCCATGGCTGATGCCCCGGACACCCTTACCTCGTACGGAGTAGCAATAAAATCACAGCCTGCGACAACATCACATGCGGTCCTGGTGGTAAGCAATTGGAACTCCAGCGCATGATTGCGAATTTATCCGCGTGCGCCATTTCCATCGCTTCAAGTTTGACAACTGATTCTCGCCTGACTCCATCGTCGTTTCTTCTGTTGATACTTCTGCTTCTGCAACGCTCCCATTCCTTACCCACGGTCTTCCATTCTACTAGAAGTTCCTTCTTCAATTCCAATGACTTACTAGCTTTCAACTTTCATGTCGCTCCCACACTGTGTATTATAACCCAACCATGTCTCTCAATCTTGAGAAGCAACTCCGTTTCGTAAGTATCCTCTCCGAGACCCTTGGAACGATCGGACTGCATTGCTGACCAGACCTACACAGTATGGCGCCTATCACCACAATCCGGTAACGTCACCCACCTGCCATGTATCTACGTCAGTCAATTAACAAGCCATCAGGCCAATATTGGCATTCATTTGATCGGAGTTCCTGTCATCCTCTGGACTACATTCCTGCTGGTGCGTGAAGTTGTCACGCTCGTTCATCCGCCCCAGTGGCACTCTACTTACATGTGTGAAGGGCACTAATACTCCGACCCTCATACCGTTGCCCGATGCCAATACCGTTCCTTACCTCGATTTGAACATCGGCACATTACTTTGTATAGCATACTCTGCTTTGTACATTTTACTCGAACCCGTCGCTGGATCCGCCCTGTCTGTTCTTTTGTTCGCCGGGACAGCATATGGAAAATACTTGACATCTCTACATGGGATGACAGCGAACTTCTGGGCGGTTTGTGGATTTGCCGCTGCCTGGATTGCTCAATTCGTTGGCCACGGCTTATTTGAGGGGCGTGCACCGGCGCTTCTTGACAACCTTTTCCAAGCACTATTCCTCGCACCTTTGTTTGTCTGGCTAGAGCTCCTATTCGCTCTTGGCTACAGACCTGAATTACGAAATCGCGTTGAAAAGATGGTCATTCAAGATATCGCCAAGTTTCGCGAAGCAAAGACACAAAAGGCCAATGGTACTGCGAACGGAACCGTTACAAATGGCCACGCCAAACAATCCTAGGCCTAAGTCAATGTCTTCTGATCGAGTCAGAAGTTTCACGATCTACGGAGATCCCAGGCTATCTCGTCAGGCAATTCCAGGTTGTTTTCGGGACTCGAGTAACCAGCAATTTTAGCACTGAGTGATACACAGAGTGATACAAAGAGTGGAGCATGAATCAAGCCAGCTATATGTTTTAAGAAGGGGAGGTTCCTCCTTTGAACGCCGGCGGAGATGTCGACGACATCTCTCACTTCCCTAACCCCAGTCATATAGGAGGAACGACCCGCTGAACTCCGGGTTCGATACAGGAGCGCTTTGGCAACCGCCGTACCTGTTCCACGTAGCGGAAAGGACCAGAATATATTGTGTCCAGCCCTTTCGAGCACCCGCTACTATTCACAAGGCTTTATCATCTCAGAGCCGTGGATATCCAATATCTGATATTCCATCAAAAGGAGAAAGGGTTTCAGTCTGATTCAAATCTCTATTGACTGTTTTCTTTGATCATGGAATTAGCCATGGTGCAAAGATCTTCCTACACGCAGTAGGTCATCATAGTTTAGAGAACACGAGGAAGCGTTTGTGACTAAATCGTTGCAAACCTTGGAGACTTCAAATCAGGTTGTGCCCAACGGCCATGACACCGGGACATTAATCATGAGCGTTGACGACGTGGAGCAGTGTACTTGGACAGCTGGGCTCGTGTCACAATAGCACACTTTCCCCATCCACAATTTATCATGAGCTGTTGAGCTCATTGGCGTGTACTGGTCACATATTTCAAGGTGCCATTCCGTACAATTAGTTCCCAAGTAGGACAGATAGCGAAGCACTTCTTTGCCAGTCTGCCAACAAGATCAAAGGCCAAGGTTCCGCTCCGGCGATGCTGCTAGCTGCATGCTTGACAGCCTCGTCGCACCTGCTCGTACAGTGACCGCTCTGAGATGAATAAGTTGTACTTCTTGTTGGCGTCTTCCGCCGAACATTAAATGAAAATCTAAACCTAAAGAAAACACAGGACTTCCGGAGCACAACGCCCCAGTTGATCGATTAGGATCGAGATAAATTCAAGCCTCGGTCGCTTTGCTCACTCATAGTCAACCCAAACTAAATTTGTAAAAACGAACCCAACACATTTCTCGATGATTCATATCCAAGCCTAGCGATCCCACATGGTCACATAGAAGCGGGATATTATTAAAATAAGCATGATGGCGAAGACAACTCTCAGCAACTCGATAACCATCCCATCCACCGACGAAGAGTTCCGACATGCTATCCAAGCTCTCCAGGCGTCGACGAACGCGATCGAGCAACAGACACGAGTGTTTGAAGCTCAAGCAACATATCTCAGTAATCTCCGAGCAAGCGAAGCCGCCGCTGTTCAACGCAGAGCCACGCACACATCGTATCTCAGTCAGCGACAGGCCGCCGAGATCCAGCACATTACATTTACAGTATGCCTTCTCATCCCTTTCTCTTAGATCAATAAGTAGTCCTAACATCACCCGAACAGAACGAACAGCTCTTAGAGAACTTACGGAGTGAGCTACAGAACGAGAACGAGAGTGTGGCCAAGGACATCAAATCTGTCGGCAGCGTTGTGGCCAGCATATTCAACGCGGACGACCGTGCCATCGACGCACTGAATGTCCTCGTCTCTGCGTCCGTAGAGTCAACGTCACTGGATACCGCCGAAACCGCACTGCGTGTCTCTCGCCTGACTTCCGCGCTGCAGCATTTCCGCGTGCAAGCGCTCAAGGACCGGCTTGACAGCACGTATCTGCGACGTCTGGAGGAGCAGGGACAGGTAATGCTGGACCCAGAGGGTGAAGCTGTGCCTGATGAATCCCACCTGGCCTCTGAAACGGTCAGCGAGGTCCAAAATGATCTTGGGTCGCTTTATGCCGAGATCGACGATGTGGTCACCATGACTGTCCGGCATGAGCATGCTGGCCCGATTGAAGCTGCGTTGCGTGAGATTGATTGTGCGAGGGAAATGGAGGGGAGGAGGGTGGGTGAGACGGTACGTGTTCATTCTGACGATAGTTCTCTCTGTGCCCTGAGGAGATGCATCGTTCTCCTTGGAACGATCTACAACATTGCTTCGAAGCATGGCTGACATTTGAATCGGGGGCTAACTAGATCCACTCTCAACTCGCCTTTCTCACGGACTCACTCGAGAAGCTGTCGACAAAGCTCGAAACGCTCCAAGTTCAGCGTACAGGCCTACGAGATCTCCTCGCAAGGACCGACCTCCTAACCAAACATCACCCTCGAAAGCCACCTCCACAGAACCCAGCCAAATCAACCACAACACCTTCCTCCACCACTACTACCAGCGACACTCCGGTGCCAAATCAACCCGCCCTCTCCGCCCTCCTGCAGCATCTCTCCCTCTCCCTCCCCGCCCCACCACTACTCCACACCTCTCTCCAAGCACAAACAACCAACCTCCAAACGCAGTCAGATGCCCAGGTAGCCGAAATTCTAGCGGCGGCAGAGAAAGCAGCGATGGCGCGCCGGGACGTGCTCAACGCCGTAACCGAATGTCTGGAAAGTGAAACGGCGCGTGAGAATAAGCGGGGCGTAGCTGAGCTCGAGGTTGCGGTCGACCAGGCGAGGGTGTCGATGGAGGTGAAGAGTGGGAAGGTCAGGGGGAAGGGGACGGGAATGGGGAGAAGGGTTAATAATGCCCGGGGGTTGTTGTGATGATCTGTAGTGAGGTATGTGTACGTGTTACTTTGAAGATATACTATCTCACTGTATTGGACGGTGTCGCCTTGGACTGGGATGTTTTGTCAAAGACATGCAAGACGAGGTTGTTGCCTGGACCTGGTACGAGAAAAAGAAGCCTGACGGCAAGTGTCGTCCAGACAGAGGATGAGGATAATGGTAATAGCATTTCAGTTCAAGCAATGAACGTCAGGTACCCCACGCAAGGCACACATATGGTACAGTACATAGATGAGCACTCATATCCAGGACCCAGATTCGTGGGCTCTGACTGCTGTCCGATACCTGCAACTAACTAGGCCCATCTGATCATCTCCCACTAGTGAAGCAGACCCAGAATTCACACTCACCGCTGCAAGGACTTCGATACCTATGCAGTAACAACAGGCTGCGCCTTGCGCTTCCTGGGGTCGACTGGTCTCTCGAGCGCCGCCACAGACGGTGGACTCTTGAGGCCATTCGTGCCTGCCATGCCCTTGACCTGAATCTCCGTCTTCTGCGCAATCGCACCCGCATTTGCGACATCTTCCTTCTTCGCTTCCGCATTGCTTTCGAGGAAGCCTGGCCTCCATTTCGTGAGGACTTTGACCGTGGCGCTTTTGGCTTGTGCATCTCCCTCATGCCAGATCGTCTCGATCGTGTCCAGGACTAATTCCCGTGAGGGCGGTCGGAGCATCAACAGGTACTGCATTGATAGTACACACATGTTGATACGTTCGGGGTCTCGAGCGAGGGATTTGATTCGGTCGAGAATTTCACGATTGATGGCGGGGATTTCAGAGAGGAAACGGATGAGGAGGTTTTTGTCGCGTGCGTCGAGATAGGGTAGGAGGCGGTCGATGACGCGGTTCACCCAGCGAGAGTAATTTGGCAGATCGGCGAGTTCCGGATGGGTTTTCGCAGCCATTTTGTCGGCGTACCATTCTTCGGTCAGCCAGGATATAGCGAGGTTGAGTCGTTGTCGGAAGTCGTCAAGGATATACATGAAGAGGGTCTGACGGATGCGGTTGGCGACATTTGGTTCTTCGATGTTTAGGTCTTCTCGTTTGATCAGCTTGTTACGGTCGGGATCATCCAGTAGAGTGTTTGTGAGGTCGTCCAGGCCAGAAGAAGCACGGGTGGCTAAACGGATCAGGATGGTCACCCATGAATCCCGGTCATTAGTGCTTGCTGCCAGCCGATTTAGACCCGATTTTTGCTTGACTGGAGCTTGGACTGCATTGTCGAGAGTTGCGATGAGCTGAACAACATGATCAACGCTCTGATTCGTGACGACATCGATCTGATCGGAGGTCAGTGGTGGAGGTTTGGGCAATTCAAAAGGTCCCAGATCAATGGCAGGCTGAATCAATTCGTCGAGAGCCTTTCCTGTCGAAACATCCATCCCCGATTCTGTGCTAGCCACGAACTCAGGATCATAGTCATCGTCATCGTCAATTCCTGTGGGACCAGCCATTGGTACATCTGGTATTGGAGTGGGTTGAGTGACCTTTTGAAGGTGTACATATCTGGCGCGAACTTCTTCAATTGCCAGGTCCAATGAAGTAGACTCGACATGTTGTAGAAAGACTGCTGTGACGTCGCTAACGATATCAGCAGGAAGTAATGTTACATCAAATTGCTTTAGATTGGGGTCCTCTGTTAAGGTAAACAGATGAGCAAACGAGTTGGGTGGTGGTGGCATAGGAGGGAATTTGCGAGGAGCAGCGGTGAGTCGTTGCCGCTTGGCCTCATCCAAGCCATCTGTAGGTTCTGCAGGGCGCTTGTGAGCAGTTGTATCGGAAAACACTGCAGTTCGCGATTGCTGGAGTCGCATCAGGTATTGCTGTATTTTCTGATCCATAGGGTGATTTGGGACGGCGCGCAAAACCCATCTCAACAGAGCTCGAGTTGTCCTTTCCATAGACCTGATCATAACCATAATCTTGGGAGTCATCGGTGAGTTTCCCTGCTTCATCGGGTTGAAATTGAGAACGGCAGAGATGATTTTCGTCCCTATTGATGGTCGTGTTCGGATAAGAATGGGTAAGCAGTTCAATGTAGCGTCGACGATTATAGGATCACTATCCAAGTCAGCCTCGTGTCTGGCTGTAGTCTAGAAATACGTACGTTGAATTCTCTTGAAATACACTTAGGAGCCTATCCAATAAGCCAGATGCTTCAGCCTCGAGGTTGGGTAATTGTAACAGAGGATGATTTCGAGGAACAAGAGCAATAGAAGTTTCATTCTGATCGGGACGCTGGGGATTGTTAGTACTGCATCTTCCGTCGAGGAACGTTTGATATGGACTCACGCGAGGGTCGGCGATTTGACCAGGGGTCTCTACCAGGACGATTTTTTGAACGAATTTGATACAGCAAATCCGGACAGCTGGAGGAGCCGAGTCCATGCGTTGTAGAATGTTGAGTTTGATGGCACTCAAATCCTGCCATAATGCCACCTCGGCTGGGCGAGAGATACTGCAAAAGGGATGTTAGATGTGTAGGACTAAAGCCTGAGACGTGGTTCACGTACACTCGTCTGAAGACCAAGGAATATAAACTAGCTGCGGCTTGAACAGCACTCCTGATGACCGCCACATCCTCCTTTTGATTCTCTAGGATGCCGCGTAAAGTGGGAATGACTTCGATGGATAACTGCTCCTTCTGTTGATTCGAGACCGAAGGGCTGGCGAAGCCCTCAGCGAGGAAATCTGCACCCCATCTTCTCACTTCAACGTGGGCGGTCGGACCGATAATAGGTAGAATTCCAGGGAGGACTTGATTGTACACTTGAGGATCTCCAAGGGCCAGTTTACGCGCCGCTTCTAGCTGGGGGATAATCTCCGCAGCAGAAGCGACGGCGGCGGCCATGGTGAAAACACGGCTGGTGACTCAATGCACAGATCAGATAGTACAGGTGGGTGTAATGAATGATCACGAATCTACAAGAGAGGAGCAAGCCTGGCTGGTGATGGATCGGACGGAGTCGTGGACGTTCGTCATTAGTTGGCTGGTTGGGGCTGGTAGAGGGTTGAGGGTTGAGGTTGTAGCCGTGAGGGAAAGTGTCGAGACTATTAAGACACACGCAGGTAACGCGTGGGAAAAGCTAGAAGAAGAAACTAGTATACAGAGTCAACCAGAAAAGAATGAGAATACAGAAGTGAGGTAGTAAGAAGGTGGATGTGAATGTGAAGGATCCTGGAGTACAAGTTGCGTGTCAGTGTCGGAACGACGAACAGCGTCGAGTTTCCCTGCGCTGCGCAGATTTGGAATGACCGTCATTTCATTTGCTTGGCATCAATTCTGGTGCTGGTCCCTCTTGTCTCCCCGCATGAAAGTAAAAAGTGTTGCGGACCCTGCCTGCTGGCTCATATCAAAGCTGGATTAGGGGCGACGACGACTGCCACAAAGAGCCTTGCGCTCGACTTCATACTCCCACTGTCCCTCCTTATTCATTAGTCACAATGCATCCCTCCCGTCGCGCATATGTCGAGGAGGCGCCTCCGGTAAGTCCTCATGCTCAATCCCTACCGTCTCGCCTGTACATGGTTATTCACTGTCTCAAGGCCCCGAGCAAGAATCACAAGCGGGAAACGATAGCTGACGGAAATGGTTGAATACTAGGATGTCGAAATGGGTGTCGATCTTGCAAACATCCGTATGTTCATGCCAGTCCCTATTTCCTCTCACCTGTGCTCACTTTGTCTCTAGCCATTGATCGCAACTATGAAATGCCTTCAGGCTCAGTCGGAATAGCTTCCGAGAACGCCTCTGCTATTCTATCACAACTGGATCGGAAACGCCGCTTGGCTCAGACCGCAGTTCCTACCGACGATGGAAAGGTCAGAGCCACCCTTCGTGAACGTGGTCAACCCATCACGCTTTTCGGAGAAGGACCGGCCGACCGAAGAGATCGTCTACGTGAACTGATTTTAGACGACACTGATGGAGCTGATGGTATTGCTACCGATGTCCAGATGCAAGAAGCAGATGACCAGGCCGACCAGGAGGAGGAATTCTACACTGAAGGTCTGCCGGAACTGCTGCAGGCCAGAAAAGATATTGCCCGCTATTCGCTTCCAAAGGCAAGAGACAGAGTTCTGAGACAACGGGAAGACTCCGCCATCCCACTACGTACACACATCAAACACCGAAAGACAATAAAGGAGAAGTTGGCTGGATTCGAACTCTTTGGTACTCAGATTGCAGGAGAACGTCCGGTCAGTATCACTCGATTTGCTCCCAGCGGCGAGATTGTTGCTGCAGGAAATTGGGGTGGTGGTATTAAGTTGCTGGATGTGCCGAATCTGGAAGAGAAGGCCACTCTGCGAGGTCATACCGGAATCGTTGGCGGGCTCGCCTGGTATCCTGGCTCGACTTTGCCGTCTTCCAACGTGTCATCAGATTCGTTGAACATTGCGAGTGGTGCTGGTGGTCAAGGAGGTGCAAGCGACATTCATTTCTGGAATCTGAACAAAGAAACCCCAATCTCCACTTTACAAGGCCATACAGATCGTGTGTGTCGAGTCGAGTTTCATCCTTCGGGAAAATATCTGGCCTCGGCGTCCTTTGACACTACTTGGCGACTATGGGACGTTGAAACGACCACGGAGCTATTGTTACAAGAAGGACATTCTCGACAGGTATTTACCGTCAGTTTCAATACCGATGGCTCGCTACTGGCCAGTGGAGGATTCGACAGTATTGGTCGCATCTGGGATTTGAGATCAGGACGCACTGTCATGATTTTAGACGGTCACATCAGAGAAATATACTCCCTTGATTGGGGTATCGATGGCTATCGCGTACTTTCGGGCTCGGGAGATGGCTTTGTCAAGTGTTGGGACCTTCGACAAGTACGGGCGGTCTCATCCATCGGTGCTCATAATGGCAATGTCTCCGACCTGAGATGGTTCAAAGGGACCGACGCTGATATCTCGACTTTGGTCGAGTCAAGTGGCGTCAGACAAGAACATAACCCTCGCAAAGCAGGAACATTTTTCGTTTCCAGTGGCTTTGATAAGAACGTCAACATCTACGGAGCAGACGATTGGTCACTTGCGAAACAGTTAAATGGTCACTCGGGTAATGTACTGAGCGTCGATGTCACAAGTGATGCCAAATGGATCGCAAGCAGTGGCCATGATAGGACTGTGAAGCTGTGGGGTCGTAATGACGGAGAGGGCATCTGAGCACAACTTCTATTTGGCACAGAAACCCCAACTCTCACTCCAGCAGCGCCTCAGGCCTCCGTTTATGCGATCTTCGACTCCGTGCCTCACCATCGCTACTGACGTTGACATCTTCACACGACATTTGCAAGATCAACCGAGCTACACGAGATCGCGATCAGTGGATGATTCATAGCCACAATAAGGTAGTATATCGCCGACTGTGCGATGCCTAATATGGAAGGAGTGGATGTCCGCTTTCTAACAAAGTCATCTTGCGAGAACGGGGTGAGAAACGAATTGAGGTCTTTCAAGGTAGTGGTTCAACCTGTTTTCTGTGTCTGCGGCGTCTCAATGTCATCGTAGTCCGATATTCTCAGATGGGATACCACGACCTTAACGATGTAGAGGTAAGAGTCAAAGGAAGGAATCGAAAAAGCTTGGTTGCGTTACCTCTGAGCGCATACTGTCCTGTCATGAACGCAGCACTGCCTGTACAGATGTGTTTGTATCTGGCGGTCGCCTCGAGGTAAACCACGGCTTTCTTCACGAAACGAAAGGCGCTGCGTGGCATATTCACTATTTGCCTTGAGAGAGTCGTCTCGTATGTCACATACGATTCGTTGTACCCTCACATCTCGTTCTCATTTCACGCTCAACATCCTTCGGCCACCTCGTCTGCAGACCCTTTCCGTTCTCATCGCCTGCTGATTTTGATATCGTCCGCTCCTTCAACCCACATCCAATACCAACAAGGCATAACCAAAACTGCCAAATATTGTGTCGAAACTACATTCCACTCGATCGATCTCACGAATCCTCTTCTTTCCACACGAGATACTTATTACATCCGCCAAAATTCTCCAGCTAGTGGAGACCGATCCCTCGCACTCCTCTCTCGCAACCATCAACTCCTCTACCGTCCCGTTGGGAAATCAAGAAATCCACCACCCGCCACCATCAAAATGTGTATCGATTACTACTCCACCTACACCTGCGGGCATCGCTGGTACAGTGGCCGAAGCATCTGCTGGATTTCCGGACCTCACAACATTACAACCCACAATGCTCCCACTGCGGCAATCTGTTGGCAATGTCAACGAATCAAAGCAAAACTCTGATGGCTGAGAAGTGTGCGAATGTGGACGGCCACTCCTCGGCGCCTCGAGGAACCAGCAATCAATCAGTCGGGTATCTTTGACGCTGACGGACTAGCAACAGCCTAATCTCGACGGCTCGACCTCTTTACCTACCAAAGTCCTTCTTTCACACTTGAAGCATTCTATGGACAACAAGATTACGATAGGATAGAAATTGTCGTTGGATAACAGCAAGCATGGTCAACTGGATGACTTGCCAACATGTGGGCTTTTGTGCACAGCAAGGCAAACATTATGTATGACTACTGAACAAAGTCTAGAGTCTGATGGAGCGAAAGTGTGAACAACGGCTGATGATAAGCTTTCTTTGAACCTGACTAACTGTCTTGGAACGATGGTACTGGATAATGGCCATGAATCACTACTGGGCTCAACGTCTGTGGAGTTGCTAGAACTAGCTACCAAGGCAGCTTGTATGACCAGACAATTGACTCGTCAGATGAAACTTACCTCGACCATCATGATTCGCTTCTACCACTTTGAAATGTACTTCAACCGTTTTGAGTATTCGTTTGCACAGTCAAGGCAAGTTTCTGTCTCGGATAACTCCGGTGAGACAGATCCTCAGTCAGACTTCTTTACGCGAACGATGGTGACGAGTGCGCAATGCCCATTTCGACACATGTCTGGCACGACATCTCAGCCCTCGCTCACGAGGCCAATGTGCAATAGCATTGATGGTTTGTTCACCCGCCCGGTTGACTTGCCACAGATCATCGCAGACGAGTATCATGCCCAACACGTATCTATCCCCAAAGGTTCCTTACACAAATACCACCCGAGTCACAACCATACCATATCAACCATCGAAACATTTCTAAACACCTGCAACTCTTACCGGAAACCCACAGAAGCACACACTTGCCAGAGATCTAGTATCTCCTCAAACTCAATTATGTGTCGCATCACAAAGACCGTATACTATTGCGGGTGCACGCGTTCGGAAAAACGATACTGCTGGAGCTTTCCAAACTGTAAGTCCGACAAGGTATGGAAGGATCTCAATATCGAGTGTGGAAGTAAGGCATGTCCACAGACTACTTCCAAGCCCGCCAAAAAGGGCGTGAAGCAGTAGTCAATCTGGAGGAATTGCTGTTGGAGGGAGTCAGTCGGGCAGCTGGTTCTTGGATAGCACTTGATTCTGCTGGTTGATTAGCTTGGTGTCTCCCAATGTGATATCGGAACCTGAGTGTTAGAAACAGGGCCTGAGACATGCAATTTCCCTTACCAGCATTTCAAAGAGTAATTCTAATGCGCTTTGAACTCTGGGACAGCGAGAGCTGCTGGTGAAGGGCAACAATGTTGAGAAGAAGGTTCCTTTCACGCGAAAGGAAAACCATTGTTCTGTGCTGATCTGACGCCATACCGTGTAGGTGGCTGTTAGGACCGTCCACATGATCACTCATCTCTAGCCCAAGGTGTCAGCGAACTAGAAGCGTGTACGACAATGGCTGAGTGAACTCCTTGTGACGTTAAATGGGTGATATATATATCTTGATCTCCGAGGTCAGAACCATCTTCTTAACCGCATTTTCCAAAGTCAGAATGCACATGTCCTAGTGGTGTTGACTCACGATCGAAAGCGCACTCTATAAAGTACCCGAATCGATTTCAATTTGTCAAGGCCCGTATACCATTATATAGCCGACCAAGCTTCTATCCACCCAAAACTCGGTCGAACCGATTGACAACCCATCCAGATCCTCTTACGATCTCACGGAATGTGTCGAACTGTAGTTATGGCATACTACTGCGGGTGTACAGGCACCAGAAGACACCTGTGTAAGTACTGGCCAAACTGCGAGACCACAAAACTATGGACCGACATCAACGATGAGTGCGGTACCGAGATGTGTCCTCAGAAAACTGCTAACGTCGGGATTGCCGAGAAACCTACAAAGACTACGAAGAAGAAGAAGAAGAAGAAGAAGAAATCCTAGAGGAGATTAGGCGATAGCCGGGGTGAATAGGTAGTGTGGTTATACTGGGCGGCGTGGAGCAGAGATCATATCATAGGTTTTCATAGCACTCTGTGCCTACGGTAGGGCGGCATACTATGTAACTACTATGACTTGCGGCAAACATCAATCTCAGTAGGCGGCTTCAATTAGGCTCCGAAGTAAAATCATGGCAGAGTAATGTGAAATTCGATACTAGCATACCTCTTAATCATTACCCGTATATCATGTCATAATCTAGATTGGAAAAGACCGTTTGTTCTATATGTGTCATGAGAATCTGGCGGACAATCAAAGGTGATCATTCAAACCAACAGCATTTGCGATCTCCCGCGACATCAGTCAGTTCACCCATTGCTGGGTGAGCCAGAGCCTCGTCAGAGAAGAGTTGAGCAAACTCGCGGTGACATGGTACTGCACTCGATTGTCAAGCCGAATGGATACATATAATGATCCTCAAGGTCTGTCCATCGTCCTTGTTTCTGATGTTCCCCACCTAAATCAAATACATATATGTCGATAGCATCAACCCAAAGGAATTTCATCCTCGAGGTCATATACTCGATAGCGCACAACTCGGTATTGGAAACCAACTATTGGTACCCTCACAAGGTCCGCATCAACCATCCTCTGGTTTCTCATCCTCAAGCGAAGTGGCCGACAAGCCGCACAAGCCATTAGACCTAGGGAAGCATGTGCCGTGAGATAGTGAACAGCTACTATTGCGGTTGCACCGACGTCAGAAACCGAACTTGCAGGAAGTGGCCGGACTGCGAAACTTCAAAGACATGGACCGATCTCAACTACGAGTGCGGCAAGGACAATTGTCCTCAAAAGACTGCTTCCGAGGGGACGCCCACCCAGACGCCGAAGAAGAAGAAGAAATGGAAATCATGAAAGGTCGTTCTGTTGGCAGTTGGGTATGATCAATAGAGACGCTGTTGGTGGGTTGGGAAGAAGGCTTGAGTAAGTATTGCTGCTGGGGATTGCACATCTATGAGTGCAAGGCAGGGCAGTCTTGTGGTGGCTTCTTCAGCGGCCAGCCATACAGACGGGTGATTCTGGTTGGAATGTGACAGAGACTGAACACCAGAGTGTACATAGAAGTTCGGTACCAACATGTTTTACAGGCATTAATCGGGTCCTACCTAGCTTGGCATCAATCCATCAGTCAACAAGAATTACTTGGACTGAAAACTGACATGTGGTAGAGCATGAGAGCTAATGTTCGCCCTGAAAGTGGTGGTAGTGATGTTGTCTCCTTCTCCGCATTACCCCTGACTCACCACAGCCTCGTCTCCCCACATTTCCTGTTTCTGTTTTCACGACACCCAACAGCGCAAATGGCACCACATCTGCGTTCGCTATACACGATTTTAGGTGCAAACGATCACTGCAGCACTAGGGTCAGGCGGGAGCTTCGAGATCTTCCCCTGCGCCTTCCATGGGTTGTCTTGTGCCAGTCCGAACCTCAGCAGTTCTCATTTGACTGACGTTTGCACGTGGCACACGACATCGTGACAAGCTTTACTCAAACAAAATTGATGTGAGTCAACTGCTGTTAATGCATGAATATGTTGGACGTCAGGATGGGATGTTACTGGCATAGGATGTTACATTTCGGGTTTGCTCCCACACGCCCTATTATCCAGCTCGACGTAAATGGTCCAATCTTGGGGAATTCGAACAGCAGAAGAAGCCCAACAGAAGTCTTGTTTTCCCTCTGTTCGTTATTTATGCACATCTGTTCGATAGAGTCAAACGATTGTCGGAATACTGTCAATCTCCATAACATCAAGATTGTCAACCCTCTCTGATAAACGCAACGTTGAACATGGCTATAAAAGCGCACTGTAGCTCGCTCCATTTCGAAAATTTAGGACAATTTCAAACTACATGATAGTATCCGTATACAAACTGAAACCTCTAGAGAACCCCAAGACTTCGAAGATTGATACCCTGGAAACTCTCTCCATCTTTAAACCAGACTCAGACGACTGGACGTCTAAGATCTCCGAAGGTCACATCATGTGCGCCGGCTTTGTAACAGTCTATGCACTCTGTTTGCATCGTACTTCGACTGAGCGATCATGTGGCGACCGTGATTGTACATATCGTGTATACGATTATTCAACAGTGCACCGAAAGTGTGCCTGGTGTAAAGCCGAGGACAAATGGAAAGAAGAGGAGCGGAAGAAAAAGGAGAAGTCCAAGTCTCCGGAGTCAAGAGGAACTCCATCACGGAGGACAACTACTACCTGACCTTCGTTTGTGACTCAGGATCAATGTGGTATTTGAGCTGTTTGGTCTCGAAACAAACGCGCAAGAAGCTATTTATATAAATCTGTATTCAAAGTCCCTTCGCTGCACAAAACATCAATCAGTAAACCTCGACTTGATTACCTCTACTAGCCAAAGATACGGGATTCTTGACCGATACTTCAACGAAGCAACTTGCGACTTGCAAAGCTTTCATTAGCATTGTGATTGCGCACCAACAGGCAGGTTATACTGGAAAGTTCAACGTCAAAAATGTGTGTTAACCTGATAACCACATACTCTTGCGGGCACATCTCGTCCATCCTTCGCGATTGCAGGCGAAGACCGCGCGAGGACATTTCTCGCAGCACTTCACGCATGTCCGATGATTGTGACTGGTGCCAGAGATCTGGACGGAGGAGGTTGACCGGAGCTTAAATGGGTCCATCCACATATCAAAACAAAGACCGAGCCCAACATTGTCTGTCACCAGAACTGGACATTCTTGAAGCCATCTGTCACTCGCCATCGCATGGATCTCACAGTTTCCTATATAAATGCCTGTCAGTCCATACCTTGGAAACATCTTGCGTATTCTTATCCGTTGACCATCGATCTCTTCTGCACTCCTGACATTATTCAAAAAGGCAGACTACGTCTTTCGCCTTAACACCGTAGCCACACACGAAATCCAGTATATACACCAACGACAAGCAAATGCCACAATTTGCACCACTGTGGTCATGATTTATCTTTGCGGATGCAGGAAGCCCATCAACCAAAACTGTGGGGATCATTACTGCCAAAACATCTTTAACAGCACAACTGATGCTTGGTAACATTGCAACTATTGCGTGACCAAGGGGAAGACATAAGGGGCTAGATGAGAGGTAATGATGTTTGGTTAGATACGGGAGAGGGGAGGAAGTATTGCAGCTGAAGCAGACAACTGTTATCCTTAAGTCACCTTGCCACTGAACGCATTTGTCATCTCCTGACGGTCTGGGTCCAGCATCACTTCAGATATAATGCATGGCTTTTGCTCAAGAATGAACCTCTTGGTCCTTTGATCTGCCCACTCGCCCGTTCTAATACCGGTGATATATGTGAAGCCCACGACGTGCTCAATTGATCCTTGACCTGCATAACCCCGCTATAGGCATTCAGAACATACTTGTCGTCTGAGTAGGTCTATAATATCCGGTTATAGTGGCAGCAAGCATATCATTGTCCTCGTCATCGACGCAATCCGCGTGTTTGTAGTATCCTTCGGTTGACCATCAGCACCCAAGGTAGGTAGGATGGCACGTAGACTGGCCCCTAGCTCCACTGTTTCACTTAAGCTATCACATGCCACGTAAATTCACCTTTAACTATTATAAAAGCGTGAATTCTGTCACCAAATCAACCGAGGCTGGCAGCATCTGCTGTAGATGGTAATGAACAGCCGAGTTGGATGCGTTGATCTAAGGTCATCAGTTCAATTCTGGCTCACGGTCAAAAAAATCCAGGTTCCTTGGGCGAGGAGAAGGAGGATTTTCTCAGCCACTACCATAATATATCCTTCGGGATATTTGGTAGTGGAAAGTTTTTGCCCATCTGAGGTGTTCTAGTTCAATTCAGAGGCGTTGCTATTTATTTTTGCTTCTGGCGATACTGTTCTTTGTTTAGACTCGAACCCTTATCGCTCAGGCTTTTCATGGAGCTTTCTGTCCGCACTACGCATGACCTGAGTAGGATACTGCCGAGGACTGAGAACTGTCAGCCTCATATTTCGTTCGTAGGCAGTGTCTCGCTGAACTAGCCTCGGCATCGAATCCATAGTTTGCTGCCATTAAAAAAGCCACATGCTGTAGAGTACGATTCTCCGTGACATAATTCCAATAGATGGAGACGGGCTTGGTCCCAGAGGGGTGTATTCACAAGAAAGTGTGCAGGTTAAGGAAAGTAGTAGAGCATGGGAAGCATACGACCTTGAATTGAAGCGAATCCCGAAACTAAAACAAGGCGTTTATCATATTGCCTACCACCAAGAACAGCTCCAGCCAGTTGAACTAGATGACTAAAGGCCCGAGATTCCCATACACATCTTAACCTCCGCGCCATAATGTAGATTCCCGAGAAATTTCGAGGCCGCCATAGTTTCTACTGTCCAATAATAATCATTGGCTTCGAGCATCCAACCTCCGGTGTCCAGGCTCTATGCGGAGGTTACGACATCGGATAAGGCACGTTCTGCGGAACATCCTGATGGACCATGGAAATTTCTGGGGGTCTACATATTTCAGACAGCCGTATGCTCACACGGTAGGCTCTTTAGTCTACTCAGCAGTCCGCACCTTCATAGAACCTTTGAATTCATCACAACGCAGCCGAAACGGATTAGAAGAGCAAGTATGTCGGTTTCTATGGTCGCAGAGGATCATATCTACAAGAAGATCGACCAAAATACAGACTTGCACGCCATCGGCTCTTGGGTTCATATCGCTGCCATTGGAGATCATGACGTAAATCCACAGACTAAACCTCGAGATATCTCCTCTGCTCATGACCTAACCATCGATGATGCACTTCAATGCTCTGGCAGAAAAAGCCTCGCGGTCTTCAGACGGACACTATTGCAGACCTATCCAAAGCACGTTTCTTGGAATTGAGACTTCGGTCATAGAATTTCAATGTATGACTGCTGATGATTTGTGCCATGACTCCCTCAGAAATCACGTCGAGAAATGCCTCTCACAAGTTCAAGAACAAGCTATCAAGATGTTATGGAGTCTCCGCAAATGGCTTCTTGAAGACAATGCGAGCGATGAGGTGCCATGTGCGCTAGTCTCAAATACAGCACTGGTTTCAGTATGGCACGATGTGCATCAACATTGTGACCACTTACTTTGGCAGACATGTCTTGTCAGTTCCGCGACTGTGGCTGGAAGCAGTGTAAGTACAAGGCTCCTTCTCGCGTCTCACGCAGTGCCGAAACCTCGAGTGATATCTGTAATTAGTGTAAGGCACCCGGAGACGCCGGGCCTACAAGGACCTCGATGAAGGAGATCGACGAGTCCAAACATAGGCTGGAGTTCACCACAACCAAGCAGAGATATCAAGGCTGATATGTCATCATGCTCAGGCATTCTTAAGATTGTCTGCCACTTGTAATATGTTGTATCTCAAAGTTAGCAATGGAAATGACAATCGGCCAATAGTCTCAATGTCTCGTGTTATCTACCATGGCTCCTCTAAATAATATTAGCAACATTTAGAGAAACAACCGAAACTTTGCAAATCAGTCTTGTGCATAAACCCAATATATTACCGATCACCTCATGTACGGCTGCCACTATGTGCATCACGGTTATGTCATATGTTTGGGTAAATCTCTTCCATTGCAAGACATCCATCAGCCGAAAGAGTAAGTGCCCCCAAAGGCATCACCGCGCCCAGTAGCTCCATCGATACATGAAAACACTGAGAACAAAAAGTTCCTAATCTCGATATCTTAATGGCTCGAGGCTAATGGAGGAGGGATATTATTCCCCCGAGTACGACAATTCTTGCAGTGCCAATGCCCACACATTGGACACCCGGCGTGTACAATGGGCATTTGCGGACCGCGACCACATTCGCAACACGCCCACAAGTCTTTGTTGCAACACGAGGTCCGCGTGTGACACCTGGCTTGAAGACTTGTTCGTTCTTTCTGAAACTTCCTGGCCTCGAGCTTTTCCAGCTCGGCCTTGAAGATGGACAGCATGTCCTCCTCAGATCTCCTTGAGGTACGAAAGCCAATTGAAGAGTTCTCCAAAGATTTGATTCGGGATGGTCTGATCGCGCCCATCACATATGCATCTGTAAGCAAAGACTCAGAGTGTGAGTTTAGTCCGTCGAACTGGGCACTAATATCTCGACTGGGCCACTGGGGCTTGACACTGGAATGTTGATATCTCTCCTGATTTTGGGCATCTGTGTCGTGCGCTTGAACACAGCCTAGATAGCTTCTCTGCGTCTGTTCGAGTGAAAGGTATAGTAGAGGGACCGCAATATCTGTGCCCGTAGTGTCAAGAGGCCTTTCGTTGACACCGAGTGATCGAGGAGTTCCAGCTTGAGGAGTTGTGCTGCCGTCAGTGCTAGTGCTGGTGTCCCACTGCATTTCGGACGACGTTGCTACCAGATTCAGCACAAGAAAAGATGTTTGTAGATGCTTACTCACAAATTGTTGGGCTGGATGCTGGGTTGAATCCCGCATTGCGACACTCGAATCGATTGATGTCTTCGACTGATATTGCTCTTTGCTTATACTTAAATCCATGCCGCTTGGGTTTCTCGTAAAGCTTTCGAGCTGCACTGCGCATAATCTGAGCAGGAACGTGCTTCACAATCTTCCACTTGCTTAATTTCTCCCTATATTGTCGGGCACTAAAGAACTTAGTATATCAGGACGATGTCTTGAGGAGCGTGGGTAGGCGTGATCATACTCACCTTGCATCAAAACCATAGACGGCCTTCATAGAGGAAGCAACGTCTTCCAGAGACAGGTTCTCCTTAACATATAAACTCAATATGTGGGGACGCATTTCTTCCCAGATATGTGGACGAATTGCCCTGCTCCGAGAAGATTGCCCAGGGCAATATTCACGAAAGTTAGCCATGATTTCTGCAAAGATTGCCTTGGTTCGCAAGGTTCACGAATGATGAGAGCAGGTGAAAATTGAAGTAGGAAAATGTGGGTGGACGTCCATCTACTACGTCGTACTCGAATATCAATGGGTGGAATACATACTCAGAGAGGTGGCGTTTCTGGTTTCGCGCTAAGTAGGGCTTCGCCGAGTGATACAAAACGACAATTACCCGATCAGTCCTAGCGTGATGTACCAAGCACTTCACTAGCGAATGTTTGGCTCTATCTTCCTCTCCTAGCATTCATAATACTCGTAAGAATGACCTGTGTGCCCACATGGGTCTAATAAAGAGTTGATACATCCAATAAACGACTCTTTTGAGGTACCTAGGTAAGGTTCTCGATGGCATCGATCAAAAGAATGAATCGATAGTGACCGTATACCGTCCGAACTAAGCCTGTTGCATCAAGCTCAGCACCCCACCGCTTTGTGGCCGCTTGAGCAGTGTTCTGGATACAAGGCCAACGACTCGACATAGCCCAAAATGGAACTTGTCATTTTGTGCTCACGTGCACAGTAGACCTACTGGTCCTCCACAGCAGCTGAGAACGACAGCAGCCCAGAATACCGCACAAGATAGATTGACCAGTTCGGAGAGATGTTGCTACCAAGCCTACATTCCTGGTGGACAGCCAGTACTTCTAACTATCAAAGTTTCGATTTTAATTGACCCCAAATCTGAAAGATGGAACATGCTTCAGACTTCGAGAGTATGGCAGTAACCGCATTTCACAAACAGATCAAACAGGCTGCAGACTTACGAGGCATTGGGTTTTGGGGCAATTTTAGTGTTCTGGGAGACAATTACCTAAGTCCACAGACTTCAGATGGCACAACGAGAAGCCCTGGAATTCGCGGCGTGACCGTTTCAAGACAAATACTAGTGCGCGCTGTCATAATGTATGTCTTTTGAGCCCGAGAACTCGGTAACTGAACCATTCACACCATCTTCTAATTGTATGACCACTGACACTTCGTCACATCGTTTCAGTGACACAAACGAGATCCTGCTCTCACCTGCCCAAGAAGAAGCAATCAAAAAGTCATGGAGTCTCCGCAGATGGCTCCTCGAAGACGATGAGATCAACGTGGCGCCAGGTGCGCCAGTCTCCAGCAGCTGCATCGGGTCCGGGCTTGGAGGAGGCATTGAAGAGAAGTTCAGCCGTGCTGCATACCAAGGCGAGGATAAGTCGAAGACAGCTTAGCGGGTTGTAAACATACACGGCTCGTCAAGACATGGTTGCTGCAGCCATCGGCGCCGTGGAATGTCCATTCATTCATCTGATGCGTTGTTGTGCTGGTGAACTCGGGGGCTTTTCCAAGTCCTATATGAGGGGAGTCAGTTACCAGCTTTGAATGATCCTTATCGAAGATACTTGATGTGTTCAATTCAGGAGGAGGGAGGGCCATAACACGGAATACGGGCGCTATCTTGTGTTTGGAAGGTCTGCGATCATCTTTAGCTGGGAGCTAGCTCTGCGCTTCATTGAATACTGGGTTCGAACAATTGCAACACAAGCCGTCCCTGACCAGTAGTCTCAGGCCCTCAATACATCAACACAGCTGCTGAAATATTTCATGGCGGGTTGTGGTTTGCTCTGCTCGAGGTGTTTCGGCGCAACGTCACCATGGTCTGTCACGAGGCTGTCACCCCTGGTATTGACATCACGTGACGGAAGCCGGTGCTACCACTTATCAATTATTTCCATCGCTTCTGGACAACATAACAACATGCTCCAATTAGCCCTTCATGAGTGGAAACACTGGCTGCGAAGGTAGGGAAGGATCCAACACCTTGATCTCTCGATGGGACTCACAGTAGCTCCGAGACCGAAGGAAAATGCAACATCTTATTGCCACAGTTGTCATCATGAATTGTATTCAATGCTTTTTGTTCTCATTAAAAATCGAGTGAATCGAGTTCGACCCGTTTCTGCTTCGTTGAAAGTAGCAAGTGCTCGCCCCGAGCTGATTGTTTCATTTCCTCATAGTACACTAGGTGCGCCCGAAAAACCCCCCGCCCCATCCAGTCGTCCATCCAGACCGATCCCATTGACGCCTTGCTCAAGTCGGAAGGAAGAAAAACCAAAGAAAATAGTATTCAGTCGATGCTCATGCTCATAATGCCATCATTGGTCTCAGTCATGCCTTGCAGACCAACCTTCTTGCCACCATTCATACTACTTCCGCTGTTGCTTCGATCCCCTTGACCGTTTGCCTTTGGTGCGAGTTTAGACCAGGATTTGTCATTTGCCATGTTAGGGCTTTGCGGTAGAATAGGACTGCTTTGTACACTCATTCCGGGAGAGACTGCTCGTCGCTTTATGAAGTATGGATCGAAGTCGTCGTCACGTCGTCGTTTGTTGACTCGGCGTGCGAAATCGTTAGCTGAAGGTGGTAATGTTGCAAGGGGAGTTGAAGATCTCGATCGCGATCGGTTGAAATGTCGAAGGGCTGGGTTGTCCAACGAAGATCCAGGTGTGTCAAATGGTTCGTCACTGATAGCAGATGAATTTTCTCGTTGAACCGAAGCTGGAGGTGGAGTGCGGTATCTCTCGTCGAAAGTGTTCCAGAAACCCAAACCTGCCCCATTTTTCTCAGCTTGACGACTGAAACTATCAGCCGGTAAGCTTGATTTGATATCTACAGCCATGTCTTCGATCGAGTCTTCGATTGCCTCATTCGAGAAGGGGTTATTCGAATGCAGAACTGGGGAAGTTGTCTGTGATGGAACTGCATCGCTCTCTTGCACCTGTCGAATGACTTCAGCTTCACGACGCGCCTCACTCTCAATAGGAGCCGATTCCTCAAGAAGTGCGGCTCGTATGCGAGCAAATCCTTTAGTCTTGGGGAGTAGATTGCCTCTTCGTGTGACAGCTCGTCGAATCACTCCACGAGGCCCTTCAGCATCCATGTCTGACAAAGATTGTCCTGCATGAGATTTGTTATTGTTGTTGCTGTTGGTTGTACCATTGTCTTCGCTGTCAGACAAATGAAGGCCGTCCGTACCCATGCTCAAACTTTCTCTACGCGACTGCACTTGTTGCCTGGTCAGCCCACCAAAGTAACCACTTCCTGTCGTTTCCACGCTCTTCAACACGCCGGGTGACAATGGACCTGGTGAAGGCTTGGAACTGTTCATGCTAACACTGCTTGAGCTATGTTGACTTTTTCCCTTGCGCATGCGAGCTCTTCGGAAACTCATCAAATTATGATGGAAACTCATTGGGCTCGCTTGAGCAGGAGAGGCTTGATTGTTCATCCAGTCCATACCTGGACTACTGATCAAACCCAACATCATGCCGCCATTCATGCGGGATGCTGCTGGAGTGCTGAGTACCGGGTCGTCCGTTTCACGATCCAAAGCCATGTCATTTGAAGAGTCATCGGAGTCCGAGTCAGAATCTGAACCCATCATATTAATGCTACTAACTGAGCTGGAGAGGGTGGTTCGATCATTTGTCAAAGACCACAGTGAAGCTGAGGCGTTGTTGCTCGGTGAATCAAGAACATTATTTGTCAGGCTGCGTCGATTCGGTATCAAGATGCCTCTTCCTGTAATCGGTGAAGCGTCGGGAGAGGCTTCTGCAAGAGTGGAATGGTGCAGGTTTGTACAGGCTCTTGTGTAGTCCATGCCACGAGACCTCCTAGGAAGCATGGATGTTGGAGAGCCATAGATTTGTGAAGAGTCCAACTTTGGGGACAAAGGTACCCGAGGAATCGTGGCAGCCATATCTGTCTCGCCGCTATCGAGAGATGGTAAGTGCAGAGACAAGCCACGGTGGTGAAATGAAGAGCGGAGAGGAGTGCTAGGCCCAGCAATTACCGAGTCGTCCTTTGAAACTCGTCGCAATGGCTCACGGAAGGCTGGCGAGGGAGATAACATGGGCTTGGGAGCATCGGAGAGTGATCTGGGTTTCGGAGATCCTCTCTCGGAAGTTCTGAAGGAACGAGGAGTACGCTCGCCCTCATGTTGTTCGATCTGTTGGGTTAGATTGGATCTGCTCGAGGTAGGGGTACGATCTGGCTGGAAAGCCATGAGGGAAGTCGACATGTTGAGACTCTTGAGATCGGCGTTCTGCGTGGGTTTGGTGTGCTAGACCGACAAAGAAGCACACCCTTTTGGTGGTGACATGTCGCGACCGTCGACGGACAGTACTACTAGGGACAGTGGATGTGAGAAATGAATGTCTGGAACTGCTTTGTTAAATCTAGAGTGATAGTCTGATGAGATGTAGTGCTGGGCGGCAGCAGAAACAAGCAAACTTGAGGTAAGTTGACTGCGCTCCCGTTTCACGTGTTTCTGGTTCTTTTGCCCGGGACCAGGGTTGTTCCGGCCGACCATTTGTGACGTCACTTTCACTTCGAATCGCAGTCTCAGCATCAAACGCGTCGTAGAAAGAAATGGTCTGTTGGCAACACGTCAAAGGATTGATTTTGATCACATCCCTGCATAAAGTCAAAGTCTGGACTTTTGAATACCCTGGTGGGTAAGATTTTCATGTTAATAAGGCGGGAGAAGATCGACCTTACATTGCCAGTGCTCATCGTGAGCCAACTCAATTGCCCCGCACCGGGAATATCATTGTCCAATGCCCCTCTTTCCATTGTGAGGTCCTCACACAGACAATACATACAGTGGCGTTCTCATCACAGCCACGCACTAACCATCTGCGCAAGGCCCGGCTTCGTACTTTTGGTGCCAGTTTACATGCCGAAAGCTGCACTGTCAAACTTCATTCGACGATACACACTCTCCCTTTCCTCCCAGCGCCAACATGAGTAACCGCCGGGTGAAGGCCATGGCCTTGGAGGACGATGACTACGATGACTATGACGACTATAGCGCGGAAGATGATTCAAATACTGCTGCAGAAGAAATCTCTGCAGAAGACAAACAGAAATTGCAGCAGTATACTCCCAAAGTCCGTCAAGCTCTCGGACCAAACTTCCCTGCAACCGATTCCGATATACAGGATGCCCTTTGGTATTATTTCTATGACATCAGCAAATCAGTTTCGTGGCTGAAAAGTAAGTCTACATAGTTTAAACATGAACCGGATTTTGTTGCTGATGAATGACTTGATTTAGATAAACAGCCTCCCGTCACTTCTGAGGCTACACAAAAATCAAAAGCAAGCAAGAGTAAGTCCCATTCTTCCGTCATCATGCTCCTTGTTCTTCCATTCCAATCTTGTCTGCATCATTGTGGTCATGGTGACTTGAGGAATGGCCCTTTCGAATATGCTTCTGATGAGCATGAAGAGGTAGCAGAGTCTGTTATCTGCTCCAGCCCTTTCTCGGCGGCGGAATTCTTCAAAGATTCACCTTGGTTGAAAATCCCTCAACATCGAAAGGCTGAGATCACCATGCAACCTTTGTATCCTCGAGGTGGACTTCTTGGAGGAACTTCAAAGGCCAGCAAACCCTCTAAACTGGCGGCATTGGCAGCCAAAAGAAAACAGCAGGTCAATGAACAGCCGGGATCGATTGCTACAAACACGGTTACTCGTCCGGATGATTATACAGCACATCTAAACAAATTACGCATAAGCAAATCTCCCCAAGCAGCAATTCAACTAGAGAATCAAGAAGACCAGAAACAGCCGTCAGACGTGGACATGCTCAGATACGAAGAGTCCAAGTCCTCTGAGACAGACAAAGTCCGAAATGACCACTCGTCAGTGGTAGACCGTGACATCAGAGGCCAGCCTTCGTTATTCGCAAGCATCATGACCAGCCAAACAGCCGATAAGGACTCGCGGTCTTCGTCTGAGTTTGTGTCCAATGCGTTGCTTTCTAGATCCTTTGATTTCACAGAACCGAGTCCAGATGATATTGTTACAAGGGCTCAGAATGTGAAAGGTCGGCCCTGAGGTCGGAGGTTATTAAGCGATGAACTAACATCCGTATTCTATAGCCCCTGCCCCCACGAAAACTAAACCTAAAGAGAGCACCAAAACAAGTTCTTCCATCGCCAAAGGTGTACAGAACTTGTCAATACAAGAGCCTCCTAAAGTCAAAAGCAAAAATCTTGATGTTGTCGCAGAGTTTCAGAAGGTCAAGCGGAAAAAGGCTGCGAATTTTGTGGTCATCGGTAAGTATATGTCCTCCGATCTCATGTGAGACTGTGAGTTAACTGTCCCAAGGGCATGTCGACGCAGGGAAGAGTACACTTATGGGGAGGCTGTTATTTGACCTGAAAGCTGTCGACCAGCGAACAATGCAGAAGTATCAACAAGAGGCCGACCGAATTGGCAAAGGTTCGTTCGCGTTTGCGTGGGTTCTAGACCAGGGAACCGAAGAACGAGCTCGAGGTGTGACTATTGACATTGCAACCAATAATTTCGAGACTGAGAAAACCAGCTTTACGATACTGGATGCTCCTGGCCATAGGGATTTTGTGCCCAATATGATTGCTGGAGCGAGTCAAGCAGATTTTGCAGTTTTGGTCATAGATGCATCCCCTAGCAATTTCGAGTCGGGCCTCAGAGGACAGACCAAAGAACACGCTCTTCTGGCTCGATCTATTGGAGTGCAGAGGATTATCGTAGCAGTCAACAAAATGGACTCCGCAGATTGGTCCGAAGAAAGATTCCGAGAAATCCAACAGCAACTGGCAGCATTTCTCAACACTGCTGGGTTTCAGGCAAAGAACGTCACATTTGTCCCTTGCTCAGGACTAGCGGGTGGGAACATTTTGAGCAAACCCTCAGATCCTAGAGCGTCTTGGTATACTGGACCATCTCTGGTGGAGGAATTGGACACATCGGAGCCGTCAACATATGCTCTCGATAAGTCTCTTCGAATGACAATCAGCGACGTCTTTCGAGGTGGTGTGCAAAACCCCTTGTCTGTTTCAGGTCGTCTCGAGGCTGGCAATGTTCAGATTGGAGAGCAAGTCGTCATCATGCCTAGTGGCGAGAAAGCCCAGATTCGGAGCCTGGAGGTTGATGAGGAGCCAAGAGACTGGGCCGTGGCAGGACAAAACGTGGTTCTTAATTTGACGGATGTCGATCCCATTCACCTCAAGACTGGAGACGTCCTCTGCAGCCCCAATTCTCCGATAAAGAACATCAGTGACTTCAAGGCTAAAATCCTTGCATTCGACCATCTGACACCAATGAATCTGGATGTTCATAAAGGCCGACTTCATATTCCCGGGAAGATTACTCAACTCATCGCGACGCTGGACAAGTCAACAGGCGCTGTACTCAAGAAGAAGCCTAAGATTGTCCAACCCGGAAGTGTTGTCAGGGTTGTGGTGCAGCTGGACCAGGCTGTACCTCTGGAGGCCCCTGCACGAATTGTCCTCAGAGCCAATGGGGAGACGGTTGCGGCTGGCTTAATCGAGTAAATGGTCAATTTGGAAGTTGACAAAGCTAGGATACACCCACCCACCTTACGCTTTCAAGCAGTAACGTGGAGAGGCTTCAGTTCAGTGCAGAACCTTGGACAGATTGGTGGATGGTAGATTGCAAGTTGGCCCTCTTGGCTATGGGGTTTTTTTAAAGAAAGGGGCAGTCTGTAGAGAATCACGTGTCATTATGTCAGCAGATTTGCACCAATAAGAAGAACATGATCCTCCAGAGATCTCCGCTTTGGCTTGAACCTGAAACTGAACAATCACAACCAGGAGTCTGTCAGCTTCTGGCCCCGTTGACATCAGCCTCGTTGTTCGCTTGAGTTCCGACTAACTAGTGCCCCAACTTCGTCATTCGATATAGAGTTTCAACTCCATCGATGTGCGAACCAGGATGGTGAGACGATGGTCCCATTCAAGGATTGATATCGCTTGTCCTTCATTTGCAAGTACTGGAGCATGTAGTGCTATGACTGATCACAACTGGAGCATATCCTGGTCAGTGAAGATATACGAGCACCTCGTATTCATCTGTGTAACCGACCTTAGGAACCATAAAGAGCTCGCGATTTCCCAAGATCTATAATGAGGTTTGTTGTTTCCATACAGTTGCTCTTGCTTTCATTTCTGCTTTTGGTTCTCACTCGAGTCCGTCCATTCTCTTTCTCCACGCTGCGCGGTGCGCACGTCCATTCTTTTCCCACAAAGTTCACTCTTTTACTTGATTCCCCAGCTTCGCAGTTTCTCGAAGACGATTTAAAATTCGACCCTCGAAGCTTATACTCATCTCAAAATGGTTGCTACGATCATCCTCTCTGCCCTCGCCCTCAGTGGCATGGCGCACGCGCACATCGCTGCTTTTGCCAAAGGAATGTACTGCGAGAACGGAACCGACCCTAAGAACCCAAACTTCAACAGCAATGCCCCCGTCAATCCATTGTTCAACTTGACACTGGAAGAAATGTGGTTTCAGCGTGAGCGAGGCTGCGACAGGGTTCCGCCACCGGAGGGCGTCTTCCTTGATATCCCAGCTGGTGGTTCTTTTACCGTCGAGCTTGCCAATAATCAAGCATTCTCCCACCTGTCCTACGATGGAAAGTTCACTTCGCAATGGCCTGATGGAGCTGACCATCCTGCCGACTTCAACGGCGGAGGTGTTGGCGAAGGCTGCATCCAGGAGGCTGGATATATGCATGTGCAGGATGAACAACACGCCCAGGGAACGGCGTTTGCCATCTCTTACCAAAGCGACTTGAACGAGGTCAACTTGGAAAATCTTGTTGTATTCTCTGTGCTCGAACAGTAAGTCTTCGGACAACATTGGCGTCTCATAGCCACATCTTTTTAACCAAATACATTCTAGTACACCCTGGCACCGAGAAGCTACCTACAAAGTCCCAAAGGCCTTGCCTGCCTGCCCAACAGGAGGCTGCACCTGCGCGTGGCTGTGGGTTCCGCGCGGTTGCGGTCAACCTAACATTTACATGCAAGGCTTCAAGTGCAAAGTCTCAGGCGCCACCTCTACCACTCCTCTTGCCAAAGCACAAGCACCTGCTCAATGCGACGAGGATTCCTCCAAGTGTGTTTCGGGTGCGAAGCAAATGATCGTATGGAATCAATTGACCGGTAACAACGTGGTCACGAAGGACAGGCAGACGCCTGCATATAACCTCCGCAACGGGTTCAAGCCAGGAGCGCAGGACGATATCTTTGCAGGTGCACCCGCGGCGCCTGTCTCTTCTGCCACGACATCCACTACATCATCCGCTGCCGTCGAGATCACTTCCTCCCCAAGTGCCGTCACGCGAATTCCATCAGTCACCACCAGCAGACCAGCCTTGACCTCGGATGCTTCGCAGGCAGTTCCAACTACCTTTTCGACCACCGTGAAGGATCAAAGCCCTGCAACCGTTACTGTGACGGTCACTGCCCCAGCAGCGTGCTCATAGCTGGGACGAGATTCCGACTTATTTCTGTTTTGAATCTGCCAGTTCAGGTAGTACTTAGGCTTTATTCACTTCTCCTCACTTGATTTAGTACAGGTTGCTCGCATATACTGTAGAGATACCCATCAATGTTTCCTTCTACATAGAGAGTTCTTCTCGGGTATCCCTTTTGGAGCAGCGATATCAATCACTTCTAAATCATTTCTGATAGAAGTATTGAGAGTATTCAGATGCACAGCCACCCTGCTTTAGAGCATCTTGCTACCTATTGGCTAGGTGTATACACCGGGCTCCCGTCCTCTGAGGTGTAGTTAGGGGAGCCCGAAAGCAACCCCATTCCTCTCAAAACATGTCCTATTTTAACGCTCCTCGGGACAAATCATATCCTAGAGCTGTGTTAGCGGTCAATTCCATGTGGGCACGGACAGATACATGGCCTAGTTACTTTGAGGATCTGTGTCCGCCACTGTGCTTGTGCCTTCGCCTGCTTCCCATCTCCAAAGCCTTTCCTGGCAAGCAGAATCTTTCTGAACTGCTGGTTCTGTACATTCTGGTGAAAGCTATTCAGTAAAGAGCCCTTCATAAAGCCTGGATTTAATGTAACTCACAGCTTCCACGGTGTTGTTGACGATGTAGCGAATCACAGAGACGGTTCTCGTCTGCCCAAGTCTGAGAACCCGGCCCACTGCCTGGCTCTCGATCGATGGATTCCACTGGGGTTCAAGAATATGTATGCGATTGGCAACCGAGAGGTTGTTGAGACTGAGGATACAGTGTCAATTATGTTCAGGGGAGCCTCTCAGGTGTTAGTCTACCCACCCTACTGCACCTGTGCCCAGGGTCATCAGCAATACCATACCCTGCTCGGCAGTCTGGAACTGTGCGAGGATTTGTTTTCGTTGAGCGAGCGGGACAGAACCGTCGATACGCATATATGGCAGGGATTGTTTGTCGAGAAGTGCCCCGACTATGTCGAGAGTTTTCTTCCAGAAGGAAAATACAATACTGTTGCGATTCGTGAGCAGGTATCCCTCCACATCTCAATGGGAAAAATTCACCTTTTGCTCTCATGCCTGTGTTCTTCGAGATCTTGATATAGTACCAGAATCTTTGAGGGAAGGTTTCGTAATTCTAGGCCTAACTTCGGAGCCTCGGTGGCTGGAGAAGTATCGAGCGGAAAGTTGTGGGTTGCTTTGCAGATTGGACATGCCTTACCACTACCAGTCTGAGCCCGGTATCTCGCAACACATTCGCTACAGGCCACACCGCGGCACGGAGTAATGACTCCAGAGCTACCGTCTTCAGAACTGCCAAAGGTTGAAACATCACACTTGCAGTAATAGCATGTCGTATCTCCAGCTTGCTGTAGCAGACTCCCCAACTCCTCTTGCTCGATCAGAGAGGATGCAGGTTCCGTCCGGAGATGGTCGCCGTTGTTGCAGTATATTCTCAGTCGTAGTAGACATTCAAGAACAATTTGGTGAGCTGCCTTGGCGTTATGGCCGCTGACAGCCATGTCGATTTTTTCTCGCCAGCTGCACTGGAGCTCCTTGTACCGTTCGCGTTCCTCCCGAGAGAATTGGACCTTTACTGGGCACTCCACAGACTCGGAACATGGCAGAATGCTTCGGTTCCGTCGAAGACAGATAGAGGCAAGCAATAAACGTAGATTGTCGTAATCCGGCTGCTGACTGCTTTTCGTCACTAGTGTTCGGCGCGTAATGTGTCGCTGGAACTGCGCGCGCTGGTCCAGTATTGGAACTCTCAAAAATGCAACAAGAGACCCTAGATCTTCAAGTGAATTTTGGATGGGCGTACCAGATAGACACCATCTGATATGAGATCTGAGAGCCATTACAGCCCGGAATTGATTCGTAGCAGCATTTCGAACCACATGAGCTATGGCTTCAGTATAATTCTGCATCACATGCGAGGGGATCCATACCTTCATCTAGTATTATCCTGTACCACAGAACCCTGAAAATAAAAGATTGCTTGCGTCTCAGGTCTGCGGCGAGGGTTCCGTAGGTGGTGAGAATGATATCGTGGTCAAGTAGCTTGTGGATGGCGATCATACGACTCGGTCCATGATATTTGTGTACAGCCAGAGTATAGCCTCGAGTGTGTCTTTAGCATTGGGTTAATAGCTTAATTTGCAGTTTGAACATAATTTGGCTGTCCATACCTGTTAATTTCGTCCAGCCAGCCCTCCATGAGCACTGCCAACACAAGTCAGTGTTCAGAGACAAGAAAGTCCAGCTATGTCTATTTGAAGACCGGGATTTACTCACGAGCAGATGGTACCACAACGACAGTGCACCGAGCTGCAAGCACAAGTTCCTCTAGACTGTCTGGTGGAGTTGTGAAGGAGCGGGCATACTGGAATGCCTCTTGCAGAGTATTGACGGCTGCAGAGATCATGACCAATGATTTCCCTAGGCCCATATCGTCCGCTAATATGCCGCCACGGATATCTAGTGACTCTTCACTCGTAGCTCCAGTTATAATATGCTGGAATCTATTGTGAGGTTAGTAGACTGTTTGGCTCAAGGTAACAATACTAAACTTACTTTCGTCTGTCGGGTTCATCCTCTAGAGTTTCCCAAAGAGATCTGGTTAGGGGAGATGTGAGTTGCTCTCTTTTCAATACGAAATCAAGGCCTTCCTTCTGGTGACTTAGAGAGTCAGTATCCGACTGTTAAGATGTAAGAGGTTGCGCTACTTCAAGAGAGGCGTTTCGATCCTTGAATCAACCGGCGCCATGACTAGATAGTCATGCTCCGCGAATTGGTCCAGGAGATAAGTGAAGTCTAGGTTGAGATCGAAATCAAGATCGAAACTTGTAGCATTGTAGTAGTCATCCTGGCCCGCGTCGGTCGGGGCTGAGGCCGTGATACCCTCTATGCAGCGAGGAACAGCCGGAATTGTAGCACTATCAGTTTGCGGCAGAACATGAACTGGAAGGGTCAGCGACTGGGGATTCTCATAATGAGTGCCCTCAGGCACAAGATCTGGCTCCTGCAGGAAGAGTCCCGAGCGTGAGAGCTCAAGCGCGACTTCTTCGGCGATGTGAGGGTCTCCATAGAAGTTCACACTGATGTTGATGATCGCACCCTTTTTCACTATTCCTGCTCCATCCACAATATTCTTGATTTGATGCATTTGGATCATGCCTTGTGCCTTCAACTGTGCAAGCATCGGCAATCTAGCCAGCTTTTTGAATGTATTTGTGTTTAATGCAGCAATGATCGTTCCTGCAGTGTTTCGGAGCTTGCACTCAGAGGTCTCAAAAGTCAAATTGAGTGGAGGAAAGGACGATGCTTCATCCACTGTCACCGTGAGGAGATTCGAAATCTCAGTGACGTTGACGGGAGAATCTGAGCGAAATCGTATGGGGATATCACAAATCTACAACAGTTATTTGCATCCCATTAAAATGGTCTCAACATCATTCCTACCATTCCGAAACACACAATGTTGTCTGTCTGCTGCATCTCAACCAATTCGAAATCAGGTGGTGGCTCTAAATCACCTAACGATGTGGTAGTGTCATCTGTGGACCACATGTTATCAAAAACTGCATCGTAGCCCTGCACCTGAAATGGAATGGCCTCATCGTCCAAAAGGAAAGAACAGTCCCAGTTATACATCATTTCATGGTCTATGGCGTTTGCGGCGGTTTGACTGCTTGTCAGATTGTTGTGTGGAGACTTGAGTAGTGTGCTTGCTATATTGTTGCTATCATTGCAATGTTTCTTCCAAGGGCGTGCATCGCGGGATTCATCCTGGTTGCTGGACCCGGTCCCGAATTTCACATGCGGCAATTGGGGTTGATCCATGCCAGATCCTCTGCCGTGGTACACAATGAGGATTGACAACTCCAATAGTGTACCGATAAATCATTGTGATCTCAAAATGAAAAGTATGCGTTGCTCGCGAATATGCGTGCTATGAAGTGAGTTAAGGCTGAGGAAGCGGTTTCGAGACTCTCTCGAGGCGGAGGACATCTGGCGTTGGTGCAGTTACCTGCATGAAGAAGTAGCCTTTCACGAGAGTCCATGGGATCTGGCCTTGAGTTAGCGTGCGAGAAAAGGCAACCGGTGTGACGGTCGGAGAGTTGGAAATGAATTGCCTCTTTTCATTTGACCAGAAAGTGATAGCCTGTATTCGCCAAGCCCAAAGTCATCCCCGGGCGTCCTGGGGCTGGGAATCCCTGTCCTTTTGGCTACCAGTTCCAACACAAAAATGAGGCTGTTCCTCACAAAATGGCAGCTTCTGTTGGATCTGCTTGCACGATGATCTTGCATTGCCACAGTGGTGCCACTGGAGTTTTGCATTACTCTTCTGAGCATGTGGAAATGCACCAGAGTTCTCATATCTCAACCAGTGACCAAGCTGCACAAGTTGTTTTCCCGAACGTATTGATGAACCTCCTGTCGCGTTGACGGGCTGCTATTCTGGACTGGTTCAGAACGCCTCTGACTTCTAAGGACGCCAAATGGCCCAGAATCCTATCTCTCCATCTCGAAGCTATGAGCTCGCTTTACAGAATTTCAGGTTGCAGGCTGGGCTGACGGTCCAAGAGTTGGCTGATCTGGAGATGACCACGCTTGAAGATTTGCAGAAGGCTCTCGCAACTATGCAAATAAAGCAGCAAAATACGAAAAAGCTAATGTATCTCAAGCGCTTACAGCCATTCTTAGATGCATTGGAACAGTACAGTAAAGTGATCAACATATTTGTAAACACTTCAAATTTTGTCGCCTTTGTCTGGGTATGTACGTATCACTGGTAGTTTGGCGGTACTGACCTCTCCAAAGGGCCCAATGAAGTTCCTGCTCGTGGTAGGTCACCTCCTCCAGCATGAATAAAGTTACAATTCTTACCGTCAGCCATCGTTCAAAGACTGCGAGTAACGTGTCAGACGCTTTCAATGCTCTCCTGGACGGGTATCGGACTATTGGCGAGCAGATGCCTTTGCTATTACAGTACTCCGACCTTTTCAAATCGAACCCATATATGCAGAAGGCTCTAGCTTCGATATTCGAGGACGTCCTCGAGTTCCACCTTCTGGCGGTTCAGCTATTCAAGCAGAGATGTACTATTATAGCCTTGCGTCCAACCCTCGACTTAGCTGACAGACCTCTAGCCTGGCGGCAATTGTTCCATGCTACTAAACAAAGTTTGACAAGGAAGGTTAAGGATGTGGCAGAATCGATGGAACGCCATACAGCCATCATGCAAACACAAGCCTCCCTTGCAGAATATCAGAGATTTGAAGCGTTTCGCACAAACATGAAAGCGGAAATTATGAAATTGCAACAGCATGAGCACGAACTACGCTACGGAAGAGTCCAAGAATGGCTATCCTCTCCAGTTGACAGCAGGGCAAGGCAGGATCATGCTATCGAACAAAGATTTGGTAACAGTGGTCAGTGGTTGCTGGACGACCAGCAATTTAGGAATTGGTTCGCACCAGATCACTGTACGGATCCCCTTCTCTGGTTGCACGGTATACCGGGTGCAGGTTCGTCCACTTCGATCACGATTCTGGCTGAACAGTACCTAACTATCTCCAAGGAAAGACTATCCTTGCTTCTATTATTGTTGAAGAGTCCTCTAAGGTCCCTGATGCGGTTAGTTTGTGCTTCTACTGTAAGCAGTCCGACCAACAGACGAGCCGTTTCTTGGCGGTCGCGAAAGCCCTGCTCTCCCAACTCCTATTGATGAATAGCTATGTTCTGGATTATCTGTTTGAAAAGGCTGCCAACGGAGGCGAAAATATTCTCTCTAGTACAGCGGTTGCCAAAGAATATCTTGGAAATGCACTCCGGAGCTGCCCTAAAGTCTACATCGTACTTGATGGGCTTGATGAATACTCGCGAGATGACAGAAAGGAGTTGGCGACGTGGTTTAGGGACCTGATTAATTCTCTTCCTGACGCTGACTTGGGATCTATCCGTTGTCTCTTCGTTAGTCAAGAGGACGGGTTCGCACGGAAAGATCTATCGACGTTATCCCAAATCAGGATAACACCTTCTGCAAACCGGGCCAACATCGAGAGCTACTGCAGATATTGGCACGGGGAGATTGAGAACAAACTTGGACCGCTTATTAAACCACAGCATCATGTTGCCAATATAGTGACTGCAAGAGCTCAAGGTAGGATGATCTTGAATATGTCTGGCGCCCCGATTCACTAAATCCATCATCAGGGATGTTTCTGTTTGCAAAGCTGGTGACCTGGAACCTTTACGAGCAAACGAGCCGTGCCGACTTTGAAAAAGAGATGCAACCTGACCGAGTGCCAGCAGGATTAGACGAAGCGTCAGTATCTTCGGTACACTCCTCCAACGAGCAATGTGTGAGCTAAATTTTTCAGATATGACCGGATAATTGAAAGATTAACCGGCCCGACCGTGTCGCCGTCCCGACGCAGATCACTTTTGAAACTCTTGGGCTGGCTTACCTGTGCACGGCGACCACTCAAGTGGTTCGAGATACAGTGTGCCGTGAGTGTGAATTTGGAGAAAGGGCTTTTGTCTCCAGAGCAGCAATTTCTAGAAGACTGCAAAGACCTCTGTGCTTCTCTTGTCGAGATTGACTCTACACAAGCGGTGACACTGGTTCACTCCACAACGAGAGGGTAAGGTCGGATTGATATGACCAACTCTGAGCGAGTAACTAATGCGATCTAGCTATTTGATCCGAAAAGAACACGTTCGAGAATCTGAGGTGGAAGTCGAAATTGCCACTAGATGCGTCGCATATCTTGGTATGGAAGAATTCGAGTGCAACAGGCCTGAGGAACATATACGTAGAGCTCTGTTCCTGGGGCTTTACAGTTTTGCAGACTATGCGGCATGTTTTTGGGCAATGCATCTCGAATCTGCCATCTCGAAATTCACCGACAAAGCCAGCTGTCTGTCAGGTGACATGGTAGAGAGTCTGGAATCATTTCTCAACAACCACTGGCGTAAGGGGTCTAACATAGAGACGGTATCCAAGACGCTTCGCGAGCACCTACAAGCGCTTGAGTCACACGACCGATTCAATTCCATATGTGAGGCTGTCGCATGGGCAAAAGGTCAGCTACGCTCAACGCCCAAGCGACCATCAGACACTGGTCGACTTCATCTCCTTTCTACCATGTCGCAGATCCGCTTCATTCTCGAAAATGCGAGCGAGTCACTGTCCACACTAGAAGAGCAGAGAAAATTGCTTATGCTACACTACGGTGCAAATCACTTTAAATGTGATCGAATGTACTGTCAGGCTTTCCACGAAGGCTTTCAAAGGCGTGAAGAGAGGGATCAGCACGTATCAAAACATGAACGTTCCTTCACATGTGCCTTTTTCGGATGTCCGTACGAAATCATTGGCTTCGTGGCCAAAAAGGAGCTACAGATGCATATACTCGACCAGCACGGTATCACAACGGACGACGATCAGGTGGACTTCCCTGGTACAGGACAAGATGATACGACGCGACAAACTACACGTTTTCAATGCACCATTTGTACCAAGAGCTATACTCGGGCTCATAATCTACGTTCTCATCTTCGAACCCACACAGATGAAAGACCATTTCGCTGTACCATATGTCCTGAAGCCTTTACCAGACAGGATTTTCTCACACGACATGAAAGAGGCCACAAAGAGGGAAAGAACCTCATATGTGGAGGACGCTCTCAATCAGCACCAGACACGTTCTGGGGATGTAAGCGGCGCTTTGGAGAGCTCGGACAACTAGTCTGGCATCTGATGCCATACCGAAAAGGAATTGAACAGACGTGCATTATGCAATTCCGTGCGATGGTACTCAGCAAGGCAGCGCAGCAGGCGAGCGATCCACAGGAGGTTGTTCTCAGGCAGATTGACTCACAGACCAATGCTTTGCCGAGTCATCCCTCCGCGCAGAGTAGCAACTTCTTGTTGCGTGCTGCCCTCTTAGACCGGTATCCAATGCTCCAGGATAGCGACTTAACAGACATACTGGGGCAAGAGGATGTCCAAACGAGTGGCGATGAGGAAAATGAGGGTCATGGCGACAACGACGACGACGACGAGACCTTAACCTTTTAGTGAAATCGTGCCTCTAATCTACTACGCGAATACCTTCCCAAACCTTAATCATATGCTAATCCATTAGAGAGCAAACGGGGTGGGCTGGGGTATGACACTTCCTATTTATTGTGTGTTATTCAAAAGCCTAGTGTTTTCGTAATTCAACATCTGATAAAAATGCTGTATTCAGGCCTTGTTCATTTCTTCAAGATGACGTACAGTAAGCAGATCTCGCTTGTGTCACCAAGCACATAATAAACAGGTACACAAAAGTCTGTTCCACAGACATACAAAAAGCGATAATCTACCACCAGACGCCCAGAGAAGTAAGGCTGCTATAGGTCAGACGACTACGAGGTGAATTACATTGACAAGGCATCGAACAGGCAGTTGAGGTTGGTAGATGTCTTTCTCGGCCAAAGGTGCTAACCATGAAAGCTTTCTCAAAACAGGACTAGTGTCCGATTCTTTTCAAATTTCTGCCCTCTCTCACTCGCACCGCTGTGATTCTCAAGTGATAAGTCAATTAAGAGTCTAACTAGAATCTACGAAAAGAGTGCTGCTTTATATACAGTCCGGTTAAGGCCTAGTACCGGCCTTAGCGAATATTACACCGCTAGGAATGTACATGAAAGAGAACATTCCGTTAATGCTGCCGCGCCTCTGATCTGCCCTTAACCCCTTACGGCTCAGCTAAGGGCTCTTGATGTGGACGGTCTCTTGTGTGGCTGGCAGACAGTCAAGCCTAAGAGTAGATGGTTAGAATGTCAGCCTGGGAATGCACTTGAGGCCGTGCCGACCCAACACATCGACTCAAAAAGGTTTAGTGGATAGATTCTCTTCAAAAAATTCACCTCTCCGCGAAGCACCGCTCTCCTGGACTCGGTGGCAACTCTAGTGTATTCCTAGGCATAGACGGCACCTATACTTGTAATGTCGAACTTTTCGTCAACTTCCATGAAGATCCTGAGTGACCATTCGTTCTATTCTACGAAGTTACTTAGGACTAATATGGTACAGCACAGCCTGAAATCCAATCCTCGAACGCAAAACCCGGACATTGCACCAGCGCTCCGAAAAAACATTCACCAAGCAAAGTCTCTCCAATAAATATAGCTTGGGAGTTGACCTGTTCAGGTCTAAACTCCCAAGCTCCAATTACATCTCATCAGCCTATTTCTTCTTCACAGTGATACTAAGATGAATAATCCAGCATTTCATTCACTCGAAGCCGTCACAATGATAAACACCTGAACTAAGTCCGATCAGTGGGCGTCTGGGACTGCAATGTCTCAGACTTGATGTCAGGCGAGCCCACCCTTTGGGGCACAGAGCGGCTGACTTCGCCCAGCTTAGCCTGGTCGACAGGATTGGACGGCATTTCATGCGTCATCTGTCGCACTGGTGGCGCTGCCTGCATTTCCTGAGGCAGATACTGCGGCTGCTGCGTGTACATTTCTGCGGGGTGAGGCCCGCCTAGTGGGGAATACATCTGCTGGATACCGTAGTTCTGTTGCTGCGGGTGGCCGGGGTAGAAGGGCTGTGGGTACGGATAGGGTTGTTGCGAATATTGGCCGAAGGGACCCATTTGAGGCGGGCTGTAGGGCGGGATGTTCTGTGAATGAGAGCTATTTGTGGAATACTCCATCTTCGGTCGCACCATGGGAATCTTGTCGTCGTTGGAGCTTCCTGGTGCTTCGAGGACGTTGCTTGGTGGGTGTGAACCGCCGGACTTGGCGTTACCTTGGGTTGCTGCTTTCCTCCGACGGAGCCAGAAGAATATTGCTAAACCGAAGATGATGAGAGCCACTACACCACCGACGGCGCCTCCAACGATCGCGCCGGTATTGGATTTCTCTGGAGCCGGCGTGGAAGTTGGTTCGGTAGTGGCCGTCACCGTTGGAGGGATGTAGCGGGTGGGTGTTCTTTCGTCAAATTGTGCTTTTGCACCGAAGTATACTGCCAAAGCTGCGTCACTCCATCCGCCAACGGGTTCAAGACTCGTGGCACCGCCCTCGGCCGTTCCATCAACAACTGATTGTATAGCGGGAGGCACTTCGTAGGTTGTGAGATTAGGTAGGTACTGGAACCATTTTGAGTCCTCAACATTATTCTGTCCGAGATTCAGGTTGTGCTGAGCGCCAACGGAGGGAACATCGCAGGCAGTGCTGTTGGTGAAGTTGCCTCCCATGACCATCATCTGGCCATGGTCGATAACGTTGCAGGTGAGGAGTCCATGTGGTGCTGACGCGCCTGGGGCCTCAGGATACCACTTGATCCATTCAAATGTCGGCATGGTAAGAATGTAGACATCATCGAAGCCGGTAGAATTCTCGCCAAATCCGAAACCTCCATAAATGTAGATGTTGTAGGATGACTGGTCATCAGTCCATGTTGCACCAGCGCAGAACTTTCGACGGTTTTCAGGAATCTGTCCGGTGGCTGTCTGTTTGTACCATTTGCTATCTCCCACTGTACAATTCAGGCAGTCAGTATCAGCTGAAGCTAGAAGTGGTCCGGGCTTAACTCCAATATTCTAGCCAACTGACCTCGGACGAGGAAGTGGTGTGAAGATGCAGTCAAGACATAGAACAAATAGATGAAACTCACCGTCGTAGATCATGATTTCACTCATGGATTTCGCAACTTCTGTGGAGTTTTCAGAGTCTCTTGAGAATTCCACACCTCCAAAGTAAATCAGGAGTCCTGCTGCAGAAGCTGGGACAGAAAGCAGCACTCCTTCAGCCCGGCCAACATTATCAGGTCCAGTATTGTTGGTGATAGTATTGGCGTCCATGTCAAAGATCGTCAGACCGCTGGTTGCAAAAGCAGCTCCACTCCATAGAGGATTGGTGAAGCTATTGAGATATCCACCGTAGTAATAACCCTTGTTATGAAGCGATGTCCCTCCTCCATATGACACTCTTTGTATTGCCGAGCCAGACGTCGTCGTTGCTGAAGATATATTCCACTGGTTTAACAAGGTGTCGTATCCCCAAAGCTGAAATGTGCTGGGCGCGGCTGAGAATTCGCCTCCATAAAGCCAAAATACTTTATTGACTTCGTCTGGCCATAGTGTTCCTCCTGCTACATCTGGGACTGTGCTGTTCTTTGATAGGTTGGCATATTGTGGTGGCATCCCATCTTTCGAATGCTCCAAATCACTGTACACTAGTACCTGATCTGTGGCGATGTTGGTTAACTGGCCACAGGCGTACTCAAAAGGGTAATCATACTTATGGTAGGAATTGGATTCTGTGGAATCGGATTGGCATATACCCATCCACCGTCGATGTACAATTTGCGATCGATGATTGTTGTTTGATGTCCATATCGTCGACAAAAGTCTTTGAGAGGATCTTGAGGTGCTTGAGCAACGGCTGGGGAGATCAATATGCAGAGCAGAGAACAAAGCTCAATGATTGAAGGTGCCATTTTGAAACAAGTGTTAGGCTTTTAAGACCAAGAGTACTTATTCGATCTAAACAGCAAAGTTGTAGAGTGGCGAAGCAACCACCCGAGCTTGAATATGGAGCTCAGCAGTAACGCTACAGCATAAAGAAGGGATCTGTTGCGAGGTTCTGGCGATCCCCAAAATTCCAAAAGGAAAGAAATGGGCCACACGACTCAAAGGACGGGAGGGAATAGGTGAGTGGCACGAGTGGGTGGCAAGTGATTGAGTACTTGTCTGCCCACACCTGTTGGGCACTCAATACGAGATTGCGAATCAGCAAGGCATACGGGGTTTCTGTGTCTGTTTGAGTAACACGGGGTGGTTAGCGTTGGGCCAGACTCACCATGCATCGCACCCTGAGTACTCCGTACGGAGCATGCAGCCTCGCCGTGCGCATGGCTAACAGAATACGGACAGTGCGCGCTATCAAGCGAGGGGGATTTGCCATGCGAAAGGAAGAGCAGAGAACGTCGCTTGTGGGAACCATGTACTCCATAGAACCTGCTGGTGAGATTCGTCTCGAAACAATAGTGTCATGTCTTTCTGGTTACTGCGTGATTGATATCTTACCCCTATCTCATTTTTGATTACGGCTTGTCCGGTGTTTCCCTTGCTAGCGTATTCTGGACCTTCAGGCGTTCCAGGAAATTCCCTGGGACCCTGGTCCGCCTGCTATTGTGGATTCGGAGAGGCTGAATATGAGCCTGTTCCACAAGTCAAGCTAATAGCAAAACGTGCAGGCTATTTTCTGGTTCTACATCACACAAAAGGCAACACCGAGTCTTGAGGTTGGAGGGAAGGTCAGGTGACTCGTATTTTGACAGAGAATTGGAAATCGGGCTGCAGAAAAGTTGCCTGTTTCCGTCCGAATGTCAATAGCGAAGTCTTACCGAGGACCAGAAGTACTCTTTCCTCGTAATCTTTGTGATCGTGAGTTATTATCTGTGAGATCTTTATCACTGGTTGGCTTTCTGCCGCCGTACGATGTCCAATCCTGAGTGTGCCAAGGAACACAATCGTTGTCAGACGAATAGCACTACCCAAGGAATTTATGTCAGACTAAGCGAATTGGTGTAACAACCACTGCAGGTACGAAGCAAGAGGCGCCAACTTTGGAAGAGATCGTTCACGCATGGCTGTTCGAGGTCGTGGTGCGGATGGTAGAACAGGTTGTGGAGGACAAATGTTAATGAGGCGGTTGGCTGAGATGAAATAGCCCCAGCCCTGTGGTTTCAGGTGTGCCGCTAAAGCTTTATGTAAGGAAGAATTATCTTTAGAGATCCGTGAGAAAAGCAACGAATTAGCCTTTTCAGGCATGGTTTATTACTCTATCGTGATCTTGCCCTTAGATAATGCGAACCTTTGATTGTTCTCGCTATTAGCGACCACAAGTTACATACTTCTTATACATAACCCAGGTGCATTAATTCATAAATATGATATGCATTCACTTCGCTTCCTTCCGAACTTCTGGATGAGAGAAAAGAGCAAGGTACCGAGTATGCACCCGGTTCTGTGATCTTTGGGGCTGAGAGATTACATCGAGATTCGAACATGTCCCGGAGCTGGTCCGCTTTGTATTTTGGCTTACTCCGTAGTTTTATTGGGACACCAGGAGAGGGATACTACTGGTTTCATGCAGTTTCGGACTCGTCAATGGCTGGACGGCTGCGAACCAAGTTCAAGGGTTGGCGTCTTTGACCAGTGGCTGGTCTTGTTGTCGTTAAACATGTGCGCAATGGCGTTTGCCCGGTGATCTGGGTTGAATGCTGGAAAGCGCCCCGGTTGGGCTTTCTCATGTCATCAACTCCATGTTGCATGTTTCTTGTCCTCTAAGCCGTAGCGTCCCAACGGTAGTGATGCACTGCTTGTCTAGGTCACAATGGGGAAAACTACCTGGGTCCTGAACGGTTCACCTATTTATGCATGCCTATCTCTATCATTTCACTTACCTTTTGGCCAATACGACCATAACTGTCGTTTCGGCTAAGACCATCACCTTCATCCACATAAAGACAAGCAGACGAGCACTGTTGACAGTCTATGGGCACCGGGGACTGGTGGGCCTTGGCATCAGGCTGAACATGCCGATCGAGCTAAAAACTACCCATTATTTAGGTGGATTCCCGGTTTCGTGGATGGGCTACATAGAACAATACTAACGTTGAACATTTTCCAGATAGTAGTGGGATTGTGCTCGGAATGATGTTCTGCCATGTTTCATCATAATGTTCGCCGTGTTCAGCCTTTAGAATGAATAGGGGTACCCAGCCTTGCGGGATCTTCTAGTTTTAACGATGCCGGGTATGACCCCAACCTTTGCAGTTGATCTTCATGGCAGCATTCCAAGAGAAACGATCTGCACAGGAGAATCGAATTGTTATTTTCCTCAGGTAACGACAATGCCAATTTGTAGCGACAGTCGAGTGAGGCTGGCACACGTTTCATCTAGTCACGTGCAACATCTTCTCCAAATTTGACCTCTTTCGAATTTATTCCCCAACTTTTGCTGCGTCCCTGCCCCTGAGTTCTTAAGCACTGAATACATCTTATGACCGATCAAGTCACCAACCTTCAAGATGCCTCCTAGAAGCAAGGTACCGGATTACAGAATTATAAATCAACTTTGGTCACTATCCAGCTTACAGTCTCGGTCTCCGACAAGCTCTATTTGCAGAGAATGTCGACAAATCCTCCGGCAACAATGCCAACCTCCACGGACAGTAAATAGCTCCTATTCCTCCTCCATGCGCGCCTTCAGCACCTCGCAAGTCTTCCAGAAGAAATCCTCCGCGTCCTCAAAATCCGCCCGCACAAGTCCAGAGGTAACATCCCCAAAAGACAAGTCCCAACCCATCCCCGACAACGCAGCCACACAGGAGAAGGATGAGGAGATCGACCCGTATGACTTCACGGTGCTTGACCGCGGGATCGCGTCCGCAATAGCTCGGCTGAAGGATGCGCTGACAAAGACGCGGGATGCGGGACGGATCACCCCTGTCATGGTCGAAGAACTACCTGTGGATCTGAATGTCAAGGGCAAAGAGACGCATGGTACATCACCACATAGAGAGCGCACCAAGATCGGCGACATCGCCAGCGTGGTGCCTAAGACTGGTCGCATGCTACAGGTGTACTGTGCGGAAGAAGCGGTGAGTCTGGCTCCATCCATGGGAGAAAAGAAATATCTAAACTAACCTCAATCCGCAGCACGTGAAACCCATAATATCTGCCCTGCAGGCAAGCGCACACAGTCTAGCGCCGCAACCAGACGCCCACAACGCGCTGGTGATCCTGATTCCTGTCCCACCCGCGACGGCCGAAACCCGTGCGCAAGCGAAAGCAGAGGCAAAGAAATGCTTCGAACGCGCCAGCAACGACATCCGGAAAGCGCGGGGCGACGCACAGAAACGGCACCGCAAAATGGAGTTGGGGAAGCTCGTCATCGTCGATGAGCTGCACAAGGCGCACAAGCAAATGGAGGAGGTGGTCAAGAAGGGGCAGGATGAAGCCAAGAAGGTCTTTGAGGCCGCGGTAAAAAGTTTGGATGGATGATTGGACTTATATAAAGGGACTTTTGCGAGGAACCGGACACGAAGGTAAAGTTAATGTACGATCATGTTGCGGCGGCGAATGTAATACCGGCTTGAAAAGTAAAAAAGTCTTGACACATGTGCACATATGAACATGCTATGGGTGGAGGCGGTATATACATCAGGATACCATGGATAGAGCAATGGATATCGTCCAACACGGCTGTGCTCACTCTAATCCTCACCCAACCTTCCCTCCTCCGATGTTGAGTCTACTCTACCTAGGGATACTTTCCCTGTCCTTCTCCCCTCTCTCCCCTTTCCACTGCGCGCAAGCAAACCAAGCACCCCCAACGACCGTCATCAGCGCCCCGAGCACGACTCTCCAACCACAACCTCCATCATCGTCCTTGACCCACAGTGCAATGATCAGAATCATGACCTGCTTCAAGTTCGCCACGACAGCCATCGCCAGCGGTCCGCAGCGCCGGTTTGCCTCGAAGGATGCGATGTTCAACATACCCGCGGCGAAGACATTGATCGCTGTGATGGCAAGAACCCTGCCGTTGGTAGCGGCAGGTATGGCATTCCCTAGATTACGGACGATGACTCGATGGAGTCTCGGAATCTCCCCAGCCCACCAGGCGAGCAGCAGTGCTTGAATGACCGCGAAGGGCGCGGTGTAGCGGATAAGGGTCGTTGGTGACAGATTCAGGCTTAAATCCAAACTTGAGGCTGGCCGTGCGGTGCGAGGTGGCGTTCGCTTGCTTTGCAGTGTGTTGGTGAGTATTGTTTTGAGGACAGCGAGAACGGCGCCACTGAGGGTGATGATGATCCCATTGAACGATGGGGTTTCTTGTCCATGTGATGCGGAATCGTCAAGGGTGGGCAGGGTGGTTGCGAAAATGACGCCAGCAATGATTGGCACAAGACTGAGGTAGGTCGATAAGGAGTAGGAGCTGAGAGGGCGTCTGAGCAGAGTTATCGAGAGCAACACTGTGATGGCTGGTGCTGTGGCGCGAATCGTTTGATGTAGTGAGAGACTGATAAGTCCGAGACTGAGGTTGGAAATGGCAATGTTGATGGTGTACAGGAGAGAGAAGCAGACCAGGATGGTATGGGCCTGAAAGCTTAAGGTGGTGAACCTCGTGCGCCAGGTTCGTTCGGGATGGTCGATGGGTTTATTTGAGAATGATGAAATGAGGTCTGTGGTTATCAAGGTACACAAAACATGTGTCGCTGTAAGAAGATACGGGCATGAGGTTTCTGACACCACTTGCTTGTTGGTTAGGGTAACAACGAGGTTGAGTAGGAAATAAATGCCGATTGTCAATAAGGCTAGATTGGACATGATGGAAAATGAGCGGAATGCAAGATCCAAATTGAGACAAAGGGATGAAAATGAGATGTATGATATTCCACAGTGATTAGGACACGAGAATCTGTCGACTTGTTTTGGTGGATAATTGAAGGAGTGATCCCAAGCCACTGAATCCGACATTATACAGAATATCTTCTCAATACCATGCCGAGAACTCCGTCAGACGCCGTGCTTTTCTTTGCATACATTGGATTCATGAAAAAAGGTTGGACTCATTCTTCTTCGTCTTTGACAGGAGGAGAACTCTGTGCAGAAGTTTCTCGTGGTGGCTCTGTACTGTTCGCAGGACGCTTCAAGGCGGGTTTGGCAGGTTTTGGATGTGCGCCGCTGATCGCAATAGCTTGTTGAGCTTGATTGTGGCTCTTTCCCCCATGCCAATGGTCAGGATGCGGGACAATCTCTGCTGCGCTATACACGGGTTTTCCAATGATGCTTTCGGTAGCCACATCATAGAAAACAGCAACATGGAGCAGTAGTTGCCCTTTGTCGCCTTTACAACGAACTGTCCCCTTGAAACATACTAGGCTGCCGTTGGGTTTTTGCATTTCTGTGGCCTGGCCCATGACCCAGTAATTGCGGAAAACAACACAACCCCTCTCAATGGCAGCCTTGTAGGTCATTGCACGGACAGCGTCTCGATATGCTTGCCTCGGATCATCATCCGCATATTCACCTCTCAAGAAAGGAAGAACTCTCTTGAGAGTTTGGTCGCTGGCCTTTGCGATGGCTAGGCTCCGATTGGCCTTTTCTTCCTTAGACAATGTCTTGTTTGCCTCCCCTTCTTCCCGGAATGCACTCATGCTGTCAGCCACTCGTGCTTTTGTGATGATATATGTCACCCGTGCAAATTCCTTGCAGCCAGCATAGAAAGCCTTGCTTAGCATGACGGGATGGAAGATGCGATCCATCTTGGCACCAACACTGTCAGGCAAGCGTCGCCACCCATATGCAACATCTCCTGATGGTGATATAAATATGCAAGGGACTTCGTAATGCGCCGCGGGAGCGATGGGTATCACCAGATCCAGCTCCATACCAATTTGAAGAGTTTGTAGATATTGTACCCAGCCACGATATTGATCACTCAAGAGGTGTTCTCTCACCAGAGCAGAAATCTTGGTGGCGACAGCGTCTTGACGTTTCTTATCCTGAGCAAAACTTTGATTTGCTTTCCATTGAGGATCGTCTTCTTTATACCACCCACGTTGCGCACGGCGTACCCAGATTGGAAGCATCAGATGGATGGCTTTTTCGTTGTCGGGTTCACTACGGCCAGCTCCGTCTGCGGATGTTTGCTGTTGTGCCTGTTTCCAATGGCCAGCCCACCATTCTTTACTCTTTAGTCTGTCGAAGCCCTTCTTGAGGTCTCGGTCGGAGAAGACATGGTCCACGGTCCTTACAACACAGACGCTTATAACAAACGTTGTCAAAAAGCGGGAGGCATTGAACCTATGGCTCAATTAGACGAATGTAGTTGATGGATTCGTTTTGGTATGCATACCGAGAGTTCTTGGTCACAGAGACCTTTTGTACACCAAACTGCCCATTCTTTGATGGCACACGGATAGAACGCGATCTACTGAATAGGTAGCGTAGCATTGGGAGTGAGTTGAGTGGGAGACCATGATACCGTGAGGCTCATGGGATTGTCGCAGAACGCTGCCCGGCTGCTAGGTTGAGCGACAGACTCGGGTCGATATCGATGTCAAAGGATCGTCTATAGGAAGCCAAGTATCGTCTGCTCGATATCCTATCCTCCGAGATTAAATTTGATGCACATTCAATGGTGGTGTTGAAGCCGCAGTCTAGAATCCCTCAAGTTTGATATTGGAGAAATCTGGAGGGGAACTTTGGGAAAGCGCTCAGGCGGAAAGCACGTGCAATTCTGTCGTTGTGGCGCAGGTGGCGAGTGAGCTACCTTGTGGCGTGGTGTCAACGTTCAGCATCAGAGTATCTGCGTATGACTCAGGCTTCGTAGAATCGATGGATACCCTCCTTTAGTAATTGACGTGACATTATCAAGACATTAAATTATCAAGACATTACATATAAAACATGATTGTGTTGCTCAGAGACTTTGCCCTTCCAGGCACTCAATTCTGCCGCCTCTTCCCCTTGCCGCCATATGAACCGTGTTTAGATAAAGTGACCAGCATGGGTCCTCGGCAGGGAGGGGGGAAATGGGTACAAAATCAGAATCTCCAAAGATCATGTCGCAATAATTTGATTGCACATTGATCAGACGCCCTTTCATCAGCGTCAAATACGGGACTTCCCCGACAAATTGGGTGGAAAAAGACTGGCATGTCGGTAGAATCTAGGCCACGCCAGCTCGTCCACTCAGTGGGCCAGACACGATAAGGGGATTCTCATACTTGTGCGACTCGCCACTTTCTTCCGCTTGTCTCTCAAAAGTGCGACGATCTCTGGACGACCCACGGCCCAGTCGTCCACCTTCCTGTTCTGTGAGTCAGTGGCATCAAGATCTATCCCTTCCTGCTTCAACAAAAGAGACAGTATTTGAGAGCGGCCTTTTTCCGCGACACGCATGAGTAGTGTCTTACGGTCATCCTCTTCGTCCCTTGAGTTCACACTTACGGACAGGGACTGATGTCCCAGAATTTGCTCAACGATTTCGAGATAGCCTTCCTCTGCGGCTGAAAACAGAGACTTGCGCCGCATCTCAGGACTTACATCTGGATAGTTAAACAGGATGCGGAAAAGATGGATCTGGCCTGTCTTGGTAGCATGGAGCAGCATTTCGGTCAATTCGCATGTCCACCTATCAGCGTGCCTTTCGCAATGCGTTTTGATGATCAATTTGCCGATCTCATCAAATCCGCCAGCAGCCGCCCATTCCAAGGGTGTGTGCCCTGCTTTGGCATCCTTGTGATCGATGTTGGCGCTTCCCCGTTCGATAAGGTAAGTCACAGCTTTGCTGTGCCCGTTGCCCGCTGCCCAGGATAGTGCAGTTCGTTTTTCCATGTCGTCTTCTGATTCAACGTCTGCACCACAGGCCAAAAGGGTAGCGACCACCGAATCGTGGCCCTTCCGTGCAGCGATTACAAGTGCAGTTTGCTCCAAGCACTTGACTTCTAGCTTAACCTGATCTGTTACTTTTTCGAGAATTGATCTTACTACTTCGCCGTGGCCATGCGAGGCTGCCAACCAGAGAGCTGTACGACCTTGGCTATCACCTTGGTCCCAATCGATATACGTGAAGTTGACGTTGACAAACTGCCTGACGATCTCGTCAAGGTTCCGCGCTGCCGCGAGCATCACCGGGCTCAAGCCTTTTTCATTATCTGACGTGTTGCAATCCACCGACTTGGTGGCAAGCAGGAATCTCACCATGTCCTCTCGCCCATAGGCCACGGCCAGCCAGATTGGTGTTCTTCCCTTCTCATCACGAGCGTTGATGTTAAGCGGAGTAGATGCGCGTTGTGGCGCACGCAAAAGATAATCCACTAATGCTGTTAGATTATGGCGGATCAACATGTGCAGCCATGACTGGCCTCGAACATATTCCTCCCCAAAGCGGAATTGATCCAACTGAACCATCAATTCTCTAGTATTTTCAGAAGAATTTGATTGAACGAATTTCCAAAGCTCCCTAGAGCCTGAATCATGGGCGTTCTGGAGATGATAGGGCCATGCAAAGCATGCATAATCCAAGAATGGGAATTTTTCCATGAGCCTGCCTTGTTCCTGAGCACAATCCTGCCTGAATGAGCCTTGCAGGGGATTTTGATCGTAAGTAGAGAACACAAGGTAGGCCAAACAGCAACTGGCCATGCGGTGGTGCAAATCGCGTGTGTACGCGTGATTCCAGTGGGGCCTGGACTTGACAGCAGATTCCAACGAAAAATGAAATAGGTGGATTTCTGTACCTTGAAGCCGGACGGCCGGCTCACACAATTGGATGTGGTCGCATAACACTGTCTTGGTGAAAAATGCAAAGCCCAACTTAGAGAACGGCCTCCCCGCTAGCTTGGTTGCTGCGACGAGCTCAGACAGTTTCAGAGGACGCCTTGCCGTGACAATGAGCTCAAGCAGACATTCGCGCTCACCGCGTTTGCGCTCGTCACTCGCGTTCAGTCTTTCGAAAATCGTCTCAATCATAGCTCTCATACTATCCGAAGAGACGGTTTCCATCTTCTTTTGCCTCCGCTGTAACGGCGTCACGGCAAGCACGGGCAGGACGGCGGCGATCCATCTGAAGTTTCCTGCGGCTTCGCGAATCAAATTCGCCTGCCATTTTTCACTGTCTTCCAGAGAATATCCACCGAAGCCTGAAGACTGAGCCTTAACGAATCGTTCAATGTCTAGACTATTCGCGGCGTTGCCTTCGGCATCAGAAAAGCAGACAATGTTGTCGTATCCGACTGTCCTTACCATTGATGCAATATCTTGACACGGCTGGGTGGTAAGCAGGAGTTTGACGCGTTTTCGGCAATCTCTATCGCCATATATGCTTGAATTTGGTGCGATGGTATTTAGAAGGACGCCTCTATCACTGACATCCCTTATGCTGTCGAAGCCATCAATAATGCAGTACCAATTTTCGCCCCCGGGATTCTCTATCACTTTCCCAAAAAGTTCCGCGAGCTGCGCGTAGGAATCCAACAGACCGTTAGAAGACTGGTCATATTTTTTCCTGATACACTGTGCTGCTGATGCTGAGTCCGATGCGTGGATCAAGTATTGATGAATAAGACTTCGAAGAATGGAGATAGCAGCTGGCTGCTGTGCTGCCTGGTCTCTGGTGTCAACCAACGTAGAACTGCAAAAATACCAGATAAGTTTGGTTGACTCCTCAGGTTCTTCGGACTGGATATGCCTTTCAATGGTGTCTCTTATGTGCCTAGCAAGGACTGTCTTCCCCGTCCCGGGGTTTCCGACCACACATAGGAATGACTTTGTGCCACGCAGCCATTCCTGGTACTCTCCAACTCCATCGATCCAATGGCAGGTACCATCGAAGGGGACCTCCACTTTAACTTGGTAGGCACAATAGTCCGTCGTATCGAATTGACTTTTCCAGTTACTCTCTGACGAGAGTCTTCCTCCTAAGTAGTCCCGTTAGTCAACAATTAGCATTTGACAATCTGCGTACTTGCCAGCCGAACCAAAACGTGGGTTCCCGACGATAATTTGTGTTCCCCCGTGTAAATTATTGGATGAAGTGGAGTCCCCAATCTGATTCACGTTGACGCTCGACTCAGCCATGTCATAGCCTGCTGCATCCGGCTACTAGGCCTGCAGAAAGGCAGCTGATGTTCTGGTGGATTATCATTGCGGAGACTACAAGCTTGGTGGCATGCGAAAATATGTCTTTTGTCGTAAGATGAGGAAGTGTTTTCTTTAATGAGGCTCACAGCAAGATTCCCTCTATCTGGAAATATTGGGACATGGCAATCGAACAGGATGAAGAGCGAATTGGGGAACAACCCAGGAATGTTCGGGCCCCAGAACAATGCGCAATGGGCCGTCCCTTGGGCCCTGGCAATATCAAGTCACGAGGTCCCTCCGCGAGCTGCAGCAATGAAACCGGTGTGCGAGTTTCTGCAATCCACGAGGACTGAATGCCCGAGGCACCCGAGGTCACGCATTGCATCAGGCGGTGGACAGGAATTGAGTGACGAGTGGTTCTTGATCGGGGTTACAAGCGGCTTGCATGAACCCATGTCTCGGCTTGTGGATATCATTGGCATGCTCCCCATTGCCCGCTGCCTGAGGCGTGGCAACCTGGTTGCCTTGACAGCAGTCGTCCAACGAACACCCCTTTCATTCAACTTTCATTCGCTTTCCCACACCTTTCACTATCAGCTCGAGCAACACAAGTCACACCAATGATCGAGAACACAACAGTACCTTCAGAGCCTCTATTTGCCCGCTTGTAACTGCATTACATGGCAGTCTGCTTGACACCCTAAATCCATTGACCACCTAGATCGTAGCTGCCATCGGGCGTTTCGTTTTGTGGATACCTGTTTGGCGAGAGCAGCTCATCCCACGTCCGCGCTATTGTCTGTTGGTCTCGGAAAAGGTTCGTTCTTACTTCTTTAGTATGCAGTCGCCAAATCTTAGACCTCTAAGATTTTTCTCGAATAAAGCTGGCTGTCAATATGAAGATCAAACTGCCAGCGGAATATCCACGTCCTGGTTCATATTTCTTTCGCCAGAAATCAGTAAACTTGGGATTCTTCTGGGATAGAAGTCAACAGACTATCATGATGGATTGGCAAACAGACACTGACCTCTTAAGCAGGGTCTGGCAGCAGCACGCTTCACCCTACAGCCACACCAAATCTTGCGCTAATAACATTGTCAAGTGATTGCATAGATTCGGGACATTTGGCTAGGGGATACCCCTTGTCCCATTGGATACACGTTTGCAGGGCTGTACAACAACCTGCCTGACTGAGTACATGATGGGCTGTTTGGGACTGGGCCATCTTCGTCGGTCTCGTGAACGTGGTTCCAACGAAGAAGTGAAGCTACCACCAAGGTCTTGTAGGGCCACCCCGAGTCATTATGAGGCCAGTAGCGGTACGAACCATTTGGAACCATCAAGAAGGCCCATTGCATTGGGGTGGTGCCGCGGCATACTCACTCGTTTTGGCCCTCACCGCAGCCTTGCCTCCGCAAGATGTACCCAACCGATGCCTACCGTTCCACACCTGATCGATTCACAATCCACTGAGATTGAACTCACCGAAACGCATTCAATTAAGTCCGAGTCTCTCGCGTCAATACGATTAGTGCAACCCGAAAACTTCCACGTGACGGAAACGCAGACTGTGGTATCCCTTGTGAAACGGCTAATTGATGGGGTTGGGCAGTTGGCGAAGTCCATAGGTCCGACAAATCATGCTCAGCAGCGCCGGGCCCGAAAAGAAGTCTGGGAAGAGGTCAAGAGCATACTTGAACACAGAAATGCCGGTTATCACGCTACAATAACTTTGGGGGAGCGCCTGCTTCTTCGGTCGCCTCAGGCGCAGGAAATCGGCCCTCAACTAATACAGCTGCGTAATATTGTCCTGAGCATTCGAGACATATTCGAAGGTGGTGGTGCCTACTACGAATTAGTATGGGAAGATTGCAGCGTCACTGAGGAAAACAGAGAACAGGTGGAGCTGCTCAAAGATAAAGAAGTTCTCTTGGGAATATCGTGGTCAGGGCAAAGTGTTACAACGTACGGCAAATGCTGATTGGGGATCAGCAGGGAATCTAAATGATGTGGCGTTTCATCCTTGGACGCGATGTGACAATATTGACTTCTTGCTGTGTATTAGAACCTGGTATATATGTATCTTGATTGTCTAAGCATTTTTGTGTGAGGCGTGGATCGTTCACAAATAAATATACCTTCGGAATTAGTGAACGGCATCGACCAGCATGGCCTGAAAATGATTATGCATTGAGAACACAACTTATCCGGCTGCAACATGTTACACATGCGAAAGCTCCTCCCGCTTATACCTCGAGCGGTTGTGAGACGAGCAGGGGCCCAGACTTCAATTTTTCAAAGGTGCCATTCATGTCACGTTTGTCACTATTCACTGGGGCTCGGACAGCAACACATTTACAACCCGACAAATCAATTCCGTTGAACACGATTCTGAAGGGAGCCCCATCAATCCACAATGTGATGGTACCAATACCCACCAAGCGCATTTTAGCACTTCAAGGTGTGTTATGGTTCTCTGATTCAGCCTTTCTCAGTGAATCCTTGTTTATCTATTCGCGACTCATGAGAGCAGGCCCGCCTAGGTGGACTCGAAAACATGTTGCCAGTAACTGATGATGCTTGACGTGGTCCCTCAGGCCGACACCTACTCGTACTTCGTAGCCGGTGTGGCAGTGATCTCTCCACATGGTGCCAACTGCGGATTAGTTAGTTGGTATTAGCTTTCTCGTAGGCGATTTTGAAAGATATCTAGGCTGGCACGGCCCGATTAGCGCCCATAACGTCGAGCCCGGGGAGTTGCCATTCTCGCGTCTAAGCCAGCAACAAGGCAACGAGTCTACCTTGGAGTGCCTCAGATGATTACACAAATATGCTCGTCGAGATTCGGGACAGCGACTGCGCCATCCTTTGTTACACACCGGTCGTCTGCTTCCTCATTTACTGTAACACTGTGAATGGAATTCTCCCTTCGCACAATGGAATGTCTCGCATAGGCGGGTTCCGCATATATAAACAGTGAGCCTGCCAGAACGTCCAGACTTCGCAGCCGTGCTGGACCTCGCCAGCTTCTGCAATATCCAACGACTAGATTCACCTGTCTATGTTTTACAATTCGCCACCTCCACCACTTTTATCCATGGCGGACCCTTTCAGTATCAGCGCAAGCATCTTGACGGTTTTGCAAGTGGCTGCTTCCCTCGTCAGCTTGATACGTGATCTCAAAGATGCATCGCGGGAACTGAAAAAGTTGCAGCTCGAGATTGAAGGTCTCCAGACCATCCTGTCTCGAGTGAAAGATCTTAGTGAAAAAACCGAGACACCTGAAGAACAAACAGAGAAAGTCGTCTGCTCCCACGCACCTCTACAGGAGTGTCTTGCGCAACTTACAAAGCTCATGGAGAAATTCAGCCCGGTGCGTGGAGTGATCAGACCATCTAGAGCAATATCTTGGAAACTACAGCAAGGGGAGATCAAGCAGGCTATAGCAAGCATAGAACGACAGAAGACACTATTGATAGTTGGCTTACAGGTCGACACTCAGTGAGACCATCCCTCAGAAAATATCGGAAAGGTAATTTCTAACCAGGCGCAGAAGTCTTTGCTACACCACCAACACCCTATGTCTTCAGAACCAGTCCAGTATATCCAGTCTTCAAGCAGATATCGCCACTCTCAAAGATGCTAGCATCACTGAGGCAGGGCAGTCAAGCAGCAACTATATTCAAGACGCAATTCAATACAGCAAAATGCTCGTTGCAGAGCCACAAGACATCAACGCCTACCGCGCAACAGGGCCATCACGACTCCCTGAGAATGCAGAATTACCAGCATATTTGTATAGAACTACAGGTCCGTCGAGTGATGAAGTCTTCGGAGCAGAAAGTTCATGTGAGGCGCGACGACATTATTGATTCTCTGGACGTACTAACACACTTTCATAGCAACACCATTCCATGCCACGGCGTACAATGATGCAGCCCGCGTCACAGTCATTCATCGAGGCAACAACTATAACGGTGCAAATGTTGTGTATGGTGGCTGTCAGGTCTTCTCTGGGGCAACGATATGCTTCGGCCAGGGGTAAGCAGACAAGTGAGTACCAGCCATTCAAATCAGGTAAAGAAACCATTGTTTTATTGCCTCATTGTGAATCATGCTAGTCCTTGTAACTTCAAAGCATTGACCCGCAGACTGCATATGCGTGTGCAGGGCATATGTGCTGCTGATTGAACGAGCCTGGTTGCCAAACCCGTGTTCGTATTCCGTGGCACCTTGCCTGGTTATAGCTGCAAATAGTAGGCCTAGAAATCTCCGACAGCCTGGTAGTTCTTGACTTAGACTATTGCAGAAAAAGGCGTCCTTGCTGTTGTGGCTGCCTGGCGGCACATTGGGCATCTCTGCCGCGAAGCAAGCATGCCCCATTCAGTCCATCTCTTACCCAATGCTGAAACGGGTACATAGACAATCCCATGCCCGTAGGGAAATTGGAGATCGTGGTTCACAACTACAAATCCCTCTCATCATTGCTCATTCGACACATGTCAATATCACGCCAGGGACTCGTTGTCCCCCGGGCCTCCAAGCCCATGAATCCAAACCCAGCACTGCCATTTATCCCAGCTTCTCTGCGACCGCCACAGGTTGATCCTTCGCCAGTGTTGACATCTCACGCAGAAGATGCCACCCAGAGAGAGCTACAGGCACGGTCTCGTTATGGCGGTTTTTTGCCAACTCTGGATAGGGTAGGTGGGGCTACTGACCATCCTGCTGTGCCTGGGCATACGCCTCTGGCTCATTTCGTGTATGAGGTTAAGCAACAGTACAGCGAGTCCATGCCACCTCCACCAACATTCAACCAAAGCACCCGAGCTGCTCCTCAGGTTTATGCGCCACAGGTGAGCTTTCTACCGAGGCTGGCATTCCTCACGTTTATGAGAGGGCTAACGTCGTGGATGCGTAGGCCCAGCCTTACCCAAAAGTCTCTCATACAGGAAATAACAGTGGTGGAGCTAATGTGGTTGCTGGAGATCAGACATTCAACAGAACACGTGCCAGATACGGTACGATACATCCATGGTTGAGCCACAGCATGAATCCCGGCTTGCTAACCTGTTCTCGCCTCAGCCGCTGGGCCTGATTCCAAATCAAGAAACCCATCAAGTCCTCCCAGGGATGAAGAATACAATAACCCGAGAAACGAAAGCAGAAACCAGCCGATACCACCATCCCGCCAAGAGCAGGTTTACGACTTTGTACAGATCGGTGATAATACGAATGGTGCGAACGTCACCTACCCCACATCTAGACAAATTTTCAATGATTCAGATGTCGCTTTTGGGAAGGCCGACTGATATTCCACGCGAGGTAGCACAGAGAGGAGGAGCGGGAGGCCGCTCGATTTCCTCCCCAGTTGTGTGCTTCTCTCGTCATTCATGTAGCCGACAAGCCTTTGGTGAGCCCTTGAGATAGTCTGCGCTTTCTTCTGCGGACATAGTGACGCTCACCTGTCCTGTGTAGCTGTCACTCTGACGGTCAAATTGTCCCCATTGGTGGATATGTTGAGTCGGGGATTTTTTCTTGAAGAATGTCTTTACCAAACAATAAAAGTCAACGGCAGTAACGTGCCTCAATAGTAGCGCAAGATTTGTAAATACATAAGTTAGCGGGCTTCCAGAACCAAAAGCCGTGGTCGATCTCAACATCGGAGTGTTGGAGACAAGAACGGCGGACAGTGAGGCCGAAATTTACTTTCGAAGCTAGGGTCGCCCAGAATTTCAGCAGGGTGGGATAGGGCGGTACATTGAGCCGTGAAGAGCAACTTATACGGAGAATCTGGAATACTATTAACGCAGCTGCGACAGGTAGAACAATTCCCCGTCTATCATCATGATCTCCACCATCGCCTTTGCCTGCACTTCATTCTTCCCTTCTCAGGACGCTGCCATCAATCTCTCGACAGCTCCTGCAAGGACTGTTCTCTGGCAAGCATGAAGTCTCCAATCTCATTCCTGCCATGTGCAGCACTCCTGCAACATGTCGCTGCTCAAGGCGCATATCTATTCACCATCGATCGCTCCGTGGTCTCCTCCTCTACCGCCATGCTTGAATCAGAGCTGGCCAATGCAATTGTTGCTCGGAGGAGAGCTCTCACAGCCGATCGATCTATCGGTTCTATGAACGAGAATTCGTTGGACGACCTCAACATATATGGTGGCTATCAGACACCCTTATTTGGGGAGACTACCACCGACGAGGCACCAGGAAAGCTGTTCATAAGATTAACAGATGTTGACATGTCGGTGGGCGACTTCGAGCAATTACCCGACATTTGGGTCCAAAACCCTACTCGGGACCTGCTCACAGACTTCAAAGCCATTCCTGATCGCCAAACCAAGGACGGCATCTGCGAGTATCTCGTTCCACCAAGCTTAAACGCCCCAAACACCAAGGGCGTTGAACTTATCTTCTCATATCCACTGGAAGGAGTACGTTTATCCTGATCACCTCAACTGAATCTTGCTAACTCTATTTTCCTTAGGAACCAACGTGTCTCCGAGCCTCTGAAATCCCCCAAATCCCCCTTATCCTATCTCTTCACAACTTCATGCCCACGAGTCCATCCGAAGTCAAGGGCGCCCTTCCTGGCCTCGTCCGTATTCTCAAACACTTCTCAGCCACCCAGAACGTCGAATCAACCGTTCTAATTCTCCCATCCAAACTCGCCAAAGCAAACCCAAAGCCCCACCCCCGCCGGTCTGGTGGAGAGCCAGAGGAGGAACCCCTTGACTTGTCCTCCATCGCTCCTCTCGCATCAACATCAAAGCTTACCTCTCAACCAACCGGTAACTCTTCCGCAAATTTCACCCTCCCCCGTGTCATCCCAGAATGCTTCGCCTCGCAGTCTGCATGCGACAACACCACGAATTTCTGCTCCGGACACGGCACTTGCTACCAAGCCCACTCCAAATGTTTCAAATGCCGCTGCGGAAGCACATTGGCACGCGTGAACGCGGATGGAACGACCAAGACCACGCAATGGGGCGGACTCGCCTGCCAGAAGAAGGACGTCAGTGTCCCATTCATTCTATTCGCGACGTTTGGCGTCTTCATGGCGGCCGTAATCGCTGGTGGAATCGGTCTGCTGTATAACATGGGTGCAGAGCCGTTACCGAGTGTCATTGGTGCCGGTGTGGCTGGACCCAAGGCGGGCAAATAAGCGAGGTTGAAAGGGGAGTTTCATGCCATAGCTTACTTACACATAAACTGGGTTTTTGTTATGAAAGGAACGAGATTGGGCTCGTCAGATGCCTAAGTTGGCAACGATACTCGCCTAGATAGTAAGTATTATAGGTCGGCATTCAAATGTATATTTTACATGATTTCAACGTTTTCGAATCGCGAGTTATCTCAGCAATGATGACCGTCGAGCACCGAGTCGGGCACTGAGGAAATCCATCCTACGAAACTCTCAGCCATTCGCAGTAGACCAGAGGTTGGAGTCATTCCCCGTGGTCGAGACGAACTCTAAAATTTGCTCCCAGCGTTACAGCAGCCCTGTCCCAACGAGACCATGCAGGTCAATAATAGTGACTGGACTACGTCTCTGGGAAACGGCTAGGTCGCAGGATTTGGCGGTATTCGATTCCCAGTGGACTTCAGTGACGTTGAAGAAGAAGCCACGTTCTAGAATTCAACTGGTGGTTTCAGTTTCAGTGCGCCTAGCAAACACTCCAGGATAAGTTCAGGTACATAGGTATGAACACATCGATTGTAAAGCCTGACTGCGTACCTAGGTAGGTAGAATATCTGGGACATTGGTCGCTTCTTATGCACAAAAAATGAGATACCCCCTGGAAGGCCGTGCCTGTCCCAGTTCCCTGACCTCTGTGACTATGGATACATACAAGCCCAGGTATCAATAGAGTTATGAAGACAATCGAGAAAAACAACGGACCATGGCTGGGCCTATAGACCATGTAATTAGTCCAAAAGAAGCGGCTGTGCTGCCGATCGGCTAATTTTGGGTATGTGTCTTTTCCTTGCCCAGCATTATCCACTGCAGTTGCAGCAGTAGGATTCCCCAAGCAAACTCAACTTCGAAACTGGAGTGATGGTTGCCAGTATCTCCGAAATGATTCTAGCCTCTGTCCTTGGAAGTCAGTTGACATATCTTAGGTGGAATCAATCAAGTAATCCTAGGTTGATGATCATTGACAGTCTTTCGAAATCAAATTGTAGCTGAGGTGGTGCATAGTCCTTTCGTTCTCCTTCCTTCAGATCGGCCAGTACTTCAACACTGATCTCGTTCGTACCAGGTTTCAATAGCACATCGTAAGCGCCCTCGACAGAAGAAGAAGTCGGCTGTGGAATGGTTTGTCCATTGACCACTACGAAGGAACGATGACGTCGGCGACGCTTCAATTCAGAGGTAAAGCGAGGAATGATGCGCATATACTGATGATTCATTGGAAGGCAAGTCAAGCAAGAAGTCTGTGTTTTGATGGGTGAAGCATAACGGGTCAATTTCCACTTGGGGTCAGATGGGCCATTGGGATTGGTCATGAAGGTGACTGAAGCGAGAAGTGCAGTGGTGACATCTAAAGTGTGTTAGGACAAAAAGTACTTTGGGGGAATGCAGTCATTTACCTTTGCCAGGGTCACGGTATTTTCGTTCAAGAGGACTATCGGATTGTCTGACAACATTGGCGGCATGACTGCTTTCTGGTGTGGCAGATGATTCATGTTTGTGAATACCATTTGTCAATGGCTTTGTCGGATCCTGGGGATCAGTCTCCACGGCAGGAGTTGGAAGCTGTGCTACACCGGGAGTTTGAGAGGTTTTGCGAGCTGTATCTTGACCCTTGTGAGTATCTGAACCATTGGTATCTGACATGATGGTGTCCTGTTGATCGGTGATGATGGAGATGCTGCGTCGAACACTGATTGCTGCGCTAGAAGGAACAGGTGTTGAACCGTTGGCTTGCTGAACACGTGAAGTTGCTCTCTGGGCGCGATTGAGGGCTTGACCCATTTCTTCTTTTTGACGTCGAAGAGATTCGTTATCAATTGTCCCACCAGCAACGGTTGGAGTGGGTGTGGACGAGCCCATTGTCAGTCTGAGTGCCTTTGGTTTTGTTGGTTGTGAGAGAGAGAGTCTAAGATTTCGTCGTGGGGCAGCACCACGATCCTGGAGTTCTTGCTCCGACCAAGACTACAATACAATATTTAGCGACCTTGCGGGCGACATGTGACATCGCGGTAGAGTTAACTTACGTCAAGAACTTCTGCCATGTCGTAGATCGGGGACTGCTCTTCATTGAACTGTTTCGCGTTGTCCCAAATCAACCGAACTTCTCGTGCAAGCGAATCCCAGTCCTGTATGGAATCTTTCTGAACGAGAGCTCTCACATCCGAGATGGATGTCGGCTTGGCGATTGTCTTGTAATAACTGGGATAGTCTTTCTTCGAAACTTTCTCTTCGAAATTTCTGGGATCCAAAACAATCAGACTTCAACACAAATGCATAGATGAAGGAAACTTACATAGCATCATCTTGCTCGGATAACTCATCGAGAAAGGAAAGTAACTCAACCTTGATATCTGCTTTCAAATCACGTGGGGTGCTTGGGGTGGCTTCACTCCGTCGTCTGGCAGTATTTCTGGAGAAATGAAGTTTGATCTTCTCTGGTTGTGCGGCCGCTTCAGAAGAGCCTTGAGAGGATTCCCTCACCCGATCAATCAAGTCTTGCGGGATTGGTGTCGGGTATGCTCGATAGTCCGGTCGCAGATAAGCAGGATTGTGTTTGGGCATGTAATTTGACAAAGCCTTTCGTATGCGCTCGGCGTCTTCAAAAACATTTGATTTGCTTGAGTTGTAATCCTTTGCATTTTGCACTAGACGCTTGAGATCTGCTTCGAGCATTTCCATGTTTGGATATTCATATTTTTCCAAGCGCTGCTCAATCATGTTTAGCGAGAGCGGCATGGCCGTCTGTTGATAATAGCGTTCATTTCCCTGTTTGGGAGGAAGATCAATGAAGTGACCGGCAACTGGCCGTCCATTTTTATCTTGGGACCGTTTCAATTGATTGATCAACTTGAGGCCTTGCTCGGTGGTTGTCTCGGCCGTTTCTACATCGGGGAAAAAGGTGTCCTGGGGATGATGTAGTTTGGCCAACTAAAATCACCAGTGAGCGCGTGCAACACCATGAGTGCAATGGGGTGCAGGTCGACGATATGTTGGGTGGGGCGGGCATTATGGGCATGGGTAGTGAGATGCATTGCGGGTAAAATTGTCGACTTTGCGAGGGTTATGAGATGTAAGGAGGGGTGGTTCGCAGTGCGTGTTGTGAGAAGAGAAAGACTTGATGGGTGATGCACTTACGTCGTTACGCTTGCGTCGCTTGGGATCTGGCGTGGCCGCAAAGTCTTCGGGCAAGCCTGCAGGGCCGCTTCTGCGCTTCGAGCTCATGGTCGCGGGCAACCCTCAACTTTCAAAACAGGGAGGGACGGGGTAGAACAGGGCGCCGTGAGGGGGCCATGCAATATAGAACCGAGTATTATGCGTGTAGGAGATCACTAGAGGCAGCAGATCTTCACAAAAAGTGATCGAGCAGACAGACAGTGACTATGGATTCTTGCACATTCGCGCCTCCATTGAGTGCATGCCAAAGAGATCCACGACCACAACGCGCGACAAACTTCTATCGAGCGCATGCACGTGATAGTAGATCTCTGGATTAACTTTGTTCCGAAAGATCATGGTTACATAATCGACATCAGGCTGCGCTTGCCGATCTACCGAAGTCCGCTAGAGACTCTAGTGGCTTTAGTGGCTGGGCATTCAGGCTCCTTGGCCTTGGACTCGGACCTGTTGCAATTTGTCCCTCCAACCAAATCTGTTGTTTACCTGCGACTGTTTGATTTGTTTGACTTCTGAACTCGCATGAGTACACCCCTCTACACTTCCATCTCGTTTACACGTTCCGCGTCTTTGCCTTTCCCCAGACTCGACATCACCAATTCAGCCTCACCTTCAATTCCACTACGCGTGCCTCGTCTTATACAACTGCTTTTTCCTGTCAAACACTCGGTGTGCACGCTGCTTCCCCTCTCGTTCACGCGCGCTAGCAGGGCACGAGACCAACGCACTCGATCATCGGCGCTTTTAGGCCCCACTGTTGGTTGCACAGGACATCGCACACTGCCTTCCTGCCCTACATACCCACAAATCCCGTTGCTGTTTCCCTTGAGCCCCCGAGCAATCGCACAGCAACTGTGCTCCCCAACCAAAAATGGGTGATATCGACCACACAAGACGAAACAAGAAGCCTCGGCCGCTTCAAGATACCGAAAGGGCTCGCCTTGAGGAATTCATTGATTCCATCGGCTACTCCGCAAGGTATTCTCCCTCCAGAACAACTGCTCAAGGTCGTAGCCATGTGCTGACAGGGGGCCAGATATTCGGATTCCGAATATGAGTACCGACATGTTCAACTACCAAAGGCCATGTTGAAGGTCATTCCCCGTGATTATTTCGACGATCAGAAAGGTACCCTCAAACTTTTATGGGAAGAGGAATGGAGAGCTCTCGGAATTACACAGGTAAGTGGGAGGAACAACATTCAATTGAACTCCGATGTTAACATGGCGACAGAGTCTTGGGTGGGAACACTACGAGGTACATGAGCCAGAGCCTCACATTCTTCTCTTCAAGTAAGTCTGACTATACGCGCGGGACATTGAGCATCCATGTTGACAGACACTCAGACGTCCGATCGGCTATCAACCCCCGGCACAATAAGTGGAGATCCTTTCTTTACAAGGCTCAATCAACTAGCGCAGCATTGGGACGGCGTTCTTGTTTCACCAAGGGAAAGGGTATTCCACCGTGCATCCAGCGAGCGTTCTTACTACATCCATTGTATGTCTTGATGAATGAATGCACTCAAGGTCGAGAAATCTAGGCGAGATGGTAGTTATTCATTCAGGTCTAGCAGAACCACAAAAACCTCAGCATATTACTTTTGCATCAATCGCCTCTTATTCTCTGATTCGTAACATTCCGATAGGGATTTCTTCCCTATCATTGTCTTATTTCCCACTAAAGCCCAGCTCGCAATGGCTCCAATCGACGGCCGAGTCAATTGATATTCTTCTTCAACCATTCCTCCCACTGCTCAACAGTCCACGAAGATCCAATACTCCGTTCCTCGACGCCATTAAAGACCACGGTTGGCGTCACATGCACGCCCGTTACACGGTTCGCCTTGACCTGAAACTTCAGATCATCCGTGACTTTATTCCCGATATTCAGACTCCCACCCTCACCGGGCTTATCCGAGACAACAAGCAAATCATAGATCGTCTTCTCGTCGATACCGTCGACCGTCCCCGCCAGCTTCGCCAGCCGCTTATACGTGTCGTTGCGACTTTCATTCACGACATTGACGTCAAAGTACTCCTTCTGCGCGTCGAACAGTTTGGCCGAGAACGCCCAGAACGCCTGGGGCGCGGTGCGCAGCACGGCGACACCGGCTTCGTGCGTCAACGTTGAAGACGGGTGCCATGGCTGAATCTGCTGGCGGAAGATGACCCGCACCCCCGGGTTGCTGCTGTAGTGCTTCGCGATGATCGGCGCGACGCCCGTGTAGATCGTCTTGAAGATCTTGGCGCTGAACGGGCACACATAGTCCAGGTAGATTTCGATGGTGTGCTGCGTTGATGTGTTGGCGGCTGTGGCTAACAATTGGCCGGAGAATTTCGGTGGAAGCGCCATGATGATGAATGAGTCTGCTGGATGTCCGGACGGTGTGGAGATTGATTGAAGGGAAAGGTGAATGACGCTGGATCTCAAGAAATGGAATTTGGATGAATAGTTTGAACTTCAAGTTATGATTAACTAAAACTGGTCCTTGCTCGCAGAATATCTACTTTAATAGTACATTATTGGAATACTGCCTGATGTTATTCAGCAGATTCCGTCATCAGCCCTCACGATGAGGTTGCAGTCATCCAATCAAAAGACACCGGCCAAGTTGGTAGGCTTAGTTTGCTGCTTTGAAAATATGTCCCTATCGGGAGGTGGAAGTTTGCCGCCCTATTGCTGTCTCGAGGTTTCACTATCCCCAAGTTGAACTCACTTCATCGTCGATGGATTGGCCAAAATATTGATTCGTGGTGCCGGTGGAGCGGTCAAGGTAGAGGATTCCCCTCGTTCGAGTTGTCAATATCGAATCGATGCATCATTGATCTCCTCGAGGTTTCCCAGTCTTGTGATTCTAGACTGGAATCCTGCTCCATGGCTTTGTCGAGTGCATCGAGGATCAATGCGTAATCAACAATAGCACACACTTCGAACCATATATAGCTTCTCCACGAGCTCATGAGTTCGACAAGATCCAGGTTTGCCGCCAGTCTCAATGCATGACTTGCGTATTGAATTCTGACAGCCTCATCTGATGAAGTTGCAATGCCGACAGCTGCGGCCCACAATAGCATCTCCTGTGCCTGCGTGCCCTGCCCAATACATCTCAACAGAGTCGGGTGTGCATGGTTGGTTATTTTGCGATATGCATTCACTGAGGAGGTGGCTTTAGTGGCCAGATCTCTCATCACCCAGGTCGTGTATTGTAACCATATCATTGCAGGATAAATGCATGCCATTTTCTCCGGTCCTGTGGGCAACTGCTCCCGGAGTGCATCCATAAGACCTTGGCACCTGCGAATGACCTTGTTCTGCAGTATTTCATCTTCTGAGTCAAAGAGCATTAGTTCATTACATAAGACCCCCGCACGAACGCAGTCGACAATAAAGGGCAGGATTTCCACCAGCTCTGGCCCGAGTACTTCGGCATGATTATTGAAGCCAGCACCGATGGAGTCGTTCTGGGAGGTTTCAGGCACAAGTTTGTCCCATTGTGGCCTGGGTGCAGGTGATGGAGGAAATATTGAAGGATGGTCTGACCACCAGCCTCGATCCATTCGTCGTATGTAGACTTTAGTAACCTCATCCAGATATTCCATCCCACCAAGATCCACCACAGCCTTCAGATGAGCCCGACCTGCAACTACACTTTCAGAGCCAAATAGCTCGTAATGGGCCAAGAAGATGATGGGCCAGACCACTTCTTCCAAGGAGGCATGCCCGCTCTCGATGCGTGATCGCAGCTCTGAGAGTGCCTTTCCAGCCATACGCAGGAGAAAGACCTTGGAAGGTTTGGCAGCTGGAGCGCGTTGCAATACGTAGGATATGAATGCAGACATGTGCAGCTCATCTGTCAGACAGCGTTGTACAATGGTTGCTACTGCTTTGTCTGTGGCGACTTGACGGTCCTGGGTATTCGGAATCACGTCCGCCGCCCATCGCGACCATAATTGGGGGAAATACTCGATTGCACGAAATTTGTCACCGTCAAGAGGTACCGGGTAAGACTGAATGGGACTATTAACTCTAGGGAGTATGATTTGAGTGATGGATGCTTGATCGCGGGGGACGAGAGTTTGGTCGGAGGCTTTAACTCGGCCTTTTCGAACAGTTGCCCGTCCACGAGGGAATGGTCGTGGCAGTAATGGACGAGGGCCGGTTCGAGTCGGATTTATGCTGGACTCATCACGCTTCAGGACAGCCTTTTGGCTGCCGGGACTCGTTTCTTGATCCTCTCGACGCTGTGACAGTGACTTCTGATAAGCCCATCGAGCAGCATGAGCCCTTATGTCGGAGTTGATCAGTTCCTGGTCTCTAGTGCTGCGGCCCTTCGCAGCATACTCAATGAACATTCGACACGCCGGCAGAGACGACACCAGGTGTCATCGATTGCCAGGACCATTGTAGGAACACTCTTGAAATGAAAGCCGCTTGGACACGGTGACGATTAGAGTCCTTGAAGACCAATCTACTTTGGGGGCCGCAAACTTGAGACGGCCGAGGAAGCTTGGTATCTTGGCAATACGAAGTCGATTCATACCAGTACGGCAAACCTTCCTCCGAGTTCGGTCCACTGTTGCTTTAAAATCGAGCTTAGGACGATCTAGATTCGAATAAAAAAGCATGCCACGAGTAAAGTCGGGAGCGGAGATGTTCTAGTCATCCACATGTTACCTTCTACAAAACTTGAATGGACCTTTGAAGGAAAGGCCATTGCCGATCCCCCAGACTCAGTGTACTCTGTTGGGCAGCTGTGACTTTCACAAGGCCGTGGGCAAAGACCTGTACGAACAGCACGTAATTGCGTCAATGGCTCCCGGGATCACGTATGGTTTCTTACTACTTGCCTAGGTAGGTAGATAGAGTTCACAGGGATTCAACCACCCAGTGCTGGATGTTCCAACCTGAGCTTAGGGAGCGAGCTGGTATGGGTCACAATTTGGTCTACATGTGTCAACTTTCAGGTAGCCTACTTTTCAAAGGAAGAGTGATCAAAGCTCCTCGACTGCGGCATACATTTCCTGCCTGATCACCCGACCTGTGCAGATTATCCTACTCAACATGCAAGGCGCTCTTTCACATTGTGTATCTGAACCCTTCCAGGGCCTCAAGAACGACTTTGCCCTCATTAGCAAGCTTATTCAATCTCTGGCACCAGAGAGATAGGAATATTGAAAGGATGACTGTCAGCCCCTGTACAGTCATGATAGTTGTAAGACCTGGAACATAGTCCGGGGCATCCTGTTGAGGAACGTGAGTAATGGCTGTTTAGAATCTGGGTGACTTACCTTTTGCCTAAGAATATAGGAAGCTACCAGGCCTCCGGTGGCCCCGAACATGACTTGAAGGGCGCTTGAGACTGAGCGTTTGCGACCCTCCCTACAATTATTGGCTTGCCATGCTAGTGCCGATGGAATGATCGAGTTGGAACCGGCTGAACCAAGAAAAGCACCAACAAGTCTAGGCTCGTCAATTTGAGTTGCAACCGAGAATATGGCTACTTACCTCGCAGCCGGCGGTTTCGTGTATGCCAATAGTGCCAGGCCAAGAATACTTATAAGTGCCTGAACGCAGACAAATGGCCCCCTCTTCTTCACTCTGTCGGACCACCAGGACAAAGTGAAGGACACGAAGACGGCAAAGGTGTCCCGGACTCCTGACAGGACAAACGAGGCGGCGAGGGAGAACCCAAGCCCCTTCTTGAGGATGGTGGGGAGAAAAAAACCCAGAGCATATGTTCCAATCGTGGCAGAGAAGTAGATCCATGCGCAAGCCCAAACTTTCCAGTCCTTCAGGTCATGCTTCATAGATTGCCAAGTCACTTTATGAGTTTCATTGGCACCCCGATCCCAGGAAAGTCTTTTGTTGACGAAAGCCTTTTCCTCCTCAGAGAGGAACTTTGTTCTTCGAGAGTCTGGAAAATCGATGAGGTAGAAGTATGCAATTATACCGAGGACTGCAGTAATTGCACCCTCTATGATATATATCCATCGCCATCCTTTGTACGACGTTCGGTCGCCGATCTGGACCAAGCCATACGCAAAAATGTTGGAGAAGCCTTGGAAAAACAAGCTACCCAGAAAGTACACCGCAAGTCTCTTCTGGACCTCATATCGTCGATACCACGCCGAGACGAGAAAGATGGATCCAGGAGTGTTTCTACCCAAGTCAGATTATTTGATACACCTGATTCGAATGCTTACCCTGCTTCAAAGATGCCTAGTAGGCTTCTCAAAACAGCAGCCGCTACCCATGTATTCACGACGCCAATACCGATTGTTACTACCCCCCAGAGAACGGTAATTGTTCCCAAGAATCGTGCTGCTCCGAGATTCCGAATCACAAGATTACTAGGAATGTTGAAAAGAATGTAACCGATAAAAAACGTGGATGTGACAATCAAAGCACGTTGACCAATTTCGAGCTTCAAATCTTCATCCATACCAGATATTCTGGCAACAGATATATTGGTGCGGTCGACAAGCGAGATCGCATGCAACCCCACCACAATGGGAAGTAAGCGAAAATCGATCTTCCGCAATATCCGCTTTTCGTCAACCTGCTCACATATTGGTTCTGCGGCCACACTCGAATTTTCTTTCGAATCCATCCTGGGAAGGATTTTCATTCAACCTTGAGAAGTGCCTTCAGACTTTGGACGATCAATATTAAGAGTTCCAAAAGCCGGCGATCAGATCATAAGGATCATCAAAGTTGTGGAAGAATACACTTGACTCTCTTAACCTTATATTAAGGGCATCCTGCCGAGCTCAAGAAGCCGTCGAAACGACATTGCTTAGTTCAAGCGACAACCAATAAACACCAGAACTAGGGACCTAGTCACGGAAATGCGGGACAGCAAAGGAGGGTAATTGAAGCTTCGCATTGCAACCCATGCAGTTTCCAATGATCGAAAAGCCTAGCTCGTGGAGGGGAGTCTGCCTATTCTGACCATTCGGTCCCACGTGCGTCTATCTTGAGACCTGGATTATTCATCAATGAATCTGGACACGAGGAGCACGTTTTTCCCTTCGAAAGCTGCGGATGTGCTTGAACCATCCCTGCAAGGTTGCCGATGATGACCCACGCAAACCTGTTCCGGACGACCGTTACAAGGTCATTAAATGGTAAGGAGCGGAATTTACCGTTGAAATATCATTTTGCCCTATCGGATGAAGTCGCCTCATGAGTTCGTTCATGCATCCTCTTAGTCAGCCTCGGTATCTTTACAGACATGATCTCGCGAATCGAAGGAGTCGAAGATCATGAACTTGGCAAGTCTTATGACCACTCTCAGTCGCTCTGTTGGCATTGCCCTGGAACTCCTTTTGGCATCCAAAGCTGTCCAATTGCAACTTTGAAACCATCTCTGGAAAGGCAGGTGTAACAGGAGCGACTACGCGGACCTCGGTTAGCAGGTGCGCAATAGGAAACCGTGTAGATCATCCCAGGCACGGCTCCTCGTGTTGTTACAGGAATCCCGACCAATGACTTTACTTTACTTTGATCGAACCAAGCCACTCCTAACACCCCCCAAATTTCGCGGTGAACAAGTCTTTCAAACAATAAGAGCGACGCTGCCATGGGCCTCGCGTGCTTACTTTGGGAAGAGCACTTAGATCTGTCTGCACATAGGTTGAACTGAGGTACATCAGCGATGTCTCCTTCAACCTTCGCTTCTCATCGTCACTAAGCCGAGGAACAAGCATGCTTAAGCCTACTGACTTCATCTGGGTCAGCAGTCGACATGCGAGTTGCGCCGTAGCATCGGCTCCTAAAGTCCAGCTAGCATCGACATAACCAATTGTCAACAAGAGATTAGGTAGGCCTTCAATCATCGCCCCCTTCCACATATAATGATCAGCTAGATGGAAGGGTTCGCCGTCTACCACCAATTCGGCACGGCCCTCAAGGCACCTCTTTAAGCCGGTGGCAGTCACCATGATGTCCGGATGCAACTCCAACCCTGACTTCAAGCGTATACATGTTTCTGTAATGTTATCAATCAACCCCGTCATCACACTGGCATTTCCCTCTCGCAGGCATTGGAAAAAGTCTCCGTTAGGACACATGCACATCCTCTGCTCCCAAGGGTTGTACGATGGTGCGAAATTCGGGTCTAGGGGCATGCCTTTCGGCAGAAGACCCTGTGCTTTTGCCAGGAACAACTTCCTGGCAATGCGGGGAACCCATTGACAGAATGTTACCATCAAGAAACTTATCAGAATCCACTTGTACTGAATCATTCTCCCTGCGGGGAAGGGAATAGAAGCCGCATTAACCTGTCGAACCTGTCTTCTTTGTTTTCCAGAGAAGCAATGTAGCTAGGTGAACGTTGCAACATCGTCACATGTTTGGCTCTCATTGTCGATGAGGGAAGCAAGGTGATCGCTGTGGCGCCGGAACCAATGATCGTGACATTCTTGTTGGTATAGTCAAGGTCTCTAGGCCAGAATTGTGGATGTGCCACCATGCCTTGGAAGTTCTCGATACCCGGGATCTCTGCCTTCATCGGCTCCTGGTAATCATTGTAGCCTGTGCCAAGTAGCATGACTCGAGTCTTGAAGGACACTTTTCTAGGCTCAGACTGAGGCTGATTGACAGTCACATCAAGCGTCCAAATCTTGGATGCAGTCGACCATCATATGCAATTCACCATGTGGTGGTATCTGATCTTCTGGTCGATCTTTTCCTGAGAAGCACTATCTTTGAGGTACTTGACAATCTTTGAACCATGTGCAATGGGTTCTTTCTCCATTCACGGCCGCCAAGGAAACCCAAAGCTATGGAGATCTGAATCAGATCGAATGCCTGCCTGCGAGTTAGCTCGATATGGACCTTTGCCTACATGTGTTGTTTTAATCTCTCTCTCACCAGGATACTCAAGCAGGCTCCACGTTCCACCGATCTCATGGCGTCCTTCGAGAATACAGTAGCTGAGATCGGGATTTCGTTCCTGTAGACGATATGCGAAGCTGATGCCCGAAATTCCAGCTCCTACTATTATGACGTCGTAGTCAATCGGAGTTTCGCGTTCCTGAACCATATTTGCCGTCTTGAAGGTATCTTCTTTGGGTTCCAGCATGCCTCTTTCATCTTGTAGGTCGTGACAGTGAATATAAGACTCCTGTTATGGGACGGAGATGCCATGGTATCAGCAGCATCGTCGCGGTCGCGCGGTCGCGAGGCATAGTTGGTCTGGTTGCCAAGATTAGACGTTGGTCGAATCGCTGTGATGTCCTTTTGCCATAACTCTGCCTCGGATCCACGGCTCCGCAATCAGGCTTGCAGGCCAGGCCACCTTGACCTCCTCCACTTTCTCCATACAAGCTAACATAATTTGAGATCTGATGCCCTTTTCTTGTTATCTCTCAAAGAGTGCTAAGGACTCACTCTTACGAATGGTACAGCGATAGTGTGGTATGAAATACCGCAGCAGCACAACCTAAATACCAAGGCCGAAGGACACCAGCGGACCCGACAAGCCGCGCCTATGGACTTTCATCCTGATCGACAGTAATATGATGGCGTGTCGCGAGCTCCTGCTAGACGGTATCCGCCATAATAAATATGGACTATATGGATCGTTGATCTATGGAGTGCATCGAAGCATTGAAGAACGACCAAGCATTTAATATAATCCTCTCGATCCAAGACTCATTCCAGGTAATAGCATGAAACTCGCCTTTTCCAAGAATCTCACGCTGAATTATTGATCAGGTTACCACTCCCATATTTCTATATTGCCAAAATGGTTGCTGCGTTAAAGAATCCCAAGAGAGTGCTCTTCATCGGAGCCGGTGGAGATATGTGCCGCTTCGCAATCGACTTATCGCAAGAGCAAGGGATGCTCCCCTAGCCTGGCAGACATCAACGAGAAGAATACCGCAGAAATCGCCGCGAAGCTCCCTGCAGGTCGTGCTGAAACATTGAAACTGAACCTTTTTGACGCCGAAGCCCTCAAAGATGCCATCCAAGGTGCCTCTCTGGTCGTTCTTGGCGCCGGACTTTACTCGCGCACATCAGCACCAGTACTCGCCGCCTGCCTTGCCGCCCAAGTTCCATATCTCGACTATGATGATGATGTAGAGAGCACGCAGGCGGCACTCGACCTACATGAAAAGGCCAAGAAGCAAAATGTGCCATGTTATATTGGCTGTGGAGCGTCTCCAGGCATGTCTAACGTAATGGTCATGGACGTGGCGAAGGATCTGGACACCATTGACTCGCTGGACATCTGCTGGCTGGTTGGAGACGAGTGCGGCCACGCCGGGAAAGCCGTGCTCGAACATCTCATGCACATCGCTGCTGGGCCTTGCTTGACCTGGAAGAATGGCCAAGCTGTCGTCAATGAGACATGGGAGGAGACTACGTACGCCCCAATCGTTCCTGGTGCGGCGGATGTTCTCTTGCACGAGACTGCGCACCCCGAGCCAGTCACCCTGCCTCGCCACTTTGCCAAGGCAAACCGAATCAGATGTGTAGGAGGTCTTGATCCTGCGCCATATAATGGCATTGCTCGAGGATTGGGCGCGGCGGTTCGGACTGGTCGCTTGCCAATTGCAGTTGCCGTTGATTTTCTGTTCGATTTGATCAATAAACCACCTTCGACGGAAGGCTGGGGTCAAGCGTGGGCTTCATTGACGCAAGCTTTCAAGGGAGGCAAAATCACTCTGAACGAACTGCTCCAGTTGGCATCACACACCTCGGATGCGCTCAGCCCTTGGCGATATGCGATCCAGGGGATGCTCGACCAAATCAAGAGCGGCGAGTGCACGACGATGGAGGTCATTGGCTTCATCATTTCGCAGGCACGGGGCACTCCTGCACCATATCGTTCCGGCCTGCTCGTCCGCGCCGTTGGTACGCATAATGGACATCCTGCCGTCTCCATGCGTCGGCAACCAAATCCCAGCAAAGATTCGTTCTTGGGCCAAAGCATGGGTGCCATCACTGGTGCTTCGTGCGCAGCTTTCATGTTGATGGCTATTGATCAGGCCAGGGAGAGCAAGGGTGGCGTTTTCTGTCCTGAGGATTGGGCCCAGCCGCAGGTGTTTTATAAGGCTTTGCAACGTCTTGGGTGTCCTCCTGACCAGATTGTCGAGTCGCTGTGAATTTATCGTCTGGATTGATCTAGACTAGATCGATTGATTAGGATTCGATGGCACAAAAGCTGACATACTTTGAATTCTCTGCGCCTACCATATTATTCCCTGCACGCTCTTGTTTCTCAACTGTTGAACATTTCTCGACGGCGTATCTGCCCTAGCGAGTCATTAAAATGAACAGGGAGGCGATGTTCTGCTCTAAAACTACTGGAATTCCAGTTCGAGCCAGGAACAACCCGAGCATGGAGAAAAATGCTCGTTTTAGATGAAAGCGAACCTATCTCTATGCCATCTGGACATGAATGTATCTTTTAGCTGTCTCAGTGTCAATAGGATCATGGGTTTTGGTTAGGACTTAAAAGTACTGTTATGCACATGCATAAGGATCTAACCGGGTGACTTGGCTTCGATGATGCTTTCCCAGTGTAGAATTGAATAACAGTGTCACGTTGAGAAACGTCAGCCATGAAGTCTACTTGGTGAATTTGTAAAAGAAAGAAAACCCTGCTGAATATGGGTCGTGCATCACTTGACTAGTATAAACCCTGACTTGGCTGCTAATCCACGAGACTCGACTTAGGACCGTGTTTTCTTCAAACATTAGCTTGGTGTGACTGTTTCTCCGGTGATTTCCAAATCCATGTGATGGGGTTATACATAAGTCCGGCAACTATCAAACAGGACCCAGTGTATACTTGCATGGGCAGGTAACTGGTGCGACCTCCATCAGCAAGCAGTTGTCCAGCTATAGGTCTTGTACTCAGCACGGCAAAAGAGAGAATCGTAATGCAAATACCTGGGAGACTCTTTTGTGAGTACACACATCTTGCAAAGGAGGTTGAGGGACAAGTCTTACCATTCCAGATACCCAACATCTCTGGCATTGGGACCAAAGATGGCAAACAAGGCGAAAATATGGCTTGAAGAGCTCCGGAGAAGATACCGTAAATGATACTCCATCCAATCGTACCTGAATTATTCATCACGCCAATCCACCCAAAGCCAACTATTCCGCATGCCAAGGCGGTAATCGAAAGACATTTGAAGAACCCAAGACGCGTGTCACCAATGAGGCCTAAGATATAGCAGCCGAAGAAGGCTCCAGCATTGATGATACTAGCATCATAAAAAGCCATTGACGCTGACGCACCCACTTGCATCGCGTATGGAGTAACAAAGAACTAAAGGAGCGATTAGGACATGACGATTTGATATCAACGAGATTGAACTTACCCAAGGCGCATAGATACCCAGATCCATAACGAATGTAACCAGTGTGAAGAGCGCTGTTCGTTTATCCGTAAAATATACCTTGACGGCGCTTTTGAAGGAAATCGACATAGGCACGACATGAGTCCGGCTGAATCGTGGTTGGACTAGCAAGGTCGCTGCAACCATCAAGGCTAGCTGCATGAAGGCGATGATCCTCAGCACCCAGTCTAGCGACATGCCGCGCTCATTCAGTAGGTTACTGACCAAGATAGCCTATGTTACGCCTTGGCAAAAGAGACATCAGTATGACACCAGACTTTGACGTCGATTGGATAGTGTACACATACCACCGACATTCTGACCAGACATAACTATACCAACAACTATGCCACGTTTCTTCAAGAACCATTGAGACTGAATAGCTAGAGCCGGGATAAATGCCAATCCCATGCCGAGAGACATGCAAAGTCCCTGGGAGAGAAAGTATTGATAGTACTCTCTCGAAATAGATGACATCATGTTTGCGAAAACCATGAAGAAAGTCCCCAAGGCCAATGGCAACTTTGGACCATGCTTGTCCGAAAGGTCTCCTGCCCAAACGCCGAAGAAGAAGCAGCCCCAGAGTTGAATGCTGCCAATCCATGCGATATCAGATGGGCTGTACGAGGACAGTGTTATGGTGCTGAAATAGCTCTGGAAAACGGAACCTCCACTTAAGAACCCGATACTTGCGATAAATGACAGGAAACCGCCCAGCATGAGCCAGCCACCACCATTAACGATCATCCCACAATTGCGTGGTTGCGCCCTGCGAGTGCCGCACTGTATGTTCCTCGGTGGGGAAGTCATCTCCAGATATGGGAGTGACAGATCTGTCAAAAGACTGCCGTTGTCAATTCATGTGGAAATTTGCCTCTTCGAACTTCCAGATGTGCATTGCATCAGACTCCGAACAGAATTTTTATGTGGCCACTATTTTGCAAAGCTCCACAATAGTGAGAGACCTGTGAACAGGAGTGTTGCTTTTAAATAGAATTGCTGGAACCAAGCCGAACTGTATTTGCGTTGAGATTCCACAGCCAGCATAATCCGTGGGCTCGAATCTCAAAGGCTGTGATGGGCGTGCAAAAGGACCATGACAAGTTGACACAGCGAACACGAAGAAACCCACTGCACACGAATACGAAACTCCCTCCTTTAGATTAGGATCCAGGCAAATTCACTATAAAGTCGAGATAACTAACAGGTCCCACGCGTCTCTAAATACTCATGATTATGTTGAACCATGGCAGCCTTGCGCCTTTTTTCAAGAGTTTCCAGCCTTATCACTCTATTACTGATCACCAGTGTTAAAGGTGAAGAGTCCAACCTCGATCTCGGACTGCTCGATCCATGTATCACTTTTCCTTGTCCGCTGAAGCTTGAGCTGAACGATGGCAGTCAGGCTGCGCTGAGTTCCTCAACCTCCAGTTCTGATGGATTCAGTAATTGCTGCGTGTGAACGATTCTCTATGTCGGTAGAGTCATTGCTCCAGCTGATATCTGTCATTAGGTACATGCATTCCTCCTATGGTAAAGGAATCTCGGAATGTTGCTATTTGCTGGAAAGTCCAAATCTATCTGAAAGGTACAAGAATGTCTCATAATCTCTGCGTAAAGTCCGCTGACACTCTTTCATTAGCAATACTACTGATGGCGTCTGCCCACCCAGAGGTGTCAATCGGCCATTGTGAGTCTTTGGCCTTCCTACATATCATCGCTTTACAACTCGTGGCTGACACTAAAGATCAGCGATTGTATAACACCACCATGTGCCGCAACTCAAGACTTGATAAGAAAGTACTGCAACTTCAATATCGTAAATCCTGCGTTCTATGACCTCACTCCGACTATCTGTTCAGCGGATTCAAGCGACCGCTTCTCCCAAGCTTTCGAGCAGTTCGTCGATATTATTTACTCAGACACTCCTCCAAGTACAGATGCATCAAGCATCTCGCTGGCCAAAAGTATCGCCACTCGTTCTCTAATCTCCCTCTTGGGACCGGAAGACTTTCTCCTTGTGGGCCCCCGACCTCTTTTTCCGTTACTCACCTGGCGCCATTATTTTGGCTCCTGGAAAGGTTATTTCTGCAACGGGCTAACAGCCCACAATAATACATTATCGGCGTGTAATGTTGGCAAGTCTCGTAAGACGGCTACTGCGTTGTGTTGGAACTAACATTTCACCAGCTCGAGAACGATATCGGCAGAACGCAACATGCAATGATCTCTCCCTACAAGCATCTCCTTCGGCAAGTATACCACAAGGAGGCTTGATACGTCGGCAGAATTCCCAGTGAGTCTATTAATGAACCACCAACGGCCCGTCAGAGAAGCTAACCAGATCTATTGTATTGATATAGGGTAGACAAATTCATCATAAATCCATGTCACGTCTCGTGAGAATACATCGCTCTGTTACTCGAGGCTCCCACTAACTCATGTCAGCTTGAGCTACTTCGACCCTGATCAGTTTTTCTACTGTGATGTCCCATTTGAGACAATCGATTGCTTTTCAAGACTTAACATCTTGGTGAGTACTTAGTATCTATCCCTCGAACAACAATTTGGTCGCTGATGTGAGAAACACGCTGACGCACGACCACACTTCGTCTTAGGACAATACACTTCTCACAGAAGTGGAGAGGGAATCTTTATTACAAGGCTGTCGTGAGACCGCTTGGGCTCAGTATGGGTTTTCGCAGCTTTGTAAAATTCGTGAGTATATGCCAGTGGAAACATCCCTGACTATTCCTCATTGGTCTTGTGTCCGGAGTCCTCATGTCACCACCTGCGTAGCTATTTTTCTTGACTGATCATTGTCTTCTGTGAATAGAGTCCGCTATCGCCACTTTCGCCCCATATTGTACAGGGAATTCTACACTATCGTCACGCACAGTCGAATTGTCAACAACATCATCGTCATCATCCAACAGCGCTTCGGCCGCGGGTGCGACCACGACAACCGGTAGCAGCCTTATAACGACAACAAACTCATTGGCACTCTCCACAACATCTGACGTCGCGCCTATATTGAGAACGACGACACGTTCTTTCATTACCATTGCCAGCGCCACAACAAGCTCGACGACGAGTTATGCGTCTTCAACTACGAGTTCAATTGTCTGGTCTAGTACGACCACAATACCATTACCGCCCATGACAACCACCACGAGTACATCAAATATGCTGAGTGCGTATCAGAGCTCAATTTCGTCAGGATGCTCGAGCTGCAGCAGCAGCTCAGGTACCACGCGAGACACCGAAAGCTCACCGCTATACAGTTCAACTGCTTCTCCAAGCACAACAACAGGCACATTCAACGTGGTTGATGCAAATCAGGGGCTTATTTCCTCATCCCAATTCAGCACATCGGCTGCCTTCACAAGTCCGGATTCGTCTCCGACTACTTCGTCAGATGTGCTTGCATCTGCTTCGACGATGTCTTTGGGTTCTTCAGTTGGAATCATCCAGACTCAGGAGATCATAGGCTCAGTTGACGCAAGTTATCCCGCTATCTCTACGAACCCATATACGCCACAGTTTAGGTCAAATATCCCTGAGACGAGTGCATATCTCGATGAGACATCATCTGTTACTAGAACCGACAGCTTCGAGCATCATGATCCCTCTCAGTCCGCAGGCAAACCTCTCCATCAGTGGTCTGATTGGCAGGATCGAGTTGAATAGACGTGGGCACCAAGACTTGTATAAATATCTCAAAGCTTCCTCGTGTAGCGCAGGTTAATATATTCATTGCTCAACGGCGCTAATGCCATCCGATGCCTCAGGATCTAGCCTGGCCAGATAGTCCAGCAAGTAGCCCAACTGGGATTTTATTCGGTGCTTCACCGTATCATATTCGACATTTTGAAAGAGCTGCGGCAGAATGCTCGCGATGTGTCGAATACGTTCTACCTGTGAACCATTAATCTCTACTCCATTTCTGATTGAGGTATTCGAACTTACTCCTGCCTCTCCTTGAACTTTGTAGCATAAGAATGGTACGCTCTGTAGCTCATTGACGAAATCTTGAACAATCTGCATTTTTCGCATTGCCAATGGGAGTGGCTGTTCACTTAGACCTAACACTTCCAGCATATCATTCTCAATACATTTCTGTAGGATTCTCAGCCTAAGGCAATGATATGCTGTCATGATGTTGCTCCTCTGTATCCAGAAACAAGTCCTCTGGTAGGTCGCTATGGCAATATCGTTGTTATCAACAACATCAGGACGTTGCAGCCATGTCGAGAATTCGTGCACTCAAATACTGAATTCGATGTTTGCTTGTGACATAAGCATAATTTCTGTGTCTATATTGTTTACATTCCACCCTGGGCGCCTTTGACGGTGCACGAGAGATTTGATTCCAGTTATGACTCTTGCTCCAGCGGTCCAAACTTGGGTCTTCAGGTGAAAGCCCGCAGTTATACGCTGCTTCAGGTCGCCTTGTATCCTGGACCTAGCTTCATCGAGAAATAACTTGTCATTGTCACCATTCTCGAGTAAGGTCAAATCACCCTCAAACAGTGGCTCATTGAGGATCGCAAGACGGCTCTCCAGAGCGGCCACTGCCTTGTCCGCTGAGTACATTAACCAGAAGTTCATGCGTAGTAGCCGGGACTCGATTTCTGAGTCGCGGCTAATGGCACTCTCGTCACACAGGCGTAATCGTATTGTCAAGAGGCTGGCTTCACTGTGGATGTGCCAGGCAGCCTCTCTCCTGCCTGGAGAGTTCTGCAGCGCGCCGGATTGCCAGATGCGGATAGTCAAGGATTTTGAGTCTGGATACTCTAGATCTTAGTCTTCATACACCTTGAGCATAGCTTTGGATGATTGAGAAAATGGAACAACCAGCGCGTGTTGATTGGGCACAAGCGATTCCGGCATCACCGAGGCGACGAAGGCACAAAGTGCAGTGATGAGCGTAAAAGACTTGGCGTAAATTATTGCTGCACGGCTATCGCCTTTTGATTCCTTCTCTGAGAGCCTATTATGATTCTCTGGAATAAAGTATGAAGCTGCAGACCGTAGAGAGCCTTCGTGTGCAATAGGGGTGCTTGGAAACATGTACTGGAAACATAGGTCGAACAGCGGTGTGCCACATCAAGAATGGTCGCTATGGTCGCCGAGTCTCCTAAAGGCAAAATAGCTTCCATAGTGCTTACGAGCCAGGTTTACACATCACTAAAGCGATGGCCTAGGTAAATATCTGTAGCAAGAACCGGCGATGGACTGCTTGTAAGACTCCTAGGCAGGGCACTCGACTCGCAATTTTGCAACCGTGAAAGTGGATGTCGGCATGATAATGTCGCTCCTTCATTAGCAACTGAACCAGTATAACCCTGTTCATTGTCTCCATATTCATTCTGTGGTGTCACTCCAGGTTCTTTGGGAATAGACGGACTAATAAAAATATGTAAACGTGATATTCACTGTTCGGAAGATTGGTTGACGTACCTACCTTGCTACGGCAGTGACAAGCATCTCCTGCTGAACATCCTGCTCAAAATGGCAAGTTCGGATCTAAAACCTCGCTTGCTTACATTAGGACCCCGCCTTTTGACTGAGTGACTATAGATGCTTGAGAACTGAGCCGTAGAGCAGCTCGAACGAGGTATTGTCCCGTTGCACTTGATTTTTATGCCGCCTGCAAGGATCACAAGCCCGACGGTAATACATTGGTACATCGGGTTAGTACTTTCGTATCGTCTCGTAAGTTTGAAAGGCTTCTGTCGATGGAGGACTTTCGAGGGAGAACGACGCAAATTCAGATGGATGTATGTCTAATATCAACTTCCACTGAATAAATATGGAGCATTGCGGGAGAAATGAGGGGTGACTTCACGTCCACTTTGAGTAGGCTTTATCCCTGAACCTTGTAAGGCGTTCTGTGGTTGCCAGCGCCCTCGCCAACGAAGGGTCTTATAAAGAAGACGAGGCTTTTCCTGACGCTAAGGCGCTGTCGCCCTATAATAACACTAGTAACTAGCGCCGCTGCGTAAATGTGGCATTGCCCTGGACAATGCGTCGAATGGTATCCCAAGCAGATAACTAGAAGACCATGTCAGTTGCCTGTTGGGAATGCAATTCTTTCTTTGTTCAAGCCACATACAATAACACCCAAAGAAAAGAAGAGAAGGAATTCTTCCAAAACCATCTAGTGGATGAGGCGTGGATACCGATATCTTCTAAGCTGATATTACTGCTAATTCAAGGAACCTAATGGGATTTCGGTCCAAATCTTGCCATTGAAAGTCGACCAGTTCGTACGCTGAAGTCATTCGAAGACATAATTAGAGTAGATAAGAGCGGTATACTTCACCGAGACTCAGACGGATAGATCGAAGAGGGTGGCGAGCATAATTATTTTACAACCGTATAATCGAAACGCATTGAGAATAAAGCCGACCGCCGTAGTTATTATTCTCGATATTCGACAATTAGATTATTATTTGGTATACTATTATATATTAATCGCATCTTAATGATTTACCTATTACACTATGGCGCTATAGTTCTTGTAGTGTATCAAGCACTTCAGCGGTGTTTTGCGGCCGGGGACCCGACAGCAGAACGATCTATTCGACTGATCAGCCTTAATGTGAATATCGAGGTGTCGCTTCAACATGGACTTTCGGGCAAAGGCATTTGTGCACGATATTTCCGACTATTCTTCAAAATTCTATCAGATATCAGTGAATTGGTGTCTCGAAAGTTTAGAGAGCCTTGAAGAGCTTTGAAAGCCGCCAGCGATGAGGAACCATCCACAGCACCTCTAGACCTCTCACATGGCGAGCAAAACCACCGCTACCTATGAGAGTGTTTCATCGAACTCTTACCCGAAGTTGGCGCTGATACTCATGCTAGAGATTGCAACGGCAAGAAACCGGCAGAGTTAGCTCGAGGAGATGACCAGATCCAACTGGCAGAGTGTCTTGACGGGAAAAATGCCTCAGTGAACCGATATCAACCGACCTACCATAACGATGACATACTAAGTACGTAAGCGCAGCCTCAAAGCTGGGGAATTGGTATTCGCAGGTGAAGCACTGGGAATGCTCCTTGTGGCTTGCGAGCTCCTCACCCCAACTACGTCACTTTCATATGCTTCGAGCCAACTTGAGAGCTTAATGTACCGACTGCTAGCGACTCCCTCCGCCTAACTATCCCACGGAAGCGGTCCAAAAGAGTACTGTGGCGCGCTGGCTATGGTATTGCTGACACCTCGGCAGACTTTGGGAGGCCCACATGTACGCTGGAATGATCCCAGCAGTTCGGGTCGATGCAGGTCGAAGAGTGGGCATGGGCGCCAGCGAAGGTTGTCCTACTGCCGCACATGAGACAGGGGACCGGACCACCCAAAAGCTCGGTCTCGATGCTGCCGACATCGATATCAGATCCCTCTTGGGTTGTCGCGTCATTTCTCGTCAAGATGCTTAGCAGAAATGTGCGCACGTTGCCCCTGTTAACAATGCTAAGTGTCTTCACCACGTTCATCAGCCGTAGCACGATCCACACGCGCTCTTGACTATCAAATTCGGTCGGGCTGTCATTGCCGAAGAACAGGATCCAGAACAGGCACCACTGGGATTCATCATACCCCAATCCGCGCAGAGTGACCAAGGAATGCAGATGAGCAGAGAACTGGTCCTGCTTACGTCGATTCGCCTGATTGTCGAGCAAGGTAGCACAGATCAGCAAAAGCACAGAAATCTGTGCAAGGGACTCGTCGTTGAAGTGCCCCAAAGACCAAACCATCGGCACAGGTTTTGAGAGGAATCGATGCAGGAGCAGCAGCTCCGAAGACCCCTGCTCTTTTAGCAGGGGCATTCTCTGGACGTTCAAGTCTGATTTGAGCGTCCGCAGAGCCTGGAGGAAGGCTGAAAACTGCTTAACGCGATGAGCATAGCTGCTAGGCTGGCAGACAAAGCTCCAACATGCATCATTGTAGCAAATTTCACTAGTAATGAGGCGCTTCTCAAAGATTCGGTTCGATATTTGCCATGGCCTCGGTCGAAGCAGAAAGAGAGATCGAAACCCCTGGAAGTGGGCGACAATGGTTGCGCTTTCTGCCCGGACGGTCCACATTCTAGTGATAAGACTCAAAACCGCATTCAGCAATAGATCTGAGCCTCGTGTTTCGGGCGAGCTAATGCGGTCGCTGATAGCTCGAACCGTATCCACTGCCACTCCAGCTATACACTCCGCAGACGAATCGACGAAGTGAGCAGTCACCTTGATTAGCAAGTCCAGCACGAATTTTGCGTGCCCGCTCTAATGGTCGGGAGACTAGAATTCTGAAGGCGGTCGGGTCTTGTAATCCCAACTCGACTGCTAGGGCGAAGGGACTGCTGCCGTACTTGCGAGTAAAGTAATAGAACTCGTCCGGCCAGCACTTGAACTGCAATTGGATGTACGAGTGAACCTGGGACTCCTCGATGTGGTCGAGATGCATCGGAAGTGAATGGAAGTAATCATGTCGATATGTGGAAAGAGCATCGCAGAGGCTGAAGTAGGCCCAGGGTACCTGAACGTCACGCCTGATAGCACTGTTGGAACGAGGCGACTTCTCACTCAGGCCGTCCTTTTGGAGGATCGTGTTGCTCTTTGAGCCCAGGACGGAGAACCCTTCTCGGGCGCGGATGTGTTTGCGACGGTAGCCCTCGCGAACGATATGGCTTCGCCATTGCTTCTTGGACTGTGGAGTTGTTGCTCCATCGACCCAGACAAGGTTGGGTTTGAATGTTGACTGAGGCATCGGTTAGCTTGTAGCGAAACCCAGAGTTTGACAGACGACAAAAAAGAAAGCAGATCCCATGACACCACGAGAGGCCTCTGCAGAGGCCTCGGCCTGCGGGGAGTCGAGGGCGCTCATAAGTAAGGGAATGCCTCTGTGCTGGCACGCCATGCGCTCGAAATGCTGCCAACACTGAAGGAGTAAGGTCAATCAAACTCGCTATGGCCAAGACTCACTCGCGTGCTCTACAGAATAGTTTGCGGAGAGAAGCCAGGATGCTGCGACTGCTGCGAACCCGGACAGGTCAACCAAGAATGGTCAATGGCTGTTTTCTCGACAATGATCCAAAGATCAGTCCGTGGATCAGATTCAGGCCCGCAATGCAGCAGACCTAGCCTCGATCGAGCTTGTGTAAAAGCACGTCGGATGAGTAATTGATCAAGCGGGCTATTAAAGTCCAAACCGATGCTGTACTATACCCAATTCCATGCCCGCATCTCGTGATCTTGCTTCCCCCAGTCCTCCGTGCATGGCGCTAGCAATCGTGACATTTCCGAATCAGGCAACATCTCACGATGTGCCTTATCCGCCGGAGGGCGGCCACAGACCCCGTCGGGCTGCACAACCTTCATGGATCGGCGATGAGCTTTGAGTCAGTTGGTGATGCATCGCTGGGCGCGCTGGCTGGAGCGCTTCTCGACGCCTTCTAGCAAGCTTCCAACGCCAGCGGGACCTCCACCATGCTGGCTATATTGGCCATGAGTCCACAAATTGTCCCACGGACTGGTCGCCTAAAGCTCCTTCACAAGACGTAAGAATAGCTACGATTTACAGCACGCAGCGAAAATATTAGAGATAACATTTCTTTCTCGACTTCTTGTGCTCGTTCGCACGGTTTCGGGATGGAGGTTGGACAAAAGAACGAAGTCATTGCGACCGAAGCAAGTGCAGGTTGGTGTCCAATGAGCTTTCAATCGATCCCAACGAAGTGACGAATCTCCAGATTATCAGTTTATCACGGCCGTGATCAGCGAGGACAAGGGTGGAGGCGTGGGCCGGGCGGAGGGCGAGGGAGAGTACCGTCTGCCTACTGACGAGGAGAGGAGATCCCTTTCGGAAGTGTGTGATACTGTCCCTTGGTCCGCCTACGCCCTGTGCATCTTCACAGCCATTCAATGGGGGGCATCGGTGGGTGCGGGCACCGTGTTTTGGAACTATCTACAGTTCCCGCTCCCCAAAGACGGACCTGGCACAGGGGCTTCACCCGCTGGCACCCAGCAAACACCTGGAGCCTTGGGCTTCGGACTGCGCAATACCAACATCATCTACACCTCAATCGAATTCCTCGCCCCCTTTCTCAGGCTCTTCACTGCCTGGTTGGCCGACACCAAGCTCGGTCGCTTTAAGATCATCGTGCTGGCATCTTTCATAACTTGCACATATATGATCCTGTTAATGGTGAGCGCCATACCGGCTCTTCTTCGTGCAAATAGAACCAAGGGGCCTTTTATGCTCGCCTACTGCCTGAGAGTTCTGTCAACCGGTAGGCAACTCACCTTCTGATGATCTATTTGCTGAGCTTCCAAGCCTTTTTCGGTCCTGCCATCAGCCCACTCATTCTCGACCAATATCGGCCACCGCACGACTATGTCCGCGTCCTCGCAAACGGGCAAGCCGTCATCGTGAGCCGCAGTGCCACACTCTCGAGGATGCAATGGTTGTTCTTCGGCATTGGTGAATTAGGACCCTTCATCTCAATCGGGACCACATGGGCAGAGAAAAAGGTCGGCTTCTGGCTCGCATTCCTAGTTCCCTGCTTGATTAGTTTTTGTCTCCCAGCGATCCTCTTGGCCATTCGTCACCAGACCATTCGCGTTTCCCCCGATGGCAAAGAATTCTCCGACTTCTTTTCGGTCCTAATCATCGTGTTGAAGCGGGAGAAATTTCGCATCTTCTATCGCAGCGACGCCTGGGATGCTGCAAAGCCCAGTGTGCTACGTTCGCGTGGTGTCACAGTGCTGCGAAAGAAGGCAATAACCTGGACCGACCATTACGTCGAACAAGTACAACACACCGTCTCGGCATGTAAGATCTTCCTCGTCTTCATTCTCTACAATTTGAGTGGCGGTGGGATCGGCGTTGTGTCGTCCAGCCAGGCCTCAAGCATGATCACCAATGGGGTCCCAAATGATCTTTTCTACAACCTTGGGAACCTGACGACTACCATCTGCATGCCGCTCTTTGTTTTCGGACTCTTTCCGTTCTTGCGCAGACATGGTATCCGATATGGCCGCATTGCTCGAATGACAACAGGCTTGATATGCACGTCTCTTTCATCCCTGGTCGGTTCCATTATACAGTGGCGAATCTACCAGACATCTCCTTGTGGATATCATGCAACGAATTGCGAGCTTGGATCTGGAGTTGCCCCTTTGTCTATCTGGATACAATCTCCCATATATGTTCTCGAGGGCTTCGCGGGCATCCTCGTCTACACGGCTGCCTACGAGGTCGCGTACCTACAAGCCCCTAGCCACATGAAGTCAGCTGCCCTGGCAGTATTACTTTTTGTCTCCATCTTTTCGAATGCAATCAGTGTCGCCTGTGCTCCTGCCATATCGGATCCGAATCTGATCTGGGTCTGGGCCGTCCCCGGCATCGCAAATCTGGTTCAAACGGCATATCTGTACATCAATTATCGCCATCTAGACGAGGAGACAATGACTAGGAATAATTGAGTGCCTCTGATGAGAAGACGGTCAATTTTTGGAGAAGCGGTGAGGCTGGTCGCGGACTCAAGGACTCGGTCGTTGTCCCTTGAGCGTAGGCGTGGATACGAGCAGGGATACACGGATATTCTCAAAAGCTGCGCTTGAGGGACCAAGTTTTCATCTCAGAATAGCCAATATGAATGGTGTGTCGTGGATCAGAGATGTATTTACATAAGTTAAGCATTGTGAGTAGTGAGAAAGATAACGAGAGTTCCTCGTAACTAGGTCGGAATTAGCATATCTTTGCATGCACCTGACCGCATCCATGTAGCCTCCGAATTTCCCCGGCATAAACCTGCGAGTGACTCCTTAGGCGTTGGACTGCAAATTTATAGCCTGCCTTTTCGTTGGAAGCAGTGGTGGTGTTGACCGAGGATTTCACTTCCGCCGTACCCGCCCAACATTTGTGCGGCTCATCGATATAGGAGGCATTCATCGTGACGAGTGTCTTGTCAGACTACGTTTGGGGTCACGGTAGAAGGAATTTTTGGCGTAATAGTGGACAAGAATTGGAGTTTGCTAGGCTGAAGCTTGGAGGAGAAACGAGAATACTGCCCCGTGGGGCGGAACTGTTTATATTTAGACCCTTGAGGTGGGCAACGAGTTCGTTGGTGCAGGGAAACGGCTCAAAATGTGCAGAGCATCGAATGGGAGCACTTCGGCTTGCCATATTTGCGTGCCCGAAGCTAAAAAGTGGAGTCCATGACCAACCTGACGTGCATTATATACAAGGTAGACCCGCCTGGCCGGACTGAGAACGAGTTCATTCTCGAATCACGAATTCTGGACGGTGTATTCGATAATCAGACTGCTTTAAACGAGGATACGGCTATAAACCAGCCCACCCCCATCGCTGGGCAATATCTAGAAGTTCCATGCCCCGCGAATCCAGGAGATATTATCTTCCTTCAAGGTAATATCCTGCACCGCCCCATGCCAATCGAAGCACCTACCCACCTCGGGGTTTCGCAGGCCATTATTGTGATGCGAGAAGCTTTGTGCCATGGAATGTAGGGGAGAAGTGGATGGTATGAATGAGCGCGAGCCAGCCAACAAGTATCATATCTTGGCTCGAGGTAACACTCACTTGCCCTTTGCTAAGCCTAGTTTTGGAACGCCTTGTGCAGCCCTGGAGAACAGGATTCAGCGGGTCGCAGGCACCCAGGTCGAGGTGCCGATGGTTGATGATGGCCAAACAGGTGTTGGCTCAGTGCGAGTGATTCGGCAGTAGGAATGAGGATATCGGGGTCCCGTGTACAGCACATTGTAACGTAGATTCTTGTGCCTAGTTGAGCCTAATTAATATGTCCAAGTTGTCTTCAAGCATTTATTATGAAGTCGTTCGTAAGTGCAAGCCGTCTCTCGCACAGATACGTGATACGATGACTCAGCATTGTGAAGAATCCTCCTTCGTGCTTAGATTCTAGCGAGTATCTGGTTGTTGTAAAACAATCGTTACCACGACTAGCATCGGATATTAGTACCTGCGAAACGTCACAGTCGCAGACTTGTCCTTGCTGCTGAAGTAGGAGGTTGAGCTTTCTCCAAGGACGCTCTTCAGCTCAGTAAGATAAGCATTTGTGTAAAGAGCTATATCGACCTCTAGCTATCAGCATTTCAGGACATCTAATGCATAATACCGGTATTAGAGCCATTTTCGGGCCTACTCGTCTCGGTTTTATGGGGGTCATTGTCTACCAGCATCAGTTGACAGTCACAGGTGAGGCGAGACATCAAATCGTCTCCTTGACTAATTTTGGACCGACCATAAACTTCATTATGCTGCATTCGGAACCAGACTAGGTCCACAAATCGCAGGGGAATGATCCGCCAGGCGCCGTGTTGGCAGAGTGATTTTAAAGTATCGAAGTAAGCCTGTTTGCCAACCTTTGCGCGTCACTCGAGCGACCTAGTGAAGGTTTCAGAGACAGTAGTCCCACCCATAGGACGTTGAGAAAGATCAACACCCCACGCTGGCATGAAAGATATTGCATCCACTTGTGAGGTTCCACTTCGACCTTGAAAGGTGAAGTGCAAGTTAAAAAAAAGGTCAAGCAATTTGCACCGAGAATGACTCTTTGCTCAGCCTTGATTGTATGTAGCTGAGCTAGTCGTATTGGCATGACACGGTCAAAGCCTGAATTTTGACGCTGTTTGTTATTCAAGACTCAAACGAAGTCCTGAAGATCCCCTGAAAGTCCATGGGTTCTTGACCAAAGAATATGTCGGACGCAGCCCATCAGCTGAATTTGATGTAGAGCTCAAATGCATATTTATCTTCACCGGGCCGCTGGTTGAGGATGTGTTGGCAGAATATTTTGGACAGGCCTGGGAATTTATCTTCCGGAAATTCATCCTGTATGGTCAGCATGTTTGCCAACGCAGCATTGCAGCGGAATGCGTGAGCATCGTATGGGACACCACCGGCTGATTTAAGTAGGATTTCCTTCGCTGGTGCGCTCAAAAGGAAGTCCCTGACCGTCCTGTGGAGGAAGACAATCTTCGCACCCCAAATATCAAGTCTGCCGGCCACTTCAAGCAGACCCATACAACGCCCCACAAGCCTGCGTTTGAGCTTATGGTGCAAATATTTGGCTTTTTCGTACTTCAAGGGTTGAAATGATGATTTCAAGCACAAATATGGACTATCTTTTATTGCAAGATAAGACAAATCGCTCAGCAAGAGAGTGTTAGTAATGCTTGATTTATACCACGTTGTGTCGATAATGGGTTCAAAATCAGCAAGTGCAATTTGCATAATGATTGAGGCTTCCCGTTGGTAGCGTGGATGAATGGCGTTCATCATGCGCAGGAAAAAGTCGTCCAAGTCGTCAGGCATGTTTTGGAGCTCGTCAACGAGTTCATCCAGGGTTGCACCGTCTCGCGAGATTTGTATCAATGAGTTCGCCACGAGTCGAACCCAGAGGAACACGCCTTCTGCCCTTTCTAAGATTTTCTCAAAGATCAATGTCTTGGAAGTCTCCAGGTCATCCTGCTCAAGATTCCTGCGGAACAGACTGTTACTGTTGTATAGTGGATGACAGACAAATTCTTGGATATCTAGTGCAGTGAGATCCTCCAGTCTTAACTGCGGTGTCGAGAACAGATCTTCGTAGATGTTCCATGGTCTGCTTGATACTAGGATCTTGACATGTGAATTTGCAGTCCATGACCTGAAGAGTTGCACCATTTCTATGCGCTCCTCTTCAGACCCCTGAAATTCGTCTAGGCCGTCAATTATTAAGAGTATCTTGCATTCTGCTTCGATTTCGGTGATAACTTTGCTTATGGTGTCTTCTATTTTAAATTTGCTCCAGGGACGTGGCTTGATTGCGGGTAAAAGTGCTGCCTCCCACCTGCGATTCGGCACAGTCGAGTGGACAAGCCACGGTTTGAACTCAAAGATCTGAAACAAGAGGCACTGCAGGAGGCCTAAGTGGGATTTCTGTGCAATTGATCCTGCAGACCAAAAGTAGCAGCTTGCTACCAGAAGCTCTGTATTTTCTAGCCATCGTGCCTCTTAGTTGCCCCTCTGAAGCCCAGCCTTGTCAAGAACATGTTTTCCGATATGGTCGTCTAGGTAGCGCATCAGCGTTGATTTGCCTGACCCAGCCTTTCCACGGATCCAGAACATATTGCTTGGAACAGATCCTTCTAACCAGTCCAGATACGCACCCATAAGGAGAGGATCACGCTGGTTGTGTTCCAAAACCCATTGGAAGGTGTCACCGTACGCTCCCTTGATTTGGTTACGCCGGTCGTTCACCTCCTCAAAGAAAAGGCTTTCAATAGCCTTTTGGCGTGCAACCACGTCCCTATTCAAGAGTGGTTGGAGCTGAGTGAGTTTGTCTTGAATCGTAACAAGGGTGCTGGAAAGAGGAACCAGTTTCTTCTCAAGGGCCTCAGAGAGCTCCACCAACTTCCCGTCTGTCTTCACGCTAAAGTCGCTCAAAGCTGTCCTAATGTTCTTTTGGTCGATAGAAACGCAAGCAAGATCGGTTGCCAGTTGATCGACACTCTGTTTTATGGAATTTGACAATCGCAATTGTTCGACCAAAGAGTTTATTTGCTGGCTAAGAGACGACGTCGTTCCACCTTCCACGGAGATGTACACAAGAAGTGATGATGTGAGATTTGCTCTCACTTGCTCGAGTCGAGTCCTATAGCTGACAAGCTCTTTTTCTACCCTTAGGCTCTGAAGGGCGGCCCGCACAGTACAGAAGAATTAGTAGTCTGAAGACAGATTGTAGAGCATGAGGGGTGAGCTCAACGCAGTAGAGACAGGGCAATGTTCGCCTCGCATGCGTCTTTGCACGATCATAAATAATTTATGCTTTTCAACACAATGTTCACGGAAGAGTAGTAATAGTGTATAGTAAACAGGACTTAGTGACTCAACTTCATGGGCCCCATCCCGACGCAGTGTTTTCTTCGGCGGCGGAAGTAGACGATGGGATAGTTGAGGAGGCTTACCGGATTGAAGAGGGTTCCCAGAGCCGCACAGCTTCGTTCTGTCAAGAAATTTGATGAAATCGCTGGAAAGATCCAGGCATTGCCTGTTGGCCAGATAGAGTGCACGCTTGTAACCAGGGCCAGCCAGTTGGTCAAGGTCATTTTCTAGATGCTGCCGGAGGTGTTCAGTAGAAGTAAAGAACTGTTGTGTGAGATCTTGAAGTTTCTGCTGTTCGACGCTGCCACCTTTTCGAACATATGTCGAAGCCTCAACAACAATGTTAGTCCCAAGTTGGACAAATTGAAGTGCATTGCCGGCGACCGCAAAGGCTGAAATCGGATCCATGGACACCTTCGACCATTTGGAAGGCTGGGCCCTGATTTTTGAGGTGATTTCACGTTCACATTCGGAAAATACCTGATATTTCCTGTCATGACGGAGATGAGGCTAAGAAAAGGCCATGGTTGGGCTTTTGGTTGGAGAGTGATGGATAAAAGAGCACGGCAGGCAATGTGTCACAGCCTTACTGGACTGCAGGCTATCCCCAGGATCTTCAAACGCCAAGCCAGGTGAATTGGGATGTGGCTTGGTCATTCGCCAGGCAGCATACCTAGACTTGCTTGGACAATGTTTGAGAATGATAACAGGCTTGCAGGAAGTGGCTGCAGCAGTACATACCGCTTAATGTCAAGAGTAGTACTAGGATCAATTGTGAGTCAAGCGCTAGGATTGTTGCCAATGTGATTTTGTCACATGATATTCCTACCCAGAAAGTAGGTGACGAACGGCAATCGAAGTTACAGACGTGATCGCCCGTCCTGGATAATTAATTGTACCATGCCTGGCGGGATCTGTTCTGAGAATAGATGAGCCTCGGATCTGTGTGTTCCTTGCACCATGATAGAGCATGGATGGAACCAGCAAGTGATCACCCTCCAGACCATGTTAAGCCTGAAAGTAAACCTGCTTGCTTTGAGTATGGCTTGTCGCAAAGCAGGAGAGAAGATATGGAAACGATAATTGTTCATTTTGTACATGGCAATATCCTTGCGAATGCTGGTCCTGGAGTATCAGACACGAAAAGAAGATGTCCTATTTATTTAGCTCTTTGCTGCTGCTGGGCCTGCGACCCTGTCGTGCCAGCGATAGCTTTCATGAACTCCTCGCTCTGCATCGCATTATATGTGTAATTGTTCCGGAGATTGCGGGCGATTTGGTCCAGAAATGGCATCCTCTGCTTTTCCAACGCTGGATACGTGCCCTTGACATAGGCATCAGCCAGGGCGTTTCGTTCACCAGATCTCGAAGCGAGATCGACAAAGGACATATCCTTCGCTTGCACCTCAGTGCCTTTCTTTTCCACGATTTCATCTGTTTTCTGCTGCTGAACCTCTGCTGCGAGCTTCAGCACAGTTTCTTTCTCTTCCTCTGACTCGAATCGCGTGAGTTTTCCTTTCCGATACCGCTCGACAAGCTGCATGGGGGTTTGGTAGCCATGAGGAAGACGGTGAGCGAGGCTCTCTATCCTTTGCTGCACGCTTTCGGTCAAGCCAGTAGATGAAAGAGGGATATTTGGCCAGTCCTTGCGAAGGTCTTCGATCGACATATTCTCGCCAGGCACGTACTCGATAGGCTCTGTAGGATTGACAGGACGATCAATAACTTTGGCGACGTAGTCATTTACTAGTTCATCGATGTCCTCGGTCTCTGCGTCTTGTTCGCTTTCCTTGTCCTCTTTGCCTTTTCCACGAGACATGGCCATTCGCCTGTCAGTTTTGGGTTTGCCTCCTCGACCTCTCAAAGGTGCGTCGGTATTCGGAATACGGCGAACCTTTCCATCCTGGAATCGACCGGTTTGTAGGCGCCCGGTCCCTGGGCCAGTCTGGCGCAGAACACCTGCTACTAGCCGTGGGCGTGGGTTTTGTGTTGACGATCCTTGAGAGGCTTCTGGCTGGGCTGGTTGTCGCTGAGGTAGTTGTGGAGTTCTGGCTCTGAAGGGCTGCGCATTGGGAGATGCAGCAGGTGTACGACGAGGGAGGGGAGACGGCTGTGACCGACTGATGTTCTTCGAGCCTGCACGCGGCTGCCCGGGAAGAACTATCGATCGGAATGCAGGGGAACCTATAATGGTCAGACAATGAGAGTCGTGAGCTAAGGCACTCTGTCCATACCGTTATCTTTGTTTTCTCGAACAGTGCTAGAGGTTGAAAAAAGTTTGGGTGCCATCATGCGGACTGCTGATGGTGCTGTACAGCGGCCCTGCAGGCTTGAGCGAGCACATCTCGTACAGATGTGCTCCATGACTGTGGAATCCTATACCGAGGAAAGTGGGCTGTCAGGACAACTACCACGTCGATGTGGACACGAAACCTGTCGGCGGGAAATGTCGACGGAGCTTCAACTTGAAGTTGCATGTCTTTGGAGAAAACAGTTCTGGTTTCTTGGCATAACCAGATTTGGGGACAATGTCGTGCTGCTTTTATCTTGCTAGTTTCCCCTGCCAAGCCTCAGATTTCGAATTCTATTTGAGACCTACTGCCGCGTCACTTTCTTCCTCTTCTTTATGCGACTCGTCTTGCTACCTTCCTAATGCCTATCTTAACATGTACTTAGTTCGGTATCTGGAGATGGCTTTCGAGTGGTCAGATGACGACGTATATAGATAAAATTACTGATGAGAAGTCCAAATCGGAACTTGAGACTACCAATCACTTTGTGCAGTTAAGGGGACACGAAGATGTTGGTGGACGTCCTACTAGGACCGCAAAGGAATGAACACCAATTTCCGTCTTCGCCAGTCTTCAATGGGTGTATTGACTGTTAAAGCAATGAGCGTATCCATCTGCCCAGTATTTTCGGCTTTCCTTGGGCCAAGGTCTTGTCTCCCCTCCCGAACATGATTTGGATACAATGTTGGCCTGTATCACCCAGAATACGCCTTTTTGACTGTTAACGCAGAGAGTGAATGACACTTCACATGAAAAAGTTATTAACAGAGATGAGCTGCTTGCTCACATTTCACTCACGGAAAAAAGATTGTCCTTTTGACCTTGAATCGCGTTGCTCATGTGTCCTATCTCGCGAGTGAAGGCAGTGTTCAGGGACCCTCTCGGCTTTCAGAGGCAGTGATAAGAGTCGGTGATAATATCAGACGCCTGAATTTACCCACAAAGGGTCTTGATTTTCCGAGTTATGATCTATTGCGAGATTCAAGAATCGCATATTCGCGCAATCTTCAGTCATGACCACATTCTCAAGCTTGACTATCCATCTCCATCCGGCTCATTTCTTAGCAACTTACAAGTCATTCATCGGAGCAGCGCCGTTTCAAAATACACAATGACAGTTCCACGCTTCCAACACACCTTGACCTGCTTCCTCATTCTTATCTCACGCTGCGATGCATCGTTCCCTCAATTCATACCAGCTTCTCCGAACACCCATGTAGCGAACGCCAACGCAAAGCTGCGTGTGGCATTCGGAGACGCAATTCTGTTGGCCAGAGTGGCAGCAGTCACATTCGACCCATGTGATGAGATCTTCTTGCGATATTTCCGCCCCGAAGAAGCCGAGTTTGTGAAGAATGTCTTCCTGGCGGTTGCCAACATTCGAACTACCGAGATCGACGCCGAGAACGTTGAAAGCATTTTGTCTTCGCCGTCAGTAATTTTCCAGCTGCACGACAAGTTTCAAAACCTCGAGATAGCACTGGGTGATCATCCCGAAGTCGAGGACGAAGACAAGATTTGTGGTCGAATCTTGACTGAAACCGGGTTTGGAGTTTACGCCTATACCACGCTAGATTTCGATGACTTCGACATTGACGCTGAAGGTAGCAAGTTTTCCTGGCAATCTATTTGTGAGGAATCGTTCGAATTTCCCTTTCTCTGGGATATCGAGCTTCTTGCCACCGATCCCTCGGGACATGTCCTCGCAGGACACACTTGCGCTGGTCTGGGAGACCGTGATAGCGATTTCATGGACAGCCCTGGAGGTATAATCCTGCATGAGCTCACGCATTGGAGCTACCTGCTCGAAAATATCCCTGGCTTCTCCGACCTGATTGAAGGCGATGAAGGCGGCTTCCACCAGATCAAAGATTATTCTAACCCTGGAGGAACTCCACCAAACGGACTGGGTGCCTTCCACGCCTTACAGCTCAGAAATGTCGGCCCTTATACTTCAATACAGAACGCGGACAACTTCAAATGGTATGCGCTGTCCAAATACTGGGCTTGGAGATGTGGAAGAGTATTCAGTCCGTCGCTGAGCGACGCAGATGTCTATAAGCGTGGACCTAAGGGCGCTGAAGCTGATCCGCAGGTTCAAGGAGGGAATTGACGATCAAAGTTATGATGTTTTACTGAACAAGCTGCGTAAGAAAAAAGATCGAAAGCGGGGTTTGCTTTTTACATCTGATCACAAATTATGTATGAGTTTCGTCAATGCCTGATGCATTTCATCAACATCAAAGCTCTCGAATGTTAACAGCGGGGCTTTCGAATGCCATCATAGTCCCGGGGTGTCGCCGAGCATTACTAAGTCCACATTTCCTAAGATCTAACACGAGCAACCCTGCGGCAAAGCCTGTTCAATGATTCCCCTCCTTGCATAACTAATTCGGTCGTTAAGTGTCAGTTATGTAATCGCGGCGTCTGCTGGAAATCCCGGTCACTCAATCCACTGGCCGCCTCAACACCGTTCCCGCTTGGCGCCACTCGTAGGTGGTAGATACGACTGCGCGCAAAAGACACCATCACCCCGCCCCTATAGCGAATCCCATGCAAGTTGACAAATGAGTAAACCGTTTTAGGTACCAGAGACCATGAGTGTTTATTGGTCCATCCGTTTTTCATTGAGTGGTTCGATGGACGGCTGAGATCGTCCGCTGACAAAAATACTTATTTGCAATGCCTCCTGAGTGCTCATAGTACACTACTGCGGACTCAAGCTGGGTAAATTCCATTCTGGTAACGAGGCCATGGGTATTTGCTGACAAAAATCGAGTCCACTATTCCCAGAAAGGCACAGACTTTCTGCCACTCATGAGATCCCACTACCGCTTGTAGGAACTTTGTTTTCGACGGCATTGCGCCTTGGCAGATGCGAGCCTTGCTGACTCAAGCCACCCGTCTGTCAGATTCGAATGATAGATGTATATAAACAGACTCCTTCAACTCTCTCGGTTTTGAATAATTCACATCAACAGCTGTGTACCGCACAAGAAAACCAAGTCACCAAGACAAAGGCCAAAAGCGACATCACTTTTCAAACAGCATGGAGAAGAACGAACTCATTCTCGTTACCGGCGTGAACGGATACATCGCCAGCCATATCGCGAACGAGGCACTGGCGAAAGGCTTCCGCGTTCGTGGTACCGTCCGTACTCCATCATCCGCAGCGTGGCTTCAACAGCACTTCGACAAGACATATGGCGAGGGACGATTCTCTCTCGTCCAAATTAAAAGCTTCGATACTGATGGCGCTCTTGACCCATTCCTTGAAGGTAAGCCTCGTTCTTTCCTTTTTGACTCATGAAAATTGGTCCCAACATGTTGCTGACCTTTGATCCACGTGCACAGGCGTCTCAGCCATCGCTCACACCGCCAACACTGGCTTGTCACCAGCACCTGAACCATACATCACCGAGGCAGTCAACAGCGTGGTCAAGGCGCTAGATTCCGCGAGTCGCTTCTCAGGAATCAAGCGATTTGTGTATACGTCGTCCTCCTTGGCCGCCGTCTCACCAACGCCAGATACTGAATTCGAAGTATCATCAGAGGCTTACAATGAGGACTCTGTCAAGGTAGCCCGTGAGCCACCTTTTGATGAGACCAATATTTGGAATGTCTATGCAGCGTCCAAGGTCTTGGCCGAGCAGGCAGCATGGAAATGGGTCGCCGATAACAAGCCACACTTTGGCTTCAGTACCACACTCCCAAATGCAAACTTTGGACCTAGTTTGTCCAAGGAGCACCAGGGTTATCCTTCAACTGGCGGTTGGCCGAAGATGTTCTTTGACGGCAACTTTGCTGGTATTTCGTTTGTGCCTCCCCGTAAGTCATGTTCTCCCTTTTTTAGTTTTGGTCTCCTTCTGAGCGGACACTGCTAATCGTCTTATCACTCCAGAGTACTTCGTCGATGTGCGAGACGACGCAAAGATCCACATTGCTGCCCTGTCAGAGCCCAATGTCCCTAATTCACGCATCTTCGCTTTCGCAGCACCTTACAACTGGAATGACGTCCTCGCAATTCTTCGACGACTCTATCCACAGCGCAAATTCGCCGAAGACCTTCCGAACGTGGGACGGGATCTCAGCCGTGTGCCAAATCAGCATGCTGAGGAATTGTTGAAGAGCTTCGGCCAGAAGGGCGGATGGACGAGCCTGGAACAGAGCTTGAAGGACACTTTTGAGGGCTTGGAGTAGAACTTGATCTTTCCCTAGACTTGCTTTTTGCCGATCCCATCAAATATAGACATTCAAGTTAAAGCGTCGTCCATATTTATTTTTCATTGCATATTGTTGACTGATTAGAAGCGATGTCAAATCCAGTGCTGTCCACGGATCGGCCATTGCCAGTGAATTCACGGTGCTGGCATGGTGAAAGTGCTACATTTACCTCCATAAATGCGTAGATATTTGTGTCTGTCGCTTGACATCTTCGCCATCGAACCATGAAGTAGTTGGAAATATAACTCCAACAAACTTTGCGATCATGTTCGAGTGGTCAATCATCGTGGAGGACATCTGGTAGAGCAGCGCCCAAAGTCAATATTGAATTGACGAGAGCCTGGAGTTAAAAAGTCCCAAACGTTTGAGGTACAGTACACGTCATTTGAACCTGGTTCCTTCCCAATGCCAATTCCCCCGAGCTTTCCCTATCCGTTCTCATCCACGAGGTTAGCATATGTCCATTATGCTCTCCACTGCCATCGTTCAATGTTGCGGTGACCAGGTAGGTCGTGATCATTGATGAAACTGATTCCTCAAAACCCAGGAATGTTTAGGTCTCGAGCACCAGGTGGCGATGAACCCAATGCAACCTTAGGGAGCTCGCCGAAGTCGGTCGCAACTCCCAACCTCCGTCAGACAACCCCATCGATGGGGAACTATACGAGACCATCAAGTAACAGAATCGATGTCTGGCATGTTTTCAATCAAGGACCCTTTCCTTATTCATGGCTAAGCTGTAAGTAGAATATGGGTACCTAAAACTCTGGTGTTCGTGGTGCCCTTTCAGCTGTGCTGAGTGGAATGACAAGTTACCAAGATCAGTTAAGATCTACGAGAGATTATCTTATCTGATGCAGATCATGCTGGGCGTTCTGGCGATTACTGTTGTGACTTTTGTTCCCACGGTGCTTAAGAGAGGCGGTGGAAGACCTTTCAGCAGTGAAACTATACTTGCAGAGGCCTTTATCCATATCTAGCCTCTAAAATCTTCTCTGATTGTGCCATGGAGAGCGTGCCAAAAGACCGTCCGAATGCTCTACCCGTATCTCAAGCCTCGAACGAGCATCGCCCACTTGAAGAAAAGAGCATAGAGAGCATCAGCTTCCGTACAGATTCCACGAAGCCTGTCAACTTTCGAGAAGCAGACGCAACAAAGGTCCGTGAGGTACAGCAGAATGGAGTCAGCCGGATTGAAGCATTCTCTCGACTCTTCGGACGCACCCATCCCGTCGCTATCACTCTTTACTTCTGTATCCTCGCTGTCAGTGTTGCCTTCTCTCTTGATCAATCTACCACTGCAGCATATGATGTCTATGCGACAGGAGCATTCAATCGACAATCCTATATCGGAACGATCGAGATCGTGGAGGCCATCATAGTGGCTGTCTCAAAACCATTCATAGCCAAGATTTGCGATGTCTTTTCCCGACAAACAGCCTACATCCTGATTCTGGTGTCCTATGTTATTGGATATATCGTTGTTGCGACCTCCACCAGCGCGGCTGCACTTTGTGTGGGTCGAGTGATATCGTCTACTGGCCAGTCCGGCTTCGATCTCATAACGGACATAATTGTTGGTGATCTAAGCCCACTACAATGGCGTGGCTTCACCTCCGCCATGACATCGTTTCCTTTCCTCTTCCTACCATTCGTAGGGTCCAAGATTCAGGCGAGTCTTTGCACGGGCAATACCGATGAATGCTGGAGATGGGGTTTTGGAATGTTCTGCATCATTGCACCCGTTCTGGTGTCACCCATCATCATCACCCTGTTCTATGCGGACCGACAGGCCAAAAAAGCTGGAGAATTGTCTTTTGCAGCCAGTCGTCTTGAAGCCAAGAAAGCACAGGAGGCTCAAACCATGCAAGTGCAACGGAGTAGTCTGAACAACCGCTTCACCACGTTCGGCAGATTACTCGACGAGATTGATATTATCGGACTGCTGTTACTGGCATTGGGATTCGCATTGATTCTCCTACCTTTCAGCCTTGCACGTGATGCTGACGGCGGATGGTCGAATCGATCCATGATTGCCATGATAGTATGCGGTTTTGTCATCCTCGGATTATTTATAATCTGGGATGTTAAATATGCAAACTATCCCCTCCTGAACAAACGGGTCTGGCACAATAAAACGTTCATCTCCGCTGTCATCATCGATATCTTCTACATGGTCAGTGGGAATGTTCGTTCCACATACTACACTACATGGGTTTATGTGATCAAGCCTTGGAATAATTACGAGTGGGGCAACTTCGTCGCTATCACCACCGTCACTCTAACTTTATTCGGCCTCCTCGCCGGATTGTACCATCGTATTTTCCACAGGTACAAAGCCTTGCAGCTGTTTGGGCTTTCACTTCGAGTCTTGGCTTTAGGACTCACGTACTGGGCCGTTGGATCGAACGCGAGCGCAGCAGCCTTGGTCTTCTCCCAGCTGCTCAATGGGATGGGTGGAGCGATGTCTGTGGTTGGTACACGAGTCGCCTCCCAGGCCTCTGTCCCTCATCAGGACTTGGCCAGTATCATATCTCAGCTGGCTCTCTGGACCCGACTGGGTTCTTCTGTGGGCTCCGCCATCTCGTCGAGCATGTATACCAACACGTACAGGGCGAATCTACTTCGTGAAGGCCTTACTGCAGAACAAGCGACAATTTTCTACGGAAGTGGGACAAAAGCACGTGCACAATTCGCCTGGGGCAGTGAAACCCGCGAAGCAGGAATTCGCGCTTTCACGAAGACTATCCGGCCTATGTTCTTGACAGCGCTTTGTCTCTCGGTGATTCCATTGCTTGCTGGACTTGTCATGCCGAACTACTATCTGGGGCGCACTCAAAACGTTGTGGATGGGACCACCAATGGTGGCGCTGTGATTGATGAATTCCAAAATGAGAGACATCGTGGTAATGATGGGGCGGTAGATCGAGTTGATCACCAACAGTCCTGGCTCCAAAGGCAATGGCAAAAGCGCTGAGCAGTGCGCCTCGGATAGATATTTGTCTCTGATGATATAAGCAGAGTACCAAGATGATGCTACAGATTGAAACGATATAAATACTTCTGAATCAATATTCTCGATTTCCAACCTAGCTCCGTTCATACTCGCAAGGACTCGACTTTATTCACACCCATCTCGGTAGCATACCTGGGTCTCAAGTAGTGAGTATCAACGTTTTCCATGCTGACATATCGCCCATCAAAATGTGGGGTTCGTGGCTGTTGCCTTGGATATGACCAATCACTGCGAGTCTGGCGGGATGACCTGCAGGGCCACCTTGGACGGCTCGCTTCTCCGAAACAGCTGTATCTCAGACTTGGATTGACAAACCTCTAAATCTGCTTCATCTTGTTCACTCATGGACTCAGTATATTGAACTCTTTCCAAAACCGAGAAAAGAGTGGATAGTGAACAGTCTGCAGCATCTCACTGATACCACCTGCGATCACCCCTCTCACTGCCATTAACTTAGACTCAGCCCATTACGACAATGGCCCAAACCCTCCTACCAGCATCCATAGAATCACTCGCCACGGCTTCATATTCTCTATTCGACGAAGTTGAAGGCCATCCGGTACAGCCCATTGTCACCCCAACCACGACGAGCAACTTGCAGCTTCACTTGCTGGGCAGAGTTTCCCCGAAATCTCACTATGCCCACAACCGATTTGTAAACACCTACTCGACACCATCGGCACGATGGGCCGCACTAACCATACGTGATCCAGCCGCGACTGACGCTTTCATCTATGCGGTGCGGACAACCAAGATCTATTGTCGACCGGACTGCCGCGCCCGACTCGCGCGGCGGGCTAATGTCGCGTTCTACGATAACGTGCACCAGGCCAGATTGGATGGATACAGGGCTTGTAAGCGCTGTAAGCCGGATCCAGTATCCCGGACTGCCACCGAATTCCCAAAGTCATCGAATCCAACTGCAAGCGAAGTCCCAATCGCTTCAGAGCAGCTTCAGAATCAGAGTTCGAGCCACGAGCAATTCACCGACACAGAAGACGCACGCACGAAAATAAAACACGCGGTCCAAATTATCCAACAATCCGCACAGCAAGGCTCGAAGCTGAGTCTGTCGCAGCTCTCCAAGGAAGTCGGCTGGAGTAAATGGCACTTACACCGCGTCTTCAAACAATTACAGGGAATGACGCCGCGAGAGATGGCCGACGGGCTTCAACCGATGAGTAGTCGAGGTGACAGTGTTAGCGAGAACTTCAGGACAGATCCCGTTCCACGAGAGGACGATCTACCAGTACTGTGCAATGGAAGCGAATGGATTGATTTCGAATCAACAGATGGACTGTTCTCATTGCCTCCGCCGCCCCTGACGTCGCTGCTGTCCACGCCGTCGACCGATGATGCACTCACGCCGATCGCTTGGGGTGACGAATTGTCGTATGATCCTGTACTTTTCCACATCGATGCCGCCAAGGACCAGGAAACTGAATTGGATGGCTTGTTGAATGATTTGTTCCCAGAGTTGTTTGGGGCACATGGGTTGGCGGGTGGAGGCTGAGCAGGAGCACAAGCGCAATGATATTCGTGTTTTCATCTTCCGTCTCGACGACGAATCTAAACCTTTGTGCTTATCTCGTAGGGCTCGCAGGGCTCGCTACCTATGTGGTTAGCTAGACGCGAATGAAATAGTGACACCAATGCGGGTGGCCAGAGAAGCAATCAAGTCTTCGGAGCAGGATGAATAGTTCTCCAAACTGTTGAATTGAATCAAAACGAGAGGAGAAGAAATTAAATGGAATTCTTTAATTGGTACCCGCAACAAGAACCAAACGAAGCCCACTCCACTATCCCAGCCCACACAGGCTTTCCTTCTCCCTATCCCTCTCTTCCTTCTACCAGATCTTACTCGCCCTCGACCTCGACGCCCCCGGCCCATAAAGCAGGACAAGCAAGATCGCCACACCCGTGAAAATCGAACTGAGCAAAGCCACAAGAATCAAATGTCCAACACTATACGCCGCCTTGATCGGCCGCAGCTGTCCATTCGCGAGCGGCGCATGTGGCCCGACCATTTTCTTGATCGGCTTGACGGCGTCGGTCTTGCCGGTTTCCACGCCGCGCTTCATGCCGGGCAGGCCATCCATGCTCCACGCGTTTTTGAACGCCCAGTATCTATAGAGCACCTCAAATCAGTATTGGTGAGACTCGAAAAAAGTCAAGAGCATGACAGAGAAGAACAGGTCACCCACCGCTCAATGCCATCGGCGCGATTGCCCGCCTCCTCGGCCGCGACGCGCTTCTCAAAGAACTCGTGCAACGTGGTGCGGTAGCCCGTGAAATCATACGTGGGGACGGAAAAGCCACAGCTGGTGCCGACCTGGAAGATATCGACGAGAATGATACTCCTGGTGCCGGCGATGATCTTGATACCCTCACTTTTCACCAGCGCATTGAACGCCTGCGTGCCGTACTCCAAGACCGTGCCCTTGCCATAGATGCGCAGGATGCGCGGCGGGCCCTCGAACGCGTTCAGCATGACGGTGATGCGCCCGTTGCCCGGCTCGTGCAGGTGCGACGTCGTCTCGATCCCCGAGCCCGTCAGGTCCATGTACCAGAACTTGCGGATCACGGCTTTTTCGCTGCTGTCCAGCGTCGGCTCCTTGATGACTCCGAAGAATGGACCGGCGCCGTTACGGTCTGTGATTCCCTTGGGCGACACGTTGATGCAGCCTTCGCCCGAGAGCGGCGCTGAGGCGATGTATAGTAGTTTCTGCGCCAGGATCCAGTCGACTAGCGAGGGCGGGATCGTCTCGAAGAAAGCGCCCATTTTGAGTGAGTGTGAATGGTTTTGGTTTGTTTTGCCTTGGTGGGTGGGATGTTGTGACGGCTTAGTATCTTGCTCTAGCAGTGTTGCTGTAGGATGGATACTCGTTGACTTTGTCGTGAGCGAATGTGTGACTCGCTGTTTCTGGCCAGTCACTGGATGGGTTGTGACCGGTCCAGCCGCTTCTTCCTTTTCGTCGTCCTTGTCTTGTTCTGTTTTGGTCCAGATGATGCTGCTACACCGACCGAGGTCTGCCTTGTTCAATCTCACGATAACGAGCCTGATTACTTCACCTGAAATGATACCACACGTGAGTCATGAATGTCGTTGGTGTTGCAACTTGGAGCCGGAGAAGGCCGATATCGGTTCGCGGCCCTTTTAATATGTGTGAGTCTACGATGGAATGCGGGGAAACCGTTTTCGATAGCCGATAGCATCTGATGCAACTCTGATTTATCCGATCGCTTTGGCTATCTAATCTCGGGTGACAACCTTGTAGACCCTGAATACGATAAAACACGCATACGAGTTCCTAGAACTGCATTCAATAAAATGATGCACGCTCAAGCCCTCCTTTCCCATGTAGGCCAGGGTGAGCCAGCGTGAAAAGAACCCTGAAGCAGAAGTTCTCCGATCCAACCTTCATTAACAACCTCTCTACCACCAATCCATGCAGTGCCAAATATGTACAGTACAGCATAGACCAACAGGTAATCCCTAAACCTTAACACGCTTGGCCATCTCGGCCGCATCCATCAGGGCCTCATCATCCGCCTTCCGCTTACAAAACTCCTCGAAACTATTGCCTTCCTTGATCCAAACATCCTTGACCTCCCACGTCCGCTTATCCCATGCCGCAGCCTTGACAGACCACTCGCGCATGGCGGCCTCGTTATCCTCACGATTCTTGTTAGTCCTGTCAACGTAGGGTTTCTTCTCCTCGTCGGTGAGACCGGACCACATCTTGCCCAATTCGACGCGCACCTGGTCGCGCTCTGACTGGCGTGCTTTCTTGCCAGCTTTGGCGCGCTCGTCCAGAAGTCGTGTCTTGACTTCATCCCAGTGTTCACCGGAGAAGAGGAGGAAGGAATTGATGTTGGCTTTGGGTGGCTTCACCGGTGGTGGGCCGAGGTCGTCGTAGATTCGCACCCACATCGCTGCATCCCAAGCCTCTTTCAGAGTTGTGTCTTTTTCTTTCACAGGCCGCGTGAATGTGCCAGCGGGGACGAGTTCGTCGCCTTTCCGCTTACCGCCTTGCGCGAGGTGGGTTTCCATATTTGTCAGGTCGATTGTTGTACTGGAGCCTTTCTTGCTCCCGGTTGAGGCAGGGACTAGGGTTGGGGGAATCGGGATTTCGCCGACCATGGATTGGAACACTTCATGTGCGGCGCGAAGGCCGGAAAGGTAGGCTCCGTGCACGGTTGCGGGATGTGAGGCGATAGTTGCTTCACCTGCAAAGAATAAGTTTGATATTGGGGCGGCGATCAGATCGTAATCCCCGGGACGCGCTTCGGCGGCGACAAATGAGTAGGTCCCTCGAGCGAAACGGTCCGATCCCCATCGCGTGACAATGGACTCGACGGGCGGAGGTACATTCTGAGGGCCAAACACATTCCGCAGGAGGTGGACACAATCGTTGACGAGGATCTCATCGCTGACCAATTCAGCTTCATGAGCAGCTTCACCTGCCATCAACGCAATCAGAACAGGCAGACCGGTGGTATCAATACAATTCCAGAAGAGGTAGAATTGGCCACGAGTCTCCTTATAATCGCTGTGGTTGAGACTGAAAGCATTGTCCCGTCGAGGGGCTCGTAGTAATCCAAACATATCTCTCTCGATGTCCCAGAAGGGTCTCTCGAAAACAAGAACGACTTTATTGAGTAACCCAAATCCCATTCGGCGAATGGCATCACGCTTCCATTGTGGCAAAGGAGGATCGAATTGAATTGATTGGTCTTTCAGGACTCCCAGAGGGGCACTGAAGACGACTTTGTCTGCTTCGATGGATTGACCATCTTCACAAGTGACTGTTGCTTTGCCTTGAGAGCCAGCTGCACTGTACTTGATGCTCTTGACAGGTTTGTTGGTGCGCACATCCAACGGATCAGGGTATCGCCATAACGCCCGGGGAACCTGCTGGTAACCACCAACCACTTGCGCGTGTTCTCCCTCAAACTCGTTGCCGATATCTTGATCCCATCCTCGTAAACTCAACTTGTCAACATTGGCAGCATTTGCATATTCGAGATTTGCAAAGTGCCAGTTGAGGAGGCGTAAAGCGTAAGGTTTCAGATCGAGGAATTTCTGATATTGGTCAATACCAGTATTCATCAGGGTGCCGAGTGATTGGTTGGGTTCTCGAGCAAGATCATCCAACTCCAAGGTTTCATGCATTTCGGTGGTCTTTTTCAGAAGGAAGCCAAACTCTTTGGCGGCTTGAGCCGCTGGTAATTGTATTTTGGTTTCGGTACTCACATCCATTTCTTCAGAAGGTTGATCAGACTTGGCCGCTCGATGACCAGCCCCTCTTCGCCTTGACTTCTTGGCGGGGAGCAGTTGGTCAATGGTACCCAGGGCTTTTGCCTCTTCAAATTGTTTGATTGTGATGGAGTCCTCAATCGCAGGTTCACGCCCATTATCCATGACATCTTTATCTCCCTCCGCAGTCTTTTTCACGGTATTCTTGAGACGGTAATTACCCGTCCGGTCAAGCACATCATTGTACAGTCTTTCGACCATGGCGTCATTAACGCCGTTGACAGGGGTGCCGTCGATATCGTAGAGAGTAGAGAGGTCTCGCAGTAGGTGATAGTCTAGGGCCAATTGACCACGTACAATCTCATTGAGAGGATTGCCGCGTTCAAATCCCACAATGATGTGGGCACCCATCTCGGCGGTCGGTCTTTGATTTGGAGAGAGTTTGGTGGAACGCATGCTGTTGAGTGGATGGGAATAAATGCGGCCACCGATTCGATGTCGACCTTCCAACACGATGATCTTGGGAGCTGTGCGATCAGGATAGTGGTGAAACAAATTAGTGAGCTGTCTGGCAGTACTTAATCCAGCCATACCACCTCCAATGACAACGATTGTTTCTTGGGCAGGGTCCTTCTTACGGCCCCGACCAGATTTGGTGGTCAAAGGAGGTGCGACACAACCGAAGTTAATGTAGCCTCGACGTAGCAGCCATTCATATGCAAAACATGCGAGACGGGTCCATCTTTCGTCTCTTGCACATCCGATGGCCTCTTCAAGGTTGACGGATACACTGGGATTTCGAGTCCATAATCTGAGTATGCCATTTCGAATGTTCAAATAAACAGTGACATGGGAGATGCATAGATGATCTTGTAGCAACCTGTGTTCATCTTCATGCAAGGCATAGGGGTTGAGTCTTGAATTCTCTGCCGCCGAGACACATTGGCTCGCATATTCGGAGGGTGACAATCTTGGGGGAATGGAAGACTTTGGTCGACAAGTTGTTGGAGCTCGTTGGAACATGTAGGTTTTAGCCATGGATGGAGATTCAGGCTGGGTGTTGAATTTCAAGGTGATTTTTGGCTTTTGATCAGCAACCGACGAGGCCACGGACATGGAAGTGATGGAGCTATTGGGTGAGTCGCGATTCTCACTTTCGAGTTGCAAATGTCTCAGAGTGGAGCTGGGACCCTGAGATGATTCACCATCGTCGTCGTCTTCCATTTTGATAATGGAATGATGAGAAAAGTCGGACATGTTTTGCCTGGGAAGGCTTTATATCAGTATTTGATATGGGGATGTTCAAGCTTGGCCTCGAGAAATCTTGTCATACCTTGCGAAACCCGAAGATGATGACTCGGCCATTTCCATATCGGACATTGCTGAAGATATGGTTGGGATGGTGGATGAAGCGACCATTGCAGCGGCCATCCCGACAGCTATGTGGCAAAAAAGAGTGGCTTTTTGATATTGGGCAGTGGTTGATCAGGATATTGGGAAACCGCTTAGGAAACCATGAGAATGATTGAAAGAGGTCTCGCAATGAGTTTGAGTATCCTGTGTATGGTTAGAATCGAGACTTGTTGTTTTGCGAGGGAAAGGTACAGGTGATGTCGGGGGGACAATACCGAAAGTGCGTAGTTGTAGTGGTAGGAGGGTACTCCACTACTGATAGTGCACCCCCAAATATGATATTGAATTTCCAACTATTCAACCGTACAGGCAGAAGGTATCCTCCGTGATATTGGATAAAGGAGTGGATGGAGCGAATGAACCATTGTCACACCACTGGACCGGTGGTGGTGGTGGTGGTCGGGATGGGATGTCGTTGGTGGTGAGGAGGAAGAGGAAGACGAGAGGTTGACTCTTCCCTCACCCAGCCGCTAAAAATGGGGGCATCTGGGCACGGTTTCTGTATCTCGCACCTTTCGTTTCAACGACAACCCATCGTCATCATCATCATTATATACACATCCACGTTATTTGATTCCTCTTCTTTATATCTGGACAATCTAGCTACTACTCACCAGCTACTAGATCATTGCCCCGGTGTCGTCGGCCGAGTTTGATATCGAATATCGTGCCTGCAACCCCCTCCCATCTACCATCTCGGTAGTGCCTCCTGCACTAGCTCTGATATCTTCAACCCACTATCACATAGATGGAGTGATATCGAAAAGAAAACAGCAGAATACCTGAGGACACCTTCCAATAATATATCACAACATTATTGTCCTTCTCAACAACGTTGTTGATCAGCTTTTGACGACATGCAAAAATTTTCACCCTAGGTGCAGACTCAGCCTTGGAGCTCCGCCTGCGACTTCATCTTACAGACACCCTCCATACCTCAACCCTATTCAGCTACTGCCACGAACCCGATAAGATATTTGTCCTCCTCGTATAGTTTTACTATTCAACTTCCAAATTGATGATCTTTGGGTTTCCTAGAAGGTATTTTGATTTATGGTGTCGTCGCTGTCTTAAATGCCCAGACTCGAGTCCAAGCAATAACGATACTATCAAAGTTAAGTGTCACCAACATCTTTTTGATGTCCTTCCTTCTATACGCATGGAGAAACATATCACAGGACCACGGTCCCTGCTTGAAATGATGACTTTATCTCTGCTCGTCTTGCTAATAAACAGGCATATATACCTTCCACCACTTCCTGACACGATGAGCATTAGACAGCCATTCCCTACCTGCAATCCTTTCATTTGGATGCTTGAGACTTGATATTCCAACACAGACTTTCACTATAGATCAATAATATGCAACACACCTCAAAGTGGTGCTGGCGAAGAGATTAGTTCAAGTAGGGTTCGAAAATTCTACAAAGACTTACCTCACTCACTGGCCATGAGCTTGATGCGAAACAAGAAGAAATCCTTGAGCTTAACAATACCTCTGAAAATGGAAAAAGGGGCATCCATGACAGTGAATGGCGTGATTAATATGTCAGCATCTGGGTTGTTGGTATATGCTCTATATCTTTTCAATTATAATACATTTGGACGTTTACCAACTTTGCCTCTACCTAATTAGTCCGAGGCATATTCCTAAGTGATTTACACCTTCAGAGAAGAATATTTCATTGTCTCATGGCATCGCTGAGAGCTCTTATGAACTCATATAGATATGTTTGTCGCAGGTATTAGTTGTCAACGGGGCAGGTGGGGGATCTGTGACCAAATGGCACTCAATTCCTCCCCAACTTCAAAGAACAAGCAGCATCTTCGTACAGTTCTCCTCTCTGGTGAACCTGAGGACCAAGTCCAGAAATGCTTGAATTGCAAAGACTGAAGACTCCTTCATCAATGGCAATCAAGGGTTAAATAATGATTCTTTCAAAATTACCCCACCGACTAATATTCACTCGAGACATCCGCTTCCACTACTCGTATCCTCTCCATTTCTCCCATCAATTGCCCGTTTACTACACATCCACTAGAAAGATGGCGACGGTCAAAGATACCATCCCACATATAATCAGAACAGCAGAGGACCCTCGCCAGAAAGGTGTGTGGTCTGCGAGGCTGAGTAAGATAGAACAAGTCAACCCAAAAATCCGGTTGTTGAGACTCAGTCTACCAAGAGATGGGGTATGTGCTTCACGAGCCCTATTTTGCGCCTTTTGTTCTTTACTCCAGGATCTTATCTTCGGCCTGTTTCCTCCAATCCCTCACGCTGGAACTCTCCTAAAAGACAGATACGTGGCAAGATATCGTTGAATGATTGCCCAAGACCTTACCCATAGCCCGGTCCAATTCCAATTCCATGAAACACCCAGCTTAAGCAAGACTACCTGTTGAATTGCTCTGTACTGGTACTGGGTTTCAATTGACACAAATCTAGTAGCCACCACTACGACATCTCCCAGGTCAATATGTCGACCTCTACGTCCCCAACATCGACGTGGTGGGTGGCTTCACCATAACATCACCACCCCAAGCCTCCTCCCAAGCCCAACAAGATCCACACATCGAACTGGCAATCCAGATCTCGCCGGACAATCCACCGGCCGCATTCCTCTGGCGCCCGGAGTCGGAGATCCTGAATTCCACCCTCTCGTTCAGAATCGGCGGCAATTTCGTCTATCCGCCCATGACTCTGAAACGCACCGAATGCGAATCCATTGATCGCGTGGTCTTCATCGCCGGCGGCGTGGGCATCAACCCGATCATGAGCATGATATCCACACTGAACGAGGCGGGCACAACCCGAGTCCTGGGCGGCATGCCCAAGCACGTGCGCGTTCTCTACACGTCGAGAAGAGAAAGGAACCCCGACGGCCAGGCGGCGGAAATCCTCTTCGAGAACCGGCTGAAGAGTATCGCGGAAAACTGGAACACCCATCAGCAGCAAGTGGATTATCAATACGCGTTCTTCGAGACGAGTGAGCCGTCAAGTGTTGGTGCCCCGAAGCCTGGCAACATGGCAGTCCATTCACGAAGGATCTCACAGAATGACCTGTTGGAGGCACTGGGTTCGGAGGACGGTCGGGCCAATACTGTCGTCTATGTCTGTGGCCTTCCCACCATGACGGACCAATATGTCGAGCTGCTGAAAAATGCCCCGGGCATGGATGAGAAGAGAGTCCTGTGTGAGAAATGGTGGTAGCTTCGAACCGCGGGAACAGAGAGAAATACAAACACCACACGTATCGCGAAGCAAAAACAGTAATACATATATTCTATACACTTATCTTCTTCGTTGCACTGACTGATGGACTCTTTTTTACCTTCTCTTTCTCGATCACATCCCACGTGCAGAAGGATTACATGTCCACCACGACCTTCCCACCATCAACAATAATCTGCTCGTCAAAGCGACTCGCCGTGTCTCCCCACTCGAGGCGCTTCCACGTCGAGATCCTCGCCTCATTCATGTCGAAATCAAAGAATCGGATGCGACGGTGATAGCCATAGTAGCCACCATAGCCACCGAACCCGGCGCCACCACCATAGCACATCCACAGCGCGGGCGTCTTGCCGTCCTTGCCCGTCGCTGGGAGACAGTAATCGTTGACATGGTCGTGGCCGCAAGACACCATCACCACGCCCTCGTCGACCAAGGCGTCTTTGAAGTTCGTGTTGTATGTCGGTGCCGTGGGCGGCTCGGTCCAGTTGCCCACCCACGTCAGGGAGTTCGGGTTGCGGTATTCCGGCAAGGGGATGTGGATGAACGCCAGATCCATGTGTATGTGCGTGTATTCGTGGTGCTTGCGTTTCAGTGATTGTGATGTCGATTTGAACCACTCGATCTGGCTCGTCTTCAGCCAGTCGTACCCGTGGTATTTCTTCTCTTCCGGCGAGTAGCTGTGCGTGTCGAGCATATATAGCGTGAGTGCGGAGTGGGTGGTAGAGCCCCGGCCCAGAATCTCGACCACGTAGTTCCCTACCCCTTCGACGTCTTCGGGGCCTGCAGTCGACATGGAGAAAGGAAGCCCGTCCATAATCGCCATGGATTCCGCGCGGTTGAGGTTCCCTTCGTCGTCGTGGTTTCCGAAGATGCCCGCGTACGGGATCTTGTGCCGCGCAAAGAGTTCCGAGTACTTGTAGATGGCGCTTTGGGCGTCTGGAGCAGTGTCGCCATTGACCTGGTCGCCTGACAGGACGATGAAGTCCGGCTTCTCGTCCTCGAGGAGGCGCTCGACGAACTCGAGCGTGCGCGGATCCGCCTCGCATGGCTGGCCCTCAGGTAAAGCGTGTCTACATTTCCCGAAGCCCGTCGCCAGGTGTAGATCTGCGGCTTGCATGATCTTGAATTTTCCATCTTTGTGGATACGCGGGATGGGTTTGTCGACTTTGATGGCGGGCCCTTTGCGAATAGTCAGGCGCGGTTCTGGGGTGTTGCCTCCACTGGAGTCGATGAAGAGAGAAATATCCTGAACGCGCCAGTTGGAGCGAGGGTCAGCGGCATCGGCGCCGAAAAGAACATCGACGCCAGTGACGACCTTGGCGGGATCGTTGATGTGTCGTTTCGAGGATTTCTTGATCCATATTCCCGCGGGCCGTGATTCCCACCGGACCTCTTTGGAGGTGGCGTCGGCGGACGATGGTTGGATGCGGCCGACGCGGACGTCGAAGACAAGTTCTTCATGCGGGAGGAGTTCGTCTTCTTTTTTTCGCTGGACGTGCAGATAGGCTTTTGAGACGTAGCCTTTACCCAGGTAAAGGTCTTTGTCTATGCGATGCCAGTATTCGCCGTCGAGGCTACACCGACTGAAAGGATTTATGGAGGAACATGTCACGACGGTCAAATCGGTGACGACGAAACCAGGATGGTGGGCTGGCAGGTGGTTGTGGATTGATGTGGGCAATACTCGATATCGGTTGTCCAGGAAGAGAAGGATGGTGAGAACTATGATGGTGATAGTGCCGAGCTGGAAGCCGGTTCTTACCTGGAGGACGCTGTGTGAGTCTGTAGTTCGAGAAATAGGAATAGATGAACAACTCACTATTCGCCGAGTCATGCTGGCATTGGGGGAGTCTCCTCAAGAGCACTCGCTCCAGCGGGCTCTTTCTGGATGAGATCTCTCTTCGACAAGATGATGAATGGTAGGGATGCTAGGAACTCATGTTGACTGGGTATCGTATAGCAACCTAACGCCTGGGGGAATGCGCTGTGGGGAGGTGGTTGAGGGTGAGAGGGGGATGATGATCTACGCAGGGACCTGACTTCTTTCTTTCAAGTTGAAGCCGCAGCCTGCAGTCCCAACTTGAATGATCGACAGGATATTCCCAATGAGGCTTAATGCATTTCTTCCAGAATCTGGGGTTCGGCGCCAAGAAACTGTTAGTAGCCGGCTGGGAAAACGAATCTCGGATGCTGGAGATTCCTTCTCGCTGGCATGATCTGGTGTAACTGCAGGAGAGAGATTGAAGACGGCACGGAGTTGGCTGTGGTCTTCTATGTCGAAGGTGGTGTTTGGATCACTCCAAAGAGTGTTCAACCTCTCGAGATGTCCTCAATCGTATGACACTCGTTTCCTCTCCAGCAGACTGCTCTCGACCCAAGATCTCAGTCGTTTTCAAGGTAAGTGCAGTTACTCTCTCACGTACGGTCTTATATCCGTTTTGGCTGACACTTCTTGCACAGAGGGTGACAGAGTCATTGTCGATGGCACCAAGCTATCAAAACCATTAATCAAAAATGGCAAGACTCCGGTCCGTGGCGGTGATATACCACACAACGATATCATAGGCCGGGAAGCCTCCAAGCCCTTCTTTGCGTCTTCAAGCAAAGACAAACTGTTCCGTATAAGCCGGCCAACCATCACTCAGTATATCTCCCAGACTCCGAGACTGGTCACTCCTGTAAGCCAAGCATCCTTACTTTCCACGTCTCTTGGCTACGTCTCACTGACCTATATACCCCTAGATCTATTCAGAATACGCAGAGACCATCGTCTCCCTCCTCGACATCCACACCACACCGTTCCGCTCCGAAGACGACGCAAATGAGACATTCACAACCCCACCCCTCGAAATCCTCGATTCTGGAACTGGCCATGGCTCCTTAAGCCTACACCTCGCCCGAGCCATCACAACGGCCAATCCACCCCCATTAGACCTCCCAGTCATCAAACCTGCACCCTCTAAACACCGCACCCAGTCCACCCTGGAGACCACCGAGCCCAACCCCGAAACCCCCGACGACCCAAACCGCGCCTGGACAGAATGGAAGCGCACACGCCGCGCAGTAATTCACAGTGTCGAAGCGATCAGGAAGACGAGCCGACACGCCGAAACCGTGGTTCGTGGCTATCGGCAAGGCCAATACTGGCCACACATTGACTTCCACCAGTCAGACCTGAGCGCATGGCTGTCGACGCAAACGGCGCAGAGGGACCATGCCCCGTTCCTGAGCTACGTTTTCCTCGACCTACCCGACGTGCAGGAGCGGCTGAAGGAGTGTTTTCCCGCGATGCACGACGGCGCGAAAGTGGTGATTTTCGTGCCCTCCATCACGCAGGTCAGCGAGTGTGTGAAAATGATCAAGAAGGACCGCGACCTGAGGCTGAATGTCGACACGGTGGTCGAGTTGGGCGAAGGAATCAGTAATGGACGCATCTGGACCGTCAGGGCTGTGACACCAAGGACAATCGCCAGGGATGCTGCTGCTGCTGCCTCGCTAGCAACTACCGAACAGCCAGATCCCACAGAGATGTCCGAGGCCAGTGCAGAACAGGAGCAAACCGACATCGAGATCATGCCTGACGAGGAGGGTATCACCACCACAAACACGACAGATGTCATTGATGACACTTTAGACCCGGAGTCCTCCTCTTCCTTATCAGATTCACCAACACCCTCCACTCCATCTCAACACCGAGCCCCACCAGAAACAGTGATGATCTGCCGCCCACAGATCGGCGAGAAGATCGTGGGCGGCGGCTTCGTCGCTGTCTTCAGCAAGATGAGCCCGGAGCAGTGGGAGCTGCAGTACCGGTGGAGAGCGACACGGACGGGCGTGCAGAAGAAGATGCTCCGCGCGTGATAAGATAAGTGTTGTTGTATGAGTGGCTTACGGGTTGGTTCGTCTTTTCAAAGACTACTTGCTGGTGGATCACGACTTGTATGAAAAGGAGCGCTGTGCCTGTGGTTGATCATGGCCAGTGATGGTTTTCTTCTCATTGTATGCTATATAGATGGATGGTTGAAATGCTCCACAAATAGAATAGACTTGTACAGTAGAATGGCAAAGGCAATCGTGTATGTCATCATCGCAGTGTGCGTCGTACAATTCGCTCTCGGTCTTCTCACTAGCGCCCAGTGCAGGACAGAATTCGTGGATCACGCACGGTGTTTCCTAGCCTGTCGCCCGGCGTGCTCAACGATCACAGGGTAGAGTATTGACTGAAAGATGCAGTTGGGTGATCCACGAATTTTGTACAATCACCAAAGCTGGAGGGCATGTTGCTAACTGCCACCGGCAATAGAACATGATACCAGACCAACATACATTGACCGAAGAAACTCCATGCAACCGAGCAAATGCTGGAACCATTGTTCTGCTCGCCTCCTTTTCCAAAACCTTGCCTCCGCCTCCAGTTAGCCCCGGAACCCCGTATTCTATGTCCAGTGTCTCCCCAGATGCAGAGATTGATAGCTATGAACTGGCCTTGGTCTCATGATTGGTCACGCCATGAAAGCCTCATCTCCATTTGACCGAGATATCTCTTCTTGCCTAATGAGGGCCCGAGCCTTTATTTGGTCGAGACGGGAACAGCGGATTTGGCCTTTTCGAGAATGTTCTCCGCGACGGGCATCACACGATTCTTCAAATCGCTCGTCACTGGTGCAGCCGAGGCCTTGAGCTTTTCGCTCACCTCCCTCAATCTTCTTGCCTTTGTTGCTCGGATATAGGCAAAGAGCAGCACAAACAAAACCTCCACTCTCTCCTTGGTCATCATGAGTAGACCTTGCACCAATAGGCCCTTGAGAAGTTGAGGGCCAATGCCCTTGAATAGTGCAAGGGGGCCTTCATGTTCGATAATGTAAGCCATGACTTCTACGAAGCTTTTGAACGGCTTGCCTTCTCGGGCTGGTGGAGGTCGTGACTGGAGACCAACCTTTGCCACGATCAATGGCTGTGTAGTCAAGGTTGCTATCGATTTGGAAAGCGCTCCAAGAACTAAATCATTGTTAGTCGATAGCTCATGGCCAAGCTTGAATTTTCTGGACGACTTACAAAAGGCTTCCGAAGGATGTAGCCTCACACGATCTGGGAAAATAACGTCCTTTAGACGCTGGTATGCGCCATATGTTATGGCGGGGTTGACACACAACACAAGAGAGGCCTTGAGACCTCTCCATAGACCGGTCCAGCCATCTTCGCTCTGGACCACCTCCTTACCAGTCTCCAGAAGACCCTTTTTATGGCCTCTGGGTTGTGTCTGTTGCCGCGTAGTAATGACAGCAACTGGAATGGTGAATATTTGTGCAACAGCACCTGCCGCGGCACCGAGTAATAATTCCACAGCAGTTCCAGGATGCTGTCCAGGAACTTTCTGATACTTGGTATATAAGTGCCGAACCACGCTATACCAGTAAAAGTATGCGAAATTTGTAGAGGCCACTCCGATTAGAGCCCCATTGATTCCAGAGTATAGACCACTTATGCCATCATGCTCGATGATTTTCTTGATGGCGTCGAGGGTAGAGTCGTAGTGATGGTTCTCGGCGGTATGGACGACCTGTTGGTCCTTTTTCTTGATTTGTACCTGTAATCTAGTTTTTACACTGCAAGTTGATTAGCAGGAAAGTTATCAATTGAGGTATCTCGAGGTGGACTTACATGTCGAGTGGGTATACTAGAGCATTTGCAAGTACTGCACCCGTGGCACCCGCGACGGCACTCTCCCACGGTGCCAACTCATTTGAAGCCATTTGCGGCTATTGATTGTGTATTGGTGAGGATATCTACTGCTTTCCCCTCTTTTATTCAAGTGTATGCACTTGTGACAGTTGTGACGTAGGAGACCCAAGGTGGAGGAATTGAGCTTCGGAGGTTATAATGAAGCAAGCCGAGGAACCAAATGACTGAGCGTAAAGATACTTGCTGAGCTGTCTGACGGTGAGGGCAAGGTGGTGAGGAAAAGACAGGCAATGGTGGGAGAGAGCGAGGTGGAAGGTTGAAGGGGATAGATACAATTAAATCAAGCGTGAAAAGGTGTGCATGAAATGAGCATCGACGAGACCAGGATTAAAATCAGATCCTCATCTGCCCGAGAGATACGGAGAGTAGGAATGGGAAGGGTTCAAGTTCGGTCATGGTCGACGCCGCAGCTTCCCTCTTTCTCTACCATGTTTCTCTCCACAGCCGAGGCAATCGCAACTCCCGGATTTCGACATGCCCTGCCACTTTGCTTCATTTCCGGGCCTCTTCCGATTCTAGGCCGCATTATGTAATCTGGGGCCACGACTGCTTCGGCTAAGCGTTCAAGCGTGAAGCGTCAATCGCTGGTTCCATCGTGGCTGGATACTCCGCCGGAATACGATCACGAGTCCCGGGCTACCAGAGCGTAGACACTTGTCACGTCCTCCGTTCGTCTCGTACACTCACAGTCGCTCATATGGAGACACGAAGACTTGCCCTTGAGGAACAAGCTAGGTCCATCGAGAAGACTATAAACACCAAATCTACCAATAAGGCTGCTCTTGAGGCTACCATCAGAAGTGCCGAACTGTACTTTCAAGCCTTGAGTTTGACCGACAAGCCATCAGATCGCAAGAGGATTGATACGAGATGCAAAGAACTACTTGCAAAGGCTGAAAATCTCAAAAGTGCACAAGATGCTTCTCCTAGACCTACCAGCAAGTCATCAGTCCTCAAGGTACCATCTTCTACCCGAAAACTCACGACGCGAGAAAACATTATCATCCTCGAGGGGTCAAAGTTGAACGGTTTCGTCTTCAAGCCATGGCTTGATGTTCCTGCTCTCGACGAGTTCAGATTGAACGAAGCTGAGCTTCCTTTCACAGACGTCGCCCCTCTGCCTCTATCACCAGGGCAATTGGAGTCCTTTGATGGTTGGAAACGACCACAAGATGCTTTGGCTTCAATCAGACCTAGTCCGGTAGGAAATACATTTCCTGCTGAAGCAGTGATGCATATTCCAGAGGAAATGGATCTCGTTCAGGACATGACTTCTGATTGTTCTGTTGTTGCAAGCCTGTGCGCGGGCACCTCTCGGGTTGAACGGGGCCATCCCAAGGTAAAGGAGCGTTGTCCTTCCATCTAGTCCTATTAACTCATTTCTAGATCCTACGGTCCATTGTGTACCCTTATGACTATGCAAACGATCGAATTTCTCTTTCACCAAATGGAAAGTATATTCTAAAGCTATACTTTAATGGCTGTTGGAGAAGAGTTGATATAGATGATTACCTGCCCACGTCAAAGACCGCTCGAGTGCTTCATGTCATTGATCGTCGACACCCAGGTTTGCTATGGCCAGCGTTGGTGGAAAAGGCATACCTCAAAGTCCGTGGGGGCTATGACTTCCCTGGGAGCAACTCTGGCACAGATTTGGCAGTCCTAACTGGGTGGATTGCGCAGCAAGTATTCCTCCACGATGAGGATGTTGAACCAGATCAACTATGGAATGAAATCGTTACTCATTTTGGGGATGGCAATATACTCCTCACCATCGGTACCGGAAAGCTTCCTCGTCGTGAACAGAGACATCTCGGTTTAGCTGCTGAACATGATTATGCAATCCTCGAGATAGCTACAAGCAACGGTGCACGGGAGATGCTTGTGAAGAACCCATGGGCGGATGGTGATGTCTGGAAAGGTGCGACTCGACGTAAGCCAAACCACATGGACGAACCCTCGACAGACACCGCCTCAAGTGATGAGACTATGATGCCGGGGACTTTCTGGATGGACTTCAATAATGTTTTCCAATACTTTGAAAATATGTATATTAGTTGGAACCCAGGGTTATTCTCCCATCGGCAAGATCTCCACTTCTCCTGGCATCAAACCGAGCCAAAGTCAATGGAGAATATATTTGTCGACAATCCCCAATTTGCTGTTTCATCAACAACAGCAGACGAGGTTTGGGTCCTTTTGACCCGTCATTTCAGGACTGGTGACTATACACAGGCATCGACCGGAAAGAATGGTTACATCAGCCTTTATCTTTATGAACGAAATGGACACAAAGTCATCTCCAGCACTGGTGCAAAACGCCGAGGTCCCTTTGTTGACTCACCAAATACGCTCCTTAGGTTCAAAAATTCCGCAAATATGCCTTACACGGTCGTTGCGGTTGCTCAGGATCTCCCTCCTGGAAAGATGAACTTTACTCTGTCCGTATTCTCGAAATCTCAAGTCACACTCGCGGAAGCCCAACTCCAATACCCTCAAAAGTTTACCATCAGCTCTGCTTGGACTAGGTCGACGGCTGGAGGAAATTCGGACTCACCCAATTACCTATCCAACCCGCAATTCCGCCTGACATTGACAAGGCTACAAAAGATCGCACTCGTACTTCGTGTACCTGACAGTACACAAAAGCAGATGGATGGGCCACCCTCTGAGATCCACGTCAAAATTCTAGTTGCGTTCACGGAAAGTTCTCGGGTCACTCGCTTGAGGCTACGGGACGTTCAAGCACATTCAGGGGACTATCGGCGTGGCAGTGCCATAGTTGAGACCGAATTAGACCGTGGGAGTTACAGTATCATCTGCTCAACTTTTGACCAAAACCAGCATGCAAACTTCACGCTGGACCTGTATTCATTCGAAACCACGGCCTCACCCCTGCTACCTCTGCCTGCCGATGGAAGTGGGAGACTTAGCATCCGAAGCTCACCCGCCGTGTTCACTAAAGACACCGACCGAGTCCTTGCACCACTGACCATCGGAAGAATGACTCGCATCACGTTCGTCGCGCGTCACGATGGACCTCTAATCCCCCAGTCCTCGTCTCTTTTCAAAATGACACTAGAACAAGGTCAGGGCCCTTACAAGCAAATACTCGCCAGCAGCGAATTTGATAGTGAAGAATTCAGTAGTGTTGCCTCTGGGTTGCGTGTGGGAGATCTCGATCTTCAACCTTCGATGGGCGCTCATGGCACAGGTGGACTGTGGTTGGTTCTGGAGCGCTTACCGCAGGGTCAGGGTGCTGAGGAGGCTTCAAGAGATGATATTCTGAAGGTAGAGATGTTTACCGACGAGAGAGTAGAGCTGGGTGCTTGGGGACGTGGTGAAGGTTGAATCCCTCTGGAAAATATGGGGGTTACGGTGTTGCATCTCAACATCCGTGACTGATGATAGGGTCAGGCCATAAAACAGAAGCTATGTACGAACCTTAAATAGGACGTACCTCTTTCTTTGTGCACCAAATCCTGGAAAGGAAACTCCCAAATAGTGCACAAAAAGTCCGAGAACAGCGAGGTCAAGGATTTGAACATAAGCTTCCTCCAGCCTCGATCCAACTACACCACGGCTACCTAAAAAGGGAAAACAAAAACATTGTCTGACCAGCAGTCAGGTTGTGTTTTTAATCTCAAGTTTCCTTTTTGCGAAATATGTACTTCAGAATTTCGGGTTGGTTTTGATGGAGGGTCGGCGGGCGCTGGTGTCAAGCTAGGTATATGGTACAGTCGTGCGCGTGGATCTCGAAAGTACAGCGAGGCTAAAATAGATGTTGACCACCAGCGATTTCTGGAAAGGAAAGCCTGTAAGAAAATCAAGAATATCTAGACCACAACGAAGTCCATTGGAGACATGTGTGTCTCTTCCCTAGTGCAATATTTAGGAATACAAGCTATGAAGCAAGTGCCTCGACCACCCATCTTCAAGTGGACTCAATTTAGTTCGCCTGCTTCATGATCAACCCCTTCAGGCCCGGCACCCATCCAGCGTCAATAGCACGCATTCCCAGCCCTCTCGCGCGACTGAGCACACCTCCGAGCAGACCCGTGCCCTCTGCATTCCCACCAAGCTGATACAGCGAATTCAGCAGATCCACACCACCAGAAAGTAGTAGGCCCTTCCCGAAGCGATCTGCCGAGTAGCGTTCCAGCGCCATCATATCCCCGATATCCATGCCGTGCTCGACGGCATACGCAATCGTCTCGGTGAGGGACTTCACGTCCGCGAGACCTAGGTTCAGGCCCTGGCCAGCTAACGGGTGCATCGTGTGCGCCGCGTCGCCAAGCAATGCGACACGCGGGGAGACGAGGGCTGTGGCGTGCCGGAAACGGAGGGGGAAGGAGGCCAGGGTGTTCTCCTGGATGCCAGTTATGATTGGTGGGGACCTGGATAACGTTGATGGGAGGGATGTGTGTTGAAGGCGCCAATGCAGTTCTGAGGCGTGGGTTTCTGGCTTGGAGGCGTCGAGGGTCAGTAGGTATTGCAGGTCGGTCTGCGAGAGGCGGAGCGCTGCATTGATCATGGCGGTTTGCGCTGCTGGAGGGAGTGATTTGATGTAAGCTGCGTTTTGTGGAGTTGTGGACCAGACAAGTGAGGCTTTGTTGTTGGGAAGTGGGAGGATGGCGATCGGGCCGCCTAGTTGTGGTAGGAAGCGTTGGTATGCTGTTGCGCGGTTGGAAGGAGCTTCATCATCGAAGATATTGTCGTAAGATTGGGCTTCTGGCTCGGTGGTTTGTACTTTCAATGTTGCTACCACGCCATGACGGTTGTAGTCCCATCCCTTGGAGTTGATGCCGGCGAATGTTCGGACTGGGCTGTTGAACCCATCCGCTCCGATCAGAAGTCGCGCTGCGATGCTGGTCTTGGTTGTGGTGTTCATAGTTGCGTTCGCGCCCCCTTTGGAGTCAAGCTCTAGGACAGGCCATGTCGATAAATTAATTCCTTCCGGATCGTCCTTTCCATGTTGAATTGACGAGACACTGGTACTTGACAGGAGTGAAGTCTCTGCGTCAAGCTGTGCAAGACGCTCAAGCAGGCCTCGAGTCAAGTTTGCGTTCTCTGTCATGGTCGCAACCGTCTGTGGTGGTGCATTATATCTCTGTGATTCGCTGCGCCAGTCGAATTGTATAGTCGCATCATTCCCAGCATCCCACACCTGCATTTCGTCATACGCATGGACCCGTGATTGATCGACATGGTCCCAGACGCCTGTATTTTTCAGAAACGCCACGGAAGTGGGTGTCAGACTGCTGGCACGATTCGAGAATTGATCTTTTGATAAGCTCCACTGGCGGGTCTTAGTTAGATCTTGAGTTTCTATCAATGCTGTTTTCAAATGTGCCGTAACGGGTGAAGCCTCTGGAATCAGATTAGAAATCCCCAACCCAATATTTCACGTTTTTCATTTGACTCACTCAACGCTGCAAGAAGCGCAAGTCCGGCTGGACCACCACCGACCGTGACAACATCGTAGATCTCCGGGGAATCCAAAGCTGTGGACGCAAACCGTCTCCCTTTTGCAGCTAGGTTTAAAGCTAGACGGCATCGACCACAGACGAAGCGGGCATTGGCTGTCTGCATTCCCAGCGCCATCGAAGTGCCTCCAGCAAGATGATTTACTAGACGTGTTGGTAACTCCTGATGGTGGATTGCTCGAATATCAAAAGGAGAATGTTGAGGTGCAACAGGTGATCGAGAATCAGCAAGTCTGATACCTGAGGACTAATGCAAACTAGCGCCGCCTCTCGGGAAAGTTGCTTATTTAGACCAGATTAGACTGGTTTCGTCGGCGCAAGGCTGAGTGACTTCTTGATGGTCATGCTGCTTTACTACGAAGACCGGTACTAGTGCTCGGTCATCAAGGCTCTCTTTATAATTTGCCGCTCGCCGCTTTTTATCACCTCGGCTCCCCTTCTGCTTCCTGAGCCTTCACTGAGTGCTCTCTGAGTTATTATATCTAAACGTTTTAGTATTTCCTCTTCCTCATCATTTACACAATAACTTTTCGTTAATCTTGGATGATGGACCAGTTCAGGAGACCGGGAGATCCTAACTCGACCCCACTTCTAATGTGCGTGAACCACTTAGTAAGGCGCTTCCTATCTTGCTCTCTGTTGTGGTAATGATGGATCTCGGCCTGGGGTGGATCTGTAAGACGACCCTAAAATAGACCTACAAACTCGGCTTATCAATAACAGTAATTTAACTGTGTTCATGTCCAGCTCATAGCTAACCGACAAATATCCAACAATATTTTGAATGTTAATTTTCTAATAGTCAACGATTCCTTGTGTGATCGAGAACCTTGTGGCAAGACTTTAAGTGGTCGGCTGACACCTCTAATCCGTTATTTAACAACGACCTAGATCCATGGCGGAGATCTCTACTCCGGAATCCAAATACGCGAATGCATCTCCACGGCGGCTACCAGGGTGGAGCAAAGTCAGGGCGAGTTGCATACTGATTTATACAGGACGACCGTATCATACACGTCTGTGAGCTAGAGAAGGGCGCGAAGGCGAATATCATCGTTCACCAAGTTTTGCGCCGCTAGCTGCACTTCCCTCATACCAGCTGGTCTCGTGTATCAGCCAGCGGTTGTTTTGGGCTTTCAACATACGCCTCTTGTTCTAGTTATCACTGGGGCCATTGCTGAACAATTCATCTTTATAGTACTGTGCTCTAGATCATTAAAAAAAGCATAGGATAGAGTATAACGGTTCCGAGATATCAACTTTTTGGGGTCTCTAGTTCCTCCTCCTTATGTGGGGTACAGGATTATCATAAATCATGCAGGACAGACAAAGCACAAGTCAGCTATGGACCTGGCAAGGCCAATCTTCTTGGTAATCACGTATCTAGTTCCACCACAAATATTATGTAGATACGAGCTTCATATGACCTTAAGAGCGTTAAGTCTAACACGAGTCTAGCAGGCAGAATATTCTTATAACAAAGACTTCCAATGGAGTCCTTGACATTTACATTGCTTTGTAGGGAGCTGACACCCGTAGACACCCCGGCTGGCATGCCAACAGCCAACGCTACAAACCCAATCACTAATTATTACCGGCAATCGATTTTGGAGACTGATATGTTCCGCGCTACACACACATATTGTGCTATGAGATAGTAATCGGTTAAGCATTTTCAAATCCCCTTTCCGAAATTTTGGCATGCTTTGACACCTAAACCGAAGAAATGTATCCTTTCAATGCCCGTTCGTCTTCCTTTTCTTGCTCGGGGGTGTGGAAGCGGCCAATAATTCGTTCTTGATTCCCTTGAAGAACTCTGGTGGCTCAAGGGGATGTTGACCCGTGACATCATGGAACGCAGTGGTGGAAATGTAGTTAGTCTTGCCCTCACGGACCAATGCATAGTACTCTAAGAGATACCGGAGCTCAGCTGGGTTGAGGGAGGACTGTTCAGTCAAAACTTTCTTCGCCTCGCGCCTGGAGAAGCAACAATTTAGCAAGAGGGGTTGGTAATGGGGATTGGAATGAGCGACGTACTCAGAGATGTTTTCGAATTGGATCTCCGTTTCCAATGCTTGGGATGCCGCTTCTGCCAGTTCTTTGCCTGCACAGAGTAGTGGACCTGGAATAGCGTTAGTCGATCCCTATTGCAAGTATTCTTCGCATGTCACCAGTAAGAACCATTAATTGTCCACGATGTTTATCACTGAAACCGTGCTTTCCTTTACCAGTAAGAACATGTGCTGCCACATTTGCAAGGTCCTGCGATCAATTAGTAATCACGGGCAGAAAGTAGTCAAGAGATATAGAGACCTTCAAAGCCATGGGTGCAAACTTATGGTTCTCGCCTATTGGGAGTGGAATAGAATGTTCCTCTTGAATCTGAGTTTTGTAGAGTAAGAGATTCTCAGCATAGAAGCCTGGTCGAATAATGACAGGAGAGTGTCCAGTCGAGGTCCCTGGATCACCTTTGGCAGCCATGACCAAGGTTTCCAACTCGACAAATTCACGCAACACTGGTTGTCTATTGGGGTCCGCCAAATCGCAACCAGCGGTACTGATAAAACAGACATTGGGAACGTTGGCCTTTTTGGTCGCTTCGATCAATTCTTCGGTAATACCGAACTTCTCCTCATGGGCCGGTGGAATTAAGCAGATAGTGTCGGCGCCAGTTGATTCTAGCAAGGCAACCATCTCCTTCAGGCGACCAGGCTTGTGAGTGACAATCTTGACACCCTGTTTTGCAAGTTCTTTCGCATGTGGAGAGTTTGGTGCCAATGTGAGTCCTGTGAGAGTCCCTATCTTCTTCCTGAAGGAGTCATTCTGCAGGATATAGTCGGCAATTGTGAAGCCAGTATAGCCGTCAACAGCAGTGATCGCAAGGTTACGAGCCATTATGAATCTGTCGAAGGTAGGAGATTGATGAAGGGATATTGCTGATGTTTGGTTGATTTTGACCCCTGGGAAGTATAACTCTGTTCCTATTATAAGAGAATTGGCGATGGGTGATATTTCGGTTGTGATGAGGACGTCACAACTGAGCTACGTTGCAAGGCTGGAAAGGGAGTAGTTCATTCATAATCTCGTATTGGACGGGATCATGGAGCCCGGCCGGTTACTTTTGTGATGACAATTTCATGCCCCGGATGCTTGGCCCGTGTATCTGATCCATGCCCGGATGCTGATTCCGTATGTTCTTGCAGGAGTTATCGACGCCACTACGGATCAGTGGCGAAGGGAGTTGAAAAACAGCGGATGAAGAGCATTGTAATTTGAGCTATCGTTCATGTACCTGCATAGCCCCACTTGCTTAGCGATCTTGTCAACTGTGGTTGACAAGCTCAACAGCGTAACAATGACAAAGTTCTTGTTCATGCGAGAACAAAGCTGTGCTTGCCAAGCACATCTTTGCAGAATATGCAATATATTATAATAAGAGGAAGGGTTTCTTTCCAAGGCTCCTGGTGAGACTAAGCATGGAAACCGACGATATTCTGGGCTGTCATGTACTCTGGAACATTTCGATCGAACTGTCGTCATTGAAAGTCGCCCAGCCTTATAGGCCGAAGTCATTGAAAACATGATTAAAGACGAAGAGATTCACGTACTTGAGCGGGAAGCGAATGGATATTTCAAGGAGGGTGGCGACTATGATAGGTTGACAAGCGCTTCGATGAACACGCTGTCCCCGCATATGGGCTTTGGTAGTCGTAGCGCTGAGCAGCAAGGAGATGGATCTCGCCACGAAGGCCCGATCGGGTGACTCCAATTCTGGGGTTTGTGGAAACGCTATAGATATTGAAAAGCAGCCGAGTGTCACTTTTGAGAAAGAGACGGCTGCGAAGACCACATTATCACTCGACAACAGACAGCCAGCGAGCCATAACTACTCAGATTCTTAGCCCAGCACGGGAATAGATAGGGTGAAGATCGAGAGTGCTTGAAGCCGGGAAGCTGAGATCGCATTATCCCTGCTTAATTCCGACAAGTTCTGAGTTCAACGCACATCCAGCGAACGAGTGAGAGCCATCACTCAGTCGTGTCTTTACTGTAAATATGCTTGTGTTGAAGGCACTTCGTGTGATTATCTCAATCTCAGTCTCCGCTGACCTTTACGGTGGTCAACTATGTCTTATGCTGTTGTTCGGCGGAGTAGCCAGATGCTCTTATGTGTGGTATAAGGACTGCGCTGTTTACAGGTTTCCAAGTTCAAATATAGGTTGAATAATATTTCTGCGACGTGTTACGCAAATCTTCTGGAACAACTGGGTGAAATTCTCATCCATCAATTCGTGACTTCGATAGGCTCCATTTTCCAGTCTTTGAGGAGCGCGACCAGCTCCTCGGTTATCCTTAGCGTTTTCGGCCAACAAGGTCCCACTAGATACACATATTCGTCAAGTTTCTCATCGGAATCGCCTCCACTATTCTCATAAACCTTTCAAAGTGGCTCGTATATCCATCCCTGACGTGTCACAAGCTAGAATACGTACCGAAATTGAGGGTTCTATTCACCATTAGATTGGAATCTGATCCTCATTGCATTGCTTTGCCTGATCATACCTTCTTGTCGGTGACATCGTCTTCATAAGCATGATCAAATGCCTCGGTCTCTCCCGCTGCATCACGCTGTTTGTTTTGCCAAATGCAAATGTACATATACACCAGAGATAATACTCCAGCTGTTGCTGCAGTCCCGACAACAGCCTCAAAACCTGGCCCATATCGTGGGGCATCTTTGTCCTTGAAGAGTAGGGGTCCGGTAAATTGACCTAAGAGATGGTTAGGCTCAGTAAAAAATCACGTACAGTCAATCCACAGTGGTGAGGTACGTTCAACAGCTCGAGTATCTGACCTAGGCAGTATCCCAAATATATGCCTGACGAGCTGACGACACGCTTCGTGTACCCAGCGGCATTGGCAATCGAAAGGCCCATCAAGAGGCCCCAGCTGACACTGAACCCGGGCAAGATGTAGATACAGAAGACGAGTCCGCCGAGGCTGGCTTTCGTAAGTGGTAACTTCCACAACAGGGTTGCCGACACGGTTGTGACCATCTGAGCGCAAAAAATGATGATGCATCTTATGTTCTTTACCTTATACGCCCAATAGGTTGTGCCAATCATGACCAATCCGACGAATATACCACCAGGTGCGAGATAAAGGATAGTCCTGAACACACCAACGTGGAAGCCACCGGCTACAACGATAGGACCAAAAGCAGTGACTGGGGCGGCGGCAATCATGCTTAAGTAGCCCATAGCCACAATTAGCCAAAACTTCTCATCTCTCAGCAACTCGAGGGAGTGTGCCTTCTTGAAGTGTAGATTTCGAACTCCAGCGTTGTTCATTCGCAGACGAGCAACAGCGATGTACCTTTCCCTTTCATTAAGGCCCTTGGCTCGAATGGGATCTGGAGGCATGAAGAAGTAGATGACAAACGCCCAGAGGATCGTAACGGCACCCCCAAACAAATACATATACCTCCAAGGCTTGAGTGTTCCTTTGATATGGGCTAGACCATACGTGACTGGGAAACCAACGAACGATATAAATGACGACGCGGAATACCACACCCTGAATCGATTTAGCTTTCAGTGACATTCCTTACAGCGTGAAACGCACCCCATCATTAATGCCTGCTCATCTTTCCTGTAGAATTGGCCGACAATGAGCATGAAAATCGGACTGACACCAGCCTCTAGAGCTCCCAAGAAGAACCGTTGAGTGTAGAGGCCTTGGTAGGTTGTGCATGCTGCGGTGAGGATAAAACAAATTCCCCAGAGTAAGACAAGCCCTCCAGCTACGTTTTCCACTGGATATTTCTGTGCCAGTCGTGAGGCAGGATAGACCCCAACAATGAACCCTAGAAAAAATATTGCGGCAGCCATAGAGTAGCGGTTACCAGAGAGATCTATGTCTTCACGCATGCCGAATATAGCCTGCCCGTCTGGAAATAAGCCCCAAAAGTCTACACTCAAAGTTGCTTCTGAGACTTACCGCAACAGAAATCATTCCTAGCATTATGCCACTAGTTGTAAACAAGATGCTGTGGATATTGGTGTAGATCATGCTTACCTTTGTCATAATACTGGAGCGCATAGGTGACCATGAGGATGGGCAGTATACGCTTGTCAAGCTTCCTTCGAAGCTTTTTTTCTTCGAGCGGGTCCCATTCCGTAGGGCCATTGTAACCGGCAATGACTCTCAATGCTTCATCACCGTGCACGGTATCGACTTCGACTTTCATCGGCTCCGAAGGGGAGCTCGGCACATGCTCATGCTCAGTGACCTCTTGGCCTTTATCCGCGGTTGCCATGATGGTTGATTGAGCGCCAATATCCTTCTTGTGCTTATCTGGAGATTGCATATCCAGATGATTACTACTGAGCTACCCCATGGTGGTCATATCGCTAACTCTTTTGAAGTTCACGCGGGTTTGTGACCGGCAATGAAAATGACCTCGGGCTTGGAAATCCACACTTTTGAGGAAGTTCGTCACGCAGCTACTCCACACGAAGCGTTCTCAATCGGTCTGTCTAGTCGCTGGGCGTTGACCTATCAGCAGGAGAATAGATCACCGCCCTCTTGTGACACCAAATGGTAGGTCATGTACGCAGCAACCAGATTATGCTGGCACAGGTTCCAATAATGAAGTGTTTGCCGATTTGGATGAATCGAAAGGGTATCTCCATTAGAATATTGAGCCTCGGTTTCCCCGGCAATAGGGGTAGATAGCATTACTTTTGATTGTACCTGCGTGCTCTGATTATCATAATTCGGGGAAACCGAGTGGCCGATGATCGCCGAGGAGGTATTTGGACCCATGCCAAGTGAGGATCAACTGTTTGCCTGTGTTCTTATGCTTCAGCTGTCTTCCCAACTTTGTGTCATCACTCAAAACAGCCGACTTTCTTCAGAGACCCAAAAGTTGTCTTTCATCCACTGTTTAGTAGAAGACTGTACACCGCCCGAGCCACAGTAGCACAGCTCACCACTCAAGCACCGCCACAATGCCAAAGCAACCAAGCCCCGTTCATGTTATTGGGGTGGGTATGACCAAGTTCCTCAAGCCTCGAGGAAAGGTTGATTGTAAGTTGCAAACATCAACGATGGAGTCGTATGAGATACTAACTGACCCGATAAAAAGACACTGAAGGTGAATTTATTTCCTTGGACCAGCTTGACGGGAGAGTGGCATCCCTCATGCTGTGATTCCTGATTCATGAAACCACTAACTTTTCGTCAGTTGGTTTTGAGGCTGGTATCAAGGCATTGCTGGACGCTCACATTACATACGATGATGTCGATCAAGGTATCGGGTGCTATGTCTATGGTGACTCCACTTGTGCCCAGAGAGTATTTTACCAGTTCGGCATGACGCAAATTCCGATCTACAATGTGAACAGCAATTGTTCTACTGGAAGTAGCGGCTTGAATTTAGGCCGACAAGCGATTGCTTATGGTGCAGCCGACTGCATTCTTGTTGTTGGATTTGAAAAAATGTTCCCCGGCAGTCTGAAAGGGTTTTGGGAGGACCGCGAAAGTCCCATGGGAACTACCGGTACAATGCTGCAAGAAACTTATGGATTCACCAACTCCCCCATGGCTGCACAGCTCTTTGGTAACGCCGCTCGAGAACAGATCGAGAAGTATGGGTCGCATCCGAACGACTATGCCGAAATTGCTCGCGTCAACCATGAGCACAGCAAACGGAATCCTTACGCCCAATTTCAGCAGGAGTACACACTCGAAGAGATCTTAAATGCACCTATGATCCATGAACCATTGACGAAGCTCCAGTGTTGCCCTACCTCAGACGGCGGGGCAGCTGTAGTTCTCTGCTCACAGGGCTTTTTAGACAAACGCCCTCATCTAAAGTCACAGGCCATACAAATAGCGGGACAGCAACTCGGAACAGACTCTCCGGAGTTGTTTAGCAAGTCGGCAGTGGATCTTTGTGGTTATCATATGACCGAATTTGCCGCCAGAGAAGCCTTCAAACAGGCAGGAATTACCCCTGACGATATAAGTCTAGTTGAGCTGCATGACTGTTTCAGTGCAAATGAGATGATTCTGATCAATTCACTCGGTTTGGCACCAGTAGGGAAGGCTCATGAGCTTGTTCGTGCCGGTGGAATCACTTACGGTGGTAAGTATGTGATCAATCCATCAGGTGGTTTGATTTCAAAGGGGCATCCTCTCGGTAAGCTCAACTTATCATACTTAGTATTCTTATTCCACGCTGACGATAAGCTCTAGGGGCAACTGGTCTTGCTCAGTGTGCTGAACTGGTCTGGCATTTGCGAGGTTGGGCAAACAACCGACTCATCAAGGACCGAGAGGTCAAATACGCCCTTCAACAGAATTTGGGCCTTGGTGGTGCCTCAATTGTCACCATTTACAAACGCGCTGATGGCAAAGTAGTCAAGCCTGTAGCCGACACAGAAATCGCTGCACAAACAGGTCTCGGATACAATCCTGCCACTCAAGCTAAAGGATTTACGAAAGCCCAGGCGCAGAGCGTCGTTTCCCAGAAGCAGTTCTCCGAGTACGCCTTGGCAGGTATTGGAGACAAAGTTCAGGCGAGGTTCTAGCTTGGGACAGATACAAGAAGCCATCTGGGCAAGCAGAATGTGTAGAAGATGTCCAGATCACACGTAGGTCAAGAGGTTAAACCCCAGTTATCCCCAGTGCTCGCTAGAGTCAAAGCTACTAGATTCTCGGACTTAGTCTTGATGTCGTGATGGAGTGCGCGAGTGACACACAGCATGCGATAAGGGACAGTGCACTAGAACGAAGCGTTGGCTTAAAGTAGCTGGCCAGATGACGACACATCTTGAGCTTTGGGCGGACGAAGGATTGACCACATGGCGATGGACAGGAAGTCTAATTGTAGTGTCTGATAATAGGCCAGAAGCACTGGGTGTGTCGAGTAGATCAGACTTGAACACAGTAAGCGGCTCAATGGCCTTTGAACGACGCAGGGCGGTGGAGGGTACTCGCCCCACATGTCCTCTTATTATCGGAATTCGGTATAGCAGATTCTGCACCCATGATTAGGCGAAGGTGGGAACTGGGGTACCCCGCTAAATTTCATGCCTTCATTGTCCTCAGGAAGCGTCTCAGATGAATCAACCCTCAGTAGCAAGAAGTAAGCCAGCTAATCCTGCTTCTGAAGGTTACTTAGGTATGTTTTAGTTTCCCTAGTTGCCGAAGCGAAAGGTGGACGAGGCTTGGATTCTTACTGTTGTTGTCTGAGCGCAACATGCTCTGAACTTTTTTGGTTCGGCTATCAAAAAAAAGAAGAAAGCCGATTGTATTGCCGGCCTCGCATTCGCTCTGGATGGCCTGATTCTGTACATGCTGAGCGTGGATACGAAGGACCCCCCCCCCCCCCCCCCCCCCCCGTACCACAAACATTCATTTATGGGGGAGGGAGTGGGGTCCACATCATGACTAGTGCCTAAGGACAACTATGAAACGCCGGTACACTATACCAGAGATCGCCTTTTTGTTTCCAACTGCTATACTTCTACGCTTATCGTTATTTCTCTGAGTGAATGTCAGGCAGAATGGCGCCTACCAAACTTATTGAGCAACCACAGCCTAAGAGGGCTGGAAGAGCATGTCTGAGTTGCAGAGCAAGGAAGATTCGTTGCAACTTTGAGGAATGTGGATCACCCTGTAGCAACTGCCTCAACGACGATGTCGAGTGTTTAACCACCAAATCCAGACGAGGCAAGAAACCTTACCGGCGACTCAAAAAGTACGCAAAAGGTTCTGATGGACAAGATAACACGACCAAAGAGAAACACGTGAATGAATCGGCTCGCGCGATGCGACAGCCTGCGGTACCGTTCGATCAGGTCTCTCCTACCCATACAGCAGGATGGCTTGACGAAACCGTGGGCGTCAGCCTTCTTGGCCAGCAGAATGATGCAGGCAAGTAGCCATAGCTCTGTTGCTACTTCGTCACAGGCATTAATCGTCTCGCACAGCAGTCCCTAAAGAATTTGGTACTAGTTTGGATCATAGTTTCTTGCATCAAGAACTGTCTTACGCATCTCTCGTTGACAAGCGTGCCGTCCGTCCTTGGGCGCCTACGGAATTAACTCCTCGCAGCCTGAGTATCACCGCGCCCTCCTCTCTATCTAGCGGTGTCCTCGGGTCGAATCATATACATCTGCCAAATTTCATCCGTCCACTGTCACTCTCCCTAACGGAGGATGATATCAACTATCTGCGTCTCAAAGGCGCCTTGGATGTTCCACCACTCGACTTTATCAAAAGCTTGCTGATCGCATATGTGCGATTTGTCTACCCGATGTCACCTGTACTTGATCTTTCATGTTGTTGCGGTATTCTAGAGGGTGAACACGCATGTATAAGCATTTTACAGATGCAAGCAATTGCATTCGCATCCGCTCCTTTTGTGGAATTGAGCGATATACAGAAGGCAGGGTTCAGTTCCCGGAGAGCTTGTCGAAAAGCATTCTATAACAAGACTAGGGTTGGTTTGGCCTGACTTGTTCATGCAACGTACTCTGACATAATTTACAGCTATTATATGACTTTGACGTTGAGACCGACAAGCTGACCATCGTCCAAGCGGTTCTTCTCCTGGCATATTGGAGCGAGAAACCAGGAGATAACAAGGGTGCGTACTATTGGACTGGGATAGCAATTGCTCTTGTACAGACTTTAGGCCTTCACAGGAAAGGGGAATACAACAATCAATTACAGGAAACGAAGCTTCTCAAAAGAGTATGGTGGTCTTGTTACGTTCGGGATCGAATGCTGGGGCTTGCGATGGGGCGGCCACTTCGCATCCAGGACACTGAGCTCGATACTCCACCACTGACTCTTCAAGACTTCGATATCATAAGTACATCCGATGAATCAAATGCAATGATTCCAAGCACGAATGATCAGATCGCCCTGGCAGAAATTTTCATCAGCATGGTAGAGGTTTGGAACATGGGCGGCAGAGTCCTTTCTCTGCATTTTTCTGTCCTCCAAGCTGAATGCAACACTTCAACAGCCAAGGGAGATGACGGATCGAGCGCAACAATGCTGTTCCTCAAGAGCACACCATCTGACCCCGCACTAGTACAATTATACGACGATCAGCTGCAGACATTCTACAGCACTCTTCCAACATCTTGTTCCCATTCATTTTCACTCGATCAGAACATCACTAGTTCCAGTGTCTCTACCAACGCTGGGTACTTACATATCGTCTTCTGGTCCGTGGTCTCAGCACTACATAGACCACAACTGCGATCTTGGGATAAAGCATTATCTCTCAAGCGAGTAGAAGAAGCAGCTATAGAAGTCGCAAGAGTCGACCGAAAATTATACGAATTAGGTCGAGATCGATATCTGCCCGCCACAGCCGCAATTCCGTTTCAGATCACAGCATTCATCATTCATACAAAGCGGCTTCAGTACAAGAAAACGGATGATGTAGCAGAAGTGCTTGAGTCTCTCTTCTTCTGTGTCAAGGTGATCGAGAAAGGCCGAGAGGCTTTTCCTGGAGGCGACGATTCAGTCGATTTCCTCCAATTCATTGCATTTACAGCAAATGTTACCTTGTTGTTCGACTCGCAATCCAGGTTATGGGGAGTCGAGTACGGCGGCGTTCATGTCTGCCCAGGAAGCCGCCAGGTCAGTCAAGACTCAAATCTCTCGCAACGAGGACTTGGGGATGCCCTGCCTGAAGCTGTTTCGTCAGATGCCATCTTCGCTAGTCATTTACAGACACCTGACACCGCGGGAGCTACCGAGAGCATCGATCCCAAAGCTTTTTCGTTTGATGATGTGGATGCGGTGAATTGGGATAGTCTTGCAGATTTCCTGCCAGGATGCAGTGTGGACTATGATTTCTCTAGCCCAACGGCGAACGTAAACTTCACGTGAGTTTCTGGGTACCATCTGACTGTTGGGACGATGGCTTTGCCCTCCGTACTTGAGATTGGCATTGATATTTCATATTCGATGATTGCGATGGGATATGTTGCCGACCTACTTGGCCGATTTAAGAAAAATTTGTTGCATCAACACATCGTTTTTAATAGCACGACTCTCGTTTTCGACCTCTAGGATCGAACAAAAACAAAGGCTTCATGATTTTTCAGTCCGGAGAACTGGGTGCATAGCTAGTCACGGCTCACTTATGTAAGGTGGTTACTTCTTCTGCCAGGCTCTGCGCAGGAAAGACGACAGTGATCCATTCTCAAGTTCTATGTCCCTCTTGTGATAATCGCGGTGTTATATGACCGACGAACCATCTTCTTCCCACCCAAGGTTGTGTATGTGCGGAGGTCGAAGTAGGTTTCGTCGTCAGAAGTGAATTCCCACAGACATGACAGACGCTTATCACTAACCCCTTGCCGATCCCCTGTGGAGTTGAATGGGTCTACGATGATGGGGTGTGGAATCAAAAATTCTCACGGTGACCACGCTACGGTTCAATTCATTCTGAAACACGCCGGTAATGCAGATTCCAAATTATCTGTGTTGATTGTTGCAGCGCTGCTCTCCACTCAGGAGTTCCTAACATTATCCAAGCTGCCGACGACAAAGGACTTTGAAGCCCGTAAATAATCGACAGATCTTAGTCCTGTGTTGTAGAAGTTTAATCTCAATTTTGTGAGGCATTTCCGGAGTAGTGAGTTTTCTCAGAGTCTCTTAGCAAGCACTGTCTTCTACAGATTCTGCTTCGGTTTATTCCTCAGCTCCACGCCGCAACTACCCAAAGCCAATTTTCCTGTTTCCTTGACTTTAGTCTGGAATGTTACTCGGCCTCCATCACGCCACATCTCTGTAACAAGAGTTTGTCCAGGATACACAATACCGGTGAAGCGGACTTTAATGTTCTTGAACTCTCCATAGGTAAGAAAGACGTGTTTTCCAGCGATGCCGAACGTGCATAGGCCATGCAAAATCGGGGTATCGAAGCCGCCCTGCTTTGCGAATGCCGGGTCGATGTGCAACGGGAGCCGATCGCCGTTAAGACGGTAGAGCGCGGCTTGGTCATCGGATGTCTTTTCTTCAACCACTGCATCAGGTGCTCGATTTGGTGGGCTGTAGTTGATACTCGCAGGACCACGGTTGATGTCACTCTTTACGCCGCCAAAGCCTCCGGACCCACGTACAAACAAGGTAAAGATGTTGGAGAACAACACCTCACCAGTCTCAACGTCCTTGGTTTCGTAGTCTTGTATAACAATAGCAGCATTGCCCTTGTCGACCACTTCGAGTAGCTTTGCATAAGATGCCACTTTTGCCTCTGTCGGGATGGGAAATTTCCGAATCTCAAGGTAGTGTTCGCCGTGCAGAATTCGGGTTGGGGAAAAGTTTGGAATCAGTTCGTTTAGTGGTGTTTTGGTAGGTGCGCCATACATTGGGATAACACCATAAGTCGGTAACACTTGGAATTTTGGGTGGTTCTCAAATACCAAGGGCAGTTGCGTCCGGTTTGCCCCGAGAGCGAGATTGTATAAGATTGTGTCCCTCCAGGTCCAGCTGAACGGCAGGGGTAGAAGTTCATCCTTTTTCGCCTTCTCAATGATCGCCAGATACTTCCTGCCATCAAGTTTGGTAGAGAGACCCTTAGTAGCAGGGCTGTTGAGATTGGCAAATACCTTGGCTCCACTGTCTGTAATTGTATGTGGATAGTCGACTTTCCCGTCGTCGAAGTTTGTAATACTCCTCCAATTCTCCAGCACCTTTTCTGGTGTGAAGGTTGCTTCAAGGGGGAACAAATGACCACCAGTTCGCTGCCACCTGAGCCGGGCTTGCCAAGCGCTGCCAGCTTGGAATAAAAGGCCAGTGGGTAGATCGGGGATCATATCAGAGGACAGCGCTAGTACTAGTGCAGAGACATGCTCAGGGTAAAAGTTCTGTTGTCCACCGTCGGTAAGTTGGCTCCAGGTAAATGGTGCAATTGCGTTCACAAAAATGTTGTTCTTTCTACCTTCCAAAGCCAAAGCTTGAGAGAAACCAATAATGCTGGCACTCTATAAAAGGTTAGCTATGTAGCAGAGGCCAGAAGCGTAGACTTACTGCTGTGGCGAGCGCCAACCGGCTGATGAGATTACCACTCCCAGTTACACCGGCAATATTTAGGATCCTGCCGTATTTCTGCTTTATCATGTGAGGCCATGCAGCTTTTGTTATTTTGTAGGCGTCACGAAGATGAGAGTCGATCACTCCTTGCCATGTAGTGGCCCCGGAAATTGTGAGTTCTGGGTTGTTGACAAGGATGTCAATCCTTCCCCAGGTATCAAGGGCGGTCTTTACAATGGCACCGCCATCTCCAACAGGAGCAGTGTTAGCCACAGCGTGACCTCCTGTAGCTCTTATTTGCTTCACAACAACGTCTGAGCGGACAGTGTCATTTACAACAACTTTTGCTCCGAGTTTTGCGTATGCAAGAGCGGACTCTCGCCCCAGTCTGTAACATAGATCAGCAAAAAGGAGCTTGTAGAAGCGTGATGGACCTACCCTGTGCCAGCCCTCGTGACGACCACCACTTTGTCATCGAATCGTACGTCAGGGCCTTGTTCGTTGGGCTTTGATAATTGACTCAACATTGACCTCGTGTTGGTAGGTAACTGGCTATACTCTGACTTCGAAAAGTCATTGACTTGAGACCAACCTCGAAGAACCGCAGAAGGCGTGTAAGTATGATCGGGCTTGAGAAAGAGGCCAGCTGCTCGCTGTCTTCTAATCTTTGCCACATATCCAGCAGCAACCTCGAATATGGAGCCATTTTCCTTGTTCGATGAGTGGACCAAAACTGCAACGAGTGGTGTCACATATTCAGGTTTCATGATTGCAATGATTTCAGGAGGCAGCACCGTGGCAGTGAGTCGACTTCCAGCTTGAGGTGCGATTACATTGGCGTATATGTTATACGCAGCGCCCTCGTTTGCCAAAGCTTCAGTGAAGCCCACCAAGCCAAGTTTGGCAGATGCATAATTAGTCTGCCCAAAATTGCCATAAATGCCTGCCACAGATGTTGTGTTGATGATCCGTCCATACTTTTGCTTCACAAAGTGTGGCCAAGCTGCAGACGTAGTGTTGTAAGCTCCGGCAAGGTGCACCGCGGTGATGATATCCCAATCTGCATCTGTCATGTTCTTGAAAGACACGTCACGAAGGATACCTGCATTATTAATGAGAACATCAATTCGACCGAATGTATTGATGGCTGTCTGAACGATCCCCTCGCCATCCACAACGCTGTTGTAATCCGCCACAGCCCTTCCACCACTAGCCTTGATCTCCTCCACGACTATATCTGCAGCCTATGGTGCAAGATCAGTAATAAGCAGAGCACTAACACGATGTGAAACGCACCTTTTGGCTAGCACCAGAGCCTTTTATATCACCACCCAAGTCATTGACCACGACGTTTGCACCTCTTGATGCAAAGAAGAGAGCATAGGCTTTGCCAAGACCTGCTCCCGCTCCAGTGACCACCACCGTCTGGCCATCAAATCGTAAATTTTGTACCATAGTTTCTGATGGTGTACGGTGTACCTAGAGTAAATGATAGTAATTCGTAGTGAGTTTCCATAGAGAGAGATTTTGAGTGTGGTGATCTGGAGAAGAAATATGAGAGGAGGTATTCCGTATCTGCAATTCAAAAATGGCCGAGATGCCGACAAGGTAGCCGTGCGGTAAACACCGACAATAGGCGAGGTTTCTCGGTCTCTACGAGAAATTCAAAACCATGTTCTCTGCCAGACCACATCAACTGAAGCTTTCGCGCCGAGGTAGACAGAATATTAGAGATGCAGCGGTTCATTAAACGACCAGCAGGATCACTAGTATATCGAGTAATGTCGGATGTTGAGAAACTATTAGACGCCAGCGGGTAACCACGAAAATCGTGTCTTGGTCATGACATCTCTTTATGCTCCATGAACAGTGAGAAAGATGCTGAGCGGGCATTTGTTGATTTGGTTTCTTGGTGGAGATAGTCGCCTTGTCAGTAGGATGATCCCGACCTTGACAGAGCACTATGAGGATGCTGCTCACCGACGAAGCACTCTTGGAATTGCGCCATAAACTCGTTCTCATAAGTTTGCAGTTGTTTGCACCCAGTTCCCAATGGTACAAGAGAGTTCTCAACAATCTAGCATTCAAAAATCGGATTATTGAACAACTAGAACAGACGTTCGCTATGAGGCAACGGGAATTAGCGTTGCTTAAAGCGTATCAAGGGCACTTCCTTCACTTACGTTCTCACATACCACAGAGATTCACCTACAACCTTAAGTATTATAAAACTCCAATCTCTGTCACCAAATCACCCTCTAGTTAGGATGAATAAAACCGAGGCGGACTCGTCGACCTGCAAAGGTCTTCAGTTCGAATCAGGCTCACGGTCAAAAAAATCCAGGTTCCTTTGCGGGCAGAAGGAGGATTTTCTAAGCCACTGCAAGATTCGGCCTTCCAGTCGTCTCGACGCAGGCAGTGGAAAGTTTTTGCCTTTTTTAGGTGACGGCCCTGTTGAGTGCTGATGTTATAAGGTTTGTGGATATTAACCACTGGATTCAACTCTTAGGCCCTTTCTCACTCCACCCCGCAATGTGTCCCTTCGTGGTGAGATACCATACTTCGGACTGGTACCTGGTCAAGATTCGCGCCACATGCAGTCCTTCTCCCTCTTTCTCTCTCTTTTACTCAAATTTTCAATTATCGACAGGTTTGTCATTCGAATATGGACCTTCGAAATATGTCTTGTTATCCGGGCAGCCGCTCATCATAACATGTTATGCCCAGCGACAGTCAAAGTGACTTATCATCGAGCAGACTCGATTTCAATGATATTTCCGCAGCGTCGGCCACATTCAGTCGCTTTCTTTTGGGTAGGTCTTGAAGGTAATTCTACCTGTCCAAATCCCAAATAGTGAGGAGAGCCGATGTAGTATCTTCGACAGCAGTTGAAAATATTGCTGGTTCCATCGAGTAAGTCAATCTCTCAGGGATTTTGTGCTTTTGATTTCCAGGCCAGAGCTATTTCCATGTCCACACTCAGTTCGGCGCAGTCGCAAACTTACGGCGCTGCACAAAAGGAATACCACTACTGTGGCTCTCCACTCTGACATACCTCCCATTGACATAAACAAGACACGGCTTGGGCGCACTGGAACCTTGTCCATGGAAAGCGTTGTCGTCGTGAAAGATCTGCAGCACTTCTCCAAACAAGACCACATGATCCCCTACTTCAACAACCTTGCCCGGCATATATCGACAGTGCAATCTAAAGGGGACCATCAAATGGCCATTCTCGTCTCGTGATTGCAGAATCGGGGGCAATTTACTTGAGGGTGCTGTCCTGGCTGGATCGGTTAGATGTGCAAAACTTTCGATCTCGCCTTCTTCATCATGGAATGGTGATGAGGCATTTCCACTGGCAAACTTGCTTGCTATATCGGTTGCTTCGATTGCTTCGCTGAGCAAGTGAACATTGAAGAGTCCGGAACTTCGCATTGCGTCAAAGGTGGATGAAATTTTCCGGATGTTGAAGGATACCACCGGCTTTGGCGAGAGAGTGACGGTGTTGAATGACGATACAGTCGCGCCACGCCATCCTTCGGAGCCTCCTTCTGGGTTCACTGAGACATCTGTGGCGGTAATGACAGCGACTGGATGGGGAACATGTCGCATAAGTCGCTTGACCGAGTTAGAAAGATCTTCAGAGGTTTTGGTGTTATGCTCCTTCTCGAGAGATGTCGCAGGGGCAGTGTGCTGACTTCTCGAGTATTTTGGTGCGCCTGAAAGAATAGTGTTGGTTTGAACTAGTGCACCGTGATGCTGATGGTTTCTCGAACCATTGTTCCTCGACGGCGTGGGCCGACTGAGCCCGCTATTGAGGCGACATAGTATTTGGAAAGTCCGAGCTCCGGGAGCACCATTAAAGTCACACTCGCATCCCCTGAGTACCCCCAGCAGCGAATGAGGTCGAAGGCGGCTCGAATTAACTCTGCTGGCTCTAGCAAGTTTTGCGCTCACTACTGTTGTTGCCATTTCAAAATCTCCGCCTGGCTCCCTCCTAGCGCAACTACTTCGATCAAATAAATGACATGATGTATCTTATATCACCCATGATGGTCGTGAACGATAAAATATGGGCAAGGTTTGGAGCTCCGGAAAGATAGCTTGGCAAAATCTAAATTGGACGTTGAGCTCACTGGCAGGTCCACTCGGTTTTTGCCCTCTGGCCCGCCGTACTGAACCACTAGGTTGGAAAGAGAGTACTTCGTATATACTAAAGCACATACATTTATCCAGTAAATGCACAGACTGTATGTACTCCAGCACCAGTATATAGAGATAACTTCAGGCCGAGAGGAGTGGAAGACTCCCGGCCAGGTAAAGGGTGGAGTATTGGGGGCCTGTAGTGAAACGAAAATGAGTACGTCCGATTGTTGTGACGCCAGCCGCAGCGGGTAAAACACGGAGTACATCCCGGACTGTGGCGGAAACACCTCGGCAATTGGTCTGACTGACATTTGGAGAAGATAGGACTGAGAGAATAGGTGTTGAAACAAGTTCTCACTCAAAGTCGTTCCTTTTTATTTGATATTCTTTCAGCATTGTTCTAGAGACGTTGCTTCTGTTGTATCTCGCTTTGTTTCACTCTTTCAGCCCCATTGATCATACCGGCGGCCAGATTTGCTGTTGAACTAAGCAATTGACGCTTGGGCACATATCCATTCACTTCAGCTGGGTACATGTGTGATTGTTCATGCTCTCCACTCTAGTTGAACTCATCGGCGTTTTCAGCATCGCAGCACTACAAAGGCCACCTTCTCTGGTCTTAAAAAGCAATGGCGGACATTGAAGAAGCAAACGTAACGTTCCGCAAGTCTGATGTCAAGGTCAAGTGGCTGGCAAAAGAACGACTGTCGCTGCTTGAGCTTGCTGAGAAGCATGGCCTAAAGCCTGACTACGGGTGCAGAAGCGGTGGATGTGGGACTTGTGAAACGAAACTGCTGAAAGGAGAGGTTTATGGTCCAGAAGGAGATCTCCCGGACACAATTCTGATCTGCTCTTCTCAACCGGCGAGTGTTGAGATCGAACTTGAGCTTTAATTTCTTCGCTAAAGCAGATCAATTGACCAAAATTGCTATCAACATACTGCGACTATGTATGTGCGACCGTTTATGGATTTTGAGTATTCAGTCTCACTGGTCCAATGGTGCCATTGGATACTTTTCAAGAGGACGCCATCGTCGATATCCAGCTATCAATTACTCGCAACCAGTGTAACGAGGCAAAATTTATCTAGGAGCTATTCGGCTCTTGGAGGCATAATAATGCAGGCTTACCGCATCGGATTCAGAGCCTAATCCATATGTTGTGCAGCATCATAAGCGGCCTTGTACGGCGGGCCGGCATGTTGGGCGACATTGACGTCAAAGACCTAATGGCGCTTCTTGATGTCTTCGGGCTGTTGGACGACAGCGCTGACCTCCATGTCCAGAGCGAGAGCGATCATGTATCCATCAACCTATACGCCCACTTCAGAAACCATCAGAAATAGAATAGATGCTATTCGTGCACTTACGGTTGTGGCCTCTCCGGTGTTGCACAAAGTTCTGATGAGAAATCCCCAGTCCTGATGGATTGCGTGGTAGCCTCGCGATATTACTCAGAGAGAGGATCGATGGGAACGGCCATATCGATTGTATGATGTTGACTCCATATCAGATTGGTGACGAGAAGCTTGATTGCTTGCAGGATCGGAAGAGATTGGAAAGTTGAGAGAGCTTTGAGGAGACACTCGAGTGCTTACATATCCTTTTGTCAACCAACCGATGTGAGGACGGAATGGATTCTCTGGAGTGGGTGACTGTTGATGAAGTGTCAACAAATAGCTTGGTTGATCTATCCATTCATTTCCCAAAGAAATTCGTGATACGCTGCGTACCAGCCTCGGTCTTCTTCTTATTCTTGTTGCTATTCAGTACCAGGTCTTTGTTGTTCGTCGCACTGCGCGGCTTCTTGCCAGATCCTGGGGTCGTGGAGGCCGCTGTTTTCATCGGCGATATGTTGCTCCCAAATTTGGCTTGTTTAGTAGGTGGTGATGATACCGGAGAGTTCGGAGCTTCTCGTTTCTTGCCGGTGAGCTTTTGAGGTGACTGTGATGATGGAGATGTTGGCACGGGTAGAGGGGCATTATCTTCGCTCCCATCGTGGTCGACTGTCTTGCGGGTTTCTTCTGGCTCTTGCTCTAACCCCTTCTCTGAAGGCTTGATGGCCGCTTTCTGCTTCTGCCCACTAACAGCTGCGGCGTTCCCGAAGAAATTCGCAATATTCTTCTTGTTCTCCTTACTGTCGACAGGCACAATAAAACCAGGCGAGTTGTTACCCACCTTTCCTACATCTCGATCGACTGGATAACACTCCAGTTCGCCTTCAAAAGGCTTCAACATAGCTTGCAACTCTTTCGACCATTTATTCCTGCTCGGGTCCAACCACATCTTGATTTCGTCGGTTCCCGGGTCCAAGATAACTGGCATCCGATCATGCAGAAACTTCAGTTGCTTATTCGAATCCGTCGTGATGATCGTATAGGTGTACAATTTTTCAGCCTCCTCGCTCCCTTCATATTTGACGCAATCCCACAAACCTGCGAAGCACATTAACTGGCCGTCTTTGCGTTTCACAAAATGCGGGACTTTGTCTTTTGGTCCGGGCCCCTTTTTGAGCCACTCGAAGAATCCCTGCGCCACGACTAGGCATCGTTTCTTCGCCTTCATCGTGGTCCACATACCCCGGTTTTCGGCCAAGCTGTCGTCCCGGCAGTTGATAGTCTTTAGCATGCTTGAATAGTCTGGCGAGCGTTTGGTCCAGAAAGGGATTAAGCCCCATTTCATTACTTTGATTTGGTATTTATATCTCTCGGTTGGGTCGTTGCTGTGAGTGATAGTGGATTTGTCGTTGTTCTTGGCATTGTCGGATGTTTGCTGCTCTTTTGAATCGTCGGAAACTTCTTCTCCCTCTACAGTTGCGTCTTGGAGTTGTACCTCCTCCGCACCCGCAGACACGTCACTGCTATCTCTCACTCCCTGATCAGGAACATCAGCTCGATAGACAAGACCATATGCACCCGGAGGGAAATTGTAAGTCTCCCGGGCTTCATCATCTGCAGGTGCGTCATCAACTGGTAAGCCCTGTTCCTGAAGCTGATAACGAACAAACGAGGCACGCTTAAAACCAAACTTAGCCGATGTGCTTTCCATATGTCATATGTTTGCGGTCCAGCGGACCAGGGCAGGTGACTCACTATGCCGAGCGCATATCTCCCGCACATTGCGCCAATATTGATAATGGTATGTATCCAAAATGACACTCTTTTGATGTTGGATACCACCTAGGTAAGATTGTCTGTATTTAGTTTGAGAGTTCTTGACGTATTCGGTTTCGCAGCGTGATGATTGGAAGTCGGTGGCGATGATGTCATTTCCTCGGACGCGACTTGGAGAAACAATTAATCGATCAATCGAGAAATTTATCTACAGTCGCACTGAATCTAACAACACCCTCGTGTCCATGATCTACTTCTCACGTCCGTCCTATAAAAAGCAGAATGCAGGCTAGTCGCAGTATTAAACACCTCCGACATCAGCTGGCTGTCCGCAGCCTCCCAAGAGCTACCCGCAGTAATGTTTGCGAGACAGCAGCAAGACATCATTCGACGCAGCAACTACGATGGTCGCCCAACATCAGCTCGAGATCACATTGCCGCGGTGTCAAAACCTACTCCAAACCACCTGGCAAGATACAGCAGATGGTTATAGACGCCCGGACCCAACATCCGATCATGTTCCCCTTCCTTCTCATCGCCGCCACCGGCATGGTTTCACTCCTCACCATGATGGCCTACGATGAATACAAGAGAGAGAACACACAGTTGACTCCTTATCCTCTGCCTGTGGAGCAGCGTTTGAGGCTGGCTCTGCATTATACCCATATATCACCAGACCCAGAAACGGCATCGGGATATTTCGTCGATGCGCTCAAAAAGGCGGAAGAACTGGGCATGGATCCATACAGCAAAGAGTTTGTGGGCATTAGAATCCGCTTCTCTGAAATGCTCGAGACATTTGGCCACATGAGGGCTGCCATCGAGATTCTCAATGATGTGACAAAGGACTTCGAGCAGCGACTGGCTGATTTGGACGAGCGCAAACAACCACTCGCCAACGCCCAGCGAGTACAACCAGCTTCAGGAGAGGATGGCGATTTACCGATCGACATCCGAAAACATCTCATTAAGACTATCATACAAGCCAAGGTCAAACTCTCCTCGATGTGGGAGAGCGAGTACATGCAAGATATGAATATGGCGAAACAGACCTTGTCCGATGCTGTTGGCTTGATCGTGAAGGAGACCAAAGACCCTCAAATCAATGGCTTTACTGATGACAACAACGCAGGTCTGACCACTGGAGAAATTGCATCCATACTATCGCAAATGGGTGATCTCTATGCCACGACCGGCGAGGAGTCCAATGCTGTTCAGGTATACATGCTAGCACTTCAACCCCTGCGAGCGTCATGTAACGGTTCAAAATCTTGCAAAGAAGTGCAGGTGTTGAGCAATATCGCGTCCACCATGGATGTGGCTTTGAAAAATCCAAATGCGAAAGTCAACGGAAAGCCTATTACCAAAGCCTCCGCAGCTGCAGCGCGAAAGGCTATCCTAAGATGGGCGGATCAAGCCATCGGAACTGCTGAAGCTGTCAAGCCTGAAGATCGTGATTCGATCTGTGAGCTTGCATTGCTCTCCGCCCAGATGACTCGCGCCGATATGTTGTTGGATAGCGGGGAGAAGGCCAAGGCTCGAGAGGCATTCTCGAGTCTTTTGCCAATATTGGTAGAAAAGAAACTCACTCCTCTGATCAAAGTGGCCGAGCAGGGTTTAGAGAGAGCTAGAGGTTGAAATCATGGAAGACCGAAATTACGTACATCAAGTTCTGATCTCTGCACAGCAGCAGACGAGATCTCCTGCATCGGCACCTCGGTTTCACAGTTGAACGCTCGCAATATCACGACGAAGCTTTGATTTCCGGGGATTGCCAATCTCAAATCCTCTGAGACCGTATATAACAACTGGTCATAAAAATCAGAACGAAGTGTGGACCTCTCAACACGACCTCAATGATTCTTGATCACGACATATGGCGGTGCGAGAACCATGTTTTCTGGTTAGCGATTGGGGGCTGGAGAATCCCTACGCATCTCGTCATACAGCCGAGGTACGAAGGTCTTAAGCAAATATAGCACGATTCCCATTATTCTAGCAGATCAGCTTGTCGAGAGAGCTTTCCCGCAAGCTATCGAGCCAGGACACCCAGTGAAATAGATGTGACCAGTTACGTCCCGATATCTGGACACCATGCAGGAACAGTCCAAGATAAACCCTGTCCTGTATACAGAGAAGTGCGATTGTTCCATGCAGAGAGAGATCTCGAGTTTGACACGGAGGGAAAATCAGATCCATAATTGTGTGGGCGCTATAAAGACAATACCTCATGAACGGAAGCGAACCTTGCACTACTTAATAGTTGAAATTTTCATAAACAATTGCCTTCCCCGGCAACCAGTCCTGCACAATCTTTCTCAACGCCGGCGCTGTACAGAGATACCACTTATCCACGAGCGCATCCACTTTCGACAAATCATCCTTTTGCAGCCGCCGCCGCTCGATCTGGGATCCTAGGGCCTTCAACTCCTTCAGCTTGAGCTTCTCGTTCGGGCGCTGCTCCAGCAGCGACTCGTCGCCTGTGAGGAAGATAGTGACGGAATCCTTCAGCACTGGATATTGTGTGAAGATGTCCACTGCGAGACCAACGTCTTTGATGCCTAGACTCCATAGAACCTTGATCTTAGGGGCATCCAGAGAACCCATCTGGCCCAGCAGCGGCGTGATGCCGATTCCAGCTGCAATGAACCCGATCGTCTTGTGTTCCGTTTGATCGAATGCGAATTCTCCGCCGAAACCTCTGATACCCACTTCTAGCATCCCCTGATGCTGCCACTCGAGCCATTTGGTGACGCCACCGACTTTGCGCAATGTGATCTCGAATTCTTCGCCGTGTACGCCGAGGGATCCTGGGACTGACGAGACGGTGAATGTGCGGAGGTAGTCGTCATTCAGGCTTGTCGGGTCGTCGTCCCGCATGTGCGAGTACCCCATGTCCAGCTCCTTCGAGAAATCCATGGTCACATACTGTCCTGGCTTCCACGGTCCCAGCACTGATGGGTCGGCGAGGGCGTAGCGATATCTCGTAATCGTCGGGGTAAGCTTGGTCTTCTTGATTAGTTGTGCTGTCACTGGCGCATCCTCTCCTGGGGCACTCTTGTCGTGGGGATCAGTCTGTTCGGTTGCCAGGTGGCGAACACGTGGGTTATATGGGGAGCGGCCGCTAGTTGCATCGTCGACTGGTGTGCCGCGAAATGGAAGACCGTTCTGAACAAGTCGAGCTGCCGTGATGTTGAGACGGACTGCGAGTTTTGTCTTTGCAATCATTCGACTTGCCTCTGCACCTACAAGAATCCTGGTATTCCCTGTGAGGTAGAGAACGTCTCCTGTCTCGAAGTCTGGGATCACAAGGCCTGCCTTGGGCGTAGCTTCAAGGTTTCCAAGTGTCTGGTATAGGTTGTTCCCGCTATATTCTGGCCAGACAAGGATGCTCCCTTCCTCTGGGTCCTCGGGCTGTTCTATGCGAATAAAACCTTGCGGCCCTCCGCGATGGTTTGCGTCCATGTCTTCGTGCTCATGTGCTGAGGCGACGAAGAACATGTCCGCTTTTTCAATCAAATTGAGCGCCTCCTGCGACAAGTGTGGAGACTCTGAGAGTAGTATTGGCTTCGGTGTGGAGGATGTGATGATTTTTTTGTTTAGGTATTTCGGACAGTTTCCGAGACTTTGTTCGATTTTGGCGACGAGCTGAATTGATCCTGATTTACCCTCGTTCGGCTGTTTCGATCCTCCTTGACTTGCATCTAGCGCACCAGCGATGAGCCTTCCTGCTAGCTTAACCCTACCCCGTTCCTCCAAATGGATGCTCAGCCCGCTGACGATCCTGCCATCACCCTCCTCGCGGATGATATCTCCGTTGTCTTGACCCTTCCATATCGCCTGAACGACGGGATCGAAACTCGCGTCCACTTCGCTCTTGATAGCGATCACGCTCTGCGCTACTGGTTGTGACAGAGGTGGTTCACCAGAGCCCCATATGGTACACCAGGGCCGGTCATGTTCGTCAAGTGTTCCGATGGCCATCAATGGATACCGAGAAATCTGATACGCGGCCATGGGCGTAAGGAATGGCGAAGTCGGATTATCCTCTCGGAAGTCGAGATGGGCACGCTTATGGATGGCTTTTTCACCCTCGTGCCAGTCGCTTGCCTGGAAGAACGACATGCTCGCGGTACCCAGCGTCAGTTCAGGGCGGATGCCAAATAAATCGTTGCTAACACTGAGAGACTTTGATATTGTTTGTGCTAAGTAGTGGAATAGAATTAAGAGTCCGAAAATGAAGAGATCCAGGGTTGGTAATTAATTGTTCAGATTCGGGCTTCAATCATTAAATTCAAGGGGCCGCCCTTTTTATACCAACGCCTGAACTCTTTGCTTGCTAATCGCAAGTCTGAGAACAAGTCTTAAATATTCTCGCTCTCCGCGATTCGAGTCTGGAAGAACCTCGCATGGCCAGGATGACACCACCCTTTTTATCAACTTCCTCACTTCAAGAGGAGTTGGCAAAAGCGGCCGCTTTTGCTGCGCTAAACCCGTCAGTCTGCATGTCATCCCGTAGCTTGTATCTTGCCGATTTAACAGCGCATAAAGCGGCCTGACCAATGTGGCCAATAGAAACGCAGATTAGTCACTATATTGCGTCATTCGGGCTGCATGTTTGGACCTCACTTCGCTTTCTTCCTCTCCTCGTATCTAGTTGCCTCGGACAAATGGCGTGCTGACTTGTCACTACCGTAATTGGAAGTCAGACATGCCGAGAGACCCTATCAAGGACACATCAACAAGACTTGGGAGTCCTCCCATACATTTGCCCACACGCGCTGGGACTACTAGGTAACCGAGGTGGGTGCAAACATGGCATATGAAGGTCACGCTGCGCAGTCTACAGCAGGTACATATCAGGGGTATTGAGCGCTAACCGGAGCTTCTGATTGAGCTTCACGTTGCCATCTGATTTCTCGTCTATCGAGTTTGGAGTCGTAAAGGATGATGCACATTATCTCGAATGTAATTTTATGCCAGGGTTGGTCTCCTGATGACAGGCAAGCTTCGCAGTTGCGCTCAAGTTTCCAGAATCTGGCTCACAGACTTCATTCTCACCCGAGATTCTTTGCCCAACACTTCAAATCCCTCGAGGGCCCGTTCGACTACTCAAAACATTGACCTAACCAGCAAAGCAGTCCTGTTATTCATGAGCGGAGATGACAGGATCGTCCACATGCTCCCCAAAGTCGACCCGTCTCACATTCTCAACGCGATCTGCTGCCAACTCATAGCTCCAAGTTTCCACTCAAGCTTCAGACATTAACATTTGTGCTCAGTCCTCCGGCGACTAGCGCAATGCTGCATCCCTCAAGAACCCGGCCTTGTCTATGGTCAAATCTAGAGAATCCATCTCGGTATTGTTCAGCGAAAGTGTGTTTGTCTCACTTCCGATCCTGCCCCCGTTCCGAGCTCTCATCAGAACCATCAAAATTTCCATTGACGACTGCCAGCGCGCTTGAATAAGCCGGCGGAGATCATGATTTAGGTCCCATACATAGTCCATGCCTGTCTCCTGCCGCCATGCCCTATCCCGAAATTGATCTTGGTACTGATTGTCCATCTTTGCGATAGAGGAGGCCAACATTGCTAGTTGAGTTCCCGTCAAATCGTCCGTACCAGTCAGTTTGTCGTCGACCTTCGCTCGCTTCATGAACCAAAGAGCGGCACCCATAGAGTCATGTTCTTCAGCGTCTTCGCCTGACTTGAATATGTGATTCGTATTGGGTGTTTGTTCGATCACGTAGCCAATAAGTTTCGTGTATGTAGCCAGATCAACATCACCACGAAGGTCGACATCCTCGGGCAGTTGCTCACGGAATTTTCTCCATGGAACGTCAGACTCTCTTTTCTCTTCGTTGGATTCTGATGGCTTGATTGCAATCAATTGCGAGGTATAGTTCCGGCACTTGAATATGAGGACGCCTGTCTCTGTTAACTTCGCGGTCACCACACGCTTGTGTCCTTTGTCTGGCTTGTAAACGCCAATGATTGCTTCGCGGTCCGTAATTGAGTGAGTGGTCTTTTCAATATCTTCACTATATGGTTTGAAACGCTTGAGCAGATCTGCATTTGGTGCTCCTGAGCCCATGAACTGATTGCTATCCTCGTCTTCTGCCTTTCGCTTGGTACCGACAGTGACTTCTGCAGGCTTGTTGAGATTAACCGTGACTTCAGCAGTGCTCTGCCTGCCGTTGCCTGCATCCTCTTGTGTTGTGTTCACTCCCTCCGACAGCACTGAATCATTGCCAGAAATGGTTGTCAAGGGTAGAATGATCGGCTTTGTGCTAGCTTGCGTGCCCTGGGTAGTGGGTTCAGTAGTGGGTTCAGTAGTGGGTTCAGTAGTGGGCCGGCTCGTGATTTCGAGTTTCATGTCCGCGTTTGGCTCCAGATCTGGCAAAGACTCATCATCTGAATCATCCGAAGCTCCATAAGGGAGGCGCTGTCGTTCGAATACTTTTCGCATCCCATGAGCATACTGCCCCCCCGTCGATCGGCGCGGGACTCGCTTTGGTCGTGCCATTTGCGGATCTGTTGATGCTTTATGTTCAAGTTAGTTACGGTGTTGGTAGGAGGCAAGGGTAGGGGCAGAACAAAATCGGAAACGTGTGATACCTTGGAGAGATGAAAGATCCCTATGGTTTCAATTTCATATCAATGTTGAGTGAAGGAAGAAAGGAAGGGCATGAAGTGACGACGACGGACATTTGTACTCACTGAGATAGGGAACCTTTCTCCACTCGGACTCTCGGATCAGTGATGAGAAAGGTGAAAGTGAGAGTGAAAGTAGGAAACAAGACTAGTAAGTGATCTAAACTTAAGCAAATGTGGTCACAGGTGTACCGTTGTATCGGGCGGCCTCCTGGATGTCAGAGGAATAAACCCAAGCTTCGGAATTGCCAGATTCAGCCCAGCAGAGTTGTTGGCTTGACTCGTTGATGCCCATAGACTTGACAACATAACTTGGCACGGGGTGGTCCTGAGCTTGGATTTCGAAGCTGCGTTTGAGAGGAAAGGATAGAACAATGCTGTGAGTATGTCTTCATAATATTGGCGTAGTAACCTTGTCCGTCTCTGATGCAGTGGATAGGCTTTGCGAACTCTAGACAAGGCCTAGAACCCGTTTCTATGCCCGACGTTTCCACTATGACACTGATATAAAGCTGTTCTTTCCGTTGTCAGGAGTGGTAATAACCATTGCTCAAAGTCAACGTAACCGAAATATGGCTCAAAGATACCAAGGCATGTTCCAGTGTTATCAGCCACCAGTGTAAATTTATACACCCAAACCCCTTGCTATGATTTCCACCGCCGCGATGAGCTCTTCATCGTGCTCGGGTCTAGCTACCACTTGGATACTGCAAGGCGCGCCATCGACAGCACTAGCGTCATCTGTGTCTGTTAGTATCCTCATGGTCACCTGGATCGCCGCTCGCTCAGATTGAAACACTTACAGTCTTCTTGATATTCAGCACGGGCCACGTCGATCGATTTATCGGCTCTAAGATATGGTATAACACAGGCCGGGTACTATTCGTAGAGGTTAGCATACACGGCGGTCATGTGGATGATCGGATAGTTGCTTCTTACATCAAGGAGGTTCCAATATGTCGTGTAAGGGGGAAGCTTGAAAGTATCATGAGGAACAGCAGTCTTCTGTGCTCCTGGGGCGATCACCACATCCAGATCGTTCTCGATGAAGATCTTATGCCAGGTTTCTTGTATCTCAGAGCGAGAAGCCGTCATGTCCAGGAAGTTATCCAGTGTCCGAGTGGGTCGACCTCCGGGAGGAGGCGAGTACATGTCGGCCACCGATTTTACCACTGGCTCTCCAGAGTCCACAATAAACTTATGGCCAGTCTCTGCATTGTCGATATCGAAAAACCCAAATGCTAACTCTGTGACCTCCGAGTACGAAGGGAACTTCGCGATCGGGATCACTTTGTGGCCGGCGCTTTCTAGTTTCTTTGCGGCTGTCTGAATAGATCGAAGAACAGGGGGTGACACTGGCCAACTAGGGCATTCATATATCAGACCAATGGTTAATGATGACTTCGTAGAGACGGAGTCCCAGGGCTTGGCACGAGCACTGGCGTCGAAGTCCCAGGGTTTTGACTTGATCACTGTCTCCAGAAAGAGCCGTAGATCACGTGGGCTCTGTGCTAATGGACCGGCGAGCGGTATTATGCCAGCCCAGCCTATTCAGGGGTTGTCAGCTTTGCATTTGAAGTGAAACAAGGGCGATATTTGCTTACCATCCCTTGATGGATTTGCCTGACCTCCCTGCGGAATGCGATCGGTCGATGGTTTGAACCCATAGGCTCCGCAGCATAAAGCAGGAATTCGGATTGAACCTGCAATATCGGTTCCGACCCCCAAGATCGAGCCTCTTATGCCAACCAGAGCACCTTCTCCACCGCTGCTGCCACCCGCCGTTAAGCTCAGGTTACAAGGATTTAATGTTCGACCGAAAACATTATTCTCGGAGTCTGCCGTCATTAAAGTTTGAGGGATATTCGTCTTAACGTAAAGCACTGCTCCCGCCTTGAGTAAGATTTCCACGAGTGGTGAGTTGAAATCGGCTGGTTTCTTGTTGATAAAAGAGACATATCCAATAGTCGAAGAGACACCTTTGACGTTGAAAGAATCCTTCAAGCTCACGGGCATTCCATGCAAGGGTCCCATAGGTTTTCCTTCCTTTTCCAGATACTCATCCAAAAACTTTGCCCTCTCTTGCGCTTGGCCAAAGAACATCTCAGTGAGACAGTTTGTCAACTGATGGGCGATCGCCGCTCTTTTGCAGAAGGCAAGTGTCACCTCAGACGACGTTAGTTCCTTCTTCGCCATCTTCTCAACCAGGTCAACAGCATCGTGATTTTCGGTGATATCAATCTCTTTGGCACTGAGAATTCCACACTTTGCCGGAACGTCCAAGACACTGACGTTTGCTGTTTCACTGATTGTGCTCATGATTTCAGTTGGAAGTCGCCATTCCTGGGGCAGTTGCTTGGCCACCTCGGCTCGTTTCTGTGCGACCAGAGATCTCCAATCTTGGACCATTGTTACGGATGTGCTCGTCAACAACGACACTGGTTTGAGTGGCAATTAAATGTGGGGCCGAGAAACCAGAGGTCAGGAAAAGTAGATAATGCAGCTGCTATTTCTGCTCCAACGATAACCCCAGACGTTGATGTTGGCAATTGTAGTACGTTTGTCGTAGTAAATCCAAGGACATGGGATTCAACAAGCTCGAGCTTTTTATCAAAGGATTTGGAGCCGAAGAGAGCAAATGCCGTGGTATAAATCCGCGTTTGTAAACTGCTCCAGGCTACTCGAGATAAATGTTCCGGCGGCGCATCGGGAACGGGTCCACAAGCCACGAATCACAGGAAATTCTGTGAGAGGTTCTAGATTAACTGGTTCCCCACTTTATCACGAAGGTCAATTAAACACCAATCAGACATAATTGCGCGATTCTCTTCTCCGGTAGTTTGAAAGGCTTCACATTTTTCCAGATGTTTTCGGCCTATCTTCCAGTACCCCAATGCTCTTTTTCATTTCCAGATACCAACGACGAGATCACAATCTGCATGAGGATGATTTCTGCGGAAGACATTGCCTTGGCTCGATGTTTCTCGAGGCCAATCCACTGGGGGTTACCACCGGGAGTGTGCAGGTTTGTCGTTGAAGTTGAGTTAGTTTGCGTATGATGTCTTTGCCATACCACAACGTCTGCTTTTGGTGGGCTTTGCCATTCCTATATAAGTTTGGAAGAGAAGAGTCACGCGTGTCAGCGAACAGAACCAGCTTCAATTGATGCCTTAGATGCCATCAACTCGTCTGAACGAAGGACCATCATGTCTAACAAGCATGTCACCATGGCAGTCTCCATCGTATGCAGAATTCTCCGGACTTTTGAGTAGTCATTTTGGCACTGAGATTCTTGTGACAGTATGGTAGCCTTGCATGATAGCCCTGTGAGCTTGTGGATTCGGTGCCTGGAACTGTGTAATTTAGTCCATATTGGTCAGAACATGCATAGTCATTACGCACTGGCTCGCCTGGCGTAATCCTTGACCCTACTCCTCCGAGGAGGCCCGACAATTCGATCGATTGTTTCCCGATACCAGGGTGGATCAGAACCACATGCGCTTCGCTCTTTCTTGCGCATGTAATTGACCAGGAGCTAATCGGTTAGTATCCACATTGTAAGAGCTGGATAATTCAATGTCACCATTTGTCGGCAGGATCATTATCTCGGCTCAGGGTCCTCCTCTATCATTTGCGGGGTATTAGGGCGACTTTCTTTGCGCTATCCCCGATTCGTGCCCGGGAAGAGCACTGCCAAGAGCCAAAGGCAGATACGAAGCGCCCCCCAAACGATAAGGCAATCTCCCCAATCCCTCGGCATATCCTTGTCTTGCCAGATAACTCAACGACCACTTGACGAGACAGTTTGCCCTGCCGCATACGCCTGCATGTCCTCAAAGTGTGCACACTGGCTAGCTACTCATAATATGCGAACTTGGTAGCCGTTTCTAGCATGGCCATCCGTGCGTCCAATGCGACACTGCGGACCAAGACTGGATGCTTGACTTGTAAGCGCCTAAAACTGTAATAGCTGAAAATTGGTTTGGGGGCGTACTGACTCATAATTGTTTGATTTTCTCAGGTCGTGCAAGGCGCAAAAAGTGCACTGAAGAAAAACCACGATGTCAAAAGTGTACAAAGTCAAAGCGAGTTTGCCAGTGGCCCAATGAAGACGATATGTTCGATCGTCGTAATCGGCGGGCGTCAAGATCACCATCTCGTGGTCCCGAGTCGCCGGGGGTATTCTCAGACGATGGAAATACCCCGTTGTCGCAATATGACGACAGCTTGACATCGGAGACGCCATCATTGTCAATATGCCGTGAGCTATCCATTAGATCTGATCTTGTCAACCCCAAGAGATTCAGGTCGGATTTTGAGCTGGCTTGCTTTCAAGAGTTTATGAGAGACATGCTACCGCCGCTTCTTCTGTCGCACACTCACCCTGGATTCCATGTAGAGCATTTACCGGAGATGGTAGAAATGATCGTCGACTTCGATGGTCTGCGAAACATCGTGCTGGCTTGTGGGGCGACTCGACGGAACGCACTTTCTGAAAGCTCTGAGATGGGTGAGGTTGAACTAGGCTTCTATTCAAGGGCCGTTACCGACGTGAATCACGCCCTAGCCAAAGTGGATTGGAACAGCGAAGACACGGATGATGCGGTTCTGATGGCAGTGTGCTTCCTATACATCCATGGGGTAGGTTGATTGAACAACACCGCGCATTCGTCCTTGGCGAGTGCTCACTTGAGCTCGAACGTATTGACAATTGGCAGGTGTTCTCCGTTGGCACAAACAAGGACATTCGTAAGCATCTTATCGGTGCGATCCAGTTGATGAAACTCCGATGCGCGCAATCTTCAAGGTCCTTGATAGCCCGCCCAATACATCGCATATTGTGGGAGAGTATCCTTTATCAAATCTTCCGGCAAACAGTAAGACATCCATTCAAAAAGGACTTTCAACCAGATTTCGAATTTTGTGACACGGCGGCTCGGGTGCTCAGCTCACCAACATTCCCCGAAGCCTCCCTCAGAGACAACAGTCCTGTGATTGGATTTCCTATCGAGCTTTGCACGTTCATCATCCGTGTGGTGCAAATGAGCAGAATACCCTGCAAGCCCAAGGCTGATGAATTGGCAGAGCTCTTGAAGGAAATGCAAGAGTGGGAGATGTTGATCATCGACGACATACATTGCCTGAATGGAGACCCGATATCCCATGATACCTCAACAACTGGAGGAAGAAGCGATTTGTTCCACGAGCATTCCATGAGCCTGCATATCTTGGCGGTGTCACTTCTCTTAAACTGGGTTACACAAACACAGGAGACATCTGTACCTGCAACGAGTGGCCTCCCGCCAACCAACGACACATGGCAGCTTCGTAAAGCACTGCGGATACTGACTTGCCCACATGCAAGTAAGGAGTGGACGAAGTGTTATCTAGGCTCTTGGCCATCGTTGATTTTTGGATACGCTGTGGACAATCCTGAAGACGTTGAATTAGTACGACAAGACATGCGGCAAAGATTAGGGAGCCTATATTGTGGTGATGACTTGTTGGCATTATATGAATTAGAGGACGTCTGGCGAAAGCGAGGCATCAACGAAATAGCATGAGTTATGCAGATAGTATTGCACTCAACTTGGGCAAGCATAAATGAGAACGACTTTCAATATGATGATTAAGGAGTGGCATGACGAGGCTGAATCAGAACGCAGGAGGTATGATGTCATGGTTGCTTTTCGGATAAAGTAAAGTCCGAGGTAGAAAAAATATTCGACTCACAAATCTCCTTAAGTCTTGCTACTAAGGCTGACACCAGTCGCAATGACACACGATCAATAAATCGTGCACTATCATGAACAGAACAAGTGTACTACGGCCATAGACCGAGATACCTCTCACAGCAAGATTGATGCTCGTACAATATGCAGCTTCCTTTCGACTTGTTCCGTCATCTATTTTTCTTGAAGAGTTTCTTCACCATATCTCGGCGTCCAGGTTGACTTGTCATTCATGATATCAGCACTAAGAACGGCCTTTTGCTGTAAAAAAATCTCCACTCTCAGAAACAATATACGAAAACGAAGTCACATGTCTACCATGGATTCTATAATGAAGAAAAGTGAGCCTTGGGCTACCCAGCCATATCAAAACTGTCTCACGCGGATCGTCGACCTGAAAGGACTCCAGATTCCTGAAATAGCCTCTGATGAAGACTATCGTCAGATTTACGCAGACTATATCAAAACCGCGAAGCATGACCGGAATGCCGGGCTTCTTCGTGACGCTATCGAGTCTATCAAATATGGCATTTCTCCGCCAGTGGCCTTCCCGACGGAGACAGTTTATGGTCTTGGCGCAGATGCGACAAACCCGCCTGCCATCTCTGGAATTTTCGCGGCCAAAGGACGACCAAGTGACAACCCGTTGATAGTTCATATATCATCAATCGGCCACCTGGAAAGATTGCTGGATTCACGCCTACCCGAAATCTACCAAAGCCTGACCGCAAAGTTCTGGCCTGGTCCACTAACAATTTTGCTTCCGGTGGGTAAGGAGTCCAAATTTGCGAGGAACGTCCATCCAGGGCAAGATACGATTGGGTTTAGAATCCCTTCTTCCAAGTACGCTCGCTTCTTCATTGCTGCCACGAGCAAACCCATTGCCGGGCCGTCTGCGAATTCTTCAGGAAAGCCTTCGCCCACCACGGCACATCACGTTCTGGATGATCTCGAAGGGAAAATCAATTTTGTTCTTGATGGTGGATCGTGCGAGGTTGGCGTCGAAAGCACTGTAGTTGATGGTCTTCACGACCCTCCTCTCATTCTCCGACCAGGAGGAGTGTCTCAAGCGGAATTGATCGCTCATGGTCGGACATATGGCAACAAATTCGCAGAAACGGCCATTGGATATAAAAGACATGATGTTACTCCTGGTCTGTCTAGTCCATCCTCATCACCATCGTCACCATCAACACTCCCGAATGGATCCAGTGAATCTCTTGCGATGAATTCTGCTTATGTAGAGGACGTCAATGGTGCACCACGCGCCCCGGGCATGAAATATCGACACTACGCACCAAAAGGCCAAATGATTTTATTTTCTCCCGCCGCTATCAAGAACGGTCGTGTGGCTGCGAGATTCCATGAAGTCATCAAGCCTGGAGGTTCAGTTTCGTTTGACAAGGCTCCTATCAAGATTGGGATCATTTCATGCCACTGGCCAACATTTGCAGGAATTCTTGATCAAGGGTCCTTGACTCCCCCAATACCAACTGACGATAGGGAGATTCCTCCAGTTTTGGCACAATCACCATACGCACCGCTGACAAAGATCTCGACAACTGAGGCAAACAAGGACTGCAAAGTGATTCTCTACGACGTCCACCTTGGACGAGACATCTCAGTCCTCGCTCAATCGCTATTTGGCGTTCTCAGACTCTTCGATGATCTCGAGTGTGATTTCATATTCGCAGAAACGGTCAGACGGACCGTTTTTGGTGGCAATGACACGTTGGCAGAAGATTCAGAACGCTCTACGAAACGAGACCTAGAAGATGCGGTCATTGATCGTATTGAAAAGGCGGCCGGGGAGAGGGTGGAGGTCTGAGCCGACTTTCAGGAGGACAGGAGCACGACTTTATGCTTCCATAGACTGCCAGTCACCCATTCAAGAATTGATATACTTTTCCATCTCAGATTGCATAGCCGTGGGGAGCCATCCCGCTCATCTCCGCATCATGTCTCCTAGAAATTGCTACATGGCTTAATCCTTCCCATAGAGGAAGCAACGCCTTAAAGCTGCCCATAGGAGAAGCGGTGGGTATCATGGGAAATGTACGGAGCAGACTTTTCACAGAGATGCACGCCCTGTGAAAAGGGCGAGTCAATGTGCGTAAAATATATAGAGCCCTCGTGGCCCATGGGTCCTACACAATTATATCAACGCCCGTGAGATATCCATATTATAGGTATCCTCCCCAATTTCCTAGTCCACATATATATCCTATCGAAGCACCCACAAACCACCCCACAAACCATCCATAAATACATGCTCAACTCAGCAAAAATGACCTCCCCTCCCGGCACCAGCACCAAAATGGACCAAACGCTTTACAAACTAACCTTCACGACACCCCCAGCGCACACGACATCCATCCTCGCCGCCCTCCACGCCACCACAGCGGGGACCTGGCCAAACCCACCCTCCGCCTGCCCGTCGACCTCTCCGCCCACCCCGCCAAAATACACACACACAGCCTTCATCACGCGAGGAACGGGCCAATTCCGGCCTAGCGCGCACGCAACACCGCATATCGGGACACCCGGGGCGGTCGAATTCGTCGACGAGGACCGCGTCGAGATGGTCGTGGTGGGCCGCGATGTGCTACGCCACGCGGTCAAGGCGCTCAGGGACGCGCATCCGTATGAGGTTGTCGCGTTCTTCGTGGTGAGGTGTTTGGGCGAGGATGAGTTTTGATGGGTTACTTGGTCAGCGGCGAGGGGCTGTCGGCTGGGAAGGGGTGAGGAGGTCTGTGAGTCTCCTGCAAAGTGGTGGCTGGCTGGGTTTGTTCTATTTTCACTGTGTTGGGTTGGTGGTATCATACGAATGTAGAAATCAATGATCACGGCATGAATGGAGCAAATTAAGGTTTAAACTTCAATTTTTGGATTTTCATTTGTGGTATCTAATCATTCCCCGTTCTCATCCCAGAAAACGCCCAAGAGGACACGTGAGCTTGTCAAATGTTTGTCAAGTCTTGCAGTGTCTGTCTAAATGCTGGAATGAAAGCTCAATCATAAAGGTATCGTGGTCAAAAACTCGGATGAGATTCCAGCCCTCATAGTTCGTCATGTGTAGGCTCGTCATCATCTCCGTAGTCTGGCATTCCACCGGCACCTCCGCTGTAAAGCTTGCTGCTGATGGGATAGGCGACCTGAGACAACTTTTCGTATTGCTCATCAAAATCGTCCTTGTCAGCGGTGTCAGCGTTCTCAAGAAGCCAGTCCTGAGTCTCCTTGACAGCTTCAATCAGGGTCTCTTTGTCGTCTTCGTCAATCTTGCCACCAAGGCCTTCCTCATCGTTGGCTTGGTTCTTCAGAGAGACGGCATAGTTTTCCAGTTTGTTGCGAGCCTCGATCTTGTCTCGGACCAACTTGTCTTCTTCGGCAAATTGTTCAGCTTCTTCAACCATGCGTTCAATTTCTTCGGGTGATAGTCTGCCCTTGTCGTTGGTGATGGTGATAGACTCTGATTTACCAGTTCCTTTATCACCAGCTGAAACCTTGAGAATGCCGTTGGCGTCCAATTCGAACGAAACCTCGATTTGGGGTACTCCTCGTGGAGCAGGAGGGATGCCGGTGAGTTCGAATTTACCAAGCAGGTTGTTGTCCTTGGTCAAGGATCTCTCGCCTTCAAAGACCTGGATCAGAACAACTGGCTGATTGTCGGCAGCTGTTGAGAAGATTTGGGATTTCTTGGTGGGTACGATGGTGTTGCGAGGAATCAATTTGGTCATGACACCACCAGTGGTCTCGATACCGAGGGTTAATGGGTTAACATCCATGAGGACGATATCCCCAGTGTTCTCCTGGCCTGTCAAAATACCACCTTGAACAGCGGCACCAAAGGCAACGGCCTCGTCAGGGTTGATACCCTTGCTGGCCTGTTTACCACCAAAGTATTCTTCGATCAGAGATACGACCTTGGGGATTCGAGTAGAGCCACCAATAAGCACAATATCGTCAATCTCGCTCTTCTTGACTTTAGCATCCTTGAGCACTTGCTCGACAGGCTTTAACGTCTTCTTGAACAAGTCCATGTTGAGTTCTTCGAATTTTGCTCGGGTGAGAGTCTCGGAGAAATCATTACCCTGGTGGAATGCTTCGATTTCAATTCGAGTAGACATTTGAGAGGAGAGAGTTCTCTTGGCTCTCTCAACCTCTCTCTTCAGTTTACCCATGGTCTTGAGGTCTTTTCGGATATCGACGTCAGCTTTCTTGTTATAGAGTTTGACGAAGTAGTCAATGACTCGCTGATCGAAATCTTCGCCACCAAGATGGGTATCACCAGCAGTTGCCAAAACCTCAAAGACACCATCGTCAATAGAGAGAAGCGAGACATCGAAAGTACCACCACCGAGATCGTAGACAATAATCTGGCTCTCTTTCTTGCCCTTTTGGTCCAAGCCATATGCAATAGCTGCGGCAGTGGGTTCGTTGACGACACGGAGAACGTTCAAGCCGGCAATGATGCCTGCGTCTTTTGTGGCTTGTCTCTGAGCGTCATTGAAGTATGCGGGGACTGTAACGACGGCGTGGGTGACCTTCTTGCCTAGGTAGGCTTCTGCGACTTCCTTCATCTTGCCCAGAACCATGGCGGAAATTTCCTCGGGGCTGAAGGTTCGAGGCTTGCCGCCAACTTCGACATTGACCACAGGCTTATCGTCTTTGTTGACGACTTTGAAGGGGAAGTGCTTCGAATCTCGTTGCACATCTTTGTCGGCGAATTTGCGACCGATCAGACGCCTAAGGAGAGGGGTTAGCACAGAGCGGTGGGAAGCATGATAGGGAAGGATTCACTTGATGTCAAAAATAGTTCTTGTAGGGTTTGCTGCGTATTGATTCTTTGCCGCATCACCCACTAAGCGTTCTTCGTCGGTGAAGGCGACATAAGAGGGAGTAATTCGGTTTCCTTGGTCGTTGACAATGATTTCGACTTTGCCATTCTGCATCACACCGACACAAGAATAGGTGGTTCCAAGATCGATTCCGATGACGGTGCCATAGTTGTGGGTATCGGAGGAGTTCAAGGGAGTCTGATCATCTGCTTGGACTTTGCCAATCAATGCCAAAGGACAGATGAAGATTAAGAGTAGATAGAAAATGGTGGTCCACTGGAAAGCGGAGGACTTTGAGTGGCCTCGACGAGCCATGATGAGGGTGACCCAGGTATACCCGGGGAGATCGCAGGAAGTTTCTCGTCAATGGAGCAGGGAAAGGAAAACAAGAAATGAAAAGGAAGAGGAGGAATTGGTAGAAAGAGTAGACAAACGGACGGTGAGTGGGCAAAAGGATGATGGCGGGCGGAAATATTTATGGCAAAGAAATAAATGTGAAGGGCCGAGTTATCGATACGCTGTCCTTTTCGACTCCATAACCGCCACTGCCTCAGAGTCTTTGTTAAGCGCAGGGCTGCAGCCAAAGGTGGCCTTTTCAGCCACAGACTTCACCCCCCGGGCCAGGATTTTAAGGGGCGAGGGGGTCTTTCACCCCTCACGAGTCACCACTCACCATAGTCACTGGCACGGTTGCAGTCCCACTCCAGCGTCACTCTTGGCAGGGGACAGCCTGGCCCGAGTGAGCCCCTCGGCCCCATACTGCCCCTATCATTCTTTCTATTGATCCCTAGAAGTTTCCAGGGCCTCATGTCTCCCACAATAGCAACAATTTCTTTCAGGCTTCTCTTTTGAGGATTGACAAAGTGTTTCCAGTTGTCATCTTACACGATGATAGTACACAAAGTGTCATCATTCACGACACAGGCACTCAGATACTACCCAGATCAGATTACTCATCGACTTCGGTACTGATGATGATCACCATTGAGCTGAACGAGCACGCACACTCCACAGTTACCCAAAGGCGCATGGCTCCTAGAGTGAGAGTCTATCCCCACAAGTCCTTTTTCATGATCTACTTCGTATGGTGCATAGTACACTTATTGTGTGAGAGAAGAAGCAAGCCACGTGCTATATCACGTGGGCTTGGCGTTACTGCTTTCAAGAGGGTGGCCCTGAAATGCGGTGGGTGCTTAAAGCGTGTCTTTACCTACCTACCCTACTATTCCCACCTAGAGGAGGCCTCTTAAGTTGTGGTACCCGATGACAAGCAGGTTCAGTTTTCTAGCATATTTTATTGCAACATTCTCGCGCCAATTTGGCCAATATCAAGAGGGGTTGCAGAGGCAGGCTCGCAACCACCTTTTGCGTTGACGTTTTCATGATTCAACACGTTTGAACATCACATCAGTCCGCATGGTGTACTTCACACCAGCATCAACCTGCTGCCCCGAATGCCAGATTGATCTCTGCTGGAACAATAAAACTCGACCAGTTTTGGGAAACACGTTATACTCCCGTTCCGAATTTCCATGAAATGTCGTTGCACCCCCAACTAGATCGTTCTCTGCGTCTCGTTCATTTAGGTACAGATGCAGAGTATAGAACGACCGTTCACTTTGGTCCGGAGTGAGGTATGTACCATCACAATGTACTGTACCCCGTTATCAGCATCAGCACAATCAGAGATCATTGTTGGACTTACTGTTGAAGTACTCGCCACCAGTATACTTAAGAAATCTCATTCTTTCATTTAATCGGGTCAATGCATAATCCTCCTTCCTCTTTACCGGGCCCCAACCGGTAATCTCTGGTCGGCCCTTTACGTGCTCAATCTCAGGCACATGGTCCTTGCATCGCTGCCAGATTCGATCCACGATTTCCTGCGCATCCCAGATGATGCGATCACAATTCCGGATGTCGGTCAAGAGTTTTTGCTGGTTCATCCCGATATTGACCAGCGCGCGCTCCCAATTGCCCTCCCCGGGCTCTCCGCCTGAAGACTGCTCCGCAAGAGTGACGAGTTGTGCGCATTCATCCGGACTGAGTACATGATCGAGGATCACGGCGTATGAATTCTTGTACTCGATGCAGTCGGTCTTGCTAAAGTCAACGTGTGTAACCTCGACTTCTGGGCCTGGCCCTGCAAGAAAGTCTGCTGGGAATGTGAAGGCCTTCATAGTTGCGGGTCTGAAGTTCGTGCTATTTGCTCTTCGATTGGTACCAAATGATTTTCTTTGAAATGGTTTGATGAATGCGCTAGGTAATGGAATTGAAGCGGTGTAGGCTGTGAAAACTCTGAGTTGAAATCTCGACAATAATTCGGAGTATAATGCCTCTTATCATCATCGGAATTGAAAAATGCGGTATACCTAAAAACACAAATGAGCCTGGATCTTATACTCGTACTTGGTAATTATAACAATTGATAAGAGATGGGCGTCTTTGAGCTCAGCCTCGCGATCCGCCCTGTTTCACCGAAAATCCCCAGACGGGTGGGGCTTGGGCGGCCACAGCCAGGCAGCCCTTGGCAGACACAGACCACCATCAGGCTACCAACCTAGTACATCGTACTCGCTACTCGGTACATTGGTAAAAGCTGTTGAAGACTCATCAAAAGAGCTACGTAACGTAGACACTAGAGAGTATCAAGCATTCAGGTTAGAGGTATTGCATAAGATAAGTAAATTATTCAATCTGTTAAACCTCCACATATGCCTTCAACAAAATACTTTGCTCATTGCCTACCAAGTACGGTATGCTGGTAATCCTATCAATATGGCGGAGTAGAGGGTTCTTTGCATGAACCACAGGTGCTCGGGGCCGCTAAAGGACCCACACCAAGCACGCGGCTTTATGGCAGGTCATCTGCCCTCCCACCTTGCTCACTGTCATCCAGGCGCTTTCGATGTTCGACCACTTTCGGCCCCTTCGTGCGATCCGGCCCTCAACTGTATCCCTCCTTAATGGAAAACCAAACTAGATTCACTCATTCCACATTCCGAGATCTCCCTGATTAGTACTTGATTTGTGACGGCTGGTGCCGGAGTCTGGTGTCTCTGCCCCAAGGCCCTGCAACTTGTCGGGCCGAACATCTGTGAGGGTCGCTCATTGGATTATAAGGAGGATTAGAATTTTATCGTTGTATACTCCTTAAACAGGAGATGAGAGCCTACCGGGTCTCTTCTCCAGTAGTTGGTAACTTTCTTGAAATACGCGTAGGAGACCCTCAAAATAATTGCTTACTTCTTCTGGAGACTCTAAGGCATTACTATGCATCGCGGAGGGATATGTCGATTTAGGCATTTATTTCGATATAGTAGCTTTTGTCTCTTCAAAGCTAACCCAACCATTACGACGAGCTTGGCCGATCAATAATCCGGCCGTTACGCTAGTTCGTAAGCCGTTCTCGAGGGCTCCCAAGCAATTTTTTGCGCTCTGGCCAAGTGTGTGATAGGTATGAGCCTATGTCTATAGCCGTCCGAGGTGGTGTGGACATACTACGGCCTCTCTTATTTACGCACGAAATTGTCAAGATTGATGACTCTGGATTTTCTATCACATTCAGTGATGGTATGCCGAGAGCATACTGTGGTGTCGAGATTTATTTTGGGGGCATTTGTGCTCGAAGCTACGATACCTATGCACACTGGATAATGGGGTGGTACGCCTACCTATTGAACAAGTTTCGGGAATATGAGCTGTACACGACCATGACCCTTTTCACGGCTTTTTTGTGGTGAGGTGATGTTGATACAACGTGGCTGAATTTGGCACAGGTGCTGAGGATGAAAGCGAGGGTTTTGTCGAGCACAGGAGGGAGGACGAACAGTTGACTACATAGCGGATGATGCTGAGGGAGAGGCGAAAGGTGTTTACGTCTTCAGGCTTTTCGCTAAGGGGCTGGGCAGATAGGAGTTTGACAGAGCTTGAAGGCAACTTTGGGGAGTTAACCCTAACCCGGGCGATGATTGGAAAAATTGTGCTCTGGTGCTGCGCACAGATATTTCCCGGCGTCAGATCCAAGGCTCTGAAAATATCAAGATCTCAGAGTTGAGACATGGACGATATGTGCTGGGGTCGGATTTCACAAGCATCCGGGTATGGTTATCTCGTTGTCGCAGCCTTTGCAGCTACTACTTTATTACTGTGGCCTGGGAAGGCGCTTTTGAAAGTGATGGTTCCCGAGCCACCTACTGATTGTTTTTCTCTGTGAGGAAAGTCTTGACTCGACAGAAATTAACACGTGTTGGACGTGATAGAGTACGGCCGTTACTTACCAAAGTCATTGTGCACATTGTGAGCGCGAAAGTCACTGTGGAACAGCAGATAAGTACTAGTATTTTACGAGGTTGATGCAAATCCACAAGGGATACAGGTCATAGGAGCCATCGCATTTCATTGGCATACCCCAGACGCATTGACTCCTTTCATGTCGTATACGTGCCGAGCGATGAAGGAACGCAGCTGGGTACGAGAGGGATGTGCGAGGAGAAAGATATCGATTATGACGCCCCAAGCTTGATAGTGACATATCGGTCCCTTGGTGTTAGAATTGGGGGGTTCTCTTACTAATCACAATTCAGGAGGTGTGCTAAGTACCCCTCTTGGTGACATATCGGCTCACAATAGGGAAAATGCAGTATATCAATGTCGAAGGAATCACAGTTAACTATGAATCATCTTGCACTCAATTCTACCTCGAGCACTTGACCTACTCTTTAAATCCTCCAACATTGGTAAGTAGCCATGAGCGAGAAAGAGATCTACGAGAAGGTCCAGGAGCGCTATGGCTCAGCTGCAAAATGCAAGGATGATAACCATGGGGACAAAATTGCGAAAGTATTTGGTTACAGCGAGGAAGAACTCAAGAGTATCCCTCGACATGCTAATCTCGGTTTGAGCTGTGGAAATCCGTTAGCATTGGCGAAGCTTAAAGAGGTTGTCCTCAAGATTCTCTACCTTCTGCTCTGTTCAAGACATTATCTAACCGTGACGCAGGGGGAGACTGTGATCGATCTCGGCAGCGGCGCAGGGTTTGATGTATTGCTTGCGGCCAAAAAAGTCGGCTCGAGTGGGAAAGTCATCGGCGTCGATTTCAATAAGGTGTAAGAAGCTTGCAAATCCTGCCGGCGCATTCCGAGGATGAGACTGACAAAGTGGATAGGATATGGTTAAGCGCGCAAACCAGAACAAGGAGAAAGTCGAGACGAATAATGTTTCCTTCATCGAATCCTTCATCACTGACATACCTCTCCCTGACACGACAGTTGACTGCGTCATCAGTAACTGTGTGATAAATCTGGTGCCCGAATCAGACAAGCAAAATGTATTCAATGAGATATACCGCTTGCTTAGGCCTGGTGGTCGTGTCGCAATAAGCGATATCCTTGCTAAACACGAGCTTCCGGAGCATGTCAAAAGTAACATGGCATTATATGTTGGATGCATAGCAGGCGCAAGTCGGGTGGAGGATTACAAAAAGTATCTTCGGGAAGCAGGATTCGCCGGTAAGGATCAGAAACTCCAACATGCAACTCCCCTGTCCTATAACAAATGTTCTGATTTTGGGCTGTATTGGCCAGATATCTTGCTACACGACTCCGGGACCGACCTCAACATCTACAACACAGCCAAAGGAGATATAAAAAACTGCAAATGCTGTGGCGAGGGTGTAGAGAATGCCTGCTGTGAGAAAACTGCAACCTGTTGCAGTGGTTTGAACCCTGCCTCAGGGAGGTCCTTCAATCCGATCAGCTCCGACCTCGAAAACGTTGATTTCAATGAGTTAGCAGGTATGCAATCAACTCATGTAGCCCTTTAACCTTCTGAAGACCGCTCACTAGTATATCAGGCGCGTTCAAAATCTATGCGATCAAAGCTTGAAAATGTCTATTGCATGGGAGGCAGGGTTCAGAGAATCTTAACTCACGAAGTGCAAATCTCCAAAACTTTGCGGACGATGGCAGGGCTTTTTAGCAAACATGTGACAAACACTCAGGGCTCAGGATCCCCGGATCATTAAGCTTACTGATGCTGGTAATTATACCTGGCTTCACGAGAGACACCACAAATTCAGTTTCTTTTTTTACTATCATCCCGTTTTATTAGACTCGTTGCCCATTCCCGGTGGCAAATTCGTGAACTACACTCGAGACAACCAGTGCTGTTCTCAAAAGGCAATTCAAACCCTAGATATGTTCCCTTTTCTATTTTATCTCTTTGTACCGCATGTGATATTGCAAGTCACGGTATCCGACTTGAGGCGCCGATTCGCACGCCTGGGCATCTATCCCAATGGCGAGCATTCACGTGGGTGATTTCCAGCATTGTGTTAGAATCAGTCAGTATGGGCAAAGAAATACTGCGTTGAGATTCTTATCAGCATCTCACGAAAAGACTAGTCTCTAACACCATTGGACGTAATGCGAATCGTTACCAGAGACTAGTGTATCAGCCAAATTCTCCTGAGTGTATAGTGCAAAGGGAAAGCCAAAGTTCTATTGCAATCCGGAATCTGCGAATAGGCTGATAATTGATAACGGATTGGCCGACCAATTCTAACAGCCACAATGAACTGTAATTTGCTATTTAAATACTATGTTGAGCAATTGATAATACTGGTTACTCTACTATAGAAGTCCTGCATTCATCGCCTTACCTAAGAGAAATTTTATATACAAGTCTCTTAAATTTCGTCGGGGTTTCCACTGTTCGAGGCGCGCGTTTTATTTACAGTAAATTACAAAGGTCATCCATCGACTTGGTCCTGGACACGTACAGAATTAGGCTCCAGGGCTATTCACGAACTCAGGTCGTTTTCGTTTCGACGCTAATTGTTCGGGCCTCCTAGGTTCCAGGTTATAGGAACCGTCGAAAAGCATCTTTAGCAGAAAAGTGGGGAAAGTTCCCACGCAAGTGAACAGTCGTCGACAGAAAGTCATACAATCATGGTTTAATTCTCCCCTTGGACCTTCACGAGTAACCTGGCTGATGCGTAATGCCACGAATTATTGGTGGCCCCGGTCTTTCAGTGCTGCACCATTAAAACGCGTCACCAGATTACGATTATATGTCACTAACTCCACGCATATTCAATGACTCCTTGTTGAAGGTTTTCAAGGAGAGAACGCCTTATTCTTCTCAATTGATCCAGAATTTGCTGTTCTAAGTAGCATTCCCAGGGACAATAGACAGAGAAGAGAACAGGAACCATGCGAGAAAACAGGGATAATTCTAATGCTTATCGGTTGCATACTGAGGCACTGGATATACTTCCACCCCTCAACTTTTGGTTAGCCTTCAACAGTACCGTATTACTGGATCACGTGTTTTGCAAGCCCAAGGCTTTGCTAGGGAGAATTTGAGGTTCCATGACGATCTTCTTCAAGTTGTGAGGTTGAGAGATCAGTGGTACAAATATTCTAGGAATAAATGTAGAATATTCGGGCTGGACTATCCTGTCGAATTCTGCGACTGTCGGTCAAACAGTCCTCTCCGGAATTGTTACAAGCATGTTGCGACACTGGTGCTCCGATAAGCTGCCGTTGACATGCCTCAAGAAGAGATCTGGTACTCTTTTTCCAGTGTATTATGCTAAGTCTTAAGTAATGTCTAAGTCTCACACCCTGATCTAGGCAATTGTTCTTCGCCTCTCGGGCTGGGCTCCTGCCTACACCAAGTCGTTTGTAAGTGGCTTTCGTTCGCTAAACCGATCACTAAATAGACCAAAGTGCGGCCGCATAATGATGGTATATTTAACAAACTCCTCAGCACAGTCGACAAGTCGATCTCGATGCCCTCCCGGAAACAGCCTCGAACCTCCTTCAGCAGCGCCTTCTTCGGTAAATAAAGTATATGCCTGAGGAACGGACGACTGGTTCGGAATAGTGAACATACGCATCCATCTACCCAAGACACGAAGGCTATTTAGAGTATTGAAAGACTGCGATCCGCCGGAAACCATTGCTAATCCTAAAGTACGTCCTTGTGTCGGTCGCACGGACCCTGTACTTAGAGGAATCCAATCTATCTGGTTCTTAAAAACTGCGGTTAAATTACCGTGTTGTTCTGGCGAGACCCAAAAGTGCCCGTCGCTCCAGCGGCTTAGATCTCGCAACTCCTGTACTTTTGGATGGTTATGTAGTTGATCGTCCTTAATAGGTAGTCCGTGGGGGTCGTATACCCGTACATCACATCCGAGACGCCAGAGAATACGCGAAATTTCGAATGCGAGTAGTTTCGAGTAGGATCTAGACTCTTGGGTTAGCAGTGGCTTTTAAACCAGCGGAATTTACTCGCCTCTGGCGGAGACTGCCATAAAGTATCAAAACTTTCAGCCTCTCTCCCCTCAGCTCCAATTCATTATGCGCTAATTCAGTTGCAGTTGCTAGTTCCAATCTGCTTATCCAGTCTTCTTTTTGGATTTCGTCCGGTAGAAGAAATGGTCTGTATTTTGAGCGGACTAGAGAATCATCTTTGGATGGGTGAATTGCAAGTGATAGGTGTGCAAAACGGAGATCTCGATGAGGTTTTAGAACATCGCGCATAGCTTTCGTGTTATTCAAATCGCCGTTTCGACGCTCTAGCTTTGCAGCTTCTTCTGATATCCGAGGATCCTGTGCCTCAGCACAGGCAGGCAAGCGGTCAAAGGTAGGTGCGACAAGCATAGCGTAGATTGTAGATGTAAATTTTCTCGTAGAGGCGCGGCGAATATATGGAAAAAGCTGTAGCGAAGTTGCGGGGAAGTGTGCAGGATTTGATAAATGTGAGGCCAACAAACGCTGCTTGGTATGGGTGACATACATAAGATAGGTCGCAGAGACTGATAGTCAATGAAGAAACAGAAGCAGTCACAGTTAATGATGGAGTGGAAGGAGTAGTATGGTGAACTGCTCGTTGAGGAGACCAGAAGGAAAGTGGCCGCCACTTAGTCACTCGACGGGTTTGATTGGGCACTGAATGGGGCGACGGCTCAGAGTGGATTGCCTGAACTATTCGTCGGGAATAACCCTGAAGCCACCTGCCACCAATTAAATGAGTGCTGAAGCAGGTCGTGAATTACCTCGTACCGAGTATAGGAGCTGCCAAGTCCCTACGCCACTTCCCATCATTTACAGCTCTGTCGACATATTTCTTCGCTCCTTTCTCATAATCACGAATCATCTCCACATACAATGGACGCAGGTACAATGATTCGTAGTCGGCATTGGAAACGTTCATGACGCTATACCTACAGTTCGCCCTAGGGGAGTCACTGCAAACCATAACACTAGGACTGTCGTCTAGATCCGATGAAATGGCCGCCGAGGTGAGTTGTCAAGGTACTAACCATATGTTGAGCCAGATCACTTATGCATATTAGAAATCGTTACTCCGACAGCAGACTGATAGAAACCGGGTCAACCAGCGCAATTTTCGTGCCCGACGCCATGAGTACGTTCGTGATCTCGAGCGCCGTATCCGACGATTCGAAAGTGAAGGGCTTCAAGTCACCAGAGAGGTTCAAGCGATCGCACAATCCGTAAACAACACGAATGAAAGACTGGTGTGGATACTTGAATCAAAATTCGGTGTCACTAAACGCCAAATCGACGAATACCTTCGAGAATCGAACATCGTTTTTGATATTGAGGCACGAAGCCCTTTGCGGCAGAGGCGCGCGGATCGGATATCCGCAAGTCCCAAGCGGTCACCCCGGACTATACTTCTCACCCATGATGCTGACCGAGTTTTCTGGACGACAGCTGGCCTCGACCAGGGTTTGGAAGGCGTGTCGCTTGTGGTTGAGGAAAGTCAGATCAACCGACGATTAGTGCAACCATATGGGTGCGAATCAGCATTGGCCATTGCCTACCCAACACATGGACATTCTTTACAACCAACAGGACTTACGCCTGAGGTTTCGCCACTTCGATATCACTCTACACTAGTTGGAGACGAAACAGTCCTTCAGAATCAGCAGGATAACATTGATAGATGCAGTCCCAGATCTGGTCCTCGCTTGGATTCTGTTCCTGAAAATCAACCACAATATACGTACGACTTGTCTGAGGAGAATACCACGGATGCTCTTACTGGAGAAACCTCATGCGAAGAAGCCGCGAGTATAATCATCAGCGTACGTGGCAACAACGTTCATGAAGAGGTGTGGAGTGAGCTAGGTTGTAGCATAAAGCAGAGCTGCAGAGTTAAGACTACCTCGGTCTTCGAGCTCCTGGACAGGGATTGATCACAATCTATATATTAGGCACCTTCTTAGATAGCCCAAAGTTTGAAAAAGGACAGTTCGAAAGAGCACCTCAAGGTCGTGGTGCAGTTTTTATTGAGATATACCAATCAACGAGCATTTAGGAAAGTTCAAATTTTTCGGCCCTTATCGATCACATCTGTGGACATCGAGAGGGAAAGTTATTTGGTACCATGATCAACAATAGCCAAGACATCACAGTGGGCATTAGAGAAGACCGATAAGGGCTCCGACTACAGAACACCGAGTTCTACCAGGGAATTCACATTTTACACGGGCAACTCAGTGGATTTTCAGTCTTACACCGAGCTGAATCAACACGACGGTGAGAGAAAAGAGGCGGAAGATGGGCCTCCCGGTAGTGGGGATCGAGTCAGGCCTTCGGGGACTTGACGTTGTTTCTAATAGTTTGACTTGTTACCGTCGAACACGGTTCCCGCTTATGATCCAATGAGACTTAACACCAAGGACCTACTAGCTGTGTCTAGGGACAAAGTGCTCGAACTCATCAAACTCGGGGAGTTCACGTCTTCCGCTCATCAACAGGTTACCTTCAACATATCCCTTCTGGCACGAACTGGATCGAAGGGACCTCTTGCTCACAAGGACCTAGTCATCACTCAGACATAGAGTGTACGATCCGGCGGAAGAGCACGACGTGAAAAGCCAGCAAATGGCAGCTAAGGAGTAGTAAAGGGTTGGCAAAGACGTCATTCGCGTAACTGAATCTTGTTAGGCACCAGCTGCACTTTGGATCCGACAATAACATGCCCTAAATACTGTGAGAGGAAGTTGACTATTTGAGCTTAAAGGAAGATATGTTATCTATTAATGACTATCTCCGCAACTACCTTGTAGTGAATACCCAGCTTAGACTCTGATGAATGTCGATGCCCACTCCAACAATTCTTGAAATCAGGATTGCGCCTTTTAGTTAATGTATGAAATTTGCGAATCCACCCTTTTCCATTTGTTTGAATTTCGTGCTACGTTCGGTTCGTTTGTGGTACAGTGAATTAATCTTTCCATCTCCATCGCGGTGCAATCCACCTGACAAAGTAGACTAGTGAAATTAGAACAGGAACCTCTATCAGTGGGCCAACCGTTGTCGCCAGCGCTTCGTCACTGTTTGCTCCGAAAGTTGCAACTGCAACGGCGATTGCCAGCTCGAAGTTGTTGCTAGCTGCCGTGAAGCTTTGCGTCGTTGATAGCTTGTATCCAAAGCCCAACTTTTTCGTGACCCACAGGGTCAAAGAAAAGATAACCACAAAGTAAACGATAAGTGGTGCTGCAACCCGCACAACCGAGACAATTTGGTGCACAACCTGTTTCCCCTGTGACGCAAACATCACCAATATAGTGTATAGGAGTCCGACGAGCGACCAAGGCGCAATCCATTTGATGAATTTCTGATCGTACCATTTGGCATTGATGGCACGAAGTATAAATCGAGTTGCAATCGCTGCACCAAGAGGTATTCCAAGGAAAACGCCAACACTACGTGCAACGACTGGGTAGGAGGCAGACCTAGCGGTTCCATGGCTGATGACGTTGACAAAGAGGATTGCAAGCGGGGCGTAGAGCACCATTTGAAGAATAGAATTCACAGCGACCAATATGGCACAGTACTCCTCGTCGCCACCGGCAAGACCAGTCCAGATCAAAACCTAAAAGTAAAGTCAGCCTCTCGCAGTATCGAAATGACCGTAGACACTAACCATCGCAATGCAACGGGCCAGCCCGACAAATATTAGACCGTTTCTTAAGCCCGGTTCATCTGGGAGGAATGCCCAGGCCAACCCGAGCTGTCCCTGGTTAGCAGTGACACGGTTTTTCTCGCTTTGGACGCACAACTTACCATTAAGAGAGGTGCCACAACCCAATTAACCAAAATACTAAAACCTAACTGTACCCAAATCTGACGATGCGCAAATACCCGGTGTAAAGATTCATACTTTACTTTGCATAAAATGGGATACATCATTACCAAAAGACCCACGGCTAGAAGCCAGTTAGCTCCTCCCGCGCCTGGTGAAGGTTGTTCTATCTTACTCACCAATAGGAACAGACACATCAACAAATTTCCCTCGCTGCAGTGCCGGTCCAACACTTTCGACGAAATTGCCTAGCAGAATCCCAATGACAATGGCGAGCAAGATCCAGAGTGCGAGAAGACGGTCGAGCCAGCCGAGTCCGGCGTAGACAGATTTCTTTGCCACGACAGGTGCATTTGTACATTGCTTTTCTTCGTCCGGTTGCAATTGACCATGGCCGGTCTGCGCATGTGGGGGTGCGGGTGCGGGTGCGTGATGCACCTTTGGGTCGTAGTTTTCCTGAGTGCTCATGACGATACTCAACGGAGTCTGGGAAGGGTCTTTGATTGAAGAGCAGGAGAGTAATCAAGGATTAGTGGGCGTTCTTGATAGTGAGACCATGGGAGTAGTTGGCCAAATTTATACACTCCTGTTGACGAGTGGCAAAGCTTGCCGGCTTCAAAATCTATCCTTGGGTACTTGACCAACGCAGCATTCCGCCATCTTGACGCAGTCCATCAGACCAATCATGAGCGCTGAGTGACAAAGCCAAGACACTACTCCCCCGAGCATGGCCAAGGGGCCCTGTCTGTGATATCCCCCATAACCTTTCCTCTTCTACATCTAAGAATTTGGTTCACATTTTCTTGCTCTGCTCTAGGCCCTTGTGGTGACTTCTATTTTTCTAAGCTTTTGAAGACTTCGTTATAGTCTGATCAAACACTCTAATTTGAAATATCTCCATAATTCCAGCAACAAATCTCCTACCTATTGGTTACCTGTCTCGTGTATGTCCCACGACCAGCGGCTCTTTATCCGCTGCTCTAGATACTAGCCATATCCCGTAACACCTCCTCCGCCACACTCCAGTGGATTCCCCAGCCATGTCCAAAGCCCCAGCGTGGCACGAGGCGTATCCCCCGCCACGAAATGCATCCCCTCCGACAATTGCACGCGAGGACTTGTTGACCAAATTACAAATGGGCAAGCAGCCAGGCATTGACTTCCTTCTCGTCGACTTGCGCCGGACAGATCACGAGGTATTTAGACAGCTATTCGTTCTCTCTTGATGATCGTGAAGAACGCTGAGGTTTTAACAGGGCGGCACAATCAAAGGATCCATCAACCTCCCTGCCCAGAGCCTATACCCTAGCTTACCGACTCTACTGACCTTGTGCCAAGCCGCAGGTGTGAAGAAGGTAATCTGGTACTGCGGTAAGTTCGCTCAAATGGAGAAAATCTAGGGTTGGCAGTTGTTGACCTATCGTGCTTATTTCGACGTTAGGCTCATCGAAAGGCCGCGGATCCCGAGCAGCCGGCTGGTTTGACGATCTCATTAAGGACAGAAGCATCGAAGGCATCAGTAGTCTCGTTCTCAAAGATGGTGTCGCAGGCTGGGCACATGCAGGAGATGATTACACCTCGCTAATGGAAGAATATAATGCCTCGACTTGGGCTGCTCAAAAGTGAAGGATTTGGTAGTTTCCACTCAGCCTAGTGTCAACCCGAGTGGGAATGAAATCTACCTCTTAGTATGCCCTTATCCTGTACTGCTTAGAATCTATCGAATCATCCAACCACACGAAGTCTAACTTGAGCTTACCGCTTTATCTCAGGCTCAGGTTGCGAAAAAGCGACCTGAGAAGTGTAAATACAGTGCAGCCTTTCCTAGAGCTAAACCCACGAGAGACAACGAACGTGAATGCAAGTGAGACATCTAGATGGCTTCCTGAGACTTTTACTGCGGCCGAGAGGCCTAGCATCGCCGTCATGCAAGTCACAAAACTGAAAAATAACTGGAAACTACAGGTCGGCTAATATGACCTCAACAGCGACTCCCTGAAGATGTACGATCATGTCAAATTCCCATTGAGGCGCGATTTGCAAGTTCAGACCATACATACCAGCCAAGTGTCCAAAGAAGTCAACCATTGTTTCCTTGAATTGGAGTCAAACACTGGCGCATGTCGATAAATCTTCGAATATAACCTCTTCAGGTGAGAACAGCTTACCCATCTTCGAGTTCATTTCAAGCAGTCATAGATTCGCGCATTGAATACATGGGCAAAATACCCGGTGGACCAAGTCAAGTAATAATTTGCTAAGAAATACCACTTCAGATATACCACAATATGGAGGCAGGAAGAACCACAAATGTGCCCTTAGTTCATCCTGTCAAAGCACCTTAAAGCTGTCTCAAGCCAATGAGACTGCTAGAATGGTTGCACGTGTGCAAAAGATCGATTCTGTTCGATGCCTTAGTAGTTCAGGAGCGATTGCTATCTGTCGGTCATCCATTTCATTCGATCTGCCATCTCCAGATCTTTGGATTTGAAAGCAAAGTGTGCGGTTAAACAAGATGGTGTATCCCGAAGATCGTCGGAAGATATCGACGTGCGGCGTATGACCGAAGCAAACGAATCAACATTGTACAGTGACACAACAAGTAGCATTCATCAAGTTTGTCATTGCAAGAATCTCCTTGCGAAATCCACAAATCCGGCCGATGGAGTAGACTAAGAGTTGACACTCGGGTTAGTATTTTCAATCGCACAGAGAAGCCATTAATTCAATGCGGAATGATCCAATAGTTCTATCAGATGGACTGTCCACCTCTAAGCAACTTTTACTTCAATCTATGTCTGTACCTCGTTTTATGGTTGGTATGATGTAAAAGTCTGTGAGATTCAATTTCACTCATCGTTGGAGTGGACGGCAGGACCATATCAAACCTCCATTAGGATTTCATACTCGCCAATTTCTATACCCGTAATCTGCCCATGGATTGAGTTCTAGCATGGTCGGAAATACCTTGATACATCATATGTGCTGTATCTTGGAACTCCTGGACTAACTTGTTGGAAAGAGGATTGGAAGCAAGGCTTGCAGAACTTGGTGTCGGTAGAACCTAGCACGCCACCCAGCAAGAGAGTGGCAGCCGAAGAGGCAGTTGCGTCCCCGCCGGGTATTGTTTCTATTCTTCAACTACGCCTTTGAATGACGACTCGGGTAGTCCACAGACAAAAACTTGCGAGGATGTAACAAACACCACAGAAAATCTGCGGGTAAAGATATACTCGCGTGTGATCTGGACGACGAAGCTCAAGAGCGATCACCTCCGAGACTATTGTTTTTATATCTAGTCAGCCGCACCATTTACTGTTTGGGACGTCGAGCCTTACTTACAAGTGAGAGGCAGGACAACGGATAGCCACGAAAGCGTTAAAAGTGACTGAAGCTGCCTCAAGCCAGCAACCTCGACGCAGAGTGGTCCAATAGTCTGCCGGTCGTTAGTGATAAACCCTTAGAAATACATTGACCTAGCCTTACCACCCAGAAAACACCAAGGATCGCACCACTTATTATGGCAAAGAAGACGGTCAAGCCAAATGACGAAGCTGGGACCCAGAGTCCCAAGCAGCACACTCCACAAAGCAAGGTGAGACCGCTTGCTATCTCGAATCGACCAAGGCGGTCACTGGCAACACCAATGAAAGGCCTTCCAACTGCGGTTCCCAAATTGAGGAAGGCTGTAATCTGCGTAGCTTGTTTGCGAGACAGATCAATTGAGAGTGCAAAGTCAGACAGCGAATAAAGCAAGGTAACATAGCCTAACATGCTAATGAACGACCACGCCAGTAGGAAGAAGACGTCCCAACGCCGGATTAGATCGAGATCGAATGGGTGCTGCTTCGGGCGAACAATAGCATTCCGGTCGCGGATGAACGTGGCAGACAGCAAATTTGCTGCTAAAGCTATGAGCCCAATAGCTCTCAATGACCAAGCGTGCCCAAAATTATCAATCATTGCCCCAGCCGCAAATGAAAAGATCAATCCGCCAATACCAGACCCTGCCGCGCTGATACCGTTGGCCAGACTTCTTCGATGGGCAAACCACTGCGAGAGAACAGGAATGCTGGGGATATACATGAATCCCACGCCAAAACCCACAAGCAGCCCTTGGGAGACGTAGAGGTGCCAAATTTGAGATGAGAAAGAGGCTGCGATAAAAGCTCCTCCAAGCATGACAGCCCCGGCGTACATGGGAAGTCGCATTCCAAGTGACCGAACTAATACTGTCACGAGTGGTGCCACAAGCATAGCCGCTCCGAAATTCAACCCACCAATAAAAGCGTAGTCGAGTGGTTTGGCCTCCGGGAAAATAGGGGCAGAAAGATAGTAGGACAGGAAGACCCCGTATGACTTTACTGGTGGTCAGGCTAGTAACAAAGGGTGTGAAAATCGGTGCTTACCGCAACAACACCCCACGTGAAGCAGTTGACAGCAAAACAACAGATCAAGCATATCCACCCATATCCGCCATCGGGGGGTTCTGGTGGAACTCTTTCTCCGGATGCACACCCATTTTCGAAAGCGAGTTCTTCACAGTTGGCCGCGTTTGTTGTGGACGACTCCATTGGCACATTGGGGCTTGTGGCCATGTCGCGGGTATTGCGTTGTATCCAGGCGTAACGGTGCAGGGAGGTTGTATCGGCGCCATAAACGCTACATAAATTATGAGAGTGTGTTAAGGGAATAGGCGGATAGTATCCTTGGTTTCGGTGGTAATAACGATGATATTGATATGTCGCAAGTGAATATATGTACCGGTGCGTGAGCATCCAAAACCCCAGCGACAGAGGATTGTTCCTGTGGCGTGTGATTGGCGTGTCAGCAGCGGTATGTCACCACTGGTATGTCACTGTGATACGTCACTACAAAATTTGGCGAAGGTCAAGCCATCTCCCACTAGTAATCGCCTTCAGCACCCCAAACTATTGCTGTAAGGCCTTAGCGATCCGCCGTATGGCACTACTAGTTTCCTGGCGCACTTCAGCCAGGAGTCTGTGGCAACGTCCAACGTGCCGCTCAGAAAGAGGTTTAGTTACAAATGTCCTCAAGTAGAGGACTTTTGTGGATTGATTTTGATGCCAAGTCAGCTGTTCGAGATCCAGGAGCCATCAAGTATAAAGAATAGGACAGTAGTCATGAGGTAGAGAACAGAGACAATTTCAACATATTTGATGCAGTCCTGAGAGGCCTGAGAGCATCATATGCCCATCATTCCATCAAGTCCGCGATCAAAATCCTCCTTGAGCAATTATCACCCGCGATGATATTCGAGTAGCAGTTATGACATGCTCTTAATCCAAGCACTAGGATTTACGACATCACAAATTAAGTCTTTGCATGAGCGGGACTAAGGTCTTTACATATTCCAACGTGTAGGCTACTTCAGCAAAGTTGATCAAGAGAAACACACTATGTGATAACTGTACTCATGTAGTGTGAAGTACAGTTTGATGTTAGTCCGGGACTGGCGACGTCCAGTCCTCACTTGTGGAATGTTGCACGACAATTTCGAGTAGCCCGATGCTGTGGACTAAGGAGGATCGAGGTTTGAGGGACTTTGATGGTTCCGTTTTTCGATCTTCAAAGGGTTAAGTCGTCATAGGCATATCCATGGAATGTTCAAGCCAAGAGTGGAACGGCTATGCCCCGGAAAAATGTCCTAAGAAACATAACAAGGAGGAGGGCTTCATGTACTATGCTTTACGTCGTATGGAGCATCTCACGTGAGATCAATAGCCAGCAAGATGCATCAGCGGCATAAAACAAGGATCATAAGGCGTCTAGTAGAAGGACCTAATTGTGCTAGGACACCATTGCTGTGTGATTCGCCTTATTGTTCGTCCATTTTCAGAGGAATATTTCTCAAAAAAGACGAGAAAGGGCCAGAGGACGGATACAAAGCGGCTGTGGCAGAGGACTCGAAATCGCCAATATCAACACTGCGGTCGTTTTCAACCAAAAGGCATGCACCATGCATCGCACGGCGCCCGCAGAAAAACCTCACTGTGGAAAGCTAAGGACAGCTTTCACGAGCCTAGCCAGAAGCTTCTCCCGACCTTAGAGGGCTGAAATTACGCCGCTGGTGAATTAGCTCCGAGACAGATATGCGGCATATGAGCTTATAGATGTAGATTGTAAATCATGGTATAGTGTAATGTCATGGGACAAAAATTGCGGTGGTTGCGAAAATACAACGTGAAGCCACTCCAGGCGGTGAAGTGGAGCCATATAAGAGTTTGGCGCTTGAAAGCTCAAAGTATATGCTGATAGTCATGATTCAGAAGAGTGTTAGCACTGACGAGCAGACGAAGATAATACTGGATCCAGGTTATCACAGGCGCTTGAGCCGGGTCCACCGTCGTGTGTAGGTAGGAAGTAGCTCCCGCTTAATTCCATTGATGTCGGACTTGCCCGTACCGGATATCAGCCTATCGACCTGTGCTACAGCCAGAAGATAGACTTTCACACGGCGTGGACTTGGCCATTAGTCAATTTATCACGCATGCGGACAAATATTTGTATAATTTATTCTCTAACAATATAATCTATTTGTTCTCTACCAATATAATCAGATATGGCTGCTGCCGTACCCAAAGATGACCCAATGTTTCAGATTCCCACAGTCGACATTTCAGGTTATCTCGCTGATCAGACTTCGGCGGCAGCGGATGAAGTAGTCGACAAGATACGTGCCGCTTGCATTACGAGTGGTTTCTTCCAGGTTACAGGTCATGGTATATCGGAATCCGCCAGGGATGGTGTATTGAATGCGGCGAAATTGATCTTCGATCTATCGCGTGAGGAGAAGCTGAATCTCAGTGGTGTACCTGGGCGAGGCTATGAGGCTATTGGGGATCAAGTTTTGGAGCCAGGCAAAAAAGCGGACCTGAAGGAGGTAGGTGACCTATCGTGCTGTATTTCAACAGCAGCCCTTTGATGTCCAACGCTATGATATGCTATTATTGTACCTTGCCCATGGGGACGGAATACATCCTGATGTCGCAATCTAGGGCTATTATATAGGCCGTGAGATCCTGAACAATAAGCCACCCTACCGACCATTCCACCACCCCAACATATGGCCAACCGAGAAGCAAATAGCCAACGAGTACTTCAAAGACCCTGTGGTCAGGTACCATGAGGTGATTTCAAACCTTTCAGCACACCTAATGCAAATCCTTGGACGAAGCCTTCAGGACATAGACACCAGCATATTCAAGGACTTCAGTCGCGAGCCTATCGCTGTCGTCCGCCTTCTCCACTACCCACCGCACCCGACGACGGACGACCCAGAGCTCGTCGGTGCAGGTGCCCACACAGACTTTGGAGCCATCACATTACTGCTCCAGGACGGACACAGCGGTCTACAGGTCCTCAACCAAGACACGGAAGAATGGGTCGACGTGCCACCCAACAAGGACTCGTATGTCGTCAACGTCGGCGATATGCTCAATATCTGGACGGCTGGCAGGTACAAGAGCAGTGTTCATCGGGTCATCAACACGAGCGGCACGGACAGATATTCTGTGCCGTTCTTTTTGGACGGGAATGCTGATTGTGTCATTAAGCCATTGGATGGGTCGGAGGGACTGCAGGTCACGGTGGAAGAGCATATGCTGTCACAGTTCGCTGCGAGTTACAAGTTATGATGTCTCATGAACCCCCGGGTTCTTGGAGATTAGAAGGACTAAATAATACCAGGAAGCTGCTGTGCTAGAAATCTCCCATCTAGATTGTTAGTTATGTGTAGAGAGTATGTGATAGCTGTGATACAATGTTGACTTACGTCTCCACCTCAAGGTACCGCGGGGAGACATGTAAATCGTCGTATAAAGCCAATGCAGGTACCAAGCCAGGACCAGACAAAGTCTTTGCGATGCCTCTGCAAATGGTGACGACACCCGCGTTTTGGTTCTCGTGTCAACTTGGCGATACGCGAATCCAACCTCGGCGTGCGTCATGCCAAAAAGAAAGAAGCTCTACAACATCTATCAGTGCTCGCCCGTGCAGAGTCCCAAATCCTTAGCCATGAGATAATGTGAGACAATATTTACTCCACTCATGTCTTTGGTTTCTCAACGTGGTAAGAAGGGCAGAGTCAAGGTCAACTTGAGTGGCAAGGGCTACTGAATCCACTCCAAGGTTGGAATATAAATTTAAGATTAGACCTTCCTCACCTGTCTGAAAAGACCTTTTCGCTCTTGGTCACCATCGTTGGCTTTTGGTTGCTGTAGTCAGATCACCACATTGGAGTCGCCGCAGAATATTAATCATTATGTCTCCTCCAACCAAGCTAGGGTTCGTCCTTCTCGGGCTGTCCGGCGTCTTCCCAAGTGTTAACGCCCAACTGCAGGGCTTCAATTATGGAGCCACGTTTGAAGACGGCTCTTGCCGCCTAGGATCGGACTACGCAGGAGCTTTCAGCAGTGCTCGTAACCTAGCAGGCACCAATGGCGGCTTCATATCTGCACGCCTCTATACGACTATCCAGTGCGGAACAAGTAACGCACCAATCTCGGCGATCCAAGCAGCCATAGATACCGACACGTCGTTGCTGTTGGGTCTTTGGGCTAGTGGTGGTGATGCAATTTTCGATAATGAAATTGCTGCATTGTCGAGCGCGGTAGCTCAATATGGTTCGGGATTTACAGATCGAATTATCGGCATCAGCGTTGGATCGGAGGACCTCTACCGATCAAGTCCACAGGGCATAGCCAATGAAGCAGGTGTGGGTGTTGAATCTGCTACTATTGTCCGGTACATCCAGCGTGTGAGGCAGCTTGTCGATCAGACACCGCTGTTGGCAGGAAAGCCGATAGGTCATGTGGATACGTGGACTGCTTGGGTATTGCCCGAGAATGCGCCTGTTGCATCTGCGGTCGACTGGCTGGGTCACAATTCGTTCCCGTACTTTGAGGACACTCTTCCAAACTCAATCCATGAGGCTGAAATTGTCTTCTTCAATGCTCTTGGTGCCACTGAGGGAGTGAGCGGTGGAAAGGAGGTCTGGGTCACGGAAACAGGATGGCCTCACTGTGAGCTTCCTCTGCACATGGGATGATGCTAGCGAGCATTTGCTAATAATATCAAAAGCTGGACCAACTTCGAACCTTGCTGTTGCATCTGTCGCAAATGCACGAAGCTATTGGTCCACTGTGGGTTGTAGTTTGTTCGGGTCTCGAAATGTGTGGTGGTACACGTTGTCCGGTCAGTGCTTCACTAGTTATGCAACAAGACGCAGTCTTAGAACGCGACTGACAATATCTAGACGCGAATACTGCCCAGACCGAAATCTCATTCGGTGTTGCTGGACCAGGAAACCCTCCTTCAACGACTCCGATTTACGACCTGACGTGTTGAAAATGCCCTCAAGACTAGGAGGAGCGCTTCAAGATTGCCATGCTACGGCTGTCAGTGCTCGGCCAGTATATCAATATTTGGCATTCCCATGTAACATGATCAGACGTAGATGCGTTTAGCTGCAGGATCATGTATCAATAGATCCTGTTACCATTTCGGTGCCCTGAATATTCTTCGAAAGCAGTGGCGTGCACCGGCCAAATACCTGGATTCTCCTGCATTTCCATCCAGCCATAGCTTGTTCATTGTCGACTTCTTCTCATCATCATACCCATAGCAACGTTGTGGCTCAAAATCGTGGGACTTCAGAGAAAAGTCAAATGTAGACTGGAATTTTGGATCAAATCGAGATTTCCTTGATCTTCATGAGAATCTAATCACATGCCATTAGCAACACCAGTGATGACTGACACCAGGAGACGAAGAACAGTGCTTACCTTTTCAATATAGCGGACTGCAACCAGAATCCCATCTTCATCCTCGAAATCGCTTTCCTCCCCAAGAGTGGTAACTCCTTTGTCCAGACAGGTCAGACAAGCTACAACGATCTCAGTATATCTCTTTCCCATCTTATGAGGCAGTCGCTCCTTGGCCATGGCAACTAAGATATTCTTGATCTCGAACGCTTTCTTCCGCTCATCCTTAAGTTTCAGGAGGTCGTCAAAACCAAGTATCGGGTTGGGTGATGGCTCATCTGCAGTCGCTTGCCAAAGTACGAACGATATCCACAAGCCGATCTCGAGAAGGCAAACACCCAAGCTGTAGACGTCGTGTTGCATGGTGAAGTCTTCTTCCAAAATGAGTCCTTGACGTTTGGGGTGTCGGTATAAATTGCGTTCCCACCGTGAATCTCCTGCTCGATGGGTATGGCGATCGATTGGACGGAATTTTTCAAACCCAACGAGGAAGGGAACGCCAACTCCAGATGAATCACTCTCCAAGACGAGCACGGTCTCAGGCCGTATGTTCTTATGGACAAATTGAGCATTGTGGATGAAGAGGACGGAACTTGCGAGCTGTTTCGCAAGGTCTAAGCGGTCATTCAAAGCATGATTGTCACGACCTTGAGCGAGAATCGCCCGCAAGCTGGTTGGGTTGTGAAGGGTGGGTGGGATTTTGAACACGAACTCAAATCGCGATAGATCATTGTTGGCGTTCAGACACCTGATGACCCCACGGCAGGAAAGAAGTCCAAAGACGAGAGGGTCGATCTTGGAGAGAACCCTTGCAAGATTTCGAATGTCCCTAGTCATGGCCTTGGTATCTGTCAGAGCATCGCACAGAACTGGGTCAACAATTACACTATCCGAAGACCCTGTATCGTGACATATCTGCGAGAAGGAGAATGGAATATGAAGTCTTGTAGTAGATAAAATATCGGCCCCAATGAATATGGAGCCCTCCTTGTTGCTATCCGTGGTGCGCAGCTCTTCTCTTATACTTCTGATAGTCGAGAGTGAGCTCTGGCTACCTAATGTAGGCGATGATAGCTGTTGGTCAATGACTGTGCTTGGAACCCGGATCATAAGAAACCAAGACGGGTCAAGCATTTCTTGCCACGTAGAAAGATCTTCCAACGTTTTCTGGAGGCAATCTTTGAGCTTGAGCGCGAACTTGACCTTGCGGAATGGACCGCTCTTAGACAGGACATCTTGCATTGAAGGTTCTTCGCTTCTAGTGCCAATCATTTGATCCATAGTCATGGTCGCTTCCTGGAGCTTGAGGTAGAGCACCTGCAGGATATTGTTTTGGTGGACCTGAAGAGAATCCGCTAGGACAGACCATATGCTTCGAAGGAACTCAACTTGAGATTCCGTCCTCAACCAATGATGCTCGACCCGTAGGATTAGTTCCAAGATGCCTTGTTCAGCAGTTTTGTATGCTCGATACCTGGCCATGAGCTTTTTGCCATACCTATCTCAGGAGTTAGTGCCAGCCTTGAGACGGCCAACATGTAACTGGGCGTTCCAAACCTACTTGATACACAAGTCGGCCATCGAGAGTGATGCCAACGCAAGTCCAACAGGCTCCATTGCTTCGCCTTGCTTTCAACTGGATCCTTTGCTGGTGTGCGTTATGTATCAGGGACGTCAAAGACACATCTACAAGGGCACCGAGCAAGGCTACAAGAAAGTGCTCTCACCGAAATGCCTTGTCCCACTAGTTCGAATAGGTGCCCAATCGCGGGACGGCTACAAAGGCGCCCCAACACGTCGACTTTGGATGTCGTTCCTCAGCCTCAACCGTATCGCCTCCATCCTTATAACTTGTTTTCTGCAAGTTCTTCCCAACTATAGATCATATTATGATATACAAACATTTCGATGCTTGAATCTACCTTTCGGAGTTGCACAAACATCTATCGGCTCGGCTCCTACCGGTGATGAGACAGCGGTTGGCACCCTGCGCTCCGCCGCATCCTTCCCTGAAGCCTCCCATTAGGTGCCTTCCCACAGCAGTTCCCAATGACCTCGGATCTGATCGAGCATTTCAAGCTCGATGCTCAAGTCCATGATGACCACACTGTGCATATCGAGCCCGCACGGGGCATGCGTAAGGCACCGATTGAGCAGATATGGCATAGAGAAAAATCCCTAGGCCATGGCGCGTTTGGCGAGGTGTGGCTCGAAGCGCAAAAACACCAGGGCCCGCGTACAACGAGAGCTGTGAAGCTCATACAAAAGAGCCGTATGCAGCAAGTCAACATTGACTACAAGAGAGAGTTGCTGGCGCTGGCTAAGTTGTCTCGGGTGGGCGCTTTGAACACAAAGTCAAATTCCGGGTAAGTGCTAACAACACTCGATAGTATCCGGAACTCTTTGTAACTCTGCAAGCGTGGTACGAGAATGAAAGCAATGTGTTCCTCGCAATGGAATACTTCCCATACGGCGATCTCGACGCCTACATTGATGTTGGTGTTTCTGAAGACGGTGCGAAGTTGATCTGCGGACAATTGCTGGATGGTCTCAGCCTCATGCACAACATCGGGTTCACGCATCGAGACCTCAAACCGAAAGTACGTACCGTTTGCGACTGCTCTGGGCTACATGGATCATGTGTTCTAACGTAGCGTTTTTATGACTCCAGAACATCTTTGTTGCATCACCGGGCCCTCACTGGGGGGTGAAGATTGGGGATTTTGGTATTTCAAAAAGGATAGCTACAGAACAGACAGCGTTGCGCACTATGGCGGGGACGCAGCAGTTCCAGGCTCCGGAAATACTGGGTTATGTTGATGAAGCTGAAGAGACTTCAGAGTATACTAATGCTATGGATATGTGGTCGTTGGGCTGTGTCGCCTATCTACTCCTGACGAAGACCATTCCTTTCGCCAAACCTCGCATCCTAAATGAATTTTGCTCGGGGAGGGCACCATTTCCGTCTGCAAATCTACAAGACAAGGGTATCAGCTCAGAGGGCATAGGATTCGTGGAAGCACTGTTAAACCCCCACCCAGCACAGCGTCTATGCGCAGACACAGCTTCACAAAACCCATGGCTTGATTTATCCTCTGCCATGGAATCTGGACTTGATCTTGCCCAAAATAATATCTCTGATGCTGGAGATGCAGAACTCCTTCGTCGGAACCCTGTTCTAGATCAGCAGACAGTAACCACAGTGCACAACCCTTCGACGACTCGAGCGCCTGAGCCTGTTGACCAGAACTTTCTTCTAGGCCGACAAGAACAAGCAGGTAATGTCCTGTGGGCTCGAGTTACAGAACCTGCTTCTGAAAGCTCTTCTCGTGAGCAACAAAGAACAATTGTGAGGATTAGTGACAGAACTACACCAACTTATCATGTGAGTTCCGAAATCGAGGAAGTCAAAAATTCCTTCGCTCGAGAGTCACGCGCACTCACCACACAGCTCTTTTATCGTGCGCAGAGAGGGACTCCAAATGATCTTGAGTTACTAGTGGTTTCTTCCAACCACTACAAAGATCCGACAGGAGGGGTTGGCCTCGACATAAATGCAAAAGGAGAGGCTGGGAGAACAGCGCTCCACATTTCAGTCCTTGCTGGCAAGGTTGAAAATGCACAATGGCTAATTGTCAATGGTGCAAGTATTTCAGTATTTGATGACGGTGGTAACAATACTCTCCATCTCGCATGCGAGACAGGCAATTTATCGATGGTCAAGATGTTATGGGACAGTCACTGGGCTGACCCTTCGCAAAAACAGGCAGCAAATGGAGATGCTAATGGCTCCACTCCTCTCCACATAGCATGCATGCACCGTCAACCACGCATCGTCGATTACCTCCTTACTCAAGGCGTTGACGTAAATATACAGGTAGCTGGGGGCTTGACGCCTATACAGGCCACAGCAAACACCTCCGGAGACTTCAAGGATATAGTCCAGCAGCTAATTTTCGCTGGTGCCGATACAGGCATCCGCAATGCTTGGGGAGTGGGGACGAAAGATATTGCATCGGCGAGAGGTAACATGGGCATTGTCAGCTTGCTCGAGGCCACGGAGTTGCATACCGAGTCGATGGCATTGGCAATCCGAGAATCAAAACTCCCACATGACGTTCAACCACAAGCGACCGACTCTGTCAAAGCAGGTTCTACCCTGGAGAGTTTTTCGGCTCCATCGAAGGACTGGGAACCACTCCCATCTGGCTGGGAGCTTAGGAAAAACGCTTCAGGACGAGCTTACTTCGTTGATCATAATAAGAGAGAAACCACGTGGATCAACCCTCGTGTTCGAAGTTTTAGCACAGGACTTCGAGCAGATCCAGAATTGCACGGTTCGAGGAGTCATTTACGTCTCACTGGTTTGTCCTCCTCCCTAATTTGAGACCGAGCTGATTACGACACACGGAATAGTTCTAGCATGTGATGGGTTACCTCGGGGTCCTTTTTGGGGTATGAGCGTTGTATCATGAACCCAAGATTTATGGCTGACTAGTTAGGGCCTGATCCGATCGCTATAATTACATTTGAGGGAAAGCGGAGTAAGGCCACTAGAATCATTAAGAACACCAACAGCCCATATTGGGACCAAGATTTCATTATGTGAGTCAAGCTGAGCACCGTACAAGGTCGTGCTAATGTCCACTGGCAGTCATGTTGAAGAGAATAGCACCATTCTCATAGCGGTGTTCGACAATTCGAGATTGACCGACGCGCGTGGTGGATTTTTAGGCCAGACATGGTTCAGAGTAGGGGAACTCGTACCTGACTTCCCATCAGTTGCGCACGAGGGTAATAATCCACAAGGACTAGAACGAAGATGATTCAGCTGACGGCTGTGAAACAGAACAGCCCATCTATCGTCAGCTCAAAGGCCGGAACTTAGCCACCAGTTGCCGCGGAACGCTCACAATAAAGTTCTCCTCAGACTTGACAGCTCCATTCAACCGTCATGCTTAAATTAGTCTATTGAAGGAGCATTGAGATATGTGCCAACACCAACATTATTTAGAGCCATTGCATACATGGTCCGAAGCACAGCCTTTCTTCCATCCTGATATATTTGGCGGATCCTGACACGACTGATGTGCAATACGATTTGAGACGAACACGAAGGGGATAAACTAAATGTACAGGAGAAGTCGACAACATGAGGAATTATATCGTACGAGTATGTGCTAAGTCCCAACCCGGTAAGCTACCGCGACGCACGTACGCGGGGCGCCTACCAATGTGGCAGTCTAGCCATGACGCACGTCGACATTAAGTCATGCTCGTCTATCATAATGTATCCAACTCTACATTATTCTGAGGTCTCTAAGGAATGCTATGTGTCACTGACGTATATTTCACACCATATCAAAAACAGTAGCTCATCCTCACCATAGAGTCGAAGTTGGTCGCATATGCTCACGGACAAGATATTCATTTCGAGGTGACTATCCAATACGACCATCGTCGTCATTGAGTTTGACATCAACCACATCCCCCAAAATGGGCAGCGTCGACACATCGCTCCACGCGCACACGTCCGGACGCGCAGCCGTCTACGCGGAGAAGCACAGCGTCACGCACCCACTGATCCTGTATGGCGGGTGGTTCTGCCCGTTCGTGCAACGTGCATGGATCACGCTGCACGAGAAGAACATCGACCACCAGTACTTCGAGATCAACCCGTACAAAAAAGAAGCCGAGTTCCTCGCACTGAATCCTCGAGGTCTAGTACCAACGCTGGCGGTCCCTGTTGACAAGGGCAGCCGTCCCGACCAGAAACCGCTCTACGAGAGTAGCGTCATCTGCGAGTATCTCGATGAAGTATATGCGGATGAAAGCAGTAATGGACCATCGTTGTATCCGGTCGATGCCTATGAGAAAGCGCGTGCGCGGATCTGGATTGATCATGTCAGCGGCAAAATCATTCCGGCGTTCTATCGCTTCATGCAGCATACGGATGCCAAGGCGTATACGCTTGATGAGGCGAGGGCGGAGCTACTAGGCCATCTGAAGACTTTCATCCGGGAGGCAGACCCTAAAGGCCCATTCTTTCTCGGAAGTCAGTTCAGCATGGTCGATGTCATGTTGGCGCCGTGGCTTTGTCGCCTATTTTTGTTTGACGTCTACAAGCAAGGTGGATTAGGCGTGCCGGCTAGGGGAGAGGGTGGCGAGGATGAAAACGCTTGGAATAGATGGAGGGTTTGGGCCGATGCTGTGGAGAATAGGGAGAGTGTGCTGGATACGCTCAGTGAGAGGGATCACTATGTCGATGCTTATAAGAGATATGCCGAGGACACGACCCAGAGTGGCGTGGCTAAGGCGACAAGAGAGGGTCGGAGACTGCCTTGATTGTGTTCCGAATGCCCTCCAACTGCAAAACTCGCCGGCTGTGTATATCACTCAACACGTTTACAATTATTGACTCTGCTTCAAGTTGTAGATTCTTTTCGATCTAAACTAGAATGCCAATCAGGCCTCACTGTTCGCAGGAGGTGGTCAACGCGATGGAAACACTCCCGCTCGAATGCCAATAGCGCAACAAAATCGAGGTCTGACAAGGGAATTCTCTTGAATTTCATCTCTTCGCTTCGCCCCGAAGATCGCTGCCCAATCCATAGCCTCTGACTCGTTCCCATTCGATCTTCTGCCTCGTCACAGGTAATTGCCGTCTCAGAGCTTTGAAACTCGATTCGTTCATACCAACAAATGCCCGGTTGACTTCTTCCTGATATTGCTTTTCAATCGCGGCAACCTTGCGCACTATACTCGCGCCATCACCGCCACCGTCTACCGACACATCTGGAATGTTCTTCGTGGTCGAGAGGGCGACATTTCCATCCTCGTAGTAATGCACATCCACCTTTAGAGTGCCCGAGAGCGTGCCATTAGCAGGGTTGAAGAGGAACGTACTCCGCCATCGACCGGAGAGGAAATTCTTTGGCGAAGAGCGGGTTGTGGACAGGAGGATAGCGACTTTATCGTCTTCTGGTGTGGCCGCAACTGTGTAGCCTGAGGATGAAGATGCAGAGGCCGTCTGCTGTTGCGATGGGTAATGTTCGGCGAAGTGTGTAGAGAGGGATTTTAAGATGGACTGAATCAGGTCTGAGTGCGTGGTCTCATGTGTGTAGGATTGCGAGCCAAAGGCCTTAGATGTACTATGATCAAACTCGAAGGAGGTCGAGGATTGTGTGTCATAGTATTTGTTCGTCGAGGAAGGGACACGATTGTAAGCTGTAATGAGCACCTGGTTTCATGGGGTTAGTCGCTACACCACACATACATTCCTGGTCAGATAATGCGGAGGTAGCATACATAGTCACTTGCACCAGGTAGCTTGACCGGAATGAGCTGGTCTTCGTTGTATTTTTGGAACGCAGGCTTTAACTTCGCAATGAGTGTTGGGTCGTTGTCTGAGGTGAGAGCCTTGATGTCCTTGACCACGTCCTGTAGCTCGCCTGGAGGGGCGCCCGCTATGAAGGCAGAAGTGATGTCTATTGTAGATCCCATCTTGTGACTAGGCTGGAAGTTGAATGGGATTTGGTGGGTAGAGGTGCACTGTCGTGGTAAACACCAGCTGGATGAATGCCTGGTCACAGAGTCGAAATCCGCCCGCAGTCCCAACGGTGGGGTCGGAGGTACTAATTGACCCGTGCTAAATGCTAGCCTGCAGGCTAAAACTGGGAGGGGGTCAGGACAAGGTATGAGCTAGGGGGTGTACGATCTGCTAGTGCAACGCTAACGCCTGAGCTAGCCCAAGCAATAAAACAGCGTAAGATATCGACTAACACGGCCTTGCACTCTGCTCTTCTATCACGCTGCTCTAGAGACGCCCTCAGAGATTGTACACGGCAGATATCTTCTCTCTTTCATTATTATCGACTGGGATCCATGGACATCATATAGTGCGGTGAGGTTTCATCGCCTGCCACACCACTATCATGTGAGACTATTTGCTAGGTACGGGCATCTCCTGGAGCATATCAATGAAAATGACAGGCTTAATTTCATTGAGTTCTCTAGTATCAATGCAATCTGGCCAAGCCTTAGTTGATTTCCATATTTCCCAGAGGGTCTTCTACGTAAATGGAAGTATTGAATTCCCGGACCTTGTTATCAATCCCCCATTGTCGGATCATATCAAAATTCCGACAAGTACGGATCACCTTCCCCACGGCAAGGGCTTTCTTTTGCGTTCTGTCCCACACCCACGGTAGAGGAGTTATGTCTGAGGAACACATCAGGTTTTGACGAATCATGTCGACGCAATGATCGAGATGTGGCATATCCATCAATGGTTCCTCTGGGTCGGGTACGCCGTCCCACCATAGGCGCCGCCGAATAGCATTCTGATATGGATAGTTAGACCTCTCTCTGCACCCCAAGACAGACCTCAACGAGATCTCGACGCACTCACCAGACAATGCAGCTCATGGAATACATCTAGCGTCACAGCATAATACCCAGGATCGTTCCCAATCGGTACCGTCCTGTTCGCCAGCCTGGCAGCATCCTTCATCGGTATTCTACTGATGCCGACTACGAGCATGTTAGCATTGCCTCGGTTCACGCTCATGCCAGTAGGTCTTACAATTATACAGACCACGCCAGAGCTCATCTTTCTCTGGTGTTGGTTTCCCCATGTATGGTGATATATCGCGACCGAAACCACTTGTCGTGACGACGTCTTCGTATGCAATGAAAGGAATTGCTGGAGCTGGGGTATTACTCTTAGTAAAATTAATTCCTAAGACTCTTTGCCATGGAATGCACTTACAAAACATCTGGTGAGTATCAACCTTCAACGTCCGCGCTCTGATCCATAGTGCTAGGTTTGCAACCACCGAGACAACTAGTGCCAACCGCACAAACCATGAGACCAATGGCGAAGATCTTCTTGCTTGGATCGGCAATCTTGTGGTGTACTCATCTTTCTCAACAACGAGCTGTTCCTCCTCAGTACTAGGGTCAGCATATGGCGCACGATAATAGCTGGGAGCCATGATGAACAGTCTTGCTTGGTTTATTGCGATGCCGGGACAGTTGGACGACTTATGCTGCTTTGAACAGAGGGAATAAGTCTTCGATGTCAAGGAACAACTATTAATGGCGTCGGAAGAGTTACCTCAAGTCATTCCGACACTTGCTTAGTAGCTAGTCAAACCAGAATCCCGATGATGGCATGGTGCTCAAGTAACCTGGACTATATTCAACATGGAACAAGAAGCTGTATGGATGCGATTCCCCGATCAACATGCAATGTGACCTTCCTCTTGCATCTATCAGCTTGCGACACGACTCCGCCCAATCCTGCCACTAATGCTCCCAGATGGAGAGTCTTGTCACAACACGAAAGCAGGGGTCCGCTTGTTGGCCTTTGTTTACGCTTCTTTCTAACTCACATCATGATCTGGTCTGTCGAAGCGATTGCAACCTCGAGCTGATGATCCATGGGCCCTTCCCTGAAGGATACGTGTCAGATGTCACGAACCTGAACCAATCTTTGGCTAGGACGGTCCCCAGTCTGGTTCTATCACTACTGAGATCACAAAGCTCCAAACATTTCTGTCTACAATCCTTGGCAAGAGCACACTAGTCCTCACAAAATAGTCCTGGTCCCAACCCCTGGTAATTTGTGTCAAGGATCACATCATGAATACTTAACCTCTAGGTAATCTGAGGATGTGGAGACCCCCCTCCTGGTTTCTATGACATGAGGAACGTATAAGAAGTGGGCTTCACCTCAAAACACATGATTTCTCTCTTACCTTGCAGGCAATCGACCATTCTTCGCGCACTCACACAAAAGAGGTCACATCCCAACAAGCCTTCACTATGAAGTTTTCCTCTGCTGCTCTGTTCCTCTTCGCGGCCGCGACGACGGTATCCTGTGCACCTATCGCCTCCGTGAGTATCTTAACATCTTCGAGTTTCATAGGACACCTAATCTGACTTCCTTGGTCTAGACTGGAGACCTCAATCTTGTCGCTAGAGAGGAAGCCAGTGTCGACTCCGGCCTTGCTACTCGACTTTGGTCAATTCTCAAAGAGAGAGACGCAAACCCCGAGGAGGCAAGCGTTGATTCAGGTCTCGCCACCAGACTTTGGTCTATCCTCAAGGAAAGAGAAGCTGCTCCTGCGAAGCGTGAGGAAGCCAGTGTCGATTCTGGGCTTGCCACTAGACTTTGGTCCATTCTCAAAGAACGCGAAGCCAACCCAGAAGGGGCGAGCGTTGATGCCGGCCTCGCTACTAGACTTTGGTCAATTCTGAAGGAAAGGGAGGCTAGCCCTGAGAAACGCGAGGAAGCAAGTGTCGACTCTGGCCTTGCCACTAGGCTCTGGTCGATCCTGAAGGAGCGCGAGGCTAACCCCGAGGAGGCCAGCGTCGACTCAGGTCTTGCTACCCGACTATGGTCGATCCTAAAGGAGAGGGATGTGTCACTCGATGCAAGATTCGATACCTCCAAGCTCAATTGGGCAACCTTGTAAACTGGGGAAGATAAGGCGACCCGGAAAGACGCTGATTGTGGATACAGGGAACTTGGTTCCGCAAAATGGTGGATTCACCTTTTTATAGCTCTTTCGGAGGCCCACGACATCGAAGATGGTGTTGATAGCATGAATGTTGTGCGAAATGCAGTGAAATGACCTGGTCTGTGCAGTGTTGGGAAGCTATCCTCGGCATTGAGGAACAATGGGATATCCTAATTCACTCGTTTCGCCTAAATCAAGCTTTTCTGCACAATGCACCAGCCTAGCATAATTCTGCAGTATTCTGCTGATGAACAAGACTTAGTAGATGAAGCTAGTTCATATGCCTTGTCATTTGCAGCGTAAGCATGAGCGTTGCTTTTACGATCCTGTCCACCGACACACTTTCGTGACACCTCGCTTGATCATCACAGACATACCAGGCGTTCCGTTGTATGCATTGGTAGTGCATTGAAACTAGCTGATATCTGATGTTCCATGAATTTCCAGTGTTGTAGATGACATGGTACGCCCAATAAGAGGTCCAGCTTCAGACTCTCACTAGTACTCAAACTGCATGAACCTGAGTACGGTAAGGGTGGAGATCAGCATGCTTGCGACATTGATGCATATTCTCGAGGTCAAGAAGGTCGGGGGATGCTACGCAAATGGTCGATAAGCTTTGCAGGCCCGAAGTGGTGGCTTGAGGGCTTCAGCTTGGCGTTTCCATCCCCCCTTCGTCGGGACAACTCTCCCACCTAAAGACTGACTAGGGAGGTATTCAAATGGTAGCTTGCTCAGGATATGTGTCGCAAAGACCGCCTCGCCACGTCCTAGTCTACACCAAGTTAACAAAGGATGCGCTGCGCGCTTACCCTCCCTTACCCTATAGGGGCGATCTCCCGCAATAGCAGGGTAGCACTGCCGTATCTAAGGCAGACGCTGTCAATGGTAGAACTTTCTTTTGCAGGAGTTTGCTTCTAACATATGCTACTTGCATCAAAGGAATGAACACTAGTTCAAGAACAAGCAATTACAGGCGTGATATCCGTCGGATAAGTCCCCTCGGATGATCGGCCGCCTTACCACTTATGACCCGGATGTATGAACTGCAGGTCTGGAGTCCTGAAAATTGTGGGGTATCCGACGTGCTTTATCTTGGATATAAGTTGTTGGCCGAACGCTTGGGTGAGGATTCATCACTGCTCCACCGCGATAGCGCCTGATGTAACGCAATGCTTAACGTTGGCGCTGGAAGTAGATAGCAGGAATCGACCATAACCCGGAATGGCAGGTAGCTAACGATGGAAACCTGACGTTGGATATTGGCACTTGATGACCCGCAAATAACTCGAACATTTCACCACTGGTATTGGTTGGGACGCCTTGCTCAATCCTTTGTTTGCATGGACCATGAAGAAGATTGGTAGCATCGGATAGCTGCGGGCTCTTTGAGTGGAAAAATTTATCCACTTGCTAGCTGAGGTAGGATTTCGTATACACTTACCATGATTTGTAGATAAGTCGTACGAGCCAAGCGAAGATGTGTCAGAGAAGTGCCCATGTAGGCATGTACCTAGAATGGATGGACTAGAGGAGAGTCCCCGCGTGCCACCCTCTTCATTCCGCCTTCCTGAGTCTTTTCACCGAGCAGACCTTGACGGTGACCTGACGCTGAAAATTTCCCTTGTTCTCAAACATAATACCTTGTCTACCAGCTGTCGTCTGAGGAGGGCATCAAAGTGCACATCATGGCGTTACCGAGACCATTTCACAAGCTCATAATGCCCTGGCAGAGGCAGAAATACAACCTACTCCCTAGCATCGAAGACAAACAGATATCAGACACAAGGTTAGAAAGTCCAGTTGATGAAAGGGTTGAAACGGCGCCACTAAAACACCCAAGGGCGTCTACTCAGAGTTTCTGGATGATCTTATCAGGGTCGGTGTTGCTGACCCTGACAGTCATCGCCTTGACCAGCTTTATAGTATTCAAATACGCCGTCAGCAGGGCAATCACAAAACCCACAGTCGACCAATGTGGAAGCACACCTGCGGAGGCACGCAATCTCGGCTGCATTTTCGAGACTACTCTCTCCCTCTGGGTGCCTCCGGAGTGCTACGACTTCGAGCTGGAGACAACATACCTCCAGCAACCAGGCCTCAAGTTCTACCGCGATGTGAATCTGACGGAGGAAGTGTCATTGCGTGAGGTCAAGACCGGCGAGTCGATTGGATGGTTTGTGCCGTGGGATCACCATGTGCGGCACTGCTCGTTTGCATTCCGCAAGCTCCATCGTGCTGCGGCATATGGGAAAAAGATTGACGGATATGTGCTTCAGTATGCTCATACTGAGCATTGTTTGAAGATGATGACGGAGCCAGAGGACTGGAGATCAAGTATCACTCAATTTGATATGCGGATGTTTCCCTACTGCGGCAAGGAGGGTGGCTTCAATGTCAACAGTCAGCATAGAGGTGAATGGACAGGGTAGATATACCATGGCAGCAGGTCAATGGAGCCATTGTCACTCCCATCGGATTGGAAGTGCACCTGTGCTCGTTCGCAAATGCATGCCTCACTTGAAGTTGGTCTCGGACGACAGCGTCCTTGATCACTCGGCTGGCAGACGCGAGGGTCCCTTAGTGAATCGCAGGCTTGTTAATTTCCCGGGGCGTTCGCACGACATGAGTCTCGCTGCAGTCGGTGGGAGCATTTCCAATATCTCTATCGCACGAATTGCACTTCGGACAATCAGATCCGATTGGTAAAGCATACCCATTGCTCCTGATCATTGGCGTTCGGTTGGGAGCTTCATTAATGAATTCGGATTCTTTGCTGGCATGTTGGTAATGGTCCATGACAATTTTTGACAGGGTATTCATGTGGCCTTGAGGTGGTTCGTTCAGCTGTCCTTTGACGACGAACTTTCCCCCGTCCTCAGCCTTCCGTTTATCGTACTGCACAACTCCGCCAAATGAACCCTCTGGTTTGCTGACTACAATGTCTCCCTAAAGAATATCGATTCCTTTAGCAAGGTCTGGAATGCCACCCCCAATGCCAACCAGCAAACCGGTTCGAAGCGCAGGGAATATCCGCGCCATATCCTTTACAACATTGGCTGCAGAAACTAAGCCATCAACACAAAACGCCAGGCAAGCAATCACGACGTTGTGTTTGTGGATGCATCCCAAGACGTAGTTGTTTTGATCTCGCGGATCCTGTTCTAGTAAGTCTTGGTGTCGTTCGTCCAACATGGCAGTCGCTGCGGCGAACTCTCGAGGAAGCGCACAGACCCAGCCGATGTAGCAGTCTTAGGCCGGGAAGTTGGCCATCTTAGGCACGCCCTCAGACATCGATATGTAATTCAGGATCAATCAGCTGCTCCGGACTGTAGACTGGTTCCTATTGCTGCAAATTTGAGGTCATTGAGGGAGGTGGCATGAGCGAGATCGTGTATCCGAAATGGGAGAATGGCTTCGTGTTGGCCAACGAAGAATAGTCAATAGAAGGTATTGGTATTGGATATCGGGATATACATATATCATCTTGAAGAGCTGTATGATCGAAAGTTTTTGAAGTAGTCCAAGAGCATCAAGAAGTCATGGAGAGAAGAGCAAAGCTTGGAGGAAAACGGTTGAGAGAGAAGCAAAAGCGAGACGACAACAGGAAATGCGTCCGATAGATAGTTAGCCTGTCACTGCCTATGCGACAATACCCAGCTTTTGGCTGAACCATATGTGAAAGATGACATCGTACAATCGACCGCGAAGCAACAATGGAAGACGCTAACCACGGGGTGGATTTGCGCACTGCGGTGTTGTTTCAACCTAGGAGGGACTCCAGACAAGTCTGCCGCCAATAACATATATCCATCGACTATGAGCACCGTATCTACAATGCAAATAGTCCGAGATTGAACTATAGATCAGAACCGACTGCGACTTGGTGAAGGAACCTTATCGGCAAGGCTCCATGTGAGAAGGGGTAGCCGGAGGAGCTATCAAGCAATATTTTCATTTAGCAAATGTGCCGAAACTCCGGTCTTCCCAGCCTTGTTTCCCCAGCCTTGTGGAAGGTCCGGTGGCAGACATTAAAGCGGCGATGTAGTGTGACATCACCGTTCCCTTATCCAGGTGGGCGTCTCCATGATGACTCTTGCTCTCCAGAACCGTCGTCGCAAGAGTCATAGGGGAGTTATTGTCTACACCTTCTCACTCACTGTGATTGAATCCATCTCGTTCTTTCACCTCTTCAAGCCTGGGCTTTCAGTTGACGGTGACCGCCATCACCATCTATGCCAAAGAAATACCAGCAAAAGTCTCTCCAGATTAAGCCGCAGTCAAGCAGTTCACACACCCTGTCACTATCCCACTCATCCACAACCCAACAAGAATCTTCACAACGCACTGTCAATGACTTGATACGAGATTCTCGTCGTCAGCAACTGCGAAAGGAACAGCAGAACTCTCCTCATGGAGCACTCACCACTGTAACTGCGGGTTCAGTGCCTCCGTCGGTAAGAGCAGTCTTAGACCTCCCGCCGCCGCCACCACCGCCCGAGCCACGAGTCGGCGTCAACCATGGTGGAGGAACAATCAGATATGGTCCTGGAAATCCTAGCCCTGCTCGGTTTCGTCGAATCCCTGGTCCACCTCCACCACGATCATGGTTGACGGACTCTATTCATGCTCCAGCGAAGTATAAAAGAGGTAGTAATGGTGAATATGAAAATGACGGTCGTCGTTTACAGGTCCGATCAAGCATTCTCCCTTCGGGATCCTTCCCGCCGGAGCGATCTCTACAGCATTTGGCTTTGAAAAAGATCGCAAGCAACTGGGCGTGGCACGTTGAGTATGAACGTGAATACCTGGCCTACCTGCCTTTAAATCTCAAAGAGACCCTATTGAGCTACTTAGCCATATACAATGAGTTGGGATCTCCTGGCCTTAATCCACTGAGGATCTTGTTCCTAGATGGAGAACAACAAGTTCAGGAAGATCGCGATGAAGTACAGCGTCTGGATCTCGGCAATGGACTCGGACTTTGGACAAGTTTGAAAGGACTGGAGAAAGATTTGGTCACCAAGACTGTTGCCAAAAAGGCATCCACTTCAGTTGATGTGCAGGATAGTTGGGATGCTGATGATGACAGTGACGACTTTCCCAAAAATAATCCCACAGCAGTCCCTCGAGTCGTCCACAGTTTTCAGAACCTGAAGCATTTGTCACTTTCCATATCTCCAGATAACACTCATGCGGCCTCTTGGACGTCGTTGTGTTCGCTTGCGACCGAGCTAGGTACTCTATCGTCCTTGTCGCTAGCATACTGGCCGCAACCCACGTTCACACCGAATGCGGCCACAACACGAGCTGTCGTTCATGTGCCTGGTGCTAGACCCGTTGTGTATGGTGGAACAAACATATATTCCTCCCTGGATAATGATTGGCGCGAAGCTGCCGGTATCTTGCGCACACTGAGTCGAGCACTTTACTGTTTGACTTGGTTAGACCTGACAGGTTGTGGCAATTGGTGGGATGCACTTCTTTGGCCTTCAATGACATCTAGTGACAATGCCGAGGCTGAGAATATTGGACCCGAATGGAATGGAGGCTGGAGAGGCCTTGAGAAATTAGTTCTCCATCCAGGGTGGAAATCAATACCCCCACCACCACCTCCTGTAAATCAAGGGCAAGCAGTCCATGGTGAGCAAGACTGGAATGTTGAACATGAGCGTCTGGCATTTCGCTATCAAAAAGAAGAACAGCGTTTAGCAGAAATGGAGAGAACGGCGAAAAGGGTAGCGACCCAACTTCGAATATTGAGAAAATCTTGCGGTGGAAGATGGCTTGACGTTGATGTTGGACCTGCACCATAATCAAGTAGCATGACTTTCATAACCCAACAGGTGGTTTCGTACAACACCTACTTTGTGCCTATTTATTTTTGCTTTTGTTGTTCAAGGTCATGTTCCACCACTAACACACTGAGACAACAGACTCTATATTGGGCTGGACTTCCAGCCTGCCTAGGGAGGAAATCCTTGCCATCAATTTGCCATAGGCAGCACCGGTCTCCGATCCATATATACGTGTCGTCTTTGGCGCAATACACTAAACCTCGCTGATTAACCCGAGTCCTGTACTTGCTGAAAACTACAACATCGCAAACACTGACCATCTCAGTGTGTGTGGCTGACTACCGCGATGAGGTCGGATGTACGGCATACCATTCTGTGCATAAAGAAGGTGTTTCTCCCCGTTCGCGTGCATGTTGAGAATGAACAAACATCATTGCCATTTGATTCTGCTGCTTCTGCTGTCTCTGTGGAGATCAGCACAGGTCGACTTCGAGAATCCCTTTGACCTCGAGCCTCCAGTTCTATCCCTATGTTCGATCCGGTCACTCACCACACCGTTAGCATTGGCGATCGCTGCATAGGTCATCCGCCAAAGTAGTCGAGAAGAATGTTTGATATTGTTGTCTCGATTATGCTCGCAGGGTGTAAAAAGTTCAAGACGTGATTATGTTGGCCGCCTTGTCGGGGTATGAAAGCTCAGGTGGTAGCACGGCGGGAATCCATACGATAATTTACTACTAGGTTCAGTTCTTGAGAGGATAGTGTACAAAAGTTATTGATATCATAGGTCAACTATACTGGTTACTGCACCATGAGGCGGTGCATCCCGCCACAAGCGGTTGCTATATTGTTCATTTCAGTCATAAGGATAAAGAAGAAGGGTATACCAAAAAACACCCAAGTCCACCCAGCCGTCCCAACACGCTCTGAGAAGTCTTTATTTTGCCGTCAGCGCAAAGCTGACCCCCAGAATGCCCATGCCCAAGAACGCGAATGCTATGCACGTACTCTTGTTGTGACTGAGCTGAAGACTTTCGGCAAAAAGGCTCAAGGCCACCGAGGCCATAATTCCTGCCGTGATACTGAATAGCCCTCCGTACACGCCTTCTGTAGGAGCCCCAAAATTACTTTGCTTGGCCAGCTTGAACCAGAGAGCTGCAACTGCGGCGCCAATTGGTTGCGATGCACCTCCCAAAAATGATGACCAAGCTATCGCCTTGAATCTAGACCCGAGGGCAAGATAAAGAGGAAGTGACATGGCGAAGCCCTCGGTAATGTTATGAATGAAGAGTGCCATAAAAACTGCGAAACCCAGGGTTGGGTTGGCGTGGTTTGTGGCATATGTGATGAATCCCTCAGGGGCTTTGTGCAGGGCGATGGCCACTGAGGTTTGTAGGCCAATGGACATGAAAGCATTGGTCGGGACATGATGGTGATGTTCTTTGCCCACCGACTGTGTTTGTTCGGATGCCCGTCGATGAGTATGTACAGATCCGAGATGTTGATGCTCAGCGTGGTGATAATGGTGCGTGGTCGACCGTGAACGTGTGCTAGATTTGATGCCGTCATGGGTATGGGCTTCTGTCAGAGGTGCACCATTGGCCAAGTGATCCTCCTCTTCTGCTTCCTCCACTGCGGGCTCGATGCGGATATCGGCTTGACTCCGCCAGGTTGGTGCACGTGCGAACGGACTGCCATGACCAGGCAGAACCGACCCACGTCTCTGAACCACTTTAAAGCAGTCCTGTCCGCATGGATCCGAAAAGCCCATGCAGGGTCCAGATGCGTCGCAATTATCTTTTGTACCTCCCACATATTTCGACAGAGTCCACGTGAGATTTCTAGGCATCATGGAAGGCCGTCTGGAGGTGGGAGCGGTGCGAAACACTTGCTCGTGGTCCCCATTCTGGTCTTGTTCATATGGCTGCCGGTTCTGAGGCTTCGTAGGACTAAAGCTTGCTGTCCTGGCCAATAGGGGGGTATCTTCGTCATCCGGAGGTGGCTCGGAGCAATATCTCGTGATAGGCAAGCCATTCGTATGCTCGTCATCGTGCCCATGTTGAGACATCTCTTCTTGGTCTTTAGCTGCGACTTCCTCATCGTCATGGGTGTGATCGCAGTCGACGACATGTGAGGGAATATAATTATGTATGACACGGGAGGCAAGCTGAATGCCTACTACTCCGACCAGGAATAGACCAATTAGCAGGTATGAAGCAGCCGGGGGAGAATAGCCGGCATCCTTGAGGTAGGTCTTTGCCTGGGGAAGCATGGAGTAGAGGGAAGAAAAGAGCTGGAGAATGTGGTCAACATCTATTGAAATGTAGCTGGCCTGAATCGACTCACCATGACTCCAAAACTCAGGCTAAGTGAGGCCGAAAGAAAAGCATCGCTTTCGGTGATGGAGAAGTTCCGGTAAGAGGGGATTTGGCGGAGCGGGATGTCAACACAGATGATCGCAGCACCGATGACACACGCTGAGAAGTGTTAGCAAACTTAGTTGGTAGATAACAGGGTGATGAACAGAGTGCATCGATCATACATACCCACGCCGCTGATGCATGTCATGATCCATCCTCGAGTATCGTTGTCGATCGTCATGGTGAAGACCGGCCGGTTATCTGGGGGGGTAGTAACATGCAACACCTCAGAAGACCAAGAAGAAGTAACAAAAGGACAAGAGCATATTTAGGCCAAAACTTAAAGGCTGAAGTTGAAGTTTATAGTTGTGGTGGCGAGGGTACAAGTACGACTGAGACTGAATGCAGGCATGGAAGGACTCGAGGAATGAGGACCCTAAAGACTTCTGATTGCAACTGAAAACGGACTAGGCAAGAGCCACGAGGCGGCCAATGAACGGCCCATGATACGTCAGGGCCACAGCCTTGTCAGTACTTTCCGTAAGGCTGAGGCACTGAGCAAGCTAACGGCCTGCACGGCGCTAAGAAGCAAGATCTGCGCATTAAACAGCCATCAATTGGCTGAGACTCACACTGGCGCCAAGCTACGGATGTTGCCGAGATTCGCGTCCTGCACGCGACCGACTCGGAAATGCAGCCGCGTGACTCGCGCTTTCTCCAAATAATTTCTTGACAGCAGTCTGAGCACTCAACTCTCTCTCCTGCTGTTGTATCATCTTCCTGATGTCGAAGACAACGCTACTTGTCATAGCAGCCGCCTCGGCGGCGACAGGTGCTTCTGTCACCGCTCTCTTCTCCAAACCGCCCAAGAATACCGCTCCCACTGCACCTTCGGCCACCCTCAAGGAGGTTCCATCCCCGGTTGCTCCAGTCCCCACGCCTGTCCCTGTCCCGGTTCAACTCCCTGTCTCTGCTGCCGTTCATCCTTCATCATCTTTGATCTCACCGGTTGATCCCTCCGGAATTTTGAGATATGGCTTCCCGGGTCCGGTGACTGATACCCTCACAACTCCTTCTCATCTTTCTTCATTCAACCGAGCCACCCGCAATCCTCACTGGGTTGCTGAACATTTCACCCCACAGTCTCTACTACTGAAAAATGCCGACAGGAGACATAGTGTTTTCTACGAAGATCTGTCTGTCCCTCCGATTTTTCGAGCAAAGCTCTCAGACTATGCAAGAAGTGGCTATGATCGAGGTCACCAAGTTCCCGCAGCCGATGCCAAATGGTCTCAAGAAGCCATGGACTCGACCTTTGTGTTGAGCAACATGTGCCCCCAGGTTGGTGAGGGTTTTAACCGGGATTACTGGGCACATTTTGAAGATTTCTGTCGCAATCTGGCCAAGAGATATCCCAGTGTTAGGGTTGTCACAGGTCCTTTGTATCTCCCAAAAAGAGATGAGAGAGATGGTAAATGGCGTGTCTCATACGAGGTCATTGGAAATCCCCCAAACGTCGCCGTGCCAACCCATTTCTACAAGATCATCTACGCCGAGGAAGGACAGAGCAGTCCAATAGAGAAGGTTGCTCTTGGGGCTTTTGTTCTACCCAACGCTGAAATTCCAAATGGGAAAAGTCTGGCAGAATTTGAAGTTCCTCTGGAAGCCGTAGAGAGGGCAAGCGGTCTCACATTTGCAGACAAGCTTCCAATTGAGAGGAGGAAACGACTTTGTGGTGAAATAAAATGTGAGATCATGGTTCGTGAATTTGATAAAGCTCGCCAGCAGTCAAACAGGACCATGCAAGACCCGAGAACGCCACAGCAACTCCCACCGCCACCAATTTCGAGGTGGTGAACACTTGAGTTGTCGATGAAAATGCCACCGAGTTTCCATGTTCAGATTTGCTCAGATCTTATCAACCATGACCCTGCTCACCTGGCATTTCCACCAATCGACCGCTCATAGTAGTGGCTAGTTGAGCGACCGAAAGGACTTCCCTGGACCGATGCCTGAGACACCCAAATCGCCCTGATATGAACCCAAATCGACCTAATCGGGTGCCAGGATGGACCTAGGACTCTCGCATGACTCACTGCGTCCTGATTTGAGGTGATGGCATCTCACATTGCAGCTCGAATGCTGAAATTCTGAGATTATTGCCCTATCGAATTTGCCCCACTCATAACCACCAATACTATGGGCTGAGCTTCCAGCATGAATGCTATACGGTATGATGTTACTGGGACCTACGGTTCGGTCTGCAATCCATTTCCATTACGGAGGAATATAGGCATTTTGATGTCACGATTAGCGTGTTGTATTGTACTAGAGCCTCTCTTCATCATTAGCCACTCCTTTCTGTTCGGTGGGATTATCAACTCCCCACCTGCTTGAAGTTCACTGAATCCCATGAGTAGCTAATAAGAGTTCTAAATGTTAGCTGTCTTTTCATGCCTGCTGGCTTCATCGACTTCTACTATAGCATTGTCTAAGAGTTTGATCGTCGAGAAAGAAGATGCACTTAGATCATTGGAAGATTTAGCGAGGCAGGTATTCAATCAGCAACGGCGCGGGTGTTGTCCTTCCTCAACTAGCGTTGCGTGGGGAATGGATTGTGTATATTGCACTCCATTTCATGGTCCGAGGAGACGACCAGAATAACAATATGCCTTTGTCGATATCCCGAAGCATTTCCAGCAAGACGTACGACTTAGCCGGCTTGACATACATAGATTTCCAGATTGGAAATTCTCCTGGTCTCACAGCGCATCATTGGCAGTACCCTGACTAAGATTCCAAGCCGTAATCAAAGCACTCTACCGGACCTAGATCCTGAGATTGGAACCTCAGTGGCATCCTGACGGATATCCATATTGTTCCTCTCACTACTCAGTAGTTAGTGGTGATCAGACTTAAACTGAAGGTCGGACATTTTAGAAGGCCTGATCATGGTGGTCTTTAACGACTTCGGCTATCTTAGCGCGTCCGTATTCGCATGTTTAGAACGGGACGGGTAGGCTAACGAGACTAGCGGCTGTTAACTCAGGGATACCGCCTTGGTGAACGTTAGATCATGCATAATTTAATTCTTCGTCCTCCCTGAAACATGATCAAATCTCTGGGGAGTCAGGCCAGATCCTTGACTGGTGGCATCAACAGTGAGCTGATCTATGCACGGCTGGACTTATTCTGAAGAAACTGGCACTCAAATCAAGACCTGGCGAACTTCCAACTATGTGACTGGTCACAAGTTCATGATGCCTCATCGCGACCGATAGACGTGTTTCCATTTAGACTGGACCCCAGGCCGAGGTGAACGGCTTCAGGAGTCAGGACTGGCTTTTTCATATATGTCGATGACGAGGATGACCTCGGACGAGATCCGCACGCCAGAACTTCGGTTCATTCACGTTAGGATCCATGGCGAATGCCTTTGGCTGGGTGATATTTGAAACGTGCCAGCGGGTCGCCAAGATCTGCCAAAAAGACCCGAACTATGATGGGGTGCAGGAAGACTTTCGTTATGTACCGGGAGTCCAGGAGTGCTCCTTGTGCAGCTTGGATTGCCGTGTCATCGGATCAGATGGTGTGCATCCAGACTCGGGACATTAGGCAGACTGTTTGCCACTTTGCTAAGCGAGCCTGAAGTTGATATACCTCTGTGGACCTCTAATCTCATCGATGGCTAGGTAAGGAGAACAAAGGCATGGCACTCCGAGCTACTGGTTCTGGACGTATCGGTCGCTCTATATAAGACCGCAAGATGGGAACTTGTTCCTGTCTTTGCTCTTTCCATCCTTCAGGCAGTTATTCCGATTCCCATTTCCTCATTCGCTTTTCATCTCTTCGTCGCAGGTCGGCATCCATTCGTTACCAGTCATTCGTTACAGTCAACCAGCTTGACAGCCATTCTTTCAAAGACAACAAACACCATCCTCATCACCTGAGAAGATGAAGGCCTTCGGTATCATCGCTTTTGCAGCTGCAGCGGCTGCCCATGCCACAATTCAGGCAGCTTGGATCAATGGAGTTGATCAAGGATTAGGCAACAGTGCTTCGGGATATATTCGTTCGCCCCCCAATAACTCGCCTCTCGTTGATGTCAAGTCGAAGGACATGACTTGCAATGTGAACAACGCTGCCACAGCCAAGACGCTATCAGTCAAAGCTGGCGACAAGGTATCTTCATCTTCTGAGCAGAGTTCTCTTCTGATGCTAATAAGTCATCCAGTTTGAGTTCGAATGGCACCATGTGAGCCGGAGTGCCGGCGATCAAATCATCGATCCTTCCCACAGAGGTCCTGTCCTGGTGTACATCGCACCCACCGATAAGGGATCAGCCGGTAACGGCTGGGTCAAGCTCGCAGAGGATGGATTCGACGGACAATGGGGCGTTGAGAGACTTAGGGCCAATGGAGGTAGACACTCCGTTGTTATCCCAGACCTTGTCCCTGGCGAATACCTCCTCCGTGGTGAGATCATCGCCCTTCATGAGGGTGATCGTCTCAATGGGGCACAATTCTACATGGAATGTGTTCAGGTCAAAATCACCTCGTCTGGAACTACAACTCTTCCAGCTGGTGTCTCGATTCCCGGAACATATTCTGCCACTGACCCTGGTATCTTGTTCGACCTCTACAATGGTGTCAAGCCATATCCAATTCCTGGACCCGCTGTCTGGGATGGTGCATCATCTGGCCCGGCGCCCACATCCCCAGCACCAACAACCACGGCTCTTGCGTCGACCACTGCTGTGCCAACTACTTTCCAGACCGTGGTGAAACCCACCACTAGCAACGTAGCACCACCTCCAGCGACCACCACTCCACCAACTCAAGGTGGCAGCGGCTCAGTGGCTGTCTGGCAGCAATGTGGCGGTATCAATTACAGCGGCCCCACGGGCTGCCAGTCGGGCCTCATCTGCCAGCAGTGGAACCCATATTACTTCCAGTGTATCAGCCCTGATATCAGCACTTGAAATCCTTGAGGAGATTCAAGCTTCCCACACAGTGATATTTCTGTACGCACCAGATCACGAAGTCCCTAGTGGACCTGAAATTCTCGGATTTTCGTTGTGGAATTTTTAAGAGATATTCTATTCTTGTTCTTACTTTACAATGATATTTATTCTGAACTCGCAACAGTGGACATGTCCACGGCACATCTGGGATGCCCGTGTGATATCCTACCATGCCCGCCGCCTTTAGAAAAATGGCACTAATCCCACCGCCGCTTTATGAAATTGACTGTGGGAACCACAATCGACGTCATTCGACGTTCAGTGGAAGTCAGTATATTTCATCAGTCATAATTTAAACCCCGAGAATAATTTGTGATCGAGAGACCATACCTCCGAGGGCTGATCACAGACTGTTGGCGACTTACTGTCTAGACAACTCTAACCACTGTCTATCATGAAGCAGCGATATTCGTCCCTCGACGTCAAGGTAAGAAACCCATATGCCCCTCCAATCTACTTACCCCTCGATGTACAGGCACACGACCGAGTGCTCTGGGCAGACAAACATCTAATGTGTCTAGGTCATTGCCGCTGAACTCGCCTCCACACTCATCACACTACGAATATCAAACATCTACGACCTCTCAAGTCGAATCTTCCTCTTGAAATTCGCCAAACCAGGCAAGCGGGAACAATTACTCGTTGATTCCGGCTTCCGCTGCCATCTGACCTCCTTCTCCCGCACTGCCGCCACTGCACCCTCTGTATTTGTCAGTCGATTGCGGAAATATCTCAAGAGCAGACGGGTCACAAGTGTCTCCCAGATTGGCACAGATCGGGTTATTGAGATCAGTTTCAGTGACGGGCAATATCGGTTATACCTGGAGTTTTTCGCAGCTGGAAATGTCATTCTCACCGATGCCGATCTAAATGTCTTGGTCCTTCTCCGCCAGGTTTCAGAGGGTGATGAAGATGTTGACGTCAAGCTGGGTGGAAAATATATCCTTGACGCCAAGCAGAATTACCATGGTGTACCTCCCATTACCAGAGACCGCGTCAAGGAGGCGCTACAAGCGGCCGTTGAAAGAGCAAAGGCTGCTTCTGAGGTTGGCGGGAAGAAGGCGAAGCGAGCGAAGGGAGCAGACGACCTGAAGAAAGCTTTAAGTATCGCTTTCCCTGAGTTTCCTGTTCATCTGTTGGATCACGTCTTCCGAGAATCGGGGATTGATGTGGCAACCAAAGCAGACGCGGCTCTTGAGAATAGCGACATATTCGAGACAGTTATCACGGCACTGGAACGAGCGGGAGAAATTTTCAAATCATTTGAAGGTGCCCAGTCAAAGGGCTACATTATTGCGAAAGTAAAGTCCACACAAGTTGAGGAGCCTAGTGCCGCAGAGTCTAAAGACTCTAGTCGAGAAGGAATTCTTTACGATGATTATCACCCGTTCAGACCAGCTCAGTTCGAAAACAAGCCTGACCTGCGCATTCTTGAATTCGACGGCTTCAACAAGACCGTGGATGAGTTCTACTCCTCAATTGAGTCTCAAAAGCTGGAATCAAAGCTCACTGAGCGCGAAGAGACGGCTAGGCGGAAGTTGGAAGCTACCAAAGCCGACCATGCAAAGCGACTGGGTGCACTCCAACAGGTGCAAGAATTACATATTCGAAAAGCGCAAACGATAGAAGCAAACACCCACCGAGTGGAAGAAGCCTGTGCCGCAGTCAACGGACTGGTTGGACAAGGTATGGACTGGGTGGACATCGGAAAGTTGATCGAAAACGAGCAGAAGCGAGGAAATGTGGTTGCTCAAATGGTCAATTTGCCGCTGAAACTTGAGGAGAATACGGTCACTCTTCTTCTCGACGAGCCTGGAGTTGAAGAGGATGAAGAGAGTGATGAAGAAGATAGGACTGATGACGAAGCGGACTCTGACGAAGAAGTCAGCAAAGCTGCTGCCAAATCTACGTCCAAGCCTACAGAAAAACGGCTTGCAATCGATATCGACCTAGCATTGTCTCCCTGGGCAAATGCAAGGCAGTATTATGAGCAGAAGAAGACAGCTGCTGTGAAAGAGCAGAAGACAATACAATCGTCAACTAAAGCGCTTCAATCCGCCGAGAAAAAGATTGAGGCCGATCTGAAGAAGGGGCTCAAACAAGAAAAGGCGACACTTCGACCAGCCAGAAAGCAATTTTGGTTTGAAAAATTTCTGTACTTCCTTTCCAGTGATGGCTATCTAGTCATAGGAGGGAAAGATGCACAGCAAAACGAATTACTCTATCGCAGATACCTGAAGAAAGGAGACATCTACGTCCACGCTGATCTTCAAGGTGCTGCCAGTGTTATTGTCAAAAACAATCCAAGAACGCCTGATGCACCAATACCACCATCTACGTTGTCACAGGCTGGTGCCTTGACCGTTTGCACGAGTAGCGCCTGGGAATCCAAAGCTGTGATGGGAGCATGGTGGGTCAATGCAGAGCAAGTGAGCAAAACTGCCCCGACAGGTGAATATCTTACTACCGGAGGATTTGTTATTCGAGGCCACAAGAATCTCTTACCACCTACCCAACTACTTCTAGGGTTTGGTGTGCTGTGGTTGATCAGCGACGAGAGCAGAGCGAACCATGGTAAGCACCGATTGGAACGAACAGAAAGCATGCTTTCAGGAGAAGCTGAGGCTTTGGAAAGAGACGCACAAGGTTTAGCGATTGACGATCAGGATCTGTCACAAGAGGAAGAGGATGCCTTATCCGTACGGGAGCAAGCCATTCCAGACCTCGAAGATGCGGCGAAGGATGCCGAAGAAGAGATAGATGAGGATGACCAGGTTGCAGACACTGCCGGAGGTGTTCCGCTCGGCGAGTATGAAAAGGATGACGATGACGACAACGCCTCGACGAATGCATCTGAAGCAGGTGATGATTACCACTCGAATCCGTTGCAGACAGTTGGGAAAGACAAGAGCGCTGATGATGCAGAGAAGGCTGACATCAAGATCGAAGCTCAATCTGAACATGATAGCGATGAGGAGGAGGAAGGACCAGAGACCTCGACCTCTACCCCTGGCGAATCTTCAACCCCAGCCTCATCCAGCGCCAACACAAAGCCTGGTCCAAAACAGCAACAATTGTCCCGCGGGAAACGAACGAAAGCAAAACGAGCCCAGAAGAAGTATGCTGAGCAGGATGAAGAAGACCGCGCGCTCGCCATGCAGCTTCTTGGCTCAAACCGAGCAGTTGAACGCAAAGCTGAAGCCGAGATAGACAAAGCAGCTCGTGACGCCAAACTCCAAGCTGACAAGGAACGTCGCAAAGCTCAACATGCCAAAGCTGCGGAGAAGGAGCGTCTCCGGCGTGAGAGACTTGAAAAAGCTGCTGCTGAAGGTCATACAGGCGCCGATGCCGCAGCTTTAGATGAAGATGACGAGCTCAGCAAAGAACAACTTGAACAGGAACGAAGAGAATTACTCGACATCGACCGACTTGTTGCCCTACCTGAACCCGGCGATGAACTTATCGCAGCTATTCCAGTAGTCGCACCCTGGACTGCCCTTGCCCGCCAGAAATACAAGGTCAAGCTACAGCCTGGAGCAGTGAAGAAGGGGAAAGTCGTGCGTGAGATCCTCGGCTTCTGGGGTAGTCTCACGACGAGAGGACCCAAAGTCGTCGACGAGAATAGTCGTGAGAAGGAGAAGGTGTGGAGACGCGAGTTGGACTTGTTGAAGGACTGGAGAGTCGAAGAGATAGTGGGTTATGTTCCTGTCAAGGGAGCGAGGATCGTTCAGGGTGGTGGTGCTGGGGCTACTGCCAGTAATGCGAAGGGCAAGGCTGGTGGTGGTAGTAAGGGAAAGGGGAAGAGTGGTGGAGGGAGAAAGGGGAGATAGACATCAGGAGGGCCTTAGCATCCTCAGACTAAGGAATAAGAAAGTGCTCCCTGATATCCAAGTTATCATGGTTCTGATGTGACGGGTTCTCAAACGACTAATAACCAGTCGCAGAAGTAAATATCTACTGAAGCGTTGGCGGGCATTGGCGATATTGGGGAGGCATTCATTTATCAGCTATGAGCTTCAAGCAGTCCACACGTTGAGCATAGGTGCGCCAGATGATACACACAACTCTTGGAGTCTTTGGAGGTATATACCTGCATGTAGCTGGTTTGGGTTGTCAAAAATGAAGCGATTTGTAAACTCCGACTCCAGGCAAAAGCCGACACCTGGTTCGTGATTCTCACTGGTAAAATTTGGAAAAAGGTGTGAATCCATACCTAAATCCATATTTGATAAATATTTTAGGGTTAGAGATATAGGTGATTACATCGATATCCAATTGTGAATAGGTTGAGCCTAGGCTCGTCTACACTGGCCTGGGCTCGCTCTTCAGCTGTTGATTCTTCACGGACTAGCATGACTTTCAGGTATTTGCGGAAGTCCTCAATTCCGTTGATGCCAGGTGATGCCGATGCCAGACCAGTGAACTCGGCACGAAGCCATTCGAGAGAGAGAGCTTGTGAGCCGTCGTCTCTCTTTATTTCATGGACCTCGTCAACCCAGGCCACATTGAACATCTCATGGAGGAGGAATGGGCATTGCCAATCAGGAACGGTTCTTACCTTGGTTGCTTGCTTCTCAGACATGCCATTCGATGTACGCCATTGTTTCAGTCTGTGAGGTCCGTGGCGCATCGCCTATGGTTGTTGTGATGTCAACACCAGCTTCTTCTTCATGCCATGACCATGGAAGAAAGGATGTTCATTCGCTAGGATACCGTGGGTCCTATCGTCCTCGTCATCAACAGTGCGTTCCCGACTATCGCCGTAGTAAACGTAGACCTTGGTTTCGTTAGCGCAGCTCTCGGTTTTCTCTTTAATCTATATGGTGATAGAAGGAGGTACAAACATAATTACAGGCTTGGCCGGGTCAACGTTCTGTTCACCGTCGGCCTCAGCCCAAAGCTCCCCATCTCTGATGATCTATAAACATTAGTTCAAGACCTTTGCGCCAGGCTAGCACAAAATCACAGTTAGCATCTGGCCAACCATCAGTATGGCCTTTCCCAACCCGATATAATCGGCCAGGACAGCCCCTGTTAGACGCTGGTGGAACTGGCCGAGTGCACATATACCCGTGGTTCGCCATGGTTTGAGGTGTATGGAAGGAGACATTCCAGGAATACCTGGGTAAGGACCATGGGGGATTTCGAGCCAGTCCTTGGCTTCCTGACTATTGATTTAGCTAGCTTGTAGATTGCCACTTAACAGCTTCTCGTCTCTAAGGTTATCGATGTCCTCTTGTATGGCCTCTAGCGCGAGAATGACCTTTTCGGTGATGGCATCTGCCACCTCCTTCTGCCACGCCTCTCCATCTGCGCCAAGGCGCTGACAGTCCCGATGTGTGAGGGAAGAAATGATCTCATCAAACTGTTGTTTATTGTGACCAGTCTTGATCAGAGTCTGAATAGCTGCAGTCTTCTGAAGTCGATCAAATAAGTCGAAGACATCAGATGTTGATTCCAGGATAATTTGCTCTTCAATGCTTAAAGTTGGGGTCGGCTCACGTCGTGCTCGTCGATTTTTACGAGCCTCTTTGAGCTCTGTGATTCTTGCTCGTAGTCTGGCTCTGGGGCCTTAATATCAATCTGTTCTTTAGTATGAATCTTAGGGTCGGGAGGGGAACTTGAGACAGTTTCGTCATCACTCGGCACGAGTTCTCCATCTTCTTCGGAGCCAGCGGTAGATTTATCCTGTTCAAAGTCGTAGAAGTCATCATATGCTCTGCAGTATCATCTTCTGTTCTACCAGTTGGTTGGCCAGAGAGTTGTGTGTCATCCAGACCCATACCCAAGCTCTTTCCTCCACTGTAATTTGATGCTGCCAGGAACGATGTAAGGTATTTCAGAACCTGGTAAATAGCCCATTGCTTGTCAATAGCCAGCATATCCCGTTTGTAGTGTTGACTGTAGATCACAGCGACTTGCTCCAGGCGCATTGAGTAATCAAATACCCTGGTGGACTTTGATTCAAGGACCAGTTGCCGTTCAATGGTAAGCTTTACGAGTCGCGCGGCCTCAGCCTCCCGTTCTCTATCGACCCGTTCTCTTTTAAGTGCAGCGGCCTACTCGGCAGCTTCCCGCTCTCGTCGCCGTGTTTTAGTCTTATATTCAGCTGCGATACGATGGGCTTCTTCTTCCTCAGCTAATCGACGAAAGCGATGTTTCGCCTGCTCGCGTACGGCACGAGACAGGGGAATGTCAAACATGATCGTCTCGTGGCATTGGTATTAAAGTTCCATACCATAGGAAGACATAACAAAGGATGTAATGAGTATTTGTGCTCCCGATTTGGTCTCGCTGTTGTTGAACATATGGATTATCTCGTCACGCTCTCGGGTAGTGAGATTAGATCACCTTGAGTATAGTTATAGCTACATAACGCAACGCGTTACTCCATACTATTACTTCTTTTGATAAACTCAAAGCTCCTAAACTAAGGACACTAGTTAGGGGAGTTAGATAGCTCAAGTGCGCTATACATAAAGTATCGATCAAAGCTTTATACATCAATTGAATATGACGGACGCTACGGCCTCAAAGAAATCTTTGTCGTTCTTCGAGGCCCCGAATCGTCATTTGAAGTTCTATCATTAAAACAGCTCAGCAACTTAGCTAACCGAAGGTCACCGTTCACATCTACTAGTGTTTGTGCTTCGGAGTACGGTCCTTCCTGGATACCCAGATGATCTAGACCATTCTGTCAGTTATAGTATCGATATATAGAATCACTACTACAAACCCGTGAATTTCGATCTACCCATGTCCCGAGCTCAGCGCGACCAGATGGTGGGAAGATCCCGGAGACCTGAGCAACCAGGTGATAAGGTTATTTTATGGAACCCAACGGTCGAGCGTACTATCTTGGATCGACAATCTATCATCAACATGAACAAGGCAATGCCTAGCTTGATATCAGATTTAAATCAACGGGCTTTCCTAGTCGACGAAGGCCAAGATGGAAGGATCGACCTAGGTCAATGGGTGCTTTCCAATAATCAGCTCATGCGCGCCACATACGCTGTCATGGTAAGCTATCAAGAACGAGAGAATGCTGAGCTTGAACTGCTCGATGGTGAACCGGGTTCTTCAGCCAGTCCTTGTCTCTGAGCATGGTCGGGCAGCGCACGTGAATATCAACGACGAAGAATGGGAGGATCGTCTGGATGATTCACCACCTGTGTACAGGACCATTAGACCCATGAGGCAACCTCAACGAAGCGTACATTATAATAGGACGAACCCCAAAATACCACAAAAGGTAGCAATACGATGCGATTGATCTGCTCTGACCTCACAGGAGCAGTTCGGACAACCTACTTCCTTCTGGGAACAGCATCGATATTGGGTGCTTTGATAGTATCCATCATTATCAAATGACCTCCTCAGTGCAGGTGCTGAGAGAGCGAACACTTCGGTCGGGAACGATCAATCAATTTCCCGCCATCACAGTTTTCTTGTGTTGGACGCTGGAAAAGCTCACTTGGATCAGGATGAATTGCTCTGACTCTCTCTATGGATGTTGGCTGTTCTAACGCTCATATAAATGCAGTAGAGAAACGATCTAATCATGCCCTTTTTGCATCCTGACAGAAACCTTGTTGCCGCGGAGTGAGAGTTGACTGACACGCGAGGTTTTGCCTAGTACAGGCGAGGTTTGACTACTCACGTACACTATATAGGTATAAAACTATAATTGAGAAGCTCTTATCGTTATCACAACTTAGAAGCCGTGAGATAGTCAGCGTCTTAGAGAATAGGATTAGGTATAGATTGTCGGGATAGAAAATGCAATAGTGGAATAGCCTCCTATCACCTAAGAAGTCACGCAGGATGATATCGACAACTTCCGAGAGGAGTAGCATCACGCTTAATTCTTAGGCATTGAACGTCCTATGCAGGCATTTGGAGTTGCCCGAAGGACCGTATCCCACTAAGGTCGAAGCACAAATAAATCAGACGTGGACAGCGTCTGCCGGTTCATGAATAGAGTGTATTCGAACTCAAATGAGCATGCCCAAAAATCAGATATATCCTGCCGCACGTTCCACCATCAAGTTAACCCACGCAATGATGGCTATTTCACTAGCAAGACAATCATGAAACTCAATTATATATACATTATCAATTGAGAAGACAAGGCTGCTATTTTGGGCCTAAAAACACCAGAACCGTCCTTTTGAGGTCATGGCGTCCGTCATACTCAGTAATGCTTGAAGCTCGGACCGATAATTTATGCGCAGAGCACTTGGGCCATCTCCTCCACTTGACTCTAGCGCCCTTATTCAGAAGCTTTGACAACTATTCCCGACTTGAGCCTACGTATTCGAATATTCATGTTAGACATATGAAGAGTGTTAAGTAGAGGATGTCAGCGGCACCTCGCGCCATTACCATTCGTATGCCGACTTGCTCCCACCCTCAGAAAAGGAGTTCCATGCTCATTCTCGACGACAATCATGTAACAACTCCACATGTAGGTTGAATATGTCAAGGTCTTTTATATCTGGAATATTGTGAATGATTCAAGGGATGGGAAACCAATTTTCCTGGGGCATAGAAGTTCATGGTATCGACTGTATTTTCGAGTGGTCTATGGACGAGTAGTTCATGAGCCGAAGTGGAGACAACGTCTTTGAAGGGGAGAAGGTTTGAAACGACCTGCAATAGGAGTTTTCTCGTCTTCGGGACGCTATAGAGTAAGACAAGATCAGGATGATCCCAGAAGGCAGTCCATGATTGCATTCCTTTAATCCAACAAAGATAACGAGAAGATGATGAGATCGCCGCTTCTGGAGACGCTATGTGGATCACACGCTCTGAAAGTGATGAAGAGGAGCCTGGAGACAGTGAGCAGACGCCTCAAGGTGACAAAAGGAAGCCTTCTATTTCAGTCTCTGGCGCCGATGAACGTGGATTAGATGCAATGATGCTATTGAAGAGATATGAAGATATCATTTTTCACAGTCTCGTTTTACAAAACCGAAGCTTCCAAGAGTTGCACCTCCGGAGCTCTTGTCAGAGACTGGCCATATCACTGCGCCAGAGAAATCCTGAAGCGTACTAAGAGCCGTTGGTCAAGATCACTCCTCCGATAGTCAAACCTCGCCTGTACTAGGCAAAACCTCGCGTGTCAGTCAACTCTCACTCCGCGGCAACAAGGTTTCTGTCAGGATGCAAAAAGGGCATGATTAGATCGTTTCTCTACTGCATTTATATGAGCGTTAGAACAGCCAACATCCATAGAGAGAGTCAGAGCAATTCATCCTGATCCAAGTGAGCTTTTCCAGCGTCCAACATATCGGCCGCTCTTGTAGTCATTCGATAGTTTGAACTTCAATATTAGAAGGAACGGTCGAATCGGCGAAAAGTTGGAAAATGGAGAACCAACGAGAGAGATTGAGAAGGGACAGAAAGCACAGGGCTCAAATAAACTAAACTCAGTGTCAACCGGAAGAAACCTCAGGACGAGAAGGCGAGGGTTGGATTTTTCCAGTATCGACGACCCAGCGCTCTTCAGCAGCCTGGCTTGTGGCATGCATAAATTCCTGCCGTGCGAGTTATGTCTCGCTTCTAGGTTGCAGGCGTGCTCCCGAGTTCTACCCGGAATAGGATGTCCACTGACAGTGTTTCTGAAAATGTATGCAATAGCTTCTTAGCGGTCAAGGGACGAAGCTATCGGCAAGACTTGTCAATCCAACACTGCAAGTTTCTCGCTAGCCGAACCCAATCGAAACGGGCGGGAACCTTCTTGATACCCAGTAAAATCACAATGTGGTTGTGGTTGGAGGAACGGCACCGGCGACTGTCGGATACAAGCCGCCGAGCTCGATACTCCGGCGAGAGCACCCCTGTTCTCGCATGGGCTGCATAAGTCTGCTTCGGACAGTGTGAAAATCCTCGATAGACTTTGAGAGTACTCCGAGGAAGAGCAAAAGCTTCAGAATAGCACATTGATCAGCCTTTTGACCAAATTCGTCGAAAAAATTTGTCCGTCCCAGCCTCCTCGGTCAATCAGCAGACACTTTCCGTAGATCTCATCATTCTTGGTTGAGCACGCTGGAGAGTCCGACGAAGGACTTTGTGCTCTCAGCTCAATCGATCCCACGCCTCACTACCCCCAGAAGGTCATTCATAGCTACCTAAGCAGCTAGCATTAGCCTCGGTGAAGCGAGCTGCAGCTCTCTTGAAGTTTCAATGACAAAAAACAAGCTTCCAAAAAGGACTAGCGTCAACAAATTCTTTGCCCCAAGAAAAAGGTACGTGGCATTGGACCGAAAGTCCGTAGCAGTAACCAGCTCAAGGTAAGGTAGCTATGTAGCTGTGGTCAAACACGAGAAAACCATCATCACTTGACTGTTCTAGGCCTCTCTTCGCTTCTCAGAGCCACGCTGCGGTGTGACCAGTCCTTCCCACCATGTTCGATGTTCTTTTGAGCGAGGAGCTTTGCAGCCTAACTCGGCCAAACATGCACAGCCGGATGTTGTCACCGATCGTTGCTTAGAATAACTATGGTGCGGATGCGCTGTCTGTATCTGGATAGGTCAGGTTAGATGTCAAGGGTGGCTGGGGTAACGGCTCGGAAGCGTGGGTGATCATGCCTCGCTTCCAACTCGGATGATTCGTGTGGAGAGTTTGCCAACCACTGAGAACGGAGATCTTGAGCACACTTTTTCCTGCACATTGCAACCAATTGTAGCTGAATTACAGGGTTAGTCACTAGGCCTGAGGTCATTATGCCCGAGGTCGAAAGGATAACCGGCAAGGTATTCTTCATACTGGTGGAGGTTGGAAAAGCGGGATGGTGAGGATCCAGGTCTTGCTCGCCGAGGGGTTCCCCAGAGGATCAACTCCATATGCCTCCAAGGATACCAGGAGGGTGCCCATATGGCGATCTTCTAATGTCTCAGGCAAATGTTAAGGCAAAAGCCAGTCACCGGTCAGTGGTCTGATGTGGTATTCTGAGGCCCATCTAGTTACCTCCTACAGATCTGGACGTGTTTGAATACGAGGTATTGGCCCCAGATAATGGTAGATCATTCTAAGGTAGACTTCGTCTCAACTTGAATATTCCTCAGTGTCAACAGGCAGTGTACCTGGGTCGATTGGGACCTGTCGCGTTCACACTTATTAGTAGCTTTTTGACTACCTGTACCTGCCTCTGACCACGCTGCTTCTAAGTCAGGCACAGCCGGAAGGGCAGGATGGTCTCAAAAACAACACACACCTGCAGCGTAGCGTTAGTAGTGGAGAGAGAAATCGAAAGGGCACGGGCAACTGGTGCGGCAGCGGGGATCTAAGAAACGCCACTGGCGTCCTCGGCTGGGTCTGTGTTGCCAGCAAACTCTATTCTCGCGTCATCTCCAACGGGAATGGGAAAAAGAATAACTTCAATGTTCGCTCCCCACATTCCAGGTTACCGATTCTTGGCTGGTAGGTGCTCGGCATAACGTCCTCTGGAGTGGACGGATAGGTGGATGTACTTCAATGCCTACGTAGGTCCTCTACCAGGCACTGAGCAGGTCAGTTGCTGAATGTATGCATTTATCACATACCTGTCGGTACGGGCGGCCAATAATCTTTGTAAGGTCCACTGTCTTGCATTTCCTGCCTCAGATGTCTCTCCAATGAACCTTCGTTGAGTGCTTATGTCTCAGGCGAGTCAATTGAACAAGTTAGTCTCAGTCCTCTCCCATTCTCGATTAACTGCTTCTACTACATTTCGAGGTGTGGGAAGTGGGCATCAAGGTCTGAAATGGTTGATTTTTAAAAATAAATAAAACAAAAAGTTTGAACTATGGAATCAAATAATTTGCCCGTATCCCTGTATTGACGATGGCCTCTCTCCATTTCTGTATGTAACTCTGTGTCTCCTCGTCAACCTCAATTACTAGCTCCGTGTAGATACTGCCGTTGATCCGGCCCGGTCGTGATGCACATGAGTGGGATGCTAACTCGATCCCTAGTTTTCCCACGTGCTTTTCCAATCCCCTTAAGTGATGATTAACTTTATTTTGTTGATGCGATTAACCGTGGGTCAAGTATGATATGCTTTCATCGTGGATAGTCGTGATTTGTCATATCGTCTGAATGATTAGATAAAAAAGTAAATTCGTGACTTGATCAGGTTGCTGCTTTCTCCCTCGCGGTTGCGAATAGCTTAATGCCAATCAGCCCAGCCTGAGGCAGAAACGGTGACGGTGACAGTGACGTATTCCTTCAGAGGGGCGGCTGTGACCACGCTAGTAATGGTGGAGGCGGGCAATTGAACGGTCGTGGGAACCACAACAGTGGTGGGCACAACCTTTGTAGTTGGGACAACTACGGTCGTAGGCACTGTGATTGTTGTAGGAATGGTTGTAGGAACCACAACAGTGGTTGGGACGACTTTCGTAGTTGGTACAACCACGGTAGTTGGCACAACCACTGTAGTTGGAACCACCACCGTTGTGGGGACGACGACAGTGGTTGGCACGACTTTAGTAGTTGGCACAACCACTGTGGTGGGCACTGTGATTGTTGTTGGCACTGGCACTGTGATAGGCTTCTCGATTGTTGTAGGAACCACGACGGTAGTTGGTACGACTTTTGTAGTCGGTACAACGACAGTTGTGGGCACTGTGATCGTTGTTGGGACGGTGACGGGCTTTTCGACGGTGGTGGGAACAGTAATAGTGCTGTATTGAACCTGAGGGGCAAGTGTATAGGTTACAGTGACGGTGGAAGCACCTTGCCAGTCGTTCCAGCCCTCTGTGCGAGCCTTAAGAGCAGCAGCACTGGCCGAGGCGGCGAGGAGAACAACAGAGAGGACCTGCATGTTGATGATGGAGAGTGTGATGAAGATGGAAGAAGTCCAAAGATGTATGAGAGAACGAAAGGATGAGGGAGTTGAACGAAGGTGTGACTTCTTGTGTTGAGTGAGAGTAGCGATGGAATGATTCTTTCTGAGATTGATGGAGAGGGAATATCAAGAGAAGCATTCCATGCCGCTCTATATAGTCCTTTGGTTGCCTTGGGCCTTGCACGAACGAAGAAGTAAGTCCATCGAAATCCGGTTGGACAAGCCCCGCCCTCTTTGCTCAGCAAACTCACCTCTTTCAGGACTTCTAGCACGAAATGTCTCCAGCGGGCACCAGTTGGATAACCCAGCCCGCTATTACTCAACAGACTTACCTTTTCCTAGACTTTGGTTCACGGTTTGTGGCCCTCAGCTGAGCTCCCTTCCGGTTAGGACAACCGTAGCGGGAAATCGACAATGCTGGAGGGGATCACCCAAGCCACTCGGCAAACGTTGGCGATGTTGAGGAGCGAAGTCACGGCATGCAGGTCAAGAGAACTTTCTCCACTGCAACGTGCATACAATATGCTGGCAGCTGTCCAGCCGTGGTGGAAAAAAAGTGACCAACACGAGGTAATTCTGGGAGTTGGACTAAGCCCGGCATGCCTAGCGGAGCCTTGGCATAGTCTCAATAATAGCTCGAGGCGTTACTCCAACGGGCATTAGGTACCTGTGGACCCCCTACAAGCTTTCATATCGCACAGACCATTCGTCAAATGTTGCATTAGATCAGCCTTGGCCATGTCTTAGGTCTGACTTCCCTGCCCGGCCAAGGTGCTTGCTCAGCCGCTCTTGTATGGCTAGGTTTCGGTTACGGCTCACCATTCTCATGCCTGTACCAGATTCCCACGCCTGAAATGCCACCTAGAATGCCTACCAGCACACAATTCCATGGGTGAGAAAACCTGTTGTGGCAGAGTCCAGCCTCCCTCCCTAACCCATTCATAGGCCCTTTTGCCCTGCCTGCTTCGGTGTATGACACTGACCAAACCAGTTTTCGGGTTGCGGAGCACAGTGGACACCTTGAGGCCAGCCCAAGGTATGGGTCTATTATTGCCTGCCACTGATGATCTTGCTGTTGTAACCATGTAACCAGTAACGGCTAATCCCCATCGGTTCTCAATTGTCTCGTAACTTCCAAGGCACAAAAATACATGGCGATTTTGTCATCGTTCTATCCTAAGATTCGACCGGTACGGACAGTCCAGAGGCGGCCAAAATCCACATGGAACCAACTCTTACTTCCTCGGGATCAGACATTCACCGTTCTCTTCGCTATGCTTCGTAGAGTGCAATGCAAGCCCACTTTTCGCCACTCAGTCCTCCACGCTGTTTCTCCCGACGCACATCCGTGAGAAAGTGACTATGATTTGGCGTTTGGGTCATTGGTACTACTTTGAATCGATAGTTGCAATGATTCGTATTCTTTATTGACAGTACATTTGTCTGTGCACCAATTCTAGCTGATATACTCACCGCTCGCAGAAAGGATAACTCCGATCCGGCCCACGAATAAGTGTATGAACGTAATACCAAGACAAAAAGACGAGTAGCCAAGGCGACTTCCTCATGCAGATTGACCTTCCAGAGCGAGTCTCGAGGTTGGTGCAAGGTGTACGAGGAAACTTTTGAGTGACCTCCCCGGAATCCTACTCCCATGATGTTCCTCGTTCGATAGCTAGGATGGTCTCAATATGCTGCATCTCCACTTTTCCGCACGGCCCATCCTTGCTCTTCTCTTGACTCCGTGCGAGCATTTGTGCCGTCTTGAGCATATTCTTGATTTGTCGTCCATTGATGTCTACTTTGGCAAGTCGGTCGAGGTCTTTTCCTGTCACTCCGGTGTCCGGACCCAAGAATTGTTTCCAGATGTGCCTCCGAGACTCAGCGGACAAATTTGGGTAGTTTATGGTTACGTGAATTCGAGAGTGAAAGGCCTCATCGATGTTCTTGATTCGGTTCGTTGTAAGGAAAAGCACGCCTTCGTAATATTCCTTGACATCATGGTCAGCTATGCCCCGTGAATGTGGGGTGGGTCATGATCATCTTACCAGTACTCTCAGAAAAATGGATACCATTTTGTTTCGTTCAAGATCATGCGAGCTTCTCGCTTCGAGGAAGACATCGGCTTCGTCGAGTAGCAATACGGCGTTCCATTTGCTGACCATGTCAAGTACCAGGTTTAATGACTCCTCAATACCTGTGGGGTCCAGACCCAAATCACCAGCAGACAACATATATAATGGAACTCGCATCTAGTAAGGTTGTGTGGTCAGCATGTGCCCCTCGCATCCGTACTCGGACAGTCGTGCCAGCCTTCTGGCATCCACCTGAATCAGAAATAGGAAAAGTGACTTACATCCTCAGCAACACTTTCACTCGTCAATGTCTTACCCACACCGGGTGGACCAGCAAGCAGCATTATCCTGTTGTACAATCAAGGTTAGTCAATTGAACTCATGATAGAAAAGCACATGAGGTTTGGCTTGCTCCGGCTCCACAAATCTATCGTGAGCACCTCGGTGGATGTAGTCTCTTGCACAGAGAGAGAAACCCGGTTCCGTTCTCAACGAAAGCTAAAGGTAGCTTTTTCTGGTGCAAACACTGGTAGACAGGATGCTGTTGATGACGAGATAGACTTCACCCGGATAAGTCGGCGGAGACAACCATAATAAAGAGGATGTTTGATCCGGATAGGCGGGGGAAGACTGTCGAGAACAACAAAGTCAAGCGTGATGGAGACACAACTTACATTCCACGACCCTTTCCAGCAATGACATCGTCAAAGTCATCTTTGTACTTGACTTGAGACTCCACAAAGGCTCGAATCAGTGATTTCTGCTCCGAGGGTAGCACCAGAGACGAGAATGCATTATCGGCGAAATTGATGGGAGATATTTGATCAACGTAGAACCAGAGCCACTTCTTCGTCTTGATAGCATAGCCTCGCACGTATGGAACACAAAGAAGAAGCTCTTCTGGTGTCAACGGACGATGCTTTGGCTTCCCAGCTTCCTTGGCACTTGATGAGAGGCTATCCTCTGCATCGTCGAAGTAATCCTCCGAGTCAGAAACCTCTTCTTCCTCGTCACTGTCTTCAAAATCTGAGGCTTCGCCAAAGAGAGTACTGCTGTTTGGCATGCCAAGAGGGTTGTAGTGTACCGCATAATTGGGCATAAATCTGTTATGGGCATCACAGTCGATAATGATACGAGTGTCCACGTTATGGCGTATCATGCCACATCTGCCATAGCCAAGACATACACCCCGATACGCCATGTAATGGTAGCCTGCATATCGTTCGAAAAGCTTGCCTCTCTGAATCAACCGTTCAACAAGAGCCTCCTTCTGAGGATGGAACTCGAGAGGATACGCTGATAGACTGGTGATCGGTGTGGTCCCTGGGAACTCGTAATCTTGCAAGTCACTGTGATGTTTCCCGAATTTTGTTCCATCCCAATCACATGACCACACGCTGAGCGAAAGAAACTGCAAGCCACGTCTGGAGTCGGTGCACGTCTGCGTGTACTCAAGCTTGAACACAGACTCTTTGCCATCTGACACGCTGTAAACGAGTGTTTGTGGCTCAAAGATCGTCCAGAGGTAGTCAAAGGTGATGACTCCGTTCTTCACAAGATCAACTTTTGCCGCAATTGCAAGCTTCAACTCCTCATAAATGACATCGTGGAACAATTGAAGGTGTTTTTTGGCAACAGGGTCTTCAAAATCGTCCTTTTCGAGTAGGGATGCAAAGGTAGCCCATCGATGAACGAATGGGTGAAAGGGTGCTTTGAAGACAAGTCGTTCGAGATTGGTTGTGATGCCGGGATAGCCTTTCAAGACTATACCCAGTGATGCCTTCAGCCATGGACTCTGAACGATGATCGAGTCAATGTCGTATTTCTTACGACTGTCGTAGCTTTTCTTCTTGCGGACAAGGAAAGCGAAACGAGCAGTTTCCTTGGTTTCAGCTGCTTCGACAGCATCTTGTGGCTCCTCCACGACCCATTGGAATTTACCATCGGAATCTTTCTTTTGATAAAGAGATTTAGCCTCTGTTATACTGCCTTGTGGCACCTCTGGCTCTTCTGCCTTCTCTTCCTCGTCCTTTTCTACTTTCGCCGGCTTTTCTTCCTTCTCCAGGGCGGGCGCCTCAGACCCTGCGGCAGGGGAACCCAGAATGATGGCCTGCTTGCCATCAACGTGGTGTGCAATTGGTGGAACCATCCTGTCAAGATTCTGATCGGATTTGATGATGAAACAAACAACAGATAGCAAAGACTAACTACCTCTGACGAAGATAATGCTGACAAGAATGAAGAGCAAGGTAGGGAATAACGAAACAATGAATTCATGAACTTGCAGCTATACTTATTGAACTTTTTGATACTTGATACTTCCCAATCATATGGGGCTGATCTGATAGTGGGGAAGTGATACAGGCTGGCCAATTCCTGCCTGGAGATAGGTATGTCGTTAGCCAATGGAATCATTGCAAGCCCACTGGCACGACTCATAATGCGACTATTGTTGAATTGCACCTCACAGTTCACAGCTTAGCATGGTATGGATTGATTCAGGCAGGATAAGATCTAGGCTGTGCTGCCTGGAGTGCATCCTAGATCGAAGGCGCAGGCTGTGGTACAGGATCCGTCGTGACTCAGAGTCTACTTACAGCACAATAGGGCAAAAAGGAATGGGGGCCAGTGTGACTCTCGTTCCTTTTCCCCCACCATTCTCAGGTCAGGCTCAGCCTAAGAGTCAAACACGCTCAGAAAATTGATGCGGGAACCAAGGCTGATTCAAGGCTGCAATGGCTGCCTGCACAATCATGATTGTTGAGACATGAAGTCCGATTTCAGATTTCCCGGCAATGATTAGTGTAACGCGCCAGACAACTCTAGTGCCTTGGCAGTAATTAAGTCGAATCCCGAGAACGTACTCGTAAACGTGTCTCTCCTATCTGTGGAGTATCAACATGATAAACTTATGCCATTCATTGATTTCTTGTTCTCAAAGAAGCTATAGAAAGACACCAGTAGTGGATATTGGTGGGCGTTCTAAATATATAGGTCAACGAGCGAACGACTACTTCCAGAATCAAAAATTACCCATGCACAAATGGAGGCATCATGAACGAGCCCTGCGAAGAGAGTAATCCGACGAGTCCGAATCCGAATCCGGTATCAACCACTTTTGGCGACGAGTATTCAGTTTTGTACCTAGGTACATTATTCTGTTAATGGAGTCCTTTGCGAATTCTTCCTGGAAGGCGACTCATGAAATTTTCTACGCCTCTCCTTTTTGAAATCCCAGGAATCGAATTCGTCGTCCTAGGATTAGCTTTCTAGCAGCACTGGTTGAGAACAAGTTAGTCTTGACATCGCACGCAACTTGGGCTATGCGTTATGTCCACATAAATTAACGAAATGGCGTATAGAGAATAGTATATCCCGAAAGGCCGCCCAAAAGTAGAGAACCTGGGAAGGCTGGGATTGTCCCTATCTTCTCCCAGGGTAATTCAAAATGGCGTGCGTGGACGATGTCCACGAAATTGAACCTGATGATGGCTCATGACCGTAGGCCATAGAGTGGCTGTGCGCCGAATTTACCGGTTTAGCTTCTGCATCTCCTGGTATCAATCGCATCGAAGACTTCCGTGGTTAGCACGTTTCTCCAGCCACGCCAGGCAACAACAGCCGAGCTTCGAAATGGAATTGGAGCTGTTGAACCCGGGTCCAACCTTTTCGTTCTCAGCCTCTGGCACCCGAGAGTCGGTTTTCGGCTCGATATTGACCTTGCCAACCAATCCATCTTTGAAACGCCAATCAGCTGCAAGCCGGTACATACCTGCAAAGGCTTCAGGAGATGTGTTCCTCCGAAATCCTTATAGGGGAAATGATGAGATATTTGCCGCTGTGCACCGTCCGGACATAAGGATAGTTATGGTAGCTTGAGCCGGCTTCAACAAATTGGGGGCTACTGACGCTGGCGCGACCGTTGCGTCTACCGGCACTCGTTGCACTGGTATTGTAGATCCATCCGGTAGGTTGACATACCAAAGGAGGTAATTAGCACTTGTGCCTCTAATTTGGTCTCGCTATTGTTAAATAGGTCGATCAATTCGGCGCCTTCCCTACCCGTCAGATCGGAGCTGTACAACCGGGCATCGATCTTTCGTTTTCGTAGTATATCCCACAACAGGAGTTTTTGGGCAGGGAGCAGTGTCCAAATACAGCTCTTCCTATCGTGTTTGATAGCGTCTTAAATCACGCGAACTTCATTGTCGCCGGAGCGCCCGCTAGTCCTATTCACAAATTATGTAAGGATGTAAGTCGCATACCAATAGCTGTTGTCCAGGAAGGAGAAACCAAATCGTCTCCTTCTCGTCATGCTTGACTTTTCCTTCGAGGATTGCAAGCGTTGCTCGAATCTTCGGGCTCTGGTCGCAGATGATTCGTATTTGCCCCAGGTGGTCCTCTTTTGGAGGCAGGTGGAAGCTGGGTTTGCCTAATGACTTGATGTGTTCTTTTTTTATTATTCTTAGACCAGAGTATGCGATACTGCTCACTGATATTCAAGTCACAACAATTCCGATACGATGAGCGTTCTGCACTTAGTGATATCCATTCCTAGCCACGGGCATCCGATAGACTGCTGGCGGTCGCTCACAGTTCCCAAGAGACATGACTAGAGCGCCTTTCATCCAGTCTTTGACCTTATCCTCAGAATCAAAACCTGGCAGGTTTTCTTTGAGTCTGGCTAGGATGCCATCGAACTAGGTAAGTTTGTACTTTGCTTTGAGTGGCCTTGATGTCACACGGTTATTATCCTATCGAGGTCGTTGAGTGTGGGAGGTGTGAGAGTTCAGTGAGGTGGGTACGTTCCGATCGAGTTCGTTTCGGATCGAATGAGGAGGATTTGATGGCTACGCTTGCCCAATTATGGGACTTCTGGGACAGTGTACGAGGTCGAGAGTGATAAATTGGATCAAGGATTGATCGATCGGGACGGATGGTGACCGGGCTCTGTTAAAGGCATAATGACTGGAGAAAGTTCAGAGTGCTTATGAGGCTCATCCCCCTAGGACCAGATGAGTAAGGTGACTGCCTAGAGCCCAATGTTCGAACTCCAAATTGCGAATGTCTTATTGGGGAACGGTACACTCATCACAAGACCTCTGAAATCAGAGAGATATCATCCCGATAAAGTCCTTCTGGACAATAAGAGGCTTGCATCATAGGAGTTTCGTACTCTGATCCCAACGGCCGAGTTTTTGGAAGAGTCATTCTTGGAAAATCGCGGGCCCATTACTAAGGCTCTCTAAACACACGAATCCCACGTCTCAAGGCTTTATCACAACTCTTAAGGGATCTTTTGTCTTGCCATATGCACCTCCTTCAGCCCGCCTTCTCTCGATTGCTTCTTTGTAAGGAGGTGCGGTTGGCGGTTGAACCGGTGGCAGGCTGGTGTGACCTTCGGGTAGCTTGTACGTCGCATCCGCATCCCATGCGGAAAGATCCCCACATGCCAGGAATGGGGCGATCCATCGTTTGGGATCGGTCTCTTCATCCTCGAAGTGGATTTCCACAACACCATCTTCGCGTAAATGCCGTGACTGTTTGTCGGAGTCATAGGATTGCTGTCCGCCCTTGGTTGTTCTTTCCGTTGTAACAGGAATCTGTAATGCAGAGCCAATCTCTGGTGTCCAGTCTTTGATGGGTTTGTAGCCTTCACACACGACAAACGCTTCGATGCTACTCGCTCGGCTTGAGCGCGGCTTCGCTACGTGAACTCTCTCGAACACGAGTCTGAGTTGCGCGAAAATGAGATCGACATCTCGACCGCGAAAGATCTTGGCAACAAATTTCCCACCTGGCCGTAGCACCTTCATTGCGAGCACCAGTGCTGAGTACAGAAGCTGTGATTGAACGTAAATGTCTAGATCGTGCAATCCTGTCACGTCCGGCGCCCCATCACTGATGACCAAGTCAATTCTGTGAGTTTCATTGTGCTGATCAAAATCTGGATCAATAGCTTTCAAGAGTAGTGGGACGGTGGTAGGATGCGTGATGTCGGCTTTGAGCTGGACGATACCTTCTAGTGGTGCCATTGGTTGGAGGTCGATGGCTACAATCTTGACATTTTCCCTGGGTTTGAGTGTGGATTTGGTGTCATCCAAATCAAGCGACCGAACTCCATCATTTAAGTCGGCCTCTGAGGGGCTAGAATCACCTGAACGGGGAGTCTGTGTCTTCAATTTCGCCATCCTTTCCACCCATGCTCGTCGACCGAAGCTCTCACCTTTGATCAGCACTCGAGAGAGGACTTGACTCCAGCTACCAGGTGCAGCACATAGGTCAACAACTCTGGTACATTTTGATGGGTCACTGTAGGAGAAGAGATCGAATTGTTCATCGATCTGAATTAGTTTGAAAGCAGACCGAGCCCGCCAATTTTGTTCTTTGGCGAGCCGGTAATATGCGTCTCGTTTGTCTTTAGATGATTTACCCATCGTTAGAAAAGGTTCAGGTGTACTCTATGATCATTTCTGAAGCCCAGGTAACGTCAATCAAATTATGATGGCTCCATGAAGTGTATGGGGAGGAACGAGTACGAAGGTGTGCGACAGATAATTTTGAGATGGGATCCGGCTTATATTCGGCTCAGCCTCGCATTGCTCTTGGCAAGCTAGACCTACGGCGGATCAGAGCAACAATGATTTGTCCTCCGCAACAAGGTGTCCAGATGCGAATCGCAAATTAATTCTCGAAAGTACAAGCCTCGACAACAAACAACAGAGGACTTCCTCCGACAGACTGAGCGCAAACATGGCTTCCTCAATGTCTTTGTATTCGATCATAGGAATTTTGATCTTGTCCACCGACGCGTCCGCAGACTCCAGCCGTCTCTTCGCCAAGTACTATACCACTCCCCATCACTCTGCCACACACCCAACCCCTACACAGCCATATGCAAGTCTGAAAGAGCAGAAGGCATTCGAGAAGGGCTTACTGGAGAAGACCTCAAAGCAAACTTCCGACGTGATTCTCTACGACAACAAGGTGGTCGTGTTCAAGAACGAGAGCGATGTTATGTTATACGTGATCGGATCCGCAGAAGAGAACGAGATCCTACTATACAATGTCATTCTTGCGCTGAGGGATACTCTCAGTATATTGTTGAAGTACGTTCTTCCAGCGATCTCAGTGTGCAGTTGAATGAATAGCAATTGACATTTTGAACCCCTAGAAATTCTACCGACAAACGCACGATCATGGAGAACTACGATCTAGTCACTCTAGCCATCGACGAGATCGTGGACGACGGTATTGTACTGGAGACGGACCCTGTGATGGTGGCATCGCGAGTTTCGAAAGCGCCCGCACAGGATGCACCCAACATGAAGAACTTGGACCTCTCGGAGCAAGGCATTCAGAACTTGTGGGAGTTCGGAAAGAAGCAGGGCATCGAATTTGTGAGGCGGAACTTATGATCTTATGAGGCATTGGGAGGTAGGGAAACTCAACCGACTAGAGGCAGGCGTTTCATGACATACCCACTTGCTGCCAAAATTGCATTCGGGACCATGAGAATGAATTACTTTATGAGTACTATGAATCAGAGCGCGAATCTCACCATGGCTGACGATTGCGAGGGCCAAGCTTGTGTACGTTTTCGGTGTTGTTGACTGTGTGGGTGTTTCCTGTGATCCTGCGCCAGCAGTGTGACCCTCGCTTCGATGCTTAATTTGCACTACCAGGACAGCTATGCAGCACCCACAACATTGCAGTCCGGGCTCTGTGAGTACGACACTAGACGCCTCGTATTGCAGTTGTGGTCCGTACAAAACCATCTCCATATGAAGGCATTCTAGTAGCCACGAATCAGAAAATCCACGACCTTCGACGCCCTGAGCAGCATGTGGAGATGAAAATTACCTAAGTACCTACTCGTAGGTACCTATTAGTAGATGGCATTGGGGCTAGTATATTATGCCAAGCAACGAGAGGTTCATGATACTGCCCCGATACCGAGCTCACGCAGCCGAATATGGAATATGTCGTTACCTAATTCGCCCTCTGCATGGCCCAGCACAATATTCCGACTACCACTTTACTTTCATGGGACGCCTCAAATAGTGCCTCCCATCATCTCCATTTCGGCATTTCATGAGCCAGCAAAAACAAAAGTGAGGTGTGTTGGACCGCAATACAGGCCCAGTTGCCTTTGATGGGTTCGTCATTTCTAACGCCAGCTGCCTCCCAATAAATGCAAGTTGGCCATCTCCACGCGAGGATATTCCTAGAGATGTGACCTATTGACCTTAGATATGAGATGAGCGGGCTCGGACAATGATTGAAGATTCGATTTGACAGTCTGCTGTTTGTGCTACTTGTATGTTTTCGGCAGATAACAATGAGGATGATGCATTTTAGAAATCCAACCTTGTTCTCATTGCGATATGTCGTAAATTTCTAACTTCCGATATGCAAGGGGCATTCTCCTGAGAACATCCCGTAAACAATGAACATGCGGCCATAACCCATAAGAATACTGAATTCTTTCTCCAAAAGCCTTGTTTCGGGTATCATCTAAAACAACGCCACTTATAAATGCCCATGGAGATGATGTAGCTAATCAACATTCAACCAATTCAATTCAATCCTGTCATCGAATCATAACACAGAGCCGCTTCTACCGAGCTCTCTGCTGTAACAGCCGTAATCGGCGTTCTTCATCCTGTATCGTATTTACATTTCTGTGAGGCATTGCCATTCTTGATGATCCAGGAAGCCCCAGGTCGGATGGGCTGGACGAGAGGCTTCCAGGTACTCTGGCGAATGAACGCAGGTGTGCGGTGGGTGGCTCTGCTAGAGCTGGAGGGGTGGGTTCTCGTACAACAGTGTCGTATGTCGGAAGTGTACTGGAACTTCTATTTGTTCTGGGAGCCGGGGTTTTGACTGCTGTTGTGTAAGACGGAATCTTGGCCAGATCCAGATCCTCCATGTGGTCGTACTGAGGGAAAGGGGTTCGGGCACCCGATTGGTGCCCATCTTCTTCTTCCGATGTCCGTCTTGACATAATATTACTGCCTGGTTGACTTGGAGAACCCGATTGTGCGCCAGAATAGGAACCTGCTTCATAAGGACTGAGTCGAGTTTGGTTGGCCGAACTAGACAGGCTATTGGAATCGAAATAATCCTGAGGTTGGCTTTGATTGGCAGAATTGCTTCTTGAGCGGAGTCTTCCAGCGGCAGCCAGATTTCGATCGCTTTCCTCTCCTCGTGGTAACGATGAACTTGCCCCTCGCAGGTCTTGAAGCCTATTCTCGAGAGCGACAGGTGACACATAATTTCCGTTGGTAATCGCTGCAAGACTGGCGAGATTGTCCGACGAAGCATGTCGGCTGTGGAGATAGGGCGTTCCAGGAGTAGATAAAGCTGCCCCAGGTGTCCGGTAACCATCCATATCAGAGTATAAAGCGTCTAGAGTATGCTTGCCATAGACTGGAGGAGCGGCATTTGCCAAGTCATTGGCAACAGCAGCACGTCTAGCTTGTGGCGTTTGATCGACTAGGTCGTTGTTCTCGTTTATCGGGAGACTGGGTGAGATATAGAATGAGACCGGGAGATTGGCTCTGAGTTCAGAGATATGTCCGTCGGGGTTGTGTAGCTGGACGTTGAATTTGACCTTGTGTCGAACCTTGATCCCTTTGGCGTTGCAGTCCTGTAGACATTGATTCAAGCTCTTTGGCAATTCCAAGTAGCGGGAGAATTCAAAGCCCTCGGCTGCTTCATCGAGGATTTGCATGTCGTTCTCGGTGTCAATCTTGTACATGTCGGATACAATTACTCTGTCGTGCTTCGTGATGCCATTACTCATTGCATTGACTCCCCACTCGGGATCTACAATGAGTTCCTGTTCTTCCTTCACTTGAGTTGATACATTTCCAATGACCAGCCCTTTGAGCAGTGGTACAAGTTTGAAATCCACTTGAACAAAAGATCCGAAGGCAACCGCCTTGTTGGGTATGCTGATTGAGTATTCGATCTTGTTCGGCCAGATGTTCTCAACCGACTAGGATGGAGTTAGTGACCTGTGGCTTCGGGAGCAAGAAGAACTGAGCCTACCATGGCATGCGCCAGTTCCAGCGCACTGGAATCTAACGTCCGCACGATGCGCAAAGGTTTCCGGACAACGATATCTCGACCTCTTTTCCGTACAATCTCTGCTTTGAGACGATATATAACCCACGCATCTTTCATGCCTTCAACGCTTTCGGGCAAGCCGCCATCGAGAATACATTGAAAGGGCCATTCATAGTTGTCCGGGGACAAGATTTCGGTCTTTCCTTTACCGGCATCCAGAAAGTTCCAGCTCTTCTCAAAGAATGTTTTCTCCTTGTAGTTGGTGCGACGACCTGACATGGAAGAGGTGGAGGATGTCTGCCATCTAAGGATTGGTCAGTTAGTCCCGGGTCACGCGAACAAATTCTGTGCCGGCATAGCCGTGGGACCACTTACGACATATGAACGATTCCGCTCAGCGTCAGAGTAATCGAAGCAATGTTCATGGGATCTGTCACACACAGCACAACGGAGCCGGACAGCTCTGCACTGGCAGCTTCGTCCTCATTGCCTCGAAATACAACGTAGTCATTGTTAAGGCGGACGTCGAAGTACTTGACACTGCTGCTAGTGCCGGAGTGGCCGCTGTGAGAAGTTAGGAACTTCAGAGCCATTGCTTGAGGCTTAGAGAGCGATGAGGTCTGCAAATGTCGATCCGCGAGGGAAGATTTGGAAGAGCTCCGAGAGGGCCGATTGCTTAGAGGTGAACGCTGGACAGGCTCATGGTGCGCCGCCACAGACTCAGCAGGAGAATGTTTGCGGGTAAGACGAAGGATTGGATTGACCTGAAAAAGTCGACGTGAGCATTTGCACTGGATGACGAGACGAGAAAGAAAGATGGCATGTGTCGATAACGAACAAAGTACGAATAGAGGATGGATGAAATTTGTGGACCGAGATAGGGCCCAAAATGTTGCAGGTGGATAGAAAACAAGGTACAAGATGGGTACAGGAACGAAAGACAAGACTTCGATGATGATTGCGGAAGGCTCAAAGGAGCATAGCCGGAGGGACGGGTACTTGGATTGTACCTTGGGAAGGGACCCGTGGCATTCGATACAGGAAAACCAGCATAAAAAGTCGCACCAGAGATGAGGGAAATAATAATGACAAGAGGGACCACGATAGGTCGGGATTAGTGGTTACTTACACGCTCAGGCCTTATCGTGCACTGATCCACTGTGGGAATGGTGCCCGTCACGCCCGTCAATCTGGTGGTGTTTGTATTGGCCCCTGCTGCTGGAGGACTGGCTCCCACAGGGGAAGCCACTGCCCGGGATAGGGTGCCAGTGCCTGTGGGCCGAACACCTGCCGGTGAGAATGATGGTAGTGGGTTGCTAGTCGGCGTGGCGTTCTGCTGACGTGCTTGTACTATCGCTTCTCGATGATCCTCGATTGAAACTTGTTCCGGAAGCGATACGGAAGATGACAATTGCCCTGTGTGCTGATGATGTTCCGCCTGAATATCCGCGTAGGCCGGCAACTCTGGCTCTGCTTGAACGTGACGAGCTGTGTCACCACTGTTGCTGATTGTGATGCTTGGGACACTGCCACTGGTATTCGCAGTGGTCGTGGTGCTTGTACTGCTTGTACTGACATTGGTGGGGGAGTGGGTTAATACAAGTCCATCATGTCTGTTGCTTAGCTGCGTGGTATTCCGGGATCCGTACTCGCCGTGACCTTGACTGTGGTGGTCGTCTTGATGCGCTATTGCCTTGAAATTTGATGGATCAACCTCTCGTACTCGGAATATTGCTCTCGTGTTGGATGCTCTGGATCGGTTACCACCAATGGCAGGCGTCATACCTACCTAGATACCCTTGATTCCTGTCTTCTGATCGGTATTTCGTATCTCTCTTAAGCATTGATGGTTCCACAGGCCAAGCTTCACACCGTTATCTTCGCGGCACTCGGTACAGGGTCCCGTTGTCGCAGCCCGAACACGCTCATGGGTGGGCTCAGTCGCCGAGATCGCGATTCTGCCCGATGCCTGTGAGTCCTAGGTGGACTCTTCGATTGGCGGTATGGAAGATAGCATGTACCACCGAATTTGCTTCAGATTGGGCCACAAGTTGTTCTCGACTCGAGAAACCAGCTGGATGTTGTTATCGATAAAGCGATCTTAAGCCACCAGTCATTAATATATATTCAGTTAGTCTTCGATAGGCATGTGATCGGTGGCTGAAGGGCTAAAGAATCCGATCTCGATAGCCAGGGATTGACCCAGAATGCAATTGATCAGGACTCGTTCTGTAGAAGAATGGGATGGGTTTCGCTGTTGGAGTTTGGTCCTCGTCTCGTGCGAACTGCTGGCATTATGAACCTTGAAACTTGCAGCAAGTTCAGGTACCCATTATTCTTGTTTCCCAGTCGGCCCTACGTAACCCCAACGGTGCCAGTGTAGTAGTGATTGTACGGGTACGAATAGCAGCTCGGGCATACGGCCCTTTTTCATATTTTATGCGTTCCCCCTTCACTCCCCTTTGGCTCCCAACTTCCCCCAAATCTGCCCACGCCCAGGGATTCTCAGGGATGGGAAGCACCGTTTAGGCTTCCTTACTCCCTGTGGGAGCTGAGCATCCGATCCCCATCCTGGTTGACATGCCACATTTCTGCCTGACAAAGCTGAGATGCCCTCCTTACTGGATGTACAGTCAGACAGTCACCCACGCTCTGCATCGCTCACGAATGCCGCCCCCCAAAGCTGCATAATTGAATGCCTGAGCTCAGATACTCAAGGCGTCATTCCCCCGACTCATCCGTAACAGAAAGAAATATTCTTTGAATTGTTCTCCAATAAGTACATCTACCGTACCTATGATTGGTTTTCTCACTTCCAACATGGCGGCGCCCTGCAGGAGCCCAAAGACATGGCGCAGCGTTTCATCCCACCCGCCTCGCTTGTCCGTGATCAGTACGACCACGTCCTTGTTCTGGAAGGTCTATTCGACCTGAATCAAGATCCGAATCATCATGACTTACTTCCTTTTGCGTTGTCTAAGAATAGTAACTTCCACTGAGTCAAACACAGGATGAACCAAACTTGTAGTTCTTTTCTCAATCGTCGGTACTCGTGATGACCACCGGACTTCGTCCACGAGGTTTTGAGTACGGAAGTACCTCGGTGGAAATTTGGACCGAGACAGTTGAAGTTGGATTATGGAATCGAGGACACAGGAAGAATACGGTTATTCCCACCTATGAGATATAAGAATGTCGCAACACTCAGCGGAGGGATGTAGCTGATCATTCAGTATGCATACAGGTGGTCTTTGTATTCCTTTGACAAGGCATTATAACTAGTCTCCAGGGTAAGTAGCCTGGTCGGATGGTCCCCGGTGGCACATTCCAGCAAAGTATCGAACTACTAGTACTGTTGGTACTACAGAGTGGGGTTTGGGATATAGGAAAACGAGGAACCAAATGTTTTAATGGCTCGGGTGGGCTACGTTGATAGCCTTAGTTAGATTCACATGGAGAGTCTAATCGCAAGCCACCGAAGAGTTTTCCGTGATAGGGTACTAGACGACAAGGTGCCAAACCTGAGTGCCTGTCCCACATGGGAATGACCCAGTGCTTGACTGGTTGACTTCTGGTGAACTCGAATTTTTCTTTTGCATGCCGTGCGACTATACGCGATCCACTGATAAGGCACGTCGGGAATCATCACCGTTGGATATGTCCCTGCAGCCTTGCATCCGACGGGCACCCAAATTGCAAGTCGTATCGGCTTTTGAAATAGCCGCACAGGTTGTATTCGTACACATACAATTTCTTGCGATGGTGACATGTGCTTCAATCCCTGCAAAGCTATCGTTGATGAGATTGCCGCCACTGACCACCATTATTTGGGCTTTTCTGCCAAATTGACTTGACTGCTATTCACACCCTCTCGAGGCCGGTTCCACGTTCGCAAGTGGCCTTCATGACATGTCGTTATTATGGAATCCTGCTCGAAGGCCAGCCCACTCAGTGGATGGTCGTCGATTTTCTTGGACATGACTGGTGGTAATTGCGCTGTTCGGGCACGGGATTCAACAGTATGATTGAGGAATTGAGATTCGTCAACAACTTCCGGTGCGATGCTCTGGGTGCCGGTTCTATTGGAGTCGGATCGTAGACGATTGACGAGGCCACTGCTTTCTGTCCGTTGACGAAGTAGTGATACAGTTTGGGTCGATATACTGCCTCTCGTTCTTGTCGTTGCGCCTTTGGGACGGTGCAGCATTCCAACATTGAAGTCCCAGAGTAGCAATTTACAGTCGTCTCCAACACTTCCGAATCTGTAAGTGGTCTCATCGCAACGCCAGGGGTCAAAAGCAACCGCGGTGACCCAAGAGTCATGGCCAAAACATCGTGCTATTATTTGACGCTCTGCAAGAGACCATATTGTCACAAGGTCGTCTTGACCACCAGTAAGGACATATTTTCCATCCGGAGACCAGCATACACATGTGAAACCGCCGTAATAAGACGGGTACACGTCAGTTAGCCTAAAATTGGTCAGTCATACCGATCAATAGGATCACCACCGAGAAAACTGGAAACTGACCTTTCTTGCAGATAATCAATAATCCGCAAGTAGCCATCATCACCCACAACGGCCAGGTGCTTGCTATCGGGCGAGAATGCGAAATCAGTGATACTCTGCTTTGAGATTTTCCAGCATGCCACAGGATTCGTCTTTTGATTGGCCGAGTTCACACTCTTTGTTATAACCAAAGTGGATTGGTCCTCATCCTCAATACTGATCGCTTCATCGACCAATTCTTCTGAAACGAATGGTGCATCCTCTTTTTCCTTGTCGTATACAACTAGTGTGCCATCCATATGAGCAGCCAAGAAGTGGTTTTCTGAACCAGGGATCCATTTTATCTTAGAAACAGCGCTGTTATTGATCATGCCATTCTTGTTGATGCGTGCATATTTCTGAGACATCGGTTCGTACCAGATTATATCACTTGCTGAAGAGCCCATGACCATATCAATATGGGTGGGATGCTTGCTCAGCGGATTGACATCATGGCAAATCATATGTGCCTTGGTGAAGAGGATTTTGGTCATAGGATCCGCTTTACTGCTGGTGGACAGGTCAAGCCACTGAAAGGCACGATTGATGTTCACAAAAGCGAAAAGACCTCCTTGATCTCGTTCTGTCAACTTTTTGGCGAGGTTTTCGTGTGGTATCACCCGTGATACGAATGAAGAGTTGCTCTTGATTATGTTGTTTTTGGGTTTTCGCCTCTTGAGTGCATCTCTGCTGATGACAGGCGACAACGCCGCGTTGCCTTCACCAAAAGCCTTGACATTGGTAGATCTGTTACTGCCGTTCGCGGAGCCTGCAGGGTTGCTTGTATCGCTTGAAGTTTCGATGGACACCCTGGATTCCTTCTCCAGCTCCTTGAGTTCTCTAGCCTCTTTGGCCTCCCGAGCCTCTTTGGCTTCTTTGGCTTCCCTGGCTTCTTTTGTGTTGGTCAAACCCAGTGTTTTCCATCGTAGCAAACTACTTGTAGCAGTCGGAGTCTTGTAAAGGTCGGGTTTTATTTGTTTAGGGTTCAAGGACACGAGTGACAACTTGACACCGCTCGTGGGAGGTACGGAAGTTGTGGAGAGCGGGTTTGGATTTATGATGGGTGCTTCTGAAGGATGAGGAGGAGGTGTAGCTAGCTGGAGATCATCGCGCAATACATAGATGCCTGATCCGAGTCAATCGGAGTTGGTCAAGCATCGGCAGGAGGAAGAGTCATACCTTCGCCTGCTTGAAACGTATATTCGGGGCCCTCGCGGACAGTAAGAGTATTTGCGGTCTCAAGAGTTGTTGCGACCAAGCTAGCATTGGTGGGATACCGAGGAGGTGGTGGGATCGCACTGGACAGTTCTCATTAGTGACAGATATAGAAAATGGGGAGGTGCGAGCATACAACATGGCGTTTAGTAATGAACAGAACTCGAGCAGTAAATTTCACCCTATGGCCGCGACTATGTTCAAGCAGATGGAGCAGGTAGAGTAGATCAAAGGTGGAGGAGTTGGTAGAAGGTTGAGATACTCTTTTGGTGCGGTATCTGGGGATTCCGTGTGTACTCGTAAGTGGCAGCATACAGGCGCTAAGCAGGCAATCGGTTAGGTGACATGGAGTTGGTGGTGGGGGGTTACCCTTCCCCACCAGTCGGCAACTTCGAGAACAGCCTAGGTGACGCCCACAGCCACTCCAAGTTAGGTAGCCTCTGGGAGATTTGGATGGCCAAGCCCCGATCCTACAGTTGCCATGTGTTCCTAAAGCCTAAAGGTCACGCGAGGGCCCTTAACGGAATAGGCGTGTGTAGTCCCTAGCCCATGGATTTTGGTGTGCAGGGGAAGAGCGGTTGGGGTGATAAGTTACTCCCTCACACGCAAGTGACGCACCGGCATCTGGCAGTGCGGGGAAGCAACAGAGCCCCCAATTTCTCACCCATTCAGTAAATGCCTGTCGAGCCTTCGGATTTGCCTGGGAGTGGCTTGCCTTTCAGGTGGTGTTGATGACAACGATCATGTAGTACACCAGCCGTAGACAGCCACGACTAACCACCCAAGGCGCGTAATTATCCGTGATTATGTTGATCGACTTGTGCCCGTATAGCCAATTCTGGCTGGGATCGAAATACCATATTACTTCGTCCAACAGAAGACATAAAAGTATTGAAAGCGGTTACGATGGTAGATATTCGCCTTGAAACTGGTTAAACCTCTTCATCCTTCTGCAAAGAGCTCAGATGTCGTCGGGCCATTTGAGTGTAGACAGTTCTCCTCTCAAGATGTGTGCAAGTTCTTGACTAACCACTTCGAGGTCTGTTCGGATCTGCTGCTGTGCTTCGCTGTCTTCTTCTTCTTCTTCATCTTCTTCTTCCTCCCGGTTATGAGAGCTGCCTTCAGAAATTGTCTCTCCATTTGCGAGTTTGGGCTCTGGTCCAGTGACAGCAAGGAGGACGTGATCGGCAATAGGTGCGATTACAGAGGTTGCCCCCATGTTCTGAGCCTCAAAAACCAGAACGTCCTCTGAAGCAACCGTATATGCTGCTGTCATGGTTGTAGACTGGGTGCGCATTCTCTTGATTGAAGGAGTCGCATCTCTGTAGGCATACGCGAGTATGGAGCCGTTAGAGGACGAGACCATCACTGAGGAAACATGGCTGCTCCACGAAATGGCATCTTTGAGGAGTAGAGAGAGGCGGTCTGAATCAAGCAGACAGACCTGAGCCATCGTTGGGTAATATCGGCGCTGTGGATAGCTGCAAGATTTGTGATGAGCGGAAGGTGAAGTCGTCTGGATGCTGGTGAGCACCAGATGGCTGGGGTTCAACCTGTGGTCATGGTTGACCAAAAAGGCAAGTTGGGCGTGCCGGGCCCTGAAGGAACACCCCTAGAGTGGACCTGGCGGGTGCTACACATGTGAACTTGGTAGGCTCTTTAGCTATAATGCTTGAGGGGCTTGCTCGCTACTGTAACTAAATACAATCGCCCCCGAGCATCCCTTTTAAATGATGCGTATTTTGCTGGGTCAGGAAATTCTAGAATAGGATAAAGGCTTGACGTTAAGTACCTGTAGGTACTGCGTTTGCAGCGTCCTAGAAAGTGGTGGCTCGTGAAAAGCCCGACTGGGTCAAGGCCTTCGGCTGATCGGGACATCACCCCAAATTTGCAGGGACCTCAACCACCTGGGCACCTGCAGTCCTTGACGAACACATATAGTATTCAAATAAAATATAAAATATCACGTTGCGGCCAGCTTTTTGTTTCCCACCGAGAAAAAACCCTACTTAGTCCATGATAATCTACTCGGTAACCTGTCACGTCTGAATCAGCATCCTAGCCCATGCAACTCATCCCCCCTTGCGGACAAAACACAGACGTGCCGTCAGGGTGAACGTGCAATGGACATCGAGGTATTCCTCCTTGCATGATCAGAAAGTCTACACTCAAGTAACCGGAATCAGCCGAGTCCGGTCGTGGCATAGCTGGCCGGACTGGTATTTGCTGGTCCTGTGAGCCAGTTTCATTATAAACGTTCACAAAGGACGACTGGTCCAAGCCGTAAAAGCATGAGTCTGCCTGAGACGTCGGGTTATCCTCAGGTGTTCCTTGGGAGTCTGATGAAGCCATGGTGTCAAGTGCCATTGCTAGTTCGCCGTGCTCTCTATCTGAGAATCCTTGGTCATTATAATTGAATTCGACAGTATTGGTCTGCACCCAGGAAAGCGCAGCCATTCCAGCATGAAGATGTCCTTGTGGCGAGTTGTCCTGGTGCCAGTATGGATCTATTGTAATTCCGGATTGCATCTCGTTGTATTGATTGTTCAGTGGATAGTCACTCCGGGCAGTACGAGGACTTGACTCGAGTGTTTGGAGCATTTGCTCGCCTGCACTTTCAGGGGGAAAAAGAACCTTCGTGGGACTATCCGGGCTTGCTAGGGCCGATTCCTGGTAAATTATCTGCTCCCATGCGCGAGATAGTTCTGTCATCATCAAATCTCGACGTTGTTGTGCTTGTAAGAATTCTTCATTAAGTTCACTCAAATAAGCCTCCAATTTTTGCAAGGCATCCGAGGGACTGTGTGCACCATTCGCTACCGCCTTAACGACCATGAGGTTCTCTTCGAGGTCACGAGTATACCAAGCTGGGTTCCAGTCTTTTCTCAGTGTCAGCAGGATCATGGAATGACATGAGAAAACCTACATGGCGACATGTTTGGAGGAGTATCTTCATTGAAGAGTGCTGAATAGATTGCCTTCCACTTGGACGTCGGGTCTAGCCGTCCCACTTTATCAAGCCTATCGAGCATGTCTCTCGAAAGATGGCTCCTCTCTCTATGCGTTCCTTTGATGTGACGCTAATGGGGCATTAGCGCTTCCAAACACTCAAAGGAAGAAGAACTACTTGGCGTCCATGAGACTCACCCTCCAAAGAGAGTCGATACGCTGAAAATTCTCCTCATGGCAAGCGGCGTATTGCACGGGGTTGAACTTGTGGAAGGGACAAGCGAAAGCTCTGCGGGGCGACAGTTTACTGTGGTGAGTTGACTGCTGATCATTATCCTCGTCTCCGGCATCCTGGTCTTCGGCATCGTTTTCTTCGTCCGTAGGAGGCAGGCGGTCGCCATTGCTGTTGCTCCCCCGTCCTTGGTTCGCACCAGTCCCTAGGGTTGAAGGATCTGCTCTTGGCTGGCCCGATCTTGTAGAATTGCCGCGTGGTCGTTCCCTCACCCCAACAGGACTGCTTAGCAAGGGTGGCTGACGTCTGGGAGAAGGCTCCTCTAGACTGATGCACCCGAATAACGCTGCGAGAGAGTTCCAGGTCTTTTGAAAGTCATCATTTTCCAGAACTTCTTCACCACAAGGCTTCGTTGTCATGCGTGGCAATGGCGAATTAGACGCTGCTATGGCGCGATTCATTGGATGGCGTTCCATTAAATCACTCCAACCACCCGAGAACTCAACGTCCTCATCCCTGTATCTTGAACCATGCCTTGAAGATATTTCAAAGTTGGGTGTCGTGGGAGAAGCATTGAGGTTGTTCGAAGTCGATGATCGAGCCTGAGGATTCGGAACATACCGTGGGACAGCCTCTTCATCTGAACGATTACGCGCAGTATCAAGTAGGAGATCCTCAAGATTCCTTGGTCGAAAGGAGTTATAGTTTGTCGTAGTCATGGGATCGTCCGGATGTGGAGGCATTCTTTGGACAAGATGTGCCGGAGAAACGGGTACCTGGATACGACTATTCTGCTTTGGCTCAGACAAGACTTGAAGCAGAACCAACCACACGGAGGCTGGATCTCCCAAAACGTGAGTAAAAATTTGTTGCACAGCAGTTAGACTATTCTCAGGAGGGACAAATGGATTACTTATGAACCATTCGATTGTAGGCATCCAAGAAAATGGAGACACGATACATCGTTATGTCGTACAGAAGTCGCCTAGCCGCGACGAGACGGATTTGGTCAGGCAGACAAAGGTTGGTAATAATGCTTCACAGCCCATCAAGAACGCCTGGCCGCTCAATTTAATGCCCCAGGTTGCAGCTCTGCGAAGTGGGGTAACTACCTGAAATCAGGGATAAACTCGCCATGCCGCGAGGAAGACACCGTACCAATATCACTCAGAAGCAAGAGTAATTTAGATGGCTATGGGTTTAATCTCAATCAGACCCCTACTTATGGATGTTGATCATCATGGTGTTAGGGCCCTGGATTTCGGCTGTCGGGACTCGTGGACTGGTTGTATTGAAACGCGAAGGCCTAGACCACTCGCTTCTTATGGCCATGGATCGAAACAACACGGATTATCGGTGGCCACGTCAGAGGAGGAGAATGACTTCTCGCCACATGTTGTCTTGCATACTCAATACTCCGTGATCGTGACGGAGGGCATGTCTACTCTGCACTGCCAGTGATGCGAGACAGCTACTCTACGAAGTCGACGGACGTTCGTTCACTTCCAAGGTTCTCTTGCAATTCCGAAAGGCCTCGGCCCCTTGACGTCATTATTTTCTCCCCCCTCTAGAAGGCCATTGAACGCCCCCGGGTGCCTAATTGGGGGCTAAAGTAACCCGATTCAGGTATCTCGTAAGTGGTACTGCGCTTACAATGCTCATCCCTTGACAGTGTGAGTTGCAAACAGCGTGGACTGTATCTACGAGCGAGAGGCATGTCTCTACCATCAGCCACATACTGAGAGTGCACTATCAATGTCTGAAAAATCCCCCTGAGATCTGGCTATCATCCCGGATTTCGGGCCATGGAACCAAGATCTGAATACGAGGAAACCACACAATCTCTCTCCATATGCTAAGGTGCCTCTCACTGTACCAAACCAAGTATGAGTGAGGTTTCAAAATCAACTGATAGGAGAAGCGCGTGCAGATTCAGACCCCCTAATTGAGCACTGCATGAAATGACGTTGAGTTGATTGGTGCAGGGTAGGAAGGCTTGTTGTGATTGATATTGAGTGAACGGACACAAAGGCCAGCCATCAAAGCTTTGTTGTCTTCTTCGAGGTCGTCTGTATTGCCAGAGGTGTCCAGGGCTGGTCTTTCAAGCCTTCGTGGACCATCCTCTGAATGTGATAGCTTGACTGGAGCCCACATGAATGCGAATTTGAAACTCTTTGTTCTAGTTTGACTGGGTCCTTGCTGCTAACATTTTCCTTAGCTCTGCGGCTTCATATAATCAGGGCATCCGTCGTTACTTACCATCTTTGATGTGCATTGGTGGCGACATGATTTTATCTTGGGACGGTGAGCTGTGAGGAGAGGTTGAGACGATTTGTGCCGGTCGGGGCATCATACTCAGGGTAGCTGGACCTTTATATGTCCAGTTTCAAAGCCTAACTCAAGAACCTGACACACTTTATAACGTCAGGCTTCAATTCGAGCCACACTGTTGTGATCAGATAAACCCGAAGACCGGATAGCTTTGCAGTCAGTTTCTGCCACCCTTCCGATCTCACTCGCCACGAGGATACCACCCACAATGGTAGCGAACAAGAAATGCGCAATCATGGTACAATGAGGAGACTAGCTTTGCATGTATTGATGCCCTTACCAGGCCTATGCCTTTCATCGGTCCCAAAATTGATTTGGTTGGCGAGCAGAAGCGCAGGCCGACGAAACAAACTGGATGTCAACATGTTGCAATTTGAACCGGTCATCGCCCAGACGCAATGCCGCGAGTATTGGCATAAGCCTGGACAACGCGGCATTGCGCTTTGAGACGTGCAGAAGTGGCGGGCTCGCGACGTTCAAATGAGAGGTATCCCAGATGGGAGAAGGTATACCCACATTGACCGAGAGGGCTTCACACGCGCATTGAAAGTTTCGTAGGGCCGGAATCTGACTATCGCTGAATCAAGAACCTGTCTGTGGCTTAATCTAGTACTCTTTTGCACTTTTGTCAGCCAATTGCGAGGGGTGGACCTTAATTACAAGGCTGTGATTTGACAGGGGACGGAGCAGTATAGGTCTCTTAGGGTTTCACTTCTGTCTTTCAGCTGGTGGTCGTGCGTCTGCACGATAGTCGGCTCCAAGCACACGGAATAAGATCTTCTAGTGATAAATATCCGCGGGTCGAAAGGGATTCCAATCTCTGCAGTGGGCAATGGCTGAACTTGGAAGGCGTTCGCTCCGTTCACTTCCGCTCGTGCGTCTCATAGGATGATAAAACAGGGCATGCGAGGGATAGTGGCGATTCTGCAATAAACGCCGAAATGCATAAATGCGGCTTAATCCCGCAAGCTGAGAATATGCCTTATCAAAAATTGCTGCACTTCTGGAGGCTAAAGTGCAGGCCCTTATCTCCCACACTGTTCCAGAATAATGAGCTGTATAGCTTTAGGTGACCCTCTCTTCCATAGTGTGAACTACAGGCAAAGTATCAAATGAACAGAATGTGTTAGACGGATCGGTAAGGACAGCTTCAGCAAAATTGGTAGCCCCCAAAATGCTCACATCTCTCGCCAGTCGTAGGTTTATGGATCTTCGAGAAAGCCATTTCTCCCCCTTCCCCCAGGCAAATTGCGCAAAATGAACAATGTACACATGCACGTGCGAGGCTGAACCCGGATGGCAATTGAGGCGCCTGATAAGATACTCGAAAACAGCAGCACTGACAGCTCATCTCGGCTGAATCAGGCATGTTGTTTCCAGGGGTTAGTTGTTCCCAGCGCTTGAGTATGGCATGCGGATAAGGTCGACCAGGACACCAAAATAACGATGGGAAGAATGTCTGGACGATGTCCCTCATCCGCTGGTGCCCACATCCCGAGCGCCGGAAGGAGGGCCTCTTTCCGCCTCAAAGGTGGCCTTGGCAGCCTGGCCATCCAGTGGAACACGGAGCGCTGCGAAAGCATCACCTTTCTATGAGCAGCCTTTTTGGTAGGTGTTAAGATTCAACAAAACCTCAGAACGGAAGCTTTCGCCCTTGTACGATACGGTCTTCCAACAGCCTTGAACTCGCTCACATTGCCGTTATTATTCCGAGTTGGTGGCTGCTGAAGACCTTGAGTGCAAGACCTTAGACTACCAAGATTACAGAAAGGCCGTGATGGTGGTCGTATTCGGTCTTCCGCTGTTTGCCATTGTTCCTCTCGTCTCCTCTCTGTTTGTTTTGGTCGTCATTATTCGGCGATGCTTTTTCCATCCTCTGTCAAGCTACCCCGGACCGTGGCTTGGGAAGTTCAGCGATCTCACGGCAATACTCGCCATTTTCAGACGACGGAGGGCATTCAAACAATATGAACTCCTACAGAAATACGGCAGCCCGGTCCGCATGGGCACGAACACTCTTTTGTTCTCGGATATGGAGACCTTTGCGCAGATATACGGCCAGAGTTCTGTGCCGTGCTTGAAAGACCCAGAGGCTTATGATGGCTTGTCAGCCACGGGAGAAGTCAATGTTTTGAATGTGACAGACCGACATCAGCATGCACGATTACGTCGGTTGATATCTCACAGCTTTTCAGTAAAGAGCCTTCTCGAAACCGAAGAGTTTCTTACCGAAAAGATCGACCAGTACGTCTCGATCTTTGAAGGCAGAGACGGGCAAAGTGTGAATATTCTCGAGAGAACTTACGAGTTGTTTCTGGATATTGTGAGCCAGCTGAGCTTCGGAGAGTCCTTCGACTGCCTCAGTGGCAAGACTCCGACTGCACATCGTGACGTTCAAGCATTCTTCATGGTTGTCCCCGCCATGGCAATGGCTCCCATTCTCCGTTACCTCCCAATCAAGGCTTTTCGCGAAGGTCTCAAGGGACTTGGTAGGCTTCAAGAATTCAGTAGAGCCCATGTGGCTGCTTATCTGGCCCGGTCTGCAGAAAAGCCTAATTTCGGGCCAAAAGGAAGGTTCCTGCAGAATCTTGCGTTGTCTGTGGATGCTGAGACTGGGACGAAATTGACACAGGAGGAGCTCGTCGAAAATGCGATTATCTTCCTCACTGCTGGCTCTGGAACCACGGCGGCAACTGTCATCTATCTCATCTGGGAATGTGGAAGACATCCTGAGGATAAAGAGAAACTCATTGATGAGATAAGGGCAAGATTTCCCGATCCCTCGGTGCAGCCTTCCTACGACGAAGCATCGAGGCTGGTAAGTCATTCTTCTCAGCATCCATCGCATAACAACGACTGACTCATCAAAGCCATTTCTAAACTGCGTAATCGAAGAAGTGCTTCGCCTTCGAGGGCCGCTCAACTCCGGCGCTCCTAGAGTATCACCTGGAAAAGTAATTGGAAGCAAATGGGTGCCAGAGGGCACTAAAGTCGAGACCAGCAGCTATGCGACAGCTCGAGACCCATCCGTGTTCCCTGACCCTCTGAGATTCAAGCCATCACGCTGGGAGAATGCAACGGAAGAGATGAGGCAGATGTCTCGACCATTTAGTTACGGACCTCGAAATTGCGTCGGGCGGCATCTCGCGGAGATAGGACTCGTGTTGACCGTAACGCGCCTCTATCAGCGTTACGATGTTATCCCTGACTTGAGTATCCCAGCGGAAGATATGAGACAGCTCGACTTTGGTGTTCTGGAGCCCGCATGTGCGAACTTCTACGTTACGCCGCTCAAAGCCACGAAATAGAAGAGTGTTGTGTTCCATCAAATCGAAGAATGCTCCCATTCAGTTCCGACACAATTGCGTGAGCTGCGCTATTCCTAGCGGTAGCTATTGGTGTGTTCGGTGTGAGCTTACTAGTTATGGTTGCAGCAGAAGGGGTGTGAAAGGCGATGGGTGTGGTGACTTCATTATCGTGAAATACTTAGCGATCTCATTGGGGGTTACCTATCTGGACAATTTGTAGATATTTTATGACCCAACTTAAGCCGCCGAACCCCAGTCTTTCGGCCAGAGCACTGAGAGCACTGCACTCGGCGTACAAACCTATTTGAAGTGAATAATGTCAGAGTTTCTTGACAATAGACGCTCCACCTTTGTGGATAGTTCGCTGGACGATCTCCTGCGCGATCGAGTATACAGCACGAAATCAAAGTGATATGTAGTTGCAACACTGAAAAATGGCTTTTTGCATCGTCACAGTAGCTAGCAATGGCCGGGCCAACCGCCGCTCTTCTAACCATCCTTTCTTCCCACTGAAATCTAGACCAGGCCTCCTGGCGTGATTTCTCCGTTTCCGAAAGGTACAGCGCTGGTAGTGGATGTTTCTGCGAGGCGGCTTTGAACAGCATCCAAGGCTTGCTGTCGGCCCTTGTTGGTTTACTCAACCAGCGATTCGTTGACGGTATATCTTCGAAAATCCATGTATCAGGCGAGATACCTCACTTGTGGTCCAGGGCTCAATATGTGTACCCCAATTAGTTTTAATGGCGTCGTTTGCGAAATCGGCGATCAAGGCTGGTTCAGTCAGAGGCACGAAACGGCCCATAGAGCCGCTTATCCCTGGCTGCCCGCGGGATGTCCTTAGAAATTTCATCACCTCGGGGCTCTCTTCGTCATTCAATATGACTTTAGGCATTGTATCTGTCGCGGGTATGGGTTGCTGCGTTCGCTGCATCAAGCCCCATACCCAAAGTACTTCCGTGGCGTGGTAGATGGCAATCACTGGTATATCTGTAAGTGTGCCTGGGTTAAGCATGTTGACGAAACGAAAGATCTGACCAGCGTGCCACATCGCCCGGCGCGCCTGCGGACCTTTGTGCCACCATTCAACATATGGTTTCGCGTCTTGAGCTTCCGTCGCTGTTCCACGGCCAGCATAGTTGGCTATCTCATAGTATGCTGCGTTCAGATGCAGAGAAATTAGTTCTTGGAAAAGGGTTACCTGGGTGTCTAGCCTGTCGAGGTCGGAAAGCTCTGATCTCATCTGATCTGACAGGGTGACCAAGTCTGAGTATCGGGAGTTGAGCACAAAGCCATTCCAGTCCTGATTCTCTGAGTGCAGTAACTCCATCTGGCGATACTCGTAAACTAGCCCCCACAACCCCGCTAGCATCACTGCGGTTACTGCGGTGGTGTCAATGAGCTCCTGAGCTCCCCTGATCAGTTGAGGCTGGCGTAACAGTCTCTTAGCATAATATGGCCATTTGAGTTCCAGCTCGGTGTTATGCATCAATATACCGTACCATTCATCGGCCGTAACTGCTTCCCATAGCCGACGTGATGCAGGAACCGGTCCATTCATTTCAGAATATGCAAAGAGAGGGTTTATATTTCTGGCGAGTGACACGCCGGCGTCGAGGAGCACGGCGAAGTAGGTCAAGCGGATTCTTGATTCTTGCTTAACCCACTTCATCCATTTTTGTTTCAGAGACAATCCTTGAAGTGCCAGAATTTCTTCGGGAGACTGGTACTCGCCAGCTTGGAGCATCTTCCCTCGACGAATCATTGTGACTCCAAGCATTGAGCTGCTCTCTGCAACTTCGATCTTGGCGCTGATGGCACTCCAAAATCCCAAGTATAGTTGGATATAATATGCTTGGGCGACGCCAAGATCTCTGACTGATGTACACTCCTCTTCAAGCTATTTTGGTTAGCGCCAGGGGACTATTAGAAAGTGGCAGGAGGTAGAAGTTTACCTTCTGATGGATAGAAAGCCTAACCAATTCTTGCAATCCGTATCCGAACTTCCGCATAGTGGAACTAGACCAGCATACCGCACCATAAGCCGCGAGAGCACAGAGTAGCTCGGGCCGCTGTTCGTTGACATTGAAGGAAGGCAGGTGCATAAAGGGAATCAGTTGTTTCTCTTGCATGTGAACTAAAGCATGGAGAATGATGCCGTGAAGAACATCAACAAGCTCAAATGTCCTGCTCATTCGTGCCCAGATTGACTTCGAAGTCTTCGAGTAGATCATCACCAGGATTTTGTCTCTCGTGCCAACAGTCATGTTGTCCTTCCCGAGCACTGAGCTCTTGTCACGTAACATTGCCAAGACATCTGATCCAGCAGTAGATGGAAGTTCAAGACTCTCAGTCTCTGAATTGATGTCGTTCGGGCCAGGAATCCAGCCTTGTCGAACTTGAGATGCTTCATAAGCTTCTGTTGTTATCAGCATCGCCGGTGAATGAAGTGCTGTCGAATCAGACACACTATGGTCAATCGACTGGGCGATAGGTGTGGTGATAAAGTCTCCCAGGAATGGTAAATCGAGACCATCAAAATCAATGTTCGGCTCTGGCTGGATGAAGTCGCCGAAGCTAGGAAGATCAAAGGCGCATCCCAGGATGTCGTGAAATGTCACATCATTTGATGTGCTCAAAGTTTCCATCTCGCTCAGTGTTAGACCATACTCGATAACAGGGCCAGGGATACCACTTTGGTCCATATGACCGCAGCCGACGTCGGCAGAAACTGAGCAGGCGGCAATTTCTGCGTGAGTCCCATCTTCTTCTGGTACTTGTGGCCAGCCCATCTCAGCAGTCGCGGAAGCCTGGCCCAGGTCGGTCTCTTCGCTCAATAATACATCTCCATCTACATCCTCGATTTCAACCGCATCAGGCGCTTGGTGTTGCGCTGGTTCAGGGCTTTGATCATAATCGCATGAAATGTTCTTTGCTCTACACCTTCGGCATGGTTTGGTGTCGGTGCATTTGAGCTTTTTGATGGCGCATGGACGGCAAGCTTGCCTAACCCTGGGAGCGTATCTTCCAGAATCTACCATGCGATTAGGACTTTGGCCCGCCACGCCTGCATGTTCATGAGCTAGCGAGTGACGCTTCAATAAATCTTGTCTGGCAAATGCCTTGCCGCAGATACTACACGAGAAGGGCCGCTGCTTTGTATGTGTCCTAACATGGCGGATGAGATGATCGGAGCGAGTATATTGCTCCTTGCATATTGCGCACTGATACACGCTCATTTGAGAAGAAGCATTATTCGACATTGTGTTGGGTAAATCTCCCATTAAGATGCTAAAGTGGTTGTTCTAATAGAATAGAAAGAGACTGATGAACAGGTTGATCATCCTGAAAGCGCAACTTGAAGACTTGGCTTTCGCAGCTTGGGCGCTCGCTTGCCCGTATTCTAGCGTTCTTTAAAAGTGTGGGTGCCCCGCATAACTAATTCTAGCGCTTCGGTAGATACCTAAATTTTCTCACTATTCCACCTGTTTTAAGTAAAAGAGGCAAGCCTTCCTTCCCTACTTATGCCGCTAAGCCTGAGGCCAGCTTATGACGGCAATCTACGGGGTACAAACGAACAGGAAATGGCTCAGCAGTATTGCACGATGTTTGTGCTGCTATTGGAAAGTCATTAGAATGCCTCTAAGAATTTTGAGCCTGAGTAGCGTTTCATGGCAAATGTCTACATATCTCTGATACTCCTACAGGCAGTGGCAAGCAAAAGGTTGTTCATTTTCAAGTACCCTCTCCGAAGCTCTCACCAGGCGTTAGGATCGCCTAAGTCTACCTACACGGTTTAGATCGCCCAACAATGGGAAAGGTCGGTAAACCAGCCTTTCGAGGATGTCAGGTGAGTTCGATCAAAGTGGAATTGGATGCTCGGGCTGAGCTCGGGCCCTCACCCCGGCTTTGGGGGCCACCTCCCGAGGACATCCTGAAGCATTGTTGGTATGTTTGTATTGTGTTACATTCTGAGCCACCTGGCGTCTTTTGGGCAACATATTGACAGAAGAGTCTAATGAAAAGTTTGAATTCCTCGCCCAAAAGCAGGACGCCTGCTAACTTCATTTGCTATCTCGAAGATACCTAGACGTTCCAACATCAACCAGCATGGTGCTACGCGATATATTGATCGCAAGTGTAGAGCCACTTCATGTTGGCCAATTTATGTTTGTTCGCATCGTGACAGACCAAAATGTTGTGGGTTATGGGGAAGCAGGAATCTGGGGTCATATCACGGCAGCGGGCACGGCTATTGCGAGGTTTGCAGAATATCTTGTGGGGAAAAGAGCATTTGATATCGAACATCATTGGAATGTAATGCATCGTTTCAGTTACTTCCAAGGCCTAGCCATCAATGCAGCTATTTCCGCTATCGATATTGCCCTCTGGGACATCAAGGGTAAGACCCTCGGAGTGCCAATCTACGAACTCCTTGGAGGACAATGTCGGACGAAAGCGCGAGTTTATGGACACATCTATGAAAACACCATAGAAAAGGTGTTAGTCGAATGCAAACGGAAAATGGACTATGGATTCACCGCATTTGGCCATATAAATCCTTTCCTTGATGAAGGAACGGACAAAGTCTATTTTAAGACTCATATCAAAAAGATGCAAGACGCAGAGCAGAATGTGAGGCGAATGAGGGAAGTAGTAGGCGACAAGGTCGACCTTCTTATTGAGTTGCATCGTCGTCTCACACCCGCTGAAGCTGTGACCTTCTGCAACAATATACAAGACACATATCCGATGTTTGTCGAAGACCCCATCAGACCCGAAAGCGCCGATGCTATGGCACGGGTGGCGGACAAGATATCCCTTCCGATTGCAACTGGAGAGCGATTCGGTAGTATCTATGAATTCCAAAGTCACCTCGCACGAAATGCACTAGAGTACGCCCGAGTCGATGTTGCTCTCTCTGGCGGAATTACAGGCGCAAAAAAAGTCGCAGCTATCGCAGAAGCTCATAATGTTCAGATCGTGCCTCATAATCCTTTGTCGCCAATAGGTCTTGCGGCATGTCTGCAAATTGCAGCATGTGTACCAAACTTTGCGATTCAAGAGTACGCGACAGGTTTCGAGGCTGGATCGTTCACATCCACAATGCAGCATCTTGGTAGTGATATCGTTGATCACTGTCCTCCAGTGATAGAGGGATTTGTTAACATTCCTAATGGCCCGGGGTTAGGAATCAATCTTTTGGATGATGCTGCCAATATTCGACCAGCATTGGTCCAGCCCATTAAGATGAGGCCACACAGAGATGGCTTCATAGTCGACCAGTAAATCTAAAACTGACACGCAATTGTATTCCAGTATCACTCTCAACTTTCGTTATTGGACGAAGACCTAAGCGCATCACGTTCGTGTAAACCTTTGATATATATTTGATATCTATGGAACCAATCCTGTTATGGTACTCAGTGACCACGACCGCCCCATGTTGGCACGCATCGGACCCGATCAGTCTAAGGGAGCCCTTACATGCTCTGTAAATTTCATACCCTGTATTCCACACGCGTTGTACTTATTGTATCCTAGCTTACGTTCTGGAAAATCCCTGATTATCTTGATTCAAAATAGCATTCAAGATAGCCCGGTTCAAGCTTGCTGAGCCTTTTCCAGCCCCATCAATAGAACGTAAAGCGTAGCCAGTCGAGGAATCCGAACATTTTTCTCACCTGCAATTGCGACAATCTCACCTATGATTGCTTGAACTTCCATAGGCCGCTTGTTGAGTGCATCGGTCATCATACTCGGCTGCACTCCTGGCCAGGGCCTTGACAGCGTTCTGGTAAACTGCATTTCCACTGTTGCGGGTGTCACGATATGCCCATATCCCACACTTGTCGCTACAGCGGCGATCTCTTCCATGACTTCTTTGACAAGCTCAAAGCCTAGAGTTGACGATTCCACCAATTTTCGGTCCGGACATCTAGATAATGCACAAATCGGATTGACTGCTCCATTTGCTACCACCTTGCGCCATCGCTCAGCTTGAATGTCGTCATGAATCATGATGTATGCTCCTCCCTCACGAGCGAGCTCGGCAAAAGTCATCAGTGTTCTTGACGCGACTGCGGATGGATACAGACCGAGATGAAGTCTTTCCATCTCAGAGTGCAGGAAAACGCCAGGAGAGATCTTTATTGTCGGCATGTACGCCACACCTGAGATGATTGTTGCCTCTGGATATGCCGTATGGAATACACGTTCAACGCCTAGGCCATTTTGTATCACGACTATAGACGTCATGCCTGGCGTGATCGCAGGATTGATCTGCTCAATCACCCTTGCTATAGTTGTTTCTGCTGCCTTCGTGCAAATAATGATATAGTCAAACGCACCAGGTGTTCGATGAATGGCTTCTGCGACATTTTGCACCACAGTCGGCCTCGATTGGATCTCTCCTAGTATTGATGATGATACTTTCAGGCCATATTCCTTCACAAACTCGTAGTCGGATCTGCAAACACAGGTGACTTGAGTCCGATTACTCCTCGCAAGAATACAAGCATAAACCGAACCTATGCACCCAGTGCCCACAACCAGGACCTTGTACATTAGAAAGCTGACCCAGAATCACTTGCTTGAACACAATCTAAGTCCTCAGTCTATTGCTTCAGCTGCGATCGAGCGGACTTGTGAATATCAGCAATGCCAATAGCTGCTGTAAGTCAGATTTTCGTTCCGCCTGCGTTCTTGAAGAGAGGGAATAGCAAGATTTTGACGCGGTAAGGTGCTACCCGGGCACAGTTCAGCGTCCTGTTCCGTCTACAGAGACTTGCCCACAAACCCGAAATGGTGCAAATGAGTGAAGAACTTGATCGGATCAAAGATCTCATAGTGATGCAACTCAATAGATGAGTACAGCTCCAACTACTGGCGCCCTACTGACTTTTTTGTATTCAGATAGTGAACCTAGTGTCCCTTATTCAAAGAAAAATGCAAGATCCCAACTCTACAGAGTGGCGCCTGTGGTGTGTTCACCATGTCACGCACTCCTCTTCCACAAATAGATGATCAAAGTCGCTAAGCTGCCGGTTGTGATAGAAAGGACTGGCAGGACAACGAGGACAACACCTGCCAAAAGACCTTGAGAGAAGAAATTCTTGTTTCTTGGCTCTGGTTGGTCATTAGACTTCAGTGGTTGCAAAGCTTTTAGATACAGCGCCTCGCGACTCTGTGACGTTTTCTGAGTAAAATCTTGAAGATTTAATTGGATATTCTCAGGCATTGCGAACTGTGGGCTGGGGATTTCCATCGTAGCACGATCATAAAGTGTGTATGGTGAGAATGCATGACCATCGGGAGCGGCAGGCCAAGCTTTGTAAATATCAGAAGCGTTAGAAAGGGACCTTTCACAACCCATTCTACCAAGCGACTTACCTAGTATATGAGCTGGAACATAATTCACAAAGCTGACTTTGGTGTTAATGAATTGGGCTAGATATTTTGCAGCTGCTGGGTCTGCAAAGATATACAATGCCAGTAAAGCTTCTCGATTAGTCGCATTAAGCGCATCAATAGCATCATCATGACTGCTGGTAGCCAATACCAGTAATGTTGAAGCACTCCAATGCTGTTGAGAGGTCCACAGATCGCGTCTAAGAAGGATTAGTATAATATGCATGAACAATCTCAGCGAAGTGTTCGAGTACCGTTCCGATAGTCTAACAAGCCGTAAACCACTGGCAAGTATATCTTCTTCATCAAGTATTGCACGGTGTTTGTCTCCATTTCCTTGGGGATCGCGTAATGTATTACGTCCATTCTCTCTATCCGTCCGTGAGAACGATTTGGAATGTTCATGCAGCAGTGCAATGAACTTTGCTTCCACAAACTCGTTGACGAGGACACAAATCGGGGCGTACGGCCCTCTTTTTGAAAATAATAGTGCCGACTTGAGGACTTCTTGGGCCGCTAGCTTGAGATTCGCCGTACGGTCAACTATGGAGGCGGCCACCGCGCGCCCCGTAGTCTCCAGATCGCTCTGCAAACCTTTTTGAAAGACTTTCACATTTTGATCGACCACGAGAAAGTGAAAAAGCACATTGAGGTCAGGCCGAGTGCTGAGCGTGAAAAAAGCTGTTGGGTCCAACGCCTCGCGTAAGCAATTCGATAGGAGATATGTGCTAGCGGTAGGGGAGTCTGGCAGCTGGGTGTTTATCAGCGGAACTTTCTCATTGACATCGAGCGTTTGCGTTTCCTCGTTACCTCGATCACACAACATGAACCAGCTGCGATACAGGCATAAAGCACGCTCATGGCGTTGAAAAAGAGACCCCATTTTTCGGGAATTACGTAGGTTAGTCCTACTGAGACCCTTCGTGCTTCGTTGCTTTGCCCGTTTCTGAGACGGTATTCATTGTTGAGATCTCTTTGTAGGTCAAGCTGATCGTAGAAAATTCTTGCTTCGTTGAGTGTTTGAGACATAAGACATTGCGCTTCAGCTACAGAGAAGTTGTAGTCCTGCTGCACGGCAACTTCGATCGCTGCAGAGTGACTGCTTACCCACTCGTGCAATGACCGAAGCTGCCTTTGTTTGTATCGCAAATCCCTCGTACGGCCATCTTGGGCGGTGCTACGGATGACTGTTATCGCATCGAAAGCCATAACCTGTGTCTGCGAATGTTGTTTTTCAGTGAGCTGAATGACAGAAAGATGTTCTCATTCCACCTCAATCGTAACTCGAGAGCCGCTGGCGAACGATTGTTAGGATGGTCAAGATTATGTAGTAACCAATGCTCCGACACACAAGTAGAGCTTAAGCTCCTTGTATTCAGGCTTATAGTGACCTCCCACGAACTCAGTATTGCTTTAAGGGCGCTGGCTCCAACCCCCGGTACTCTCCACGTCAGCCGATCGGGTACCGGGTCCTCATAATTTCCAGCCATGATATGTTTCAGTGCTGATTTTGCTGACAAGGTGAAATTGGACGTTACAATCATATGAGAATAATTTTTACAACAATCTGCAACCACGCGCGGACATCTTCACGGTGGAAAAGGCAACGGCGCCATGTCATCAACAACCTCAACTTTGGCGCAGCATATCATCACGGCTCCGATGAAATTGTCGGAAGGAGAAACACACAAGGAGGATCTTATTTCCTCCCAACCTCAACTACCAACTCCAGAGCCATCTATTTTAAGGCCACGCACAAGTGGAAGCAATCCACCATGGTGGCCAACGGATCATCGCCACATACCCGACTTCCGCCAAGTCAGATACCATCCAGAATGGCGCGAGCTCTCAGGAAACAGTATAGTGGTGGACATTTTCATTTTCACTCTGTTTGTAGGATGTGGATGCCTCGCGGTGAGTACTATAACCTTATGGAATCTTGTACTAGGCTAAATGCCAGCCTAGATGGCTGATCGGGTCTCAAAGAGATTTGGGGTCGGAAATAAATTATTTGAGCATAAGATAGCTGGAGAATGGTAGTGCTGTTTAGTGCATACTCGCTGGAGGCCACGATAGTACTTTTTGAATCTAGTCGATGTCATACACCAGTATCTCATTGAGCCAAAATTATTATTAGTTTTCTTACACCAACTGAAATCGACACAAGTTTTCAGATATCTGCAACGTTCCAAGACTTGAATCTGCCACTGTTATAGGCTGGCCGATATTTCTTCTGTCCTCCAGCAGCTTGATTATCTGAGAAATCATAAGCCAAAGTGCCTTACACATCTTGGTGTTTCTCTGTTTTGGATATCTCATTTACTGGTCACTTGAGGCCATAAGACTTCTCGACCAGACCATCGCTTCCTGCAATTGCCAGGGTGGACACTCAAAATTTCTATGCGGCTCCACTTGAACTCTGGGACACGGGCGTCCGAGAATGTTGCCCGGCTGAGCTAGTTAAAAGCCCTCTCAGTTAGGTGGGTTACCCACTTGCCCTTCCTCCGGGGGATGTGATAGTTCTTCAGTACGCCTCTGCTATCTTTTGCAGAAACATCTCCATTTCCTACAACATCACACAATAATGCAATCTAACAAGCTATCGCGCAACTTTGCGCCAGTCCTATTGTTTTCCCATGGTACTACGATGCTCACGGGTGAGGAGTCCCATGTACGTGACTACTGGAGATACCACGGAGACAAAGCTCTCAAATATCCTGTCAAAGGGATTATCATGATGGTAAATACGATCCCGTCAACCTTAGTCTATTTGACGTGAAACCAATACATCTAGGGAGCTCATTGGGAGGTTGGCGGACGGAGAGTACATGTGGCTGCCAATCCAGACCCTAAGCCAGAGCGGATTGGTATGGTCAAATCAGCAACATGGATTCATCATGTTGCGAACCCAGACATACCAACGGCGCATAGATGCGTTGAGTTGCTCAGGGATGCAGGTTTTGACGCGATTGCCGACACGCAATTCAACTGGCTGATCGACACCTTTCCCATGCTGATAAGAATGTTTCCAGGGGGAATGCCTCCAGTTACGATCATCTCCTTGAATTCCTTCTTCGAGCCACACTTCCATCTCGAGATCGGACGAGTCCTAAGGCCCTTACGACAAGAGGGGTACTTATTCATAGGGTCTGGTGGAGGTGTGCACAACTTGTACCGCACGGACTGGAAGTACAACGCGATCTACAGAGACAATTTCGCCCAGGAAAAACCACCAGATGCAACCCACCTAGAATTCAGACAAGCTCTAGAGGATGTCATTTGCAAAAACGGCGGCGGCCCAGAGCTAAAGCGTGGAGTTATCCGCCTCATGAAGCATCCGAACTACCGCGATGCTCACGGCACCGATGATCACTACATGCCCACCTGCTTCGTGGCAGGACTGGTTGGTGAGGAAGAAGATCGTGGCGAGAAAGCTGTTTTGGGGGCAGAAGTGTGGGAATTGGTAAGCTGCGTCTCTAAATGTGTTTTCATCATAACTTCCACGTGAAACCTTCTAACATTGAGGAAACAGCGAAACCAAGCTGAAACACAGTTCAGTATTGGTGAATGGCCTTCAGAGGGCTGATAGTCTAAATATGCAGGTTGAGGTCGCCTGAAAGATTTGACACTGGGCCGTGTGTCGAATATGTTCGATTGAGCGCCAACTTGCTTCTATGAAGAAATTCAGATATAGATCATGACGATTGGCCACAATAGCTTCATCAACCAGTAGGATCTCAAAACCTATGTATTTCATTAAGTTTGGGATCTAGAGCCGGGAAACTGTTTCCGCTTTGGAGTGATACTCGATTTTGTTGCGTCTATTCTATGCTTCATCTGTACAACATGCTCTGATGCAATGAGAAGGGCCAACATCGTAATGGCAGCTCTTTCCAGGCGTGTCGAGCAGCAACTCGGAGTCCTGAGGTATTGTCTCCACTGAAAGTCTTCCGGCCCCGGCCCCACACAGGTGCAAAAGTTGGAACCGCATCCGAGATCCATGAATCCCATTTTCGCGTATCTGCCGACACAGTAGAGGCTTCCAAGATACTTGTAAAACTCATGTTGCCAAGGCGTGTTGATCGATGTTGTGAATCGATATTAACTCAAGCAAATCTTTCGTCGGTTCTTTCGTTTAATTTGGAAGCAGATTACCTGACATCTGTGAACGATCATGACGAAGAGGATAGTCTTTTACCAGTACGGACACCCGCCAGAGGTCCTGAAGGCAGAGGATGGTCCAGAGCCGGACGAGCCAGGTCCTGGCCAGGTGGTTGTAAAAGTCAACAAGAGACCAATCCACAACGGGGATCTGCTCGTGGTCTCTGGAGGCCACGATCCGATCAAACGTGAACTTCCGACGAACGGGTACACCCCTGGTTGCGAAGGTGTGGGCATCATCAGAGCTCTCGGGCAGGGAGTTGAAGATGAATTTGGGCTCCACATTGGAGATAGAGTGTCATTCTTTTCCTTAGGAAGCTGGCAGGAACTGGCCTTGGTCGAGGCAGAGTACGTGACAGTGGTGCCACACGATCTAGAGGATGAGGTTGCGGCTCAACTCTTCATCAACCCTGTCGCGGCCATGATGCTCGCACGCCTCGTGGAAGAAATCGCAGCGCATCCACAAGCTGGGGTCTTGAAAATAGCTGCAGTCAAACACGTCGTGGAAGATTTGACCGCATCAAAAATGGAAGCTGGTGTTGTCCTTTTGACGGTGGCCGGATCAACCGTGGCGAGATTGGCGGCTGCAACCCTCAAGGCAAAAGGTTTCACTCCCATTGGTCTCGTTCGATCGGCAACATCGGCAAAAGCGTTAGAGAAAGCGACAGGTATTGATATGATCGGGTTCGATGGCGAAAATTGGCAACAGGAAGTCCGCAAAGCTGCGGCTGGGCGTAGAATATTTGCAGCCATGGATGCCGTTGGGGGGAAAATCGGAGCGGAAGTGTTAAGCCTTTTGTCACCAGCGGGTACTCTTATTAGCTATGGATCATTGACAGGCGAGCCGATTCCTGTCGACCATGTTCATCTTTGCATGACGGCGAAAAGGATTTGTGGCATTGGAATGGTGCATTGGACGCAGTTGTCATACGAGACGCGTGCTGCTGACATGGTGAAGCTGGTACAAATGGTCAAGGAGAATCGCCTGTTTTTCAAAGTCGCTGGGGAGTTCCACTTATCAGATATCTCCGAAGCTATACACCTTTTTCGAAAGCCTGGACGTGATGGTACGGTCCTACTCATAAACTAGTAACAGTCGGAAAGTTGATTATTGACTCACATATAATGGTGTATGAATCTTGCTGCTTTCGACTTTCGATCACAATATTCCAGATTGCACATTTCTCGCTTTTATTAAGCTAATGATCGACAACAATTTCGATCCATGAGTCGAAGCTTATGTTCTAGAGAACTTGATTAAATTGCTTGGGCTTATGCACTAGTTTTATCACAATTGACAGCATCTGGTGGTGACATCAATCGCTTGAGACAGGAAGGCTGACCTGGAAATCTAGCTTTGCTCACATCCCGTTTTCCTATTCTTGTGATAGATTTGTCTAGTTTAGTAGCAGTCCAATGATCATGAGCGAAGTGGCAGCCTGAAGTGGCCAATCTGTCATCTAAGTACTTGGCTGCACTCCCTGAATCTCTCCGTAGTCTTCAGACAGAGTAGTTGATCCCACTGTAAGAGGGTCCGCTTCTTGAAGCACAAATAGCATTCGTGCAGCATTGTCCTTGCTTGCATTTTCCCATGCATGATTTGTCTGTCTCTGAATGACGATATCTCCGGTCTTCAGGTACTGTCTCTCACCAGAGTCCATGACAGCATACATCTCACCTTGAAGCACAATGCCGAAGTCCAAACTCACTGTTCTGTGCATGATCGGAGGAGGTCCCCCTGGTGCATAATCGCAAATTCGCACCACAGTACCGCCTTTGATGATGAGTCCGGGTTTCGTGCCTTCTAAGAATGAACGATAAGTTCGGATATCTTCCTCATCGTCTAATTTCACAGGAAAAGTCGAGCTGGTATATACAAGGCGGAAATCGACGTCCGGTCTGATAGTCTGAGCTGGTAAAGTAGCGTCGAGGCCTTTGTAAAAGATTGACTTGCCATCAGGGCGATGAGTAGTGATGTACCGACTAGGTGATGGAATGTGTTCGTTTCCAGAGCTTTGGGGGTTTTGCTGCGAGGACATTATGCTGATCGTGTATAAGGATCCGTGGTGTGGTAAGAAAGCAATCAAGCGATTACAAAAACCTGGCAAACATATATCGGTTGGGAATTCAATGCTAGTCTTTGTGTGGTGAAGACCGGGAGCCGTGGGCAGTATGAACTACTTCCGGGCATGCCTCCGCTTGAGAGAGGCACAACGTCCAACATCACCTGAGACATCTTAGCGTGGGCCGGAGGGGGCTCCCGACCCGAAATCAACGAGTACCGGCCGGTAGGGTGGCTTTATCCAAGTTGACTCCGTGAGCATACCCACATCTTAATGGCGACTCTTCACGTCGCCCGTGAGTATTTTTGTGAGCTTCTTTTATCAACATGTCCATGAGCTGATGTTTTGTGCAGCAGATTTGATAGTATCATCACTCATGGAAGATTCTACCAAGCCCATTCACTGTCCTCCAGACGAAACTGTAGCATCGAGATTGCTACGGAATGGTCGTTACGCCGGAGAATACTACAAGCCATTTCCTCCTAATCACTTTGCACCTAAACCAGGCCAACAATCACTAGATATTGCTATCATCGGAGCTGGAATAGCAGGTCTCAATGCTGCAGTCGCATTGGTGCAGTCAGGTCACAATGTTGAGGTCAACTCATTCAACCCCTTTTTGCCAGCAGATCGCTGACGGAATAGTTGAAGATGTTTGAGCGGTCAAAGTTTGCACACGAGATAGGTGCGGCTATCCACATGTGTCCAAATGCAACAAGAATATTGTCCTACTACGAATTTGATTTTGAGGCCGCGCGCGCGACTCAACTCCACCAAGTACATCTCGCCATTTGGTCTGCCGGGCAAGCTAACGTCCTACTAGAGTTCTCTGCTTGACGCACATACACTAGAAATTTTGAGAATCGCGAGGACGCCAGATACTGTGCGCCTGTATGGCGCCTCGTACTCCTTGTTTCATCGCGTTGATCTTCATCAACAGCTTCAAAAGCTAGCCACTGAGCCCCGACCAAATACAAAATACGTTGCCAAGATCAATTTATCCTCCGAGATCCTAGATATCGATCTCGATGGTACTGTAATACTTACGAGTGGTGAAAGAATGAAAAAAGATCTGATTGTGGTGGCAGACGGTGTCCGAGTAAGTACTGCTCTTAGAAGCTCATTTCTTTGTCTCGGATCATCAAATCAGCTGATCGACTTTTAACGACGACAGACCAAGTTTGCAGCAAAAGTTGTCAGTGACCAGATCTCCACAGGCGTCTCACCAACCGAGAAAGTGGTTTATCGGTTTTTGATTCCGACAGAAAGGCTCTTGGAGGACCCGAGAACACGTTCACTATTTGAAGGAGAAGGCTTTCAAGCCAATATCGCACGCTTAGACGACCGGCGACTCGTGTGGTACCCTTGTCGCCAGTATGCACTTCCCGGCCTCATTCAACCACGCTTATTTGTGATCGATCAGCTGACCTTCATCGCTCAGGGGTGCTCTACAAAATTTTGGATTTTTTGTTCCCGGAAAAATCCAGGGCTATGAACAGGAAGGTAGGTGTCTCGCGTTTCATTCAATATCGGCTCTCTTTAAACCGACAATCACTTACGATTCCACTGACCCTGATATATTCTAGTATGGAATATTCCCGTAGACCGAGAAACTTTCTTGAAAGATTGCAGTCCACTGCACCCTATCTTGCAAGCAGTATGCTCGTAAGTTGGACCTGCCCAAATCTTTCTGACTCTCGAACATGCTTCATGCTAACACTTTGAGCATTCAGAAAAGCGGACGACATCAAACTGTTCCAGCTTTGCATGCGAAAGCAACCCATACCGGCGCTAACAAAGGGCAGTGTTGTTCTCATCGGTGATGCTGCTCACCCTATGCTACCTCGTAAGTCGAAATTTACTAGCTTATAGATACAATTGCTCAATCTACCACAAGCTGGCGTCATCCCAATTAACACAATTTCTAATCTCTAGATCAAGGTCAAGGAGGTGCAATGGCAGTTGAGGATGGTGCAGCTTTGGGAGTACTGCTCTCAGATCTTCGATCTAAAAAGGACGTGCCGCGCCGACTTCAGCTTTTTCAAGAATTACGCTTTAATCGGGTCAGTGCCGTCCAAATTCTGTCGAGCGTTGGGCAAGACGAGATTCACAAGGTGGTAAAGGCAGCGCAGCCTTTCTTCGAGGGCCCCGTCCCGAGTAAGTCTATCAAAAACATAAATGTCCCTGCTATGCATTTCGTCTTAGACTGCAGAAGCAGCAAGATTGTGTGGATAAAAACTCGAGAGAAAGACAATTACCTTATCCTCGTGCATAACTAACAACTTGATAGCCACAGTAGAGGGTCTCAACGACTACAACTATACCCCAAATATACTGCGAGATGCGCTGGAGCTTTTGCGACAAGACCGCAAGGACAGTTTAGCGAAGCAAGAGCAGAAGGGATATGCATCTAGCAGAATATGATTCCAAATCAAGACTGCAACTCAATTTACTTTGCCTAACTACACCTGCATGGCTACGTAACCACCCACCGTCTCAATCGTTTCCAAACAGTATTGAGCGTTAATGGAATCGTAGACTAATGTAACACCGAACAAGCACCACGTGGAGGAATGTAGGACTATTATTCAATCTCATATTTATCTGCCTGGAATGTTGACCAGACTATCCGCAGTGGTTTAGTTCTCCCTGTCTACGGCTACGGTTCATGCTGTTGGTATGATTGGCAAGCTCACCCAATTGAGATATTCAGGGCTGAAATGGATGTGATTCATTCCTGCCAATTTTTTAGGAGAGCTATATGCCATCCCGATTAGCTTGAGATTTCACACAAACAGGCAGCAAAGACAGAACGGCGAAAAATATACTCAGAGAGAATTGAGGGAACACTAACCGCTCGGGGGTGTCATGGCCAAACATGCCGACCCCTTCGGTATCACCACTGGCGATCTCGAACACGAACCGGTCGCCCTTCTCAGCCACCACCGATGTGGCCCAGACCTCAATATCCACCAGATATACCTCGCCCGGTAGCACAGGCAAGACGTCCGAAGAAAAGTAATCCCGATGTGGAAGCCATTCCTGATGTCGCGGATGTTCTTTGTTCACTTTTCTCAGACTCATTCGAAGCCAGCCTTTACTCAATGGCACGGGTTCTCCAGTGATACCAGTATAGTGTACTTCAGAACCATTAGAAGTGACATGGCGAAGAGTCAGGAAGACGTCCATATCCTCAGGAATGGTGCCCCCAGGGTGCGGAGTGACAGAGAGATTGAGATGGGCAACGATATAGCCTGTAACCTCGGTCTCGTTTGGCAGAGGAGCCGTACTGAAACTGACAGCTTCCGGGGCCTCCATGTTTCCTAGCGCTCGATACGAAACTCTATCGTAATGAATGCTGGGTGCTTCCCGTACAAGGCGAGCATCGGGTGAAAGATAGAAGCGTGTATATTGTGTTCGAGCGATTGGCCATTCATACTCAGCCCGGCGTCTGAATGTCTTCTCAGCCTCGGGGTTGTTGTAGCCAACATTGCCCTTTCGCAACACTAGATCAACCGGTGGCTTCCTTCCGCTCGTCCATCCGTCACGATCGTCGTCTTTACAAAATGCGTCCAGGAAGCTCTTCTGTATCTCGACATGATCATCATCATAGAAAGGCAAGTCGTGACGTCCGGTAATGAAGCGTATAAACTTGCGTTTAGATCCAGCTAAGCGGAATCCCTCGTAGTTTCCACGAAAATGGATCATAATGCTTCCCAGGTTCGCAAACGAGAGGATAGGCACTTCGATGTCTTCCAGATTATAATCACGAGACTTGTAGTATACTTCGTCGCGATAAAGATGTTTTGCTGTGTCAGCAACCTGATCACATCGGTTCTGAGCAAGTTCTTCATCGGAGAGATCCCCTTCGAGCGTGTCGGGACCCCAGTTGCGCTTCAGCTTCCCAGGGAGTCCGTATTGATTTGACAGCACCGAGTTTGTAAACCATCGTGATAAAAATCCAGTCAAAATCCCGCCATGTCGGCAGCGATCTCTGTAGTAGTCCGCCATGCCATCGGTGGGAGAAATCGCCACCAGGCCTTTGGGCCGTCGAGCTGCTACTCTCCACTGACTTCCTCCGAAATAACTGATGCCTGTTAATGCCACCTTTCCATTACACCACGGCTGCTCTGCCGACCATTCAATCACATCTGCGAAGGCATCTGATGTAGATTGTGACATAGTGTCCATCACCCCTGGAGATTGTCCTAGTCCAATCTCATCTGCGCGAAGTACGGCATAACCTGCTGCAGTCCAGTAACCTGGATCAGGAGTTTCGAAGGATGTGTGCGCTGATTTGTGCTTAGGGTTCAGCTGATCGAAAGATGCAGGGTGGAAACTAGTTGTCATGTGAGTGGTTTTTTTCATTGGCATAGATTCTTTGCGGTTCTTCGCCTACTCACGCACTCAAGTGGATGTCTTTCCCATATGGTCCATATGTGACAAGTACAGGTACTGTATCTTGGGTTTGAGGCCTGTAGATGTTGCACCGCACCAGGCCGTCGAAAGCCTTGAGACGTATGGTCACATTCTCCTCGTAGATGTACGGGAATGAGACTGTGTCTATCTTGTAGAGATCGTCCCTTATTTGGTTTGGCATTTTGGCAATTTTGCCGGATGGTAAGTGGCTACAGAAGACTTCACGAGCCAAAGGATAATTACAAAATCCGATTTGACTGCTGCACTTATTTGTGCAGGGCTGTCGCAAAATAGAATCTACATCCAAGCGATTTGTACCCGAGTCATAGTTTGAAAGGTCTAGCTCTCTGTAGGAAAATGCTCGGCCCGGTCGTATTCAAGGTCAGCCCTTGTACTGGGAAGCCTCTCATGCACTGTGAACGGAAAAGGCTTATTGATCGGATGATTTAGGCAAAGCCAGTGCCATACATGCTACTCAAAACAATAGCAGGAAGAATGCGGATATCTTGACGGCCATGAGAAGGTTGCATGTCAATGATGGCCTTGTCTGCGGCTGGCCAACCGGACTGGGAAAGTGAAGGCATTTGCCACCCTTATCGACCCGAAGCTGTGGGCATCCGAGCCTAGTCGGGTTCCAAGCATAACTTCCTCCATCAGCTGGAGAGTTTCACAACTAATCAGAACATACACAGCCAAACGACATTGGACAGTGTTCTGGATTGTGAAAGCCTGTACTCTGTGTCTTCTCAGCTAGAGTATGCCACCAAGCACCGTGATGATCGTACAATCTCGAAACAGCATAATTAGCAACAATCAACAAATATTCTAGAGACAGGGTTGATGATATACGACCATGTGGAGATGGCCTGACGATCATGCCACACCTGCGACTTCAAGCAGCTTCTCCAATCTTAAGGATGTATAATATTGATTCGCCGGCTGACAGACCTAGCTCTTCCTGAGAGTTGCGCCTCTGATGGGTTGATAGTAAATGTTAAGAATCCCTTCCCTTCCACCTCGGGCTTTCCGTGAACTACGTAGCACTTAAAGTGAGTCCGGCAGCACCTGTCTGATCCATTATTCAAAAAATCGCGAGACGTGGTAGTTGCTCCTTTCAGCAGGATGATCCAATGTCGCCAACAAGACAAAGTGACCGCGGCTTTCGTGCGTTCTAGACCTCTCTGTCGACAATTGGCGGACCACTCGGACAGAAGTGATAGTGGGACCACTCTACCGGACTCTACCCCGGGTTCTTCTTCCTCCACTTCCGAGAATCTGGGGAATGTATTCTGGCTGACGGAGGGGGGGGGACGGAGAATACTGGGACGGCAGAAGGAGGCATGCATAAAGAGGTTGTTCATCCCACACCTCATGATGAATAATTTGTTCTTAACCCTCAGCCAGAGTGCACCGCAGCCAGTAATCTAAGCCAAACTCACAGCCATGCAAAAAGACAAGTCTGTGACCCCTGGCTCCCCGGGAGAGAACGTCCGCGAGTATAAGGGCGACAATGATGCTAGCACAGCCACAATGGAACACTTCGAGATCGAACCGGCACCACATCTTCATCTGAAGACGTACCTACTAGTTGCTGTGAGTCTGGCCACAGAGCCCTCGTCCATTATGCTTAATTCCTAACAATCTTTTTCAGGCCGTGTCATTTCTTTCCTTTGCCACATTCATACAGCTGGTCACAACAGGCGTTGTAAGGGTTTCACGTCCAAGCTCAAAATCCACAGCATAACTGACAAACAATGGAGTTTGCAAGCGCTGTCGCCGAGGCTACAGGAGGTGTGGGAAAAGAGAATTGGATGCTTGCCTCCCTCACACTGACTTTTGTGGTTTTTTCTCCTCCTGTTAGCCGAGCAGGAGATCTTTGGGGCCGACGGTGGCCTCTAATCATTCTGTCAGCTATGGGATGCATCGGAACTCTGATCACCTCCCGAGCACATACTGTGAGTTGGAATTTTGCCTTAACCGATTGTATCACTGACAACGCGGGTAGATCGGCGTTGCAATTCTGGGCGAGGTTTTGGTAGGGGCCGCATTTGCGTCGACAGTAGGCGGAAACTCTTAATCCTCTTCAATTGTAATGATCGCTGAGATCGTCAAAAGCCTCTTCAATTTGCCGTTGCCTCCGAAGTCCTGCCTCGTCGACAGAGACTGTCAGGACAAGCCTGCATCAATATGGTATATGGTACAACATATCTCTGTCGAAGTTTCACTGACAGATATTGGTAGGCTGGAGGGTCTGGCTCAATATTTGTGCTCCTCGCAGGAGGCAAGATGCTTGATGTATACGGTGTGCAGGCATTCCGATATGTAAGTCATAGGTCCTCAGCAATCGGAATCATTTCTAACGTGATGATACAGATATATTACATCAATGTGAGAACACGTTAATCTGTCATGACGGGCTAGGTCGCTGAAAAACGTACAGTCCGGAGTGTTCGCTATTGGCGGCCTTATTTGTTTTGCTGTATATCGACCTCCGCCACTCAGCCTTCAAAAGTCCTTGACTCAACGCGAGAAATTAGGCAAAGTAAGTGTTCAAACTCGCTGGCCTAGCAACAACTAATTTACATTGAATAGCTGGACTTGCCCGGATACGTGCTCTTGATGTTTGCCGTGGTCTTGACCTGCATGGGTCTGTCGTGGGCAAATAATCCATGTACATCTACTTCCTCCTTTGACCACACGCACAATCATACTGATCCTAACAGACCCATGGAATGACGCCCACGTTCTGGCGCCAATGATCATCGGTCTGATACTTTTTGGCTTCATTGGAATCTACTGCTGGAAGATTGGAAAGAACAGCTTCATACCCCCTGCTTTATTCTCGTGAGTGACAATCAAAATCGTGTACGTGGGGAAAGCTCATATCCACCTTCCAGTCGTGACCGAAATGCCGCGATATGTTTGTTTGCGATCTTCATTGAAGGCCTAGGTGAGTACCCGATCTTTCCTCAAGTCAAAAAGATCAATCCACTGACAGCTGCATAGTTTTCGCTGTATGTCTTGGTACCAACATGGTGAACGAGGACATTGACAGCTAATCGTTAACAAGGCTGCCAACCTCTATGTACCAGCACAGAGTGCTATACTATACGAGAAGACAAGACTCAATGTCTCGCTTGTGTAAGTCATCGTCCTACTCCTGCTTCCAGGCGATGTGCTTAAATCTCTAATTTCAGGTTCACTGTCGTGTTGGTCTGCTATGTGGGAGGCAGTCCAATCGTCGCTTGGATCTGCTACAGATTCAAGATCCTTAAGATCCTCAGCATTGCGGGCTACGTGTGTTTGTTGGCTTGGGCGATCTGTATGGCTACCACAACGTTGGGTAGCCGGACCAGTGTCTGGGGCTATCAGCCACTTCTCGGGGCTGCACTTGCGCTCATCATGAATGCAGTGGTTTCTGGCGCACAGTTGAGCGCGCCCCCAGAATTAATGTACGTCCATTCAGCACTTTCAAAAATAGTGATTCAAGATCTAATACAGCGCAATCTCAGCGCAACTACAAGCGGTCTAATCGCGGGACTTAGATCACTCGGTGTCACGATTGGCGTTGCGATATGTAAGCCTGATTCCGTTAGATGACTTGCTTTGGATTTAAACTGCTGACAGAGGATACAGACACCGCTGTCTTCAGCTCACGGTTCAAAGTCCTACTCCCAGCAAAAGTTGCGCAAGCCGCTCTGCAAAGTGGCCTGCCGGAATCATCTCTTCCGGCACTTATCCTGGGCCTGGCTACCAACGACGCAGAGGCGCTCGCGGCCGTGCCTGGGGTCAGCCCTACTATAATCACTGCCGCTTCCAACGCCCTGAGAGCAGCTTATCTTGGTTCGTTCAGAGCTGTTTGGATTACAGCGTCGTCCTTAACTGCGGCCGGACTATTTGGTAAGCTTATCTTATTGTGCGCATTTCATCAGATGCCTTGCTGAACTTCATTCACTAGCCACCTTCTTCCTCGCCGACGCCGCCCAGGATCTAAATAATCATATCGACAATCCCGGCGAGTCTGAGGAGGCGCTATATTCGAAGAAGTGAGATTAGAGGGGTAGAGAATCTGTCGATGTCTTACATCGTCCAGTAACCATAGGGATCTGAAATGGGCCACATGAAGCTCAAGAAATCGATCGACCCGTCGTGTTCATAGCCACATCTCTCAAGCTCCAAAAGAAACTAACAACCTGATTTCTAAGTGTGTAGTACGCTGCGGAATAACCATGTCCTCCATAAGATTCTCCCTTTCCCTAACGTAGTATAGGTCTCTGATACACAGACGCACAATTCCCATGCTCTTCTCTCGATGTTAGCGAATAATTGAAGATCTGTAAATGATAAGGGTGGGCTTTGAGGCACAAATATCTTTCCGCATCAATATACTGACCAGGTTCATCTATTGTTTCACCAATCACAGCCCTTCTCAGCTATTAACTTTCTGAAGTCGGCACTCAGAGCGTCGACCACGATTCTCAGTCCTCTCTGCCGTTGCCGTGCACTCTGCCCCAGTTCATCGCCCTTGTTTTGCGGCGCGTTAGCTGCGGCGACCCGAAGCTCGTCACCCCTTGCTTCTTTTGAGCCAAAATGCACAAGGTCAGAACCGTCGACATCTGTTGCGCTTGATTGAATTATCTGAGGACTGCTTGCGGCGTTCATATGTCCAGATTGCGTTAGTGGGGTGATGGGTGTGGCATCCAATAGCGCCTGCCATCGAGCAAGAAATGCACCAGGACCGGGGCTTGAATGTACTTCTGGTGTGGAAGACTCCTTGATTGCTTTACTGGTCTCAGATTGTATTGGTGTAGCGTTGTTGGCCTTACGGTCGATTGGTGGTGCAGGGCTTGATGGTCGTGAGCTTGGCCGCGAAGGCGCGGATGAGAATATCTTTGCAATCGCAGGATTTTTGGTAGGTGGTGACTTGAGAACTTTGCTAAGTCTGGCAGACGATTGTTCATGCATAGTATGAAGGAACTTGGAATGCGAATCGAGGATGGGAAGAATCTTGTCTTGCTTCTCATGTGGGAGAGCAGCAAAAAGACTTTGCAGATTTGGAGTCAGGGACCCTGCTCCCTTTTCAGTCATGGCCGTGTCGTTGGCGCTGAAATCATCTCCAGGATGGCGCTTGAATTGCTGTGCAGCCCCCTTGGCCCAGTCAAGATACCATCCTGTAAGCTCTTTGTCATTCTTACAACATTGGTGCATGAATACGTGGCAAGATTGTTGATGCTTGCGCAGGAGCTGTACGAAGTCACCAACAGTCGGCACAACAGATTTGCCAGCTTTATCAACTTGGATTCGTCCTAGTTTGATCAGGTCTTTAAGAAAGTATTCAAAATCGGCCAATGTCGATGATAGATCAATTGCCTTGTGCATTCGTCGGATGACAGGTTCGTATGCATCGACGAGTTGCCGCACTGAAGTTGTCAGATGATCGGGTACACTGTGGCAAAGGCATTTGACGAGTTGCTTCCGATCTCTGATTGAAAGCTGGACGGAGAGATATTCTAGAGCTTGCTCATGGTGAAGATCTGTTAATTCCGTGGAGGAAATTTTGTTGGTCTTGAGGATTGCTGTGACAATTGAAATGGATTCACTCTGGCTCCGATGCCGAATTTTATCTTGGTCCTCTTGTTGTAGTGTGGTGAAGTTTTTAAGGCATTGTAACTGTTCCTTTCCTAGCTTCGCCCGCTCGCGCTCGAGCTTTGCGGCTCGCGATTCGAGTTCTTTGATGTCCCAGCTTAAGACTGTTGAGATGATTCTAAAACAACACGTTAGTACAAGATAATGGACTATATATATGGACTAGACTTGCGTTTGCATGAGATTCATGCCCTCATCTTGAGTTTGCGTCAAACCCATCCAGTTCGTCACACTGGCAACGCTCATCTTGGCCAGCCCAACTTTGACCATGGCTTGGAGCATTGAAGCTACATTGCCGATCTTAAGAGTCTGCTTGAGAACAAGATATGGCACCAACTTGTTCGCATTGTCGACTAGCTTAAGCAGGTATTGCCCCTTGGGTGACAGAATCAATGTGTAGTGCATCAATGATGCCAGACTAGGCCAAAATCAGCGTCACATATTCGAAGAATTCGCCTGTTGGTAGAGCGGAATGGAATAAGCATACTTGACCAGAACGAACTCATGGACCGCTTTGGTTTGAGAATCATGGTCCTCCAGGTTGTCGGTCTCCGCCGTTTTCGCGACCATGCGATCCAGCACGTCGCCATAGATCGCATCGTTCAGGAAATCACGAAAGCCTTGGCTCAAGTCTTCGGCATTTGCGAGATCGTAGTCATGACTGTGGTTGTGAGTTTCCGGGAAGCCGCCATATGTACCTCGCACAGGATATTCAATTAAAGCGGATATAGCTGTTGCTAAAGTCTTGCGACTTCCGATAACGCCCTTGTCGTAGCTTTCAGACAGGTTGGCTTTTTCTAGATTCTCTATGATGTCTTGGCATTGAACCTTCCAGAAATCTTCAGGGAGGTTTCTCAGTCCTGGAAGCGTCAAGAGGAATTTTGATACTAGTATCTGAAGAGCGGGTGATGTTGACGGCTGCTTGTGCTTGATGGCAAAAGGAGGCCCGTACTTCTCCAGGCTATTTGTTTGTCGAAACTCTCGAATCTCGGCATAAGTGTCGTAATGTGTCAGAATGTCAAACAGAGCCGCGGATTGAGTGGGGGACAATGATACTGCCATTTTCAATTGATGATTATACCTAGCCAGTATCTGCCCGGATATTTCGAAATCCTCAAAGACACATGGAATTTGTGTGTCGCAGAAATGATATTCGCCTCTTTGTTGTCATAGACATGACGTCGTTTGTTGTCTTCGGACGGGAAGATTGGCGACACGTGGAGAAGATGCACATGCAAGATGACCATGGGAGTGGACTGCGGAGGCCTGGGGAGCACTATAACTTCGTACTCGTACCTGCGAAGTATGTTACTGTACAGTCGCCTGGTGGCCTAATTAGTGACGAATTAATTGGGTAGTTAGGTACGACTTGACACCTAACACCTGGGCTTGAGTGCCACTTTCAGGTGGGCAATTAGGCCTGGCTCTTAGTTAAAGAGGCACCCCTCTTACCTGCCTTGTTGGGTAAACCCCTTAATCCAGAAGCTGTCCTACACGGTAACTACGCGTAAGTCAGCTAGGTGATGCATCCCCACCCCCTTCGACCCCCACGGACCCCGGACAGTTAATCTAAATGATAGAGAACCCCGTAAGCACTCGAAGGTGGGCAAGAGAGGAACGCTATCCATGATTTAGCTCTACACCAGTGACACCACTTCTCATTAGCCTGTGAACATCCACAGGATTGATGCTGTCATGCCGCAGCTAGCTCTTGTCAAGCATCTCTACTCAAGTCTCAATGTCACACGAGTCCTATCAGTGGCATCATCAACGCAACGATTGATACCTCGACCGTTCTTATTCTCCCAGTCATCAAAGAAAAACCATCAGCACCGCCTCTATCAACACCATGGACCATCACTTCCTCCTCAACCCGGGCCAGGCCCTGCTGATAGTGTGCGGAAGTGGAAAATGCTTGGCTACATTGCATGGGCACTATTCTGTGGGCTTATCGGCGCAGGCAAGGTCTTCAGGGATCACATAAATGCATACCGACTGGCCAGCAAGATTGAAGTCGAGTCTGTCGTCGACGATCAGCTCGTAAGGTACGCATTGGAGATGATGGACAAGACCCCAGCTATAAAAGCACTCAAGAACGATCCGGATTTCAGGGAGATATGACCAGTAGCCGCTCAAAATCCTGCCGCAAGCGCGGAGCCTGATGTTCATCATCTCGTGCTTACTGCGTTGAAAGGATCTCGCGGTGTGTTTCCACGAGTCTTCTGGAACGAAAAACTCACGTCCTTGACTATGGTGGTAGGTTTTGGTCATGGTCTCGACGACAATCATGGTAGGCTTCACGACGGAGCCATTTCGTCTATGGTTCAGGAATCGATACAGCTACTTGTGCAGCACTGTCTTCCCGGATCTTCCCACTATCGACTGTTCAAATTTTTCCTCACCAGCCCTTTAGGTCTCTACCGCTCAGCGTCTGGACCAATACTTTCCATAAACATGAGACCCGTCGGCGCGTTTGGTACAGTAGAGCACATGCTTGCTGCTCAGCAGCATGACAAGCTTGAGCCTGGTGATATGCCAAAGTTCCCGGAGTGGTTTGACATCACGGACTTGGAAAAGCGGTGCAGGACCATTCTTTGCGACGTGCATTTAGCCGATGGGCATCCGCTTGACCCTGGGAGGATCCCGATCATGCGATTCTGGGCAAACTTTGACGTCAAAGGCCTGAGATTGGCCACCCCGTGAGCCAACTGCATCTTCCAGAAGGAGTGCCATACCAAACACCCACGCGACTCAGGGGCGGGTCAACACATTCAACGTTGAGCCTACTCATCTCCATTGAAGATTTGCCATGCAGGTCACCACTCTCTGGCTTGACACGTCTTTTCTTCGAGATCGATCTTGATCTTCTCAGATTTCAAGATATTACCCTTCCCGAGTGTTGGGGTCGGCTTTTCCAGACGAACTGTGGTGAGAGTTGTTCTCTTCCGAGGATCTCTTCGAGCTGCTCCCCCCAGTCCTTGATGCATGAGCCAACATCTAGGACGAGGCGAAACCCCAACTCTTCCATTTTCGGCATTGTTAGCTGAGGCAGCCAGAGGGATGAGTCCCTAATTTTCCTGCATTTGGGTCTTAATGGGCGAGGCTGTATCATTTCCACTCGATCAAGCTCAATTTGGGAGGTGTTGATGATCTTTCGGTGACAAGCAGGCTATATCCCTCAGTATGTCCTCTCTATGGGCCCAACTTGTCGTAGAAGATGTGCAAACGTCACTCCCAAGATTAATGTTACACGGAAGGTAGCATTGGCAATAATATTGTGAAGATATTAAAATTGTTCTAGCTTGTACCTTAGCTGCAGGTATGGGTATCATAACATTAGTACATCGAGAGTGGATATCCAAAAGTCCACGCGCGGCCAAAACTCTCATAAAATCGTAGCATGCCAAAGAGGATGCTTCAACGATGCCGGTCCACCACACGGGTATCAAACCTGCGTGAACTTCATCAGGCGACTCTCACGCTTCCCTTCCATTCCAGCGCACAGGTCCCTCGTCGGACCGACGCACATATCCCTACCAACATCCAGATTCCGCACATCACAGGTCCAGCCCTTCTTCTTCAACCACTCACCTTCCTCGCCCTCCCACAGCGTTCTGCAGACCTCCTCCGCCGTGATACGCTTCACCCGGAGACGCTTGACGCTGAGGCCGCGGTCGTCTTTCTCCTCATCGTGGGCGCTGATCCAGCATCGCGCCATCAGCGCGCGAGCAATATCCGCCCCGCCGTGCATCCCGGTCATGATGTTTCCGCCAAAATACCACGGGTTCTGTGCGTGGTCGAACGAATGGAAGAGGATCGTCAGTGGGAGAGCGCCCGCCAAGCGCACGAGATGCGTCTCGATGTATGGTTGGAGATCAGATAGTGGAAGTCCGTGTGGTGAGTAGATGATGGAAATAGCTTTCGGACGCGCGGGCGTCACTGGGCTGTGGAGGGTGGGACAGGATGAGACGGATGATAGTGACTTGTGGTGGGTCAGTGTTTTGATTGGGGAGGCATGTAGGTTTTCTGGGCTCGCTGATGTAGCTGTGCTTGGCGATGTTGTTGACGGAAGGAGCGGTGAGAACCCGATAGTTGAGGTCGACTGAGCAAAGACTTCTGGCGAATCTGGTGGGGTTGGTAGCTTGCGAACGAATATTGGTGCTGCATCGAGTTCGAAATGAAATGGAAGGTCCAAGGATGGTAACTGGTCGGGAATAGTCAACTCACGGGGAACAATCTCCCCCTCGCCAGGCTTTGCCTCGGTTCGTAAGATTGGGTGATCGAGCGTAGGTAAAAATTCCGAGGACGCAGTATTGGAAGACCGGGATAATTGTGGTCTATGTGATCTCAAGGCTTGTGATTTCCGCGGGCCGGGGTATAAATCTCGGTCTCCATCAGGATGGGCAAACGACATTGGTCTGCTATTAAGTGGCGACAACGGCGCTGGTGGACTGCTGGGTGGCATGGTCATCGGACTGAGCGGCATGTGAAAATACTTGGTAGTTCTCGGTAGATCGATGGTCGCGATTGAAGCCACAGATTTTGTATGAGTTGGTGGTTGATATGTGATACAAAAAGCATTGTGTAGGCCGGTCACATAATTCCTCGCCGGGATGAAGGAGATACACACTTCTCCTGGAAATCCAGTTGCTGATAATGGAGGGATTCGGAGCCGTAATGAACGTCCAAACTTGACCTTAGCATCGTATTTAGACAATCCCACAACCCTGTTAGGGTCAAAATGGTGCCAACTCTTGATCGCTTTTGCTGCCCCAGGTTCGGCTGCAATGATAGTCTTTCCCTCAGGTCGTAGTTGCAGTAAAGTCTCCTTGTGACAATGGTCTGGTTTATTTTGTGACACAACTACCACATCTGGTTCTTCAATATCCGAGAGGTGAGAAATGGCACTCGGCGTCCTCAGTGTGGTTTTCGCAAACCATGGGGCCGTCACGACTGAAGAGCCAGAAAGCCACGGATCTATAAGTAGGGAAAAGGCTCCATTTGCGGAAAGCAAATCTGAAGGTAGGGGCTGAGGCTCTGGGGAGAAGATCAAGAGAAACGTCGAGTCGCCGTTGAGCTGGCGAACAGTAACGGACATTGAGGGAGATTGATTCCAAACGTGGGGCGTGTCAGAGGCTTCGATCAGACAATATGGTCCACTCGTAGTAGTCTCAACCCGAGCTCATTTTTGCGTGGAATGTTATACATATGGAAGTCGCAGACCAGTTGTACAAGTCCAGGTGGTTATTCTTCAGGGAATGCGATAAGCTGAACAGGATGAAGATCCAGATCAACTGGCAAGCAGCCGATATTTGGTTCTGCTGGAGTACCACCTAAATCGACTTTAATTGGCAGTCCAATGCGGGTTGGGAGTTATCCGGGGGCATCTTTACGCAACACAAGATGTAAAGCGTCAGGAACAACCGAAATTTGATGATGCAAGCCCCAAGACAGGGCTATTCTTGCCCGCGGGCCCGTGTTAGGCTGACGCCACCACGATGCGGTGGAGATCAGCTGAACTTTGAGCTTCGGGTGTTCGACAGGACTTGACTGCCGTGGTGGTTGGTGTGCGAGTCTGCCCAGAGTTTCGCGAAACGCTTTTGGAAACGATTTCAGGTATCAGCTTCTCTGAATGTTCAAGAAGCCCTTGTACACCGAGTCACATCCTCCGCAGAATTAGCCTAGTACTAATGCAAGGTCTACAATATCTACATCCATCCGTATTGCAAAGTTCAACCATATGGTTATCAAGAACAACCACTTGGTATGCACCGAACCAACAAATATGAAGTTCAGGACATCCCTGCTTAGCAAGTTCGGAACCCCGCGTAAACCTGACAGCACCAGATAAGCGTAGAATTGGAGATTTGACTATTCGTTATTGGCGATTGAGCCCTGTAGGACGATGAGAACACAGAATGCACCTCCAAGATAGCTTGACTCGGGTCCACCAACGTAGGTATTATGACACTCCATCTTTATTACAGTTTGTTTGGGAATAAAGGGGCATCCCTACCTCCCCGGAACAATCTCAACATCTCATCGCCCATCCAAAGCTTCCTCGTCTTAGCAATACCCAATTCGAGGTCTGCGACACGACCCGCTTGGATGAGTAGTCCCTTTCCATTGGCTTTGATGCCTTCACTCATAAGATAAACCACTGCATCCGCGATCTCCGCAGGGTCATTAATCGGAACACCTTGCCCTCTCATTCTGACAGCCCAGTCCTTCAACGACTCTCCTTCATTACGGCCAGATATGATATCCGTCAAGGTAATCCCAGGAGCGACAACCGAAACCGCAATGTCGAGCTTGGCGGTGTCATTCTTGAGCGCTCGCATCAGGCCTACGATACCTAAATTACAAATCAGCATTTAGAAGAGACATTCGCCAGTCTTCAAATGACACTTACCATGTTTTGCTGCGCTGTATTGTGGTGCTCCAGCACTAGCGAGATATCCGGCCAAACTCGCAGTCATAACAATACTCCCGCCTGGCTTTTTGCCCGACTTCTTATTGCGAAGGTAATAGATCGCCAGCCTCGCAGTGTCGTTTGCTGCGTTCATATCTATATCGTACACCCTCTTGTCGGGCTCCTTGAGCAGGCCGTCCGCGTCCAACTCATCCTTGAAAAACTGGTCTTTGTACTCGGCAATTCCAGCATTTACAAAAACCCCGTCAATAGCCCCGAACTTCTTGACTGCGGCTTCAAATGCACTTCTTTGGGATTTCCATTGCGTGATATCGGCCTGTTGGTATAAAAATCGTGATGAAGATATCAACGATGCCGGTGCTGAAGCATGAGGTTGTGCTCTGTCGACAATCACAACATTGTTGCCGAGGTTATGCAGCAGAATTGCTGTTTGGAGACCAATTCCTGAGGCACCTCCAGTAATGAGAATCGTGCTGTCTCTGGGTCCGGGTAACTTGTCCCGTGCGACAGTAAATGCTTCGTTGGCCATGTTTGCGGGTTGATGTTAATGATGCACTCTGGGTTACAGAGTGAATTACAAATAGATCAGCACAAGCATCCTGTTCAACCTTTCTTTGGCTTACACCCATGGTGCCAGGAGCCTCGGACTCTTAGGCTTCCCCGCACCCAACTCCATGCGGACTACGAGTCAGCCAGGGCTCCCAACTAATCCTGTATCAGAAACTACCCGAAGTCCTCGGATCGGCACAAACCCGGTTGTGGCCGCCCTACCAAGGCACGGCCCTAGCATTGAGGTTTGACTGAAAGGAATGAGAAGACAAGAACCAGGGCGAGTAATCAAAGCTTTATTTGACCAGTTTCTCATTCTCAATTCATCACCCTCTAACGTATTGACGTCATATTCCACAGGCTTGACTAAGCACATGAGAAGCTACTCGCCAAAGCTACTGGTCCTTCATTGTAGATCAGCTTCTTGGGGTATCGACATAAGTTTCGTGACACTTTCACATTTTCTGGTGATATGGTCATCGCGGGTAGCGTTTCAGGTGCCGTTCCATTCTCCACCCAGCCTCGCAAGGCGATGAGTGGATCTACAGGAAGCGGTCCATGGCCACCAGAACAGTGTCCAGCACCAGGAGCAAAAAACAAGCGCTGGAATTCGTCCACAGCCTCGGCGCCTCCAAATTGTTTCTCCAGATTTTCGCGGAATCGTAGCATTCCGTTCGGGGGTATGTACTCATCGGCGAGGCCCATCCATGTCAGTAGTTTACCTCCAGCGTCTTTGAATGCTGTGAGGTTGAGGTGCTGGTTACCCCATAACTCACCAAGTTGGGAAGTTGAGATATCAAATGCTTTTTCATAGTCTGCAGTGCTCATTTTTGTCGTCTCGTAGTCTGGATGTTTGAAGACAAAATACTTCAACCAGCTCTTTGCGACGATGAAAGGACTCGGTATCCAGTTGCCGTCTTCATCCTCAATGGTATTCGCGACAGCAAAGAATGCTGCACCAGGCGCTAAACCGTACCAAAGTGGTTTACCGTTCGAGGTTCGAGGTCCTTGAAGAATCTCCCTGACCACAGTTGCGTGCTCAGTCGTGATCGTTAGTTCCTTCAACCCTTCACAAGGCACATCCATTTCCATCAAGATTCCAATGTCAAGCGTCGCACAGGCACTATTGCATGACACTGTATGCCCAACAAGAGTATCTGGATCAAATGGACAACTCTCGAGAAGGTCGTGGTCCGATATCAACCCATCAGTCACACCATCCAATGGATCACATTTGGCGATGATGGCTCTTTGATATTCTTCTAGCACACAGAAGGGAGGAACAGTGTTGTTTTGCATAACAACTGGCGGCCAGAAGTCTGCAACCACCAGTTCAGGAATGTAAATAGCTGGTGCTATTGCGAGGATGCCATCGAAATCTTCAGGATACTGGGCTGCTGCTGCATAACCCTGGCGGCCTCCCTGAGAACAACCATGCCAGTAAGAGTAGGAGGGTTCCACGCCGTAGAATTGCTGGCTTAGGTCCTTTGAAAGCAGAACCATGTCGTGGATGGAACGCCAGGCCAGATTGAGCTGCAAGTCATCGTTACTCGTTCCATCTTCATTCAGAGCCCACTTTCCACTTTGTGGATCGACTGTATTGTTCAACGTAAGGCCACCGTCGGTGGAAGATGTAAGATACCCTTCACTCAAGGGACCAGCCAACATCAGTCCGCCATAGCCTGCAGCCAGGCCACCGCCTCCCATGGCTTGATATCTGCCGTTCCAATCGGACGTAGGAAGCCAGACGTCAACAAACACCGTGTCACTTGCACCAGGATGTGTTAAAACCACTGATACATTGCAAAAATTGAGATAAAACGGTTCAATCGCGGTGGAAAGGGGATCCGCCCGAGAGCTGATACTCTCCACTTCGACCGCACTCAGGCTTAGAATCTCTGCTCCAGCTATCACTGGCGCCACCAGAGATGCACATGGGGTGTGACCGCCCAAGATATCTTGGGATGCTCCGAGGTCCATATCAAGGTCTTACCTGGAAGATTCGGCCGCGACGGAAGACCGTCAAGCGATGATGAAAGATCCTGAGCAGTATCAAGAAGTGCCGCCGCTGTTAAGGTAGACCCTTCAGTGGGAGACTCTCGCGGTGGCAAATGTGAGATTTCCGCCGTGTTTTGGACTTATCTCGAAGTCAAGTTTTGGGAAAGCACCTCGGCACTAATTTTGGGTCAAGAAAGACTGGCTTGGCGAACTACCCATTTAGGGAGTAGTTTGCTCCTTAGCGGCTTACTATCAATCAACGACGACGACATTCAATTACTTCCATACTTCCTATCTGGCGTTCCCGTCAATATATAATACAGAAACATGTACTCATTCAACCGAGCCCCTTAGTGCCAATTCACATCAATCATAAGTGCTCTTGCTGATTCTTTATCGTTTAGGCTATTAGGTAGAGGATTCCCATGCACTGCAAAGGAATATTATTTCTCAGCGCATTCGCTACCAACATCCTCAATCTGCAGGGTCCCATCAAAGCCTAGGTTTCTCAGATGAAACCAAATTCTCATCCTTTGCGAACCGATAATAGTACTGAAGGCATTCGGGATTTGCAATCGTTTCTGATGGGTTGATGACTTTTCCGGACACAATCTGCTTCACAGGGAGCTCGACTTTCTTCGCATTGATGGTAACCTAACACAAATTAGTAAAATTCCACCTCTGCTAGAATGATCTTTCAACTAGAACGGTTGGATGCAAGACTTACTGGTATGGCTGGTGTTTCAAACACATACTTTGGAACATGGCGTGGTGAATGCTCTTTTCGAATCGCAAACTTGATTTGCTGAATCAGTTTTGGCGTTAACTTCTTCCCTGGTCTTAGCAAGAGAAATAATATGACACTTTCATCATCGTCCTGAGGTCGGCGTTGCCCAACACAGATGCTGTCCGCGACAATTTCCGAAAAGTCGGACTCGATCACGCTGTAGATGTCTGAGCTGCCGAATCTTACTCCACTGGGATTAAGTACTCCATCCGCTCTGCCTAGGAAAATCACTTGTTTTGTTTGTGGATGAATCAGAATGAAGTCCCCATGGGTCCAGATACCCTCATACTTATCAAAGTAACTGCTGTGGTATCCCTTCCGGCTGATGTCGCCCCAGAATTTCACTGGCATGGTTGGAAAGGCTTCTGTGCAGACAAGTTCCCCAGGAATTCCATCTGGAACGGCAACTCCCTTGCCACGTTCGATCGCCGGATCGAATACCGAAACTGCCATGCCGAGAGCAATGCATTGTGCTCCTCCAATGTGCACAGGGAGAAGGGGGTTACCGGTGCCAAATGCTGCGGCAATGTCTGTTCCACCTGAAATGTTGCACAGTTGTACAGAAGGTGAGAAACCAGAATCGTAAAACCACTCGAATAGTGATTCTGACAATACCATACCTGTACTCGTGACCACTATTAGGTTGCTAAGATCTGTCACATGCTGAGGATTTATCGACTTTGATCTCAAGGTGTGGAGGTACCGAGGTGATATCCCCCAATGCGTCACTTTCTGTTCACCAACCAGACGAATGAAATTTTTGTCATCCACCGCAAATGGGCTGCCATCGTACATCACCAGCCTTGCACCCACCAGCATGAGCTGTACAGAACTCATGTACATCATCCAGCCTGTCGTGGTGAACTGCAGTTGTGTTGACGTTTGATCGACTCGTCGATGAAGCACGGATTCCTTATGTCCGCTGAGCACAACACCACCAGCAGAGTGTACAATACATTTAGGCAGGCCGGTGGTCCCAGACGAATACACAATGATCATTGGATCGCCAAAGTCAAGCTGTTCGAACAAAAGCTTCGTCGACCCTGCCATTGAGATAAAAGACTCCCATGTTTGGCAATCTGAGATCTCTGATATATCCGCGGGCTTATTGAGAAAGCGTGGCTGTGATATTACACCCTTGAAAGTACGGACCTTCTTCAGGTGGTTAATGACCTCTTTCATCTTGGGCCTCAAGTCGATCTTTTTCCGGTCGTAGACTGCATAATCATCCATGAAGACATACTTGGGCTCTATCTGCGCGAGACGCTCCAAAATGCCCTTTGAGCCAAGATCTGTACTCGAGCTCGAGAAAATGGCGCCGATTGTGGTGGTGGCGAGGAACACGGTCAGGGTGTCGAGGCAATTGCTCGCAACAATAGCAATCCTGTCACCTTTGCGAACGCCGTGTGCGCGAAGAGCTTGAGAAAGTCGGCCCGTTCGCTCTCGAAGTTCTTTCCAGCTAACTTGCCTAATAGGTTCAACGAAGGACCCTTCCCTAACCTCGGTACAGGCAATCTTGTGGTCTTCTTTACCTGGGCTAGTGATACCACGACCTTTGCCATCGCCCACAAACAGAACGTTCTCGGCGAAGTTCAATTTGATCCCATCAAACCATTTAGGTACCTGATCGATTCGAGCGTTTTCGTCCACGACAGGATTAGGGAGCGTGCCGGAGTACACTAGTGGGAAATAATTGAAAGTGAAATGCCAAAACTCGGAGCGGTTCTTGCAAGACCACTTGTAGAGAATATGATAGTCCTATGAATTTCGATCAGATTCAAGAGATAATCAGTGTCTGATTGGAGAGCTTGACAAACCGAAAATGACCGTCCAGTCGCGAGCTCAGCCTTCTTCATGAATTTGTACATTTCTGTTTCTTGGGGGCGGGGATGTTCCCAAAGCTTCCGAGGAATTTCCATCTCCATATTGACAATTTCAAAGGCTGTCGGCAGAATCTGAAGGGTACAATTGTGGTTTCTCGCGACGAGAGACTGATTAATAGAAGTCTCTTTGTCGAGACTATGAATATGTACTTCCCAAACCGGTTTGTGCCGAGGACATCGATGCTCGGTTTCCAACAATATCTTTGGTCGTTATTCAAGTACACTGTTAAACGGAGTCTGAATATGCCTTAAGCACGACGGCTCAGCTTTAGAATCCGCGATGCAGTGGCTTCTTTTCGAAGAACATTGTCATGTGGGTAATATTAGTGAGTGAGCGAAGGACATCGGGGCGAAATGAGCGACGGCCCGAACACTAGGAATGTACTGCAACGAAAATTAGTCGAACTCTAACTTAGCCCTGTATAATGGTAATCCTTGTAGCACACAACGATTTGCCCAGATCGAAATCACAGACTTGTCAATGGAGGAAATGATCAGTTCTTACGAGCATTGAATGAGACTCGGGCATCTTCGACTGTCACCATGGATTTGAGTAAGCTGCGCCAGTCAAGATCTACAGGGCATGGTCACGAAGTACAGAGGCATGTGGCATACGAGGTGTGAAGTGATTAGAGTGATTGAGTCCTCCTTAGATCTTATTGGAGGTTGGAAGCCCGCTCCATGCACCTGAGCTATGTCTGTCAGGACACCTAAAGAACACGAGCGGTGTCAGGGGGATTGTGACTGGAAGAAAACGCCAAGGACATTACAGCCACTGAAGTAACAGTTGATCTCTATTGCCGTTGATTATTTTGATACTTCGTATGGACATGTTCGTGGGTTTCTGCTGTACATATCTCACACCTCAACCATTTACACAGTATGTCTAAAGACGACTTCCGATCTCCTTGACGTGTTCATAACCAGTCTCTCCTCTGAATACATTCCCAGCAACCTCCAAGGGCAGTGCATCAATCAGTATAAAGAGCATTCTGTTCCAAGTCTTGGTGTTGTTCCTCCACTGGTGCATAGTACCGCGTTGAATGACCACGTCACCCCGTTGTAATGTAATTCTTTCCCCTGAATCCATAAGCATTTCCATCTCGCCTTCAATGACGACACCGTAGTCAAGACTCTGCGTGCGGTGCATTGCTGAATGAGAACCGGGTGAGCGATCTACCATCCTGAGGACTGTCCCATTCGGTAGTGATAGCGATAGTACAGTTTTCTCTTTAACGAGAGCATCGTCGTTCTTAATGTCAATGGGAAATGTACTAGTGGTCCACATAGCGTTGTATCGTACTATGTCGTTGTCAATCTTGGCCCATGTACCCTCATCCACATGGTGAATTATTCCTTTTCCTTGTGCATTGTGGCCGGTGATGACCCTCTTAGGCACTCTGTTGGTGTTTTCGGTCGCCATATTTGGAGGGAAGTCCTTGTGAAGAAATCCTTCGAATTTAATCTTTAATATCGTATTTGAAGTTGGAAGACTCGCTAGTCACTTTACTGATCTGTGCCATAGATATGAGACAACCGAGCAGCCAATGCTGTACTTATGATCTCAATCACTCAGTGGCGTATCGTAGACGTGTACTATGTGAGTGGATCGAGCACACTAACTATGTTCTACCCGACGGAGTGTGCTCTGGTGGTTTTGCACCGAATATGCGGAATACAGCTTCGGTCCGGCCGCCCTTTTGTCGAAAGCAGATCTGATCAACCGACGCAAAGAAGCGATGGTCAAATGAGTACAAGCACGCCCCGAAGCTAGCCTTGTACGAGCCGTACATGGACTTTGTTGAGGCTCTGATTGCCAGTCTGATTCACCCAGTGCCACTGTGCATACGTCAATGCTTCTTAGCTCCTGGGGCATCTTGAAACCAATTATCATGTGTCTGGAAACTAGTCTATCGAGCCTTTTCCCACATAAGCAGCATCTTATTCTTTTTCCAAGCACGACTTTCGATCAAGATCAAATATTACAGTCAAGATCAAAGACCTCATCGTACGACGAAAATGGTTGGAGAAAGCCATTTGGGTTCATTTGCAACCAGTCATACGGAACTCCTTGATCCATTTGGAAGAGTGATCCTTTGATCCAGTCGCCAGTCGCTGAGTTATGCAAGATGGGAACATTGTTAGCTTCCTCATCGAAACCCATCGCGATCGGTGCCTGCTCGGAAGGCATCCCTTGAACGAAAGAGCTTTGTTGAGGAGCTGTACTGAGACTAAGCAGTTGCGTTAGTTCATTTGGGTATGGTTCCTTCTCTAGAGCTTGCACAATATCGAATCTCGGTTTGGCATTTTGTTTAAGATGCCTGAGGGAATACTGGAGGACAGAATCGGCTAATGGTTCCGAAAGTGCACCAGTATCGCGCGCTTCATGGGCAATATGATCGAGGTCCGTTTGTTCTGTGCGATAGTTCCCCAAACTCGTTCCCGGTTCACCAGGAGGAGTACGGTATCGAGAGACCTGTGCCTCATACAACAAATTGATTCGAACCCACTGCTAGCGTCAGTAAAACACCAACCTTCAGTCTGGGGAGCAGTACTGACAAGCCTTTCTAGATTCGTCCAGTACACTTTCACTGCGGACAATACTTTGAGACTTGTGATTAAGTTGGTTTTAGCAAGCGTGGCCAGGGCGAGGTCTCTAGAAGACAAAAGTGTGATGTGTACTGACGCCGAAACATACATACAGTATCCAACGAACGAAGGAATTTGACTTGGAGGCCATTCTAGGGCAAGTAAGTTGGTGCCGATTTCAGATATCTTCTGAGCGCTGTTAAGAGCGATCCTAGCACTAAGGCTTGTGGCTTCTGTGGGTATTGCTCCAGGTAGTCGAAGGCCACCAAATTTTGGAACCAGAGATGAGTGAAGAACAAGGCGACATTGGTGATACAGAACATGAAAGAAGACGTAGACCGGTTGTTGGTTTACCACAAGTTGTTCGTAAAGATTTCGTTTCGAATACTTGAGAGTTTCATGAAGTTGCGTTGACCAGTTTGACAGTTGGCCCTCTATTTCGAACATTCGTGCTATCCATTCTGTGGCATTGGCTCGTTGAATCGAACGAATGTGAGTGCGTATATCAGCCCTAGAAATCCTTAGTTACGATGCTTAGTGTCAACAATGGCTGCATGTCCTACCAGCTCAACATAAGAGTCATTAGCTCCGCCATGATACTTGGAGCGGCCGTATCCTGTACGATTTGCGCATTTTTTCGTGATTCATACAATTCCGTCAAGGTTCTCAATGGTTGCTCAGCACCTGTGTGGAAGGCAATTTCTCCAATAGGAAGTGGGAGGTTCATCACACGCTCGCTTTGAGGTAAGCCGGTCGCAGAATGATCTGCATTGATGCACTGGGTGAACCAAACCGCCCAGAAGCATCTTCTGAACAACTCTGAGGTTTGAGGCCCGAGATTAATCTGGGAGCCTAAAGCTGGCTGATCACCGCCGGTAAAGTCTTTATGATCAATTCCGAGAGTACAAGCTGCTTTGTAGGCAATACCTTGGTAGATGATGGCTTAGCACATGGATTATCGTGGATCTGATATGGTAATCGTTTTTACCTGAGAACATTGTGTTTCGCTGAGACTCTCCAGCGGAAAACCAGTACAAGGTTAGAACCTCACAAGTTTGCACTTTGTCAAAGGAGGGCTGGTCGATCTCTTGTAATACTAATTTACCAGCCTGAAGAGCCCAATTCCTTCCAAGGGTCTTGAGGTCTCCTAGATGTCGCAGGATTTGTCGATGTTGTTCCACGAGAGGCGAGGGAACCGACAGGAATCTGCGGAGCTGTTAGCGACCGTTGTTGGCCACAACCAAGCGTAAGCGCATACATTGTTGCTGTTGCATATATTGATAAGACTACATGATGAGGCAATTGTTTCTTTTGAAAAGCGTCACAGAAGGACGGTCGATGAAAGATCAAGGTCGAATTGAACATGCACGTGAAATACGTATTTTGGAGCAGCTCATGGGCCGCATCAGACAGCCGAATTCCAAATGGATCATAGCTTTCATTGCAAGTGTTGTCTGCAGTCGCCCTGGAGAGCTGTGGCGAGCTTCCTGTGCAAGAGCTCTCGTGCCCATCAGATGTGGGTGTCTCGATGTTCTTCTCACTTAGCTTGCGTTTCCGAGGATTGGCACGAAATGCCGCCAGTGTTTTTCGATCAGGTGGGGGTGGATAGTCGCAAACACCGTTGAGCCTCAAACATCTTGCACAGATGGGGAGCTCTCGCGAACATCTCAACTGAGTTAGTTAGAGCTACGTTCAGACGCATTCTCGTGGCTGTGGTTGAGAATCCGCTCACCTTCTGTTGCCGACACCGGCGACATGCAGTCTGTCCGACCTCGGCCATTTTTGAGTATCTCTAGAATCGAAAATCACGCTCAAGTCGACGATATCAATGCTTGCACATTAACTTCATGATCCGAATCTGATTGAGCCTCGCTTCGGTAATGTAATTGGGACTTGAAGTTGCCCAGGGTATTCGACCGATTTGGTGCTTCAAGTTTCAACCAGAGCAGTCTGAGTTAACGGCTGATGCTTTCGAGAGTCACTTCAGGCGCTGGCTGGTGATGCTACTGGGGTTTAGCATTGGCCACCTACGTAACACCTACCTAGGGAGACACCTAATTAACCTGCGCATGGAGTACCGAGTACTCCGCACTGAGTTGCTTTCTGCTACGAGCTTGGGCTGCGGGGTTGCAGAGTCCCCTTCGTCCCTGGCTCGATAATGAGCTTGGTGGGGAGAATGGCTTCCTGTGTCCTCAAACGGGCTGTGAACAGTTCGGGCCGTTCACAATTCGGGTTCGGCATCATCTCCCTCTGCATCCAAACTTTCTTCCAATATGTTATTGGGAAATCTTTGACCAGCTGTGCAGATTGTTATCCAAAAGCGCTCGCTCAACAGTGTTCTAGACTGACGACTGCTTCCGCAAAAGCAAACTAGCCCCTTACATCCAAGCCTCATCAACTGTGATTTGACAACTCCACAAAGGCCAAGTCACAGTACCAGAAGTAGGGGATTTAGCACTTGCTGAAGAGCTATTCTTGCTCCTAGGAGTCGATTTGCGAAGTTGACGGCTATACCTCCTCCCGAAGGTTGGAAGTTATATATTCTGATCAAATCCGTCAATCCGTTCTTCTTCTGTGACCACCTCTTTCATCATTTGAGAACAAAGTTAGAACTTACCCTTCAACATGTCTGTCAACAACGAGAAGATGATTGAGGAAACTCACAAGGAAACACACATTGAAGAGATTAAGCCTCGAGTTGATTACTCCGGCTCTCACGCAAAGACAGATGCTGCTGAAATCAAGCTTGTTCGTAAGCTTGACATCTGGATCCTGCCCATTCTTTGGCTTATGTATTGGCTGAATTTTCTTGATCGCAATGCTATCACTATTGCAAGGCTTGATGGTCTTGAAAAGGAGTTGAAAATCACTGGAGTTCAGTATCAGACTTGTATTTCGCTCTTGTTTGTTGGATATATCCTAGGTCAAGTTCCCGCAAGTAAGTGCACTCCATGCCTGTGGTGGGGATCCCAAGAACAAGTCTAACAACGTCTAGACATGCTCATAACCAGACTCCGGCCTTCATTGTTCATGTGTTTCTGGATGGGGGCCTGGGCCGTGGTGAGCACGCTGACCGCGATTACCCATAATTTCACAGGACTACTCCTGTGTCGATTCTTTCTCGGTGTGACCGAGGCTCCATTTTGGCCTGGGTGTCTATATTTGCTCAATGTTCGTTTTCTCTTCTTACTTTAGTGAAAACTCCTGTATACTTGTCTTTGTTCTTTTCACGAGTCGGAACTAATGCTTAGCTGTCCTAGATATTCTACACCAGAAAAGAAGTGGCAACACGAGTTGCTATCCTTTTCTCTGCGAACATTTGCGGAACAGCCTTCGCCGGACTTATTGCTATTGGCATTTTCAAAATGAGCGGCATAGCCGACCTGAGCGGTTGGAGATGGATGTTCATTCTACAAGGCCTCGTTACCTTTGTTGTGGCCATTCTGGGTTGCTTCATTCTTCCTGATGAACCTCACAACACCCGCTGGCTTTCGGAAGATGAACGAAAACTCGCCCATGACAGAGTTGCTAGAGAGACTGTGGAAAGGTATGATGGAACGACGACTTGGGCTGGCCTTGTGGATTGCTGCAAGGACAAAAAGTTGTGGCTTTTCCTCGCTTACGGCCACGTGACTTTCGCGGCATCAAATTTCAAAAACTTCTTTCCCACCATTGTTGCAACCTTGGGGTACAACCGTACCATCACTCTAGCACTGACCTGCCCTCCGTACTTGCTGGCTGCTGTTGCATCTGTAGCGTGGTCCTGGAATTCTGGTAAGCATTGCGTGATTCCTCCCCTTTTTCTTGTACTGTTTTTTTTTGACGTGCTGAATTGTTGTAGGGCGTATGAATGAGAGATGCTGGCATATTACCATTGCTAAGCTTATCGGTGTTGTCGGTTTCGTCATGGCTGCGGCGACCTTGAACACTGCTGCACGTTATGTTGCCATCTGCCTCTTCTGCTGTGGTCTTTACATGCAAGCCGGAATTGGTCCTGGCTGGGTTGGAGCCACCTTTGGACAAACAAAGGAAAAAAGAGCTGTTGCCCTTGCAATGTCAAATACGGTCAACACAATCGCCCCGATATACACCTCCGTCAGTCTTTCAATATCTGTGTTGGTGGTCTTCATTCTGACTTTTCTTCAGTATCTGTGGATCCCATCCGACGCACCTCGCTACGATATTCCCATGGCAGCTAGTGCTGCCTTCTCCGTGTTGGCAATTGCAATGACATGGGCTATACGATATGCTCTTGTAAGGGAAAATCGGAAAATCAAACAATCGAATTCTGAAGCGACCATATTTCATGTGTATTAAGGGGCGGGTTAGCTCTACTGTTCAAAGGGCCATTACACGTGGACTCACTACTCACGAGATGTCAAGTGATTATGAATGCAAGTAACAGGCTATTTGTAACTGAGTCGACTGCTGCAATATAGAGTCTCAGTTAATCGACGTATAGCGATACAATGCCTATATTCTTTTCTGATTGCCCTCAAAAATACTTGATATAGATGTCACGCCTAGTGATATGGGATATGATTGAAAGCAGAGTACCTGTTGGGCCTGCTTTACATGGCTTCGTTCTCTCTAAGATTCTAGCAATATATTACTTCCAATCACTGGCTGGGGCACATGGCGCTTCAAAACATTGATTGTACTTATGAATTATGTTTGCAATCATTTGTACACCCGGGAGCCGTTTAGAAATTAGGTTCTGGTGCTCAATTATCCATGGTACACACCAAGAGAAGAACTTACCCTGCTGAGTGTCTTGATGCCCCAGTTGACACAGGCCCGAATGCGGGGTCCCCGGACCTTCAAAATCGTATGGCTCCACCCCGTCGGCCCGAACAATCAAACTGATCAGTTGGCCGATTCGGGTTGACTGCTGCCCTCAACCTCGGGACTATCAAATTGATCACCAGATTATGCATTGGCTAGGCCTTGCAATTGTCACCAGTTTCATGAACTTAAATGAGCCACGGAAGGCCAGGAAAGCAAGACAAGTGGAAGCTGAATCAGTAATACTTCAAACAATCCATATCGATCAGCATTCATCGCTAAGACAAAATACAACTTCCAAGTCATTATGCCAGACGTGATAGAGCTTGGCAAGGCGAATGTCTTCAGCGCTGGACGTAGCTCGACCAAATATTTTAAAGATGGCTATTTTGACTACAACTTCTCCAAGTTCTTGGGGCTTGCAACCTATTCCGGTGCTGAAATAGCCGAGTGCTTCGAGACAGCGGCGAGAATCAGGGATGGTGACACTGAAAGCTGGATAGAAGCATGGCTATCTACTGCGCGCCGTGTGGAAGCATACGCCGAGAATGCAATCAAGGGAGGTCACAAAGTCAGCGCCAAGGAAGCCTGGCTACGTGCAACCACATACTATCAAGCAGCGCTCTTCTTCACGCTGGACACGGATCCACGAAAAGACGAGATCTACCAGAAGCACACAGGATGTTTTCAGTCAGCTGGCAAGCTTTTTGAGCCGCCCTTGGAAGTTCTTTCCATTCCATATGAAGGAAAATCTTTGTTTGGCTATTTCTTACGCGTCGACGATAAGCCTCGGCCCACTGTGCTTATCCAAATGGGTGCAGACGGTAGTTCTGAGCAAATATACTTTTCTGGAGGCGGTGCTGCTGCTCTACGCCGAGGGTACAATGCTCTCATCTTTGAAGGACCAGGACAGACAGGAACCTTCATGCGGGATCGGTCTGTGACATATCGCTCTGACTGGGAGGTTCCCGTGAGAGCGGTAGTCGATTTTGCGCTTACAAAGAAAGAGATCGACCCTGAGAAGATAGCTCTTATAGCGTACAGCTTGGGAGGCTACTTCGGACCACGTGCTGTGGCGTTTGAGAAGCGCATAGCTGCCTGCATCTGTAGTGGCTTGGTCCCTGACGCAGCACAGTTGGCTGGATCCCGGACTATTGCTCTGCAGAAAATGAAAGAGACTGGCAACACAGACTACAATCACTCCCAGAAGTACGTTTTATTTGAGCACATGCCAAAGTATGGTTTCAATAACGGCATTGAAGACTTCGATGAGTTTGTCGCATTCTGGCAGAAGTTGAATCTGTACGGGCTTGAAGACAAAATAACTTGTCCTTTACTTGTCGTTCAAGCGGCCGCCGAGGGAGAGCACCAGACAAAACTCGCCAAGGATTTCTTCGATAAATTGCCTAACCCACAGAACAAGTTTAGATTGACCACTGAAGACGATGCTGCGGAAATGCATTGCCAGAAAGGAAACGCAATGCTGTTGCATGCCATTGAGTTTGACTGGCTAGATGATATCCTGGGATTGACTCACGGTGCCACCAATGGAGTCGCTTGATCGAGGAGGCAAGCAAAATGCTGCTTCGTTTGACCTTCGTCCTAGCCTTTCCAATGGTCATGCTACTAGAAGTTATAAGTATGATACAGCATATGAAATTTCACCTCCGTCATAAATTCATGATTTGAATCATGATGCAGAGTCATATTCGGGCATATTTACACCTCCAGCTTTGAGCCTTTCCATCGCTGCCTTTGCTCTCGTATCACTTAGATCAATATCTTCCGGAACATGGCTATGCCATTCAATCAGCAAGTAATCCATGACTAGTGACACACCCATCTCGGCCATATGTGGGACGATCTCGTACTCAGCACCCTCGATGTCCATCTTGACAACTACAAAGTCACGGGGAAGAGTGTTCATCAGCAGCCACCGTGAGATGTTTATGGAAGTGAGCTCAGTGCCATTGCTTTTCGAGCCGATTGCATCCGGGTGGTTAGCGTAGATCGAAGAGCCCCAGAAATCGTTGGCGTCATTAATTGTGTCGAGGAAAAATGTCCTCGTGCCGTCTCGAATGTCGACCACTGTTGATGGGAAAATATTGATATTCATTCCTATGGCACTGTACCGCTCCTTGGCTTTGACTAGGGCACGATTGAAATGTGGGTTTGCTTCGAAGAGGTATATATCTGGAAGACGACTCTGTTAGTCGATTGATCTCTTTTGCTACCTTACCTAGAGAAGATCTTGTTGCCTGATTTGAGAGACTTACCAGCCTGCTCGTATGTTGCCCATTCGGGCCGTGGAAAGTCGTAGGAGTACTTGGCACCATCATGACCGAGAAACACTTCAAGTGAATCTGCAGCGTTGGCTCCGAGGTCGACAAATATGTAACGAGGCTTGACACCGCTCTGGTCAGAGCCACTAGAGACTGAAACTTTGCGTGGAGTAGGAAGCAACACATAATGGTGGTTGGAAGCCAGAAGTATTATACCAACAAGTATAAGAACGAGCGAGCAGATCATAGTCTTGTGAGTAGCCATGACTGCGACCTATTTACGAACTGGAAAGAATGAACCTTCCAGTTGCGGGCATGAGCTGGAGGACGTGGGATGGCTCTCACATTTAATGATCAGGGTTGATTGTCCAGAAGGACCGTGCGCTATCAGCATGGCACGGAAGCGAGTGGATTCTCAGCCTCACGAACCGAGAGGCCAGAAACTTCCCACGCAGGTGGTTTTGGGTCTGTGCCCTGCGAACTAGTGAACCGGAAAGCGGGAACAACAAGTCGTGGCCGTCTTGGAGGGCGAGAAGTTGAAGTCACAAGATGTCAAGGTTCGCTCCTGCGACGTCGCTCTGACAAGGGCTAAAAGGCTCATGTGCATTCCATCATTGCAGCTACCTTCTCACCTCATAGCCTTTTTTGAAACCACCCGAACCATTTGCAGTTTCAACAGGAGCACATATGGGCCGAATGGAGTTCTATACTTACAATTTCTTGTTTTTCTTGTTTGTGAATGGAGCGCTTTCTTATACTCAGTTGACCAAAACCCCAGGAATTTGGGCCAAATGGAGGGGCTATGTGCCTCTCAAGAAGGTGGAAGCACACCAAGCATCAAACACTACATTTCTGGACTTTCAGAAGAAATTTCTGCTGGTTTATCTTCTAGTGTTTGCTGCAGACTGGCTTCAGGTATAGTTTCGGAACGATGCTATCATGTTCACAGTATCTAACTCCATTCAGGGTCCCTATATATACACTCTTTATAAAGGTACAGCCAGGCCCAATGAACTAGTGTATGAGTAAGGACTCAAGTTGCCTAGATGAAAAAGGTCTTTCTGAGACTACTGTGGCACATCTGTTCACCACCGGTAGGTTGGGGCTTTTCTACCTGTGAGACTGAGGTACAGGAGAGCTTATTTCTGCAGGCTTTCTCGCAGGAGCCATCTCTGCCACATTTGTCGGCTCACTAGCTGACCGCTATGGCCGACGACTCGCATGTCAGGCCTTCTGCATATTGTATTCGGCATGCTGCATGAGCATCTTATTCGACAACATCTTCATCCTATTTCTAGGCCGTGTCCTTGGAGGAGTGTCAACCACACTCCTATATAGCGTCTTCGAGTCCTGGTTGGTCACGGAATACCATCGTCAGCACCTTGATGAGGCAGGTGGCTCCCTGAAAGATATTTTTGGTTTGATGACGACTCTGAACTCTGTGGTTGCAATTGTCGCTGGACTAGTCTCTCAAGGGGTAGCTGATCTTGCAGGAACGCAAAAAGCCCCGTTTATGACGGCGGTAGGATGCCTAGTGCTGGCTTCATTGGCTATTTCACACTCTTGGGTATCTTCCACATACATTGCATATTGACGAGGCGTGATGTCCTGACTTTGGTGTAGGAAGAAAACTACGGTCACATTGCAGACCTCGATAAGGAACCAAGCCAACCGGAACATGCAGATATGAGCGGTTTGAAAGCTATGAAGAGTGGTGAGAATTTCTCGCTTAGAGTCAGCGGAATATATGCTAACAGCTTCCGTCCTCAGACAAGCGTTTGTGGGCTTTGACAATTGCCTCTTGCTTCTTCGAAGGGTCATTGTTTCTGTGGATATTCTTCAAGTTTCCCGCGTTGAGGCTCTCCCATCAATTAGCTGGCAAGGGCTCTGATTTACCATTCGGCATGATATTCGCAGATCTAATGTGTGCGATGATGCTTGGTTCTCGCTTTTTCATGTGGTACTCCGCTCAGCCACTCGGAAAATGGATCGTGTCATCTGCGGAAATGCTCGCCATTACCCAACTGGTAGCGTCCTGTTGTTTCATCATACCGACACTTGTGCGAAACGAAGCAGTCACATTCTGGTGTTTCTGTGTCTTTGAAATGTGTTGCGGTGTCTACTTCCCTACGATGGGCAATCTGAAGGAGAAGATTGTCGATGACGAGGTCAGGGCCAAGATATATGGTGTTTTGAGGTTGCCCCTGAATCTATTTGTTGTGGTTGGATTGGGTTTGACTCAGGACGGTTAGTAGTCGACTGACTTGCTTAAAGCATCGCTGACAAAACTACTAGGTGAAAGACACCGGGACAGTATGTTTATCATTTGCAGTATTGCCTTAGCAGTAGCTGGCGGCACAGTGAGACTGCTTTTAGGTGGTAGATAGGCCGACTGAACTCATGATTATCTGGACTTGATGCTCAATGTCGCGGTCGACCATCATGCTGCCGTGATGTCCACCTCCGTTCCTTTGCTAGCAGGCCGGCGTAGATCAATAGTGGACTTCTTGTCAGTGATTGACTCTCAACGGTTGGGACGGCATCAATGAGATGGTCTGTGCATCAGAAGTCAGCTTGCCACGCCACGACCCTCACGTTCAACGTGCGTGGATCCTGCGGAGAGCCAGTACATTTAGAAATGAGCATTTATCGACCAATAGAAACTGTTACTTTGGAGAAGAGCTGGAAGCTTCTTGGGCCGTTCACACCAGCAGAAAGAGCTAAACAAACGCTTGGACCATTCTGAGAGAACGGTAGGATGGTCTCCGGCGTGGGCATGCCTTCGACTTGGCATGTGAATCGAGTGGCAAGGTGGTTCATAGTCCGTGCTATGAATTCGAAGATCCAGACACACGTGGACCATGAACCACCTTGCTGGAACACATTCGTAGAGGTGTGAACCACCGCCAATTATACTCCTCCGTGATGGTTAGTTAGGCCGCGGGGAGCTGTATCCGCGAAAAAGCACAAGACAATACGGGGCATACCACACACTTGGCTACGCTCAGTAGCACCGACGCTGGCGTCCGGTTCCATCCTTCTGGATGGCAGACAGATTGGATATTGGCCTGATAGGCTTCGGAGGCTGATCAAAGTGATGGCTCCATCCCCTTGAACCATCTGGGCATCTGCGCTCGTGGGGTGGCAACTTTGGGGTAGAATCATGGAGGGTACTTGTCCCTGCATTCTCAATGCCCTCCTAGCACCTCATCGATATTGCCAAATGGTAATGTTCTTCAGCACCATTTACTAGGACCACCACTATTAAGCTCCAAGACATTACTGGCGCCAGATATGGATGGGGCCCGCCCTTTCACGAAATGGGTAAAGTCAAACTGCGAGCTCCAAGATTCCGTAATAAGTAGTCGTTTCATAAATCGCGTAGAGTCTCTCTATAAAGCTTGAACATTCTATACTCATGAAACTATGAGGGTTATAGAACATCTCTAGAGATGAACACGTCAATGTCCTCTCTACATACGGATAGTGATAGATAAAATAATTATGTATCTTTAGAGTTAAAAACGAGCGTTGATAGACTGTTACAACATTGCCACCCCATTCGCCGAGACTGTATATTCTTGCTCAGACCAGAACATTACCCAGCTATTGATAGCCTACTGGCGATCTCGGAGATGTCAAGATTCAAACCCCAGCTACTACAATAGTAAACAACAATTCTACCTCTTCTTCTCCTTGCAACCCAGACCTGGGATCCATGCGTGCAGATTCCTCTGCCCATATGGCGCGTCCAGGCTTCCGGAGTCGTTTCTGCCCAAACGACTCCGGTAGATTTCCATTCGTTTCTTCAACCCAACTGCTGTTCCAAGTGATGGATGTCATGTCCAATGCATATCCTCCAGTGTGCGTCATCAAAATCTCTTTTGCTCTGTCGTATTTCAATTCTGATTTCACGGAAGCCGTCTTAACTCTATTTCTTTTGAAATAGCAGAGCCCCAAATCAGCAATTGCAAACGACCGATCTTGCCATCCAATTTTCAAGTATCTCCGACCCTGGCTTTGAATACACAGCTGACAACATCTTCATCCCTGAACCGAGTGGATCAGCAAAAACGCCGTAGTTATTCTGGCGAAACTCTTCTTGAGCCTACCAAGCAACCTGTTGCGTCGATGGGATATAGCCGATGCTACAAGTGGCTGGACTGTTGTCGTATGAAAGTGGAGACGAAGAAGCGAAGGCGCTTTCAGACTTGGTACGAAGGAACTCGAATCAATCTTTCCCATAATAGATCAAGAGACCATGCACACTACGTCTAGAATTGTGCATGCTGAACGCATTTCTTCTCTTCGACCATTTGTCGTTCTCGATGCCTTCCTTTGTCGTACGATTCTCAGAAGTTGCGGGTTCATGGAGACCTACTTGAGGTCCGAGACTGGCCATTATCCCATCACCAAAGTCCTGCTTCTTGCCGATATCAAGCTGTGTTCTTGCGTCGATGTCATCAATTTGTTGTAGTTCATGGAGGCAAGGTCCCAAGAAAGCCGACTATTTCGCGATTAATACTGCGTACCCCAGCATAGGCCATGCAACTCACTATGTCCTCTGGATTTGAAAGCCCCTTCGGCTCTGCCACTGACGACTCGGTTTCGTCTCCTCCATCGGCTTGTTGGTGAAGCATAACTGGATTTTGGGAATGGAGTGGTGTAGGCGATGCAAGGCTTTGTGTTTGCTGGTCAGGGTATAGAATTTGAACCGGGAAGTCGTGATGATGGTGGAACAAGCTAGAATGGCCTGACATTGCTAAGGAAGGAAAGTCTGCTCTTTGAAAGGTGAACTGTCTCTGATCAGGCGGTATCAAGGACGTTGGCGGTCCTTGACTAGAACCTTGAGATTAGTACCTCTTAAACTCCCTAATTCCGGTTGTGGTGAGCCTTACGTGGTCCCAATACCGGCGGCGTTTGTCAAACTCTCGGCAGGTGAGAGAACGGCTTTACCCAGTGCTTGTGCTTCCAGCACCGACTCCGGAAAGTCACACTCTATGTGAGAGGGCGTTGCTACAGATATCTCTAGTCAGACAAGCTCTCTCCTGTTAACGTGAGTTGCGAGTTCTGAAAGTCACTAGACGCAGACTCGGATGCCGGATTCCAAGCGGGGTTTCTACTGATGAAGCGATGTATATCTTCTGGGGCTACCTCATTACCTCGCCACCTTATAGTGGAGAGCTTGCCTTCGGAATTTCTCTGGATGTATTTCCTGGCAACAACTTTCATATCCTTAGCTGGTTTGTTTTTCTCTATCCCCCAGGTCTTGAGGATTTGGGTGTATTGACGTCGACTTCCGGAGTTGACCGTATGTTAGTGGATCAAGTTCCACTGCCGACACAGAGAACGGTTGCACAGCGGAAACTACGTACCTAGCCTTAAACCCCGTTGTTTCCATGGTCTGCATGACTTGTTTGAGTCCATTGATCTTGTATAATTTTGTTATAACGGTACGGTGCTTCTCAAAGTCCTGGCGTGTCACCTTCACAGCTTCAGGATCATATTGAATAAGTGACAGAGACATCTTGGCAAGGCTGAGCGGCAGTAGTAAGGTTGCTTGAGCGGGCTGGGGCCAGTATCACGAGCCGCATATGAGATTTTGTTGATCAAAATCACTCGCCTGAATTGGTACACATCAGAAGCATGATAAATAGAAATCGACAGAGGAAATTGTAATCGGAAGAAGATGCGTGCTTTCTTTAAAAGTTGATAACGACTAGGCGTACATCATGCTCAATGGGGTTAGACTGGAGGAATACGGGTTGGACGCGAGGAAAAGTCCAAAAGTCCTGAAACGATCAAGCTTGCGACACCTGATCCCAACAACCGATTGGGCGGCAGAGGCCAGTGAATCTGCCTAGCGGTGAACGAAGTCCAAATTTCCTGTTTGGGAATCCCTACCTGTTACTCGTAAACAGCCTGCGCCAGACAGCATCAAACTAAGTATTGACAGGCCCAGAATCTTATTTTCGGTAATCGAATGATGCTGTGTCCCGGATGAAAGAAATACAAAAATCCAGATCTCCCTTTTCGCATATTTGGACTTTTGGTGTGGATATATCACCGCGTTTCAGGCCACAAGGTGGTTAGGCTCGTCATGGGCAGAGACATCGATTTTTCACCCACCAGTATTTCTGTCTGTGCCTGTGGCAGAGGCAAAGGAAAAATGCCAGATCTCCTTTCTTGGATATCTGGACTTTTGCGGTGGATATGTCGCTAGGCCTCACCTTGCAAGTGATACGGAATCCGAGAGCCAGGGGCAAGGCTGTACGTATTTATCACCACCAGCACCTCTCCGCCTTAGCAAATTCTTGAAAACAAAACCTTGCCAGTGTTCAGTATCCAGCCACTCGATTCCGTCTCCCAGCGCTTCTTCGCTGTCGGTCGCTAAACATTATGACGATATCCAAGGATCTCATCGCCAACATCATCATTGGCATCATCACGACACTGATCGGCATTGCCACCATCTGGGTGGTAAAATGGCAGACCTATGTTCTGCTTGATTGTCAACGTAAGTAACCGCTTTAGGCCCTTCGCGAGCCCTGGCCCCAGGACAGATCAAGCCAAGGCTGACCAACGGAACTGGATCACAGCTGACGACGAAGAAAAACTCATCCGCCTTCTGGAACGACGAACGACCTCAGATTCGGGGGACCCTGGTGTTGTTGAATCTCAACAGTCAGTAACACCTGTCCTGCCCGGTGGGATGCGGGCCCAGCCTCCAGGAGGTTGTGCCGATTGCACGAGTACGGAGTGTGCTCAGTGCAGAGCAAGTCAACAATGTCTGAGCAGTGGGGCGAGTTGACGCGAAAAGTAGCTATGGTAATTGAAAGAGCGGTGCTTGTGGTTGAACTTGCCAGCATCTCCACATTGGGCCACGCTGTACGGAATCAAGGTGATGACCATTGTTGTTGAGGAGGAGATCAGCTTGAACGTTTCATTCACGTGGAGGCAGCGTTAGAGTCTCGGGAGTATTAAAGAAGGCTGCATACCTAAATCCACTCAGCTTTTGCCAGGTCAATGATATTGTGATATGGAATCATTTCTAAAAGTACCCATTGCCAGGGTCCCCAGCCTCCTAAACCGCGCAGCCTCATTTCCCCATGAAGTGAAAAGCACCAATATTTCACAAGTTTTACTGCAGTGACTCTCGGAATCGTATTGTGATCTGCCCAAAAGAGGGCTTCTAGAGGATAAACATTTCTTCATTGATAAGCATAGTAGTGGTTTCCTATATGAGATAACTGGCTGGCGCAGTCTTGGCTGTCCCTGTGATCTCCTATCACCACAACCCCACGAAGGCGATCAAAATGCCAACAACGAGTAACAAGGCACTACACCTAACGCTCGAGGCAGCACCCTGATCACCACCTTGGCCCTCTTCATACCCAGCTGCCTGACCACCCATATACTCAGCGCCCAGACTGGTCAGGTGCCCATTGCTATTGAGCATGCTAACACCATCGCCAGTCCACTCATTCGCGCGATTCTCGCGGAATGTGCCGAACCACGAATATCGGTCCAGATACTCCAGCTCGTCGAGAAACGGCAAACTCTGGTTCATAAACGCCTGCGTCGCATCGGCGTCCATCGCCGGGATGGCGAACTCCGTCAACCAAATCGGCAGCTCGGGATACAGGTCGTGGACGGAGCCGAGCCACGAGGCCAGGCCGGCGAAGTCGCCGTACCAGTGCGTGGCGACGAAGTCGAATTGACAGCCGCCGTCGGGGTTCTGGTCCCAGCACGATTCGTTGAAGTCGTGTAGCCACTCAAGGCCCTTGGGGGAGCCGGTCGTCGCGGGCACCGAGATTTGGAAATTATAGGGGTCTTCGCGCAGTGGAGCGATGGTCTCAAGGTAGACTTGGGCTGAGTGGCGCGGCGAGGAGTCGCTGCCGCCGCTGTCAGTGTCGCCGTCTGGTTCGTTGAATGTCAGAATGTGGTTCATGGTATTCTGGCCTAGTGTGCCAGTGCCGTTGTGGAAGGACAGGATCCGGTCAACGCCCTCGGTGGCGTCGTCGACCCCGTGGATCATCGGGACGAATTCCGCATCCCATTGCGTTAGTGTTGGCCATGGTGAGTATGTGTAGTACCATGTAAGAGGGGATTTGGGACCCACGAAGTTGTTGTAGTCTTTGTCTTGTCCTTTGCCTGGCTGGATGTATATTAGACCTCGTTTGGGGTGTGTTGAGTTGGAGTCTTGGGCGGACGTTGTTGATAATATGCCGATTAATGACACCAATAGTGCCATTGGTAGAACAGGAGTCGACTTCATTTTGACGGTGGATCTGCAAGGCCGCTGAATATCAAGTGTGTCGTGCAACTCTGTCCCTTCTATATTGAACTCGGTCGAGTATTTGCCGTTAATGTATATGTTGGTATAATATAGCTGATGGATATGATATGTATATACAGTCGCTTGCCAGAACGCAACAGGGGTATCACAGACAATCAAATCAATAAAGTCAGCATCAAATCATTATACAATACTTGGAATATGAACAAGAGAAGTATTGCTAGGATGTCGAGATGGGATGCTAGATATATCAAGGATCCCGGGCTGTGATGAACTTGGTCAGCCAGGCAGAAACTAAGGACTGTTAGCCGACTTGGTCGACATCATCGATATAGGGCAGACTGCTCTCCGCCTGTCATGTCATAGATCTTGGTATTGGGCGGCTCCCACCTGCATTGAACGACCGTTGCCGAGCACATCAGCCACCCGATGCTACGTGGCTGTTATTCGGCGAGCTTTACCATGCATGGAGGAGATCATATGGTGCTAGTGATCAAGCGAGATGAAACAGACCTACCGGTGTGATATGGCTGGAGGGTTTGATAGCTTTTACTTGATCTTGGGCTAGAATTCCGACGTGGGAAAATGATGACGATGACGTCAACGGCTACGTTGTGGGGGTTTGATAAGATAACGGCCAAGTTTTTCGTCGCGACCACTGCACAAGAACTAATGTGAACAACGTCGCGATCGACACACAACTCAACACCGCCACAGCCACGTTGTGCGACAAGGGATCCAGATAGATGCCCTAGCTCTCGGGTACCTGGTCTGGGATCTTGCTTAAGGGGTTGAAAACAAGGTATTTGCTGGCTTAATTTTCGAAGCGGAATAGCTTGATATCTAGCACTGGCCGGCGGGCGAGACCACAAATGTCTGCACTTGCTGTTTCCCCCTCTCTCTAATGCCCTGGCGCTAATTATTCACTTTGCCTTGCTCCATACGACTATCAGCGATAGCTCCCTACCGTAACGATGCACTCCGAGCTTAGAAGCAGAAAACTTGATCTTCCAGTTTGCTCACAGGTCGGGCTTTCTGGAAACCTAAGCCTTCGGTTGCCTTTTTCAGAGCACTAACCATAGGTGGTGGACCGCAGATGAAGATTTTGGTGTCTGATGCCGGTGGTGGCAGCTTGGATTTGATCATATCTGGAGTGACAAACCCAACACCACCGTCCCATTTCTCAGGTGGATTATTGAGGACATAGTATACGTTGAAATCGGGATCGATCTTGGCTAGGTTATCAATTTCCTCTTTCAGAAGAATATCATCAGGGTTGACATTGGCGAAGATCAGGTCAACCTTGGTTGTGTCGTTGCCTCCATTTCTGGGTCTTCCACGCTCGATGGCTCGAGCGATTTGCAGCATGGGTGTAATGCCCGTTCCGCCAGCGATCATACCGATTCGCTTAGCAAGATTTGGGTTGTACACCATGGCTCCTTTGGGACCTCTGACTTTGATGGTGTCTCCCACCTTCAATGTGGTCATATGAGCGCTGATGTTGCCTTGTGGGTATGCCTTGATCATGACATCAACAAAGCCCTGGTCTTCATCCGATGAGATAGGTGTGTATGAACGCACGACCTCCTTTTCTGCTCCTTTTGGGGTTGCTGCAAGAGAGATATGCTGGCCGATGGGAAGACCGAGGATGTCAGTGGGGTTCGGTAGGCCGAGACGATAGATTGCGACATTGTGGGAGGTCTTTGTGATTTTGGTGACTGGGAAGTCTTGAAACTGGTCGGGAATCAAGACCTTTCTCGGTTTGGCTGGGAGTAAAGTTGTCAGTTTGAGGGATCATGCTGGTCGATGGGATCTCAACCAACCTGGACCGCTTGCGAAGACCTTGTATCCACCGACGATGGCTGCGAAAGCTGCGGCGTAAGGAAGCCACTCTGTCTTTACAATAGCCACACCAACTAGTAGAAGTGCTGAAGGGATGTAGACCCCATTGATATTCCGGGACGACAGAGCAGAACTATCGACATGTTAGTCGTTGAGTTTTGGAGAAGGATTTGTTGAGTGTTGGCCGACCTCATGTTGTCGACTCTCCTGGGGTTTCTCGTTGGCAAGACTACTAGATACTGCCACGTAAGAGCGATCACCTCAGGTGTACAAAAGCACACGAAAGCTGTGTGGTGTTTGAAGAAGAAGTGGCGGTGTTATGAGTTTTAGAAATTGATGGAATTGGGGAACGTGCCCGGAGACAAAAAGGGCAACCTCGACTGAGACTGCGATTTCGTGCGGAGCGGGAGCGGTGATGATCTTGGGAAGGAGCGATGAGCAATATCGACAGGGTCAAGAACGTGGGGCTCAGGAACACACAACAAAATTCTTAGCAGTCGGACGGAGTACTCCTCACCACAGAACAACCACCCTGTATCTCTGCCTGGTCTCTTCTTTGCCTATTTCAACCTTTTGTATTCTATTTCACTCCATCAGGTGAGAAAGTGCGGGGCATATTCCGATCTACGGAAGTCTTCACGGCAACAATTGTACCTCTTCGGGTGAGTTCGCCGCCTACACTCCCGCAGGCATTCGTCTTTCTGACTCCAATTCGGGGCAAGCTCTCCGGGGTTGTGGAATATTTTGGGACAAGACTTTTTATTCGTCAAATTGACGTGTTTACTCCTTGTGGCGATCCCACGGAATTCGGCCGTTCGTCGATGGCAGACATGACCACGGCCCTCGGTTGGACTGAAGATGAACTGCCTTTTCCATTAACTGCCATTGATCGAGCTCAATTAAAATTGACCGACGAGGAATATGAGCCGCATACGTGGGAACAACTTAAGCAGATCGTTGGTTTGTTGGTTCGACTCATTCATGTGATCCCTCTCTAACGGAAGTAGCTGAGCATAACCTCAGTGTACTCACGAGGTGGCCATCAGATCTGAAACGATATATTAGATGGTCAATCGACACCAGGGCTACGTATGGCAGCGTCCCCGATTTCGTGAGGATCGAGCGTCTCAAGTGGGATGTTCTGCCTACCTCTGCCGGAAGTCTGGGGCCTCAATTTGCTGGTCAAAACCCCGTTCCATTTGCAGATGCTCGAGATTACAAGATTTTGATCAACGACTGGCCGTATGGGTACGAACCTGGCATTAAGCACATCATTGTCTGGCTGAAAACTCGTTTGGAGACAGAGCCAACGAAAGGTGACATGACACCCAAGTCGAGACAGCAGGTCGAGGAATTCATCCAAAAAACGTTCGTTGATCGGATCCAAGGCCTGCCAGGGAATGAGGACAAAGTAATGTGGTTCAAGAACTGGACTGCATTACAATCAGTCCCCGGTATAGAGCATGTCCATGTCTTCGTCCGATCCGTACCTGACGCCATCATTAAGGAATGGACAAGTGCAGATGAGCCTATGAACAATTAGAGTTTGCAAAATAATTGTCAAACTGTGCACTGAAGATTAGCTCGAGGATCATGCAGACATTGAGACGACATAGAGATTGGCGTCTGGAAAGATCCGAATTTATAGATTCGCCCGCGTACGCAAATCGTTCCAAATCGTGTCGAAGCTCTGGAAAACGGCAGTCACGCCTTTCAGTGTACCTTCATCAATCTCCAGGCTGCCATAGCGCTGCTGAATCTTGTCCGGATGCCATCGAACTCTTTCGATTTTGATGGCATTGGCAAATGCAACAGACTCGTCCTCTTTCGAGTCTGAGTAGCCAATACCATTGCGAACGAATCGCTCGATTCCTCCCCGCTCAATGTCCTTACGACTGCCCGATTCCACGGGCCATGCTATTTTATTGCGTAGGAACAACTGCTCTTTGTCGTCCTCTTCCTTTTGTAGCCGGTCTTGGGCCAGCTGTCGCAGCTCGTCCCAACGTCTGAGATAATCTTGCCATAGTTCTTGCCACCGCTTGCGGTCTTTCCGCCTCTGGCCCCGCCTGAGGCTGGCTTCAATGTGGGCGTCGAAAATATCATGGTCATCAGTTTTCTGCTCTCGTGTTGATCTGCGGGCCTCTTCAGCTCGCCTCTCCTGCTTCTCTTTCTCTCTTTCTCTTCGCTTCTCCTCTTTGGCCGCCTCAATGCCCTCCCAGCTTTTCTCCCACATCTTGCGGCGTACGAATTGGGCGTATTCCTCGTCAGTCATATGTTCAAGTTCGCCAGTTTCATCGTCCCGGTACGTGTCTGGATAGGTATGGATCGGTTGTCCGTAGACGCCTTCCCAGAAAGCTGCGCCCTCGTCATCACCCAAGGCATCAAAAAGGGACTCTCTGAACGCCTGTTCTGGAGGGAGGCGAGTCGTAGAGTGCTGGAACGTCCGCTGCTCATCCTTATGATGGCGAGATGACTTATGTCGTTTTCTATGCCGCTGAGCGAAATCTTCGTCTCTTCCCTCCCGTTTACGACTGTTCCGGGCTTGCTCTGGGTCTCCGTGGGGATCTCGCTTTGATTTGAATCGAAATCGCTTGGAGTGCCTTTCATTGCGCTCTCGTGTTTCGGTCTGTGGAGGATCGGGGGGCGCAGAACCTCGATCGGACATATTGAACAGAGGGGCGTGGTGTCTGGTCTCTCATATTAACTTAATATTCACGTTGTTGTAATGGAGGCCTGGTGAAAATAGAGAGACTCGATTGTTTCCAGAAACTTGAACAAGACCGTAGGCAGCCGGCTCCGGGGATATATTCATCCGACGGCTTCGCCAAGATATCGACTTTTTGAGTGAACCAACGTCCAGTCAAATTCAATGGCACAGGATGTTTATGACTCCAACTCCAGATGTCCTTTGCTTTTCACTCATTAAGCCTTCCTTTTGTTGCAAGACGTTTCCAAAATTCCTATTCTCAAGTTACAGCCAACAAAGGACGACAAATATCCGGATTTTCTAGTCAGATACGATCTCTTCCAGCCAAGTCTAGACTTCCACTCCAGCCTCGCATATTAGGGAGACATCAAATCCACTCTACTCGTCGACATTTGGCACCCATAAACGAACCATTAGCACATCATCTCAAGATGGCCGCGGCCATAGGCGATTCTCTGGGAGCTTTAAGCTTGAAAGAAATGGGGGCTGCCAAGAATCCCTTCGATTTCTACCGGCAATACGTTGCTGAGCTCCTTGCCCCGATTGTCGAACGCAAGGAAGCTGAGCTTCTTCCCCTGATCCAATGGACCGCTACTCTCGACAAGGGTGACTTGACGTTACCAGTCCCCGCCTTGCGTGTCAAGGGCAAGAAGCCTCAAGATCTCTCCGAAGAGATTGTTTCCAAATTCCCAACCAGCGATGACACATTAGTCACTGCCGTCCAGTCAGGCCCGTCGGTTCAATTCTTTTTCAAGCCCCAGCGATTAATAAATACGGTGATTTCAGAGATTCTCAAGTCGACAAAAGCGTATGGAACGAACCCAACATCCGGCCTGAAAGACCCGGCTGCTGGACTGACAGAGGACAACAAGAAGAAAATCATTGTTGAGTTCTCTTCGCCCAACATTGCAAAGGAATTTCATGCTGGTCATCTTCGAAGTACAATTATTGGGGGGTTTGTTGCAAAGTTGTATCAATCGATGGGATGGGAAGTCATCAAGATGAATTACTTAGGCGATTGGGGTAAACAGTACGGTCTATTGGCCAATGGATTTAAACAATTCGGCAGTCAAGAGGAGTTGGCCAAGAACTCGATTGCTCACTTGTTTTATGTCTATGTGGAGATCAACAAAATCAAGACAGAGCAAGATATCCCGATTAACGACCTCAAGAAAGAGATCAAAGAGAAGAAGGCGGCAGGTGCAGATGTATCAGAACTAGAAGCGAAATTGGCACCGCTTGTTGAGGAGAGTGAGGATGAAAAGGCACGAAAGTACTTCAAAAGCATGGAGGACGGCGATCCAGAGGCACTTGCACTCTGGAATCAATTCCGTGACCTCAGCATCAAAAAGTACCAGAAGACATATGCACGGTTGAACATTGATTTCGACGTGTACTCGGGAGAATCTCAAGTCAAGGCCGAGACGATGAAGACGGTTCTTGAGAATTTGAAGGCTCAGAAAATCGCCGAAGAATCCGACGGCGCGATTGTGATCGATTTCGGCAAGCACGGTGCCAAGAAGCTCAACAAAGCAGTCATCATCCGTCGAGATGGAACCCCCCTCTACCTGACTCGAGATCTGGCAGCAATCTTGGAGCGTCATGACACGTATCACTTTGACAAGATGATCTACGTTATCGCGGATCAACAGAATGAACACGTTGCGCAGCTGTTCAAGACTACCGAGATCAGCGGCCACAAAGAGGTGGCGCAAAAATGCGAGCACATTTCTTTTGGCATGGTCAAAGGCATGAGTACGCGAAAAGGCACGGTCAAGTTTCTGGACGACGTAATCCAATCGGTCAAGGACGTGATGTTGGACGTGATGCGGAAGAACGAGAAGAAGTACGCACAGCTGGACGACCCGGAGGCCGTCGCCGATATTCTGGCCATCACGGCGATCATGGTGCAAGACTTGAGTGGCAAAGTGCGAAATGGGTATGAATTCAACATCAACCAGATGACGGCATTCGAGGGCGACACGGGACCATACTTGCAGTATGCGCATGCCCGACTATGCTCGATCGAACGCAAGGCCAATGCAGACATCGGCTCGCTGAGCTCGGCGGACCTGTCGCTGCTCACGGAAACCCACGCGATCAACCTGGTCCGGTCACTGGCGCAATACCCAGATGTGATCCTGAATACGCTGAAGACTCGCGAGCCGGCAACGGTGCTGACCTATCTGTTCAAGATGGCACACGCACTAAGTTCCAGCTACGACCATTTGCAGGTGGTGGGCAGTGAACCTGAGCTGCAGAAGGCGCGGTTGGCGCTGTACGAGGCTGCCCGACAAGTGTTGTGGAATGGCATGACGCTGCTCGGGTTAACCCCGGTGCAACGGATGTAGATTGCTTGGGTCTGGCTGGTCAAGTTGAACTACCGATGTTACGACTTGGGACGGTTGTCCTCCGGAGTTGTTCGGTTGCTTGGAAGAGGGCTTCAAGACAGGGATCACTCTGCTAAAATGGCGGGAGAATCCGGAGAATTGGGTTGATGATATGTTGAGTTGGGTCCTGCGCGATCCATGTTCAATTACTTCTGTCTTGCTTGTGCTGATAAAGGGACGCATGGGAGAAGGGCTATTAGTGGAAGGATGGGATCGGGCAACCTGGGGGAGTTGAGACTGGGAAGAAAAAGAAAAACAAGCTCACCAAACTGTAAACTGCTGTAGCTTGCCCCCAGAGGGAGGTGGCTTGTCAGCAAGGCTTCTCGGATGTTGAGGTTGGAGTCCAGATTCGCCCTTGAAGACTGGAGGAATCACCATCATGCAGACGCACAGGCACGGGGACTAGTTGAGGTAGTCAGGGCAGATGTTGACTTACAACGTCATGAAGTGGGTTCCGTTGGGCAGCATGTCATCCGAGGTGCACTCCAGAGGCGACTTGGAAGCCAGACTTGCCACGGCGTACCCAGTACCTAGATGAATTTTCTTGTTATCTTCATCTTGACACTCGGCACGATTGATCTGGAATGAAGCACATGCCAGAGTGCTGTTTCGAATGTTGAAACTACGTGGCCATGGTGGAACTGCTCCGGATGTGCATCAGAATGTCCCGCACAGTTCCAAAGTCACGGTACTCAGGGCTTTTTTAAGTGTTCTAGCTAGTTAGCTAGCCCCCGGGCGAGCTGTGGGTACCAACTATCAAGGACCAAGTACCTGCAACCTCCCCGAATGCTGATCCTGCCTACGAGTATCCGTACCTAACCCAAGGTACTTACACCCGGTATCCGTACTTCAGACATAGAGCCCCTCCGGCCCCTCGTTCGTAGATCTAAGGGCCTGGGTACCCATCAAGCTAAACTATCAGCTACTCAAGACGTGCTAGCAGATTATTTTGGTTAGACTCTCAGGCTCCATCCGGCGTTCTGACCACGGCAATGTCTTTGCGTCATATCAATGATGATAGTATCGAGTTGAAGGCACCAAATATACACCACCTGACTTTGTCGTAGAGTGACACAGCCAGCTGAGAATCGTTCAACATTCCGTAGCCAACGTCCAAGTTGGTGGCACAGGATCGGCTCCCCGCGTTATTGTCCACAAGTCACAACGGCTTCAGGGTTGAAGCACCGAGTCCATCTCCACGTTCTGTGACACCTGATAGCAACAGGACGTTGCGACTCATTGAGATTTACTGGTGGAGAGGACCCCTCCATGTCATGTCCTCTGCGCCACTGGTCACCAGAACTGACCACATCTTGATGATTCTTTCGTTGTCGACCCATGGAAGTGCGAGTGTCATGAGCATGAGCAACAGCGAAGAGAAGACAGAGATGACAGACTGCAGACTGCAGCCATGCCCTCCCTGCCTACAATACGGGGAGGAACGCTGCAATGAGGAGTGCATTGGGCATTCATAGGCCAATATCATCCAGTCAGATAGGAATGACAGACATGATTCCGACCATCACGCAGACTAAGAAACAAGCGAGCACTCGGGATCCAACGAGACTTGGCCACCGGTTAACCGTCAGAGTTTTTCTTGTCTCTTGATGCCGCGCCTTTTTCGAAATGGAGGGTCACTCACGAATCACGAATCATCCAAACAGGCATTCATTTTACGACCAACACCCTCAGGCTCCTGCAGGCAGGGACCAGGCGTGTTGTGTTGGATGGCTGGATTGCTGCCTCCGGTGAGGGTTCGTAGTTGGTCATGCCAGTGGAAGATAACTCCAGGCCACCATGGATGTAGTCTCCTCTGCCTCCTGCTTTTCCCATCCCTCCGCATTGCCAGCCTAATCTGGGATTCCACTAACCACCCCTACTTGACGCGTGCCTAGTCCTAGTAGCAAGAACTCGCATAGTGGGGTGCTCTTTTGGTAGAGAGGGATTTCTGTGAAAAAGAAAACCAATCCACCAACACCTTCGAATCATTTCTTTCCCCTCCCTCCAAACATACCCAAGTTGGCTTATCATACAAACATTGATTCTGTTCATTTTCCCTGGTCTTGTTTTCCTACTCGTCTACTTGTCGCCAGCGACTGTGGCCCTCCCTTCATTTGAATATCGACGCGAAGGCGCACCCTACCATTGAACATATCAACGCCGTGCACCGAGCCGAGCATCACTCAGATCACCCGCATCAACGTCCATTCTTGACCATTGACCATTGACCATTGAACCATTGACGCGCCTTCGTTCCTCCCTGACTTGCATCTACCGTCCCACTGAATTGTGTTCTGCACCACCGGACAAGTGCATCATTGTCTTTTTCGCAGTTGGCATTTGGGTGGACACGGCAGACAACAACATCAGTTGACAAGAGCGGCCGTGACAATTGAAAAAAAAAAAGGTGTGCCTACTGAATAAGTGGGGTAGTGATAGGGTGACTCTGAAGGGCGACAGAGAGCAAATATGGCACCCCACCAACACGAGGTTGAATGAGGGATTCTCAAATTTCATCGAACCTCCAGGGCTGGTCCTTATCCAAAGACCCCCGAACCACTGCACCGATAAGCTAAGCTAACTAAAAGCTGGTGGGGCTTGACCACTGGCACTGGCACTGAGCGGTGGCACCAGAAACTCTCCCGGAACGAGCCTTGCCTCGCAGGCCTTCAGCCGTCAGCCACAAGCCACCAGCCGGGTTACAGGCGGTTACTGGGGTTGTCCCTATCCCTATTCGACTGGTTAGCCGCTGTTTGGCCTGTCTCCAGAATAGCCTTATAGGCTTCTCAGGCTACCCAAAGCCCAAAGGGTTCAGACTCCAAAGGGGCGACCCGCTACCGGGGCAATCATCCTCTAGCCGGGTCACCGCTAAATCCGGAACGCCAGGTCTGAGGTTCAAGTTCCCACGCCAAACATCGCGCCCCGAGGCCCACATTCGAACCTGAAATTGTTCCTCGTCAAGTCGTCACGTCGTCACTCCACATCTCCTCCACTACATTCTTCATCAACTTTGAACCTCACCTGAACCTTGGGACAAACAGTCCACCCACCACCATCAACACCGCACATCTCCTACATACATCATCTGTTCTAGACGCCACCCGCCCCATCGCCGCGCCCATGCCCGACCCTGAACGTCGCCGGTCTCGGGTTGCCACTTGTGAGGATTGGGATGAAGATGCCCAAACCACCCTTCCTGGCTCCCGAACCACCGCGAATGCCAATGTTTCCATCAAGCGCTCCGAGCAAGACCTCGCTGCTGGACGTATGGAAATCAAAGGCAAAATGAATGGTGTCGACTCGGGATATGCAAGTCGCGCCGATACTATCGTCAGCGAACCAACCTCCGTACGTCGAAGAACTTACGAATCCAAGAACGACCCCCCTGCCGGCATTGTTGAGAGAGAGCGCCAGCCATACTCAATGGCCCAGTCGACACCTCAGGCACCTCCCCCGTCGACACCAGTGAAACCTATCGTTCGTCGCCAGCCATCGTCGCGGCCCAAGGACACCCACGTCCCCGAGCCACAACCAAGCAAGACTCCTCAGGTTCATCCATCCGGAACTTGTCAAGTTTGTGACCGTTTTGGGTGGCACGACCCCAGAGAGATATCAAGAATCACAGCAACAGCCCCACAACAGCCCCCGTCACCTGTTGCCGTTCGGGCGGTCGCTGTTGGTCGATCAAAAGATGATGATGTCCTGCTTGCCAAAACCAAAAGGTCATCCTCAATGCGCCAACCACGGCCTTTGAGTGTCGTCACCAATCCCTCGAATCCTCCACAATTTGTTCAACCAGCCATGTACGCCACCCCTGTGTTCGCGGCAACGCCAGCTTGGTCAACGCCTGCGACTCCCATATATGCTCAGCAATTACCAGCCTACACATATGCTCCGCCTCCGGCACCCACGCCCGGCCCAACTCAATATGCACCATATCCACCACCCGCCCATGCTTATTTCGACCAGGTCTCTATCCCAGAACCACGCTCGCTTCAAGCGAGTCGGAAGTCTAGCCCGACCCGACGTTCAGCTCACTATGGGGAACCTGTCATCAATCAAGGCCACAACAATTCATATGCTGTACTAGACAGAGTTCCCTCCTGGGAGAACAGGCCAGCCGCGGTGTCGCACAAATCGCAACGAAGTATTGATCAAGATCGCATGCCGCCCCCACCAAAGCCGCAATCTCAGGATCCTAGTCTATCGCGACGACCAAGTAATCGAAGGTCCAAGACTTATATCCAAGAGGACCTCCCACGACAACGACCAGCACAAGAATCTTCGCGCGATGAGCGGGAGTACGAAATAATGCCCCCAACAACAGCGCACCGTTCTCGACGGGAATCTGGCACACTGCCACCCAGCTCTTACAGGGGGCCAGCGGTTGTCGACTCTCGGCCTATGTTGGGCAGGAAAACAGTGTCCTATTCGACTGCAGAGGCCACAATGAAGGTGGCCTCCTCCAAGACTAGCTCACACCGACGCACGACCTTACCATCTATGACTCTGGAACAGAAAGAAGCCGAGGCGGAGGCTTACCAACGCAAACGCAGCAGTGCCACCCATCATCTGACTCCCGAGGCTCTTCGAAATCTAGAAAAAGGTTCTGCCGGTTCAAGATCAGAGACAGGTAGCAGCTATAGCCACAAGAGCCAACAATCTTCATCAAAAGATTCTTCTCGTGGACGAAGTCAAACTCACTCTAGTGCTGCAGCGACCAATATCAATTTCGGTGGTCTGAGCGTCAATATTCCGGCAAATTTCAAATCCGAACGCCCGGTCAGCATCAATTTTGGAGATGTCACCCTGACCATGAACAAACCTCAGGATAAACCACTGGACCGACCCCGGGAGCAAAAACGCATTGAACGAGCTCCCAGTGTTACTAGCAAAACTTCAAAGAAAAGCATTGCCAGTAGCAATGTTTCCAGCACTGATGCTCCTAAAAAGACATCCAGGAGAATATCACAGTTGGAAGAACGACCGAAGCTGAGTCGCCAACATAGCAGAGCACCCAGTGCCACAGGAGTCACCTATGAATACACAACTGTCAGGAAGCAGAGTGTGGATCCTACCAAATACGAAGATTATTATGGAGCCTAGCCTTGTCTGACGAAAACTTTCGTGGCTGGCAGCAACCCGATTAACAATTTATGATACGTTTCTCCGACACACAGCTTTTCCTTGTCAAGGGAGGAATTTTGAACAGCGTTTTATCTCTGCATTATGGTCGGCTCTTGCCCTTCTATCCTGTCATTTCCACCACCGATGGCGATTTTGGCGCATTCGTCTCATTTCTCTCGACATTTACTTGGTATTTAATTTTCAATCTTTTTCTTTTCTTGGATCGGTTTGGTATTATCATTTCTGGTATTGCCATCCCAACGCCACAATCATCAGTTGTTCCGGTTGGCAGATTTGCGATTTGATTCTCCGGGAACAAAAGCAGATTTCGAAAAAAGCCGGAGAGAAAAAGTCTTGTGATACCCCAATATCGTCCGATGTTGTCTCGTGTTTCATCCACGAGTCAGAAAAGCGACGTCAACAAAAGAGGCTTGGCTGAATTGATGTTTTTTTGGTTTCATCTGTTGATTTTGCAGATTTTATGTTGTTGGAGATTCGACTGGGAAATTTGAGATTGTCGCACATTGTTTGGACGAACGGCAGATATGCTACTCGGGGTCGCATAAAGCATGACCTCGAGGCGCATGCCACCATCATACTATCCGACTACCTTGTTGCTTCAACCATACTTGAGCGATATTTCTGTGGTTATCTTTTTTCGGGGTCCGCTGTTTGGAGAACCTAATCTTTCACGCAACACTTCTTTTTTTTGAAACCGAAGCCCAATACGTTTGCGCTTCTTATGATGTTCGAGAGCGAACCATTTGTGATGGATACCTGACTTGCTGGATCACGATCCAATCTCAAATACACCCTGCTGGTTGGGGTTTCTTTGGCGATCGAGAGTCACGAACAACGAACAATTGTCCAGATTGTGCAATTTGAGAGCGACGAAATGCGGGTTGCATTGAAACCTGCTGCGGCAGAATGTACTGCGCTGAGAGCGAGGCTGGGATATGATGTTACGATATTTATGATGGCATACTGCTACGATCGAGGCAGCAAACGATTAAGTTGACAATAGTGGAGAGATAGGGATTCTGGGTCGATCCAAGCCTTGAAGTACCGATCGCTTCTACTTAGCTACCTGAGGAAGACAATTTGATATCCATACCACTCCAGAACCACCTTGTGCAATAATTCTTCTCACAGTGAAGCCTTCTTCATAAATGCTGGTGGAGCATGAATAGATAATCATGATGGAGATTTAGCAACATCTCTGGGCATTTCAGCGAGCGCTCAGTTTATCGTACTTTTGCATCTTGAATAGTGGGTCCGACCCTCACCCCCGCCTTGGTGGACTTTCTTTTGGGTAGAGATCGGGTATTTAAACGATCCTCATAATGGATTTTTATGCACTAGGAAGAATTAACGATAAAAAGATTTAAAGTTAACGATAACGATTTCGTTCCGCTCCCTATGAGATCTTGTAGTGGCTGTGCCAGACGGAAATGGTGGGTTCAACTTGGTGGTGATTGGCACAACATCCCATAACATCCAACGAGCTGAGAACACATCAAAATAAAGGTAGCTCCCGCCCGACCTTGGTGTCAACCTTGCCACACAGCCGGGTTTCGAGTAAATATCTCTGCGCCTAGCTGCCTCATGTGTATCTCTTTCCTCCACCAAATTCGCACTGTGTGAACGTCTAGCCATCAGATGAACTCCCCTACGAATGACCTTTCCCAAGCCGGGACATCACAGGAGCAAGATGGCGAAGGGAGTACAACGGGTTCACTACATCGCCCGCCAGATTTAAACCCCCCAGTCGCGGAGACCACTGCAACCGATGTCCAACCATCAACCTCAGCTCGACCGACGCAAGAGCCTGAAGCGGACGGCGGTCCATCACGACACACCAGACAGTCAGCTCGAGATCCATATCTGTCAAGTGCGGATCACTACGTTCCTTGGTTTCCAAATGCAGACAATGAGGGTATACTGTCTAGAATGACTTTGTCAGCCTTTCCCTTGTTCTGGTTTCTAGCGTCGCTCTTCGTTCCCATTTTTACAATCGTCGGAATCGTCAGCTTTTGGCGTGGTTCGTGGAGCGTGACAATCATTGAAACGGTGGGCCCGCATGCCTTCTCATTAGTCTGGGCATTTATGACTTGGGCTCGCATATCCACAATTGTGTATAGGTATGCTCGGCTGCGAAAAATCAACATCCCGACATACCAAAGATGTCTCATCGTTGCTTTTGGCTGTTTTGTTCTTGGTTTATTTGCGCTCGAGAACTACACAGTTTTGTTCTTAAACTCTTTCACCGGTTTGTATCAATGGCACACTTCCTCGCTGCCAGAGTCATATCATGGGTGCGCCGAACGAGTCACGGTACAGCAAACTGAGTTATTCATCCCTGGCCAACTTGATGATTGGTATCGCCTCTACCCAAGGTTCTATCATGCGCAGTTCGATCGTGTCGATGTTAAGGGACCACTTCATTTTCATCATTATCCACTAAATACGGCGCTCTTTGAGAGTATCCGAGGTAACCAGACGCTCTGTGCACAAGGATTCCTGGGAGACAGCGACTATTACGGGATTGGCATCAGAAGCGGATTATACCTGCAGTGGGCCTCTTCACTGCTTGCGAACAATTTTCTGCCAGACAGACGGACAGAAACGCAAAAGGTATACCTGCTTTTCTCCATGGCCATCTGCATTGCAACCATTGTAGCTACGTTCACTGCCAGATGTACGTTCAGCATTGAGATCGAAATCTCTTACTGGATGTACTGGGGAGGCTATTTTTGCGTTTTCGGATCAGCACCAGATGCCATCACGGTCACGAGAGCCTCTCGGTGGGTGAAGCTCAATTGGACCGCAACAGTACTCTTCATCCAGCACATGGTAATGCTCTATCATGGAATTTGGTTCGTTTGGTGCGGTTACGATCAAGTTTTCGCACGAATGCCCTGCGGAACATATCAATTCCTGCTTGCTCCCATGTTGGATCCAAGTCAGCCTTACAAGCACGTCCGAGATGTTTTGATGATCTTGGCTATGCCGTTCGCCCTAGCAATAATGTTGATATTTCCATTTCTCATCCTCGTCTTGGCTACAGAAATCAAACACACAGTGCAAGACACAGCAGTCTGGGGATTACTCTTCCATCGACTCGAGACTACATCTCCTGCGACGAACTGCGTTTCAAGCAGCAGCATCCCCTCACTACCCAAGAGGATCTATGGTAACCTCAAGTTGAGATATGGCGGGATGAGAGTGCTTCTGGGCCTTCCGTCTCATGCCAGGAAGGGGATTCGCTTAATCACCCGAGTTGATGTCAAGCGGCGAAGGTACGCCACACACAGAAGTTGACCGAGAAACACTAATCATGTCATAGAACATATCGCCTCCGTTGTGCTGTGTTTGGCATCATCGCTTATGGTCTGAGTATAGCGGCCATCGAACTGACCCTGAAGTGGAACAAGGTGGTTAACGTAAACTACCTGGCAGCCACCGGCCAATATATCTCTTTGACAGTCGGGGCGGGCAGCCTGATCTCAGTCATCTGGAGCATCATACGCCAAGAGACCGTAAGTTTTCTCGTCCTCTGTCCCTCTCCTGGTACCTGCGCCCGCCCGGTGAACATGGCAATTAATCTGCCAGTAGGAACGTCGACGTCAGGCAAGGACCCAACAGATCCTTCAACAACAGCACGACGAAGAAGGGATTGAATTACAATCCACCTCGAACGGTTTCTCGACCGCTCTGAGGCACGCTTTCGAGCAACGCGACGCCGAGTTCTTCAGAAGTGGTGGATTGCTTCCGGCCACCGAGCCAGAGGCTGCTCAGTACACAGACTCAATATCTCGCAATGGGCAATTTCTCATGAGTGGAGGGTTAGCCGCAATGGACGAATTACATGCCCTGCCTTGGACGGACCTCCGACGAAGTGCTTTGTCTCAACCTCATGAATAGGTAGTTCAATGCCTATCAATTTCAATTTGATCATCACATGTCACCAGTATCCATTAAGCGTATATAGTGCCGCTCAGAAAGCAAGGCGAAAGCCAGAAGTGAGTTGTAGCCATATTGAAGCAGCCAGGGTTTGATATCCTTCAACACCCAAGGTTTCTCTACTGCAGTATGATGTTGGGACGTGACTCGCGGGACTTTGGAAGGCACGCTAATCAACCAATCAGCTCAGAGACCCTTGCTGTCCAGCTCCAATCATCGCAAGTCTCCAGCGCGCTTTACAAAGGTGCCCTCAGCGCTGTCATTGAGGTCAATACAATCGCCCAAGTAGCGTCTGCTTCGCCGAAGATAAGAATAATCGCAAGTTTGTATGGCAATGTTGGGATTTGGGCTTTCCTATCTTCAGCTACCTGCGGAATTCATCTACCCTCGCTCCAGTCCATCTTTTATAGATCCACCTCAGGTAGTTGATCAGGTTGGTCCTGCAAAACGAAACAGTCTTTCAATTCGTCACAGTCATGCCAGTGGTCGTCATCTTCATGTTGTTCTCGTCCAATTAATGCAGGAGTAGACATATCCCGAGTACTTCTCTCGCCGCGAGAGACGAGTCTTCGATGTCGTGGAGTCGTTGCATGGCTCGGGACTCGCTCAGCAAGTCTGTGGAAAACTGCTATTACGCTGGCGGGACCAGGCCGGACACCATCATGAACATATTCCATTCCTTCCTTCCAATCACCCAGGGCATGACAGAATTCGTGGATGGCGAATCCGATTTCCAACACTGTCGCCCGCCGTACTCAACGATTGCGGTCGGAGATCTTCCGCCACCGCCGTGTACATGGCCAGTACAGCAGGATACTTAATGTCTACTGGCGAACCAGTCCGGGAAGGTGGTGATTGTTTCTTCTGACGGAATCGCACCAACGTTGCTTCTTGGGCGGAATTGAGGAGGCAATGCCCTGGCATACTGGGTTTCAAACTGGCGAATTCGTTCAGCGAGAGGATTTAGGTGAGCAGCATTGGCTAGAAGCTACTACTGGTGCTTTGCTTCATTGTTCTGTGCGCCTGGTCAAGTAGTTCGGTCAGAGGATGCCCGCGTAGTACCGATGAGCTTTTCAGTTTGCCGAATAGCGACCATCATGCTCCGGTGTGGTAGCTTGTAGCTGGTGGCCTCCGCAATCGCAACGTAGCTGCTCAGGTGGTGGATTCTGAGGCTGGCCTTCAGAGATGTGCATTTTCATCAATTCATGTTGCCCCTTCTAAGAACATCACCGAAAATGAATCCCCTCTTGATTGAACTGGTAAAGAAGACTGAGGAAGTCAGCCTCATCACACATCCGTGCTCGCTTATCAGCTAGTTGGGTCTTGTCCTCGAGCACGCTTCGGACTTTTTCGCGAATCAGATCCGCGACTTTGCTTCGATTCTTCCGTGATGCCGTCTTGGGGTGTTTCGATGCATTCTGCTGCTCTTGGTGTTCTTTGAAAAATGCAGGAAGGTCGTCTTCGTCGTCGACGTCCATCAACCCGTCCCATTCTTCTTCACCATCCACGTGGCTGGGCTGAGTGTTCTCCATATCGTGATTATCTTGAACGGTAGAAGGGCCATCGTCGAGAGGGATGTCGTTCTGCGCACACCATGTCCTGTAATTGCTCTCTAACATGCTCATGATACTGGTTGTGCCGAGGAAATTTGCTCTCATGGTCTTGTTCTTTCTCACGAAGCAGACCCTTAGAAGTCCATCCCATTCTTCGTACGAGATGTTCGGACGAGGGTTCTTGGGAACTATCCGGACGACGCTACTCTCCACGGCTGGTGGTGGCTTGAAATTGTTCTTCCCGACTTTCATGATATGGTCGATCTTGGCCCACATCTGAGCATTGACACTAAGACGACTGTAGAGTTTATCTCCGGGTTTGGCAAAAAGGCGCAGAGCGAATTCGCGCTGAAACATCAATATACAGACTCGAGGGGAAGGCGTGGTGGCGAGGAGTTTGAATACCAGAGGACTCGAGATCTGATATGGAGTGTTTGAAATGCAGACGTCAAAGTAAGGCAACTCGGTTTTGATTACGTCTCCCAGTACAACGTCCAATCTCTTGCCCATCACTGTACCTTGGACTCGTTTCGTGACTTCCGCAGCCATACGGGGATCAAGTTCGACGGCGATACATTTCTTTGCCTTTTCGAGAATTTTGACTGTTAAATTACCTGACCCAGGACCGACTTCGAGCACGATATCGGATTGTTTGAGGTCGGCCTTGTCGACAATAGCTTGCGCAACACCGGGGTTCTTGAGTACGTGCTGGCCAATGTCTGTGTTCATCCTGAAGATCGCATTTGAGGCACTCGAGGCGGATTTAGAGGGTGTTGCTGGGGACCGGGAGTATGGGGACGCCGAAGCGCCGCTGGAACGTTTCTGGTGGTTAGCTTTGGGCATCTTGGACTCTGGGTGAGGGTATTCCCTCCTGTTCCTTAGAGATGAGTTCCAGAAAGATTGTCAGAGACCGGCGACGTGGGTGAATGCTGTCAGTAGAAATCCTCCTCGGACTTTGGAAAATAATGTGGGGCGGCCTGCGGACTTTTTAGCGGTGAGAAGATTCTGCCAGCAGATTCCTGTGGCGGAGGGAACAACAATGCTCCGGGTATCAAAAGTTCAAGTTCGAGTTTCTTGCAGCCTTGTGCCTTGCGCATCTTTTAGATCATTTAGGCGCAGCACAACTGCCTCCCCTTCTCCTCAGTTCAATCTCTCCTATTTCATCCGCCATCATGGCGTCCCGTCAAGACTTCCTCAACCAGCAGGCGCCCGAAAACTATGTTGCTGGTCTCGGTCGAGGTGCGACAGGATTCACCACCCGATCAGATCTAGGCCCTGCTCGCGAAGGCCCCAGTGCCGAACAGATACAGGAAGCTCTTGCGAAACGAGCGCAGCAATTAGGAGCCGCTCCGCCGACTGCCTACGGTGCCACAGATAAAAAGAAGCCGGAACAAGAAGAGGATGATGATGAACGATTTCAAGACCCAGAGAACGAAGTAGGACTTTTCGCCTATGGACAGTACGACAGAGAAGATGATGAAGCGGACCGAATATACCAAGATGTAGATGAGAAGATGGAAAGACGCCGCAAGGCAAGAAGGTTAGTTTGCTCCCACCCCTATGCAGCCCTTCCTCTCATTCCCTCCGCCTCCATCATGGAAACCCGTGGTTTATCTTTTCCACCTGTGTATGAACAGATTACCGACGTAATTCCTTCGCCAATCTCTAGGGAAGCACGAGAAAAAGAAGAGCAAGAGGAATATGATCGAAACAATCCGAAAATCGCCCAACAGTTCGCCGATCTCAAGAGATCACTCGCCACAGTCTCTGACGATGACTGGGCCAGTTTACCAGACCCGGGTGATCTGACTGGTAAAAATCGAAGATCAAAACAGCTCTCGAAGCAAAGATTCTATGCCGTCCCCGACAGTGTATTAGCCGGTGCCCGAGACTCGACCGATTTCCAGACCAGTGTGCAGGAAGATGGTGCTGAAGCAGCATCAAGTGCTGACAACAAAGATGGGACCATCACTAATTTCGCCGATATCGGTGCAGCCAGAGACAAAGTCCTTAAAGCTCGGCTAGATAGAGCTGCTCAAGGAGATGCAGGCAACGGCACATCTACAACCATCGATCCTAAAGGATACTTGACCAGTCTTGCTTCAACCGAACTCAAGTCGAGCGAGGTGGAATTTGGCGATGTCAATCGAGTCAGAGTTCTCTTGGAGTCGGTCATCAAGACGAATCCGAAACACGCACCTGGATGGATCGCCATTGCACGCTTGGAGGAATATGCTGGGAAGATAGTTGCCGCACGGAAATGGATCGCCCAAGGATGTGAACAATGCCCGAAGAGTGAGGATGCATGGCTTGAGAACATCCGACTTAACGACAATCACAATGCCAAAATTATTGCCGCCAACGGTATCAAGAATAATGAAAGATCAACACGACTATGGATTGAAGCCATGCACCTGGAATCTGATCCTCGGGCCAAGAAGCGCGTTTTACGGCAAGCGATTGATCATATACCACAGTCTGTTGCGATCTGGAAAGAGGCTGTCAATTTGGAGGAGGATGCCGAAGATGCACGACTCTTGCTTGCAAAGGCGACGGAGATCATTCCCCTTTCTGTCGAGCTTTGGCTGGCACTAGCACGTCTGGAGACCCCAGAAAATGCACAGGCAGTGCTGAACAAAGCAAGAAAAGCCGTCCCAACAAGCTACGAGATTTGGATTGCTGCAGCACGATTACAAGAACAGATTGGAAATGCCAACAAAGTCAACATTATGAATCGCGCGGTCAAAGCTCTTGTGAAGGAGGGTGCAATGCCCAAGCGTGAGGAGTGGATCACCGAGGCTGAAAAATGCGAAGAGGAAGGTGCAGTTCTTACGGCCGGTGCTATCATTCGGGAAACTCTTGGCTGGTCGCTCGATGAGGACGATGATCGCAAGGAGATTTTCAAGGATGATGCCAAAGCTAGCATTGGTCGAGGCCGGTATGAGACGGCGAGAGCCATCTATGCCTACGCCTTGCGGGTTTTCCCGACCAGCAAGTCGTTGTGGCTGGCAGCAGCGGATGTGGAACGAAATCATGGAACCAAGGAAGCACTCTGGCAGGTACTAGAAAAGGCAGTCGAAGCTTGCCCACAGTCAGAGGTGTTGTGGTTACAACTCGCGCGGCAGAAATGGGATGCCGGTGAGGTGGATGATGCCCGCCGTGTACTGGCCAAAGCCTTCAACCAGAATCCCAATAATGAGGACATCTGGCTCGCTGCAGTCAAACTAGAGGCGGACGCAAAACAGGTTGAACATGCAAGAGAGCTACTTTCGACAGCCAGACAGGAAGCACCGACGGAACGAGTGTGGTACAAGAGTGCTACATACGAAAGGCAACTTGGTAATATCGATATTGCATTGGATCTGGTCCTGCAAGGCCTAACTTCGACTGTGGTCAACAAGAAAGAAACTCGGTTCCCTCGCAGCGCAAAACTGTGGATGATGAAGGGTCAAATCTACGAGGACAAAGGCATGCTCCCACAGGCCCGGGAGGCATATTCTCAGGGAACAAGGGTAGTGCCCAAGTCAGTGTCGCTGTGGCTTCTCGCTGCACGACTCGAAGTCAAGGCTGGCGTTATCATCAAAGCTCGTTCTGTACTGGACAGAGCGCGATTACAAAACCCGAAGAACGCCGAACTATGGGTCGAAAGTGTACGAGTTGAGCTGAATTCAAATCCACCCAACGTGCAACAAGCCAAGGTGTTGATGTCAAAGGGTTTACAAGAATGCCCGAAGTCAGGATTACTATGGTCAGAAAACATCTGGCGGCTACAGCCTCGAACGCAACGAAAGCCGCTAAGTCTGGAAGCCATAAAAGCTGTCGACAACGACGCGATACTGTTCGTGACGGTTGCAAGGATATTCTGGGGTGAGCGGAGATTAGACAAGGCGATGAATTGGTTTGAGAAGGCTATTGTGGTTGACAGTGACCTCGGTGATGCATGGGGTTGGTACCTGAAGTTCTTGTTGCAACACGGCACTGATGTGAGTTCTCCTACGATTGATATGAGTATGACACGATTACTGACTTTTGTCTGTCAACAGGAAAAACGAGAGGACGTCATCTCCAAGTGTGTCGCTAATGAACCTAAGCATGGTGAGGTTTGGCAGAGGGTTAGGAAGGACCCAAAGAATGCATATTTGACGATAGAAGAGGTGCTGAAGGAAGTGACCAAGGAGTTACAATGATCAGTGATTAGGTTGATTGATATAATTCTTAACAACTTTGGGTACTCGGCAGCCCGAGCCCACCACCCTCATCGCTGACTATTTAATGTGCTACTCTCTTCATTCGTAGATAGCCTTCTGGCGAGAAAACTCACGTAATCATTAGTCACGTGAATACTTCATTGTCCGGCACCGGCGAAAAGTGCCGCTTTTTTCCGGCACGTGCGCCTGCCGTGACTAACTACTAATGCAATCGGTGCAACTTCCTTAGGTGCCTTCGATCGCCTTTTCTCCTCCAACTCTTTCCCTCATCTTCTCTCCTCCTCATCATCATCTCCCACGGTACTCTTTCACTTCATCCTTCGGCATAACCACATCTCACTCGCACTTTCAGTCATCATTTCCATCAACTTTCATCTCTCCTCGAATAATTTCATCCCACGACTTTCACTAGACTGAATCGACTAACTCTCCTTTGTTCTGGTCTTGCTCGTGTGCCTCGAACTGCAAGCGGATCTCTTCGGGGTTTGATTCTGGGGCCTGTATGCTACTCGTGACATCCTGACCTGCACCCTTCTTCATCTGTGCTCGTGGTGAAGTGTGGAAGGACTCACCTGTTGTTTGAAATAGTTGATTCATCCTGCAAGGACTTGGTGGCAATCATCTTGTTGACTCACTCGGGGGGTTGAACGGCAGAGAGTGCCCTGGTGCAATCTGTCGCAGCCGCAGCTGGCGAATGTAAAAAAAACATCATCCGACCCTGACTCGGGCTTGCTCTCAGCATTGATTGAACTATTACTTGTTAACTCTTTCTCAATACACATCTCCCTTACGTTCCCTCATTCACTCACAGTTTGTTGAACTTCTTGTTTCCTGGAGATTAATCATCAATTTCTACCAACTTGAACGCCAACCACCTCGACTTTTTGGATCAAAGACTGCACACCTGATTGAAGGACTCTTCTTCGTTCTGATCACTTTTCAATCCCCGCCATCATGGCGTCATATGTGTACTTCAAGTTCAAGTCGCAGAAAGAGCCGCAACGTGTAACCATCGATGGCCCTCACACTGATGTCTGGAACCTCAAACGTGAGATCATCACCATCTCTCGTCTAGGAGATGGAACCGACTTTGACCTGAAGATATACAAGGAGAACAGTAATGAAGGTAAATTCCCTCGTGGATACTGATGTTGTCTTCAGCATGAACTAATTGAATTTCCAGAGTACACCGACGACACCGAAATCATCCCTAAAGACTCAACAGTCCTCGCCCGAAGACTCCCTGCTTCTGCCCCCGGTAAAGGTCGTGCCGCTCGATATGTCTCTGGCAAACCCCCGGCGAGTGCCAAACCCTCTCACAATGCTGCGAAAGCTCTGAAGGCGGTGGAAATCAATAGCTCGATGACAGAGTTGGAGAAGCTGGAGGCCTTTTCAAAATTTACCGACGCACAGTGGCAACAAAAACAAGAGGAAATGTCTCATGAAACCCGTGTGCCAATGTCAGGAAAACCGTTCAACAAAAAAGCAAATATACCCGAAGGTGAACCACCTCATGGATATATTTGCTACCGTTGTGGAAAGAAAGGTATGTCACGCCTACTCACATGATCGATTTTTACTAATAATATCAAAAAGGCCACTGGATACAGGCATGTCCAACCAACGACGATGCCAATTATGACAACAAAAACCGCATCAAAAGAACAACCGGTATCCCTCGTTCCATGTTGAAGAAGATCGATCAATCAGATGTCGATAAACTAGATGATGCTCAACGCCAGAATCTCATGGTCAACGCTGAAGGGGATTACGTTTTTGCTCAAGCAGATGAGAAGGCTTGGAGAAAACATCTTGAGCAGGTCAAGGCCTCTGAAGCTGCTCAAAAGAAAGTGCAAGTTGGTAACAAAGAGCTACAAGATCGGGGCTTGGAATGCTCGATTGACAAACGTTTGTTTGTAGATCCAATGAAGACACCTTGTTGTGGGAAAACGTACTGCCACGATTGTATTGAAAATGCCTTGCTTGAGAATGATCTCACATGTCCGGGTTGTGAGACGGAGAATATCAGTCTGGAGCGTCTTGAACCTGATGAAGAAACAAAAACAAAAATCAAGGAGTATCAAGCAGAAAAGACAAATGAAAAACCAAGGTCTAGAAGTCCAACGGTGGCTGGTGATTCACCAAAGGCGGTTAATACACCCACCAAATCTCGAACTGGTTCACAAGATGGAACCATGTCACCACACTCGAACAATGGGCATTCTAGAAAAAGAAATGCAAGTGATGTTGACGGATCTATTGTATCTGAGAGTCTTATTGCGCCTGCCATGAAACGCCAAAAATCAGGAGACGCAGTGTCCACATCCACGCCAAAAGCAGACGTCGATACTGAGAAGCAGAATTCTTCAAAGGACGATGTTTCCCAAAAAGATGGTTCGACAGAGAAGAATGCAACTGACAGTAGTAATAATACACTACCCGAGAACATGATGCCCCCTGATATGGCGCAAATGATGCAAGGCATGAATTTCCCCATGATGCCCAATTTCAATCCTTTCATGATGAATCCAATGGCTATGAACATGGGGATGAACATGAATATGGGAATGAATGGAATGAATATGAATACCATGAACTCAATGAATCCCATGAACTGGATGCAGCCTAACAATTTTGGTATGCCCAATGGTATGAACGGGATGAATAACATGTTTCCAAATAACATGAGCTTCGACGGTGCCAATAACCAAGGCTTTGGTAATCAGAATCAAAATCAGAACTGGAATGCGAACGTGAACGCGAACATGAACCAAAACCAGAACAATGCTCCAACAGGCCCGCGACAAAATGGCTACAACAACCGACCGCATCGCAACCAGAACTTCAACAAAGCCCCAGCAGCACAACCAAGTGTACCAGGTGCGCCCACAGGGCCCAAAGCACTGCAAAACCAGAAGCAGAACAACAATCAAAACTTCTACCCACCAATAGGGCCAGCGGAGAACAAGTTCTCCAATCAGCAGCGTCATGTCGGGAACGAGGAGGACAACGCCTATATGCGACAACCTGTCAATCCGCATCGTCATGTCAATCGGAATCGCAGAGCGAGACAGGCGGATTATCGAGAACTGTGATGCCCTAGGTGGGAGCGAGGTTACCTTCACCGGAAGGATATGATGGTCCATACCCAAACATGGGCTTCAAGTACATTGCCAGTCTTGAAGGTGCACGAGCACAAAGATCTGCATCCACACCTATATTCTGAGGTTGACTTTATGAGTGTGGCAAACATGATTATAGGACAGCTTTACTCAAAGCACGTGGAGGGAAGGTCTCGATTGTGGGATGACGCGACACTTGATGAACGGCGACAAAGAGGAACTCATACCTTCGATGGTATTCTGAGGCGGCGAGGCCCGTATGCCCAGCGCCTGAGGACCAGGCGGACATCTGTTATCCCATCATTCGAAAGAATGTATTGGTTATGCACAGATCCAGTAGGGTTTCAGGAGTGGAAAGCATAGACCGCATTTCTTAGAGGGATGGGTCTGCGAAATCCCCTCGAGCAAGGTTGACTCCTGCAGATGAGAGTCAGTAGTATTGAGAAATGAAATAAATTCAATCCACCAAAACATCTTTGTTCAAAATAGTACCTGCCTCGATGTAGCTATTCCACCTATTTATTGCATAGGTCCTCAAGCAAGCTGGCCGGGATTGAAGAATTATACTCTACTATATAATATCTTAGTGTCCAATTTAGGTTCTTCTAGTTTACGGAGTATTGTACTGTCCATTTCGAGACTTCTAGTCTCATATGGAACTTCTAGGGAAGAAGAGAATAGTTGGCAATGAGTCGAGTGCTTACGAGCGCCCCTCTCCCTGACGGGGCTTTTTAGAAACTTTCCTGCGTGGCTTCAAGGCAGTGCTTGGTCGTCCTGGAGCAAGGATTGGCCGGGCAGTCTCGCAGAGATGACCCAGCTGGGAGGGTAGCGTCGCGCGCATGACGAAGCTATTCCCATCCATCCACAGCAGGCGTAGATCTTGTAGAAGCCGTCATAGTTCCGCTGGGCCTTCATGGCCCAGACTTGTCATCATACGCTAGCGACATCAAGCGGGTTGTGTATTGTAGATATCAACGTGAGAACGGGGGCAGCTAACAAGACGACAAGAGCTGTCGAAGATGCCACAGTGGCTGTGACATGGAACTTGGTAGGAAAATCCGCCAAGCCCATTATCATCATCTCTACTGCCAGGAACGCCCTCATTACATAGTGAATCGGCAACTAGCTCTGGGAGTAGGATGCTCGGCGAGCAGAAGACCTCGCCGAGATGATTTACCTACCGGATTCAACGTTGTCCCCAGCAAATTCATCTGCTCCCAATGGGATTGACTCTTGACCTCCGCCATTGACGAGGTCCAGCTCGTAGTGTTCTTTAAGCCGCTGATGGGGGCTCTCACTTGGATGGTGCAAAAGCTGAGAAAAAGATGAAAGGCGAACATAAGCCCTTCTTGCTACGATCAATATACTTCGAGCATGCAATGCGCATAATCTCGACGACCCCCATCCGAAGATTGTTGTCGAGCTCTGGTACCGGGCCCAAGTGCCATTAAAGTGTTCAATGCCTCCGTGGCTTGCAAGTGGCATATGGTGGCCAATCAAGCTCAGGAGTGTATGTGTAAGAAGAAACCATCGAAAATGGCTTTGCCTCGTTAGAACAAGGCCTAAGTCATAGCTCAACTATCGTCGAAGCTACAGCCTTGATTACCAGCTGCAGTCAACAACTGAATGGATAAGTTGCGGATGTCCGAAAGGGGTACTTTGCTTATTGATGTCGCTGAAGATTAGGAGGCTGGACTTGGTCATTTCGCCACCTCTACCCGCAGAGCCGCCTCCGACGCAGAAATTCTGCATGCAAAAATACCAGGCCACGAATGTGGTGGCTGACGAGTACCAGCATCGGGGCTTGAGTGCTTATTTTGTCAGGCCTTCAGGCCTACAATCATTTTGATTGTCTCAAGGCAGTGCGCGTTCTAGAATCCCGTCGAGAGCACCTGGTCCAGCATGTCGACAAAGTAATCGGCAGACTGTTGCGTGATGCAGAGCGGCGGTTTGATCTTCAGCACATTCTTGTGATCGCCGGTGGGTTGCATGATCACACCCAGTTCCAGCAGCCGGTTGCAGATGGCCGCGGTCTCCGCCGTTGCCGGTTCCAGGCTGGTTCGGTCGCACACAAATTCGAGGCCCAGGTAGAGGCCATCGCCATGCACGGTTCCAACGAGGGGGTGTCGCTTACCCAACTCCTGCAGCCGCGCTTTCAGGTGGGCACCAACAATCCGTGCATTCGCCTGCAGCTGCTCCTCTTCGATGATGTCCAACACCGTGTGTCCCACCACCGATGACAGGGGCGATCCACCGGTGGAGGAGAAGAAGTATCCCTGGCTACGGTATTGATCGGCAATAGCGCGGCTGGTGATCACGGCACCCAGCGGGAAGCCACCGCCAATAGATTTGGCCACCGCCACAATGTCGGGCACAACTTCCTGCTGTTGGAAGCCCCAGAACCAGGAACCCAGACGGCCGAAGCCTACCTGGACCTCATCGGCGATGGCCAAGCCACCTAGGTCGCGTACCGCGGCATAGACCTCGCGCAGGTAGCCGTCGGGCAGCGCTACGCCGCCGGCGTTGCCGTAGTAGGACTCGCTCAGAAAGGCGGCCGGCGCATGCCCTTCGGCGGCCAACGAGCGCAGACGTGCCACCGCGTCGGCGGCATAGGTCTTGGCGGCCTCGACTCCGCGATGACGTCCGCGGTAGGTGTTGGCCGCCTCAACGGTGTGGACCCAGTCGGGCCGTGTGTGCGGCGCGTTCGGATTGTCGGCGATCGAGGTGGAAACGGCATCGCTGGCATAGGTCCAACCGTGGTAGGCCTCGGCCATGGCCACCACATCGCGACGCTGAGTGGTCGCTAGTGCCAGACGAATGGCCAGATCGACCGCCTCGGAGCCCGAGTTGACCAAGAAGACCGTATCAAGCGGCTCAGGAAGTTGAGCGGCTAGCCGCTCGGCGTAGCGCGTGATGGCGGCGTAGTGAAAGCGCGAATTGGTGTTCAGCAGTCGGGTCTGCCGTGCGACGGCCGCGGCGATGCGCGGATGGGCATGACCTACCGACGCGACATTGTTGACCATGTCGAGGTAGACGCGACCGTGGACGTCCATCAGGTATTCGCGCCAGCCCCGTTCGATCCGCGGTGGATGGGCATAGTAGTGCTCCTGCGCCTCTGCCACCACTGCTTCACGCCGTTCCAACAGACGCTCGTCGTCAGCGTTGTCCGAGGGCGGCGTCACGCCCAGCGCTGCGGTTGCATCTCCAATCGCCACGCTCCAACCGGGCAGATCGACGGCCGGGATCGCGGTTGGCACATTGGCTGGATCAAGCGCGGTCAGCAGCACGTCGATGCGGCTTCCGGCCGCAACTTTCGCTGTTCCCACGGGCAGTACCGTCCCACCTTGTCGTGTATATAGATTGGCAGGCAGTTCGAGGGTGGTCTCAGCGGCGAACCAGGCGGACGCCGAAGTGGGAACCGTGGCGGGCAGGCTGGGTGTCCTGGCTGGGGCACCCAGCAACATTGGTTGCAAGGCCGGTAGCACGACCATATCGGCACCCTGGACCAGCAAATGCTGTGCTGCACGCTCTACCGCATCGTTCTGGAGCCAGGCCCCCTCGTCGGCCAACGTCGAGAGAGTAGAGGCATCGAGAACGACCACCGATCGTGGCGCTGATAAGATCGTCTTGCCTGTCCAGCACGGCGCTACGGCGACAGGGCGTCCCAGCGTATGGCGTATCTGGGCGGTAACCACCTCCAATGGCACCTCAGTGGCGCGACGGAGGATCATAGACTCGCGGTCCAATGCTCGCTTGGCATACTCGTTATCGTCGTTGAGGCGCACCTGCTGACGTCCACTGAGCGCCAGAACGACCGCACGCAGGACCACCAAGGGCCATAGCGCGGTGATCTCATCGTCACTGAGACGGCGTCGTCGATCGAATGCAGCGATGGCCGGCAGCACGGTGCGGTAACAGGCATCGGCGTGGTGTAGGATCGAGGCAACGGTGATGGCAATCTCTGCCACGGCCCAGGATTCACTCACATCGCCAAAGTCGATCACGGCATCTGGCAGGCGGAGGACATCGCCATCCGGATGCAGGACGTTATCGTCGGTGATGTCAAAGTGGCTCAACTGACGCGGCAGGCAATCAGACACGGGGCGTAGCAAAGCTAAGGCGCGTTGGCTGGCTTCGGCGGTGCGCGCTCGCAGGTCGACATCGGGTTCGGTGGCGCTGATAGCGGCAATGACGCGTTCGGCGTGTCGTAGGTCCCACTGCAAGATACGCCCTGCAGCAGGATGAGTCTCAGTGGCCAGGGCCACACTGACCGCGGCCGACAGCTCGCCTAGCCGTTGCACCACGGCCGGGCTGAGGTAGTGTGAGCCGGTCAGTGTGCGACCTGATATGAAGGAGATGATGCGGCAGTGTAGACGTCCCTGACTGGTCTGCCACCAGCCCGACATGGCACCCCGCGGTCCCTCGACAATGTGGGGGATGCGCAGGGATGGTTCTGCACGGGCAACGGCAATGGCGACGGCATCCTGCATCGCAATCTCCGAATCACTAAAGGCGGGGTTGCTGATCTTCAATACGCCCAGCGGCTCGGTATGGGCTGCGGTGAGGACGAGAAAGTTCTGGTCCTGATGACTGCCGAGCGGACGCACGTTGGCGACAAGGCCAAACTCTTGGTGTAAGAGGGCACATGCCTCTTCGAGGGGCAGCGTCGGTGTGGGCAATTCAACATGGGAAAAGTAGTCGAACAAAGCCATGATGGCTCGCCTTGTACCACAGAGAGGCGTCAGTGATCTGGTGGTGCTGGATCGCGTTATGCGAAGCACCGTTGTTCCGCCAGGTCTCCGTGATAGCTTTTTATAGCGGTGGCAGAATGGAAATTCGTCAAGTGCCGGGACCGGAAGGCGTTATTGATGTGGTCAGCGCGCATCCAATGGAACACAAGGCTCGGAGAGCGGCCCACTGAGTACGAGTACGCGCTCACGCACCGCGCAAATTGCCCCTTGAAGGCGCTAAACGCGGCTATCTTTCGTGCGACAGGCCAGCACAGGGTCTGGGGTATCTAGCACCAGTTTAAATGTTCCCTAGGGTAGACACCAATATAGCCGGCTCCTAAGCGGGACGCGTTTGTAACCAGAGCGAAAACCCTCCGGCGGTGATCTCGTAATGGAGGGGTCGCTGGTAAGCGGTCTAAATCTTCCCGGGCCGGGCGAGATGGGGAGCATTGTTCGGCAGCTACTCAAGTTTGGTGAGGTCGAAGGCATCTAACAGCGGATCGGTGAGCTCTCTCCTCGTCAGCTGTTCTACTGGCAACAAACGAAGACTCCAAGCCCTTCTCGGATCCAAACACTGGCATCCACCTGACAAGGCATCCTATCCAACCGATTCTCGACCGGATCTGGTAGAGAACAAGCGTCTTGCAGCTGACCCACAATCCGATCTGTCATAAAACCCTCCGTCGGAACTCACCACCTGACAGATCGAGAGAACTTTGTGCATGGCGATGCCCAGCCCATGGCGACCACGTGCTGTGACGGTGAGGGAGGACAGGTAAGATAGTAGTCGCATACCTAAAATTCAGTTCATCTACATCGATATTCCCACGGCAGGGCCTAAGATAGACAATATCATTGAAACCTGTTCCCCTGGGAAGTTGCCGAGAGTGCGGTGTGGTGTGTGACAGAGACCGGTAAATACACAGATAGCCAGACTACCTAGGTAGGTGGATAAATCATTCGTCTACATACACATAATATTCTCCACACGTCTCACCAGTATCTGTTTCCAAAGGTCTCTCTAACTACAGCTTCGGCATCTCCAGACTCTGATGCTTCTCCCTCGCCAACCTGGGCTCATACTCGCCACTCCCGAACAGCAGCTCATCATGCATGTCGATGAACTGATTACGATCGATCTTGAAATACCGGATCTCCCACTCTTCATCGATCTCGTCGCCGTATGACTCTAGCTCGGCCCATTCCTCGGGATACGCCTGCTTCGCCCACGCCTCGACCTCGTCCTTGCGGAACTGCCAGGGGATGGCGTTGTAGAAGGTCCCGATCGTGAAGGCGTCGGGATGCTCACCGATGTCAGATACCATGGCGTCGATGAGTTCGACGACGTTTTCGAACTCGGATTGCCCCGCGAGCGCACCGATGTACAGGTCGTAGATCTCCTTGGTGATGCGCAGGTTGAAGGATTGCATCAATGCCATGATGTGTCGGGCTTCGTGGCTCCCCTGGGGAATCCACTTCTCGCACGCGCGCAGGGCGAGTTGGAAGGTGCTGATGGTTGGCCCTTCGCGCGATTCCATCACTTTCCAGAAGTGGTCAATGATACCGACGAAGGGCTGTTGGCATTCTGTGTACGCGGCGAGGAGGGCGTTGTGGACTCGGGTCGTTTGGTCCACTTCTAGGTCGAGCTTCAGCATGTTGTAAATCATTTGTAGACCGTCGATGTCTTTGCATTTCGCGATGCCGGCGAAACATTGCGCGTAGGCTTCTGCTGTTGGGCGGGTTTCTTTATTTTCCCGCTGGCGCATGTGGCCGAAGACTAGGCAGGCGAGGTCGGGACGGTTTCGGTCGAAGAAGCTCTGCATCATGGGCAGTCGGTCGAGCACGGGTGTTTCAGGGAATGCGTGGCGGAAGAGTTCATAGGCGTTATATGCTCGTTGCGCTTTAATGTTCAGATCCGGGATGAATTTAAGGAATACCGCGGCGATGCGTGCGCGGTCGTCCAGTGGGAGAGAGTCGACTCGGTAGCGAAGGAGACCAGTTGCTTCGTCGATCTCATCTTTTTCGAGAAACACTTGCGACAAGCCTGCAATAGCCTCGGCATCCAGGTCGCCTTTGCTTTCCAGGAGGTGGTCTACGACTTGCATCAGATGCTCATATTCGTGGTCGGCTGAGAAAGCGAGTGAGGCAATATAGCGATTGACAACCGGTACATCCAACCTATCTACCGGGATCTCTTCTCCTGAAAGTTGCTCAAACGCCTCCATGGCTGCGTCACGGTTGCCTTGTTTGACTGCGTAATCCAATTGGAGATATCTGGTCCTGGCATCTGGATGGAGACCCAGTTTTGAACATAGTTGGACGTACTCTGAAGCTTTCTCCGGGTTGTGCTGCTGGTATGCGTATTCTATAATGCGGTTTAAGGTTTTCATGGTTATGGCATTCGTCACACCCGAGTCTGCCATTTCTTCAATTCTCCTTCGAATGTGGTCCACATTATCTTCGTGAAGGGTGTACCATAACAAAAGTGTTCCTGCCAAGTCACCGGAATCAGTTCGTTCATGTAATGCCTTGGCTATCGGAGCCGCCCATTCAAGCTCTCCCTGTCGAATGGAAGAGTCTAGTGTTTTGACGAGAGATGGCGTTGTGGGAACCTGGCCATCTTCTAGAGACAATTCAAATACCTTCTTCAACATGGTAATCTCGCCATGTTCAGCAAAGAAGGTAATGAGCATCTCCTGTGAGGGAGCATCAAGTAAGCCCATTTCATCTTGAACTTCCCTGAGAACATCCCAGAACTCCTGAGTATGACCTTCACTGGCAAGGCCTCTCAAGATAGTTGTCCATACAGGTAGGCTTGTCCTTTCTGTAGCACCCCATGATCTGCGTAACAGATCTAGAGCATCGTGTGCAGACCCTGTTGCGGACAGAACCGTAATGTATGTCGCGAGTAGAGATCCACTTACTTGCTCTTTGCCGAGCTTGGAGAGATACTCTTCTCGAGACGTAGAAGGATCCCGTAGAGCTTCAAATATATAGGTGGCAAGAATTCTTGCGTCGCTTCGATAGCGGTCTCTCCCAGTGGAGGATGCCAGTGCCAATAACACATTATTCAGGTCGTCTTCGAGCAATGCCGTCCTCCCATCACCTGTCAACAGATGACTGCGTTCTTGCAAATGTATAAATGCCTCGGTGGCCAGGTTGACTTCATTTCTAGTCAGATGTCTCGGTGATTTGAGGCGAGAGGCGAAGACCATTCGAAAGGCATCGACGATTTCGCTTTCAGGAGGAAATCTTGAATTGCTTCTTCTTGCTTTGACTAGGTCGGAGAGCTTTCCCAGGGCACGCTCTAAGTTCGGAGAGGCTGGCTTCGCGTTTTGAAAGATGGACTGTGAGGTTTGTATGGCGCCACCAAGACCAAAGAAATTACGTTTCTGAGTGTACTCATGACGAGGCTGGACGGATCGGCACCTCTGAACACGTGGTCTGTGTAACTCGCATCCTCTAATGGTATATGGTCGGTCGTTCACAATTGCACGGATGATGCTCCGTGTTAGACTAGAAGGCTTCATGTTGGACTGGGGAAACGCAGTCGAAAGGCTGCTGATAGATTAAGGATTGAGTCGTATGAGATCCATTAAGTATCTAATGGCGGGGGAGGGGTGAGAGAGGTTCGAGACTCGTAGGTAGACTGTGGTCTGATGGTTGCAGGAATTCTTGGTGAAATGAGAAGCAATGAATTTCATGATGCGGAGACTTGGACTTGGAGCTCAACTGGAATTGGAACTGGAACCCGCACTTCTAAATAGAGAACCCAACCTGGTCACAAATGGTTGCCGCTTTAACGTACATATATCTGCAAACGGCGTAATGGATGTCAGTTCTACCAACACCAACTATCAGGGTCTGTCAAGGCAGTGGTGGTGACTTAGTGTCTGTTAACCCTTCTAGATATCTGGCTATGCTGTATTCCCAGGACGATATACCCCTCATCACTCTATCTAACTACTAAAATACTCTAGCTTGATATTGTCCCTTGAACTGGGCATGAGCAATTCATTCGAGCTCTGACTCGATCACAGGAAAAGGACCAGCCTTCGGTGGCCAGACCTTGACAACCTTCAGACCGACACTAGTCAGCAGTGCCCTCCAATGCTTCTCACTTCGTTGCATCGAGCTAAAGGTTGCCCGGCTAATGTCTGCCAATGACTCGAATTCACTGCAACCCGTAGCTGGCAACACAGTCTCGCAGACCAACAATTTGGACTGCCTTTTCACCATGCCATGAATCTGGTTGCGAAGAATTTCTCGGCATTTCGAGTCGGGAAAGTCGTGTAAGACCCGTCGCATGAAGTAAATGTTTGCCCCTGAGAAAGTCAGAATGGCTTCTTCCGTGGTTGAGGAGCACGAAGAATGTAGGGAAAGGCCCCTGAGGGATGTACATACCTTTCACTGGCTGTGGAGTGAAGAAATCATATTCCATGACCTCAAATTGGGGATTCTTTTCTCGAGCCTCCTCGACAATGGCTCCCAAATCTTGAACGACAAATCGACCTTTAAGTCCGGCGTTTTCTTCCAGGGTCTTCTCGGTCACCTGGCCAATGCCACCACCAACGTCAACCATCACCACTTGCTTTTCATCTGTTCCTAGTGACTCGAACAAGGACTTCGGAATCGGGCTGGCGAGAAGCCCACCGGTACCTTTCATAGCCGAGTTGAAACGGACGAGACGTACTGGGTCCTGACGAATATAGCCGAAGTAGTCAGTGCCAGTCGCGAAGTGGGACAATGTGTTGTCGGGGTCTTCAGGATTCTTATAGCCAATGTCGGCCAGATAGGCGGGGAGCTTTCCAATACAGCTCCAGCTGCTGTCGAAACTGTGAAGAAAGAGTTAGTTCGCACTGTACGAAAGATAAGCGGCAACGAGTGTAGTCCTATGTAAGTTGTGTATATGCCACCTTCAACTTACATATGTTTGTTCAGATCTCGCAACGCCGGAACCGTCAATGCCTGTGAGAGCGGTGTCCGCCCATAAGTGTGTTCTCCAAGCTCAGCAACTATACCATAGCCGGTAAGAACACGCATGAGGCGGACTGAAGATCATTGTCAGTGATACATCCAACTGACCCGCTAGTACTGAATCTACCCACCTATCAGTGTCTCCTCTGCCCCCGTCTTCTGTGCGAGCTGCGCTGCTGTAGTTGAGTCTTCCAAGAAATTGAACAAATCCAGCTCCAAGGCGGTCCGCACTACGGCATTCATCCATGGCTATTGTGCGATTAGCAACTCGGGTCTTCAAAACCTGACAGTCTTACCGTGAACGCGATCTGTGTCGCTCGCTGGGGTGGGTTGACGGTCTGTCCAACAATCTTTTGGGCTGTAGACCATATCTGTTGACGGCTCTTGTCAACGACAGGCTTCTGTGCCTTTTGCTCTGGGGTTAGGCCCACGAAAGCATCTATTGATGCATTGAGGGAATCACGAAGAGTAAGTAAAGCCTTGATATCGTCTTGTGGTGCCGACATTGTTACATGCACTCAGCCTTGAGTATTGCTAGGTGATAGCTAGTGTCGTTTCGCTCTGTTTTGGTCATGTACTAGGACAGGCTGAGAGTCGAGGAGGTAAGTAGGAATAAGCAACGATTAAGCTTCCTTATTTTAAGAGGAACATTTCGTAACATATTTGTCTTCAGGAGTGCAAATTCGGCCTGCAGTGACCTGGCACAGCCAAGGGCTAGGCATGCATCTAGGCGTGCCTTCAAAAAGCCACCGTAGCCCATGACTACCGATCTTTTTCAAGATAGTATAAACTTCGTAAGGTCACGAGGGATTTGATGCGCTTGACAGAGGAGTCTTACCGGTCAAATCTTCGATCTTGATTACATGTGGCTGCTCCTGGAATTGGTCCGAGGGAAAGAAACATCAGCATACACTCGGACTGGAAGGGCATCCCGTCGGCAACGAGACACCTCCAAAACAGAAGCATACGAGAGGGATGGAAGCTAATGCAGGTCAGCAACATGTTTCGATTCTGCATTACGAGGTACCTAGGTATGTCTGGTGAGTTTAGTTCGCGAGCCATGGCACGTCAGCTCAGCTAGCCTCGAAACGGTGAGGGCCTGCCGCTCTCAGATGCTGCCAGGCTAGGTGGGGTCGGACATGATTTAGCTTGTGGGGGAAGATATTTCGTCAGAAGCCCTAATCTTTGTACATGTATGCCTAAGTATCTCATATTCTACACTTGAACGCCGGGGTTAGAGTACAGAGAAAATCCAAGTTCTGTGAGAGGTTTGTGCTGCCTGTTGCAAATCAAGCCAGGGAAAGGCTGTACTCCATAAAACTCCGAAGAAATTCTCTACCGTGAGATCCATCCTGTTGGTAAATCAGCCACCTAGGATGTCTTCTTCTTCTTCTTTTTCTTCTTCATCAATTCCTGCCTCCTCAAGTTTTAGAGTCAACACCAGATCGATCAGTTCTGAGAGATTCCTAAGATCCTCGGCTTTCAAAAGTTTGGCCTTGGTGCGCATTAATTTGGCAATGTGATTGGCGTGGAAGATCCGTGATTGGTAGTCTTCGTGTCGTTCGAATTGTTCTACTTGCGATGGGAGAGGCATTTCTTCTTCTTCACGTCCTTCAGTTTCATTGCGTCGCTCTTCTGTTCCTTCAGATACAGATTCGCGTTGGGTGTGGGAAGCATTCCTTTGTTGAGCCATGATCGTGGTGTTGGTTCGGTATTGCGGAAGACGCTGGTGAGATCGTGGGATGTAGTGAGCGGCCGAATGAAGATTTGCGCGCGGACTGGAAGTCATGGTTGCTCTCGTTGGAGGTTTGAAAGGCCAACAGTGAGCATTCTGCTCATATTCATACATGTGGAAAGGGCAAGTAAAGAGTTTGTCTTCTTCTAAACGTTGATCATAGTTCACTGGGTTGCGCGAATTAGTTGGCCTACCTATAACAATGCAGACTTTGGTCTGAATGAAATCTATAAAGTGGGGATTGTGGACGACGTTGCCTTTTTTGCCTTACCTCCATGAGGTGCATTGTGATACCAGTGATATTCGAGTTATGAGGTCCTCTAGAAGCGGAAGAGTTTAAACTCGAGGCTGGACTTTCAAGGGCGAGGCTGACGCCAACATCGGAGTCGGATTATGTTTTGTCCGAAAGCTTGGCATGTTTGTCTTTCGCATCTGGATGCCAGCGAGATTCTGTGCTACTGACATGGTTTGAGATTCTCGGAATTCGAACATCCTCGATCTAACAACAGAATCGTCCTTGTCGGTCTTACTTATCAGGCACAGAGTAAGCCGTGGCAGAGACAATGACATCCAGTTTGAGCTCAAGACTAGCAACGAACCTTGGACAGACGGCGAAGAAGGTCTGCATTGTCAATCCGATTTGTACGCTGTCTCATCGCATCCTTTTTTCATCTATGTTCCTTGTTGCTAACTACTCGTCAGATACTACTACACGAGCGATCTCCGCCCCGACACTCACATCCGCCAGACAACAAGAGGCACTAGAGGAAGAAAAGAGAGCACTGAAAAGACAAGTTTCGCGCAAATGGTTTCCCGGTGATGTGTATGCCCCTCACGATTTGAGTGCTGCGGAAACCCGAAAATGGAGGAAAAGAGCACGACCAACATCAGATATCTTCGACCAGCTAAACATCAACCCGTTGAGTCTGTATAAGAATTTCACAGTCATGTCTGACTATATGACGGATATGGGTCGGGTAAAACACTCTAAATTGACGGGTCTAAGGCCTGTCAACCAGCGCAAGATCGCCAAAGCCATCCGACGGGCGATTGCTTTGGGACTCATGCCCAGCATACACAAACATCCGGAGGTGTTGAAAAGAACGCAGAGCGCGAATATAATAAATGGGTCGACGCGGATGCCCCAAAGTCGACGATATTAACATGTACAATACTTAGGTACTGGGCGAAGTTGTCTCTTGTATTATAGCCAACAACTAGAATTTGTCTGGAAGCAACGGATATTTGCTTCACGGCGGAATGTAAATCCGTTGAATCTTGCAGTTTCCAGTGTTGGTCGTACCTTCCCAGATTCTTATAGTGGCAGCCTTGCAGACGGGACAAGGCTGCACCAAATAATTCGTTTCGGTGCGGGCGGCTTCGTCTCACATGCAACTCATCACTCTCATCTTACCTCGCGTCCTCTCCCCTACCATCGGTTGACCACCACATGAATTGACCATGTCTATCACAGCTGGTATGTCTAGTGTGTTCCAGACCAGTTGTATCCCAGCTAACACATCTCAGACGGCGTTTATGCCGCTCTGCCTACCACTACTCGAGGCCAGCCTACCCCTCTATCAGCGGACTCAAAGGGCGAAAGAATAGCGTACGCCTCCAACAAGTCCATCTTCCTCCGTTCCATAGACAACCCAGCTGTTTCTACTCAATACACCCAACATAATGCTGCTACATCCGTTGCCCGGTTCTCTCCTTCTGGCTACTACGTTGCGTCTGGGGATGCTTCAGGCATCGTAAGAGTCTGGGATAGTTCTCCCAACGGCTCAGGAGTCACAAAGGGCGAATATGCCATTATTTCCGGTCGAATCAATGATATAGCTTGGGATGGTGACAGTCAGCGCATAATAGCTGTGGGCGACGGGAAACAACGCTACGGCCATTGCGTGACAGCGGACTCCGGCAACACTGTTGGCGAGATCAGCGGTCATTCGGCACAGGTCAATGCGGTCAGTATACGACAGCAGCGGCCCTTGAGAGCAGCTACGGCAGGTGATGACAAGAATCTGGTCTTTTATCATGGAGCGCCGTTCAAATTCAATGGCATCCCTGGACGAGGAAACCATACCAACTTCGTCTACGGTGTTGCCTTCTCTCCAGATGGAAATCATCTACTTAGTGTGGGAGGCGACAAGAAAGTCTTCCTCTACGACGGGAAGACTGGTGAAATCAAGACCGAAATCGTCGACTCTGGAGATGGCCATACTGGAAGTATCTTCGGGGTCTCATGGTCCAAAGATTCCAAGAGCTTCGTCACATCATCTGCTGACCGAACTGTCAAGACGTGGGATGTTGAGGCTGGCAAAGTTACCCATACATGGAAGTTTGGCGACACTGTAAATGTCTCTGATCAGCAGGTCGGTGTGGTTTGGCCTGCGGGTAGATCAGACGGTCTGATTATTTCTCTCTCCCTGAGTGGCGACCTGAATTACCTCAACACAAACTCTAGTCAGCCAACCAAGGTCATTTCAGGCCATCAGAAGAATATTACCGCTTTAGCCACGTCAGGAGAAGGTGCCGCTGCAACGCTGTGGACCGGAAGCGCCGAGGGCAGGATAGTATCTTGGAACGCCTCGAATGGCGCAGCAGAGGCCGTCGAAGGCGCAGGTCATAGCAACATCGTCTCAGGGGTAGCAGTGTCGACCTCTGAATCTCACCCGCAAGTTTATACAGTTGGCTGGGACGATACCCTCCGAACCGTGGATGCTGGCGCGAAGACTTTCACGGGCAAACCTACCTCACTCTCGTCACAACCTAAAGCAATCACAACAGTCGACGGCCTGGTAGTAGTTGCGCAGGTTGAAAGCGTGTTAGTCTACCGAGATGGCGAAGAAGATGGTGAACTACCCCTGAAATCAACGCCTACGTCTCTTGCCTCATCCGGCAGCACTGTGGCAATCGGCTCGCAAGACTCCAGCCTCCGCCTCTTCTCCGTCGTGCCAGGAAAAGCACCTAAACAAACCGCCGCCATTGACGCCGTCTCTGCCTCCCCACTAACAGCCATATCCTTCTCTCGCGACGGAACGCTCCTCGCTACTGGCACGGCAGCTGGCAAAATCTACGTCTACAAAGTAGGTGGTGGCGGACTTACAGGCCTCGTGACAGGGGCAGCATCTCTGGAGCTAGTTACGGACCGCTGGAGTGCACATACTGGCAAGATTACGGGCATTGCATGGAATCCAGAGGGCACGGGCGCGGTGTCGACGTCTTTGGATACGAATATCTTTGTCTGGAGTCTCAAGGAGCCCGGTAAGCGAGTCAAGGAGACAAATGCGCATAAGGAGGGTGTCAATGGTGTGGTTTGGGTGGGAGACACGGTGTACAGTACGGGGGCGGATGCAGCGGTGAAGCGCTGGAAGGTCAAGATTGCTTAAACTTGGATTGAGCTGGATCAACGTGGATTTGGCAGTGGGAATGGACATTGCGGGACGTACATGCGGTTATGACTGTCATACCGTGATACGGGTCGTGGGTGAGAAGTTGACCTGCAAAGGACGATAACAGGACGAGGAAGCGAGCATGAATAAAAGTAGAAACGATGGTCATGACAAAAGATATATGAGATACACATTATGAATGAGCCTGCTGTATACCACAGCGCTGAGGGTTGAGCCTGAGACCCCTCAAGGTTGTTCTGTGCAGAGAGTGCAGCGACCAACTGGAGTAGGGTAAATAGATCCGTTCCGCACGCTACTATTGAACTACGTATATTGTGGATCTATGGTATCTAGATATCGCAGACAACCTCCGGAAAAGGGAAGTTCTTTTCGAGATGTCGGGGGAATTTGCATTTATGTGAATGACCCTGATTAGATCCGGCAACAACATCGTCGTCTTTGGGTGTCGTGCTGCCACCGAATATAATTCGGTTCATAATCAGGGAGGGAACAGGAAAAAATCCTCGCAGGCATTGATGAGATAGAGTATAAGAGAATGGATACAGGGACAGGAATGCAGGGTCTTATTTCCATGGAGGCTTGTGGGAGAATATAGATGTATTTCTGTATCATTTAATACACGCTTGCTCATACGAACGATGGGGATATACGTCATGTGAATATCTGTAGGTCCTCGTGCTTGTATTGCTATCGTGGTCATTCTCGTCATGCGTAGTCTGGAGCCTCTTCCACGACAGGATCTGTTCTGCGCTGCGCAACCACGGGATGTATACTCAGGAGAAGAGCCAATGCTGCCATGATCATGTGCCATCGTTCCTTCGTCCTGTCTCGTTGACCGTCCCGACTGTATCTCAACTACTGCATCCCCACACCGCCTTTCTCAACCCCTCCGCTATTCCTTCGGCACATGGACATGCGTGTGATGGTGATGATGCGCGTTCTTTCCAGTACTGATGCTCCCCACCCCAGCCGCGGCGGCACCAGAACCGTTCATCAACGCGGCTTTCTTCCCAAACTTGCAGCACGCCTCGTGACGTCGCAGATTGTCCAGCCTCGGAAATCTTCGCTTACAGCCCAAACCATGGAACTTACACAGCATATGTTGATGCTTCGGTCTGTGGGTCGCCATGTGGCGCTTGAAGTTCGAGCCTTCACCGTTCAGGAACTGGCCGCAGATGTGGCAGTACATCTTGTTTCCGTTGTGCGAGGACGCGACGTGCTCGTCGCGCACTTGCTTGTACATGAACGATTTGGTGCAGCCGGGGAATGTGCATTTGAAGAGGCCTTCGCTGTTGTTGGTTGTGGTGATTGTTGGGTGTGATGTCGTGGTTGCTTGACCGTCGGGACCGATTATCGTTGTGGTGGTCGTGTTGATTGTCGAGGTGGCCAGTGGGGCCAAGTGTTTCTTCGAGATGTGTCCTGTCAAAGCAGCTTCCGAGGCGAAGCTTGCGCTGTCACAGGCTTGCCAATTGCATTTGGTGACGCCTTTGATCAGATGGATGGTCTTCAGGTGTTTCTTGAGGTCGGTCGTCGAAGCAAAGCTCGCACCGCAGACTGTACCACAGGGCATGATCCATTGGCATGCACGGGAGGTGGACGGGGCGGAAATGGCTGATATGAGAGCCTTGGTGTCGGTGAGTGGCCCTTCTGGGATGGAAGTCGGAGTCGGAGGCGTCGGAATTGGTGTCGAGTCGACGGATGCAGGGGCATATCCCGAGGATGTGTTGGTGGTAAAATTTGGTAAGAGCATTTGTTGATGTGCGGCTGCTGGGTGACAACCGTATTCGAGGCCGAATGGTGGTAGGGGATATTGTTGCGTCTGTGAACCAGGCACAAGGTTGCCGTTGCAGAATTGAGCATCCAGCAACCCAGTCCAGTAAGGAACAGCATCTCCCAGGCACTGATGATGCATGGGGACGTCTAGGGGTGGTGCCATTACTTCTGGTTGGGGGTCGAGCAGTGCTGGGGTTGAATAGTCCAACATATCCATCTCGTCGAGGGACGGATGGGGTAAGTTGAACCCATCGTCACCTAACAGTGGCACTGCGTAGGAAAGCCCAAGCGATTTGTCCCGTTCAAATTCATTCCAATCGATGCAGTCGAAGCAAGAAAAGTCACAGTCGGGACGGGTACAATTCTTATCGTGTTCTTGGTGACATTCTTCACAATCATCGAGGAAGTCTGTAACAGTAGCAGCGGTGATCTTCTGCTGGTTGAACATGTGATGCTCTTCTTCGCAGTCCTCACAGTCGTCGACACAGTCTTCACAATCCATGGCACTGGGAGAGTTATGACGAACCTCTTCACAACAATCGGGTGGACCGCCATCGTCGGCGCAGCAATCGAGGACCCCAGAAGAGTGAAATGGCGGACCTTCATCCTCGTCTTCGTCTGCTTTGCAACAGGCGAACTTGCGGGAATCCAGTGAAAATGCGGATGGACTTCTAGAGGAGTTGCCGCTCTTTACCGGTGTTCGCAACCCATGGGCACGAGTTGCTAGCCTCGATCTTGAAGGGAACACATCCCGAGGATTGACGAATGACTGATGATGAAAATCTTGGGTGGTGAGCCCTTGGGGGGATGATCTTCCCATACTGTTCAATTATATTGAATAGCAGGATGTCATGTATAAATCCTGTCTCATTGACTTGAGGTAATCAAACCGGCGGAAGACTTTTGTTCAACTCGGCAGAACGGCGGCCGGAACTTTTGGGTGACGAAGTGACAACTCTTGTGGCATCGGCTGCTCGCTTGGAATTGGAGCACAACCTGAACGTGGGGGAAAAGGAACTCGGAACTGTTGAACCACCAAACAAAAACGGGCAATTATTAGTGACAAGCCAAGACTTTATTTCTTGGCATTGAATGCCCACCAGTGAACCCGGAACCGGATCAACTATTTTGGTAGCATGTGCAACGGTAACAGCCTTCACATTCATCACATTTGCTACGGTCCATGAATGAAAGACACCTCCCTATGTAGGTGGTCTCACGCGAAAAATCTATCATCTCTCCTCTCTTTTTGATTAGCCACCAGCCGCTTTGCTCACCCGCCTTCTGCTTCCTACGCCATCACTGAGCGCTACCGGAGCTCTACCTGACCCGTTAGATTCTTCCTCTTCCTCTTTCATTCACAACGCCAACTTTCGTCAACTTTGGACGATGGGACCCGTTCAAGATGCTCGGGAATCCCAACTCAAAGGCCTACTAGTAGCTAGAACATGAGAGTATTATCGAAAAGAAATCCAGGATGAACTTGAATGTCATTTTAGCTCTACCATAACTCCCTCGATTCCCCCTCCTCCGCCTCTCAAATTCTATCATAACTCCCCAATCCCATGATAAGTACTACTGTAAGTAAAGAATCTATTGTCTCGTGCAAGCGATACGGTTAGCCTTCAAAACTAGCCTTCAAAACTCAGAGCACTCTGCTTGTATGACCCGCGATTGAACGCTTACTCCCGCTCGACCCGCCGCAAGAACCACTGGCCACTTCGTTGCAAGCGCATTGGAAGGCGGAAGCAAGCAGCCCACCCACTTCCGGGACTGCTTTCAGAGCCGCCTCAGTGACCCCGGCGAAGAGACCTCCACAATCTATCTCGTTTGTGTCCGAGCCTTCGACCTTGTAGGTGACCTTGAGATACGCCTGCATATCGCCTTTTTTGTCTCTAATCGTCACTCGGGCGAAGTTGGGCAGGTCAAATACCGTGGGTGGATTACCGGAGGTATCGGTGGTACCCAAGTTGTCCGGTCGAATGTTTATTTTTGGCATAGCTGCCATGAGGAGCGATTGTGTGTACTTGGCTTGGTCGAGATTGCCGAAGGATCCATCAGCGCTCGCAGTGATGGTGCCCTGCTTCCCTTCGACGTCGAATTTGACGGCGATGGTGTTGGTAGGGTCGCAGCCGCCGCTGGAGCAAGCTTTCGCAAAGAGCTGTGGAAGACTGACCGGGTTGTTGTCTTGTTCTGAGTGGATAATGGTGCCGAGATTGACGGTAACCTGGGATTCGGCGAATGGGTTGTCGAACAAGGCCTGGCTGAAGCAGACAAGGCTGGATCCACTAACACCAGTGCAGCCGACTGTGTTCGAGAAGACTGTCTTCGTGAACGACGTGCAAGTGTTGTCACTGAAAAGATTGCATTGAAAGCCAGGATCGCCAGAGTTCACTCTGACGGATCCAAACGGTGCCCCAGGTTGACAACCGCTGGAGTCTTTATCGTTGTTTCCATTTGATGAGACTTTGCCCAGCGACACCCCAATATCGCCGCCGCATCCGTCGTCGCTGAACAATTCAACCGTGATGTCCGCAGAGACCAACGCGCCGAGTGAAAGAAGCAATAACGCCCAGTGCTTCATGATTGCGCAGAGATGACTTATGAGAGATGTAGGTGATAATGACGCCGATCCTGGTTGATGTTGTCGTTCTTCCTGCACGTATATCGACTCAGTGGAGGCACTGCGAGAAGTAAATATTAAAGACGAGACAAGATCCGACAATGTTGGTTGGACTCGATCAAACTCGAAACTCGAGCTGCTCTATATAACTCAGCGATAGGAATTCAAGTTCGCCTTCGCCGCTCACCCATCTACATGTACTGCACTGCACAGCTTCATCACATCGAAAGAGACCCTATTCAGACTGGAGACTCGCCACATATCGCTCCGTCATTCCATCATTCAACGCGTTCGAACACGAACATATTCTTAATCGAGGTCTTTGAAACGTAATATAAAATAAAATAGAGCATAAGAACACCAGGCTGAAATCGGCTGAAAGCTATGCTTACATCGTGTACGGTGAGCTCGAATCTCCACGGGCTCGATTGAGGTGATCAGATGCAAAATTCTTGTCTTTACGGAATCAGATTGTTGTCTCTACGGAATACCTTAGTCACGACGAAAAATTACTTGTGCAGGAACCGCAACGCTGAGCCACATCACAAAGTGAAGATATTAGGCCAATGCTGGGTTATGGCGGACAGAGCAATTTCCCAAAGTGGAAAATGTTGTTGCGGCTGCTTGCTTATCCCTAGCTTTTTGCCTTTGGTGGAGGACGAGGTGAGTGAATCGTCGGCAAGCCACTGTTGCGGTCAATAAGAATAGAATGCTTCCTTTGGTGGTATTGATGGTCTTGTAGCTGTATTCCTACATTGTGAGAAGGGCGCAGTGCCAAAGATACACTTTTGAGGGTCATAATTTCTACATCCCTACATCCCCTCCACTTTCGGGGTGAGCGCCTAGGGTGAAGCGCTTGGGCGCAGAGCTGGTAACACCGACACCCCCTGGAATCTTATATTGTGCCTAGACTACAATTTGCTTAATCAGATTCCTTGCTGTGACGCACGATCAACCGACATCCTTGCTGGCTGCTTAGCCGATCGCTGGGGCCAGATTAGGCCGCCGACTGATCTAGTTAATCAGGAAGCGCTCAGTGATGCTCAGCTAAAGGCTTACCGCAGTTAACGCTCAGGTTAAAGCAGCCTGCTCTCACCCATGAACTAGAATCACACCGGAAATGGCTCTTAGGTTTTTTATTCTCGAGTAATATAGGAAGTCAGGTCTAGAATATCTGGTCGAGGATAGGGATGTGTATTACTACGATTATGGGACTGCTACCAAAAAGCCTGGGACAATTACGCCAACCCTGCTGAAAACAATAATGCCGAGGAGAAATAGATACACCACTCAACCCTCGAAACCAACGCAGTCGGATGACTGGCATCTCTACCTCGGTGAATTCATGAGACTCCAGGCATCACCATCCTCTTAAAAATATTCCAAAACACCAAACACTGCTCGGGGTATCATTGTGCGTCTTCCATCATGTAAATGCTGTAGTGGTTCGAATATCAGAGGAGTCATTGACGTAAGACAAAAGACCACGAGTGGTCATAAAGATTCATCCATAGTCATATAAATCCTCCGTATTGTTGCGTTGGGTAGATTGGTGGGCATGCCGCCTCTTGACCTTGCGAATATTATGCAGTCGTTTGTCATACAACAAGGTCTTGTGATCAAGACAAAGTATCGACACTGCTGGAAGGACCAAAACTCCTCATGCTTCCTCCAACAGGCTTTCTGCCAAAGCGTTCGCGTTTCCTCTGGCGACGTTTGGCAGCCAGCTGTGGGCTCCAGACCCCCGCAAAGAGATCTTCACATTCGTCCTCATCTTGTGAATCGAATTCTAATTCTTGGTCGGATTTTTGTGGAGTATCAGCTAGTTTCCTCAACTCTCGTGGGGAGAGCGGCAGAACCTCGTCGTAGGTCGAGGTACCGAAATTGTCATTGTCATTATTCTCCCAGGAAACTCCGACACGGACACGTTTGGTCTCGAGTATAAATTTGCCGACCTTGTACTTCTGACTCTCTTCACTTGCCTCGACGTATTTCCAGCCTAGTGTACTGTCACAGATCGCGCATGAGATGTCACTGACAATATGCTGCCCTGTGACTAGATTGCGAGGGATGTTCTTATTCTGGTATGTATTTGGCAAAGCAGCAGTATGAGATCGTATGTGAGATGGGTTTCCTTGCACGAGCAAGGCTCGGCCATGTCGACCGGTAAATCCCTTGCTGATGATCTGGGATGTCAGACACAAATCGGTTGAGCACTTGGCACAGTGAATGTGAGAAGTATGACCATGAAGGAATTTATCCTCGGGAGGTAGGATGATAGATGAGGACGAAGATGCAGGGATCGGATTCGGAGTCAGTGACCGAACAAATGGGTTCGAGGAAGAACTCGAGGTAGATGCCTGAGATATGATTGAGGTGACAGAGAAGTTACTGTCAGTACTGGATTGGCGTGACTTGCGGCGGAATGGGATAGACTGAGTCAGGTAGGTTGCGAAGATGGAAGGCCCACCGTTGGAATCGGATTGCTTGCGTAGGAAAGACATGTTGGATACTTGGTGTCAAGGGGCGCAGGTAGTGGTAGATTTGGGTGCGTTGGCAAATGGTCGGCTCATCACCGCATATTCATGTGTCGAGAGGATGATTCGGAAGTCCGGAATCAGACGATGCTGGTCTCAGACTCCTCAATGTCAAGGAAAAGGAATGATCCACCAAGGGATGTGGCGGAATGTGTGTATTTGGCTGCTGGTGAATGGTATGGTGGGAGGAGACGGTTTAATAAATCAATCGCTCGTGGTCCGGCCACCAGGTGAAACAGAAACGGAATGTCACAGGCAGGAATGGATTAGTAGTTTGAGGAGTGAGTTGTCACGAACTCACGATAGACTTTGAGAGGGCCAATAAGGCATACAGAGGGACGGAAAGATGGATATTTGATGATTGAATGATGATCACGCGGGAGTGGCCTTGCAAGTGATCATCATGAGCAATACAAGAAGACCAAGTGAGGGGAATTGGGCCGGTCACAAGTAAATCCGATCCAGTGAGGTGAGGGGTAAATGGATATTCCGTTATCGATAGCGAGATGGACCGCCAATTACCGAGTACGAGCTGACGAAAGTACCGGACATGATATCCGCATACGTATTCTCATCGTCAGTACAGGGAAATTGTCTAGATCATGTCTCTATATCCAAATATGATGGTGAGGAGTGTCCTTGTGCCTTGTGGTTATATCAAGATGTAGAATTCAATTGTACGGGTCCAAATCTATGCCACCCGATTCCCTCCTCTTCTTCCCATAACCAAGTCGACAACAAGATCTGCGACAAATACTCCGCTAAGTGATTGTATCTCCCTTGTCGATGCGCCGATGTGAGGTGTGATGATCACATTTGGATGCTTCAGCAAACTTCCATAAGCCTCCCTTGTCGGTGGCTCAATCTCCATGGCATCCAAGCCCGCCCCAACCAACTTGTTCGATTCCAGTGCTTCCAGCAATGCTTCTTCATCGACAATCCCACCCCTAGCACAATTCAAGAGAATTGCATCCTGTTTCATCTGTGTGAATTCATCCCGAGCAATGAGCCCTTTCGTAGAATCGGTCAATGGCACATGTAGTGACACAACATCTGCAACCTGTAGAAGATTGTTGAGCTGGTCCACCTGACGGAAGCGATGAGCACCCAGGATCTCAGACCATGAATCCCCCTGATAGTGAGGATCATAGCCCACCACCGTACCTTCCATCGCCCCAATCCACTTCTTGGCAAGCACGATGCCAATGTTGCCCATGCCTATCACCCCGAGGGTTTTGCCAAAGAGACTTCTGCCGAGAGTTTGACTGCGAACGACTGCCTTGCCTTCTCGAATCGAGCGATCAATTTCCGTGATCCTTCTGGCAAGGCACAGAGCTAATGATAAGGCGAGTTCTGCGACAGCCTCGGCGTTGAGTCCGGGCGTGTTGTATACTTCGATACCTGCTTGTTTTGCTGCCTCTAGATCGATATTGTCGACTCCCACGCCTTGCTTGACCACATACTTGAGTTGAGAAAACTTGCTCAATTCTACTGGCGAGATCGCGGTATCACTGCGCACCATGATCGCCTGGGCACGGTCATATATCTCTTGTCGATTCGACTTGGACACGACAAGTGAATCGATCTCATTATTGGCCTCCAATTTAGCTGTAGCATCGGGATGGTAAGGATCCAGTATGGCTACCAAGGGTTTAAGTGATGTGCCGGTCATAGTGGTGGTTTCGTTTGAGTAATCCAAAAAGAACAGAAGTCATTTCTACACATCTAAGACTGTCTCTCGAATATCTCTCAATGTGGGGGGATGATATTCAATGCCTCGGATATCTTCCGAGAATTCCCTCATGGAATCTCTCGCACTTCAGGCATTCTGTTTACTGGCATTCTGGGATGGATTGATATCGAATCCGTTATTTGAGTAGATCGACACAAGATCTCAGGACTTGTAGATTATTGATACATGTTCGTACTGGTTCTAGAAAAATGACCTCTACACAAACCTCCACCCATAGCCAAAGCGCACCTCACAACGGAGCTTCTTGAATCTTGCTTTACGTTCGAATGGCGACAGTGAACTGCAACATCTGACTTGAGGTCTAGTTTAGACTACAGATCCTGGCCTCCTCGTTCTACAACAGCGAGTTAAGGCCAATACACAAGTGCAATCCCGAATGGTTCACTGAAGAATCCACCTGATATCTCTCACAAATTCTTGCTCCCATGCAAGCGACACCGGCAACTCCGGACACGTCGCCCAGAAACCATGCGGCAGGCCGCTATGGATCTTGATGCGTGTATCGACGCCTTCGCTTCTGAGTATATGCTCGAGGAGGATCGCTTCATCTCGTCTCGGATCCCAACCACAGACGGAGAACAGTGCTTTCTTAGCCAGGTTCGCGTGTGACTCAAACAGCAATGGTGACAAACGTTTGTCTGACGGTGGTGCACCGTATTTGGCTGTTAGAATGATCATTAGGTCAATAATGCTGGGTACTCTGGGGTGTAAAAAGCCAAATGCTTCAATACTTTGGGGGCAGACGAACCGGCAAAATAGTCGATACTCTTCCTCGTCAACCCAGGGGCATCGTTGATCTCATCGACGCTCAGGATCCGATCTCGATACTCTTCCGGTCGTGCGTCCGGGTGGCAGAAACTGCCTGCCAGAAAGATCAAACCTGATAATGGTGGCGAAAGGGCTTTGTCCCGCGCAAGGTGCGAGATGCCTGCCGTGAAATTCGCGCCAGCTGAAGTGCCGCCTAAGACGAAGCCTTTCGTGAGGTTGATGCGTAGTTGGGCTTGTGAAGACTCGAGCGTAGCCTTAGGAAAAACAGTCAGCATATTTCGTCAACGAAATATCACTGGCACATGATGGCCAGGAGTCGTCGATGACTTTTTACCCATTTCACAACGTCATACGCATCACCGAATCCAATTGGAAATTTATGCTCGGGAGCCAGGCGATACTCGATACTCAGAACGAGGACATCAATCTCAGCCGCGATCTTGCGACAGGAACGGTCATCCGTCTCCAAGCTACCAGTAACATAGCCACCCCCGTGCATGTAGATGAACAATGGCAAGTCATTAGACTCTGGCTTTCGGTAGATTCGTATTCGGACAGGGTAGTCATCTCGAGCAGGGACATCAAACTCCTCGATATGTAGCCCTTCTTGCGGTTTGATGGGCAGTCGGTCCCTGTTCATGCCATGCACATGAGTCCCTAGCGGGAGGTTGTTGGGGAACTATGGGACCGTTAGTTGCATGGCTTCGTAGATATTCCCACCTGGCGCCGCTTCTGGAATGTTGAAAGCAAAACGCCGTGGAAGAAAGATGGCATTCTGAGCCTCGCAACTCACATCAACCCATTCAGGGTTCGGGACAGCATAATGTCGATACTCAGCCATGCTCTCGAATTAAGCTTGAGTGCTGGACGCAGTTCAAGCGAGGTTGATATTTTTGAGCCTGGGATCTCGCAGGCGGATTTCCAAGACAGTATCAAAGCCAGTCTTCAGGCATTGTGCCATATGGCTTGCGTAAGCATCGACCATTAACATCACATCTAAGTATGCGACAAGTTCAGAAGTGTACAGGCTATCAACCAGATAGCGTCTGCTCCGCGTTCATTGCTGCGGTATCGGCTGCAGGGTATTAAGGTTTCGTACTTTTAGCCTGTTCCATGTCTTGATTTGGGTAGGTAGTATTTGTTGGATATTTATAGTCCAAGCCACAACAAGAGGATCTTAAATCTACGGATCATTAACAATTCCCATTGGAGTTGGATCACGCCTGAGAGTAGCTCAGGTGGTCACTCCTGTACCATAAAAATTAACATGCCCTTCATCGCAACTACTCAGCTTTTACGCAAATGTTCCCGCTGGCACCTGGCAAACAGCAAGCCCGCCATATTGGATGACGCCGGATGCGAGAAACAGATTGTTGTATGGGTCCACTGCTGCAGTCGTCATAAAGCTCATGACAGATCCGTCGTCAAAGTATATCAGCTCAGGCGCATAGTCTTTGGCGTGATTCAATCGAAGTGAGGCAGCGGGAACCAAGAAGTCTTTGCCCAGAGATAGCACATTGTCGAGATAGGTTGGTAAGTCCTCAAGTGTTGGGAATACTATTTATCATTAGTAAATGTCCACGAATCTCCTTGCTGGTTATCCGACTTACTCGCAACTATTGGGTCGCCAGAGATAGGGTCGATGTTGATATTGTCAGCGGCGGCTCCGAGGTCCTGAATCGATGTTAGTCACATGTCTGAACGATGGGCAGAAAGCTCATATGTCTCCACTCACCATTTGACTCAACTGCGTCAAGCTCTTGTCGTGGTGGATGTCAAAAATAGTCACAGTTCCGTTCCTGGCATCTCCCACGAAGAGTCGATTTTTCCACAAAGCTATGCCGTTTGCTCCGGGGAAAGTACCTGTCACTTGCTTACAAGTGACGTGCTGGAATGTGATGTTAGCGCCCATCGCGGAAGCAGGGTAAAGACAGTACCTCGGCGCTCGCATCGCAGAACTGGACATGCGTTGACCAAGTAAACGGACCATATGCTTCTTCAGCCACTCGGAGCGGGCCAAGTGCGAAATAATGATCGTTCGTGACATAAAACTCCCTAGAAGGAAGGTGAGCAAACCCCTGAAGAATAAAGGTGATAAATTTTCATGCTACCTCGATCCTGTGGCAACGACGCCATTTGCTGTCTTGATGTTCGGATGCCTCACTTTACTCTCCAACTCAACTACATCTGAGCCCAGTTCGTGCGAAAAGATCAGTATGGAATCTCCTTCTCGAGCGTGATTGACCGCGAAGATATGGACCTGCAGAATTTGAGCCTAGTTGTGCATCGCAAGTCTAGATATGTCACTTACCTTCGAGGGATCCCCAGGTGTCGAGAAGATATCAATTCCGTGCGTAATGAAATCACCTTCTAGACCGTGGAGTTGCAACTCCGTAGGTTTGCCAGATATCAGATCATACTTGAAAAGAGTTTCACGGAATGATGCCTCCGATCGCTTAGTTGAATCGCGCATTCCCGCACAGGGATACCAATTCCTTCGTTCCAAGGGATCGCCACAGGCAAGGAACGCCGTATTTGAGGCATAATGGATCTTCACATCCTCGCAAGCATTCATCTCTTTAATAACCTGACAGTTTCCATTGTTGAGAGGCTCGCTATTTTCCCACTTGACGAGCCGGGACTTATCGATGTTCGCCTGTCCAATTAGTTTCCAGAGGAACTCGGACTGAGTGTAGATAATGACGGCGAGGGCGACGGTGATCAGCGGCAGGGTAACCTTCGAGCCCCTGGTGTTAGGCATGTCAATGGTGTATGCCTCTCAAAGCCAGTTCACTCGCACAGAAAATCTAGACTTCTGAGAGTTCGATTGATGTCAGCAGAAGGTAAGGTAGTCGTCCCTCTAGTGGTGAGATTTTGGAGAGGCTCGCGGATCGGATAGATTGCCGATGCGGAGGATAAAAGTGGCGAGAGGATGTGGCTACAGCACCAAAAATCTCGGGACCTCCATAACCATTGTTGGCTGGTGCCATCTAAGGACTGATGCCATAAAAGACGTGAAGATCAACGTCAATCCACAGGACAAGGCTGCGGAGAGGCTTTCACGCTTCTTTCCAGAGCATTCACTTTCCAAGCCGCGGTCTCGAATTTGAGGAAGCACGATCGTCCATTGAACCAGCCTAGAGCCGAAATCATACTTGACTAATGAAGCTGCGGACATTATGATTAGCTAACTAGATACCGAGGACTGATACCACTATAGAAGGCGTCTTTGATATACTTCGTACTACTATTCTTGACGCGCCCAGGGGCATTCCCGAAAGCGTGGAGCGTCCAGCCGTGGAGCGAACAGAGTTGGATGCAAGAAAATAACGCACAGCACTACGGTACAATCAATGTCAGGCAACAGGCATGCACATAGTGAGAAACCTCTGCCCATCTCGTAGGAGATAGAAATCCGCTGCCTTGCAACCTGACCGAGCACTGAAGCCATTGAACCCATGTTGACACGTTGTTGGAGTAATCCCCCAGGATTTCCCAATATGACTGTGGGGCTGTTCCTCAGTGGGCATTACCACAGGCACAGATTTGGGGTAAAGCCATGAACCCCCAGACGATATCGACAAATACGAATGAGGGGCTCTTGTCACACCACAAATTGTTCCAATCAGGTGAGTTGTGGCTTTTCGAAGTATATTATCTGAGAATGGGCGAGGAGGTTCGGGCAAGGGTTCAAGCATAGTACAGTGTGGTAACCCCTCGACGAGGTCGATAATGTCGACGATTGATTTCACCGACCCTTCGTTGTCCCATCCCTCTCTTGGCACTTTTATTGCACATGATGCTGATGGCGCATATCAATTTCTGGGTGTACAATATGCTACTCTGGAGCATAGGCTTGCCGAGTCTCAGTTAAGGACGAGTTATAAGAGTCCAGTGGATGCAAGAAATCATGGGTACGAATCTCGAGTCCACTGTGTCATTTGAATCCGATGACAGGCCCTTAATGAACGAGTACACCAGCTGATAATAGTTTGGACCAGACCCGCGTCCTACTCTCCAACAGACGGGTTCGAAAATGAAATGACATTCATTCAACAGGCATTACCAAAACCGAAAATCAAGCACTCAGACGTTGACTGCCTGAATCTTAATATTACGGTGCCCAAATTGGCGTCTGGGATAGGGGGATTGTCTAAACAGAAGTTGCCGGTGTTCATTTGGACACATGGTGGTGGATTTGTCGTTGGTGCGAACTCATGGCCGCAGTACGATCATGCAAAGTTGGTGAAACTTGCTGCAAAGAATGGCGTGCCCATTATTGGTGTTGGTATCAAGTACGTCTCCGAGCCAATTAGAGTGGTTCAAGCGATATGGCTGATTACAGCAAAAGCTTTCGTTTGGGACTTTCTGGCCTCCTGACATCCAAAGAACTGAGAGACCGAGGTTATAAATCCAACAACACCCTTCGTGACCAAAGAAATGCTTTCCGATGGGTGAAGCGGTATATCTCTGGTTTTGGCGGTGATCCTGACAACATCACAGTCATTGGAGAAAGCACTGGAGCTGGTGAGTCCATCAGCGTTGTCGATATTCTTTTGCCTGTGCCAGACTCTGATATTTCTCTGTGTTGTAGTCGCAACGACCCTTCACCTCTACTCCCCTGAGAAGCTCTTCAACCGTGCCATCGCAACAGGTGGCTCATTCTTGCTCGTGGGGCCATTTTCTCCTGAAATTTATGAGGGTGTGTATCAGCGTGTGCTTTCGGTGCTCGGTCTGGATGCACTCGGCCCGGATAAGAGAGTCAAGCAGTTGCTTTCACTTCCACTGGACGAGATAATCGCGAAGCTACCTCCCGATATTCCGTTCATGCCGGTAATTGATGGTGACATTGTACCAATACGACCTTCATACGCTGCAATTGCAAGTCGAGAGGATCTTACCCTTCCTGGGAAAAAGTGGCTGGATGGATTCATGATCGGGGATAGCCAATTCGATGTACAGGCAGCCCTATCCATGAACAAGTTCTCCAATGCTAATCAAGATATTTTAGGCATCAACACTGGGTGCCATAATGGGTCACCTGAAAAATGATTCACGGAAGCGGTTCTCAGCGTCATTGAGGACATCACTGGGAAGCATACCAGAAGCTGCTGAGTCCGTTCTTGAAACATATGGCTTCACATCTCCTGCTCTTGGTAGCCAAGCTGAAGACGATGAAGCTGCTTTCAGAAATTATCTGCACTTTGTGAATGATGTTGGCTACTATGCAGCCACTGTATCATTTGCTCGCGGTTGGCCGGAGCCCAAGTTGTTTACCTTTGCATTCAACGAACCAAACCCATGGGAAGGATTGTACATGGGTGAAGCGACACACGTGCTGGACGTGGTTTTCTTGTTCCAGAATTATAATGACAAGCTCCCGTCAGGCCAACAAAAGGCTGCAGAAAGTTTTGGCCTCGACCTTGCCCGATTTATTGCTGGACAAGAGCCATGGATAGCGTATTCACAATCAAGGAGAAATGCAAAGGTATTCGGACCTTCGAAATCAGAAGCCTTCAGTCAGATGATCAGCGATAATGAGTCAGAGGAGAGTGGACGTAGGGTGAAGATCTTGGATATCGGTAAAGCTGCTGGGTTTGATGCCCTCGCTGAGGCTATTGTGCGATTCCAGCTAGGGTTGTAATGATAGGTGTCGCCCTTGTGCAACTCCAGATTTCAATCACCAGATAACACTCCTTGCTAAAGCTCTGGTATGATACCGCAGGCATGAGAAGCCTCGAGAGCTTCCAATGTTCTGCGTGACGGTAAGTTATACTCCGGAATACGGTGTAGAGCCAACGAGACTTGAAGTTACCTAGGTAGTCAAAGTTGGGGGAAGAGTCGTCTTCGGGTCTTAATCAACTAACTAGAACACAGAACCTTGGAAGGAGCTGAAACCTAAGCTGTCGATCATTCAATGAGGAAAGCATAACTACTCCGTGCCCCGCAGTTAACTGACCCCCTAAGTATCCGTAGTTAACTATCTACCTAAGCGTAATACGAACACTCTGGGGCCTGATTTCGTTTAACCAACAGCTAGCCTAACCTTAGACGGCTCTTGCCTATTCCTAGCTTAACGCCCAACGCCCTGCTGCCTATCACAGACACTCGCACCCAAAAGTAACCTCACATCATCTCCCGTGCCCTGTCAACTCAGCCTCACACCGACAGCGAGAACGAGTCATATTTTAAGACAGCCTTACAGGTCCAGCTTAGGAGCACTTCGGCTGACACTTTCCAGAAAGCTTCCTTCGCATCCTTGACCGCAAATTTAACTGGCCCTGGCTGACAGTACGTAAGATGACTGTTTAGACAAGCCACCACGCGTCATTCTATACTCGAGCCACTACCTCGTACTCCGTACCTCGACATCACCAATTTTTCCTTAAAAACAAGCTCGTCAGGTCAAACCTTGTTCACCTACTTCATTGCTCCCAATTTCACGAGCACGACTTGCTCAGGTAGACTGCTTCGAAATGGGAAGGTTCCAGGTCATTGTTCTTCTCGCCATTTTGAGCACCGCTTTTGCCAAGCTGGTTGTTGATGTGGCCCCCGAAACATCACAACCATACGTTCTCCCGAACCTGAAGGGCGCTGCTGTTGATTTTGGCGGACTGATACTACGAACACTCGTTGCAAACTCAACCTCCTCTGGCAGTTTCTCACTTCTGGGCGTTCATTCAGGTCCAAGTGGACTCAACCTAATTCATTCGCATAAGGAAGTTGAGGCCTTTTACACTCTCAAAGGCAGTGTTCAGGTGTTTCACAATGCTGATCAAGGCCGTCAAATGTCTGCAAACGACTTCGTGTTTCTTGCACCTGGCAACAATCATACATACCGACCCAACGACTTGGACTTTCAGCTGACCCTTGCAATGGCACCGGGTGGCATCGATGATTTCTTCGCGGCCACGGGAATTCCTTACACGTCTTCTGCGCCTTTCAACCCAGACGATCATTCTCAGCTTAATGTCACAAAGGTGCTTGGTTTAATGCCCAAGTATAACATTGTTCCGGCTCCAACCAACAAAATCAACCTGGACTGGATCAATGGTACCACTGAGGATGGTTTGGACACCTGGCACTCAGCCAATCAATCGTTGCCGTCTGATCCATCGGAGGCATATTTCATTTCAAGCAATCGGGGCCCCAAATACCTTGTGCGAGATAGTGGGACAGTAGTTGCACAGCTCGCATCTGCACAACAGACACAAGAGAAATTGACGGTTGCAACCATCACGCTGAGAAATAATGGGGAATCGACTGATGTCCATGTCTTTGACATGGACCAAGCATTCCAAATCACTGAAGGCCAATTGACGCTCGAGATCGAAGATGAGGTTGTACAACTTATTTTTGGCGACTTAGCATTTATTCCCAGGGGAACATGCTTCAGATATTGGTCCGAAGTGGGCTTTACCAAGTTCATAAACTGGTCTGCCGGCTTCGGTCTTGCAGATAGTCTGATCGAAGATGCAGAACCTTGGCAACATGCTGTATGGCCTGCTTGAGTTGTCTCGTCTTAGGTAGCATGCATCACTAGGAAACCGCTGAAATATGCATGATGTCACGAAGCTTACTGGAGTAATGATGGGACTGTCTTGTAACGGTGTTGATCCATCAATAAAGACAATAAAGTGAAATTCAGCAATAACGGAGAAACAGTGACTCTTAGACCCATATTCCATTTGACGGACCTGTACACTCGAAGTCGTTGAGAGTCACCCCCTGTAGTTACTGCTTGTCGATCCGGTCACAAAGGCTTGAAGTCTCCGCACGGTGAGTCACAGTAACAGCTTCCAAGATCAATCTTGCCGAGTTCCGACCTGGCTACTTAAACACTTTTCGTTCACACATACTGAGACGTTATTTCTGAATTTAGTTGACACCAACACAAATACTTTCCACATTTGATGGGCTCAACCTCCGAACTTCGACTTGCGATACTCGTGAACCACCCGCCTCACACAACTTTTTGGCCCGAGGTCAAACAAGCCTTTGTGGATGCCTTCGCCATCGTCGCTCCACATGCTAGAATCGACTTCTACGATCCCATCATAAAGAGAGAGTATCCAGACCCACTGAAATATGACTTGATCATATTGAGCGGTGGCAAAGGGAATTCCTTGTCCGCTGAACCATGGATCTTACGACAAATTAATTTTGTCAAGGACATGGTAGAGAGGTACCCCAGAAAGAAAATCCTCGGTATATGCTTCGGCCACCAGGTCATCGCTCAAGCTTTGGGTGGTAAAGCAAGGGACATACCCTCTGGTCCCATCGTGAGACTATTCCGTAGCCCCAGCAATTCGTCCGCTAACATTGCCTGAGGCTGGTCTTGTCAAAATCAACCTGACCGAAGCAGGACTCAAGTTCTTCCCTGGTTGTGCAACAAAGGGCCATTACGTGAGTTTTGTTGAATGCGACCTTCATTGAGGGCAGAACAACCTAATGGTCATTACTAGGCCGCTTCTCAGTTCCATGTGCGAGAGGTTAACGAGGCGCCTCCCGGCTTCACTCCGCTTGCTGAGAATAACGAGGCATTGTTGTCTCACTCAAACACGGTCATTTCCTTCCAAGCACATCCGGAAATTGACGGCATCTTCTCCAGGAAGATTCTTGATGATGACGACCCGACGTATATCGAGCACTTGACTTCGGCGGAAGTCGATGACTTGAAGAATCATTGTGCTGATGCACAGGACGGAACGGACATGCTTGCGCGTGTTATCGCTTGGGTTGAAGAGGGGCCTGAACTGTAACCTGGAGGACGAGATCGCTTAAGTGGCTTGTTGCGATTGGCTCGAATAATGACCTTGTCACCGGACCTGGCTCAGCCCTCTTTTTACGACTTTCGTTGGTCACCATCCAGTTGCGAAACTAGCACTTACATCCAGATATTACTTCGTAGGTGCAAACGGGATCTTCTGGAGATGAAGATGGCAGAATCTGAGCACGATCCCAATATTATCCCCTACATAATAGAAATTCTCTTAATAGTGCACCATCGGATGATTATGATGACTGCCAATATTGCAAATCTAGCGAGGTGAATGCAATGATGCCGTTGTCGGTCTACTCTAAAGTAACCAGTGTCTGAGAGGGAATAGCTTATCAAACTAGGCGAGCCCGGACAATGCCCGGCCCCTATCTATCCTTGCATGAGAGCCTAACGAGACCACAACAGCCTTGCCAAAGCCCCTTTTTCGCTCTCTTTCCAAGTAGTATGCTCGTATTGCGTTGTTCGCGAGGTTTCAGATTTTCGTCTTGCATATTGGCCCTTGAAGCAATATCCCACATCCAGAGCGATCAGGAGATAACGTATTCGTTTCTCGGATACGTCTGATTCAAAACACGTTCCTCTTTATATAGAAATATAAAAAGTTCCGTTAGTTAAATGCTACTCTTCTTGCGTCTATTGCTCCGACTCTTGATTAGTTCAGTTCTTATTGCCTACGCTATCCCCTCACTTTCTAGTCTCAAGAAGTCGTCACTATTCGACGGTGATAGAAATGTCAGTCACATATGGCGCAAACTACGAGCGACTTCCAATGGTGGCTCCCTTATGGCAAAAGTTGGAGACCCTCGAACAACACCTGGACCGTCTTGACCTAGCGGTAAACACGATTATGAAGCATTTGAACATCACAATACCAGGTTCGGCATCTGATACCGTTCAAAAGGTGACACTTGGCTCAGACGCCGGAGACAAGGTCAGCAGTCCAACTTTGACGGGACCATACAAATATAAAGTACTGGACCATGGCAAGGCTGAAATACGTGTGCTTGCCTTGAACGGTACGAATGATGAGTCTCAGGAGATTTCAGGATCACTGGTTCACATCAGCTTGGAAGACAAACAAACCTCGGCGGTCAAACGATACAATGCACTATCGTACACATGGGGTGAGCCGAAGATGAATCGTCGCATCGTTATAGATGGCCACATATTCTTTGTGACACAGAACCTGGAGAATGCCTTACGACAAATGCGTACACGGGCGAGCAGGACTGCTGGTATTTCAGGAGACGGTTCGAATCAGTCTCTGTGGTGGATAGATCAGATCTGTGAAATTTGTCCTTCCACTTGTTCTACCGTGTAAGCTAACAACTATAGGTATCAACCAAGCTGATATCGAAGAACGGGCAAACCAAGTCATGCTGATGCGACGGATATACAAGAGCGCCTTATATGTTGAGGTATGGCTAGGCGAAGCTGTGGAGGGTAGTGCTCTCGCCATGGATCTCATTAACAAGATAGGTCGCCCACCCATTCGTGGACCCGGACAGAAAGAGGTTTTGTATCCAGAATTCTCAGAAGCTGAAGTACGGCAACATTGGGATAGCGTTCGGCTCCTCATGACCCAACCTTGGTGGGAGAGAAGTTGGATTCGCCAAGAGATTGCCTTAGGAGTCCGCACCCAAGTCTTCTGGGGCGAGTACAGTGTCGATTTTGACACGCTCTCGCAAGCTGTCATGGCCATTGAGTATGCAGACAGCCTTGGTCATAATATTCCTGGGGCTGCTGTGGATCGTACAAAACAGTCTCCAAGCGACCAACTTGTGAATTTAAGCTTCTACCACCATGCTCGAGGCATCCGCACCTTGAGGAAGAATACCCACCGTGGCCATGCATTTCTCGCCTTACCAGAGTTGCTATTGCATTCACGGTACTGCAAGGCAACTGACGAGAGAGATAAAATTTATTCGATGATAGGACTGGCTGATATGGAAATATATCGCCTCAGTCCAGACTACCAATTGTCCCTCCACGAAGTGTTGAAGTCGACAGCTAGAGCTATCCTGCCCAAGAAGAAAGGCTTGCGCCTACTAGGAGCATGTCAGAACCCTGACAGGAATCACAACTTACCCTCCTGGGCGCCTAATCTCGTCGACCATTGGAAGTATCATCCCTTTGAGCCTGATGACTCACAACATTTCATTTCAACCGCGGAGCCGCAAGTTGAATTCGATAACGATGCGATGCTTGTCAAGGGCGTGATCTTTGACTCCGTAAGCCAGCTCTGCAAGGAGAAAGTGCCCACAGATCCGACACCAGAAGAATTTGACGATGTTTATGCTGCATGGCACCGTTTTGCAGAGGAGGCGCTCGCCGCGGGACATCTTGATGAGTCTCGGTTTAAGAGCTTGCCGAGCATCAACAGGAATAAGGAATTCTTTTGGTTGCACTTCCTGTCGACCAATCGTACGACCAGCAGATATCTCAAATACTCTGACGATGACAAGACGGTTCTGTTGCCAGAGCGTGAAGACGGCGTGAAGATGGAGTACATGGGTCTGAACCTGAAACTGGCCAGGAGATATCTCTTGCCTGGATCCTCGGACCTAGAGCTACACCCTTTACGACGCATCAGAGCCGCTTTGAAGAAGTACGGCGCAGGCAGGCAACTAGGGCTCTGTGCGGACCAGAAGACTTTGGTGCTATTGCCTGGCGATGCCCGGCCTGGTGACTTGGTCGCAGTCTTCAGAGGTGCAAGTTTCCCTTATGTTCTAAGGAAGGTACCTAAAGACATAGGATCAGCAGACCAAGATGAAACAGTTCTTGTTGGTGAGGCATTCTTGCCTGAGGATGGCTTCAATATGGCGTTTAGTTTCGGTAATCGTGCAACTTCTTCGGATGTAATACGTGTTATATAACGGATCAGAACAGGGTTGCAGCCTGCCATGAAATATTCAGTATATCAAAGGTCATCCCCGAATCCCGTATTGTCTACCCAGTTCGCAAGTTGCGGGTCTCCTATCCTATCAGTAACTACTGAGCAGAACAGTTAACTTTGTCCTCACCTTCGGAGGCTTTCCGGGAGCAATATTGTTCCGAGTTTCCAGAGTCAGACACGTGTCTGCGGAGCAGAGGAAGATTGGCAGGTGAACGACGACACCTACGACTTCGCCTACCGTTCAATGGCGTTCAACCAATGATCGTCCCTACGACCCACGGCTTTCATAGCGACTTTCTGGGATAGCTTTTTGTACTCCACAGCTGTCGTACTTGACAACGATCAGCTCGCCAAGCTCCTCGAGGTCAGCTGGCCGCGCCAGAGCCGTCTTCTCATCCATGGGCGTGTTGAGCTATGGTTCAGAGGTGGCGTTCCGGCGTTTAGCTGGCTTATCCAACATTCCCGACCAAATTAATCGATTTGTGAGACTTCTGCTTAACCCCTCTCATACCAAAACCAATTCAAATTGAAAACTCCAAAAGGTAGTGCTTTTACGCCACCAGAAGCGGTCAGCTGAAGATCTTCACTCATCGGCAACGAAAACAAACTGCAGGAGTTTGTTTAGGCGTGATTTGCACTGCAAGCCGTCGGAGTGGATACTCTGCATGTGTTGTCAGGAACGCCACGGTGACAGACGAAGGAACCCACGAAAGAGGGATCCTGGTTAACCAGATAAGGAATGTTTGACCAGGAGATATCATCGCTATTGGCTCACTATTAAGGTTCTTCAGATCTTTCCCCAAAGTTTCCCTAAAGCAACTGTAGAGTCGACAGAAATGGACGAACCCCCGCATTTTTCAGCTGTATCCATGCAAGCCTCCCGCCATGGCGAAGGCTCAATTGTTCTCTGAGCATGCCTAAGCGATGGTCTGACCATCGGTCTCGTATCTTCAATGGGATTTGAGAATGATCGTGATTTTCCCATGAAATTTCACCATCGCTCAGATCCGGCTGTATTTACCATACATATATAAATGTTCTATCTATAAAGCAGGCGGAAAGGCAGATTCTGCACTTGCTTACATACAACTTGATCTTCCCCCGATCGAAGGTCGATTAGAGTCTTCAAACTGACTCAACCTGCGTCGTGCCAATGCGCTATGGTGGTCTCGATTGCCCGAGGGGAAGTTTCTATGACGTCTCAGAGTCGACGATCAGGTCTCTTCACGACAAGCCTCAACTTTCAGCTAATGCAGCTAGAATCGTTGATTTAAGCCTGTTCGCATCCAGGCTCTGAGCTCCGGCATCACCTTCAGACCTCTAGCAAATGAATGCACGTACTCTTGCATGCCGAGTTCTTCGAAACTCAGACAGGAGTGCTAGTCTGATGTGACAAAGCTATGCTAGTGAGCGCCGCGAGCTGCAAGAGGTTGGTTGAGGGGAAGCGAGGATGGTAACCTACACTGTCCCTTAGAGTTCAGGTGGTACTCGACGTGTGCATAAAATGGTCGCCGGGTCCCCAATTCTTCCACATTGTTCTTTCAAAGTTTGCAGTACGTATAACTTCGAGTCATTGAACCAGATTGCAAACACATCATTCATCATGCGCTTCAACACTCTTTACGTGGCTATCCTTGCCAGCCTAGCTTCGGCTTCAGTCATCGGTAAGAAGCGACCCGTACCGCCCGGGTTCCGCTAGCAAGTCTAACGTCATTTGCACAGACCTGAGAATCACTGTCGATGACCACGGGATTGTCCCTGGTACCACAACGCTACCGAGTCGCTGCTACTGGTCAGGAACTGCCCGTAAGTTTTCGCCTTTGTTGGTTGTTATTCACGCTCATGAAAGCTAGCATCCTGCGAGGGAGAGTGCAACGGTGGTGAGACCTATTGCGGTAGGAATGGCTGTGGAGATGGGAAATGCTGCGCGAGCGGCTGGAAGGTCCTATGTTGTAGAGGGGACTGCCCAAGTGATTCATTGACCCAGGCTTTCGAGCGTGTCATTGACGACGCACGCAAAGCCCAGCATCCCGAAGTGTAATTGAGCTATGGGTGAGTGTGTTCCGTCAGCTTTGTGGATACTCGACTGACAATTCTTAATTTGCAGGTTGCTCACTGTGCTTGCATTACGCATGTGTGCGGTAGTGACCAAAGTAGCTACAAAATCTGTAGACTTCAAGCACAGGCAGCCATATGTAACGTGCACTCGTAAGACAATTATTTGTCTAGGACCGGAGTGTAACAATGTCACTCAAGTTGATGATAAAATAGCCCAATGATACCATTCCAGGTTGTCTAGTGCATTTGTTTTTCTTTTTTTCGAAGCCAGGCACGCGTAGGATCTTTTCAACAGGAGTTTCAGGTTTCTGTCCTCAAATACAAGATCTCAGTAGCCTGTTTCTGCTGGAAGCACGACCTTCCCATCCTGCACGACTGCCAGATCTTTCCCAATACTGAAAACAATGTTATCGAAGTCGATAAACTTTAGCTCGTCAGGCCGAATAATTTCCAGATATGTTTTGTCTTTGTAGGCTGTTTCCATGTCCTCGTAGCTATATAGTACGTTGTCAGTGGATATTGTCTAACTGGCCTTGGCAACATTACGTACCGACTGAACGTTATCTCTGCAATACCATCATACTGAGGCGGGACACCGATCGCCTCTGTGGAGTGCTGTATACGGTGGAACTGTAGAAGAACTCATTGGTTTGGTGGATGATCTAGAATCTTCCAACCTCATACCTGATTATAAGTTGAAACACCATATCTTGTCATCCTGTGCTGGGCATCAGTAAGGATTTCACACAACGCTGTGCCATTGGCGACATGAGTAAATACCATTCTGTTACCAGTGGGCCGTGGATATTGGCCCAGTGGCTATGAAATTCCTCCACGCTCAAACCCTTCTTACGGGGAATGAGTAGACATAGGCGCAGTTTCTCAGGAGAGGACATGTTGGCTCAAGGATAGCGAAGATGATAAAAAGCTCGAGGGTAACTTCCAGTGCGGGTTTCGAGGTCACACAACGGCGACTTCAGTGTTTCATAAGTAGAAAGATTGCTGCGCCAGTTTTACAATGCGTATCGGAATACAAAACTCACATTCTCGCACGATGGGGTATTACAAAGGATTATCCGGCTCATTCAGCATTCTGATGGGGTACATTGGGAAAGGCTCAGAATGCTCCGAAATCAAACCGCAAATTGCCCGAATGCGTCAGCGGTGACATACTCAGATGGGAGGGACTCTAATGCTAGCACTTACCTTGTTTGTTCTTTGTAATGCTAGGGGCGTATTTCCGATTTCTTAATTTCTTTCTTACTATAATAGCAGTACTCGGCATTATACTGGCCTAGTTAGGCTGTGTCTCTTCCGTAAAGCAACACTGAACTCCCCTTAGTCAACGACGCAAGAAGAACAACATTCAATATGGCAGAAGAGAAAAAAATTATCTTCTACACTGCTTTCTCACCCAACGGCCATAAGATTGCAATCACTTTAGAAGAGCTAGGGCTATCCTACGAGATGGTTCATGTCAATTTACCGGCAATACAGCATAAGGAACCATGGTTCCTGAAAATCAACCCCAATGGCAGAATTCCAGCTTTGATCGATACACTTGAAGATGGCACGCCAATAAATTTGTTCGAATCAGGGAGCATTCAGCAGTACCTAGTTGACAGATACGATACCGATCACAAAATATCATACCCACGTGGAACCAAAGAATATTATCAGACGAACAATTGGGTATGTGAAGCAGTTTCCTGAGACACTGAGTCTAATAATCAACGGTAGCTTTTCTTCCAAAACGCAGGAGTAGGTCCGATGCAGGGTCAAGCAAACCATTTCATTCGCTACTGCCTTTCAAGTGAGCCGGAACAATACTCAAAGGATCGATATGTCAACGAGACTCGAAGACTGTATCGAACGCTTGACAAGCATCTTGAAGAATCCAAATCTAAGTATTTGGTGGGAGATAAATGTACCATTGCAGATATTGCCATCTCTTCTTGGGCCAAACTCTTGGGTAAGCTAAGTCTCCGTGGTGGGAACAGTACTATGTATCGATAGCTGACAATACATACGGTCAGCTTTCGCGGGTGTTGATATAAGCGAGTTTCCATATGTTGGCGGCTGGCAGGCCAGAATGGCGGAGCGCCCAGCAGTGCAGAAAGGTGTCAATACACCCAAAAAGGTTGACTTGGACAAGTTGGAGAAAGATCCTGTGGCCTTCAATACCTATCTCAAGACAAATGAAGCCTGGATCAAGCACGGGATGGAGGCGGACAGAAAGAAATAGCAGAGCAATTCGGGAATTGGACAACGATCCTAGCCATGAGGTTGAAGTCTCCCTAGTCTCCCGAATGCCTTCCCTGCCAGTATAGAGCTCACAATCAAAATTCTATCAAGTCATGTGTTCAATAGACAGATGAAGCCTCAATCAGTATTCTAGAAAAGTTCAAGCCCCGAAAAATTGTCTATGCGTTCTCATGAAGATTGTACCGAAGATCACTACCGCCGGTTGAAGTGCCACGATTCTAGCGAATAGTTTTGGAAATTGCAAGTAATCCAGCTGTCAGAAGTCCATGGTGCCACTTGATAAAACAAAGCACAAGTTCCGGCATCGTGGAGGAGGTCACTCGGGCCAATTTCGCTGTTATCAGACAACCGAGCAAAGCTGGTCGCCCCTGTGCTTGTCGGCCCAGATAAGTCTGGCCTCGACTTCTGGGCTCCTAAAACGCATAGAGCGTCCATAGATACCCCCATCGCACGGGAATCACGGACGACCTCCAGCGGTGCTTATTCCTGCATCTGGGGGTAATTCCTCGAAATATGGGGTCGTGGCTAGAATTTTGGGCTCGTTGACCCAGTGCGCACTAGCCTTCAATCCGATATATAAAGTCGAAATCTCAAATAGGAAGTCGTTCTTTACTCTTTGCAATTGGATCGCATTTCGAAGCTAAACTTTGCAATAATCAGATCAGAATTGAAGTCTTTCACGATGGCATTCACCACACTGAGAGGAAAGAGCTTATACCGAGTGATGAGCTTTGTCTGTGCTCTGGTGAGCATCCTGCACAAAATTTCAAGTGATATTGTATTCGATAGTGGCTGACTGACGGGGGCTCACAGTCATTCATGATGTTTGGCTACGATGCTGGTGTCCTTGCCGGTGTCCAAGATACAGGGCCCTTCCTTTCAGCGATTGGTCACCCAGAGCAGCGTTCCACGATCATCATACCAATGGTTGCATCAGCTTACACCCTTGGTGCTTGGGTCATGTCAATGCTCGTGAGCTTCATCGGATCACCGTTAGGGCGACGAAAATGTATCCTGTACGGCAATTTACTAGTCATCTGTGGAGGGACTCTTCAAGCTGCAACCTTCTCAGTCGCACAAATCATTGTTGGAAGAGTTCTATGTGTAAGAGTCTCTTCATTGAAGGTATTGATCCAGAGCTAATAGTCAAAGGGATTCGGAATCGGTTTTATCTCTTCGACTGTACCCACATATATGGTTTGTTGGCACCAACGTGATTCATCAGCTCGTAAACTCATGTATATACCAGGCAGAAATGAGTACCAAAGCAAACGATCACGGCCCTGAAGTCTGTTTTCAATTAGCAGTGACTGTCTCCGGAGGTCAGTGACATGGGAGTTCCAAAAATATCATACTGACAAGGGTTTAGTTGCATTTGCGGGATGGGTCGATTTCGGATTCACAAGAATGACGAATCAAGTCTCATGGGTACGTTGGATAACTTATGATATTTGCTAAGTCATGAATCTAAGCTACCAATCAGAGATTTCCGATTGCGTTTCAGACCTTCTTCGCCATATTTTCTGCTTTCGGCATGTTCTTCCTGCCAGATACTCCACGTTGGTAAGAATCGATTCTCCTGGGCGCGGGTTTTACCTCCACTAAGACGTGCAAAGGTACTATGTCCGGGGTCGGACCGAAGAGGGTGACCGTGTATTATCCGCACTCCATGATCTTCCACTCGGAGATCCACATGTCCAGGCACAAAAGGCGGCTATACTTGGGGCTATTGAACTTGAGAATTCCAAAGCACCTTTCAACCCAGTGACCTTGCTGTGGGACAATACAGGTCAGCTAGAAGCTTCTTCATCCTCGGAATTCATCTGCTGACATTCAATAGAGCTACAGGCTGGCCGCCGTCTCAGAACCGCCTTCATGATTCTGTGCTTGCAGCAGTTAATGGGTGGGTGTTATTTATTATGCCCTAGAACACTGGCCTGACGAAACGCAGGGATTAATCTGCTCATTTATTTCAGCACCATCATCTTCGGCCAAGTGGGCTTGACTCCATTTCTTTCTTCGCTGCTTGCAGCTATCATGAACACGCTATTCGCTTTGGGCACCTGGTTTACGCCCAGCACAATCGAGAAGGGGGGCCGTCGTCGCATTATGCTATGGACATCGGTACTCTTGACGGTTTTCATGCTGATCTTCGTGGTCATGATTAATCTTGGTGACAAAAAATCTAATGCTACACAATGGACTGCTGTAGCATCAGTCGTAGCGTACATGTTTTTCTTCGGCTATGGCTGGGTGGGAATCCCCTGGCTCTATGGGCCGGAGGTAAGTGGCTACTGCGACCATGTGGCGATGAACATCCTGTGCTAACTTGTCGCAGATTGCGCCTATCCGCTACAGAACTTTAGGTGGATCGTTTGGCGCCACCGGCGAATGGAGTATGACATTCGTCACTGTGTTCGCAGGAGGTATCGCCCTCCAAAGAGTGGGACCTGTTATCTGGGTCTGGTTCTTGGTATTCTGTAAGTGAGATTTGGAGGGCAGTCAACTTATCTGTGGAAGTACTCCGGACTGATTCGACCACCATTAGGTTTTGTAACAGTCGTTTATGTCTACTTTTGTTGCCCTGAGAGTGAGTTCCACATCTATATCTCAATACTGATGGCCTAGCTAAGTGGACACTCTGCAGCTGGCGGCAAGACTTTGGAGGAGATCGACCTCATTTTCATGAAGAATCCCCCAACCGCTCCCTTAGGAGATGCCGAAAATGCGGTAGACGATGAACGCTCTGCCAACGGCGCTAAGAATACATCTAACAGCACAATCGAGGAGAATGAGTTTGTGCCGAAGAGTGATTGAGGAACATCCACAGAGCATCTTGGTGACGTGCATGTCTCTCTTGAGGAGACTAAGGAAGAGGCGGCTGGTGATAGTTTAAATCTACTCGTAAAGGCTGCACTGGATACGTAGAGAGCATCGAGATAGAGCGATTCTGCCAAGTGAAAGATTGGACGGAGTTGCAAATAGTCTGAGAGACTGCTTAGAAAGAATAAAAGTACTCGGTATCCTTCCTGGATAAAGAGTTTGAAAGTCTAGGAATAGTCGAGAGCAGAAGATGGCTTTGAAAGCACCCACTGGTCCAGATCGAATTATCTGCGGAAGACGCCAATCACGGATTTCCCACTAATGTCAGCTTTTCGGTGAGCAACAGACAGATAGACTAACTAGCGATGATGACCATGCGTTTAGGCTTGTCGCCTCGACTATTGGCTGACTACTATTGCACATATGAACCTGAAAATATTTCGTCCAGATAGTTCGAGAAGTCTAGGTTGAAGTTCCGCTCAAGTGCCAAGTGGCCACTATCCAGGAGAGATGCTGAGACGGCGGCTTCGACTTCATCGGCATGAGAAAGGTTGATATGGTCCACACTAAAACCATGTTCCGCAGTTGTCGTACCAGACTGAGATTGATAAGAATGAACATGGGCAGGTAAAGGAGGTGGCGTATAAATGTTACTGAGAGACGAAATACCTGAGAAGTCATGTTGTTCCGGCAGTGCTAAGGACAGGTTTTGGTTTGACAGGAGGGGCTCGAGAGGCAGGTCTTCTTTCATCCCGTTATCAGCAAGCAGATACTTGAATATTTCATCGACTTTGCTCTGTTCACCGACTTTGTTGTCTGTTCCGTACGGATCAGATCTTCCGCCTTGCATTGCGTGATGCCCCAGATAACCCTCTCTGAAGATGGAGGGTATTTCGTGGTAATATCGTTGTTCGGAGCTCGGGTCATTTCTCGCACTTTCGAGTCCGTCCTCGAGAGTGAACCAATTGTTTAATGGAACCTTAGACATGTGCCAATAATCGACAGATTTTGTGTAATTCAGAGATAGCAAATCAAAGTTCGACTGGACTAAAGCCTTCTCTGAGCAGTCATCGGGAAGGCGGCTGCGTTGCAAAAGTTGAACAGCGCCTGCTAACCATGTGGTACTGGCATGAAAAGGATTGACATACTTGTAGTAATTGTCAGAGCAACATCGACTGATGCTGACAACGTTTTCTGATGCCTCGAAATATTGGACCAGATGCAGCGACTCTGTGGCTTCGGCCGTGGGAGCGTCGACAGGAGCTGGAAGGTGACTTGAGACAGAGTGGGAACTTTCTCCGTTGGCTGTGTCTTTTCGATACGTCCAGTTCATTCCAATTCGAAACACGTGGTACTTCAGAACCATCAACTTTGTAAGTTGACTAATCATGTATATGCTGTAAATATTACTGTAGGCTTGTCTTTGTGCAGTCCCACCTGGTTGGTTCGAATCATCGCTGCCGAAATCAAGATATTGACCTTGATATCTCAATTCTTTAGGAAGTGCCATGGCTGTACAACACAGAGAGTTTAGAACAGTACTGAGCTTATTGATGGCGTCGGTCTTCGATTTGTTCTGCTCTTGATGTGGGGTGTTCATGCCTTTGTGCGTTGAAATTTCTGCTGAAGAAAATGATGCTGACGACTTGTCGATATTCATGGGACTTGAAATAATTTGCGCATCTTTCATTAATGAGTTAATAACGATAAACCAAGCTCTTGGTGATTTCGAATCGACCGCGACAAGACTTTTCCATCTCTCCGTGATGTCCAATTCCAGGGCACAGCTTGGTTGAGGTTCTCCGTGATACCACTGCTCGTCCTCGACCGGCAAAAATGTATCATTTTGATGCCAGTCGATTCCTGCAGGGCAACGGCGGATGACACTAGCAAAGACATCCATTTCCCAAATTGCCCACCAGGCGCGACGCCATTCTTCCTCAACGCACCATTGTGCCGCATTAAGAGATTGAATTAGACCGCGGGGCTTACCAGCATCAATCAGATGCAGATTTAGCTCGTAGGCACTTCTAATGCATGTACCCAACAGCCGCCAAGCCCTACCTCTCACACCTTGGACGAGAAGGCAGAGTGTGTTCAAGATCATAGTCTGTAGAAGGACCAACGAGAATGGATCGTCTCCAACCTCAGCAATCGCTTTCTCCATATATTTAAGGCTTAAGCCGCGAAAATGAATGCTTGGGTTGCCCATACTCTCAGATAAGACCTCCTGTCCAAGTATCTTGTTCACGTTGGCCTGGTCCAAACCTTTCAAACCCCATGCAAGCAAAGATCCGAGTAGAGCAGTTCTTTGATGTGCAGTTGGGATATGCCGGAGTTTGGTCTGGAACTCGGGAACTCGGAAGAGTTGGAAGGTGGTGAATGTCTCGAAAAAACGAGAGATGCTGTACACTATCAGTTATCTATGTCCACTGTGGCTGTTGAAAAACACAAATTTTGTGGGTATTGACTGACAGTGAATTCAATTGCGCAAGTGTTAGTCCCAGACAACTGCAACTGATTATCAATGAGTCGACATAATGGTGATCACCAGTAATCATTTCTTGAATTTTATTTGTTGGGTTCGGTGAACATCTATCGAAGCACGGGTGAAGGGCGAAGGACAGGCTCTGTTGGTTTGGTTTCTGGAACTGGCTTTGAGGCGAAACCGACTCGACTGGTGAAGTGAAAGTACTGTCCCTTGGCGATGAGGGTGTGTCTATAGTCGCTCGGACATGTAGCTGAAGGCGAATGTTTCGTTCATCTGCAGGATTTATTTCACAATTTCCTATCTCTCCTTGTTTTTAATCAGCGTATCTCCAGTATAGCGTAATGAACCAGAATAATTCTTACGTTGCCGTTTCTGGGTAGTAGCGTGGGAACTTCCTATTTTCGGGCCTGGCCTCATTGCTTTTGAAGGATAGGTGCATTCTTGTAAGGTGTCTGCACATATTGTACAATTGGGTAACTCGCGTCCACATTTTACTTTGCGTTTGCGACAAACGAAACACGCCAAAGAAGAACGCGACTGCTTCCTCAGCTGAGGTCCAGGGTTCGACATACTAACAGAATTCTATCGCCAATTTCAATATGACACAAGGCCGAACCTGGAATACCAGTAAAGCTTCTGAGTCTGCTCAGTTGCGGCAATGATTCAACATCATCAGAGAAAACTCGGCCGCGTGAGAATGGATGATCTTTCAACGCGGACATCAGCATTCGATGGGGCCCCCAACCCCAGGTTCCTGATGCTTGGCCTCGTATTACCACACTCCGATCTGGTACGATGGAGGTTGATCTGGGGATGAACGATAATTAACGAAGTGGAGGATTTCCGAAGATCAGCTCTGCGTGCCCAGACAGCGGGCAGGTCATCCTTGCCGCTTCTTGCCAAGTCAAAAATCATGTAGCGAAAGGTAGAAACCCGGGGTGAATTCGGTCGAATTTTCATTGGGGGATGGAATTGCCCAGACAGCTGGTCGAGCCACAGGACCCTGACCGCGGTTTAACTCTCCTGTGACAGTCCAAGTACGCATCTCACAAAAAGGAGCATAGACCAGAGAAGCATGACGGACGTCTAGCTGCAATGTCAGAGACAATGTAAATTGGGGTTAAGCCGACCCGCTTTAACTGTTGGGTGATTGAAAAGCAATGTCAGCTTTCATGTTCTAGCTCGGAAATCCATTCCGTGAAAGGAATTCTGGTAGTGCAAACGAGTCGTAAATGTTCATCTAGTCGTCCCGGAGATGGTCCATGGTCTCCGAAGCCGGTGAGCTCGAGATGTTATGTGGTCCAGTATATATTGGCTTGTGATATCCGTCTCGTCGAGAGTTCCACGAACTACGTAAATTTGAACAATTTGGTACAGCACATTTTTCGACATGGCCAATCTGGAAGGCAAAGTTATCGCTCTTACAGGCGCAGCCTCAGGAATCGGACTAGCCACTGCCAAACTACTAGGCCAGAGAGGTGCTACACTCTCGCTGGCCGACATTAATCAAGGACAACTCGAGACAGTGGCCAGTGCTTTAAGTGATTCTGGTATCACTGCCATTTTCACCGTCGTTGACGTAACAAAATCATCGGATGTCAAGAGCTTCATAGAGAAGACGATGAAGGAATTTGGCAGATTGGATGGCGCAGCAAATCTGGCTGGAGTTATCGGGCGCAATGCATCAACCGCGGACCTCAGAGATGAGACCGACGAGGAATGGGATCTAATTATGAATGTCAATGCTAAGGGAGTTTTCAAATGCATGAGAGAGGAATTGAAGGTCATGAAATCAGGAGCCTCGGTTGTCAATGCTGCCAGTGTGCTCGCGTTGACAGGTAAGGCGCAAGCCAGTATCTACTGTGCTAGCAAACATGCCGTGGCTGGTTTGATCCGAGCGGCAGCAAGAGAAGAGGGCAAGAACAATATTCGTATCAACGGTGTCGCTCCGGGGTTTATTGACACGCCGATGGTTTCGGCAGTGGAAGAAGCACTGAATGTCACGCACGTTGATTTCTCTCCCCAGGCGTTCGAGAGGAAAGGGAAGCCGGTAGAGATCGCCAACATCATAGCATTTCTACTAAGCGACGAAAGTGCTTTCGTGACGGGAGCAGTATGGACCGCAGATGGTGGTTGGATCTGCTAGTCAAATATGTACATGATGTACTCGAGCCAAGAATGGTAGTGCTAGTATCACTTCTCCAGCAAGATATTGAGTGTGAGACTTTGAATAGTTGGAGAAAGATCTAGGCAAATTGAAAACATGGGCTCAGTGCATATTCCCCATTCTCGACTTTCGTCGATACTACCTGGCTGCCGCTTGGCTAATGGGCAAATGATACCGCGCATCTTTCGTAAAGAAACACAATCTGGTGACACAAGGCATTTAGTCTAGGACAAACTACCAGAGCTGGCCATGAAAAGGGATCGCCCAGCCTTACCCCGGATTCAGCAATCAATGATGGGGCCGAAACGTTGGGGAAGTGGGGTCTTGGTCTCGCTGTGGACAACTTCAAGCGCCTCATTATGGGGCCACACCTCTGCCTGCGGAGGTTAGAGGGGCCGGGAAGCATTTTTGTGGTCAAGACCACAGAGGCTTGTTGTGATGCAAGGTTGACGTCTACTCATAAGAACAGCGGGAGCAGCTCCTAGTTCAGAATGTGAAACTCTCCTCTCTCTCGAGCCGAGAGACTTGGTTCAAAAATCCTCATAGTCATTTCTCTTCTGACCCGAGTGGTCTGAGTCATTCAGCAACATGCCCTTCCTCGGAATATTGGAAGACACCAAACTCCCTCACATCCCTGGTACCGTCATTCTTGAGGAGACCGCCGCCCATTCACAGGAGCTCACTGGTGGACTCAAACATGGCACGGGCAGAAATGCAAATGTCGTGCTTGTCCCTCAGCCTTCGAATGACCCAAATGATCCACTCAATTGGCCGCAGTCAAAGAAATTGACTGCACTCGGTATAACATGCATTGGGGCCGTGCTCTATGCAGCCGTGGTGAGCGCGATGCTCAATTCGGCGTTCTTCGAGATGTCGATCGAAATCAACACCACCATCCCTAAGCTAGTCCAGACTTCTGGCTATCAGACCTTAGTCATTGGTATTACTGGCCCCTTGTTTTCAGCCTTGTCTCGGAAATGGGGCAACCGGGCAATCTTCGTCCTGGCCTCGGTGATGTGCCTGGTCGCCAACATCGTTGGATCTTGTGTCAAGACTTACGAGGGAGTCCTTGCCTCCAGAATTCTCCAGGGCTTTGCCATTGCCCCTTTTGAGTCTTTGATTTTCACCTTGATCAGCGACATGTTTTTTGTTCATGAGAGAGGATTATATGCATCTATAATTAACTTCATCCTTGCGGGAATATCAAACCTGACGGGTGTTGTGGCTGGACCGATTGCAAGCAATTTAGGGTGGAGCTGGTTGTAAGTCCCACTGATCTGGAGCGTCTTGCATTTCATTACCGAAGCTAAGTGCTCACAGGTACTACTTACTCGTCCTATTTGGTGGCATTCACACTATCCTGCAATTCCTGTTTGTGCCGGAAACCAGCTATGTACGTGATCGACGGTATGAGATCGATGAAATCAAAGACGATAATCTTCAAGATCTTGCAGCCATTGAATATGAAGAGAAACTCAACGCAGAGAAGGCAGTCGCAAGTGCTACGCACAATGAGCATGAGACTGATGGGGCAAAGATTGCACAGACCCCCTCTCGCGAGGTCCGCGTTTACAAGAAAAAGACATTCGTTCAAGAGCTGGCACTTTTCTCAGGAACCTACTCGAACGAGAATTTCTTCCAGCTGTTGATAGCGCCATTTGCTGTCATTGTCAATCTAGCCGTGGCATGGATCTTGATCATCAATTCCATGCATGTCGTGCTTTACGTTGTCATCGCTTTCGTTCTGGCTCAACTCTTCGCCCCACCGCCATATCTCCTGAGCCCAGCGACCATTGGTTATCTTTCTCTCGGTCCCTTTGTCGGTGGAGCTCTTGGATCCATCATCCTCGGGCTGTTGTCTGACCCAATGATCAAGTGGTGCGCTCGACGAAACAGAGGCATCTACGAACCCGAATACCGACTTATCCCATGTGTCATTGGAGTTGTCACTGGTGTCGGTCTCATGCTATTCGGATATCTGGTATCGATTGGTGCCAGCTACTACGCCTGCGCCGCCGTGCATGGACTAATGCTGTTCGGCGTCATGTTCATCGCCATTGGAACATCGAACTATGCTCTGGACGCTTACCGAGGCATGGCCAACGAGATATTCATTGCCAGCATGTCTATGAAGAATTTCATCCTTTATGGATTTGCATACTTCGTCAATAACTGGACGGCAAGTGCTGGTCCGAGGCATTGCTTCTTCATCTGGGGCGGATTGGCCTTCGCGCTGTTCGCGACCTTACCATTCATGTTTATCTTTGGGAAGAAGTACAGAAGCTATTGGGCGAGACACAATTTGCTGGAGAAATGGAAGATCCGAACACACGCAGACTAAAAGTATTGCTGCTGGCAGCTCGTGGCAGGCAACGACCGGATCGACCTTTGGTAGGACGAGGATATGTACTTTTTGTCTGAATACCCTTTAGCTAGTTTGATCCACTAATGATCTTGGTTTGCAAGCGAGGTCCTGGATGCATCATTGTTCCAAGTCCAAAATATGTGACTTGCTGTTTACTTCAAATGGAATCTAGGATCAATCCTCATCAATTACACATGTCATGAATATGAGCCGCTGTGTACCATAAAATAGCACGATTACCTGCTCCGTAGTCCCTTTGTAGAGCCATTTGCTTCAATATCTGAACATGTAGACGCACCTCGTACCCATTTCAGGCACGCGTCAGGAAAGATGCCATGAGTCACCCAGATGGCTGTTGTTCTATCTCCGATGTCTGACCTATGCAACTACGTGGTGATATATCTATCACCGGTTAGGAATGAAACCTCCACCTTGAAGAATTGGAGAACCCTGGGAAGCTAGCACCCCGGATTTAATCTCTTATGCAAGCCATTCCAACACCTACGTCATTGTAGACAAGTGTGACATGCCTTAAGTATCTACCTGGTAGCTCCAGCTGCATTTATCTGTTTCGCAAATTGTTTTTCCCAGTATACAGCAACAGGATTTAAACGCAACGAAGTTGGATGAATTCAACATCAAATGCCAATAGTTTTTCTGGATTCTGGTAGGCCCGGGGTATTCCTGCACAATTTTAACTTACGACTACCTTGATACTCAACACGGGGGTTTTTCCGTTTGGCCAACGCTCACGGCAAAGCACGAACAAGAACACAACATGTAGCCAATCAGTTCGCCCATCCCTTTGACATCTCGACGGCCTTCTCCCATCGTGCGAATCGCTTTTCAGCATCCTCCTGGCTGATGGCAGGCTTGAATGTGGTAACGCCCTCGGTGTTGACGGCCTTCAACTCATCAATGCTCTCCCAGACACCCACAGCCAGACCGGCTGCGATGGCTGCGCCCAACGCGGTGGTTTCACGCATAGCCGGGCGCTTGACTGGAATGCTGATCAGATCTGTCTGAGTCTGCATAGTCAGGTCGGAGTTGCACATGCCACCGTCTACGGCGAGCTCGGTGAGCTTGTGGCCACTGTCCTTCTCCATGGCGACTAGGATGGCCTTGGTTTGGAAGCATGTGGCTTCTAATGTTGCTCGTGCGATGTGACCACGTTGTGTGAATGCGGTGATGCCGAACAAGGTGCCTCTGGCGTCATCGATCCAGTACGGTGCAAAGAGTCCACTGAAGGCAGTCACGAAGGTGACACCGCCGTTGTCCTCAACGGTTTCGGCCAGTTGGCTGACTTTGCTGGAGTTCTCGATAAAGCCCAAGTTGTCCACTAAGAATTTGACGCTGGAGCCTGCCACAGCGATACTACCCTCGAGGGCATATTGAGGCTTAGTGGAGCCACCAAAGTCGAATGCAACAGTCGTTAGTAGACCGTTCTTGGAGATAACTGGCTTGTCGCCAACGTTGAATAGAATGAAACTGCCTGTTCCGTATGTGTTCTTTCCCAATCCAGGAGTAAACCCCTTTTGGCCAACAAGTGCGGCGGACTGGTCACCGAGAACGCCGGTAATGGGGACGCCTTGGAGGACTGTCGAGGCTAGGGATCCATAGGCGGAGGCATCGGAGGAGTGAACAATCTTGGGAAGATTCACCTTTGTGGTATCGATACGGAAGAAGTCTAGGAGAGATTCGTCGTATTTCAGGGTCTCAATGTTCATGAACAACGTGCGGGATGCGTTTGAAGGATCGGACACGAAAACATTGCGCTTTGGTCCTATTAAACTTTAGTAACTTATCTTCTCGACAGGATAAAGGGGCTATCAAACCTCCGTTCAGCTTGTAAACCAACCAGGAATCGATGGTTCCGAAGCATAGTGTTCCCTTGTCGTGGGCGGCCTTGACCTTCGGCTCATTCTCAAGCAGCCATAGTAGTTTTCCCACTGAAGGATAAGTTGACAAGGGTAGTCCAGAAATTTGAGTGAGCTTGTCAGCTCCAAGTCTAGTCTTAAGTTTTCGGATCAGGCTCTGTGTTCTAGTATCGGTCCACACGATCGCATTGTACAGGGGTTCTCCGGTCTCTTGGTCCCATAGAACAGTCGTTTCACGTTGATTCGTGATGCCGACCGCCTTAATGCTGTTGGCGCTGTGGCCCTGGGTCTCGAACTGCTTGACAGCACCGTCGATACACTTTTCGACGGAGGACACAATCTCCAAGGGATCATGCTCGTGCCATCTGCCTAAATTAGTATTAACCAGATCTAAAGCGACACTAAACATACCCCGGCTGAGGATAGATTTGCTTGAATTCTAGTTGGTGCGAGGCAACAGGTTCACCCTGTTTGTTGAAGATCAAAAACCGGGAACTCGTGGTTCCCTGGTCGATCGAACCAACGAAGACTTCTTGTGTGCTTCCCATTTCGAATTTCTTGGAATCAGGAAGGTGGAATACGGCAGAGGATTCAAAGAACTGGGAAAGCTGGAGTTGGAGCAAAGATGGAGTGTCCTGGAGAAACCCTGGAGAGGGGCAATGCAGAGCTTATAAAGATCGCGGGGATGCTGGTAGAAGACATGTGGCAGTGTCGCAAGCTGGACACAGCGTCGTATGACCTTCCATTGATTTTGTCCTCATTGAGCGAGTTCGCCTATGTCGGTAGGTGTTTACATGGGTCCAAGCTCTAGTGGAGCTTATTGCCTCCGGGACCTCGGTCATGATTCAATAAATCACCGAAGGTACAATGCGGCATCAGTACTCGGTATAGTACCGTGCAGCTCTAGAGCGAGACACGAAGACTACACTGGTGACCTCGGTCTAAGGGGCCGCTAATGAGACGAGCGAGAATGAAGGATCCATTCCCGTAATGAGAACATCAGGGGTAACCACATGGCGGTCCTCGTGGAGAAGGTTTAGAATACGCGGGCAGCTGTGTTCTGGAAGCGAGACAGGGACCAGCTTCCTCGAAGAAAATAATGATGGAGACATCTGCGGAGGGCCCGGAGATGGAAATCTGGAGTTTGAATAGCTTACTCGTAGCCTCGGGGTCTGGGGGCCCGAAATGCATAATGGATTGCGGGGAGTAAGCAGAGCTAAAGAACGTGCGCTCGGAACGGAAAAACAGGTCGGCACGGCACCATTACCGGATTTAATTTGCTCCGCTTTGAATGACCCCTCCTTCGAAATGGTGCCCAGCTCAGGCAATCCATGACAAGGTCACATCCGCCTACTCCGTACCAGTAGGCTTGTCACTTGCGGTGGCTGGTTGATGACCTTGCACCACTACCTCACAAATCTTTGCAGTTACTTGTGTCTCGTAGATATCTTGGCCGAGTGTTTTGTCTTTGACTTCCACAGACGCGAGAACACCAGCACTCCGAGATTTGATAGCCTTCGAGCCGGTGGAGACACTACCTACTATACTATCTACAGTCCACTTCCAGGATAAATTCACTCACTATAACGGCATTAGTTAACCCCTAGACTGGGCCTCCGTATTCTCTGAAACAACTAAGATTGTGCGAAATGCAATTCGGGCATATATCCCGAGTAATAAGCGCAAGTTTGTGCCTTGTTGCGAGAGGCAAATCTTCTTTTCTCATTCGCCACATGGACACCGAAATGCATAAGCTGGTCCGTTCATTATTGCGATGCCGCGGTACCAAGCGCGGCTGGAGCGGGAAAACTTGCAATTTGGTGATCTAGATTGTAATGCTCTTACCCACCTTGTATGGATCACACAACCCGTGTGACCGAGGAAGAGTATGGAGTCCGAGGGGAGGCGGAGCTCCAGAGATATCTCGACGTGTCAGAGTATATATTTCGACATCTCTCCCCCTGGGGTTCTGATCATCCCTCTCCATCCCCACAAACTCGAGGCATTTCTCCATCTCACCCCTCGCCACCTCAATATCTTCATGTCACTTTCGTCTTCATCGGTACCCTCTTTCGAGAAAGCTCCAACAATGGCAAAAACCGACCACGCCGAGCACCTAGCCATGCCTCAAGACGACCGACGACGCACTTCCGTCGTAGACACTCCTGCCTTTGCTGAGCATGGTCCCTTGGTCGATCACAAGGTTCCTCAAGCCGAGGTCGTTCAACAGGAGCCCGATCTGGCTTGGAGTCGAATTCGCCACTACCTGAGAGAACCCTTCTCGGAGTTCTTTGGAGTTTTCATTTTGATCTTGTTTGGTGACGGCGTCGTTGCCCAGGTGGTTCTCAGTAATGGCGAAAAGGGTGACTACCAGTCGATCTCATGGGGCTGGGGGTAAGCATACATTGAATTCCTAGAGAATCAACCTTGTGCTCACAATTTGCTTAGTCTCGGTGTCATGCTTGGTGTTTATAGCAGTGGTATCTCCGGAGCTCATCTGAACCCTGCCGTCACACTCGCCAACTGCATCTTCCGCAAATTCCCCTGGAGAAAATTCCCAGGCTATATGCTTGCCCAGGTTTTGGGTGCTATGGCTGCCTCAGCGATCGTTTATGCCAACTACAAATCAGCTATCGATCTGTTTGAGGGTGGACCAGGCATTCGCACTGTTGGACTTGAGACCTCTACTGCTGGCATCTTCTGCACGTATCCTGCTCCTTTCATGACCAAGACTGGCCAATTTTTCTCCGAATTCATCGCCAGTACCCTCCTCATGTTCCTCATCTACGCCTTGAAGGATGACGGCAATATCGGTGCGGGCCCACTCACACCTTTATGCTTGTTTTTCGTTATTTTTGGCATTGGTGCTTGCTTCGGCTGGGAAACCGGCTATGCTATCAACTTGGCTCGTGACTTTGGTCCTCGATTGGTATCATACATGATTGGATATGGTCATGAAGTCTGGTCTGCTGGTGGTTACTACTTTTGGGTAAGTTTTCTCTGTTCAAATAGACCTCAAATTTCATACTGACTGAATTCCCAGGTCCCAATGGTGTCTCCATTCTGTGGCTGCGTGTTTGGCGGATGGCTGTACGATACCTTCTTATTCACTGGAGAGTCTCCCATCAACACACCATACATGGGTCTGCAGCGTCTTGTCCAGCCCAAGCGATCAGTCTGGTCCAACACTTATGGTGACAACAAGGTGTGAAGAATCAGTCAGATGGTTGAGGGTAGGATTGAGTTCTGCACCTGCAAACAATTTCGAAGACAAACCTCTTGTTATGGTGATCAGTGGCGCTATGGTCAATATTACAGCACTCTAAAAGACAGAGGATAGAATCTAGCATTCAGACGGTTCAAACAAAGCCTAAGGACTTATAGACCAGGCAGTATATACATATATGATACAATACCAGAAATGAAAACGTATCCCAGCTTCAAGCCTTCTACATTATATACCATTCATGCTCTTGTTAGAGTCAAAATGATGTTTTGTAAAATGAGTCTCATTATGCTTGTGACTAACAAAGGCATCCACTCTTCACTATCTGATATGACTTGAGGGCTCACAGCGCATTACCAATAACCCTGAATTTCTTCAAGCGAATGTCTTAGAGATTTCGGTAGGGCAGTAGACGAGAAAGGCTAATCCAGAGAGCATAAAATTGCACATCATTGATATGGTGAGCATAACTTCTAAACCTGTAGAACCGCCCGCTTGCACTTATAATGGCTACCTGATAACGATTTTGTGATAGTAAACTGCAGGACTGTCTCAGCTTATGAGGAATCACATGTCACACACATCCAACAGAAACCAGTACTTCTACCACTGAATGCGTTAGGCATGGTCAAACCACTCAGATCTGTGCTTCTATTACACTAAAGCTTCACTTAGACCAGTAGTTAATCATAGGTGTGCCCTGCATGAATGTCAACACATGATTCAGAGTCCACCTAGTCCTCTTTCATGTGGATGAGATCCAGTTCTCTCAAACCTTTCTTTGACATTGGTGCCGACCGGTTCCTCAAATGAGAAAGAAAAATTTCCGACCCAAGCATCCAGGGCAAGTGGCTCCCAGGCAAGACACACTCGCCTGTACTGCATGTGCAGTGCCAACTAGTCTCTTCCCGATCCTCGAGAAGATCAGCCCGGAGCGAGCCACCACGATCCAAATCCTTGTCAGGTCTATCTGTATAATCGACCGAAGCAATTCTTTGCGCCAGTACTTTTTCGACAAATTGCATTTCAGAGATAAAGCTCAAAGACCCTGCCGTTGCCGAAGACCTCAGACCACATTCATGGTTTGTCAACTACCGACCTTCGACGGGAGTATGCTCTTCAGAGTCTGCTTAGGTCTCGAACACATTTTCACGCATGGTGGAGACCTGCGACCACCTTTCCCTTGCACACTGAACCAAGAGATCTGGGGACAAAAGATTCCACGCGTTAGGCCTTGGACAAGAGTGTCACCTAGCCCTTCGGAGTACCAACAAAGGCAGCAATTGCTGGGGTCCCGGACTTTCGATAATCAGCCATGGATATCTTGCAAGAGGTAACTGGCTTCTCATCGCGATATTCAATAAATCTAGATGTGGTCTAGCTTTCGACGTCGACATGCCATGTATTTTGAATACATCCGATACAAGATGATACAGATTGCTATGTATCTCGATATCCACACCCATAGCAATGTGACGCTGCATGGGTACATTGGTATACTAACTTCGAGCTAACGGCTGTCACATACCAGTTACGGAAATACCACAGAATCGGCCAAGAAAAAATTTCTCGAACCGGTCTCCGCTTCACGACGAACGCTCATCGGTGTGTCGGGACCGAGCGGTGGGAGGGCTGGTTAGATCAGAAGACAATCTCGGTATTAATAGACCGACATGCATGGCGCTTCTCCGCACTTTCCATGACCTCACAAAAAGTCTTGTCCTCGGTGGATAAGGCATGTCCAGACCGTTTGAGTTGGTACTCGGTACACTCATCCTCACTCAGCCTCAACGAATCCCTACCGATCCCTCGATATCCGGGGATACGAACTATGCCCAGCCAATAGGTGGCAAATCGAGCTCGGTCATGAACATGTCCCGAGCTCCAGAAATGGCATCTTGCTATGTCGCTCAATTACTGATGTTTTCATTTACCTGAAAGCCGGCTACTGACCTTTTAATATATGCAATAAAGGTCCAAGCTGTTGACCTTAGCTTTTCTCATATCACAAACAAACAAATATCTACAGAAGCATCTACATCGAAATTGTCGCCTCTCAACTCTTCGACATTGAGTCTTCAGAGCCATTCAATTGGTTTCTTCCATACCATTCCTAGTGCTTTCCGGAGCTCTTAACTGTTCGAATTACTGCGATATTCCAATTCCAACATGTCTGCAAGATTCTCTCCTCGCAGGCTGCTAAAGCCTCTGGCGTATGGCACAGGAATCGCTGTGGCAGGTGGTTCCGTCATGTACATCGCCTACCGCCCACGAAACATACCAGGAGCAGAATCGTTTGCTCCCAAACCTCCCAAACGAGACCAAAATGGTGCCATCATCCCTCCAAAATTCCCTGCCATCAAATCCCGAGCCGATCAAATATCCGACCTGAGAAAGTCCTCTACTCCTTCTGGCGAAGTCTACGACTTATTGGTGATTGGTGCGGGAGCAACTGGAACAGGTATTGCGCTTGACGCAGCCACCAGGGGATTGAAGGTCGCCATGGTGGAAAGAGACGATTTCAGCAGTGGTACAAGCAGCAAGTCCACCAAACTGGTCCACGGAGGTGTCAGATACCTCGAAAAGGCGGTATGGAACTTGGATTACAACCAATACCAATTGGTGAAAGAAGCACTACGCGAGAGAAAGAGCTTTCTGTACACAGCACCACATCTGTCGACCTGGCTTCCTATCATGCTCCCGTTGCAGAAATGGTGGCAAGCACCCTATTTCTGGGCTGGAACGAAATTCTATGATTTCCTCGCTGGATCTGAAGGCATTGAGAGCTCATATTTCCTGCCCAGGAGTAAGGCCCTCGATGCATTCCCAATGCTGCGGAAAGATAACCTGATTGGAGCCCTGGTTTACTACGACGGCCAACATAACGATTCACGGATGAATGTTTCCCTTGGCATGACTGCAACTCTCTATGGTGCTACCACTGTCAACCACATGGAGGTCACTGGTCTTGAAAAGGATGCAAGCGGCAAAATCACTGGAGCTCGTGTCCGCGACCTGGTTTCACTGAAGAATGGAGACGCGAGCGAAGATTTCACGATCAAAGCCAAGGGCGTGATCAACGCGACTGGACCATTCGCAGATGCGATTCAGCAGATGGACGAACCTGGTCAACGAGAAATCGTCGCACCCAGTCTGGGTGTCCACGTTGTTCTGCCCGGGTATCTTAGTCCACAGAATATGGGATTGATCGATCCGTCAACATCCGATGGCAGAGTTATTTTCTTCCTACCCTGGCAGGGAAATACTATTGCGGGGACAACCGATGCCCCATGCTCAATCTCACAGAACCCAGTTGCTGGCGAAAAAGACATCCAGTGGATTCTGGACGAGATCCGCACATACTTGACTCCAGACATCGAGGTCCAGCGATCCGACATCCTAGCTGCGTGGTCAGGTAAGCAGATGCATGTACTTCCCCATTCGACCATTTGACTAATTTAAGCATCCAGGAATCCGACCGCTCATGCGCGACCCACACTCCAAGAACACCGAATCGCTAGTCCGCAGCCATCTTGTAACAGTCTCGAAATCTGGCCTCCTGACCTGCGCCGGCGGAAAATGGACCACCTACCGCCAGATGGCAGAGGACGCAGTTGACAAGGCCATTGACACCTTCAAGCTCAAAACCAAACCCATCAGCTACGTTGCCGATATTTCCGGCATCAACGGCGTCGACCCCAGCGTCAGCCTGCTCAACGGAACCTGTCAAACTCACCATATCCGCCTCCTCGGCGCACACGGCTACTCCACCACCCTCTTCATCAACTTGGTCCAGCACTTCGGCATCGAAACCGAGGTCGCGAAGCACTTGGCCTCTGACTACGGCGACCGTGCATGGGACGTTGCGGCACTCGCAGCCCCAGTCGAAGACTCACCGTTCCCGCTGCGCGGCCAACGCCTCTCGCCTCAATACCCGTTCATCGACGGCGAGGTGCGGTACGCGGTGCGTAGCGAATACGCACAGACGGCCGTCGACGTGCTGGCGCGGCGCACACGGCTCAGTTTCTTGAACGCGCAGGCGGCGCTGCAGGCGCTGCCCCGCGTCATCGACATCATGGGCGACGAGCTCAAGTGGAGTGCCGCGCGCAGGGAGTCCGAGTGGAAGGACACGGTCGGCTTCCTCGAGAGCATGGGTCTGCCCAGTGAGTTGCTGCAGATCACGCGCCAAGAGGTCCTCAAGGGCCTGCCCGGCAAAGCTGCGAATCATGCCGCTCCCTCGCTCCACGGCGCCAGTAAAAGCGAGAAGCCCGAGCCCCTCAAGCAGACGGGCGAGACCACGAGCGAGGCTCAGGCGCCTCTTCCATGATCTCTCGGATTCTACTTGGGATTTGACGTCTTGTGTGGCCACTTCCAGGAGAAGAAGTTGCTACCTGAGCTTTTGTGTTGCTTTGACTACTTTTTTTTTCCGGCGTAGTGTTATCTCACGAGCATTGGTTTTATGTGGGGATGGGAGTGTAGCAGACACAAAAAATTGATACCACGGGTCTTGCGGCGTTGCAGGAGTATATTGTAGGCCTACTCGCCTTGAGGACCTCAGGCCTCGAACGGGGCTGATGAAAGAAAAGCATTGACAATTGAGTGATTGGACGGATTACGTCGGATCGGGCTGATTTAGGGTTTATGATCTACTTCCCAAAGCACATAGTTTCATGAGTGTGAATGACGAAGAGAATCGTCTACAGCATCCTTTTTCAACCTGCCAAGTATTTCTTTTGTGGAGGGTCGTGGAGAGTGATTGACGGGTAACAGCTCGGTGAAAAGGATCAGGGATACAACAATCAATTAATGGTGTTCTAGTTACGATGTGGGCTCCATCAACGGACATATATTGATTGCGGAGATCTGGGGCAGGATCTTCGCCACTGATCGTGTTTGTGAAGCGAAAATAAGCGACCAGATGAAGAAGATGGCCATCACAGCTATTGATCCTCAGAAAGCACGGTATTGCCAGAGCACGAGCAGGGTAGATAATGACACGGTCATGCAACCTCCCAAAACGTTGCCTTTCAATACCTGTACAGAAAAGCCAATACTGCAAAACCCCGCGTTAATGTACATCGGTGCTGCCATCAAACAGTAAGTATAGCCTGGGCCACTAAGCTCTCAACTTCATGTACCGCAGGAGTTCTACTCATAGGGCGGCTTGAAGATGAGCCAATCTGACTCGGGGTTCGGTATGACAAAAGCCGGGGCAGCGCCACGCAGCGATTGTGGCGTTTGCTGGCCACCAGGACCTTGCGATGGTGTCTGGTCGCCTAGAGAGGTGACAGTGAGTGTGCCAGATGACGGTGATGGATCGACGCCGCCACCGAAGAGAGCATTGCTAGATGAGATGGCGTTTAGCCGTGGATAGTTGAAAAAATCGAAGATTTCGAGATATTCTAGTTCACTCTGCGATGACGGGTGTGTCGTGACTGGTTCAAGTGTTGTGCGTGGTCGTCTTGTCGTGACGAAATTGAGTTCGTATGCAGATCTGAGAGTTCTCGATTAGCAAGGCTGTTGCTTCGCGGACAAAACAACCCTATCAACTCACCTTCGCATTGCGGAGAAAGTTCTTCCAGTGCCACTGCTTCCTTCTTGTACCACATCTGTCAATATCCTCGCATAATCCCGAGCCACAAGCCAATGCTGGCCCATTTGTTCAAGAGTTGAAATGAAGAAGGATATCTTGGGATCGATCTCACATTCCATAGTCGCGGCATGAACAAGAAGCAGACGAGCCGAGACCCATAGAGAGAACGCGAAAGGATGGCCTAGAAGAGCAAGCATGCCGGTATTCAGGACATCCTGTGCAATCTCGCGAAGACTTTCGACTGCCCCTAGGCAGCGTTGTATTGCGTGGTATGATGGTGTGAAGACGTGGGACTTGATAGTCGGATATGCGGCCGATGAGTGAAGTCGAATAACAGAAGTGACGAAGGCTGCATGCAACATGATCCAATTGGAGATACGGCTTCCTGGGTCGGAGTGACAAAGCTGAGAAATCTTGCCATACTCACCAGGCAAATTCTGGAGCCATGTATTCAACTCGCCATCCAATTCTCGATACGTCTCACGCCATCTCAATATGTCGGATCGCTGGGTGATGTCGAGAGGCTGATGAAGGAAACGATGAATCCGGCTAAGAATACCCAACACTTCGCAATGATAAGAGAAGCTACCCAGGTTCTCTGGACGGTTGAGAACCAGCTCCGTTTGTGCGAAAGTCTCCAGTTGTGCAATCGGTCGGCGCCATCTCGTCTCAACCGGCTCGTTTCGTGAGAACAGATCATAACGGCACGGCAAGCATCTATCCATGGCCCTTTCATCGAAGGTGAAAGCATCTGCTGTAGCGACGGTAGCATAGCGGTCTAGGACAAAAGCCATCCAGCACAGGCGACGTCTTTCTTCACTTTCGATCCAATTCTTGGGCTGTGATGCTTGTAGCAAGGTCGCCGAAGGGTAGGCCGCAGATTCCAAATATGAATTCTTCTCAACGTCCAGGCCAAGTTGGACAATGTTGCGACTGATCAAAGCGAGCAGGTTCCAACCTTGCTGCCCGTTCGATGTACCAAGAACATCAACGGCTAATATCACCAAAGCCTGCAATGCCCTAACATTAGGATGGTCAAATGCGTAGAGCATTATCTTTTGTCGGGATATTTCGTGAAATTGAGCTTTGAGTTCTGGGGTCAAACGCTGATCCTTGGAAAAGCGAAGAGTGGTAGCCACAATGGCATGAAGAAGAACTCGATCCGTATCCTCAACCGACTGGGACCCGAAGAATGTATCGAATGTCGCTTTTCTATCCAGTATTGGTGACCAGGGATTGACGTGTTTAAAGAACAAGTCCACCAGCGTATAAACCAAATCGTAGGGAGGAAGCTCAGACTCTGGCATTGTGGAAGCAGGAGTTGAATTCGGCACCCAGGTAGCTGATGTAGCTCTATCACTCTGGGACATTAGATCATGCGCAGCATTGTCTACTACCGACCGGATAGACATTGCATCTTGAGGCCGAGGATATTGCATTCTTTCGTAAGCGTTCGGTCCTGTCCATCTCTCAGATATTGGCGTGTCTTGCGAGATAGTACTTTCATTGGTGGGCCGTCCCTCAGTCTGTGAATAGATTGAAAATCGAGCAGATTGATGCGGCATTCGAACTGAGCCTGGAGCATTACTTTGATAGTCGCCATGCTCGGAAATGTGGTCTTCAAGGCGACGACCCATGACTCGAAGAAGTGCGTCAAGGCGATTGATCTTCTCTTCGAGTTCACGGCCATAGCCGACTCTGAGGCCAGGCTTCTGTCGTTCTTTGTAGACGCATGTTCGATTGTTACGAGCACACCATCCACAAGCAGGCTCGACTCTGTCGCATTTCACTTTTCTGGACTTGCATAATTCGCAACTTGAAGACCCACTGATTAGATAATGATATAGACATCACATAGGTGGCAAAGGGGGAGCTCACGAGATTTTTAGTGATCTTTTTCTCTTCTTGTTGGTGCTTCCAGCCTCTGGACCATCGTCCTGGTTATCGTTCTCGCCATCGCTCCCCGAGATAGACGAGTTTCTATCATCGGATAGCTCGGTCGGAGAAGCTCGAATAGTGCTATAAGTTGTCATTTAGACCACGTGGACACAGTACATTGGGATCCTGATTCTCCGATCTGGTGCGACGAGTAAGCAGAGGTAGAAGGTGGGGACGAATGCAGTGTTAGTGATATGGGCACTGTGGGATAGTAAGTGGGTAGATAGAACAGGTTGGAGAATAGGGAAATGAAAAGCCCGAATGACCGAGAGCTTGTTGAAGAGAATGCAAGGTCCATTGATCGGGATTTTTGCTCTGATAGCTTCCTATTCACTAGTTTTGTTAGCTACAAAGGCCATCGCCACCAATGCCGTTGGACCGGGGCCGGTGCTTGTCCTCCCTACACCATGGAAAAGCTCTTGAAAATTTGGTGGTTGCAATAGTGGCTTGGGGAAGGTGTTAGCGGGCATTGCAAATGCGACTGTGGGGTTCCCCTCGTCCTCCATGGGTGCTCCATCCTTGAGTGTGTGTCCCTGGTCCTCGCCTTCGGGCCACCAGTCCGACTTGCCCAGAACAGGACGGATTCTTGTTACCGACCTTGAAGTTGTGCATACGCCGTACCGTCAGATTCATCAGATTCCTTCTTCTGATAAACGGATGGCTGGCGATGACTAGGCTGTCTCCTCGTGTCGTGGCCCTGCCTGTTTTACACATCAGGCACAGAGAAGCCATAGGCGATATTGGTTAGGACACATGCAAATAGGAGCTGCTTTGGCTTGCACAGGAGCCTCATTGCCATCAGGAAGAGCTACGAAAAGTCCACCCGCGATGGGTTTCGTCCATAACGACTTCAGGTTATCTTCCCTAGTTGAGTGGTCAATCTCGATGATAGAGCCTTGCAGCTTGTAACGAATCTCGTGAAAGGCTTGTAAATCGAGCATGGCGACTCTAATTCACCAGTTTAATATGCTTCGCACAATATCAGGAAAAATCGGTTTATTTGAAACAACGCAAAAGCATTCTATATATATGTCTAGAGAAACTATAATTTCCCCATACTTGAAACGTAGGCGGACGATCATGCAACAGTCACTATTACCCAAGTTGAGAGACCATGCGTCTGGAGCTAGAGTAGCTTCATCATCTTAAGATAGTAACAAAGACAAATACTCTTAGATATATACCGCTGTGCACGACCTTATATGCAGTCATGATGTTGATCGTACTCACTGTGATGCATCAGCAGCCACGAGTTCTCCCACCCGCGGCCCCTGGTGAACTCTATCCAAGCCTAGACCTTCAACTTTCGTTCTTTAGATGGCCGATGCTGGCCGATGCACAGCCAAGCTGTTTTATGGTAATGGGATTTGCATCGTGGAAAGGTGGTCAGCGAGTCTCACCTGATACCATTGCATGCGAATGCCAGGACGACAAGTGTGTACAGCACAGACAGTCGTTGGTCAGCACACCACTTCAGTTGCACACTCAGCCACCTCCCCCGACCAGCCCTGAGAATTGGGGAAAGGAGGGGGAGCAGAAGGCGTTCCTCAACTGCTTGATGGGGGATCGGCAGTCATTGGTGTAGGACGCGTCAGGCTGTAAGCACCTATCCAGCCCTTGAGCTCAACTTCGATTGACCACAGCCAACCAACCCATGGACACTGCCTCAAGAGTCGCTTGAACCATCAACCATTGAAGATGAATTGTCGGCCAACTTCTGCTGCAATCGTTCATCAGGTGGTATGATGTATATGCCGAGGCCTCCAAAAACCAGGCGCAATGGTGTCGGGCAATTGTCAGCATCCCTGCTCCAAGGTTCGTGCTCCGTTTCAGGTGTTTCAAAAGCAGTCGCTGTGCTACGCAAGCTTAGACCGCGTACGTCTGATGTCTTCGACTTCAGAGTCTAAGTTCGTGTTTCAAGCATTCCTGGGCGGAACGGTCCACCCTTATCCGCAACGTATGCTGCATCAAAATGGTAGGTCTCGCTGACTTCCGTCGTAGCCCTCAGTGCCAGGCATCGTAGAAGAGCAGGCAAATAAAGATGAACGAAAGTCCTGGCGGAAATTGCCCTACGGCCTCAACTTCGCAGACCTGCAGGATTCCTAACTAGAAACCACCAACAATCATGTCTTTGAAGAATATGTCGGGCGAGCAGCAACCATTTCTACAGTACTCGGATGACTTATTATCCGTGGACGAGCATGAGTCTGGTCACTCGGCACACCATGGCAAGGCTTCGTGGTCGTCGTTCCTATCACATTTACTTGTCTTCCTTCTCACGTCTTCGGTCTGGCTTGCGATATCCTTGGCCATACCAGCAATATCGAATTCGAGGTCCGTCGGCACGGCAGACCAAGTCCAAAATGTAACATCCAATGCCTGGGCTCTAGACTGTGGCGACTCGGTCGAGGAAGCCAAAGCCCTCGGCTGCAAATACGATGTCTTGCTCAACCATTGGGTCCCTGCTCCCTGTGTGGACGACGAGTTTGTACAAGAGTATCAAGAAGACGACAGTTGGGCGGCATATTACGACGAAGACATGACACATCAAATCATGACCAGCGACGAAATGTCTGAGCTGGATATCTATTATACCTCAGTAAGGGACCACGTCAACCACTGTGCGATGATCTGGAAGAAACAATTTTATGTTCTCTTCGAGGAAAGATCCGCCTTCGACAGCGTCATTGTCACGCCGTATCATACAGATCACTGTGCACAGTATCTGTCAGACGTCACCGCACAGAACTTGACTTCGTCGACGAGAGTTGAGGTTGGATTTGCGGGCTGTTGGATGAAAGAGTGATGCCGAGTCGCTCATGAAATCGGGTTACGGTTGGGTGTTGCTAGAAGCTGCCCTATTGTTCATAAGGTCGATTGGAAAGACCATACTATGAGGATTACGCCTCGTTCTGATGCTACATGTTCTATACTCTTGATGTGAGATGAAGAAAATGATGATGATCGCAATATACGTTAGGGTGTTCCGTTAGTCATGGCTAAACAATACTCTGTCCCAGAGTCGTTAAGCCCGCCTCATTCATGCATGAGTAGTTGAATTGGTAATCTGCACTAAAGACAACATTCACCCATCTTGCGATTATGCAATCGGTCGATATTCCATGACGAATTACCGCCGACCTAAGATAGACCTTTCCATGCCCGAGTGTTCATTACTCTCCTAGGTTGACCGTCCATTTGTAACCAAGCCCATTTTTTATCAGCTCATAGACCCGAATCCTCTGCATCCTCCACTTTAGCTTTCTTGCCAGTTTGATCATCTCCAATATCATCGGCGAAGTTGACTTTTCGTTTGTTTGTTTTTGAAACACCGCTGCTAGATCCCTGCGCCTGTGTAGATGCCGCTGCTGGAGTCGACACTGCTGATCCGAACCCGCTATCACCACCAGTGGATTGTGTTGCCTTGGGCTTCTTCCTCTTCACCAGTCCGCTAAGGTCATTTGCGGTTTCTGAGACTTGAGCCAGCTTCTCCTTCTTCTGCTCTTCGGTTGCTCCGCTGCCGAGCAGACTTCCAAGAACACCGGAGATCTGTTCTTTCACCATTTGCTCCTCGGTCTCAGCCTTTACATTGACGGGTGGTTTCCGAAGTTCTGCCAATCGAAGCTCCATTTCTCCTATCATCTCCTGAACATCCTCGACTTGGGCCATGGCTTTGTCCTTCTGTGGGCCAGCTTCCATAGCTTCAAATGCCTTCGTTTCCTTTGCGACTCGCACCTTGCAGCTCTCGATTGCTTTCTCCTGTTGGGTGACAGCCTCATTGCGAATATCCCAGTCGATAGTGATATCGCCAACCGGGTTGCCATCCTGATCACGTTGTTGCGACTGAGAACTGAACTCGAGACCCAGACTCAATTTGTAGTGACACTCGGCCAGAATGCTAGACTCCGGGGGCTCGAGCTCCTCTCTCAATGCCAGGCATGCTTGCAAGTCAGCAACCGAGGCAGCGTATTTCTCGCCTTCCAGGTTCACCTCAGCTTGTAGATCGTAGATATCAGCGACTTTGCCCTTCAGTTCCTTGACTTCAGGAGTCAGATCTATTGAAGCAACATATTTGCCCTTGTCGGAGTCTTTCAATGCCGAGTCTTCAGCTTGGTCCAGCTTCTTCAAGTAGAGGACGCGTGCTAGATCAAGAAGTTCATATGCAGTTGCAAAATCGTCCTCTTCTTCTTCTTCTTCTTCAGCATCTGGGTCATTCTCTTCCTCATCCTCGTCTGAATCATTCCATCCTTCAGCATCGCCTTCAATTTGGAAATAGGGCTTGTCAGACTTTTCTTCGGTATTATCCGCCGTCTTCACTTCGGACTCGGGTATAACATCACCAACATTTGGGATTGTGTCAGCTGATTTTGCAGCGCCATTACTGGAGCTTTGGCCGTTTGTAGACGACCCAGCTTGTGCAGTCCCATTTGCCTTTCTCTTCTTTGGTGGCTTTTTCTCTTTACTTGATGACAGTTGTGCCGTCGCTGCGGTGCCTCCTAGTACCGAACTTGTCTGTTGCGCGAGAAAGTACAAACACTTTCCGTAGGAATAAAGTAGGTCGGCGTTCTCTGGTGCCATTTCTCCATTGAGTTCAGTCTGCAGTTCCGCGGCTTGTGAGAATAATTCGGCGGCCTCAGAGTAGTGTTTCACTGCATATTGGGCAGTTGCTTTCGCTATCAGATCTGCTAGTTGATCTTGAGAAGATACATCGGCTGGTAGTTCTGAATTGGCTGTTTGCTGCTCTTCCTTTGGAGGATCGGCGGAAGACATCGCGCAAACCCGGATCAATGATGGTTGTGAAAGAACCCTTTTGTGGAATCAATGCGTAAGTACGCACGACGTCAAGTGGGAAACAGACGGACTTGTGAGTTGGTGACTTCAGAAGAAGTAATGTGAAGGTGAAAGGCAATGCGGAAGTGAATACGCAGTCGTCTTCTGGAAATTCGCGACATGTGCGGCTAAACTTCGGCGGAATATTCAACGCGTCTTTGACGCGTAAAGTGATTTCCGAGACTTTTGTAATATCGGACCAAACCTCACAACCAGAAAACACAAATTTGCGCGAGAATTGTATCTGGTAAGCCTTATCATCGACTAGAAGGATAAAACAAGGAATATTGGATATCGCTGCTAGAAGAACAACAGAGTCGCCCGGCGCCACAATGGGCGATTCAATCGCTGCGACACCAAGGCAGAATTTCACATCTGCCTCACATCTACAGGCAAAGGACCAACTACTCTCATCCTCACCAGGCTTCGGCACGCCGGCCTACCCGATAGTAGAAAGACAGAAACCGGCACTGAGACAACCATTCGCCGCCCCAACCACAACGACAACTACCAATGTCCAAACAGTGCTGCCGATCATACTGCCGCCACAGACACTGCGCCCGGTAGCCTTTAGGACACTGACCAAGAAACACAATCTGACATTGACATCGTCCGGACTCGGTGTACTAGCAACCTTCGTCGGCAAATTTTGTGGCAGCGGCTGGCGGGAAGACGGACTGGCGGAGCGGGCACTCGATGAGATTGCAAAGTCGTGGAAGCGGAATGGCGGAGGTTTGATTGTCGAGGATGGACCGGACAGGAAATTGTCTAACATCCTGAAGACGTTAGAGCCGTGTATGTCTGGCGGAAGACTGGATGCTGGGAAATTATCGCGGCAAAATAGTTCTGTCGGCTCATTGTCTCGCTCGAATTCGCTGATCAATCGGCCTGAAATGGGCAGAGATGATAGCCAGACGAGTTTTGGACTGTCGGGGCTGAATGTCGAGGAAGACAGCCAATTCGAACAAGAAGACACTGAGGGCTCTCAACTAGACCCGCGGCAATATCTCAAGATCATCTCGGCATTCCATCAACCACGCTTCAGCTATTCAACGTCCAAGAAGGCGCTGGAGCAAGTAACTGGACCAACATCGCTCCTCCCACCAATCCAACACAAAATCTCCATGTTCCGAAATCGCTACCATCTCGTGCACCAACGACTGCTTCGAAATGAATCCTTCCAAACACCAGCATTCTCTACCGCAAATCGCCCACGGACGCTAGGTCGCTCAGGGAGCAGCGTCGTGAGCGCCCAGCAAGCATACAAGATCACACCAATTTCGAATCTTTTGGGCCGCTCAGGGTCCGCCCGTCTCTTGCTCGGCATGCTCGTGCATTCTGCAGCGGGACATCTTGTACTCGCAGATTTAAGCGGTAGCGTGGTGCTGGATCTGTCGACGACACGACCAATTCCGGAAGACGGAGCGTGGTTCTGCCCTGGCATGATTGTGCTGGTCGAGGGTGTCTACGAGGAGGACGGCTCAAACAATTCTAATCTGGGCGTTGCAGCAGGAGTAGGAGGCCAGATCAAAGGGCGCTTTGTGGCTGATACGATGGCTGGGCCACCGGCGGAGAGACGCGTCGTCACGGTTGGTAGTTCAGCAGGAGTTGATGCGGATAGTACTTCCAACGGTACCGCTCATACGAGTGTTGGGTCTGGTTTCGGCTGGATCGATTTTCTAGGTGCAGGCAGCGAGAAGGCTATGGGTTCTCAAATGCGACGAATACAGAGACGAATATTCGGTGCAGAGTCCCGCCCTCGGATTACTACGGTGCCCACCGACCTTGACGACATAGCACCGCCTTCGCAAGAGGAAGACCAACATCCTTCGCGCACGAAACTCGCCATCATTGGAGAATGTAACCTCGACAGCCCACGCACACTGGAAGCTATCCGAGCGATCATCGCATCCTACACAAACGCCAGCGAAAACGCCGCTGATTTCCCTGTGTCAATCGTACTGATGGGCAATTTCGTGTCCGCGGCGAGTATGGCAGGCTCGACGAAAGGCGGCGGCAGCGTTGAATATAAAGAGCATTTTGACGCACTGGCGTCCATCCTCTCAGACTTTCCGACCCTGTTGGCCACCACTACGTTTGTCTTCGTGCCAGGCGACAATGATCCCTGGGCGAGTTCGTTCTCTGCGGGCGGCGCATGTGTCATTCCGCGACAGGGCGTGCCGGATCTGTTCACCAGCCGGATCAGACGCGCGTTCGTGACGGCGAACGCAGAGGTTGCGAAGAAAGAAAAAGGGGGCCCTTCCTCGCCACCAGGAGAAGCCATTTGGGCGAGCAATCCCGCAAGAATCAGTTTGTTTGGACCACTTGAGGAGATTGTATTGTTCCGAGACGACATCACCAGCCGGTTCAGACGGAACGCAGTTACATTCTCCAAGCCAGAAGGCGATGAAGATGACGAAATGCCAGCGGCACCGGGACGGGCAGAGGCGGAGACACCAGACCTCGATGAACCAACCCACGCTCACGCCAATCGAGACCTCGACAGCATGGTCCACGAAGCCACATCACACCTGCCAACCACCAGCAGCAGCAAAACCTTCACAGCACCACACAGCAACAACCATAACCTCAACCCCGGCTCCCTCCCCTCGGCACGCAAGCTGATAAAAACCCTCTTGGACCAATCCCACCTCAGCCCCTTCAGCCACACGATCCGACCAGTATTCTGGGACCACGCGGGCGCACTGTCGCTGTATCCGCTGCCGACGGCGCTGGTGCTGGCGGACGCGGAGACGCCGCTGTTCGCCGTCACGTACGAGGGCTGCCATGTCATGAATCCTGGGCGCGTCGTCGATGAGCTGGGCATGCGCAGGGGCGCTGCTAGGTGGATTGAGTACGATGCCAAGCTGGGGAGGGGCGAGGGGAGGGAAGTCAGGTTCTAAGGTGGGCGTGAGCATGGCTGCGAGTCCTGGGGAGGAGTAAGATATGATGGAATGGGGTCGGAATGGGATGTTGACGAATATGAGTTGACGATGATAATGGGAGCCAGTGTGATGGCGTGGGGTGAGCTGTCATGATTGAATGTCATACGAAACGTCGTGGATGGTGTAGGAGCGAAAGAACGATTCACTGGTAATACGAAGAGTGGCTCCAGGCCAGGGTAGGCAGTATTGCTGTCAAATTGGACCTGGAGTATTTGGTGAGATGACAATAATATCTCATCTTCACGGACATGCTAAGTACGATAGAGTATTCGACAAGAGAATCTTCACCACATCACACTGATCCTCTGTAATTGTGGCACATTTCCTTTCATTTACTAGGGTTCTATTTAACACAAGCAGGTCTCTCTTCTGTACCTCCAAGTCCTTTTCTTGCCTGCCTGGATGTTCGAACCCTTTGGAAATTACCGCTAGTACTCCACCTTCAGCTTATCCAATCTTTGGACGACGGCATCAATTACAGCACCTTCTCGTTCCACCATGGCCATTACATCAGCAATGCGCTCTTTCTGGAGGCGGCTGGAAACACCAAACAAGGCACTGCCACTTCCACTACCACCATTGCTGGCTGTTGTGCCAATGGAAGCACGCGAGCGCGACAGGGAAGTTGATGCGGATAGGGAGGACACACTTTGGTCGAGGGCGGGAGATTGCTTTTCCACCCGTTGAGACTCCTCGACAAGTGAACTGGATAGCTTCTTGGCCTGTGAGGGAATTTTGGTAAGCGTGCTTCTTAGAAAAGTCGAGATACCTTGACATACCGTATCAAATCTCGCATCCAGGCGTGACCTATCATTGTCTGGCTTTTCTTCCTCTTTATCGGAGCCGATTCCCACGGCCGATGCCAAAACGTCAATCTCATTGATCCATGCAGTTTCTTTGCTATTGAGGTCTCGTTTTCTTCCACTCAGTCTTCCAACTGTACGTCTCACAGCTTCATATCTTGCAACCAGCTTGGCTTGTTTTTCTTTTGCCTCAACGATTCGGTCTTGATGGCTTTTCGCTACTTTAGCTTCCCCTTTCTCATCCTCCTCGCCACCGGGCTGTAGTCGTTGAAGTCTTTGAGCGAGATCTGTCATTTGCTTGACTTGATCACCAAGCTCTTCTCTTAATCTTTCACAGCGACGAAATAGCTCTGATGCCGCATTCTCCAATGCTGAGGTCTGGACGCTCACAGTCCGATGAGCTGCAGTCATAATCTCGAGCGTGAACGGTGACAACCGCATGGGTTTCTCTACCAGAACCCTCTTAAGATTTGGAGGAAGACGTTGACGTAGATTGTCCAATGGTTGAAGATGATTGACGTAGAAGATGCCTGCAGGAGCATATGGGGATCTGGAAGGTAATGCAGCAATATCATCATTCGCAGGTTGCTCGGGTAGTCGGGCAAGTATACGACTGGGTGATAATGAACTGAGTTCTGGAGAAGATGGCTCAATGGTTGAAGCACGAAGATGTGCCTGGTCAAATGAAACGGCATATGGTGTGGTAGGAGTTGAGGTCAAGAGGAAGTAACCTAAGCCTGTGTCATCGATTATAGCTGGGGCAGAGAGTGCCTCGGCTGACTGTTCAGATGTCTCCAATAGTTTGTTCGTGATGCAGACCGGACTTGCAGCACTTGTTTCTAAACGAGTCTTGAGACCATGATCTTCTCCCTCAGCACAATTCATTTCAGCAGCAAGTCGTGTAATCCAATCGTTGAATGAAAGTGAGTAGACTCGGTTCGTTGAGGTCAAGAAGATGGAGTAATTGTGAACAACGTCGACTGTAAAAGTTGGCCAATTGGTGGTATTTCCAGGAAGTGAATCATCCAAGGCGAAAGTATCGATCAATGTCAACTCCTTTGCATCAGCTGAAGGCAGACTGAACGCACTTCTGCCCTTCTTAGGAAGCCATTGACCTGTGACACCATCGAGATCAATGGCAAACCACAATTCATTGTCTGGGGTAGCAACGCAGACGGTAGTGAAAGGTATGGTCCCGGAAGAGTTGAAAAGATCATCCTCATCATCCTCTCCTGAGAGTATCTCTTGCTCGTCAATTATTGTGGGAAACACGTAGATGTCAGAGATTTCGATATCGGTGTCGTCGTCCGATGGTTGAACCGAGAATGGCCCTTGAAGACGTGGAATGGCACTCGGGTTTTGGGGCCTCAAACACACTTCACGCTGGCCAATGCTGTCAGCTGACTCGACCAGCTGAGTATCCTCTCTGTCCAGCTCCGAGGCCCACTCATACTGTTGGTCCGCAGCTCTTCGTTCATCTTGGTTCGTATTTTCTATTGAGATGGATGCAATCCGTGATACAGCAGCTGTTGAGAGGGCGGGAATAGTTGTAGGCGTTGGTGTCCATTTTGAAGGCAGCAAAGGACAAAGGGCGTAAATATCACTGTTTCGCATTGCCACCCATAGGGTCATTGCTGCCCATGGGTCTTCATCGCTTCTCCCATGGCCGCCGAAACACGCTGAAGAGACTTCCATATCGAAATCATCCACGGAGAAGCCTCTAGTCTTGCCAAAACCTGATGGTTCAAAGTCTTGGTCGCAGGAAACACCGTCGGCCAATTTCCGCAAGTCAATTGCAAGAGCCGGTCGCTCGAATGACCATTTGTTAGACCGATCAATCTCCCATACTCGAACAGCAGCTTCGGAGGTGATGGTGACGATGCAGTCTGTCGAGTTAGATGATGAGGCCAGCGGATGCCATAGGACTGACGCCAGTGGGGACTCTGGGATGACGTGAATTGTAGGTCCTAATTGGTAGGTCTTCAGTTTCAGGGGAGAGGAGTCATTCTCCGAAAGTCTGGAAGAAGGTGGCAGGACCGCAATATGGACAGTATGCTCGGTGCAGATGGCCAGGAAGGAGCCGGAGGGGGATATGACCATCTGACGGATTTTGTAGTATATCGAGACATCGAGAGTGCGGTATGTATGATTTTGAGTATCCGAGTCGGAGGCACGAGATAGACCTGAGCGACTATTGCCAGATTGAAATCCATCTTCCCAGTCGTCACGTACAGATACAAGATCTGCCCAGCGGATTTTATTTCCCACCACTGTGAAGATTTCGGTTCCTCTTGTCGCAATCAACCTTCTGGGACCTTGATAATCATTCGAAGAGGTAGGAGCGGTCAAATATGATGCGCGTTTGGATGGAGAGGAGGGTGACTGAGGTGCTGGATCGGAGAAGATCTTTGCACCTGGAGAGGGCCTGGAAAGCCAGGGCGGCGTGTAGCCAATGACTTTTGGCATCTTGAAGAAGACAAGGGCTTCTGACCAGTTGCTGCAGGATCTATATGACCATAGTAAGGTGAATACACAGTCGGTGCAGGGGCCCAAGTGGTTGAAAAGTCAAGATGCGCAGCGCAGCCAAATAAGTGGAAGTCGAAGTTGGGATGTGGTTAAATTTGGCAGGCGCGTGTTCGACAATAGTCCCGAACATTGCACGCGCCTTCCTCACAGCAACCACGACCACAACCATCATCGCTCCTTCCCTTCCAGTTCATTTCACCAACGTCACTGCCCCAAACACACCACGACTGCACCACAAAAAAACCCACAAACACAAACACAAACTGCGCAACTCACATCCACCTGCAATGGACAATATTACCACTGTCGACAGGCTGGACAAGCCAAGTTCCTACTTTTCCAGCAGGGTTGGTCTTCCTCCCTCCACTCTCAGGATCACTCCGTGTTAACTATAGGAACATAGAAGAAGCACCACAAGAACAACAATGGACGGTACTCCAACGACGACAGAGATGACAAACCTCCAAAGGAAGAAGATGATCCTCTGAAAGATGCGACAACACTCTATGTCGGCAACCTTTCTTTCTATACCACGGAAGAGCAAATCCATGAGCTGTTCTCAAAGTTTGTTGCCCCCTCTTTACGTCGCACGCCACATCCCATACTGATCAACTACATAGATGCGGCGAAATCAAACGACTGGTCATGGGTCTAGACCGCTTTCAGAAAACCCCTTGTGGCTTCTGCTTTGTGGAATACTACACCCACCAAGAAGCCTTGGATTGCATGAAATACATCGGTGGTACAAAACTCGACGAGCGTGTCATCAGAACCGATCTTGACTCGGGCTTTGTCGAAGGGCGTCAATATGGTCGGGGAAAATCCGGAGGTCAAGTCAGAGATGAATACCGAGACGAGTTCGATCCCGGTAGAGGGGGTTACGGACGTGCCATTGACATCGAGAGGCGGAAGGAAGAAGAAGAATATGGTTCTGGTCGATAATTCACGTCTCGGCATACACAATCCCTGTCTAAAACGCCAAACACCAATCTATCTAAACAGTTATTGAGCCTCTTTCGTCGCTTCAAGAACTTGTTTCAGCCACCAAACATGGATTCTGATATCCGATGTTAGCTCAGGATGGAAGCTGGTTCCAAACACATTGCCCTGTCGCACAGCGATAATGTCTCCGACCTCCTCCTCCGCATGTATCTCGAGTCCTCTGGCTGCAGCACTCTTTAGCCTTCCAGTCAATTTGCCCATGATCTCAACATCGGCGCTCATTGCTGAACGGGCTCGTTCATCCTTAGCTGCTTTTGATGGTGCCACCACCGTGTCGGCCAACTCTTGCTCCTGTCGCTGGATGCCCTCAACATTGGGCAATATTTTCTCCACCACAGGAGCTCGAATGAATATGCCTTGGAATGGATTATCCGAAAGAGAGGCGTCTCCTTTGAGAAATGGAAGATCGAGATCGGCCTGGAAACTCTCGACTTGTCTACCAAAATGGTTACGATTCACTCGAACGTCCAAACCTCCGATCAACTCCTGCCCGCCTTTCTTGGTTGCGTTAGCCGCCTCGGCCAACAAAATTAAGCCTGCGCATGTTCCCCAAGTTGGTTTTCGGCTGACTCTGAAAGCGGGCGCTTGATTAGCGTATGGGTAATATCAGTGACATTGATAAGAAGTGGCATACTTGACAAAATCTCTCAGAGGTTCCAGCAGGTTTGATTGCGCGGCAACGAATGAGATAGTAGTGCTCTCCCCTCCAGGAATGATCAAAGCATCACATTGTGCCAATTGATTGACATTTCGAACCTCTATAAATTCAAAAGCGGTCTTCGCATGTAATTCTCTAGCCGCCCTCCTCAGCAACACCAGATGCTCAAGGAAGGCGCCTTGTAGTGCAAGAACGCCGACTGTGATTGCCATTGACCCCGAATACAACCACAGTTGGTGGACAACAAACAAGATCAACAACTAGAATACCATCAGATTCAGTTTGAGTCATGATATCGCCCCATTACTGCCAAATATTTCTGCAGGTCGAGATTTGTCGGGGACAAGACCGTTCAGGCGGCTTCATTTCCGTGTTTGGGTTGAGCAGCTTGCTGCTTTCAACCCATGTCACGCCGCTTCAATCCATTAGATCAAGGGCCGGGCCGCCACGAATAAACTCTCTTCATCGCCAGCCTGAGCGAGGGATGGAAAGTGGTGATCTTATCATTATCGCTGCTGTGAACGAGATGGACTGCATAATCAGCGAGTCCATCGAGAGTGCGTATCCTTCTTGACTGAGACGTTTCTCTTGCGGATTGGCTCGAGCCACTCCAAAGCAACGTTAGCATACCCCGCGTCTGTATGTGTTGTCTGTCCTCGACATGGGATCCGAAATGCCTGCGAATAATGATCAAGGGGAAGCATGGTACCCTCAACACCCTTTGATGATAAGGATGTTGAGATCGCAAAACATGCCTCTCGTCTACTGAGTACAACCCACCACTGCTTGAGGTAAGGAGGTCGTCCCAGCTTTGAGCATCGAGCTCTGCAGAATGCGTGTCCAGATAATATACACATTTTTACCCCAAGAATCTGACTGCTATGCACTTTTAACAAGCTATTTGATCAATCAGCACTGGCACTACCTCTGATGTTCTCTATGTGACAACCGCAGGCATCAAGTACTCCAGCCCGCGACCCTCAATGGCAATAGCACTATGTTAACGATTGACGTTTGGCAGGAAATTGATCGTGTGGAATTTCATGAAAATGCCATCCTTCTTGATGTCAGAGTTCGATCTCAGGACTATCCCATCAAACACAATGTCTACGATGACCACCAAGTCGAATCCCAGGATGGGCTGACTCAACAGCTCTTACGTGATGTGCTCGATGACTTCGCTCTTGTGCTGTCTGGCAGGGGCGGGCCTGATCATGTTTCGGCCGTTTGCATGGAATGTGATGAAGAACGTCGGGTTATCACTTTACGTATCTCAAGCAACGACGGTGTCAATCAACAAACGCTCGATCAGCTAAACAGACTTCTGCGCTTGATATCTGACCCTCTCGATATGGGAATCGAGCAAAGGCACGAAGACACGTTGGCGATTATTCTACAACAGTGCTTTGTTCCATTCTTGAACCATGCGAGCAAGTTCTCCAACGAACTCAGGCAGTCTGAATGTCCCTCAGATACAAATCTACGATTTCCTTCTTTCTCTACGCAAGGGAGCATGACTGAGTCTCCCACAGATACAGAGCATCTCGGAAGCTACAGTCCCGATAGCTTTGATGCGTATATGCAGCTCAGTTGTGATCGCTTACGCCAGCTGCGGAGGATGTGTACTGAGTTGGGAAATTCGAGAAAGCTATCAAATATTTCCGACATGATGCTATTGGCGAAGGCAGCCCATGAAGTACGACGCTCCGGCTCTTTTTACTTGTTGCTACATCACAATATTCGCATGAGTCGGAAGCCAAGCGCCGTAAATTCGATGTTAGAAAGCCTGAAAGAGCGGCTTGGGAAGTTGTCACGATATTGGAGGGCTGCCAAAATCTTGACAGCATTTGGAGCGCTGGTGCTGACCCAGAACACTACCATCGATATTCTACCTCTGCCTTCTGGAAGACACGAGATTCCTGCGATGAGCAAGAGAACTCTTAAATAGGTCTAGGCTCGTGGTGGAGAAGGCTTCAAATCATGTTCCCTAGAATTGCTCCGAAGCAAACTTAGGCAATGGACAAGCTATCGTATTCATTGTGAGTTGCAGCTTATCATCTTTTATCAGGAAAATCCGCAACTGCAACGAAAGTGCGATTACATTGGATGCAACAAGTTAGCATGTTACTTGTGTTACAATTTCACCATGGCTCATGGCCAATTTCACCTCAAAGGATGTCACCAAGGGCTCTACTGCCTATGGACAGTACCTCTTACCATCTCCTTCGAAAGCCATGATCGAGCTGCTGAGTTCCAGCGTGCATTGAAAGAACTAGCCCAGAACCTCATAGCTCGGGTCGACACGATTCGCAACTCCGCCGAACAATTCAGATATAGAACAAATAATGAATCTATAGCCAATTTGTCCCGTTTATCCCTATACTTGCCAGCCATCTTAACGCCTCCACAAATTGTCAGCCCAAGTGGAGGCAAGGCATCTAGTACTAGGATATCTAGGCCGCTGTCTCGGCTGTGAAGTCTTTGCCAGCTTGTTACTGTGTGCGAAGGACATGACTTAGACCACGGTGGCCAACTACAGTTGCCTCAAATTATCACAACAGCGTCTCAGGCTAGCAGTTCGGTGACACCAGACCCTGAAAATGACATCTCCGACCACGCTTTTAGTTCAAAAGGCAGGAGTACCCGCCCTCACGAATCGCAGGAGGAGCATTCATTATCCGATCCGTACCAATGCAACTGCAACGATCACAAACCGAAACATAAGGTTGGACAACCAGACCCACAGTTTGGTGCCGTTCTGCCCTCTCTCAGAACAAGTCGAAGTGTCTCGAGCAATTCTACGGTGACGATCCGGCCTACATTGCCTCCAATCCTCGAGGAAGGGAGAGGTGACAGTACACTTGTAATAAGATCGCCGGATCAGAACAACGATTCTGCCGGGTCCTCACGAAATATCGGAGAAGAATGTCCGGGATCTTTGTCTCACCCATCTATTCCAAAGCCACAAACGGGTGAAGGGAAAGAAAAGGAGGTATTGCATTCTGACAACGGAGAAGGAGCTGAAAGGTATGTAGAAAGCAGACGGCTTGCGTCATTATATGCTCGCGGATTGTTTGTAAGAACCTGACTTATTTACAGCGCGACATACCTACCTAGACAGACTAGACCGAGGAAGGACTGTGCTCGAGACATTGCACAGCTCTATCATGGGCGGTACTTTCGATCTGCCCACACCATAAGAGATAGTCAAAATCTACCCAACAGGAGGTTCTATGAACTCACCAATCCGACTGGAGCATGCTCCAGTGGCAGGATTCGAACATTCAACTTTCATGACAAGGGCCTCTACCTGCAGGTTGAGCAACCAGCTCACGCACAGGTGATCATACTTCAATGTTCCCAACCCTCTACCATTGAATCACGTCCAATCGTTGAGCTTGACAAGATGCAGCCTGGCGAGACCCTTGAAATTGACACTGGGGAAGATTTGGTCAAAGCGATGTATCTCACAAAGCGAGATAGGAAGGGGACCGATCAGTGGTGGGTGTGCCATTGGAAGGTCGGTCAAGACGCAAGGAACAAATAATCTGACAGGTATTGCGATCATTCCCTTCGAATTGGGGATTTGGGCTTCTGACGATGGAAACGTGAAATAAATCTTCCCCCTCCTCTCGACCAGTGTGTATGCAGTTGAACAAGATGGTCCTTTGAGAAAATGTTGCAGCTTCTTCAAAGGTTATTGATATTGATGGGATTTTTGGTGGTTGGAATGGCATTATAGATACTTATTCTTCCATTGTTTGGTGTTAAGACATAGCGCCTGGGAGGCAGTGCCTTCCATGCCCCAAGACAATATCCGGACGCCTAACACTCGGACCCAATCTAACTAGGCCCAAGCCTGACACGCCCGAGCGCTTGGCCCGAAAGCCCCTAATTAACTAGAGTACCTCCCCCGCGTGATCTCAGGCAGTGTTCCCATCTAGGCCAAGGGCGTCTCGGGCTTTTCTTCCGCCAAACCTTCCATACCTATCATTTTGGTGTGGGAGACCGCCTAATGAGACAACGATAATTTCATCACCAAGATAGATATCTACCTCTGCTCCATGTAGCTTACGCTTTTACGTGCTTAGCCACCTCCGGCGCAAACGGACTGTCTTGAGACTCAGATCCTTCCTGCTTTCCTGCAGAGGGACGCAGGTTGGATGCCGGCCCAAGAAAAGTCTATCCCTGCATGCAGTCGCTGTCGGAAAAGGAAGACACGATGTGATGCAAGCCGACCACTGTGTGGCCCATGCCGGCGCAGTGGTGTCTCATGTCTATACTTTGATTCAGAGGCCAAGACCGAGCTACCACGTCAGCATATTTGTGACTTGGAGGAGACTTTACGTGCATTGGAATTAGAGCATAGCACTCTCATCAATGGCTCGTCCTTCAACTCGGCACCAGACACAGACACGTTGGCTGGCACTGCTGCTATCACAGCTAGTATTTCAAACACTGCAGATGGTCACTGGCATGGTAGCCATACTGACCTAATCGATGTTGGCCATGCTCGAGGGGAGGCTCACTATGTCGGGAGTTCGAGTGGGCTGCACATTGCTCGTGCGGTGCTTGAGACAGCCGAGCGGAACTCCTCCACATTGGGAGGAATGGATGAACATGATTCTGTAGCCGAAATTCACGAGTCGACGACCCTCAATCAGAGCCCGGTAACGACCCTGCCTCTACAGGAAACGGCTATGGAGCTTGCTTCTGTCTTCTTCAACCAGTTCCAAGTCCAGTACCCTATCTTGGAAGAGACCACCTTCATGGCCAATATTTCTCAAATCTATGGAAATAGGGACCCTGGAGTGTCCACCGGATCCAACTTTCAGCAACTGTTCGTCCTGAGATTGGTGCTGGCAATCTCATTGCATTGCCTTTCGAAGACCACTCCCGCGGCTGGTAGCCTGGCTAGTAACTACAGTACGATTGCCCTGAAGGAGCTGCCTGATATTCTTCTACGCAGGGATTTACAATCCCTACAGTGTCTTCTGCTAGTCCTCCTACTGTCGCTCTTGCAGCAAACGCAGCTCCCGATATGGTATATTTCCGGTATGTGTACCAGATTATGCATAAACTTAGGCTTGCACAACGAAAAGTCCATAAAGGCATCTACAATCGAGGTCCTGGGCGAAGACTCTGATCAAGAAGTGGATTGTAAGCGTCGACTCTTCTGGGTAACATACATCTTTGACCGTACGCTTGGTTCAGTTCTCGGTCGACCTATTACTATTCTAGAAGACATGATCGACGTTGATTATCCGGTCTCTACCATTACCCAACAAAGGCGAGGGCAGACCGTACATTGGTTGAAATTACAGAGACTACGGACAGAGATTCTGCAACGGCTATACGGGCCGGAAGCAGCATCAAAGCTGGATGTGTCCGAAACCAGCGACGACATGATCTTTCGGGCACAAATGTCGGAGAAACTGGCTTCGTGGTTCCGCGAAAGTACCCTTCTGGCAACTCAGGGTCCCTATGACTTGCACTGGTGGAATTATTGGCGCTGCAACACTCTCTTATTCCTGCATCGGCCTGCCATGAGAAATACTCGAATAGATATGGTGGCCTACACAACAGCACTCGAGTTCATTCAGCTTTCGTTTGTGCGGCTTCACCAGGAGAACGCGACTCTCACATGGCTTGATATGCAATATCAAATCAACGCTGGTACAATGCTACTATTCGCAATCTGGAGCTGTTCAGAGGTGCGAGAGAGGTCGAAAAGAGAATGGGTGATGGTGAGGAGCTGCTTAGTGCAATGGGAACAGCTGCTGTCAGCATCTGTCCAAAAGTGGCCCAGAGGCAGCCGCGCAAAGGGAATTTTAGTGGCTCTCAAGGACTCGACCGTGGTACACCTCGAGAAGGAGTTAATGGGAATTTCTGTGCACGAGGTTTCCCGCCACGACCTAACCCGTCAGAAGAGCTATCAGGCTATAAGCCAAGAAGCGCTCCTCACGCGAGATAACAACAGCCTAGCAAGATCTTATGATGACCCATCCGCAACCGAAGCCGATCATGTACCTTACAGCTCGCAATGGGGCTTGAATCCCACAATACAGGCTTCCGAGTTTGAGGTCTTCAATGAATTGACCTCGCAGGATGCGCCAGATCTCGAGCACGCTTCGAATGGCGAATTCATGAATCCTCAGAGTCTAGACAGAACGGATAACGATTGTGGCCCTGCTGAACCACGAATTTCGTGGAACACTTCTACGGCTGCGACACAGTGGGCAGATCAGGCATTTGGCATGATCGATGGTTTTGACGACGGATTCTTTTACCAGGGCGCGACCATTTTCCCAGGATTCAATGACCATGAACAAACCTACATGGAGAGTGTTCTTAACTTTCACACCGCATACTCAGACTGATGAACCTTTTGAGAAGGGGTCGTGGTGTCATGCTCCACGAACCAGTTCAACAACAAGATCTTGCAGATGTGATCGTGGATTACTTGCTGGAGGAAAAATTACCTTCGCTGAGCCTTGACCAGATGTAATTGAACCACTGTGATCCCAGAAATCCGTCACTTCTTGCGCTATATCTGAGCCTCCAGTCACGGGGTTTTCTGCAGCATTGAGTTGCAATGTGATGAGCCGAGTTGCAGTCCTGGCACCCAAACGCTCAAAATGGCTGGCGAGGGTGCGGCCCTTATGCCATCGATCTGATAACGCCCGCAGGATGAAGTTCACATCCGAAACACCCTGCCAGAGGCTCAACGGCTCCATCAAATCTATGCCATCTTCTGTCGAGCCTTTCGCCAATTGCCAGTAAGCATAAAGCACTGCTAAGCCGGCAGAGTAAGCCTTTTCCGATGCGACCTGGACATAAAAGATCTCGTTCGCCTCTACCAGTGTCCTGTATATCTTGAGGAAGGCAAGGGCGGATGTCCAGAGTTGCGAGAGATTCGCTCGAGACCTAGTCCGTATTGCACGACATGGTCGGTATAGCAGCATGATACTTTGATGCCATTCACTCTCAAGAAGTAACTTTGTAGGCGCAGATAACGTGTCCCGATTAGCGGAGTCCCATGTTTCCAGCCTTCGCCTCAATTCGCCTACAACTGGCTCCGGGTCTGGCAGCACGTTCGCTGTCATGTACAGTCTCTCGTACAGCAACGATTGGAGTTGTAGAACTCGATATCGCTGCTTGAAGCCCAGAACTTCATCGCTACTGGCAAGCATACCAATCTCAAAAGAAGGAATCTCGACATGGATGTAATGATCCGAGACTTCACACGGACGACCCATCCCAATTGAGATTGACCTATCCAATGAGTACATGGACCAGAATAATCGTCGACGCGTTTCCAGGAAGCTGTCCGATTTACCTTGCAAGGCTGCCTTCGATTCTTGATGCAGTCCTAGATCAACACAGATACGCATACCAATTCCGACAAGCTGCCAGCTATCGAGGCGAGAGGGGTTGAGCATGGAGTACAGAATAAGAAAGAGGATGGCTTGCAATCCAGCTGTTGTGTTGGGCAATATAGCGTAGTTGCGAAAACTCAGTCCTGCGTTGAGAATCTGCTCCGAATTATGAGAGACGATAGAGCCTGTGCTGGTCGAGAGTGAGGCAATCGAGATAGCGAGTACGATCAATACAGAGAAAAGGCTGTACCCAAGCTCGTTGGCATCCAATTTTGCCCCTGCGTCAGGAGTTACTCCCTCTTCATATCGACGACTATGCTGGGTTTGCCAGTTTCGCGATGGTGTCGAAGACATGGGCATCGACGTGTCGTCAAACAGGCTATACGCCTGAGCAAACTGAGTCCAGAACCCCTCACGGGAGAAGAATGGGAGTCGGGGATACAGATCTTCGAAATAATGATCCGCAAGTTTCTTTGCCGTTGCTCGGTCTGGCAATAAGTCTCGAATGCGGGCGTGGTCGTGCACATCGACCACGGGGACCAGCCATGTTGCCTCGGATGCTGCTGCGAGCACTACCGTTGCTAAGCAAGGGCTTTGTGGATCGGCAGGGTCAAAAGACGATGCGAGAATAGGCAATGCCCCAATCTGAGACACCATCTTGTCAATTCGACACATCCACGAAGCTCTGGAGGAGGCATCTTGAGAACTGCCACTTGCTACGACAACATCAGCATTCCATATGGTTGACTCAAAAGTGCCCTTGTAGCATACACACCTTCATTATGAGCGACCCCATCATCCTCATTAGCCTGTGGTATGGGCCCATGCTGTTCTGGGGGAGTATTGTCGAGAGTTGTCTGCCGGCCAAGTCTTGACCTGAGCTCCTCAATGCTGGCCTGGAGGTAAGCCACATAGTCACGCTGCTGGTGTGAATCCGTATCCCCGAGCGAACAGCTTGCGGCCCTTCCGTATTTCGTACAGCCTGAGCACGCTGGACTTTGGCCATCACACTTCATCTTGCGACCTTTACAGAAATGACATGCCGATTGAGCCTGCTGTACTCGGACAGGAACCCCCGAGAACAACGTGCTAGGTGGAGTCATCATGGCCTTCTTCCACACGCGGCGGACTCGGATCTCAGCGACTCTTTCACCCGATATTTCCCAGGTTTAATTTTCGATCTCCTGACCTGTGGTCGAGAAACGACACGGGAAGGTTCTGGCTACGGTCCATGGTTTTGTCGAGACTGGAATCGGCAGTTCCGCAAGCCGCGGCTCAGCTTTAACGCTAGTCCAATTTCCCTCGTGGGGTTGCCATGTCGCCGTTCGGAGCCACCGACGGTTTCCATGATTTCCACCTCTCAATTTGCCTTCACCAAAGATGAAGCGACCATGATCAACCAGGACAGCTCGGCTTATGGTTCCAGGACTAAACCCATCCGTCTTGTGGGATCCTCATCTAAGTTCGAGTCATGTTGGGGAATAGTGACCCACGACACGGATGACCCGATGATGCTACGTAGGTAGGGATCTCAACCTACGCTCTACTTTCTTGACGAGGAATATATCATTTGCATTTGTTGTCACGGTGCATTACAGATTTTCTTTCTCTGTGTGTGAAATAGCGCGGCTGGTCTGCCGTAAGTATTGTGATGGCTCCAGCTAGATTACTTCCCGAGCGTGAGCTGATTTGCGAGCCAGCGACAAGCAGCCGAACATTCAAGCGCGAGCAGTATGCCGTCGACTTGTGTGTTTGTGGTGGTGGGCTATCAGGAGTAACAACCGCTATTACAGCCGCGCGGCAAGGTGTTAAAGTTATTTTGATCCAGGACAGGCCAGTTCTAGGTGGCAATGCCTCGTCGGAGGTCCGTCTTTGGATCTTGGGTGCAACATCGCACATGTTCAATAACAACCGCTATGCACGCGAAGGTGGGCTCGTTGATGAGATCCTCACTGAAAATATGTTCCGGAACCCAGAGGGCAACCCTGTTATACTTGACTCTTTGTTACTGGATATGCTCGGTTCCGAAAACAACATTCAGCTTTTGCTTAATACGACACTAGTTGGTTGCGACAAAAAGAGCGACCGTCTCTCGAGCATCCAAGCGTTTTGTTCCCAGACGTCGACCGATTTTGATATCAAGGCTGGCTTGTTCGCCGACTGTACTGGGGATGGTGTCTTATCATTCCTGGCAGGCGCACCATTTCGCATCGGCGCTGAGCTGAAAAGCGAGTTTGGAGAACTATTTGCACCATCGGCAGAATACGGTCACTTACTCGGTCATTCCATCTACTTTTACTCCAAAGACACAGGACGGCCGGTGAAATATGTCGCACCATCATATGCTATCAAGGATATCGAGGCCGAAATCCCACGCTACAAAACATTCTCCGTCAAAGAGATGGGGTGCCAGCTATGGTGGATCGAGTATGGAGGAAGACTAGATACCATACATGACGCAGAAAAAATCAAGTGGGAATTATGGCGTGTGGTATATGGTGTTTGGAATTACTTCAAGAACTCCGGCAAGTTTCCACAGGCTGAGAATCTCACACTCGAGTGGGTTGGCATGATACCAGGCAAGCGAGAATCACGACGATTCATTGGCCCATACATGATGAAGCAACAGGACATCATCGAACAGCGCTATCACAGTGATGCAGTCTCTTATGGGGGCTGGTCAATCGATCTGCACCCTGCCGACGGAGTCTTCTCAGAAATTGACGGCTGCACCCAGTGGCACTCCAAAGGGGTCTACCAAATTCCGTTCTCTTCAATGTTATGCTCAGAGATCCCCAACTTGCTCTATGGAGGCCGTACCATATCTGCCTCACATGTTGCTTTCGGTTCAACCCGCGTTATGGCAACGTCCGGAAACAATGGTAACGCACTTGGTATGGCGGCAAGCCTTTGCAAGAAGCTCCAAGTAGACCCGGTCGCGCTTCTGGGGAAAGGCAATATGCAACTCTTGCAACTCGACCTCATGCGCCACGGACAATTCATCCCTGGGTACAAACTGCGTGATCCGCTAGATCTCGTTTTGGAGTGTGGTGAAGTCACAGCCACCAGTGAATTTAAGCTTGAGCGCCTCACAGCTGACGGACCACCAAAAGTACTGACGAGAAGCCTGGCACAGATGATACCCTTGCCGAAAGGACCTGTTCCTATCTTTGAGATAGATGTCCAAGCAGTTGAGGACACCACTCTGACAGTGCAGTTGCGTGGATCACAACAACCTTATAACTACACGCCAGAGGTACTACTTGGGGAGAGAAGCTTCAAGCTCACTGAGGCCGACTCGAAGTTACGTATCGATTTCTCAACTGATAATCCACAAGATCAATACGTATTTCTCTGCCTGATGGAAAACGAAGCTGTCGCGGTGTGCACTACGTCCACCAGGATTTCTGGTTTCATGACCGTTGAACACGAATGCACTCAAGATCCTCCACCTGGCATCGGCATTGACAAATTCGAGCGTTGGACACCTGTACGTCGTCCGATGGGCCATAACTTGGCTTTGACGATCACACCACCGATACAGGCCTGGAGTCCAGCCAATGTCCGTAATGGCGTTGCGCGTCCAACTAAGAGAGCTAATTGCTGGGTACCAGCAGGATATCCTGCAAAGGAGGCGGAGGTACTGACAATACGCTGGTCTAACCCGGTGGATATCACCCGTGTAGTAGTACGCTTCGACACCGATTTTGATCACGGTATGTCAAAAAATCGATCCCATTAGTTTCGTCTACTAATCTATCTTACAGCCATGGAATCTGTTCTTCGAGGCCACCCAGAGTCATGCATGCCATTTTGTGTACGAGAGTGGCAGATTCTCGACTTCGCAGATCAGCTCAATGATGGGCTACCAAGCGTTATTTATCATGAAACGGACAATCATTCAGCGCAGAGAGAGATCATACTACCTCAGTCTGTGCACACCGATGCCATCGGCATCAGACTGCTGAATATCAATGGCGGCAAGTCTGTGCGAGGAGGAGTCTTTGAAGTTAGGGCTTACACGGAGTGAGCCTTCATGCGCCCTGCGGCAGAGAAGTATTTAGGTCACCAAATAAATATGTAACTTACTTCTGCATTTTTGTCGTATATACAGCTACAGAGGTTTTCATGCTACGTGACCAGCGTTTAATCTGCCACTCTAGAGACTTACCTCCACAAAAGTGAATTGTCGAGCAGCCCCGCTGCGACACACCAGGACGGCAGGATGCGATATTCGTCCTGCTTTCAACGACTCTCTCCACATCATCCACCTGCATCCGTCGAAAATGACATATTAGTCTCTCATCTACATTCAGCAGCTTGCTGATGTCCTCAATCACGCCCTTTGCTCGGCCAGGTGTAATCTTATCTGTCCCACAGGTCAGGAAGACGTGAATTCTGCTCCAGACACCGACCGCCAGCCGGCCATTTTGTATAACAAAACGCACAAATTCCCAATCATCAACATGAAGAGTCCAGAACAGCACAGGCGACTTGACGTTCTCTTTGCCATTGCGATAATCATTGTCTTCCGTTCGAACTTGGGCAGCATCGATGTCAATCCTGTCAGCTATTGCGAGAAAAGCGCAGATGCCCACGCCACCAGCTACAGCCACAGTCACCCCTGTAGCACCTTCACTATCGGGATTGACAGCTTCGATGCCGCGGAAAAGCCTGGCAGGAAACCCTCCACCACAACCAAGAACGGAGGCTTCAAGAGCCCGAAATCGTGGTAGACCAATCTGTGATGTCAAGGTGCCACTGCGTGTGACGAACTGTATTTCTACTGTATCATGGGAAAGAGTACTGACGTCGACAGCATCAGTCTTTGCAGCTTTCTTGTCGTCGATGTTTGCCCCGTCGCACATGTGCTTGTAACGGCATGGCGTCAGTTGTAGCCGCCTTGCTTCATCATCAAGGGCTGCACGACCACTGATCAGATCAAGTTCTGGCGGGAGTTGGAGCTCGATATGCTGAGAGGGAGTCCAGTTGAGCCCCAATGCGGGACTGATGTGAAAGGTGTGCAGATTGATGGTTTGGGTCAGGCGTGAGGTAGATATATGGATGGCTGTGGCTTTGCCTGCTGCACTGGCTGGGGTGTTAGTAGAGGCGTTCAACGGCATGGTAGTTGGCGTTACTGTTGACGTCGGTATTTGAACGTGGTTTGGATCGGACACCGCTATTGATTCAGGGAACTTTGTCGTAATGGGCAACGGTTGAATCACGCAAATGAGATAGATAGACTGTGATTTTACTATTGACGATAATATCGAGTTTGTGGTCTGGCACCCAGTCTGGTGCCTCCTCCGTTTGCTGACTCACCTTATTGCTTCTGATCCTTGTCTACCTGTGGGCAAGGCTCGAACGGAACCACCGAGCTGAATTTCCATCTTCTGCACTCTTAGTGTGTCTTGTGGAGAGCCACCGCCTACTCCGTTTGGGGGTTCCGGCTCCCCACTGTAGAAATCTGGAGAAATTTTGCACGAGCCGCCCACAATAGCTTTTCATGGGGTTGTCCTCGTTATTCGCTTACGCAACCGAGACATCACGCTCTACAACGTAAGTGTGCATGGCGTGGAATTAGACATGTAGTCTCGTTCTCATAACTCAGAGTCCGGATTCCAGAGGTTGGTCCCTAGCACCATTGGCAGATATATATAGTTGAGCAATGCCCGCTTCCTCAACCACAATCACCATCATCGCCATCTTTTAGTCTTGAATCTCTGGTCTTTTTATCATACCATTTTATCTCCGACAGAGTGTAATCTAGCAGTTATGAGCAGCCCTACGAAGAACAAGACGCCATGGCGACTATACCTGGCAGCTTCTTGGATGGCCTTGGGTGCAATTTTCTGGGGGTAAGTCAGTGCCCAGGTTGGCCATCCTGCTATTGCACAAGACACTGTGCTTACGGACTCCTAGCTACGATATAGGTATCGTTTCTACAATATATGTGGCGCCAGGCTTCAAGAAGGCATTAGACCATCCTTCCTCCAAAGAAATCGGGCTCATCACCGCCATCTACTACGCAGGTAAGTGTCTTGCATGAGTGGTACATCTTGCTAGTAGGTAACTCCTTGAATAGGTTCTTGGCCCGGATTTGTCTTCGTCACCGGTCCCATGAACCAGAAATTTGGCCGTCGCTGGACGGGATTCTGGGGTGTTGCTGTGTTATGTGTTGGCGCAGCGTTGCAGGCTGGCGCAGTGCATCTTTCGATGATGATTATCGGCCGCATCATAGCAGGCCTGGGCACTAGTCTGGTCGCTGCCGCTGTGCCACTTTATCTCAGCGAGATTGCACCAGCTGCTACGCGTGGAGCGTTTGGTGCCTTGAACCAGATTGGCATCGTTTCTGGGTACGTCGTAACGTCTTTGATAGATAGCAACGCATTCGACAAGGAGATTGCTGACTGTCTGAATTAGCATCAGCATTGCATTTTGGTGCGGCTACGGCTACAGCCACTGGACCGAGGGTCGCGGTGAAGACCTGCAATGGCGTCTCAGCGTTGCCATGCAATTCATCCCTGCCGTGATCTTCTGTGCTTGCATTGGGTTCTTTCCCGAGAGGTATGTCCGCAGAAACATGACTGTTCATTAGCTAATTACCCTGTAGTCCTCGATGGCTTTTGGAGCAAGACCGTCTTGAAGACGCCGCCAAAAGTCTTGCTCTGTTCCGATGTAATGCCACGCCTGAGGACCTGCAGGCAGAGTTGGACAGCATACATGAGAACATTCTCTGGCACAAAGCGAACTCAACCACGTCTTCCAAGATACTCTTCACTGATAGGTCCTATTTCGCCCGTCTATGGCGAGCATGGGTTCTCAATTTCCTACAGCAGATGAGTGGAGCAGCTGGCATCCGATACTATTTACCATCCAACTTCAAAGCAGCCGGGACATCTGACGAGATTGCACTGCTTGCCAGTGGTATTGACGGCTCGGTACAAGTCGCATGCACTGTTGTTGGCCTCTTACTTATTGATCGTGTTGGTCGGAGAAATGCTCTTGGACTAGGCGCGGCGCTTATGGCATTCTGTTTGATGGTAAGCCGTCACTGTGCTGGGCGTGTCGACTGGCGACTTGCTTGGTTAGGCATGCAGATATCACAGTTATGCTAACAAGACTTTCTTCAGATCAATGGAGCGCTGCAGACCGCGTATCCACACCAAATCAATCAGGCTGCCAATTACTGTAACATCTTCTTCATATTCTTGTTCACGTTGGGCTACTCAGTTGGCGCTGGACCAACCACATGGATCTACTCCTCGGAGGTAAGATTGAGTCCTGTCCTCATGAGCTGCCATCCTACGGACAAATCTATCCTTTCATGCCAGAAACTAATGGTCAAAGATTTTCCCCGCCAATGTCCGCGCGAAGGGTCTCGGTATAGCGGCTTCTGGCCAGTCGATCGGTGCCATTATCGTTGGTCAAGTCTGGCCTGTAGCAGTCTCTAACATTGGCGCTCGCGTCTACTTTATCTTCATGAGTTTTAACCTATTGTCCTTCGTGCTGGTTTATACGCTTTACCCGGAGACAGCCAGGAAAACTCTCGAAGAGATCGACGCCCATTTTGGCAAGATAAATATGCGCGGCGCCGACGACGGGACGATTGATGACTTAAAGGGTGAGACAACGGTGCAAAACAAGGAAGTGATCGAGAAAGGAGTTTAAGGATTCAGTGCCTCGCCGTCCATAGATCGATTGAGAGGTACCAGAATATGGCTGGCTGTCCATGTGTCAGGATTCTGGTGCTGTTCTGCTCGTATACAGTGGTAAATACACCGATAGGAGCTTGGTGGATAAGCACTGTTACTGTCGGCTTGCGCAATTCTTCAGATACAGCATTTTATTTCTGAAGGTGTGACAAATTCATGTAATACTCCACACTCACGGAGGTGCCGAAGGATAGTTGTGGATTGCCGCAGAAGTTCCACGAGGAGGTGCTCAAGGTAGAAATATACATATCTACGTGGACTTACAGGACCTAATAAAACCTATAATTATTCTTTTTGAACTTTCGATCCAAAAGCCCTACAAAACCAACCATGTCGTCGAAAGAACCACGTATAGTCTATCAACCGCTCCATCCCTCCACCAGACTAAGACTTGACCCCGAATATATCGCGTACCACGACAGCGTCCTTCAGTACCTCCCAGCAGATGATGAGAGGCCCTGGACACCATCATTCCGTACCTGGGCAAATATCATCAATACCACACCTGTCGCCGTGGGCGGTATTAGAGATGTCACTATTCCCAAGCTCTCTCCCACCGACAGATCGCCTCTGCAAGCGCGCGTCTTCACACCTGATCCAGAGCTCTCGCCACCAGAATCCGCCAACGGCTGGCCAGTCCTGCTATGGTTCCATGGCGGTGGTTTCGTACTAGGTGGTCTGGAAAGCGAGAATGACCTTTGTGCCTTGTTCTGTCGCACGGCAGGATGTGTGGTGGTCTCTGTCGCATATCGACTGGCGCCGGAGCACCCCTATCCCGCAGCGGCGCAAGACGCTGTACGGGCTTTACGGTGGGTTGCCAGTGAAGAGGCAAGCAGAGAGCTGGGGTCGGATCGGCAGCGAATTGCGATTGGAGGGACCAGTGCGTAAGTAGTTTGTCCCTTGTTTTCTCATATTCGCGGTTCTTTCCCCTCGCACTCTCAGGATTAGGCATCTAAATACTATTTTGGGACAGCGGAGGCTCTCTCTGCGCCATCGTCGCGCTCCATGCGGCCTCTACAACTCCTCGGATCCGCTTAGCGTATCAACTCCTTCTTCTGCCCGTCCTCGACCATACCGCTACGCCCACCTCCACGAGCTGGCTACAGCGCCCACATGCCCCTTGGCTTACACCAGCGCGCATCCTCTGGTACCGCAGTCTTTACTTTAATCAACCATCATCACCACCAATAGCAGCTGCTAAGAACTGGAATGCGAGTCCGGCACTAGCGCCAGACGAGCTGCTGCGTGGTCTGCCCCCAACATGGATTGCGGTGGCGGGAGAGGACGTGCTGAGAGGCGAGGCAGAAGAGTTCGCTGATAGGCTCAGGGGCCATGGGGTGCCGGTGCGGTTGCAATGCTATGAAGGTGTGGGCCATAGTGTATTAGCACTTTCGCGTGAGTGTTTCCCCTTTTTACAGCACCTTGAGACTACCCTACTGCTTTTATGAGATACCTGATGACGAAAATGCTCACTCAATGTTGCTAGAGATTTTGACAAAAGGACGACAATTGATGCACGATGCTGCAGTGGAACTACGACGAGGTCTTCATGGGGAGTCAGGTATCGAAAATTAGTGAGGGTCATCGTTACCTGTTAATTAGATCGCTGTCATCTACTTTGTAGACTGGGGTAGCCAAGCTACCTCCCGATGCGACAGAGTCAGGACAGATTGCATATACAAAGTAAAATTGGGTCTTCCGCTATTCTTCTACTGGACGATCTTACTGCTGTCATCTACACATTAAGCCCATATATCGGTGCGAGACATCATGAACTACAACCTATCGTTCTAGCGACGTTGTGTAACAGATTACAAGTCCTAGGCGTGCCGTGAAATATGTCCAAGAGAGCAACGCAGGAAGAAATAAAGTAGACCATAGATCAATATGATAAATGACTTCAAAGAGAAGGCGAAGTGAAAATAAAGGCATAGGTCCAAGGTAGCGGTAGATTACAACAACGCTCGAAGCTCCAACATAAAAGAGTCGCCAATTTGTCAGGCTCGTACAGGGGGATGAAGTGATATTCCGAACCAATTTTGCGTTCAACGACCACCAACGAGCTGTAGATACAAGCTACCCGTCGTTGAGTTTACATTCTTGGGTGCCACGAGATACGTAACATCAGTCCCATCCGCCCTCATACTAACGCTCAGACGCTGCACCCCCTTTCCTGCCGCCAAGGCTGTCTCGGTCCACGCAGCATTCCCGACCTTCTCTCGCACATACACACTATCTTGGATTTTGCAGTAGTAGACACGCACACTTGTGCCGTCGTGTGTGATATCAATCGCAGCAGATGTATCTGTGTCGCTGAATAGGATCTCGCGTGTCCAGCCGGCTGTGTCGCCAAACGTTGCGTACGCTCTGCGTACCTGCCACACGCCGCCCACAGCAGCCTTGTAGCGATAAGCGGCTTGCATACGAACTATGCCTGAGGACTCGTACAGCGCGAGCTTTGCGGACTGGAAAGCCGGCGCAGCTGTATCGTTGACGCCGATGGTGTCATATTGTTCGCCGGCAGTGAGTGGTTGGAACACCAATTGTGGCGTTGATCTTGTGACTGGGACCGAGACTGTGTCGCCGTTGGCCACGCTCCAAGTATTTGTGGTTGGAGAATAGCGCAGATATGACCCTTGGTGACGGATAGCGCTCGCAGGATTCTTGCTCCATTCGAAGATAATGTGCAGATTGCCACTCGCGTCGAAGGTAATGTCATCTGGGTACACGGCTGTGTCGGCGTCATAAGCAAAGCGTGCGATGCGGGCCCAAGTCTTCGAGGAAAGAGTGTATTTGTATAGGTAACCACCGCGCGCCACACCGTTGCCATTGTCCCCACGAATGATGAGCCAGAGGTTACCAGACGAATCACTCTTGATGACAGGATATGTAATAAGGAGACTTGAATCTGGCATTTCAGAGGAATGACTGGTCATCTGCGAGGGTGAATACGGCTGTGACGATCGATAGTAATGCCATGCCTCGTTGTGCATAGCTGCGAAGACATGAACATAGCCATCTCCGTCGACTGCGAGAGAAGGTGTGTTGTGTCCAGCATCATCGAGGAACGTCGCACACTGCCCATCTGATGCTTTCAGACAGTCTCGTGAAATAACACCGTTGTCAATCCCACGCCTGACGACCATGACGTTGTGATGTCCATTGTCATTCCCACTCATTGGGTTTCGGTTGTATGCCAACCAAGTATAGCCACCAGCTTCAGCCAGCGGACTCCAGAAAGCGGCAACACTGTTGGCATCAACTGCTGCAGAAATCGTTTCGAGTGCGCCAGGACTCACGGTGGCTTGCACCAATGATGACAGGAGAAAACAACCGCTCGTAAGTTTTGCGAAGTGGATGAACATGTTTGCGTGAGGCAGAGCTGAAGCAATATCTTGATCAATATTCAAAAGTGAAAGCCGAGCAACCTTATAGCTAAGCCTCATCAGCGTACTTCTTTATGATGTGTAGACGTCTCATCTTGTCGAATCAGCTTACCCCTTTACCGAGATAGCCTTTCAACTTCCTGGGGATGATATGTGGAGTCCGGGGAAATTGCAGCCAATCTGCAATGAGACGGAACCTCCGTTTTGAGATTGGCAAAAGAGCAAGGTACTATGTACAACTGGCAAGCTGACTGTGGTGACGAAAAGCCTACACAAGGGCTGGGCGGAACCGCCGAGGTATGATTTCTTCAACCAGACAGAACCCGTAGTCATTGTCTACGTCGATGATCATCCAAACCTCATCAGGTTTCCAGGTTCCACATTTAGAGGCCTTGTGTAGTATATTTTAACGACATCTTAGGGGTTCTTAACCCCATTTTATTAATTTACTTTGGAATGAAAATCACCTTGCTGTTACAGAATGCTTTGAGTCCTTCAAGACCTAGTTCTGTTCCGTATCCACTCTCCTTCAAGCCTGAAAAGGGTACCCGAGGGTCAAGGGCGCCATGCTCGTTGATCCAAGTGGTTCCAACTTGCAACTTTCGTGCAATCCTGGTGGCCCGAGCGATGTCTTTAGACCAGACGGAACCTCCAAGGCCAGTTTTAGTTTCATTTGCTCGGGAGACAACTTCCTCTTCATTCTTCCAGGAGAGTAATGGTATAATTGGTGCTTCGAAGTATTAGCACCTTTGTACTCAGTCCGTGTCATACATAATTTGGTGGCTTACCAAAAGGCTCTTCTTTCACCAGATCAGATGTGTCGGGCGGCCTATCCACCACTGTCGGAGTGATGAAAAGCCCGGTTCCAATCACATTGACCGAGCCACCGAGGGCAACTTTCAGATTCTGGCTCTCGATATCTGAGAGGAATCTTTTTGCAATCTCGTATTGTTGCTCGTTCTGGAGGGGCCCAATGAATACCCCTTCTTCGAATCCGTCCCCAAGCTTGAGTGCTTTCACATAATTCACAAAAGCATCAAGAAACCGATCGTAGACGTTTTCTTGAACATAAATTCGCTTGACCGCAATACAGATCTGGCCTGAATTCAAGAGGGATATAATAGCCACCTAATGTCGTCAGAGTGGATTGTACAGATAGCTCAGCAAGCAAAATTCCTGGGTTTGAAAATACTTACCTTGGCGACAGTTTCCTCGATATCGACATCGTCGCATATAATGCAGGGGTCATTACCACCTCTGTAGCAGTCAGTAACGTTCAGAGATGGTTCACATTAGCGCCAAGTTAAACTGACAGCTCCAGAGTCACACGTTTTAGAGTTCGACTCGCACTCTCCATGACCTTCTTGCCTGTCGGAATTGATCCCGTGAAACTGATCTTGTCAATTCCAGGATGAGCTGTGATCCAAGGGCCCAGTTCATGATCGCCGTTGAGAACCTGAAAAACACCGGGTGGAAAGATTTGCTGGGCCAGCTCGCCTAGTTTCAATCCACAGTATGGTGTAAAAGGGGACGGCTTCAGAATAATGGTGTTTCCAGTCACCAATGCCGAAGCAATCTTCTGAGTGCTTAAAGAAATGGGAAAATTCCACGGAACAATCAAAGCACACACTCCGAGAGGAGCATACGACAAGATAGCTCTGCGTTTTTCATCTTCGAATCTGCTCTCCTCCTTTAAGTCCAAGTTACACAGCGTTCGCGCTCGGAAGACGCCGTTGTTGATCTCTGCCCGAGCGAATCGAAGCTATCTTTGTCAGCGAACATCATGACGAACCTTGCGCGGCTCTACAGACTGGTTTTCCTTGCTCCAGCGTCAGCAAATGAGCAAATGGTTCGCAATGTGCCTCCAATGTATCAGCGAACGACTTCACTAATGCCTTCCTTCTCTCCACTGGAATCGTGGACCATTCAGCGAATGCCGCTCTGGATCCACGTACGGCCTCGTCTAGATCTAGTGAAGATGCGATGGGGACGTCTGGGAGTTGTTCCATGGTGGATGGATTTGTGCCTTGACTCGCTCGCGAGCTTGATCGGGTTTTGCCATTGATTACATTGAAGAAGTTCTTAGACGTGTCGAACCTAGTGCCACCTCCTGAGTCCATGGCTCAAATCTGCCCGTTTAGAGATCCTGGCCACTGAAATATGGTAACTGCGTGCCAGAGAAGTTACCAGATTGTTGTATTGATAGACAGCTAGACATTCACCATCTTCTTCTCAGGGGTGCTCGAGAGCAAGTGGCTCGTTCAAATGGTTCAATCGTCTTACCAAGATTACCTCGGGAGCGCTAACACCCAAATCTTTGCTGACTGATAAGTCTTCTCCCGTACCGAGACTCGGCAATGCGATGCGTCCAGGTATGGCCTCACCATCCAAAAGTGTACACCTACGGTTTCTATGGCTGAGCAGATTGATGGACTGGCACTTCTATGGACCTTGCCTCGTCCTAATTCTTTCACTATTACCCTACTTGAACGAACGAGCTTATATGAGCTATAACGACTCCGCGCCTAGAAATAAGTATAGAGTGTTGACAGCTTCCGCTTCTGTACGCAAATGAGACCAGACTTCGATAGCAATGCAGGCTCAAGCCCCCCATGATATCGTGTAAATGTCGCGCCGATCACACTGATTTAGGAGCTGCCATTCGCTTGAGCAGAATGTCACTCAGATTTTGGTCGCTGTTTGTCCCTAGATACCACGTGACATCGCTTCCATCTTCCTCACATACATGCTGCCCATTTCCTAGGAAAGCAAAAGGATCATCTGGGTCCAAGTACTCAATGTCGTAGTCCTCGAAGCGAACATTCTCGATAAGTTTCATGAAGCTCAGCCGTGACCCGGGGTAGAGCGCAGGCTGACCATCCACTGTCCCACCTTTGAACCATGACGAGCAAGGCCCATTCCAAGCCGTTTGCTTTAGGAAGTCGTTGGCACGTCCCAGAAACTGCTTCGTTTTCATTTCGTTTGGTGCCACCCAGGCAATATTGTCAACCTGGATTTTCTCAATGAGCTTGAGGGCGTATTTACAGAACGAGTCAATGAGAGGAAAAAATGATCCATGCGCGACAGGGAAGTATGCACCCCCAGAGATCAGATAATTTGGTACTCCCCCAAGCGCGACACTGAGGTACGAAGGTGGATGTTGCTCTTGAGTCCATTTCTGGCGCATGTCTACCCCATTGACAAGAAGTGGAATCCTAGGTTTGAAAGACGTGTCGAATCCAGTAGCACAGATTATGACGTCTACTTCTTGCTCATTGCCGTCAGGGTCAAAAAACCCTTTTTCACTGATAGTCTCCAAGGTTTCTGTATACGCGGTGGTTTTCGATGCGCATAGACTCTGAAGATAGCCATAGCCGGGAGTGGGTCTTCTGCAACCAACGTAGAAGTCGGTCGGTACAATCTTTTCGATAAGGTCCGGTCTTGTTTGGAGGTTGGTTTTCATGTGCTCCTCGCAATAATCGAACGTAGCTTTTTGCGCCTCGGTACCATTCATAATAAACTCGAAACGCCGGTTAAATGGTTGCTCGACCATTTTGCGGTACGCGAGGTATTCATCATTATTAGCCTCATCGAAGATTTTCTGCTGTTCGTCCGTATATTGGTAGTTGGATCCGTCAGCTCGCGTGAAACTTTGGCTGAAGTTTCCGGTTATCCAAACCTTGCTACGCACCCATGTGTATACCTTCTCGACATCTGGGTAGATGTTGGGCAAAATCTGCACAGCGCTACTACCAGCACCAACGAGTGCGACCCGCTTCCCCTTCAAGCTGATAGATGAGTCCCAGGCGGCAGAGTGGAGTAGAGTTCCCTGAAACGTCTGCAGGCCTGGAATGGAAGGCCACTTCCACTTACTTAAAACCCCAGTACAGTTGATAACCACTTCAGCTTCATCATAAAAATGGAGGTCATGCTGAACGTCATGGACGCTGACTCTCCATTTTGCCTCCTTGTCACTCCACGATAGTTCCTCGACCTGGTGTTGTAGTTTAACATATTTCTCGACAAACCGGTTTTCTTGCTCAACCACTTTGAGATAACTCCAAATTTCCTCTGAATAGGACCAGTATCTCGACCACCGAGCAGGTCTCCATGGAAACTGGTAAACGACAGAGGGTATGTCACCTTTCATATTGATCAGAAATGCATCAAGTATTCACACCTTCTGTGGACTTACAGGCACAACCAGGATAACGGTTCTCGAGCCAAGTGCCCCCAATATCGGCATTCTTTTCGTAGCATACAATCTCTAGATTCCCACCTTGCTCTTCAGCTCTCTTAAAGAAATTGAGCCCAGATATGCCAGCTCCAATTACAATCACTCTCAGAGGCCGTTTGACACCGAAAAACTGTTTTTCCATGGTCACGCCTCCCACCGGGGTCAAACTTCCCGACAGTGTCTGAGCCTTGTTGTGGGAGCCTGATGAGAAGGACGTCCGCACGGGCGCACCTCGTTCTTGCTGAAGGTCGACAGTCTTCATAATTACAACGTTTGAGTTCACCAAAGCACTTTACAATGCCCATACATAGTTTGACCGACCTGTGAAAGGGTACAATTACTCGCGCTTTCCAGTCCAAGCCCAATTTCAACGCCCCACAAGGCTCGACAGAGCAATCGAAGCTGCGATCGTTGGTCCGCTAAGCTGATCACAGCAAAGACCGGTACGTAACTCGCGTGAGTGCAAGTAAATCTCCCCATGCCCGTAGTGTTGGCAGTCGCCCGGGCCGCTGCTGCATTTGCCCTCGGGCCGAGCTGCATTCGATGGCTTGGTTAGCAACACCAACACTCCCCATCAACCCTCGGCATCACAATTCAAAGAGCTTTCTCAGGCTGGCCCCGATGCTTCTATATGCCAGATTCCGGCTGGGCTAGATCATTCTTCGAGCGATTAAATCGTCTCCTAAGATTTGAGCCGCCACATAGTGAGTTCCTCGGCGCGAGCGGGTACATTTGATCCACTGAGACTGCCGTATTGGCTCCGATTATACAAGATTTATTCGGCAGGAAGTCGTCCAGCCGCCCAAAATCGACACTAGGATGGCTTTTTGGACTCCTTATTGTCCTAAGTTGGATGAAGCTGGGTTGAATAACTATTCCAAAGGGATGTTGCAAAACAGGATTCGTGTTTAGATCTCGACTTGATTCTCCGCAATACATTGGCGGCCACTTTGAATTGGCATCTGAGTCCATCGCATTCTTGCAGACATTATTACTTTTGAAATCAGCCATGGCCACCAAGACGATGCGCGCTGTTGTTTTCAAAGGACCTCACCAGGTAAGGCCGAGTACCGTCAATGGCCAAGTCCGAAGCCGAAGGCTCATTAAAGGTTTCCATTAGGTTGCTGTGGAAGATCGGCCACGCCCATCACTGCAAGAAGATACAGATGTAGTCATAAAAGTGACATCCTCAGGTCTCTGCGTACGTGAAGTCATGGACAAATCTGGAAACCACTATCTAATGTCTCAATCAAGGGCACTGATCTCCACTGGTATCATGGTCGTCTCGATCTCACATCAGAGTTTGTGATCGGTCACGAAGTCGTTGGAATGGTGGAAGAAATGGGCTCGAACGTTAACAAATTACAGATTGGAGACAAAGTTGTTGTACCATTCTGCACAGCATGTTCATCGTGCTTCTATTGTCGGTTAGGAGAGTCAGGCCGCTGTACCAAAGGTTTGATGCTTGGGCTGCCTGGTCAACTTGAGGGCGGTCAAGCAGAATTTGTAAGAGTACCCCTAGCGGACACGAGTGTGGTCAAAGCCCCAGATAGTGAGTAAGAGCCTGGTCATGGTGAGGTAGTACTAACGAGCTCAGCAATCCCCGAGCAGATGCTGGTGCTCATGGCGGACATCATGCCAACTGGGTATTTTGCTGCCTCGCGATTTTTGAAAGACCTGCCTTTGAGTCGTCGCAATGGGATGACTGCTGTTGTTATCGGATGTGGCCCTGTCGGGATATGTGCAATAGCGACCGCCCTCACGCTGGTCAAATGCGTTTATGCCATCGACTCGGTGTCCGACCGTCTCGCAGAAGCCGCAAAAGTTGGTGCCATTCCACTCAATCTGAACGACAATCCCATCGAGAAGATCAGGTCTGTCACTGAAGGCCGAGGTGCTGATGCCGTGATGGAGGTCGTCGGACGAACCGATGCTTTTATGCTCGGGCTAGAGTTGGTAAGGCCGTACGGGACTCTCAGTTCTGTGGGAGTACACACGGAGACTCTTTCCCTGCCGGGGTTAACTCTGTATGGCAAGGGCGTGAGAATGGGATTCGGTAGATGCCCAGTTCGGAGTGTTTTTGACGACGCACTGAGTGTTCTTGTGGAACAACAAGACAAGCTTGCATTTCTGTGTTCGGTGAAAATGTCGCTCGAAGATGCTGCACAAGCTTACGAGGATTTCGCAGCCAGGAAAGTTCATAAAGTTGTGTTCGATGTGGCTGGTTTGACAAACGGGAATACATAATAGTGTCATTCGTTGGAAATTATGCTTGTGAGCAGCCGACGGCATTAGAACCCTGTCAGCTTGATCCTTGTGATCAATACTCTTGTTCACTCGAAGGGCGCTCATAGACACAAAAGTTTAATCAAAGGAAAATTCCAGTATTCCTTTTTGATGCTAAGCCATTCTATCGCGGTCAGCTTCCCAAGGTAGCAGTGGATGACTAGTGAGCGATTAGTACAATCTTTTACTATACTGGATAGGCTTGGAGCGGTATACACCGGAATGTAGATGTCTGACTCGCCCCAAAAATGGAGTCACGTTGCCGAGTTCCTAATTGTAGCTCACCAGCCTGGATAGTGGCTTTCTCACCTCGGCATACAGATCCTTCCTGGAAAAGGCCTTGGGCTGTACCATACTAGTCAACTACGCACAGTCATCGACTTCTAATTAATTGTAACAACCCACAATAGCTGTAGAAGAACACGATCCTCGTCGACCGCTCAAGTGGTCACTTTGTATAGCTGGACATCCATTCAAATGGCACGTCAACCACTTGATCCCGCAACGTTCGATCGCACTGACTTCACAAGTCGCCACGAAGGAGAGCTGGTGCTCCCACATGATATACTCTTCCACCGGCTTCATTTTTTGGCATTCAACACTGAAATGTCTGCCGTTAGAGATGCGTTTCGCGGGATTGAAGTGGACTATCGGCAGCTTTTGAGTGATGTGGTGGTCGCTCGAAATCGAATACGGACCGCTATCTCTCGGAAGACTCTCGAGGCGATCCACGATGAGCGGGAGGTTAGTTTTGTGCTGATAGCACGCGGTTACGAGTTCGTTGTCATGTTCCTGGCAGTGCTAGCCTTGGGAGGCATCGCAGTCCCTACCAGTATTTGTCAACTCAATCGCCTTTCGAAACTTGGGATGACTGACCACCCTACAGGTATCCATATTACTCAACAAGAACTCAACCATGTGTTGCGGACATGTCGAGCCTCTGCCACGATCTGCTCTGGAGACTACTCCAGCATGGCGCGATCTGGGACACCAGCCGGGGAAAATGAAGATAGTTACGCCGTGATACCGCTGGACAGCACAGTCAAGAACACGCCTGTATGTCCCGACACACTGACATTTTCATCATCCAAGACTCCGGATCCAAACAAACCAGGCTTGATCATCTTCACCTCGGGATCAACCGGTCCTCCTAAGGGGGTTGCTCTGCGGCGGTACAACCTATTCACTCTTTCAAGCTTACAATGTTGGAAGCAAAACATCCGGCCAGGATACGTGGGGCTAAACTTGCTACCTACGCATCACGCCACGGGACTGCTGGTCAACATACTTCCTGTTTTGGTGGGTGGAGGCTGTGTGGAGTTCACCGAGCCCAGATTCGACGCCGTCAAGATCTGGCAGCGCATCAAGTTGGGAGGCATCAATTTGTTTTCCGCCGTCCCGACGATCTACGTGCGTCTCCTGCAACACTGGGAAAAGTGGGCGCCAGGCATTGAATCGGGTGAGAGGGAGGTTTATCAGACCGCAATTGCGAAGATTGAGCAGTTTCACTGTGGCTCGGCCGCCTTACCCGCAGCCGTGGCGTCTAAGTGGGCAGCACTATGCAATGGCCGGCAGATCGCCGAAAGATATGGTGGGACAGAGTTCGGAAACCCTTTCGCCCACCGTGCTGGCAGTCCCACTGTGATTGTGAGTTCAAACCCAGAACACAAATACCGTACGGGTGCCAGACTGATGGAGATATTCAGGGGTCTGTGGGCACGACAAATCCAGGTATAGAGTCATATCTTGAACAGGGAGATGAAGGCGAGATCTTCGTCCGTTCCCCGTTCCTGTTTTCCAAGTTCGTTTAGTCCCCCTATCGGAGATTTATCTTGAGACCTACGCTCATGGGGATAGATACATATACGACATGGAAGCTACAAAGAAGTCTTTGACGCCCGATGGGTTTTTCAAGACCGGTGACGTGGCGGAGAGACATGGCAAACATTTCTTCATCAAGGGACGGAAGTCGGTTGACAGTGTGTGGCGATCGACGTTAAACCCACATCTCTGAGTTACACTAGCTAACAAGCAGTAGTCCTCAAATCGGGCGGGTATAAAATCTCGGCACTCGACGTGGAGAGGCAGATACTCGAACATCCCAATATTGCTGAGGCGATCGTTGTAGGCGTTGACGACGATGAATTTGGCCAACGCATCGCGGCGGCAGTCGTCTTGAACGAGGTAAGTAGAGCTCAGGTTGTCGCATGAAAAGCTTCTGACACACATTCTCTCTCAGACGGTGGCATACTTGTCGTTGTCGGAGCTCCGATCGTTTCTCAGAGATAAACTCTCTTCCTACAAATTGCCGACATTGTTACGTGTTGTCCGCGAGCTGCCCAAGACGACTACCTTGAAGGTTCCCAAACTGCTGATAAAAAGGGACTTGTTCGATGCTGAACACGCCGACATTCAAAAATGGTCGCCCTCCATCGTCAAGCTTTGATGCACCGTTAATGGACTTAGGTGGACCCTAACATTCACGGTTCACTATTGCCGAATTTCTTATGTGGGAGTTCTGACTATAAACGCTGCCAATCATAGTAACAAGGCTAGCAAAGAGAAGAAAACATCCGTCGGATGCTTGGAAACATACACTATGACACTGTAGAAGTCTTTTCAACTTTCGTCTCAGGAAGCTTGTCTGAGTTGTTCCGTCTATGGTTGAATGTGTTTTAGGACATGTCTCGACGAATAGGTCCGTCGAAGCTGGTAGCCTCCCTTGGCCACCACCACTGGCATGTATGCTCAATTCCAAATGGAAGCGTGCCGGCCAAGTTGTCGTCTTCCACGTCGAGTTGGCATTAGCCTTGTGGCTGCCAACTACCGCAAAACTTGATCTGGTCGCAAGAGCCACCGTGTGGGTCGCAAGCCACACGAACCAGGTGTTTTGGAAGACGTCTGGACCCATCCAATCAAATGTGAGACCTCGGGCCGAGCGCCACGGGCAGGCCATTCTACTGGGCGGGTAACCTCAACCCCGAGGCTTTTCGTATCTGTGGGTCGCAGAGACAAACGACGCGGGGACCCCAGATTCTGGACTTGGTATTTATATTCGACATGAATCCAGCGGATAGGACAGCACATGGTTCGAGACCGACAGAATCCATGTCAGGGAGCCTTTTAATAGTCTAATTCCAAATCTGCTCTGTACTGTGCAGCCTCGACGAATTTAGTCGATCATCAACCACGAAAGCCGAAATGGTGATCCCAGGGACGAAAGCGGAGGCTATCTTCGACAGCACTGCACCACTGGACGATGAGAAACCGGACATGGCGTGCCGCGAGAACTCCTCGGAGTCCGGCGAGTACGAGGCCATAAATGACAAGAAACTGTTACGCCGCATTGATCTACACATCGTAGCGTGGCTGGCGGCTCTGTACGCGCTCTCGCTGCTGGACCGCACCAACATTGGGTCGGCCAAGGTCGCCGGCATGGAGGTCGACCTCAAGCTGACGGGGAACCGCTACTCGATTGTCTCGCTCATGCTCTTCCCGACGTACATCCTGCTCGAGGTTCCCTCCAACATGCTCATTCGTCGCATCAGCGTCAGGAGATATCTTGCGTTCTTGATCTTTTGTTGGGGCGTCCTGGCCATGTGTTGTGGCTTTGTCAATGATTGGAAAGATCTCATCGCGGTTAGGGTGCTACTAGGCGCTTTCGAAGGTGCATTCCAGGTACGTGTTTCTGGTTTTTCGTTCGGTCCCTCGGGACCTGAATGACCAGTGAGTCATTCAGCGATGAATCTTCCCAGACTGACAGGCCACGTACTTTCAAAGCCAACCTGCTCCTATATCATATCGTCATGGTACAAGCGGTACGAAACACACCAACGGATTGCCATCTGGTACATGAGCGGGGCATTCCTCAACGGTTTCCAAGGGATTATCAGCTACGCCCTGAGCCTGATGGAAGGAGTCGGGGGACTTCGCGGGTGGCGGTGGATTTTCATCATCCCGGGGCTTATCACTGCCGTCATGGCACTGCCGGTGTACCGATACGTGAGCGAGTTCCCCGAAAAGGCCAAGTGGTTGAAGCCGCACGAGCTGCGCCATGTCCAAGAACGACTGCATCATGACCGAGGCGAGGTCGAGGAGAGGATGGATCGGCATAGACTCATGGCTGCTCTGAGCGACTGGAGATGCTGGACGTTGGCGCTGTTGCTCTTCTGGTCGACGGCCGGGTCGTACTCCCTGTCCTTTTTCCTGCCGTCGATCCTCCGTGGCTTCGGCTTCAGCACGGCGCTCAGCCAGATCCTCGTCACGCCACCGATGATCCTGTCCGTCTTCTGCTCCATCGGAACCGGCCTGTGGGCGGATCGCGTGCATGTTCGGTCGCCATTCATTGTCGGACACATGACTCTAGTCATCGTCGGCATCGTGCTGATTGGATGGGGCACGAACCTGGGCTCACGACTTGTCGGCGTGTTCCTCATGACCATTGGGAACAATTGCACCATTCCTACCAAAATCGCCTTCCTCATCAATAACATCCCGTCTTCGAGTAAACGCCAAATCGCGCTGCCGTTGCAGGGAGGCTTTGCAGGAGTCGGTGGCATTGCGGGAGCACTTATCTTCCGGACACAGGATGCCCCAAAGTACCACTTTGGCCTTTATTTGTCTATTGCATTTGCATGTTGCAGCATTCTTATGACCAGTTCGTTGGTGTTCTATTTTCATCGTGAGAACAAAAAGGTAGACGATGGAGGGTCTGCCATTGATGGTATTGAAGGATTCCGCTATACACTTTAGGAAGTAATTCACAACTCTAGACGATATAGCAAGAGGTCGATAATGAGAAGAACCATGAACGCATAGCGGTTTTATCCCTGCAAGACCTTCTAACTGGTGGCCAGGGCACGACAATTGGCTATTGACATACCAGTAATCAAGAGTTTTCAAGTGGCGTAGTATTAATTCTCGCACAATGCCCTCTGGCTGAGAGCGTAACTGGTTCTTCACAGGAGTTCACGCAGCAGCTACCACCGAACACATCGGGTGTGAAATCCAGACTAGCGACTAGGTGCAGGAGAAAGATGCGAACAGTAATAATGAGATACCTAAGTGGGTAAAGCAGCTGCGCTAATCTAGGTGGTGGAGATGATTGATTCCTCAGACAGCCGACCCATGCTATGAGGAAAGGCTGCAAGTCAGTATGCGACAGGCCAACAACGCCTATGCAATGCGAAGGGATAGGTTTGTACGATATTTGGAGTATGAACAGGAGAGATTCGAGCGCTGATAATGATAATAGTAGGGTAGAAGAGGTGGAAGATTGCTGCCCAACTGATTGGTATAATGACGAGTGCAGAACCATCTATTCTTGTCCTGCAATTTGTGTGAGTGGTCGCGTAGGAAGACGCACATGCTGCCGTTCGAACTTGGCTGTTTCCCAATGGTTGTCATCCAAAGCTGTATTTCTTGAAGCTATCAAGCCTCGGACCATGAACCATGAACGTCGATTACCGAGAACGGCCACCATGTTCCAAAGTCTTGACATATCGGACAAAAGCCTTCTTGTGCACCATGCCACGATATTCGCCCTCGTGCAGCACACAGATATAGCGAAGGCCGAGCTTGACGAAACACTGATAAACGAGATCCATCGGACTATGCATGTCCAATACCATGGGCGCAGGGTCTACATACGGTGTGAGATCGACCGGTACCTCATCATTATCGGTGTGGTCTTCGCCCTCGGATTCTTCACGGCCGGAATCGTAGCCTCGATCGTCAAATGCTGCCCAGTAGTTGTGATGTGTCGCATGGGCGTGCTCGGGCCCAGAAAGCATGCACATGGCTGTGTTTTCATTCTCGATTCGGTCCAACGCAAATTCGAGATCTGGTGCTGGGATGAGTCCGACTAGAACTCTATTCCGGATGATTGGGAGGCCGCCGTCGAGTTCACCGAGGTTTTGCAATCGGCGGAGTTTGGTGCGTAGGTCACTTGCTTTGATGGTTGGGGCGATGGAAATGTCAATAACCTTATCCCGACGAACTCGTGGTGTGATATCACCTAGTTCCGAATCGAAGACCGGACTGGATTTATTGTCCAGGAAGGGATATGAATTCATGTCAGTCAAGAGGTCGTAGATACTCAATGGCTCAACAGCATCGGCCGTCCATTTGGCGCAAAGCACGCCAAGGGAGAATGGAAGGACATGATCCAGACTTCCAGTCAGCTCAAATAAAATGACTGCTAGAGTGACCGACAATCGAGTAACTCCACACATTGTTGCTCCGGCTGCCACCAAAGCATACACTCCAGGTGTGACGCATGCTTCCATATCATCGGACATTTGACATTCTCCCCATACAATGAAATCGGGAAATTTGACCACGAGGTACTGAGTGATATGGCCTACGATTCTCCCCATCAAGCCACCAACGACCATGGATGGGACATAGATTCCAGCAGGAACTTTGATGCCGAATGTGATGGTCGTCAAAAATGCCTTGATCAGCAAGGCTATGGTAAGATAGCCGATGACAGCAGGAATTCCGTCCTCGTTAGGACATAACCCAGTGTTAGTTTGGTTATTGCATGGACTGGCGAGTTCAAACAACAACTCGGTCACCGCAAGTCGAGTGAAACGATTCCAAAAACTGATGATGCCGGTGACAAAAGCCACCAGTAAAACCTCCAGCATGGGATATGCTTTTATAATTTTGAAGCGACGAAATGTGGTCGCCCAGAATCGAGATGCTTTGATGAACAGGGCACCCATCAGGCCACCGGCAAAGCCCAAAAATGCAAAGTTGAAAAGTTCGAAAAATCGCCAATCAGTGACATAACGGACCTCGAACAGAACAATTTTGGAGGTTCCGTAAGGGTTCAAGAACTTCAAGGACAAAGCCGCAGCAATGCAACAGAAAAAGGTACGAAACAAAGTCTTTGGTGGGAAATAATAGCTGACTTCTTCCAAACTGAATAGAACACCACCTAGAGGGGAGCCAAAAGCCACAGCGACACCGCTGGCAGCACTGGCCGAGAGAACTTCTCGCCTTTTCCCATCATTCAGGTTGTATTTGGAGAACATTCTGCAGGCGATGTTGCCGATACAGGTGGCCACGTGGACATAAGGGCCTTCTTTGCCCAAGCTCATACCGGACGCCACACTCAAAATAAGAGCGATGGTCTTGATGACTAGGACTTTTAGACCGAGGTAACCATGCAAGACGAAGCCACTGAGAATGACCTTGACTTCAGCAACACCGCTTCCGGCAGCGGAATAGTAGATGTTTGCTGGTAGCAACTCCTGATCGGCCAAGGGTTGAACAGCGCCTTTATCGTCATCGGCTCCGTGAGAAACATCCGTCTTTACAGCAGCCAGATCTTCATCGAAGGTGGCGGCAATCTGAGAGGGGACAACGGTTTTTGAGTACAAAGTGAGAAAGCACGACAAGGCAGCGAGAAACATGGAGCCAAGGATAAAGGCCAAATAGTCGACCGAGGAGTTTTCCATTGCCGAAGGATGAATGACTTGAGACCAGCTCTGCCATCTATCACAGGTACGCTCACCGGCACAGCAATTGACTCGGGATTGATACCAGGCGTCCTTGCAAAAGCCACGTTTGAGGTCGAAGATGGTGGATTCGGTGACATCGACGAAATATGCAATCATAGCGGTCAAGACACCAATGACGGCCACGAGAATCCAGCCTTGGGCCGAGTCGAGCAGAAGGGCGAGACGGCCTCGTAGACCTTTCATCTTCTTCAGTTCCAAGACGCGGTAGCCATCTGCAATGCTGTCGTGGACCCAGTCGGTTGAGGTGAATTGATCGTACCACAGTCTGTCCTCTTTGGAGAGGGTACCGAGTAGCATCTGGGAGAGTTTGGGAGTACGCAGACCTGAGGGTCGATGCCAGACGGGACTGGAATTTCCTGAGGGTCTTCCTCCTGTACTGAACCTTCTCCTCCGTAGACTGCCTGAAGAACTGTTGACTCGTGAGAGTTGCCTTGAACGAGGAGCACTGGAGACATTTTCGGTGTATCTTCTCAAATTCTCGTATCCCGGACTCAACAGGCCTGTATGTTCTGTGGCAGACTGTGTCATGAGGAGAGAGGCGGGTAGTCTTGACCTCAGTTCGCTGGAGGAAAGAGAGGTGGTGCCTGTTCGTCGGTAGAGTTCTGGGGAGGAGGGGACGGTTTGAGCCGAGGGACGAGCAGGGTCATCATGATCACCGGCATCTGTGAAGGAAACGGTAGACTTGGGCATGGTGGAATGTTACCCAAGTTTGAGGACGAGGAGGGGTATCAGAATGAGTGGGTGAATGAATGAAGACAAAGGCAGAGGCCTTGGGTAACGAGTTTGTTGAACAACAACGACGTCTACAGCAGGCAGACGCCGCCTGGCTGAGGTCGTCAGCTGGCCATTAGAGGAGAGAAGGGAGGGAGGCACGAGGACGAGAAGGCGAACAGGTGAGGATATATAGGGAGGGACTAGGAGTCGAGGTTGGTGGCAGGTGGGATGCAGGTGGTCATTCGACTGGGAGGGATTAGTGGAGCAGTGGCAGAATGAGTGAGGCTGACGAGGAGAGAAGGAAGGTACAAGAGATGAGGGTGTGAAGATGAGTCTGCGGCGTGGATAAGATAGATGCTAGTTAGTACCGAGTGGTTGATCAGGTGCACTATATCATCTGACTGCAAACGGTCTCCAGGAAGGAAGGAATGCCAATAAACGCCGTGCCATGTAGTGGCTGTCAAAAAAGAGTCCGTTCACCGTCTGCCCCGCCAAACGACGACCTAGATGCCCCAGAAAGCCTCTATCCGCAAGTCCATCTGGGCCAACAACATGAAGCCAGATGGAAACAACACTAGAATGATACACAGGTCGGGGATTGGAAGTTGATGTTCATTTGAATTAATTTGTGTCGGCAGCTGACGATGTCTTGCAGCAACTCTGACAGGGATATTGACAGTGCGAAGTCTGCAATTCACCAATGGAGAACAACATGTCAGGGTCCTCGATCCCTAGCTGCAGCTAACGACGTAGTCAAGTCGACGGCGACGGATAATAGCAGAATCACAGGCAAAAAGCGCACTGACACTGGCACCTCCAACAACGCGTCTCGAGCCAGATACTGCAATGACCACACCATAGTTACTTACCTTAGGTAGGTACCTGCTTCATATTCATAAGTTCCATCTACACGTAAAACAATACACCCCAAGAGCCTCTCCAGGGCCACTACCTAGGTACTTACCTACAGGTATCCTTTAACCATAACCATGTCTCATTCACCCAGCCAGTCCCTCACCACCAACACCAGCGTGACCCCCCACCAACAAGCACCCAACAGCCTCCTCCCCAAAACCTACCCGCAATTCATCCTCTTCGGCGACAGCATCACCCAAGGAGCCTCCCACATCCTGCAATCCTCGCTGGCAGCATGGTACTCACGACGCCTGGACGTCATCAATCGGGGGTTCTCAGGATACACCGCGCCGGCGGGGTATTCGACCCTGGAGCAATTCTTCCCACTGATCCCACCGACGCCCATCACGCCGCCGCCCCGCGTGCAGCTGATGACCGTCTTCTTCGGCGCTAACGACGCCTGTGTCGCGGGCTCGCCGCAACACGTGCCGCTCGAGACGTATAAAGCCGCCCTGCGCAACATCGTCGCCTACCCGGGCCTCAAGCTGCACGCCACCCAGCCCATCCTCGTCGTCCCACCCCCCGTCGACGAGTACCAGCTCGTCGGCCCCGACCGCAATGCCGCCACCACGGCCGTCTACGCCGCGGCGTGTCGTGACGTTGCCGCCGAACTCAACGTTCCCGTCCTCGATCTGTGGACCGTGTTTATGACCAAGGCCGGTTGGACGCCCGATGATGCCGCGCAGGGGAGACCTCTCGTCGGCAGCAGAGACGCGCCCAGGAGTGAGGTGCTCGACGGCCTGTTGTCGGATGGTTTGCATTTCACGCCCGACGGCTATCAGTTGGTTTTCGAGCAGTTGGTCGCCTTGCTTGTCGCCGAGTTACCCCACCTGACCCCCGAGAATCTACCCATGGTTTTTCCCGACTGGAAGTTTGTCCTGGGGGTGGATGTTTAGCAATCTGGGCGAGTATGGATAGAATCACACATTTCGGGGGGTATCTAGAATAGACGACACAGGTAGACAAAAGTCACGATCAAAGGGAATGAAACATTTTCGTGGTCTCTAGTATTATGATTCGCCACTGGACTAATGAATGTGATAAAGACTGACAGGAGAGTCGGTGTTGCTGCGATAATGGAGTGGAGTGCTGCGAAAGCGTGTACGTCAACAATCAAGACATCAAACACATATTTTCTTAGGAAAACCGAGGCCACAACAGAGAGGACCAAGTTCAGAGCCGAGAGACCATCTCACTCTTCATCGTCACTCTCCTCTTCTTCCTCACTGGCTTGGTCAAGCCATTCCAAAAACTTCTCGGCCGCCTTGCGTACCTTTCGGCTGGTGCTGATGTCCACATATTTCTTGCTCGCTTTCTGTCCCCATGCCTTGGCAACTTCTTCACTGATCAGATCGTTCTGATAGTACTGCAGAAGGATTCCAGACACTTGAGGGATCAACTCCGGATGATCGTTTCCGATAAACCGTTCCGTCCCTCCCAGGAATGCCTTTTGGTGTTTCTCAGACTCGCCAATCATCTTTTGAAGCATCCCAGCTCGCACGGGAATCTCCTTGACAATGTCCTCGTCAAAGATGGCCTGCGCCAACACAGTCAACGTCTTATGCTTGGACTCGACTCCCAATTCGTGCGCCTTCTTGTAGATCTCGAGGTCGTCCACCTTGGTGACCGATCCCTTCTCCTTGGCTTGATCCAGAATCCACGTTCCGAGTTGGTCATAGGCATTGCTTCCTCCATTCTCCTCGCCATCCTCGTCGTCATCAAACTTCAATGACCGTTTCAAGTCTGATGGAAGTTCTTTGGCGCGAGCAGCCACGGCTTCGGCAGAAGTGTCCACAGCCCATTCATCCTCTTTGCCCGAATCGTCACCGTTGGCCGCAATCCCTTTGGCATTTTCAGTGATGGTCTTGGTAAACTCATCATCACTGCCGGCGGCCAGTGCGTCATCGCCATCCTCGGCCTCGCCCTTGTCCGAGTTGGAATCATGAGGGCTTCCACCGTTGGCTGACCCGTTCTCTTGGGATTCGGCCTTGGCTCGGTCACGACGAGACATCTTTTCCTTCTTGCCCTTCTTCCCTCCTTTGGGTTCATTCTTGAGGATGAAACCGCTCAATTTGTGGCGGAGGTCCGCATCGTGTCGTGCACCGCAAGCAATGCAGTCCAGAATAATTCGTCCATCGGTAATGGTGATCTTGGTCTCGGGATTCTTGCATGATTTGCAGAGCACAAACTTGGTGATGAAACCATCCAGCGAATCTTGTAACTTGGTGGATTCGTGTGCTCCGTTGATGATCCATCGGTCATCCTTGGGATTGGTGTTCGTTTGTGCTCCCAATTCAAACCCGAAATACTTGATCAAATAGGCGGCAGGGCGAGCGAGGGATTGGGCGACGCTTGGGAGGTTGGCCACAACAGTTCTGAAGTAAAGTGGTTAGTAAAGATGTAGGGCAGAGAAATGGAGAGCGAAAGTCTTACTTGATTCCGTTGCCCTTTCCTTCAATCTTGGATTGCAAGCGCTCCATCTTGTAGCGGTAGAAGGGGTCGGTAATATCCCGACGAATATTGATGGTAGCCATGATGATGAAATCCTGGTTGGCAAGTTCTCGACAAGCACAATCAACTGTTTGCTAATTTTGGGACCAAGATTCGACGCGGTAGCTGGAGCTGTAGCTTGAAGAATAGATTTTATCGGCTTGCGGGGCAGGCGAAAAGACTAGCGAATCTTTTGTATAGAGCGTACATACGTGGATACTACCACTTTTGGAAAGAATATAACATAAAGAAAGGACCTGTCTGTCGATCAACCATAGGAGGACCTCGTCGGGTTACAAGGATGTCTGGGAGCCGGAAATATGTCCAGCTTTTGCTTGGTTTTGGTTTTGGAGGAGTGGAAGACTGCCCGATACATGAACAATCGAGGGTGCGATTGACCGGAGCAACTTGGGTGTTGTTTTTCCTAGGGGAACGTAGGTGGGAGATTGAACGCGGGTGCGCTTGGAAGTGGACCGAGTGCGTGGACTCAGATGAGGCAGTCAGTGGATGAATTAGGATGTTCGATGATGAACAACGAAATATCCTTCTGTTGCAGTGTCAGAAGTGATGATGGCAAAATGGAAGAGTGATGGTGTGGTAAGAGAAGAGAGAAGAAAAAGGAAGAAAAAGGACAAGAAAATCAGTTTCCTGCAGGAAGAGGCAATATATGAGACCTGCGCTACTTGCACTTGCGGAGTCAATCTTTGTTCGCACTAACTAGAGTGTACGAGTAGGTCACAGTAGTATGGGTGAAAGTGGCTGTGGATTTTTGCGGCACTGAGTCCGAGTCTAATTAACTGCTCAATGACCCGCAAGAATGGGCAAACGTGCTTCACTTGCAATGCTTTGTTCGACATGCATGCACAATTACAAACAGGCATCGTCCACGGGTGTGCCTACCCGGGGACTTTCAGCCTTTAAATTGGGGCCAGACAGAAAGAAGGGGGGACGACGGCACCCGCACCGCCCCGGAATTAGGCATCAAACAGCCCCTCAGCCCGGCTATATATGCCTGGCCATGCCCGAAGGGTCCAGCTGTCCAGGGGTGGTCATCAATCCTCAAGCCCAGGCTGCCGCACAAGCCTACCTGCATCTCCCCTGCCTGATTGCTACCAGCTGCCCGCCCGCTCATATATAGTTAGTTAAACGTGCTCGTTCTTCAGAGCTTTTGTCTCAGCTCGGGCAAAATCATCAGCCGTATGGCCTGTAAGCAAGGGCTGTGCGGGTTATCCGTTCCGTTCGCAGAAAGATGACCACTTCATCTTTCATGGACTAACTACTGGCAGGGGTTGATTGTCTCATGCATTCGAATCGTCCCGAGGTAAAATACATCACCATGTTGACCTATATAATTGCTAAGTGCTAGAGACGTATAGTAAATACCTTAGCAGTTAGGTACTTGGAAAAGCCCTCTCCTTGTATCCCTTAGTCAGATGCAGCGTGGAAGTTTTGCCCGATGCTATCCGCTGGCACTGCCATGGCACACAAAACGCTCATTGTAGGGTCCCTACTCCCTTGGTAGGCAATTAGGAGAAAAATGACACAATCATTACAGCCTTCATTTTTTGCTCTCAATTACGACCTAGGTACTGACCATTCCCGAATCCACATGATCGCCTGACTTTTGAGTGAAAGCTATCTACCTACTGATCATCCTAACCGTTCCCCATAATGAACCATTGAGAAGCAAATCATGTGCTCATGGTTTTATGTGGCCCACTACTAATGTTCAACATCAACCAAATTACATCTGCCTCACCATGGAATCCAAGTCAAACATAGACTATACTTTATATCTAGTGACCGACTCCACACCGGCAATTCTAGGAGACAAAGATATTGTACAGGTAGTGGAGCAGGCCATTCAAGGTGGTGTGAGCATAGTACAGTACCGAGATAAACACTCCGACACGGGGACGTTGATCTCGACAGCTACCAGATTACACGCCATCACCAAGAAGTATAACGTCCCACTATTGATCAACGACCGCTTGGATGTCTGCCAAGCCGTCGGGGTTGAGGGCGTCCATATCGGCCAGGATGACATCTCGTGCGTTGAAGCCAGGAAGATTTTAGGATCTAAGGCCATCATCGGAGTAACAGCCTCCTCCGTCGAAGAAGCCGCAAAGGCCATCAAAGACGGCGCCGATTATCTAGGGATAGGCACGACCTTCGCAACGCCGACCAAAACAGACACCAAATCCATCATTGGCACCAAGGGACTGCAGGAAATTCTGGGTACGACCGAGACCGGGACAGAGAAGTCTATACCATGTGTTGCTATTGGTAGCATCAATGCCACCAATGTCCAGCGCGTGCTACATCAATCAGCTCATGGGACCAATCGTCTCAATGGTGTTGCCATTGTGAGTGCCATCATGGCGTCTGTGGACCCTCAAGCCTCGGCCAAAGAACTTCTCGCACTCATCAGAGCCACTCCCGAAAAATTCTACGCTGCAGTACCACCAGGGGTCACTGCAAACGATGGCCTTTCCGAGCTTCTGTCACGAATTCCCGACATCCTCAAAACACATGTGACATCCTCACCCTTGAGCCATAACATGACCAACACCGTGGTTCAGAATTTCGCAGCCAATGTAAGCATTGCAACAGGAGGCTCTCCCATCATGTCAGAGAACGGGCCCGAGGCAGCTGATCTGGCACGACTTGGGGGTGGACTAGTCATCAATATGGGCACCGCAACACCTGAAAAGATAACAACGTTCATTGCGGGCCTCAGGGCGTACAATGCTGTCGGCTCACCCGTCCTGCTTGACCCTGTGGGTGGAGGCGCGACTGCTGTACGCCGGGAGGCCATCAAGACTTTGTTGGCCGCTGGCTTTTTCTCCATCATCAAAGGCAATGAAGGCGAGATCAATGCCGTCGTAACTGCCGGAGCGACAGCGAGACAAGCATCATCGCAACGACAACAACAGCAGCAACGAGGTGTTGACTCCGGCCCATCGACGCTGAGTGAGGGGGAAAAGATCAAGATGGTAAAGGAATTGGCACAGCGCGAACATTGCGTGGTCCTGATGACCGGCAGAGTTGACTATCTCTCCGACGGCGTACGAACGGCAACCGTCGCAAACGGATCACATTGGCTGGGCAAGATAACAGGAGCAGGTTGTGCCTTGGGTTCTGTCATTGCAAGCTATGTTGCGGTGTACCCTCAGGATAAGTTCCTTGCCACCCTGGCCGCCTTGCTGCATTATGAGATTGCAGCTGAACATGCCGAGAGAAGGGACTCGGTGAGAGGGCCAGGAAGCTTCATTCCGGCCTTTCTGGATGAATTATATCTCCTGGGCGAACAGGTCAAGGAAGGCAAAGGATTGGCAGCCGAAGATGGGGATGATTTCAAGAAGCTAAAGGTAGAGCTTGTTTGACGACTTGGCTTCAAGTATCGAATGGAGTGAGACACGTATGATACTGCGAGTGGCTTCCAATAGAAATCTTCATGACAAATGGCAGCGAGGTGACCACACCTCCAGCAGTGAGCAAATAAATATCAGTTTCAATATGAGGTACCGAAACCGAAAAAAAGGTATCTATGCCAGAAACGTAAGCATTTGTTCTGTCGTTCCACGAGAACTTTTCTCTTCTCGTCATCTTTATGTGAAATCCGTTTTTTAAGATCGCCCTCTTGCCACTCCCCTCACGAATCATGTCATTCAAGACATCTACACCTCCCTTCAGCACAAGGTCGAATGTCTCTCTCGATGTCGAGCATGATCCATCTTTTCCGCTGCTGTGCCCTCCCCAATGGCGCTTGCCGTTGCGCGTCTATAACTCCGTTCTCCACAATCTCCTGCTGCACTCCGTTCTCTTTTTCATCATCTTCATCATCATTAAACACCTCAATCACGCCCCTTGTAGCGGTTGCGATCAAGAAGTCCTCATCATAAGCGACAAGCTCAATATCGACATCGTCGAGCTTCCTGCCCCTCAGCGACGTCACCATCCCCTTCTCCGCCTTTGCAGGATCTGTCCATTTCGCCGCCTCCTCGGCCGCCGGATCAATGCCGAGTCCCGTAGACAAGCTATGATGATGCCCATGCCCATGATGACTGTGACTGTGACTGTGACTGTGACTGGGCGCGCGATGATGACTCGTGCCGCGACTGCGACTCCTCGAGCCCGACTTCCTATGCCTCCCCATCACCGACGACGGCGGCACCGGCGCCACCACATCCAGAAACTCCAGCTCCTTCAACCAATCCGCGAGCAACCCCTCACCCACCATCTTGATATACGCCTCCTTGAGCGCCCAGTAAGCGTAAAAACGACGTAACTTCAACTGCGTGATGCGGGCCTCGTTCTCACGCGCCCTCCTCAACCTCGCCGCCTCGCCGTTTCCTCCTAAGCCCTCAGAAGCGGACGACTCGTCACTGCTGGGCCAGACGCCCTCGTCACGCTCCACGACCGGCACGTGCACGACCGCGTGCCGCATGTTCCAGCGCTCGCGCTCCGAGAACATCTCGCCGAAGATGTCGACCCATTCGTCGAACTTGGCCTGCGTCGTCATGTCCTTCGGCGTGCGTTTGTCTTCGTCCGCGCATGCGATGTCCACGCCGAGTCGCACGTGCACTTGGTGCGGCGGGTAGTGGTCCAGGTCCGAGGTCGTGTCGTGTCCGGTTAGGTCGAGGTGCAGGTTGTGGAGTTTGGCGGAGAGTGGTGTTGATTGTAATGGTGAGGTCGGGGCGGGAACTGTCGGGAGCTGTGCCGTTGGCGTCGTGCACCCGATGATCGCCACGACGCCTGCTTGGTGCGTGACGTTGAATTCGAGTCCGCCTTTGCCTGTACCGGTGCCGTCGGCATTGGCGCCATCGTCGTCCCAGTCCGATGGCGGTGCCCAGTACGGTCGCCGATGCGGCGCCGGTGTGCGCGAGATGACCACTTTCGACCATGGGATTTTGGCCTGTCGGTGAATGAAAGTGTACTTCAATAGGGCGCTTGCCAGTGACATAAATTTGTCGGCGGGGCGGAGGAATCGTGTCACGGCTTCCTGGTCTGACTGTGTGAGTTGCTCTAGTAGTGGCAGTGAATATGGTTGTTTTGGTTTCTCGGGGACGAGAGGACGTGTATCGATGTAATACCGCGATATGCGGGTCCGGTGCTTGTTTGTGGTAGCCATTTTGTGTTCTTGGAGATAGACTGTCGGGGATAGATTATATGGGATGAAATGTAGTGTTCAGGTGGCGAATGAATGACTTTCAGTGAGCAAGTCTGAGTCCAGTGCCACTTCAAAAGAGTGGTGTTCGGTTCATAGACGTTCGATGCAGTGCCCGAATTTAATTTCCGTGGAAGACCTGTCCAACCGTCATAGAACACTGGCTGGTGAAATGATCATACGGGGAGGAGATAATGATCAATTATCACAGCCGTCATGTCCAAGGAGTGTCTGTTCAGTAGAACTACGAACGGTGGACTTCTCGTGTGAGGCCAATCGAGAGCTGCAGCTAATCTCACATCTTGCAGTGGCTCCCTGATGTGTAAATCGGTTCGTTGGAGGGAATTTAAAATCTGAGGCTTTTTATCAGTCTCGTCAGAAGACAAAATAAGCTAAAGAGGACAAGCAATATTAAATGGAGATGCAACGGCTTCAAGTTGCTGAAAGGATCAGCGCCATGTCTTAATTTAGCACAAGTTAAAACCACATTCAAGTCCCACAGGAACAAGGCTGACGAAGCAACAGCTACAGCTTATTTATTTATTGGGCTCTGTGAAGTGGGATGCTGGTCCCTGCGTGCTGAAAAGATCAATGACGAGCGTAGCACTAACTAACTGGGCGCTGATTGTGGCGTTATTTTCCTCCCTAACTACGTCGTTAGTGATGGGTATCTAGCTAGATACCCAGGTAGCCTACGTTATGGATGCCTCACCAGATCTTTACCTAGGTAGTTAACGGTTAGGGGCTAGAGGACCCCCCAGGCCCCTCGGCCCTACATATCTTGGGGGCCACATAACAGCCGAAGCACCACCCACCCGGGTAGTCTACCTCCTTCGTACTACAGATCAGCCACCATCAAACCGGTTTCTACGTCCCTCTGGCATCCAATATGTTGGAAGTGTGCACCAGCTTGGGCCGGCTTTGGTTGGAGTAGTTGTGCCCAACATTACTCATGTTCCTCAACCAAGAATACCGCTCGACCAAAGCATCCCTTTTTCACAGCTCTAACTTACCGAGTACGGACCCATCCACAGGCCGAAGCTGGCCAGCCTTGTGCCGAAGACTAATGTATAACACGTTTGTCACTGAACAACCATCATCCCCCCCGGACCGAGGCTGTCGTCCCCTGCAACTAGGTAGTCATATGGGTTTCCTGTCCAGGATAAATCTCGAGTGCCTTGATGCACAATGTTCCCGCCACCAAAGGTGCGATCCAGCAAACACTAGACTGCAGACATGTCTGTCTGCATCAAGTATCGAGGACGAATTGCCATCATCACGCTAAATGTCCCAGCCAAGCTCAACGCCCTGACATCCGACGGGTACTTTGACCTGGCAAACTGCATGCGAAAAGCGGCCAAAAACCCGGATATCTTAGTTACAGTGTTGACCGGCAGTGGCAGACTGTTCTCAGCGTAAGTCTTGCCATGAATAACGTCACGCAATTTTGATGCTCCTGGTCCAAAAGTGACTCGACAAGCAGTCTACTGACAGTCATTCAGTGGCGCAGATATCCAACCCGCAGGGGTTACAAAGACCGATGGTCAACGTTCCACGTTATCAATACAACAAGAGCCGCCACCAGGGCAGGACCCGCCGTCTCGTCAGATGCAGCTGCGGAACCTTGCACACATCATCGAAGTGACTGAAGCATTCTATGCACACCCAAAACTGCTGGTGGCGGCATTAAATGGTCCGTGCGTAGGGCTTTCAGCCGCCCTGGTCGCACATTCCGACTTCATATACGCCATGCCCCACGTCTACCTCTATTGTCCTTTCACGAGTCTCGGGATTACCGCGGAAGGTGGCTCAACAGCCCTATTTAGTCGCCGTATGGGCTTCAAAGTCGCCGCCGAGGCTCTGATCATGTCGAAACGCATCCAGTGCGAGGAATTGGTCCGGTGTGGATTCATCAATGAGGTTTTCGACACTGGGAAGGAGGTGGATCTGTTCCTCGAACGGGTAATTCTTGAGGTTGAGACGCGCTTGCTGGCGAAGCTCGACCCCTCCAGTATGCTACAGGTCAAGGCTTTGATGAGAAAGCCAGAGATACCCCTGTTAGCATCGCAAACCATTGCAGAAACTATGGGAGTGGTCGATAGTCTTGCAAGGGCTGCGGAAACAGCAAAATCCGTGAAATATGGCAGGAGGGGTGCTCGTTTATGAGAATGTCAGTTCATTACAACTCCAAAGCAGAGGCGTTATAATGACCCCTGGTGAAGCACCATGCTCGGCTCAGCATTGTCCGCTCATCGGCCAGCTCTTTCCAGTCTGTGGTACGACAATGATTGAGTTGTTTACGGTGGTTGGCAGTCATTATGGGGCGCTGGCTCGAAAACTTCCAAGATCACCTCGAAGTGGTGCATGGGGATTCGGGAACGCCTTTCGCGTAGGCCAAATTTTGGAGCCGGATAATGGAAGAGTGTAGGCTTAATCCGGGCAATGGCACAATGACCTGCCCCGTTCCTCTCGTTGGATCGTCCGCCCCTCCGCCGTCAGCCTTACCGGGCAGACCACGAACAAGATTGTCTTGTGCCAGGCGATATCGATCCACCATGGCTAACGTTGCATTCATCAAAGCATGGAAGAAACCGGCAGGGTCGTGGAGGCTCGACAAAGTGCGCGTAAACCTAGAACACATAGCCAACTTCTCCAACATAAGTGGTTCATAGTTCGATGTCGTCTTTAGATGGGTGTAGAGGATGGTCAGTGGGATCATCACGCAGCAGAGACTAGCTGACAATTAGTCGGGTTTTAATGCGGAGAACATTTTTGAAATGTGCAAGCCCGAAACATACCTTCCTGGAGGGAGGAATGCTGAGAGAGCATCGGCCTCTACGCCTTCCAAGATGGAGATAGTGGCAGCTACGGATTCACGAAGTGCCACGCGAGAAGCTTCCCGAAGTCTCATCGCCCAAGGCGTGAGACCATCCTTATCCACGATCAAGGTGGTCTGGTATAGCTCCGACCGGAAATACCTACGTGAAAGTTAATAGCTGACCTGAGAGGCAAAAATCGTGAAAGATAAGGAACACCGAGTTGCTGGTTTACGTACTCGTAGGAGAGCATCGTAAAAGCACGTGCTATCTTATAGGCTTTGCAGTCTGTCGGAGAGGATGAATCTGGCGGTTCATGCTCCAGCAGCCGTTTGTTTTCTTGCCTCCACTCGTCTATTCTCAGCTCGACGTCCTCGACAGACAAATGCTCTGGTTTCAATGGCATTATTTTGCTTTGCGATTGATTCGGAGAGTACATTGCCGTCCGGTATACCAACAACTTACCAAGTTCAACCGTACGCATCTGAAGCTGGAAGACGGCCACAAACAAGCGGTATGTTTGTTGCTTGGTCTCCTTACTAAGGTACCATGAAAAGCTGCAGTCTTCTTGGAAATCATCCATGGATATTGCGGAGCAGGAAAGGAGTGACGAGTCGAACATTTCTGGTCTACTCGTTTTCTTGAGAGCGATCAGTAAGCAGACTGCCCGAGACTGAAAACAAATGCATGCTCGCTTCCATGCGAGCCAATCTGGACTGGTAGAGGTTGAACTTCTTTGAAATGCATCATTCTCAATGAGGAGGTCGTAAGCGGTTGTAACATAGCGTTCATTCTCGTAATAGCGATTTTCATATGATCGATACGTGCTCAGGAGTAAACATATCTGTACTCTTTTCAACAAGTCATCCTCGCATCCAAGCTTTAATAGTAGCTTCCGAGAAGTCAGTACTAGGCCAGATGAGAGTGCAAGACTCGGACTCACAGCTGCTCGAGAGTAAAATTCGCACGTTGCGGCAAAGATAGAGCTGTATCCAGCCACTTTCTTCCCTTCGGCTGCTAGATACTGGTAGGTGGTCAGCTATATCGGTCCGAGGTGATTCTCAAAGTGCTTACCGGAGTGGTGACGAAAAGAATGGCATACAGAAGTGCCAAACTAATAGGCTTGGGATGTTCTTCAGTGAGAAGTTGATGGAATTCGCGTTCGCTGAGAACGGGCAGCCTGACTTGCATGTGTGTGAAGTACAACATGAAGGAGGTTTGAATCTCGTCAGCGCTAGGGAGGACAAACGCCCTCTCTTTTACTAGCTTTGTGTGTCTGCTCTCATCATTTGCATAGGACAGTGACCAATTTCGAACCCATGGATAAGGTGACTTGAAATGGCACACCGTTTCCACCACTGACGACGGCGTGATACTAGCACCGCTGGCAAAGTCGCCATCATTTTCTGGAACATGGTGTGGAGGGTGGAACGGAGTCAAATCGAGCAAGAAGGGGTCGCCAACATCAGACACATCCATGAATTGGCCGAAGATGTCCTCATCATTAATCACTGCCTCGAAGGATAAATCCATACCATAGTCAGGCATCACACGAACATCACCGAATACTTGTAACGACGATGTTTCATGAGAGCTGAGCGTGGTATACTGTTGGGCCTGTATCTCGTTATTAATGATGCTTCGATCAGTTGTAAGTCTAGATAGCATACTTCTTGCGTTGTAACAACAGGGGCATTGTTGGGCATGGTTTCCGGGCTCAGGAAATGCTGAGTATCGGCCATCTCACCCGATGGCTCTTGCGACAAGCTCGAGTTACTTGGGCCGCTCGTGGGAAGGTTGCGGTTTTGCTGCACCTTGCTCGATTGGCCGGTTTGTCTCAATCTGATCATTAGCTTAGAAGCTGAACCATATCTATGCAAGCTTTACATACACACGAGGGGCGAGTACGCAGTGCAAGTGGTCTAACGTGCAATTGGTGCATGGTTGAGGCGACTTGGATGTAATGTCGCAGCGTACTTTCCGACCACGACAGCTTAAACAGGCTCTGCTGGCTCGACCGCTGCGGTGTTGCGTCCTCCGGACCGAGTCTGCCATCCTTTCCTAGGGAACAGAATGAAGAGACGAGTAGATCTGTTAGAGTTAGAGATCGAAACCTGGGGTAACCGTCCCGGGGCCCTACCAAAATCCTAACGACCCATGTGGGCACGCCAACGAAAGAGGATGATTGCGGGGTCAGGAGGGGCCGACCTAGTGACGCTTACGTCTCCGAAGTTCAGAGACGTTCTTAGGAAGACTTTTCGTAAATATATTTGAATACTAGGAGTAAGAGCTTCCCGAAAGGGTACCCTGTCGCCCTACTTTAGCGCACCCTCCTACATATGTCGCGAGCTTCCGAGTCGCAAGGGCCCAGAGGATCCCTAAGGATTAAGCTACCCTTACGCCATCCAACGAAAGCGACAATTCCGCATGGGAGCTGGAAGCGTCAGTAGCACCTTCATGATACGAAAGGGAAGCATCTATGACGACGATGTAGTGAAAGTTTGTCCACGTACCCAGCGACAAAGCAAAATCTAGGTCACAAAGGGTTCTATCGTCCACGACAGAACCCATATTACGCTAACAAATATCGAAAATGATTCCAGAGAACAAATACCTCGGGCCGAGGGCTGAGGCTTGGAATCTCCAGAGTCAAGGCCCATGCTTCACGTACTTCACACGCAGCGAAATCCGCCATCTACCATGACATCGGTGCCGGTCATGTATCGACTCATGGGTGAGGATAGGAATATGATTACGTCGGCAACCTGCACAATAGTCAATCAAGAGCTGTCATACTTTACGAAGCCAAGGTTCAACCACGGTTCTCACTTCATCGGGCTGCCCATAACGTGCCAACGGGACTGATGTCAGATATGCCTGCATGCCTTCCGATGGTCCTTCCGACCGCATGGTCATTGGTGTCTCGATGAATCTCTTGTAGTCAGGATACATGGGTTCGGCAAATTACCCAGAACCATATCTTACCCTGGACAAACGGCATTGATGCGTATGCCCTCATTGCCATATGTGACTGCGTCCTATGGATGTTGTTAGGACGTAGGCATCAAGTTAAGTAAGGATGCGACTCACATTCCGTGTAATTCCAAGCACAGCGTGCTTCGCAGTACCATATGTGATGTTCGATCTTGCACATTTGTGGCCATAGACGGACGACATGTTCACTATTGTACCCCGGCTAGCCCTGTTGCAATTGCTAATAGTTAGAAACATAATATCACCTCGGACACCATACGAAAGTGATGACATGCCCTGCAGTGAGTCCCTTTTGCTTCAGCATGTGCCTGATTTGCTCTCGCTGGCAAAGCCACACTCCAACCATGTTAATATCAATACCCGAAATGAATTGTTCTCGAGATAGGTCCACAGACGGCAGGAATGGGCCTGCCACCCCAGCATTGTTGACTGCATAGTCGATCCTGCCAAACCGCCGCACAGCGGCCTCATGGGCATCAACAATTGACTGCTCTTTGCTCGTGTCGATGTAGAGCACCTCCACCTCGACATGCGGATACTCGTTCCTGAGTTGTTGCGCCACCTTCTCGAGAGACAACAAGTTGATATCACTGATTGCTAGCGAGGCTACGCCATATTTCGCAAACTGAAATGCAGTGGCCTCGCCAATACCTAGATGTCTTCATATGAGATTCCGATCAGGCATTCCTCGCGGACACTATACTCATGCATACCTTGGCTTGCACCTGTGATGAATGCAACGCCTCCATTGAGTAACCTAAGACCTATTGATGGCATGTCCTATTCTGCCGTAATTGGTTGAGTGATCGTTCAAGAGCGCTTCCGCGATACTGTTTCGTAGCTCAAGGATCGGGTATCGACGTCAAACGACCTAACAGTCTTCGGTATTTTACTATTATGAGTAAAGTCCTTGACTGTAGCAAGGGTCTATTATGAGTAAAGTCCTTGACTGTAGCAAGGGTCATGCCAACGATATATATAGCACGAGATTTCTGATGCTCAAACGGGCCGCCGGCAAAGATATTGAATCTTCCGGGCCGCCGTCTGTATCACCAAGGCATGTATGTGCATAGTTGAAACGAACCTGCTCTTATGTTGATGGCCTGCGGCCAGGATCACTCTCAACAAGGACAGCTTTCATTCTCTGATACTGCTATAGTAGCCTTGGATCGGGAGGAATACGGATTCATACACTCTTGTGAGTAACTTCTAACTACAGTCGAGAGCCTCTTCCCATTAAGCGATAATCCTGGTCACGAGTTTACCGGTGTTAGATCCGTCGAACAACTTCAACCAGGTCTTCGGTACGTCCTCAAACTTGGTCGGGACCACGTGTTGCAGTCCGTCGTTGACAGTCAGCTTTCCTTGTTCCAGCGCACGAATAAATATCTCCGTTACTTCCTGCGCTTTGTGCACGTAATCTGCAGCAATAAACCCTTTGATTTGCAGTCTCATACTGATTACCTGAAAGTAGTCTGATTTGAAGATAAATTAGCTGTCTGGAGCTTTTCTAAGTAAAGATTGATCAGAGGCTCAGGAGAAATCATCTTACTCTTCAGTAATGTGCTCTGGTCAGAGTTGTATCCTGAAATCGACCCGCATGCTATGACAACACCATGCTGCTTGAGCCGGCCTAGCATAGCGTCCAATATAGTCCCCTGGGAACATCAGATCCTGGATCTCATTCTCGAGACTATGCGCACGGCAAGCCAAAGGAAATGAAAACTCACTCCAACATTGTCAAAGTAGATATCGACATAACCTGCAGTAGCCTTTGTGAGGTCCTCGAAAAAACACGGGCTCCTGTAGTTCAGGCATTTGTCGGCACCCAATCTTTCGACCACATATTTGCACTTGTCATCCGAGCCAGCGATGCCGATGACTTCGCTGACACCGATGATCTGTCGAGTCTTCTCAGTACGTTTTGCTAGATGGCCGCCATAGCGCTACAGGGAATTCCTAACCTTTTTCGCTATCTGCACCACCATACCACCCGTCGCTCCCGCAGCACCACTGACGACGAGGCGGTGACTTGCCTTCGCCTCGCCGACGACAACTGTGCCATAATATGCAGTGAGGCCTGTTGTTCCAAAGACACCGAGATAGTGAGAGAAGCCCAGACCGTTGGGCAGAGGGGCAAGAGTGGTGGCATCTTTGGCGTCCAGGACGGCATATTCATTCCAATTCACGCGGGCCAGTATCGTTGTACCTATGGGAATAGTGTCACTCCTTGACTCGATAACCTCGCACAACCCACGCGATTGCATGGGCGTGTTGAGGGCGACTGGTTCCACGTAGTGGCGGTCGCTGGGGAGATCATCGCTGGACTTGATCCAGGTACGTTGAGCTGGATCGTTCGAAAAGAAAAGCACCTTGACCAGAATCTGCCCTGGCTGAAGTGGTTGGAGGTCTCGCTCTATCAGCGTAAATGTAGGATTTGAGCCGGAATAAGTTGGGGTTTCTTTGGGGCGATTTGACAGAATCCAGGTTCGCGTCCGTACCATGGTTATTAGTTCTTGGCCGTGTTGAGACGAAGCTTTTCTGAGTACTACTAAATATATGTTCAGAATGTCGCACAACGGATGAGCTTGTCACCCCAAGCAGCCAGAATATCTGCAGTGGTAGTTCGACCAGACCATATGAAGAACAAGCCTCTCTGCTGAAGACCTTTTATTTTGCGCGACTATCGCGAAAGGAGCCTCGTTAACATTGAGCTCGATATAAACTACTACTGACTAGGTATCAATGTTGTACCTCGCTGGTATAAAACAACGACGTGCGCCAGCGTCACCACAGGAGGGCACAGAACATCGGCGGCGTGAAAATGCCACGGGCCGAGGTGATAGAGCCTGCCGCCCACCTGGCGCCGGGTGCGGCTAATGTGTGCCCATACAACAGACTCGTCAGTGCACAACACGTGGAGTCATTCTACGCAACACTCCTTATTCTTAGTAAAGATAGACAGACTACCCAGGCACGATGTTTTAATGCCTTTCCACTGCAGCGCCCACAGTTTCTTGTTCTTTTGCGTGCTCAGCTATTCGTTCACTCATTCATAATCTGTGTGTTCTCTCTACACTCTTCGATCCTTTGTTTCTGGCTGTTCCCAAGTCCAAATGCCAGGGCTTTGATGAGGATCAGAATATCTCATGCGCCATGAAAGTGCTGTATCCGATAATGGGAGGCACTCGCCGGTGCTCTGCTTTCAGATGATCCTTGGACTTGCTCTCCCTCCGCTTCTCACCGTATAAATCTATCTATCCTCGATTCCGTCGAGTATAGTATAAATAGATACTTTTATATGTACAATCAGAAATGAACCCATGATCTACTATCACATACAGGCTCAGAAAACAGCATGTAACATCCTCGCTGAAGACTCAGGTATCTTTGACCCAACTGCCATCATCCATTCGGCCCTCTCTCTTAGGGCCCTCTTCCGCCCAGGTCTCAACAGCACCACTCTTGGGATCTTCATCCCTATAGCCACGACCTCTCCGAACCTTGAGGACCGCATCTCTCACACGTCTCGTACATTCCTTCCGTAGTTCAATAGCTTCCGGGTGCTGAGCTAGACTCTCAGGGACGATGCCTAATGTGAGTTCATCCCATTCATCCGTGCCGTTGGCTCGGGCGTCTTGTTCGCACAATTTGCGCCAGCGCCGACGTAGATCACCGAATGTGCTTTCGAGATCGAGTTCTTGGCCGAATGTTACCGTTATGTCTTTGCCGGCTCGAGGGATGAAACGTGGGAACGTGCGGGACTCGTGCATCACCTGGTCGGTGCCTTCAATGAACATGGGTACCACATCTGGGCATTCGGGTGGCTCCAAGATCAGACGGGCGACGCCCCATTTGAAGTAACGCATTGTATATTCCGACTTATTGTTATTCTCCGGAGTTGGGGCCGACTGATGAATCATGCCTTCGGGGAAAATATGGATCCAACTATATGCATTCGAGGCGTACCGTGAAGGTGAGAGGTACCAACGTACGTCGGAAGGGGAAGAAGGGTAGGAGGGAGCGAGGTCGATGTCGGAAAACGGATCAACACAGTCTCGCGGGAAAGATGGAATGTGGTAGCCAGAATGGAAGCGAGGATTATTGTGTGGACAGAAAGCGGGCTTCCGAGTAGAGATATTCGAAAACATGCGTACACCCTCAGTCATGGTGGCTTGGAAGGGACCGCCGTATGGAGAATGGGCACTGCGATGGGTTGGAAGGACTTGACCTAAAGTGAAGAAGTGGGACAAGAGAGAGCCTTGGAAACAGATATCGTGGCTGCCAAATCCCCAACGATGGTTCTGATAGCCGTGAAAGGCCGTAAAGGACAGTGGGAGAACTCCCCATATCAAAGGATCGTCCATGACAGAGATATGATTAGAAACAGTCAGTAGACCGCGTCTTCGAGTGTTGTAATCACTGCGAGACTTGAGGAGGTCGAGGAATCGGGGTAAACCATTGACCTGAGTCCTGTTCAGCCCAAAGAGAAATGTGCGGCATAATGCTCCGACGGCCAACATGGTCTGGTAGGAGGCGCCCCGCCAGAGGAAACTAGGCTGTTCGACATTGCTATATAGATCTTGATGTGGGTGGTGGTGAAAATGAGGGGAGCGCAGCTGTCCTGGTGTTGGAGACTGCCCATTACCACGGCCGGGCATTAGGAGAGTAAGACAGTGGGAGAGTGAGGACGAAAAAGTGAAGAGAGGATCGAGGGAGGGTCGGAGGCAGTTTCGGTCTCTCCCATCAAAGGGGAGTTGGTGCGCGCTTCCACCAGCAAGAAGAACTTGAAGCTGTAAGTTTGGGTGGGAAAGAGCAACTTGAACGAGAATGCGGAGGACGTTGCAACCCGCCAATCATGTTGCAGGAAGAATATTTGCCCGAAGGTGCCGGAATTTGGTTTCTCCGGAATCCGACAACTAATTCATGCAGTTGCGATTTCCATTAACACCTCGAGATCATCATGACTTTGTCCATCCCAACCAACCGCATCCAAGATGTTTAGGCCGACTTCTCCTCTTTTGGGCGGTTTGCTATGGTATGCAGCCTTCTCCCATCCTTAGGTGTCGTTCCTGCAATACTAAACACATTCGCAGGAAAACTCCATGGCGACTGTCCTCAATGCAGAAAGCTCGACAGCGAAAACGGTTACGACTCGTGGACCAAGTGGTCGACACAGTCAGCTCAGCTCTGATGAAGAATGGTGGAATGACCTCCAAAGCTGTCGAACGATGGTATCGTGAAATGCCGCGCGAAGAAGAAATGCTGCCCAAGGATAAATATACCATCTATGATCGGAAAGAGAAGAAGTACAGAAAAGGCATTCACAGTACGAGGATCGAGCTATGGAACGCCGGAATGGTCTTTGCTGATCTTGAGACACAGAACTTCCCAAATGGACGAGGCTTAGTCAACGAGTCAACCCTCCAGGATTTTAAGCTTGAACTTGCACTATTGTGTTATTAAACTATCTCAACAACGACCCTGGGCAACTTCATATCAGAAGTCCTGCTCGTCTTTCTCCAGAGACCTGTTAATCGTCTTGAGGACATCGCGCTCTGCCCAAATTGAAAAGAAGCTGCGTTACAACGTCTATAAGACATAAGGTGGCCACACACCACGTGGTCATGAGCCGCTGCAAGCGAAGCACGCCCTTCGCCACAGCAACCATGAAGTCCGCCAAGCTTAATCAATGAGCCTAGGAAAAGGGTGTAAGCGATGGCCGACGGATCGGCAAATTGCTTCACGTACGAAGGACCCCAGGGATGTATCAACATGAATAAACAATATGATATATTAAGAAACAGCCCTACTTGCCACTGAGTGAAACCCTATTGATCTGTGAAGCGTATCGGTGAGCGGGCTCAATGCTAGTCACTAATCCTATAGGGATTTCATCTTGGGTCATAACTAACTCGGGTTCGAAGATAAGTGGTATCGCATGGATCTGGTATCATTTTACATTACAAACATATATACAGAAACCCACAAATATTGCATCAAGTCTGGAATAAGTGGAAGAATACAGAGGCACTGAACGATCCAACCGCAATTCAATCACTCCCTTTCCAACCACCAACTGCCACACTACTGGTGATCAATACGATACACCAGATCCTTCTTGAAATAATGGCTGATATCGTTGTCCTGGCCACATCCAACGCACCGGTGCATCACCTTTGCATTGGAATGCAGACTCCCGCCACTGAAGACATTGGAATCTCGTGCCATTGCGCCTTGGTGGACATTCTGAGCTCCCGATCCTGGGTTCAGGTTGTGGGAGCCTGGTCCGCTTGAAAGCTGGGAGTCCCCTGCTTCCCGAACAATGGTCTTCCCCACGCCGCTGCTGTGACCAGGGTTGGAACCGATTCCTGTGCCTGTGTGGGAATCGTAGTTTCTGGAGGACGAGTTCATATTATCCGCGCCTCGATTGGACTGTGCAAGATCTCCGTCATTGCTTCCGCGACCCACGACGGTGTTGTAGACTCCGCCACTGCCAGCACCAGGTGCATGGTCTCTCTGGTCAATTCTACCGTCATGGTTGGAATCATATGCCTGCTGACCATGGGCACCTGTCCCGAATCGAGTGTTATCGTCCTGATGCCGGGTACGATCAGCCATTTGTGAGCCTGCAAGACCTCCTACAGCGGCACCCCCAGCAGCAGTCGCAGCAGCCACAGCAGGGTTGTGACGGTTGTGGTCTTGCTGATAGTTGCTCGCGGTTTGGTCGGGATATGTTTGCTTGGTATCGTGGTGGCCATGAGGGAAATGGGATGATGTTGTGGTCGTCGTCGTGTTGGTGGTGTGGTGTTGTTTGCTGTCATTGTGGAGTCCATGGGACTTACTCTGGGTATCAAGAGTATTGTCCCCATGGCCATGCCGATTCTTTGGGTCGGAGACATTGTCGCCAAGGTGATGCTCCTGACCGATTCCGTGATGCTGATCAGAGGATGGTAGAGCAGAGGAATGAACGCCGCTCTCATAACTGCGAGTGTTGCTATCTGTGTTGTGGGAGCCATGAAGGCCAGTATTATGGCCAGCTGGGCCGACGCCCGTGCCTCCGATGACATTGGATCCGACGCCCGGCGCAGCTGGGTCCATGAGGCGGTCTGGATCAGTCACCTCGCCAGGACGCCTGGTCTGTCCATATTGATCTTGCTGGGATTGCGGAACATGAGTCCCATGTGGCGCGACGTACTTGTGCCCATCTGCATGGTGGCTGGAGGGGTCGCCAAAGCCGGTGCTACTGGCTTGACCAGGTAGATGAGAGTTGTCATACGAGGACGTGCCCGCGTATTGGTCTTGTCCATAGCTGGTATTGTCGTATCTTCCCTGGTCGTATTCATCATCGTAGGGAGCGTTGTCGCGACCGCCGTGCATGCGGTCTTTGATCTTGTTCATCACAGAAGGCATTTTGATCGTGAATTATTATGAAACTATGAGTCTGTTGCTGTGGTTGTGATCGTATCTGATATTCCCACCCAGCTAGCTGACCGCGACTATTATATCCTTGAATGAGAAACGCAACACAAGGGCCATCGTCATAGGCGTCGAAAGAATGCACATCCTCTCCTACTTTCTCTCAAACTTGGCCTCATCTATTACTCGAAACTAAAAAACCTGGAAATCCCACAGCGTCAAATGAAAGAATTCGTAAAGCTTCTCCCCGCCTTTCGTCATGCGGAAGTCTAAAAGTGGATCGGTGATGGTACCGGTACGCAGATCCTAACGTTTGAGCCGCGTTCGCTCGCTTGGTATGGGCCGCGCAATTGCCACTCTATCCGGGATGTTCTTTACTTTCTTGGACTTTGCGACAGACAAAGTTGGTCTAGAGCACGTCATTTTCGGGGTAGGAGCTGCCGTTTACGCCATGCGGCTGGGACGATCGATCCTTGTAGACAGCGGGAGAACAGAAAAGGAACTTCGACCATGCTCAGATCTCGAGCAAATTTATCTACATTGTGGCTTGTGGCGCAGATTAAAACAGGTTTATCGACATCTCAAAAGTCTATATTGTTATGTGAGTTGCCCCAGCATACTTTTCTCCTTGTTGCACAGACTCGACGGCAGCACTCGTGATCGAACAATGGCCGACACCTCCATTAGAGAACGAATCTTGAACAACACCCCACTGGACAGGTTGCATAGAAGCATCTTTATCCCAGTCCAGAGGATGACAAGCAGCTGAGATAGCCGCGCTGCAGCTACCTGCCAGTGGCATTCCTCCCTTAAAATTCCTCTGACCCAGTGCGATGACGCCAATCATGAGGCACCCACAGGACGCGATCACAAATATTATTGCTAGCGGTGAGAATCCGCAGGTTCCGACTGTTGTCGGGTTGACTAACTCTCCGTCATTGCGGTATTCTGCAACGACGGCGAGGAAGATCGACTGAGACAGTAGCCAATGCATCAGGCCACCCACCACCAGCATCGGTATTGCTGCGCGATAAGGGAGCTGTAGAAAGTGCTTGCTTCGCTGATCTCCTTTGGGCTTTGATACACGAAGGGTTTTCCGTGAGAATTCAAATCCCTTCCACTCGTCGGAAAGCCACATTGAGGTAAGCAGTCCGTTGATCTGAAGGTAGATGAAGGAAAAAACAGCTTGCGGTGTGTTGGCAACGAGGATTGCTTTCACAATTCTCTCTGTCTCAGTCCCGTAGGTGCTGAGATCCCAACCTCTTATGATGGCGGCCGAATTGACTTTACCGAGTCCAATGGTCCAGATCGATTGGGCTGTCTGTCCTATCACCTTGATAGCCAACGTGAGGAGTACCGAGACAACGATGATTGCGAAGGCCAAAGATCCCACTACCAGCGCCCAACGCCTTCCAGATACCGCTGAACGCCACTTCCGGGTCTTGAAGTCGCAGACCTTAGCATCGAATCTCTGGTCAAGCCCCCATCGTCTATTTCGAATTACATCTCTCTTTGAATCCAGACAATGCCCTTTGGTCGTTTCGTCTGTATGATTGAGGAAAGATTCGATTGCATCGCCAATTGTGATCAGCGGATCATCGCGAAGACACAAGGCGACGAACAGCATCACCCCTACCTTGATTGCGTTGCAGATGATGACCACGCTCACAATCGGTACATTTCCAGAGTAGCTGCACGTTTCTGGGACGATCTCACTCATGCAGAAAGCCACTGGAAATGTTTTGAAGGTCCATTGGTTGGCGATCTCATTGGCAATTCTGGGTGCCAGCTTGTCGCACACGTTGATGGGAGTCTCGTAACCTGTGAACGTCAATCCTAGCTTCACAGCGAGGTCGTCCGGGAGGTCGATGTCGTCGCAGATCCTGCTCGATGTCAGAAAAAATGGTTATTATATCATTGCTTGGGCGGTGGCAAGCTCACCATCCATAAGGTTTGTACAACCCACGAGGCCCGACCGAAAGCCCAAAGCTATAATGTTCGACGTGCAGCAGGGTTGTGATATCCGGTGTCGAGTTGGTAGACACAAGGACCACATTTCTCCTGTCACTGTTGATGTCCGTTGCATAAGCTTTGATGCAATCGGCGTTCTCTAGTCGTTCGTAACGACCCGGGATAGTCAGGCCCTGTTGGATTATAGTAGGATCGAGGGAACCTTTTTGCACGACAATCCCCTCGGTGTCGAACCTGCCACCATCAAGGAAACCTTGCTGCACCACGAAGATGTCGTAGTCGTTCGTTGCCAATGATTTGTAAAAAGCCGAGTTATACCTGGCCACCACATTCATTAGCATCAGTTGTCTCCGATCCACATTGCCAACACCACCGCGTGACAGCACAATGCGACCAACTACTTAAATAAGGTGCAACGGCACAGACGTCAACCCCAACATCACCCACAAGAAAGTTTTATACCAAGGCACTGCGCCGAGATTCCTCACACTCGGCACACCAACGTCAAGCCACTTCCCCTTCTTATGCGCAGCATCGACATCCATCCTCGTTGGCGCACTCAAACACTGCATGCAATAATTCGAACCCCCGAGCAACAGGGTACTAAGGATGTTGATAGCTAAATGCACCCAGAGATCCATAGTCTGCACGGTCCCACAGTCTCCAGTGAAGATTGAGACTACACCGAGACCCGAGCTGACGGAGCGCGTGCCTAGCCATGCCGCGACGGCGATGTTGATGAGCAGCGAGAAGCCTGCGAGGAAAGATGAGATCAGAGCGCCTGTGCGCCAGCCGTGGAAGTGGCGCGAGACGCGCGAGAAATTTAGTGTTACTTTGCGTGTAAATGGTTTCGCAGAGCTGGAGAGGTATTCGTCAAGGTCGCCTTTGATCAAAGGGTCGCAGTCCTTGATGTTGGGTCTGGAGCTCTTTGCGCCGGGTAGTGGTGATGGTTCGATCGTGTGGTTTATCCCTCCTTTGGGAAGTGAAATGGATAGATTGTCGGACTTGCCCATGACGGCCACAACAGGTAGGTGGCGGAAATCACCTTGACTCGAGGCGTATGGAGGTTGACTGCCACCCCCTAGGTATGATATCTTAGTAAGTCAGGAAGTCATCTATGCTTAAGCAGTCACAAAAGGGCATTGCGCTGCATTTAGGAACAAGTATTGAATAAGCAACGAAGCGAATCTGGGGGAGCCGAAGACCATCGCCTTCTACCGAGTGTCAATGGCTCAGATCCTGAAGATGGCCGAAACAGCTCGCTTGCCAACTTTCCGTGTGTGACAATCAAGAATCCCATACCTCACCCCCGTATCCAGACCCTGCTTGGGGTCTGTAACAGCTCTCAAGCGACATCAAAATACATCGCATGCGAGCGTGCCAATAGCCGCACAAGTCACAGGCATATCCCGTTTCAAGGCTTAAATTAAGGGGCTGTATCGCGGGGGCTCTGAGTTTGACATCTCTCCTTAGTCATCAACTGGCCGCGAAGGACATCGATCGGTGAAAGATGCAATATTTAATCCCAGTATGTCGTGAATTGAGTTACTAATGCGAATACCCGATAGATGGTCGTGTATCATTAAGATCCATCGATGTTGGGTCCTCATTATACTCCACCACGATTGACAGCGGAATGCAGAAAGTGTATGGGCTGTATTTAGGGTGCGCTAACTACCTAGGTGACTAGCGCAGACTTGTTTTGGAGTCACTCCAGTTTCGGCTATGAGGCCTTCTTCTCTTATCGATTGCACTCTTGGAGTAGCTGGCTAGAGTCACTCTGTACTGAATGGGAAACAATCTTGACACCTTCCAAAGCAAGGAAGATGTTCATCTCGATTTGCAGAGAGAGAGTTCATGATCGATCAAGTTATTGGATCAATATCTCAATTGTGGAAGTCTGAAATTGGCAATGAGTACCCAACATGTGGGCTTATTGCACCCAACACGTCCCTGGGACCCTTCTTTCTCTTGTCCACTGAACACCAAGGCAGAGATCAGGTAACTGACCGGGACGGTAACACGAGAGCCTGATGTGCCAAACCGTGGAAATGAGATAACAGTGCTAGTACGCCACGCTAATGAATTCCCCTGCTAACGTCTTGCTGAACCGTTCCCTGCTCGCTTGATGCATTCCTCGTGAAACTATTGCTCGTCATAAAATCATCTGCCGTATAATCACTCCTGGCATTTGTGACAGACGTCAAACTATCTGCAAGGCAGTCAGCTTGCGATCCTGTATCAGGCCACATATATGTATGAAGGCTTGGTTGGGTCCGGTCCTCGCTCCAGATAGTCTCTATCGATAAGCGACTCAAGTCTCTTCTTGATCATGTTGACATCTGGTGCAAAGCGAGATACAACTTGCTGAATAGTCTCGGTCATAAGCTGATGATGTGACAGTGCCTTGCGCGATTTCATGACCCGAACAATGGCTGCTTCGATGACAAGAGCTCTGCCATTGTCAATTCGTTCTTGCGTTGCCTTGCGCTCTTCATTGTTTTCGACACGACTGGATCCTCCAGCAACCACACTGACTTTGATCTTGAGGAACTGGCTTGAGAAATCCTCGTTGAAAAAGAACTTGTCTGTAGGTTTGATGTCTTTACTCATTGGCTCCTTCTTCAGCACTCTCCACTTCGCAACGAGGGATAATGACTGGAGGTTGCGAATGAGTTCTGGTGTTTCGATGTTGGTTTCGGCTTGAATTTGTTCGAAGGACAAGCTGTTTCCGGCAGAGACGTCATTGAATAACATCAAGATTATCATCCCGTAAGTTGACACGTTGAGCTCATATCGACGAGTTTTCCCACCAGTTGTGAATGTGGCTCTAAGATCGGCATCACCCATCGAGGGCATCCATGTCAACTTTCGACCAGTATGTTTTCCAAGATAAAATTGCTGGAATCTTTGACGAGCCTTCTCCACCGCGGCTGGATACTTGTACTCTTGATTGACAGTTTCACCAGAATCTTTCTTGAACAGTGTTTCGAAGGGCCAGACAGTTGTTGTGAGGACCCGGCAGTCTAGGTCAATACGTTTGGGATCCGGATCACCCAGGCGATTAACCTGTTCCTTGTATTGAGCATTGAGGTTATCTGAAAGTTCCGTATCCTTGATCAGACCTTCCAATTTTTGGGTAAACTGATTTCCAATCTTCATTTTCATCTTCGACAAGACTTGTCGTTCCATATCACGGCTCACTGATTTCTTCATAAGCAGTCGTTTTGCCATGTGTTTCTTGTAATATGTCTCGAATTTGTCCTTATTCGCCAGGTACTGAAGTAACAGTATGCCGCTGTCAAGAAGCATGTCGACCTCGCTCTCGTTCCTGTCTTTCCCCCCACGTTTGAGGTATTCATCCAAAAATAAGGAGAGATGTTCTGAACTTTGTTCATTCCCGTTGATGAAATCTTGAAAAGACACTTCTAGCGCTTTTTCCATCACAGGATCTCTGGCAAACGCCTCTGCCCATAGTTTGTCGTATTTTCTCTTTAGCTGCAAGATTTGTTCAACCCAAGTGATAGCGGCTTGGGTCTGTTGATTCAGTGTTTTCTCGGATGTTGCTTTGCCATCTGAGGTTGATTTGGTTGCGGATTTTACTGGCGCTGGGGCAACTTTGGTGACATTGGCCGTGGTGTTGATTTCGGTTCCCAGTTCAAAAACTCTCTTTTGGACGGCCTCCTTAAGTGCCATTCTACGAGGGTCTACCCGGGAGATCAGATCAAACACGTTGCGAAGATCCGATATCTTGTCATTGTCAAGCATGTTCTTGACCCCTGTACCTTCCAGGTTGATGACTTCGCGAATGTGAGCTGAAATAAACTCCTTGTCAACCACATTTTTTAGCTTGGGTTCTGTGAATGGCGAAATAGTTTGACGACATCTTTCCTCCTCTTCTCTCAGTCTTCTGCGCGCATGAGCGCAAAACGTACTAGCGTCAGCTTCGGCCAAAAGTGTCTGTCCTTCCGATCGATAGAACAGAACACTGGCTTCGAGGAATTTGGGTTCAAAGGACGTGAGATAGAGCTTGGATGTCTCTTCTTCTGCGAAACTTTCATACAAGCCTTCTAGCATGTAGCAGCAAGCACGAACCAGAGATCGATCAATCACTTCGCCCTTCCGTTCCATTTCAATCATGTCGAGGATCACAGTCTCTAAAAGCGAAAGGACATCTCTGCCATCTCCAAGAGGCACCCTCAGCAACTGCGTCCGGAATAATGCCATCGCACTTGCGTAAATGGAAGGCCGCCGCTGGTCTTGACTGAAAACACGATCCTTGACCTATAAGCATCGTATCAGAGTATCACCAAGGCACAGATTTGACTCACCATATACATTAACACATCCGTGATCATGCTCATGCAGAGTTGATGATCTGCAAATGCGTCTTTGAGAGATCTTATGAAGCGCTCGCCTGCGATTCTTCGCTCGTTCGATTGTGCAGCAACGCCTTGTTCTGATACATCATAGGACATTGCTGGGGTGATCAGGGCTGTTATCCTGGCTCGGACGGTGTTGCTCAACCATGTCTTTTCCAATGCTACCACCTGATCGTAGAGCATGTCCTGCTTTTTCTTCAAGACTAACTTGTAGGCGCCGCGAAATAGTTCTTCGAAGGATAATTTAGAGGCATTCTTCATGTGAATTTCTTGAAATGCGGTGGAGAGGGAGGCCCATATTGAATCAAAGTCGACATCATCTGCGGTCAATCCCTGGATATAGTAATTAGCCCATTTGATTCCACAAAGCCAAAGGATTTTCCGCCCTCTCCGGTATCAGGGTGGGGTCGCAATCAGGAAAGCAAACTTGTATGTCGAAGGGCAAGGTTGTTTTTCATGTGACATACTCTTCGTGGTGCTCTAATCTTGCCTCCTCTCCCCTTCGCCAACATGGTGGCTAAATTGGAGGAGCCAGCCCAGGCTCAGGCTACAGGACGGGCTGTATGGGTTGGTTCTTAATGGTGGGGCTCAATGAAATGCCGGTCGTGGTTCGGAAGTGATTGAGTGTCGAGGAAAGTGAGCGGCGTATTCAAGGAATGAAAGGAGAATTATATAGATGGATCAAAAGACATCGACAAGATCAGACAGACCTCGGAGGCAGTCAAAACGTGAAGTCAGGAAAAGTTGATGTAGTTGTCACTTACTGCTCGCCTTCGTCCCTCAGGTTCGGCATCGGCATCGGCGTACTTTCCTTGGAAAAGTTTGTGCTGTTTGTTAGTTTTGCTAGCTTTGCTACATTGACTCTCTTTGCATGGTTTGCACGGTTTGCACAGTTTGCACGGTTTGCACGGTTTGCACGGTTTGTCAAGATATGACGCGTTGTGAAAAAGATAATTTTGGTGATTCAGGCTGTCCATTTCGTTTCCCATATTCATCTTGCATCTGCCAACCCTCCGATCCCTAGGGTTTCTACAGTTATGCGACCCTCGAATCTAACTCTACGGAGAGTGACTACACTCAGGCGAATCCCGTCCGTAGTCTCGACACAGGCGCGATTACAATCGTCCTTGTCCCGACGCCCTTTCGGAATCCACCGTCGCATTCTACCAACCCGCCAGCAGTCTTTTGCACCCTTTAGACGGTACGAATCTTCGCTCGTTCCCCAGGATCTATCGCCACAGAAACCAGAGGGTCGCGATGAGCCTGCCTATGAATTGACCTTCACCTGCAAACCCTGCCTGCACCGTTCCTCCCATCGAGTGACGAAGCAGGGCTATCACCATGGCACGGTCTTGATCTCCTGTCCACAATGCAAGAATCGACACGTTATATCTGATCATTTGCGCATATTCATGGATGAAAAATCTACCCTCGAGGACATTTTAGCGCGAAAGGGAGATGACCTGACGAAACTTTTGAAGAAGGGCAAACTTGGGATCCGACAAAACTCTCAAATCGGAAATGAGGGCGAAGAAGATGTTGAGTTCTGGGAAGACGGGACAGAGACTCGTCGTCAACCGGATTCATGAAGTGATGAGCAGCATCTTTGAACAAACAATTCGCCACCTCTGGGATAATACTTCCTGGCGACTCAAAGACAGTCAGACTCTTCCGCGACCTCAGGCCTTCTTGGACATGGCTTTCAAGCCCGGCAGAGGACATTTCAATAACCAGCTTCCCGCTTCAGGCAAGTCAGGTGTCAAATTCCTCTATGAACTCGCAACTCAAACAAAATGTCACCTTTGGAAAGGTACCCCAAAAATTTCTGGCACCGTGGCAGGGATTTCCCTTAGGGAAGCTCGGATCTAAGACCAGGCTCCCAGAGGAGTGAGTCAGCATCGCATCGAGAAACGGTGGCAGGTACTCGCTACCATGTTAGAAAAAGTCACGACCTGAGGAAGAACATCAATGCGCGCCATGGCTACTACTGGACGAATGCCATCATCTTCCTAAATGGAGTTACGACCTGTGTACAAGAGCAAAGTGTACAAACATTGTGTATATAAAACTAGATGAAGCATTTAAAGCTTGTGGATTGTGTAGAAATATGACGTTTTGGTCTCATGCGAAAGACCGTGAAAAACAAATATGTTCAGTGCACACAATTTCATGCGTGATCCTTCTGGAAATGGAGATGTCTAGCGTCCATCCCGATAGGTACGATGTGAAAGACTCCAGAGGGATATGGAGACATTGCTAGTGATTTGGAAAGGGTTATTGGCCCGATCTCATAACGCCTTCGCCATGCAGGGAAGCCAATCTTAGAAGCCCAGGTGCCTCTCTAAACCTACAAAGATATTCATGCTTCAAGCACCATTCACAGCGCCTCCTTTCAACAAGTAAGCCCTCGCCTCCCACGGCGCCAAATACTTGCCGACCTCAGCGACCGTACTGATCAAAAGCTCCTTCTCCGCATCCTTCACCCAAGTCGGATAGTGCAGTGGCTCGATATCATCCGAGAAGCTCAAGAACACCAGTAATTTGTCGCCGGTTGTGGGATGGCTCTTCGTGAACGTGAAGACATGCTGGTCATGGCGGTCCCAGACCTCAAATTGCGTGCCGAAGACGAGCAGATCGGCGTGCTCTTTGCGAAGCGCGATCATCTTCTTCCAGAAATGCAACACCGAGTTGGGGTCTTTCTGCTGGTCAGCAACGTTGGTCTTCTCGAACTCGTCGTGCACACGGATCCACGGCGAGCCTGTGGTGAAACCTGCGTTGGGCGAGGCGTCCCAGTGCACTGGAAGCCGGGCGTTGTCGCGGCCGACGGCTTGGATGCCCTTCATAGCTTTCTTGAGCCAGAGTTCGTCTCCGTCGTGACGCTCCTTGACGTCGTTGTATGCGTTTAGCGAGTCGATGTCTCTGATCTCCTCGATTCCCCAATGTTCCGGGTGGTTGTACATGCCGATCTCTTGGCCTTGGTAGATAAACAGGGTTCCAGTCAGGCAGCATAGCAGCACTGCCAGCATCTTGGCTGCTTGGTCCCGAAACTCATCTTTGTCCGTTGCAAAGCGCGATAAACTTCGACCTTGGTCGTGATTTTCTAGGAAGACTGTCACCCAAGCGTCCGTACCAACCAACATGTCCTGGCATTTGGCGATGGCAGCTTTGAATTGAGGTAGTGTGTGGGTGAATGTTTGGTGTTTCTTGCCGCCGCCCACGTGGTCGTTGCCGAGCATGACTACGTCAAAGTCGAACACGCAGCTGTACTCTCTCGCCTCGGCAGAGACATATCGCAACACCTCATCTCGCTCGGTATATGGCAGCTCTCCAACCATGAGTACGTCACCATAGTTGTCCAGAACTTGCTCCCGAATCTCTCTCAGCCACTCGTGCATGCGAGGGCCGTTGAGATAATGTTTAAATGCCGGTTGTGTAACCTCGCCGGGGGCAGTTATTGCAGCATCAGGATACAAGGTGTCCTTGGAATATAAGTTGGCGGTGTCAACACGGAATCCATCGATGCCTTTCTTTAGCCAAAAGTCGATGGCTGACTTGTATATCGCCTGTCGGGTCTCTTCCAGCTCCCAGTTGAGATCTGGCTGTTCAGCAACGAAGAGATGTAAATAGTACTGGTCACGTTCCTCGACGTATTCCCAAGCACTACCGCCAAAAGTTGCTCGCCAGTTGTTTGGGGGTTGTTGCTTACCATCGACGATTTTAGGGTCACGCCAGATATACCAGTCGGCGTATTTATTGGTCTTATCTTTCCGGGATTCGACGAACCATTTATGCTGGTCACTTGTGTGATTAACCACGAGATCGAGAATAAGTTTCATGCCCATGCCGTGGCACTTCTCGATCAGTTCATCCATATCTGCAAGGGTACCGTAGGGAGGATAAATATCCTCATAGTCTGAAATGTCGTAACCCATGTCCTTTTGAGGCGAAGCGTACATTGGTGAAAGCCATATAGTCTCAATTCCGAGATCTTTCAAGTATGGTAAAGTGCTAATAATTCCTGGTATGTCACCAATGCCATCGCCGTTGCTATCTTTGTATGAAGCGGGCCATATTTGGTAGCAAGTGCTCGATTTCCACCAATTTGGTGTTGGTGCAGTCATGGTAAGTGTAGGTGGAATGATATTTCAGAGCAATTTTGCAAGATCTAAAATCTAGAGTGATGAAGTATACTGAAACACAGAACAGAGATGAACAGCTATTGATTTGACGGTGAAAATGCAAGTTTTGCTCTCCTCGAGCTCGATCAAATACCTAGTAGACGTAGGAATAGAATTCAACCCCCAGCGGTTGCTCTTCCCAATGCAGGAGCAGAACCAAATTTTGCTGACTGAAAATCTCATGGAAGTATCCAAGCTCGAACATTTACTCGGAGAAACCACTGAGAAGCACGAGACTGGTACGTAGATCAAGTAACCAACTTCGAGTGACCAGTGCGACCTCCGAGGGCCATAACTCCAACTTTTGTGACGTACTGGGACAAAAAATGACCAAGAAATCGGATTTCGGGGTAAGAGTAGCTTGGAGACGAGCGGCGACCACTGGTTTTCTATGGCACGGCCAAACCCTTCATGAGTTTCAGCGAACATTTCACCGCCATAATTGAGAAGCGAAGCATAACCACAGTAAAACCTAGGAATGTTCTTGGCATTTCGCCGAAAAATCAGCTGAACTGAGTAGGCTATGATCGTCGTTTTAAATTTCGAGCTCGTCGTCCTCTTGTTGCTGAGGATAGAAACCTTGACACCATGATCAAGAAAGAATAACCAACTTATGTAAGTCTTGGATACTTTATCCGCGCGCCAAGCTATGTCGAACTTACCGACGTACCGCGGCATCAATTCATACTACGGATAGTGGGTAGGGATGAATGAACAAACAATCGTTCACGGTTGACACGAGCTGAAAAATGGGCTTTAGCCGCGGGTATTACCTAGACCATGTCGTAAATCACGACCTAGGCAGTAACCGAAGTATCACGCGACCCGGTGCGAACGGTGGACAATCACTACTGATGTGGAGAAATGAGGCATCCACACTCTTTGCGTCTGTTTGCCAATAAATACTGTTTTTCAGCCTTGATGAGTAGGGCAGGTGGACACGCGCTCTGTGTGAAGTTGGTGCATATTCTTAGGGATACAAACGTACTCGCTTGGACGGGCCAGCCTTAGATTTTTGATGAACCAGACTGTCCAACTATCGGCTATGAAACTTGTGTAAGCACAAATGCTCTGCACGATGGACTCAAAGCTCCCCCAACATATTGAGAAGACTGGTCGTGCGGCCTAGAGGGCGCTACTAAACGCTGTCCGGCCCGGTTCTTCGGGTTCGAGATCCCGTAGAGGTAGGTTCACGATTCTGTCCAGAAGTGACGATGACATAACAGTCGCATTAAGTCGATATGGGTCGGTCTTCATGGTGACACAACAATTGCATTGGGTTGAAATGTTGAGGTGGTCATGATGCCACATTTGGCTACGTTGCAGCGGTCACAAGACAGTAAAAGCCTGAGCAACCAAGAGGATATACTAATACGGATTTGGTCAGTACAACTGTGACGACATGTAGACAAAGGCCTTAACTGAGACTATACGTGTAGCAGAACTTGAGAGCATCGAGTTGGTGGTGGCGATATTATGCGCAGGACAGCTATAGTATCAATACTCACTAACTGTCGGCGATCAGGCTCCTAATTTCGAAGTCTATCCATGCTACTCACCTCCACAGACAACGCATGTACCCCAGTAGACACAGAAAATGCGTGAAGCACTCAAGTTCTAGTCGATGGGTTCATGACGTCTTCTAGCACGTAAAAACGGCAAATTCCCTGAAGATTCGCCTGTAACTCGTATGTGCAGCAAGCATGAATATTTAGGTAGGGATGCTTCGTAAACGAAGACAAACTAGGTTTAGAGATCGCCGTGGCGGGCATCGCTTCCGCAAGAAAGGGACATTTGTATCCAGGATCAATGTCGATCTGATGCAGCTATCGAATATCTGATCAACAAGGGAGTGACAGATTGTGAGCTGAAGGCCATATCCCAGCATGAAGCATGGTTCAACATGGCCTCCAAAGAAACTTGATTAGTTCGTGGACACAAATTGACACTGGAACTTAGGTGCCAGATACCGACTAAGAAAAACCAATTTTGCTGATTTTTCGCTCGTCGCCAGCTGGCAAATTGAAGTCCCCGGTATTGAGTATGCACACCAGCGCGCCGCGCTTCAATTTTACAACCGCAAACCGCCATCCCGTAACAGAAACCGAATCGCCAAGCTGTGCCTGAAAGATCCTGCTCGTACCTACCTCGTACCGAGTACTTAGGTACTGAGTACCGAGTACAAAGTAGCTCGTACGTTGTGAGCTATACGAGGCGGTAGTTCGCTCGTGCCGCTTCTGCTTTTGTGCATTAGCTCATTGCGCGATTGGGAACCTTAATATTCCTGCCACAACCGATGTATCCGGACTCCATGGGCGGGCAATCCGAACTCGTGTGCAACTGCCTCATGATCAAGGTCTAGCGCGGCACTAAATTCCACGCCCCCGGGGCTAGAATGACGCCACTAAACCTTATGTCCGCGACGCGCTAAGAAGTGCAGGGAAAAGACGGGTGGAAAATTCTGAGGACAGACTGAACTTGTCACCTGGATTCTACATCTAGCCTCGAGCAACTGGTGATCGCAGCAACGGAGCGGAGTTGCTTGTGCAGACAGCCCCTGGCCATTCTCTGTTCGGCGACGTCATGACTTATGAGCACTTCAATTCACCATTTTGATACTGCTTATGGCAGAGCAACCCTGGCTTATGCTCGACATCGTTCATGACTATTCCATAAGAAGCTTCATATGCAATTATCTGGATCCTTCGTCAGCTGAGGTATACAAAGTTGATCGCGACTACGCCTCGAGCTGGAAGACTGCCTGATTGCACTCAGTCTGGCCAAACAAGGCCCAAGCTCGACTTTCCAATCACCGCTTTACAGAGTAGTCCCTCAGGAATGGAAGGGCAGATAGTGGCAGCCGTGCTTTAGGATTGGTCAGTTGTCTCACATGTTGTCAAGCTCAAGCTAGTGTTCAAATCCCGCCCAGAAGCCAGTCCATTCTTGGAATGCCAGCAGGCAGCAGCCACCCCGGGGAATGTGGGAAACATCGGATACGATCCGAAGTTTTGTTTTTACACCAACCCCTCCAGTGCGGCCATCCCCACCACCATTTCGATTCGTCGACGTCGACATGCATCGTCGGCCGAAAATTGTACGTGATATTTTCCTCATCAACAAGTTTGTGGTCAAACCACGAACCTCTCTCACGATGGACCGTCGATTTAGTGGTCATTTCGCCAGATTCGGTGCATAATGTTCATGCAGAGCGTTTCCGAGCCAGCTGGCTCGCTGGCACTGAACGCGCTAAATCCATATGGTCTGCATCTCCGGAATATCATGGTCAAGCCTGGGTATATACCTCGTTATTGTTACCTTTGGAGAGGAGATAGTGTGCTGCTACGAGTAAGTGCCATGAGGGGCCTTTTGTTTCACATGCGTCCAATTCTAGCAATACCAATCACAGAATCCCCAGGGTTTGCTATCACAGCACCAATTAGCGAAACCCTTGGGGCATCCCCCTGTAACACAAATTATCGAAAGCCTTCGATTCTGGGGTAGACGATCGATGGCGAATCGCCATAGACCTACCAACCCTGCACAAAGTCTATTGCCTCTGCCGTCCTGGAAGATCTCACAAGCGATCGAGCCGAGTGTGCTCCCTGTAAGTCCTTTCTGGTAGCGGGATCTCGTCTGGAGCATGGAAGTCATATATTTTGGCCCATCCATTTACACAAATTATTGAATTTAGGTACCTGCTAACGTAGAGAGATGAACAGTGAACATCCAGACTCGATGCACACATTCGACCATTCCAGCTCCAAGCTAAGCGAAAGAGTGGGCGGATTTATTTTCCGACACGAATCAGCCTTGGCCAACACAAACGACATACCTGTTAGCTCTGAAAGTTTGAGCGTCCCGGTGGCTGCATTAAATTAGATACGCAGAGTGGTACCTAGAATGCCGTTCCGGGCCAGGCCAGAGCTCCGGTCGGTCCGACAATGTGGTGGAGTCTGCTAAGCTAATTTTCGTCGACTAGGTTTGGGTGACTAACTGGACAAGGAAGCCGCTATAGTTATTGCCACAGAAGGTCATATTTCGGATGACCTGAACGAGGTTCAGTACGGAGTATGACTATCATCTATCGTCTCTGCTCCGATCAGTCTAACCGATATTCGACTCCCGACAGCTCAACACCTTGGGGCAAATGCATCTCAAGGTTACCCTGGTTGTGGCTTTTCCTGCGCAACAAAGCTCTACTGGTTTTGTACGGAATAATCACATTACTGCAGCAAAAAGATTCATGCCCATCTCCCACCCTAGAATCGGGTTTTTGAGACTGCATGTGAGCAAGATGAATAAATCGATCCCCGTCCTGGTCGAAACTCCCCACAAGCCACATCCGAGATAGTTGATTTTAGTTGAACAGATCTCCAAACGGGTTTCCATTCCCAGCCTAATCTCCTCCATTCATCGAACTTCTACCATATCGGCCTCTAGTTACCAACAGGAGTGCGTTAGGCCCGGCGCAACCGTCCCGAATGGATTGACCACGCTTGAACGCCGGCTGGCCAAAATAGTCACGCATCAACCATCATTCCCGACTTCATTTCCACCCTCAACGCGTGGTAAATTGACGCGCCATTTTTGTCTTCAGCAAAGACCATCCCGCGCTCCTTGAAACTGGCAGGTCTTGTGTTTGCCTGAATTGTCCCGATAGAAGTGGCAGGTCCTTCAGAACGGGACAGTGGCAGACATAAGGTCAGACGCAGGCACAAACCATTCACGGACCCGCTCCGTCGACCTAAAGCTCGTCCTGCAGGGCCAGATGCTCCACATCTGAAGCTGGCTGAAGACTGAATGGCTGTAAATGGCAAGGTGTGCATGCTTGCATCGGTGGCTGTTGGGGCATCCTCGCAGTCTGGTGGGCACAACGCCACTCTTATGCTCGAACAAGAGCCCACTCGCTCAATTCAGATTTCTGGCGCATTGAAAGTGGTAGGGTGGACAAGCTAAGAGCCCTCGCTTTTCTTCAGAGCCTTTAGTACGGACATATTACTCCGCCTTTTCGCATACAACCATCATGTTGCTGGGACAGGTAGATTCCGCCTGCCATATGGTATACCGAATTTGTCGATGTCATACACCCTTCTCGGCACTGCCTTGTGTCTCGACTTCTGAGTGACATATTTCAACTGGACCCATTCGTGCTTGGACTCCCATTTTGTCTTTGTTTTGTGTTTCGGAAAGTCTTTCGCGGTGTCAAGTGAACTGTCAGCCTCCCCGAGCTCCCTGTGCCTGCAGTTCTCCTGCAGCTGGACAATGCGTTCCTCCACAGACCACATTTGATTGGCAACCGCTGGACTTGACGAAGCACCAACCCAGTTGGGTCGTGCAGTACTTCTTCATTCTCGCAGGATATCTATCCCAGCATCTCTGCCCTTGTTCGAATATTCCTTGCTTCTATCACATCACTTGCATACTACTTGCATCAATCCTTTCCTACACTATGGAGCACTATACTCAATCGGCCACAAGGCCTTACGCCTCTCAGCCAACCCCGGTCAGCTCTCAATCTCGGCTTGATATCACCAATCCAGAGCAGCAATTGCCTTCCATTCGAGACGTAAGTACAGGGCTCATCGCAAACAATCGAGTCTACTAACATAGATTCCTAGGTCATCCCGCCGCCACGTACAAACATGATTGAAACTAGCATGAGTGAGCTTTCATCCGGCACACGCCCAATGATGATTCCATACTTGAGCTCTCAACATTCAACAAGTATGAATATATCATCGATACCAGCTCCTGTGCAGCCTCAGTCCAGTCCTATGGGATATACCACGGACGGCACCAACCAGATGCAGATCAGTGGGCTTGCCGCTTCTGGTCATCTGCACACCCCTGCGAGAACTCCTGCAGAATACAGCTCTCCATGGTCAACCTCATCGTCCTACACAGATGCTGGCATGTCTATGAGCGCACAGTCTACTCTCCCCTCCCAAGCGCAGCAATTTGGCCTGTCTCAGTCAATTCTTCCATCAGACTCCCAAGAGAGCGTCTTCACTTCGTCCTATTCAATGGGCAGGCAAGCGGAAAGTCCAGTCAGCGATACGTACCCAAGATGGAGAACGCCCCAGCTCAGTTCGACGCCAAGGTATAATCCATATGTTATGTCAGAGAGATCTTACAACCAAACTATGGACTTCAGCCGATACGGACAGCCTTATGACCAGTATCGAGGCCCAATAGCATATGACAATGGTTACAGATCAATGGATACATCACCATCATATATGAAGTACAATCAGTTAATGTCCTACCCTATGATGGGATACCCATCCCATGCAAATGGTCGACGACGGAGAGGGAACCTGCCGAAACAAATCACCGATGTGCTCCGTATCTGGCTTCAAGACCATCTGGATCATCCATACCCGAGTGACGAGCAGAAACAAATTTTTATCCAGCGTACTGGATTAACTATCAGTCAGGTACGCTTTCAATTATATCCAACATTTGTTTTAACATCCACTAACTTTATCATGCACAGATCAGCAACTGGTTTATCAACGCTCGTCGTCGACAGCTCCCAGCAATGAAACAGAAGAGAGCTAAAGCCTTACAAAGCCGATCATGAGATTTGAACCCATCTGTCTTTCTCATTTGCAAATTTCCATCGTTGGGGCAATGATTACAGGATCAAAGATATGACGACAGGACGGCTTTACGAAGGATGCTTATTTTACTCACGCTCATCATGTTCAGATACCTTGCTACTGGGCCACAGAACGCTCATGGTCAAAAAACTCGGCGCCGATTGGGCTTCGAGGCGAAAAAGCCTGACTCTTCCATATCTCTTGGCATGGGAAGGAAGGATCAATGGCATAGAGGGGGGACATTGAATTTTCTGACCACTTTTGCAATTTTTTCTTTGCCACAATGAAGACCAACAGTATCAGTATCGCTAAATACAGAGCCGCCAAGCCAAATCCAGAAACAGCCATAAGAAAATCTGGGGCTACCTGATTGTATAACACTACCTAGGTGACTAGCACTTAGATGCATATTAAATTTACATAGGATTTACACCATTCAACAAACCTGTTCATCTTCCGTTGAGTCCGAACGTACATGCATTTCCGCTTGCAGCAAAGGCATATTCCAACCGATTAGAGTCAGCCAACAGAAGCGCTGAAGAAACTTCGATTTTACCTACTCCTGGTCATGTTGATAGAACACTAAAACTCGTCAGCACCTAGTCAGTTGTGCTTGGATGGCGTATCACCATCCGGGTAAAGTCATTGGCCGCGAAAGGAGGGACAGTTGGGAACCAGGATCCACATTACTACAGCTCGCTTATCGTTGACTGGGGTCTAGAGACAGGCAGGGGGGCAAGATCTGGCGAGAGCGTGGGCTCAGGTGTCCGAATTCGAACATTGGATTGAAATTGGTCAACCCGTTTTCGTGTGACCCTCCACCTTAACAATATGGCTTGGTCTTAGAACTAAAGAAAACTTAAGCTTCCCCACCGGTAATGACGGTGCCCACGGGCTGCGCCAGGTAGCCGACTTTGCCGTTCAGCCAAGTCCACTTGGTCTCAAACTCTGCGAATACGACGACTGAACAACAAGCTGTCCTGTACGATAGTTTGACTGATCCACGGATCAATTGCTGAGGGTGTGAGGAGATCCAAAAACCAGTTTTCCTCGTGTCCGGGATTGAGAAAGGTCTTTTGGAGTGGTGACCTCAGCCAAGCTCGACTCAGGTGCATCACAACCTGGCTCAATCTTGCCGTCTCGTGTTTTTAGTGCGTGAAACTCGATCTGGCAGCGGCACAGGAGTGAAAAATGTCCTCAAGTTGAAGCATGTGGTGTCTGTTGCCGGTACGAAACCCCTCCTGTACCTTGCCACCGTATGATCGTTGCAGTGATGCCAGCACGAGCATATCGAGGGGTATTAAGAATCAACAGGGTCATTGCCATATTCGTCTTTGACTTGAAGCTTGACAGCAACAGAATGTGGAGAAAGATGCCGCCACACAGAATACCCCGTTCAGGTCTCAAGAGTACGAAGAGGGCCCTACGAGGCAATGAACCGCTAGACAGAACTTGCCGTCTTGACCTGAAGACGGTGGGCTCACGCAACTGTCAACTGCCACCAGCTTAGCGAAAAGTATAAGAGCCGAACTGGCCAGGTCCATTAGACTTGTTGGACGTATGTCATGTCAACCCCTGTCTCATTCTCCCCCATTCTGACATACTTTGGTCAAGATTCTGCAAGCTACACCCTTGGTGTCGCCTCTCTGGAGACGGCGAACATCTGCTAAGCCCAAAGATGGAAATGAATGTCCGCAGTCTGGACTCGCGTACCTGTTCATTGTTAAGTGTTTGCAGTATGCATTCAATTGTGGATTACGGTTGTTCCTGCGCCTTTGAAGGCTGCATGCACTAATACGGGGAAACTGCGAGCCTACTCTAGCTCTGAAAATATCAACTATTGATGATGCGGCAGTGACATATCTTTTGGGTGGGATTCTGATCCTCGGAGCAGCCCGCTCCTGTGATCACCGAAACCGCAAGACAACTTTCAGGATCGTTGGTCTTGGTGTTTGAGCACCAACATGACAGTCAGGAGAGTCATGTCTAGGTCATGCCATTTTCAACGGTTTGGAATTCCACACCACCACCAGTATCACTGTCGCGCCCATCACTCCAACCTTTGACAACACGCCGGCCTGTGCTTGGCCAGCCTCCTGTCCAACACTGCGGTTCAAGATTGCAACCAGAAGCACTGTTCACCACATGCCCACATCTTGTCGGGGACGTACGGCTTCAGTGTCAAGAATACTAGAACGTGGCAAAGGCAGGTTTGGCTACGCAAGAGGAGCGTCACGTCGGGTATTCGTGGCTGGGATCGAACTAAACAGGTTTTCTCGCTTTGATGGAAATGATTTCGATATGAATCTTCTCGAGATTAAGGAGCGCGTTTTTCCTGCACGGCAATCTTGTTCATCAGTAAATGTGGGTGGTACTTCTGAATGTTTCTCAAACCGCAATCTACACCGTGAAGCCGAAGAGCATAGTACATCAGCTGAACGGATATGGTCATGAAACGATTATCGATAACTCATGATCTCTCCATTGCTCGTGCACTTAGCCATGACATCGAACCAGAGCACAACTCGACAAGCGTTTCTGATTGACTTGGCCGATGTTGACTTCAGGTGGCGATAACGTGAGATTCGAAAAAGTACGCGTGTTTCTTTCACGGTCAGATCACGATCATCCGTCCAGACAGGGTCTCTGCGTCTTTCACCTCTCGTTCACTTCTCTATCACTTTTCCCCAGCTGTGCGTAGATCGAAGGTGCTCTCTTCTCTGTCTACTTCCCATCAGTTTTTTTGAGTTGATGGACAAGTGTTTGACTTGAATGTCTTCTCGGGAACAGACAGTACTCATGATAACGTCTCCGTGATACGAAAACCACGTTCTCTGTCAATAGGCAAATCAGTGGGTATTGTCTCTCAGCATGACAATTTGATCATATATCAAGCAGTCTCTTTGGCAGCATTCTCGTGACTTTTGATGGTCAATGGCCCTGGGCTCAGGATATCAAGAGACATGCCCAAAATCAACTACTACTCGTTTGAACCTCCATGTAGATCATAACTTGAGGACGATTTTTCATACATACTGAATAGACAAATTCTTTGCACTCTAATCGCTCTGTTTGAGATTGGTTACAAAATTGAGGCTGCTAAGGCCGTTATGCCGTGAAAAAGTATCCCAAAGCATACTTTTCATCCAATCTCCGTGGCAACCCTGAAACTGAAATGCTCGAAATAGTGCAATAGCAAGCAAGGCAACGTCTAGCTATGGGTTGCCTCCGCGACTCAATTTGCTGCCTGGCTACGATGTGTCCCTTCATCGCTCGATGCAGTGCACAAGGCTTGCATTTTCGGCGAGATGTCCGGACATGGCTGCTCATGCTTTTCTTGTCACTCCTTCTCTCTCCATCGCTCGTGGGGATGTACGTCAACAACCTCATGGCTGAATTGCAGACTGGGTGGTCATTGCCACCTAGATGAATGATTTTCCGTTGCAAATCAGTGACACCAATGGATAGGGTTTGCATTGTTCACAGAGCACTGACTACATATGCACGTGCATGTCACTCAATTCAAGTTTGCAGCGCTCCTGATCTTCGTTTCTCTCCTGGAAGTACCCTTGAATCATCATCCCGTCCCCAGACTTTCCCCTCATCGAAAAAGAGTACTCTTCTGTGTCTGTCGATTGAGTTTCGCTGCTGATCATCGAACGTAATGCCGCCGAGCAGGGATGGGTGCATGAAAACAAAATCAGATCAATGAGAAGGCTATTTACACACTTCTGCGGCTCGGCGGAATATGGTTAGATTTAAACTCCCGCGGGCGATCAGAAACTACTTGGCTCTACCAATGAGCGAGCATAATCCCGAATAGTCCATCTGAGTAGATCCAACTTCCATTTTGGTCTTTTAGAATCTGTCCTGCTGTCTCGCCTTTTCTTGCAGCAGCTGTCTCAGGCAAGGCTTAGTGTTGGCCAAGAATCCGTGTCCCTAGTTTGTATGTAGATGATGGTCATAGTGAGTCACTCCTACCATTCGGACCGCACGTCCCGATCAGTAGTTAGAGCATAAACTGGGAAATACCCATCCCGTTAATAGCGGCTGCTACGCCGAGAATGCCATTGCAAATATATGGGACTGGCGACCGCCTTGCGAGCAAACGTTTTAGTATAGGTATCTACTAGGTCGACGGTAGTAGTTCTCGGTGATTAACGTACCGAACAGCGTTACTTCGTGTAGAGTGAGTGACTCACAGTCATTAAAGCTATTAAAGTCTACGACTCTTAGGCTTACGAAACCCACGGTGCGGGATCTTGAAAGGAAGAGTCTGCGCTATAGCCAGGGCTAAGATTCTGAATTGTCAGATCGTTAGTTTCGTCACACGGACAAAAGGCATTGTCGTCTTCGAATCATCCCTTAGTACTTGCGTTAACACGATTTAGTCTTTTCAAAGGCCCTAGATGATGTATATGTAGAAGTAATGAAAAGGAAAGTTTTAATGACATCACCACATTATTTCACCTTCTGCTTCTTACGAGGGCAACTCAACATGAAAAGTTGATCTCTGGGGCCATTCAATCAAAACAATCGTCGAATATTGCGAAGCTCTCTTCCGAAGTGCACCATAGTCCAGCGAACATCGCGCTTCGGAGAAAGCTGAGTCGGCTTGAGTCACCATTGACGGATGTGAAACCAAAATAAGGAGAACTCAGCCTTGTGGCTCGACGCGTCCCCTGAGCGATTGCTCTACTTGGCAGTTCTGTAAATTAACAGACGGTCTACCATAAGCACTTGCTAGGCCACTTCCAACTATTTACGCTTTCCGAAAATTGTTTCGCACAAAATCTGAGGTTTGTGCTCTTCCAACTTTTTGTGGCAAGACTGACAATTTGACCTCCTAAGGCCGCCGGGCTAGTTGAGCAAGTTCTCCTCCCCCACAGACTTATTAGGCCACTCATTGTTGACACTTGTTGGCTATTTAGGTAAATGTTGCGGACGCTCCTAGTGATTGACTCGGAGACATTGCCTTATTTCGCACTAGGAACCGCCACACTCGAGATCAAGGTTGGTGTGAGATGAAGTAGGCACCCCGGACCGCTTCCCAATTTAATACAACTTGGCCTTAGGAACGAGCCTTCAAGATATGAGTATCACTATCTAGATGGACGATTGGTCCAGATTTAAAAGGCCTCGGAGTTGAGTGAGTTGCCTAGGACGCCTAAACACTGCCCAGGGCTCTAGGTCGGGTGCCTGATAACTGCGGCCAGCGTCAATCGGGGCTCTCTTACCGATTCTGTAGTATCGCTAACCAGTCGCCTCAGTTACGCGAATGTCTTTGGCCTCCATGGGGAACATTGCTTGACCACTTACTCAGTAGTCCAAGCTATCCCTACAATCAACCCCATTTCAGGAGACAGAGGACAGCTGAAGATGCTGATGATAGAATACTAGTCCTATCAGGCCCAACCGTCGCGCTAGAAACGCCGAGATGAGATCTGCAATACGAAAGAAGAAAATGATACAATTTTTTCAAGCTATGAATGTATGATTATGCAGAGAATTCCGGTGAGCATTATTTGGCACTTCTCGCGCTGTGAGATTGAAATGGACCGTCATTTACTCTTCATGAGAACACAACATTCCTCCTGAATTTGGTCATGTAATATGAGCTGAAAAGACTGGTCAATAGCACCAACGCAGTGGCCATTGCTAAAGTACAAAGATGAACCCAGCATATCTAGGTGCCTATCTAATTACAGTGCTTCATGAAACCCCAGCAGAAAGTAGCTATGGTAGCCTTCATCCACGGAACTGGCAAACTACCAGGAAAGCCTGGGTCATCGGTATTCTGGTGTTCCTGGAGTATTTCGTTACTATTATCGCTACGACCGGATCTGCAGCTGTCCACTATGCCCACACAGACTTTCCCGAAGAGAGCAACAAGGCAATGATAGCCTCATTCGTTTCGACATATTCGTTCGGCCAGGCCATTGGGAGCATACTCCTTCCACAATTCACCGAACCATTTGGTCGTCGGCAATTCTATCTCTGGTCAACTGGTGCTTTCAGCGTGACATGTGTCATAACAGGTGTTACACCATCACTTGTGGGTGTTGCTTTTGGACGCTTCCTCGGGGGTTTCGCCTCAGCAGTGCCCGCTGTGGTTGTTGCTGGTTCAGTAGAAGACTTGTTCGACGAGCAAAGCAGGATCTGGCTAATATGGCTGTGGAATTGCCTTACCGTAGCTGGACAAGTGCTTGGACCAGTCTATAGTACATATATCGCTGCAAGGCTTGGCTGGTAAGTTTTGGTCTCTATTTTTACTACTGTCTCCTTTTCTAACAGCAACAGGTCCTGGGTATACTATCTCGCAGCCATTGTCACAGCAGCACTGCTGCCACTCGTCGCCTTGACCCCGGAGACTCGCCACTTCAAAGTCCTCGCCAGTCACAGACCAACACACTCTAAGTCCAATGCAAAAGATAGAGCTGCAAAAGGTCCAGACGCTCATCTGTCTCTCCGTGATATCCTCTGGCGACCGACAGTGTTACTATTCACCGAACCCCTGGTGTTCGTCGCCACAGCACTGAGCTCGTTCTCTATGGGGTTAATATATCTGTTCACAGAAGCACTGAGCACAGTATACACGTCTCCAGGATTCGACTTCCCGTACGAAAAAGCATCCTTGCCTTTCCTAGCCATGTTGATAGGTATATCCTTCAGTATCTTTACACGTATGTACGATATGTATCGCTACAAAAGACACAGCAAGATGAAAAAGGGTACCGCCGAGCTAAAGTTGGCAGGCTGCCTGTTAGGTGCTCCAGCACTAGCGATCGGCCTGTGGATATTCTCATGGACGATTCCTCCTGCAGCCCCTCACACCTCGCCTATCGTTAGCATGATCGGACTCACGCTCATCGGTTTCGCGGCCACGGAGATCGCATATTGCCTACAAGGGTATCTGACTGACGCATACACAGCTTATGCGTCATCTGCGCTGTCCGGATTAGCGGCGATGAGGGCATTGGTGTCTGGCATAATGCCGCTGGTTGCAGGAAACATATTCGAAACACTGGGGAACAACAAAGGTGGCAGCATCCTTGCAACGCTCGCAACCGTGTTTGCAATTGGGCCGATAGCTTTCTACTTCGTAGGTGAAAAGCTTAGAGCTAGAAGTCCCTTTGCCAGGTCTAGTGTCATTGTCGATGTTGTCTCAAGGCCTAACACATCCAGACGTCCTACTGTTCGTTCAGTATAGCTGCCCAAAAAAGAAAAGAAAAGTTTGAGTCTACCTATTTCCTCTCTTTCTGTCTCCTCTAGTCCTGTTCGATACCCAAATAAGCAGGCAAGACCGGATTACCTCCTGTGTGCACAAATAAAATATTTCCGTATAATTCGCCTGTGCGAATGCCTTCGACAGCTGCAGTCATCGCTTTCCCAGTATATACTGGATCCAGCAACATGGCCTCCGTCCTCGCCACCGTCTTGATCGTTTGCCGCGTGAGATCATCATATATTCCGTAACCGCCAGCTGTCCACCGGCCATCGACCACAACATGTTCGACTCGAACGTCTTCTTTCCTCAATCCAATCAATAACGCCGTATCTTTAGCAATATCAAGGACGATCTCTCTCTGACCCTTTGGATCTTTAGCAAAAGTCTCGACCCCGATGACCTGCCGCCGCCTCTGAGGGTTGACATAGCCATCTCTCTCTGCTAGACGCAATCCAGCTACCATTCCTGCAAGCGTGCCGCCCGTCGCACACGCGACAATGATTGTATCAAATATCCCCGAACCCTGAAGCACACCACCCGCTCGCAGCGCAGATTCTTTCTCAAGCATATCGAACACCCATTTTGCATATCCAATACCAGCACCAGGATTCCCGCTCGCGCCTTGTGAGAGAAAATATGCGCCGTCTGCATCCTCCTCGCTCAAACCGTGCGATAATCTCGACCATTCCCTCCCTTCCACTTCCGCGCTATGCCGCACCCCATCTCCGGAGGAAGGGCCGAGGATCCTGACATCCGCACCAAGCAACCGTTCAAGCTGCACGTTTCCCACGGCATTGTAGAGTTCGGTGTTTTGATGCTGTGGATCGACTTCCTGCGTCAGCGCCACAATGCATTTGAGGCCCAGCTTCGCCGCCACGGCTGCTGCCTGACGACAGCAGTTCGACTGGACGCCGCCGACAGTGACGAGGGTCTTGAGGTTCGGGCTTCTCAATGCATGAGGGAGTACGTAGGATAGTTTGCGCAGCTTGTTGCCGGCGGGCGAGATTGCAGAATTGATGTCCTCTCTGTATACATAGATCATTGTTTCTCTGTGATTATTTACATTGTCGGTCTGCTGCTTCTGTGGCACAGGGGAAGGCTGCACATGGCTTGTCGCACTACCGAGGACTGCTCGGGTTAGCGACGCACATCGCTGAACTGGTGGGGAATGTGGCAGCAATACATCAACGGATGGCAGCCTCGAGAAAACCTCGGGAATAGGCCGCCGCGTGCTGTATCGTTTCAACACAGTTCTGCTGGGTATGGTGCGAAAGGATAGCTGCCTCCTGCATATCGTGCTTGGACAAACTCGAATCATGTTCTCTTGTCTGTCCAAGGTCCCAAGAACACGAGCATGGCATCCGGAACTGGATAAAATATCTCTGACCAAAATGTAGTTGACATTAATCACCAAATCGATAGTCTTTAATCCGCAACCGAGGTGTCTGAGACTGGCATGGACATATGGCATACGGAGTACGAGCAAAAAGTACAACAGCATAGGACAAGGGTGAATTGTGGACTATCGTTGTTACCCATGGCCCCCATCTTACAAGTACACATGCACCCGACGATGCTGTCAGCCCTATGCATGCACAGTACGATGTGCAACTGTCCCATCCGATGCTGATCATACGCATGGATGAGAAGAGATTGGGGCCAAAACTCTGGACTTGAGGCCTCAGGCCGACAAGGCCGCCCTTTCAGACCATACTCGCCATGCTATGGGCCTTTGGTTGCCACCAAGGAAATGCACAACTGGTGGCCTAGTCATATGTAAGATGGGTGGATTGGCCGATGAATTGAGACCATTATTCGGCTACTGGGCAACGTCCAGAAATAATTCGATTCCGTAAATCGTTCGGTGATACATGTATTTTCATAATGTGTCACTCAATTATCCTAGACAAAAGTCATTGTTGGCATCCAACGTACGATAAGCATTAATCTATCTCCCCAAGACTGTTCAAGAGCCATTCCGGCTCGGCATCTTCCTCATCAGGATCATGTGAGAGCAGTGAGTTCTCAGACCGCAAGCTGGAACTGGAATGTGGAGATTTAGGTGCTTTTGGGTGTGATTCATTCTCATCTCTAGTAGTTTGCGGAGGTGATGTTTCTGTGGGCGGCTGATCGGTTGGCACGTCTTGGGGGGTTGTCATGACTATCACTTCACCTGCTGTGAGAGTATTGATGTCTGGATTGCCCTTGGAAGCAGTATTGTTCATGAGCGTCGCAACGTTCCCAGCTGAAGGCTCCAGAATCCCTTCGACGCCGCCAGGGTCGGGATCTGGGATGAAACCGCCAGCAGTATATTGCAAGTCATCATCGCGAAACGTGGTAGTATGCTTTGCCTGGTTGGGGGGGGATTCGTTGGCCGCATCTTCCGCATCTGGGAGGAAGCCTCCGCCCTCAACACTACCTTCATCGTCGGGAATGAACCCTCCGCCAGGATTTGTTTCATTGGGCTCAACCTCCGACGTACCATCGACACCATGTTCGACTTGTGGTCCAGTGCTTTTGGCTGGAGGCATTTGTTGTTCATCATTGTTAAATAGATCTTCCATCTCGTCATCTGCTTTATCGCTAACCTTGGTAGTAGGGAGGCTGTTCGGAGACCTCACGATTATGATAGCTTGGTGGATGACTTCTGGTGGCAGCAGTTGTCCCATAGGCTTGAGATTCGAGAATCCACGTGGGGCAGCCTCACCGATGTCAGATGGGATCTCATCAGGATCTTCGGGAATGAAACCGCCGTCAGCTTCTCCGTCTTCTTGGTAGCTCGCATCGTTGTTCTCATCGTTGTCGGACACATCATTGGATTTGCGATCATCTTGGTCACCACCATATTCCCGCTGCACCCTCTCACGCACCCTCAAGGCAGTGAGCCAACTCCTCCACATTCCAAGGATAATCCCACTTCTTTGGGCCTCGACTTCCTCACTAGCCTGAAGCTCGAGACCTTCAATGACGTTTGCCAGAGCATTGCACATGCTGATCTCGACAACGACTCCATCAACGACTGCTGTGCCTTGACGTCCCTTAAACTCAAAGCCGGTGACTGCACTGACGAATTCGATACCTAGAACCTTTGCAGCTTGGGCAGCTAGTGGGTGACGGATGTGAGCCGCCCCTGCTGGAATCATAGAGGGAACATAGATATCCAAGTTTCCAAATGCATTTTTCGGGATTTGCCCCTCTGCCACTGGAGGCGGTTCGTAGACACTCGTCTGATATTCGGCGTAGAGAGCCTTGCCTTCATCCGCATCGTCATCGTCATCCTCGAATTCGCCGGCAACTTGAGCCACTGCCTCGATTTTGCGTTTCGGGACAAATCGCTTCAAAGGCTGCTCACCTTCTTTCACATCTCTACCACGGCGGTACCACGCGTCCGCTGTGCGACACAGATGAACATCTCTCCGCCGATAGACACTTTCAAGTTTTGCATTCTTACTCACCCCAGCAGCAACTTTGCCGACTTCATGTTTCGGCTGAATGACCTCATTCATCCGGAGATGTCGCTCAAGCACATAGACTGGATGGCCCTTGAAGTCCTGTACACTGCGCGGCATGGCTTCTGTCTCTGCCCTCCTCACGAGATCTGCATCCTCGATCTCGTCTCGCAACTCCGTGAAAGCCTTTCGGAAGAACCCAATGGTGCTTTTCCACCACTGCTCTCCACCTTTCGTGCTTTCCACCCGCTGTTTGCGGGTCTTCGCGTTGAACCACTGCGTGTAGCGTCTTGTGACGTCTTTAGCAGCTCCGTCGTCTTCAAATGCTAGCACATAGGTCATGCTGTTCAGCTGGTCCGCAGCAGGAGGCTCAAATCCAGTCTTTGGTTTGTTGATCGTGTTGCGAACCAGTGGGTCCAGAGGCATCCATATCGCCGTTGCTGGTGAGAACACTTCCACCCAAAACACAGGAAACGGAGATTCAACAATCCTTTTCCTTGCAGGCTTTGATGTCCGTTCAGACCTAGCAAAGGGCGAAGAGTCATAGTTTTGCGAAGGCGCCTGGTAATACTGCGGTTTGGGGTTTTCCGGAGTCTGACCTTTTGCAACACCAGAGAATGGGAGTACTTGCAGAGAGCAAACCAAGCGAGCATCGACTGCAACAGATCTCAGCAAAGCACAGAACAACTGCGCACCTAGATCTCGAGATCCACTGTGCGAGAGAGCAGCGGTTTTGAAATCATCAAAATCAATGAGATCCTCCGCATCTTCACTTTCCTTCAGCGCATCGACCTCGTTCTTCCAATGCGCCCTTCGCATCCCTCTCGCTGATACTGTCCAGGTCGTTCTCCAAAGCAGACATATTTCCTCGATACCTTTGGTGAACGAATGCGATCGTTGATACTGGGGTTTAGACTCGTCAACGTGGAACAACGATACCAATTTCCGCGGCACCAGCGGCTTCAAAATGTCATGTATGGCTCTACTCTCGCACCAGCGATTGCGGCTGCTTAGGTGCGCGAGGAGACATATCAGATGTGCTTTGTGGACCTCAAGACGCTTTTTGCGCTCAGCAGGTCCGACTGGTTTTCGACGTTGGATGGTTTGCCTGCCGTGGTCGGAGGATGTTGAAAGATCAAGCCGTAGAGTCTTTTGCTCGGGTTTTTGATCCGCCCCAGCGAGGTTGTCAGTTGGTTCTAATTCGACATCCTCGAATTCAATGTCCGACTCATCATCCGATCCTTCAAAATCATCGTAGATAACTTGCTGTAAAGGTAGTCCCGCGTCCCCAGAATCCTGGATCTGACCACTCTCAACATCGGCTTGAGACGGCCCAAACAGGTCGAAGTCGAGTTGAATATCACCGGCTGATTCCTCACTGATTTTGCGACGCTTCGGCGCCCTCTTGTCCAACTTCTCATCATTTCTTTCATCTGCGACAGCCTCGGCGACCATATCACCGTAGACATCGGGAATTCCATGGTCGACAGCCCCACTCCGCCGCCCGGAGCGACGCGTTCGTTGAACTGGAACCCTTGCTGATCGGGACTTCCTTGGTGGCATTTGGATGAGATTGATCCACTCTCATCTAGATAGCCAGTGCCACTTCATTCAGCTCAGGTTATTGCGAATCACCATATGCAAAATCATGTCTGTTCACAAAGTTGGGGAATGATGCTGTTGCTTCCTTCCAGAATGACGCTAGCGCAAGGCAACAGTTTCATGCCAAGAATTGGTTCGGAATGATCTGGTGCACGTGACATCTACTTGACGACAAGAGGGGGACCCAGGGGCAACCCCACAGATCTCGGGGTGGGCTTTCGTGGGTTTCTTAAGCCACAGCAGTATGCTTATAATTTCAAGAATACGCATAACCACGTTAACTGAGGGGTATTGTAAAGGGGACTAGACTCTATGGCGGGCGGACCGGCTCTTGCTGAAAAGGGAGTGCCATGGCCGTGAAACTGACGCTGAACAAAGAAATAGATAATGACAGCGGTGCAAGATGCCCGTCCGATCCTGAGGCACAGGAATGCATCTCTACCATAGAACATGTGACAATGAAAGGGCTCCAGAGGATCACTAGCCAAACACAACAACCCAAGAGTCCATAAAAGTCCGCCTTCCTCAGACATCTTGCTCAAAAACTGTCGCACAATTAGAAAGAACAATCACCTGCGCCATAATCAGGACTCTTCAGATTCGACCTCAACAGTCGTCGGGGTCTCTGTCTGATCATCCACCTTGCTCAGCGTGCGTGCCATTCTCTGATGTTCGACAAGGAAATCTTCACTGATCTCATCCAGCTGTCTGATCTGTTCTTGGATCCCAGCTAGCTGTCCTGCAACATTGTGTTTGCTGGGTTTCTCCTCCGTCTGCTTGGCCTCACTGGGGGCTTCAACTAGTGCATCCGGATCTGCTGCGCCACCTCTCAGACCCGTGGGTGGGCTTGCAGGCGTCTCGGCAGTCGAGGCTGGTGCATCATCAGGGGTTGCCCATCTGCTGGATGCAAGGCCTTTGTTCTCGGCAGTGGGTGACAAAGGGTTCATGGATTTCCTCTTGGGACTTCTGCTTCTCCGGCGTGGGATTGGACTAGCCAAGGTCGTAGCGGCACTTTGCTGCTTCAGCTGTTGAATTTCCTGTTGTGCACTCGCGGCAAGGCCGCGCTGTGTATCAACTTCAAGCAGGGCACCTTCAAGATCGGCTTGTAATGCAGAAATGGTCTTTTGAGCATCTTGAAGACGAGTATTGGCAGCATCTAACTCAGCAGGATCAGATCTCGCTTTGGAAGAGTCCTGGCTTTCCTTCAGCTCTATCAAGAGCTTCTCGTATTTTGTATCATATTCCGCCTTCGTCTCACGTGCAACCAGTTCATTCTCGTCATGGAGCTTTTCCAAAGCTTTCTGAGCTTCAATATATTTCGAATTCAGCTCCTCGAAGTCTGCTGGATCTTTCCGTTGCTCGGCAGATTTTTGAGCAGCTACGAGATCCTCTCTCGCTGAGTTCAGAGCAGATTCGTGCTTCGCATACGCTGCCACCATCGCCTCAGTATGATTTGTCTGCATCGTCTGGATCTTTTCAAGAGCTTCAGCAAGCTGTGCTTTCGAAGCATCAAGATCAGAAGTATCTTTTAGAGCGGTAGCAGCACTGTGGGCCTCCTGCAACTCTGTTTCCAGCTTTGTGAGCGCGGTCTGGTGTTGCGTCTCGATCTCCTGAAGAGTACTTTCATGCTCAGTGGTCAAAGTAGCGAGGCGGGCACTAGCGGCCGCTTTGTCCTCTTCCAACTGATCAACTTGTGATTTCCATTGACTTTCGAGTGTCTTCATAATCTGGTCCATATGCTCGTCATGTTCCTCCTTGGCCTTCCATTGGAGTTCCGCAATTTGCGCTTGTGTTGAGGTCTGGGCAGCTTCAAGAGAAGCGGCATGCTCAGCCTGGAGCTTAGCAAGCGCTTCTTTGTGTTCTGCTTCGAGTGTTGCTCGAAGCTCATTTAGATGCTTCTCGTGCTCAAATTTTGTCTTTTCGATATCCTCTTGCGACTTCGATTCAAGTGTTGATTTGACATTTGCAAGAGCTTCATCATGCTGCATCTGGAGGTCCATGGCACGAGAGGAGTGGTCGGCAAGTTTCCTCACAGCAAGAGACAATTCTTCTTGAAGTTTCTCTATGGCTTCATCATGTTCCCGGTCTTTATCCTTGCCCTCTTCTTCAACAGACTGAAAAATTCCCTTTAAGTTTTGAAATTGAAACTGTGTATTCTCGAGATCGGCCTTGAGACTCTTCGCTTGGGATTCTAGGACTTTTTTCTCTTGGGCAAGACTAGCACTTAGACCCTCAAGTGCTTCGTCCCGAGCTAGTTGATTGCTTTGCTGGATACTTTCCAGCTCATTTGCATGCTTAGTCTTCAATGACTCAATTTCTGCAGCAAATCTCGAGTTAGCATCCTCCTCCAATAATTGGAGCTGTTGAGTATGGGCTGCAGTTGAGGCCTCAGCTGACTCTTTCGCCGACTTCAATTGTGCTTCAACAGCGGCGATGTTCTTAGCATGAGACGATTTCAGTTCCGCAAGGGCCAGATCATGTTCTTGCAGCATACGCTCCTTTTCTTCCTCGAGCTGCCCGGCGCGGTTGGATTGTTGCGATTCCACAGCATTTACTTGTTGTTGAAGTTCTCGCTCGCGTTGACTGTGTTCGTCTTGCAGGGCTTTGAGCCGATCTTCAGCAGAGTTGAGTTGCTGTTTGAGTTCTTGCTCGCGCTGAACATGGGCTTCCTGTGCCTTTTGCACAGCGTTCTGCTGTTGTTCAGCGGCGTTCAATTGCTGCTCAAGTTCTCGCACACGCTGAATGTGGACTTGTTCCGCCTCTTCTACAGCCTTCTGCTGCGCTTCCGAAGCTTCAGCCTGAACTCGCCGTATAGCCTCAACATTGCCAGCTTCCAAGGTGTCAAGATCTTTCAGTGTTGCTTGCATCTGTACCTCCAATTGCTTAATCTGGGAAGCGTGCAGTTGTTTGGCGGATAAGACCTCCTTTGCTGCAAGCTCTAATTTTTGTTCTAATTCTTGGATCTGGACGGCATGGCCAGTTTTCAGAGTAGCTAGCTCGTCCTGAGCAAAGGCGGTTTGGGACTCGTGAGACTTGCTTAATGATTCATGCTTACTTATGGCATCGGCCACAGCAGCATTTGCTGTGACCAATTGCTCTTTGAGTCCGGCTATGCTTTCTTCAGCAGATGAATTCTCAATAGTGTGCTCCTTGATAAGCAATTCGTGTTTGTTCGTAGCTTCGGTGATCGCAGCTGTCGCGTCATCGAGTTGTGTTCGCAGGGTCGCAAGAGCCTCCTCATGTTGGTTGGCACCCGAGGTGGCGCTTTCATTGGCTCTCAGGAGCTGTCCCTTGAGCTCATCAAGCTGACTGTTATGCGACGATTTCAATGCCTCCATTTCAGCGATAGCAGCAGACAAGTCAGATTGAGCTTTGCGGACAGCTTCTTCCAACTGCGCTTGATGTGATGCGTTGGCTTTCTCTAGCTCGTCTCGCGCAGCATTAAGTTGTTGTTCTACAGCTTCAAGCTTCTCAGAATGGGACTTTTCTGCTGTTGCGAGCAAAGCCGAGGAGGCTTCGGTAGCACTCAATTTTTCTTGCTTCAGAGATTCAATCTCTGACTCAAGTTTCTCAATGACCAAAGCTTGTGCCTCGTGATCATCTTTCTTGAATTGCTGGAACGCCAAAACTTGGCTCTTCAAGGCTTCAATGACCTGCGCCTGGCGCGACACTTCGCCATCGATTTTGGCATGCTCTTCACTTTGCTTCGCGACTTGCGCAGTCTTAGAAGCGACGTCAAGCTCCGCTTTGTCAAGTTTCGATTTCAGCTCGGCCAGCTGTTCTTCATGCTGAGCACTGAGGGTGGATACTTTTGTATCAAAATCCTCTTGCAGTTTTGCGATCTTGGTCTTGGCGTTGTCCTTGGCTGCCAGGTGACGGGATTGTGCTGCCTCAAGTCTACTCTGAGCCTCTGCCAGCTTCTGCTCATGATCGGGGGAGGGACTTGGCGATGCTTCAGCCTCACTAGCTGTCTCGACTTCGAGTGTCTTTGCCTTCAAGTCCAGCTTCAAGGCTTCAATCTCGGCATCCTTCTCTGATTGCGCTTTGAGTGTAGCTGTGTGGAGCTCGGCCAATTCTGTCTCCAGGCGTGAAGTCTCAGATTGCTTGACACTCAACTCACGGGATAGTTGGTCTTTCAGTGCATCAAGCTCCGACTGCTGACGTGCACCCAGGATTTTCAATTCTTTCTGGTGCTCTTCTAGGATTGTTTTGAGCTTCTCTTCCTGCAGCGTCGAGAGTTCTTCCACCTTGCTCGCGTGTTCCGCTCTTATTGCCTCAGTCGCGACTTGCACGCGTGAAGCTTCCTCTTCTGCGCTTTTGCCGAAGTCTTCCAGCTTCTGTTTCCAACTTAGCAATTCCGATTTCAGAGCCTCAATCTCCATCTGCTTGTCTGCCAGGGTTCCTTTGAGATCTTCAGCCTGGGAACTTTCGTTTTCTCCGTTCTGAGTCAAGCCATCGGCAGTCACATCTTCTGGGACTTGGTCGAGCTCCGATTCTGTCGGCAAACGACCGTTTTCTCTTTCGAATTGTCTGACCTTTGCGAGATCCGTCTTCAGCTTGGCGATGGAGGCCGCGGCTTCGTCGTTGATCGATTGTTGTTCTTGGTCGTCCACACCGTCCGAGGCGATGGCTTGTTGTAGCATACTGCTGACGAGTTCAAATTCACGAATTTGTTGCTCAATAAGCACAGACCGCGTTGATTTCCTTGAGCCGAGTGCAGGTCGGGTGGGCAATTTTTTCTCAACGTCTGACTCGAAGTTCTCCTTATTGTCTCCGGACTCCTCAACATCGGATTTGATTGCTGGGGAAGCCGGGATGGTGCTCAATCGCTTCTTGTCACCAATGGTAGCAGCGCCAAGATTTCTCGACGTTGACGAGGTCAGAGGCTTTGTGCGAGGGGTGCTCATAGTGCGTATTATGCTGGGTGTCGAAGGGACTTTCCTAGCACCGGTGGGGCTGGTTGTACTTTGTCTGGCAGTAGAAGGCTGAAGAGTCGTCCGCCGTGCAGTGACAGTTGAGGTCCGTTCGGAAGACGTGCTCGGAGCCAACGACATTCTCTTGGGTCTTGCAGATATTCCATCTTTGCTCTTCTCATCACCCGATGGTTTCTCATCGACCGAGCTTGCCGATTGCCTCTTCTGGTGTGTCGGAACTGTGGTAGAAGGGGTGGTTCGAGCAGCGCGAAGAGTGGTAGTGGTTGCTGGTCTGGCTGGTGGCTTACTAAGAGAACTCGTAGTTGCAGGTCTAGTAGACGGAGTGGTGGCAGTAGGGGTAGTACGACTAGTGGTAGACAGTCTGGGTGCAACTGACTTGGTGAGTGGTCTGGTGGGAAGATGCGCAGACCGTGATTTCAAGGTGGGAGTGTCCTCCGTCGAGGCCGTTCGCGCGGAGGGTTTGTCCATGGCGGAGCAATCCTGCAGCGCACAACAGAGTGCAGAGATGGTAGGAAACTCACAACTAGAAGTATCAGGATAGTTATAGGAATCAAAGGAGAAAAAGAAGTAGGTATGAAGTATAGATTTACATGGAGAGCAAAGAGTGTTGAATGTCTTGAGCAGCCCGAATCCACCGCTGCCAACAGGTCACAGGATTTCAGATTGATCGAATCGACCGATTGGAGACGCTAAGCCATTCCCAGTTAAGCCCATCGCGTGTGACGCGTGATAAGAAAAGGGAAGGAGCAGCGTCAGTAAGAGCCTAGGCCATTAGGTTGCGGGCGGGTAGGCGGCAGGCGCAAAAGCTACCTGGATTTCGGTCATGCTCATAGGCGGCTTAGGCGTCAAAAAAGGATGAACCAGGGGTTTACCAGACACCCGCACTACCCGGAACGCTTGTGCGAGCCCAAGCTTGTGCCTGGTGTGCCCTGTAGATCATAGACCCCATTTCCCAGCAGTGAAACCCTATCTTGATCACTTCATTTCACAGACATGTTGTCCTTTCTAATCTGCTTTGTATCAGCCTCTGACACCCAAGGTCGACATTTACATGTAGTTGTCTTCGGTTAACCTGATCTTGACACGAAGATGATCACCTTGATTCTGCTACGGAGTACTGTATCCTGGAAAATGTCACATACAGCGCGGTCTGGCAATCTCAAGTGTCCTCGGGCGCTGGTTGATATTCCAAGATCATTCTGATAAAACGGCAATGGGCACTGAAACGTGTTTCGATAATTCATGAATTGCATCAGTGTGGAGTACCATCGAAAAACTAAAGCATTCTTTTCTATTGAAACGTAATATTAAATCCAATAGATCCAAATATCCTTGTCTTGAATCCTCATTCTTGTCTCGCAGCTGTTGATCACGCTAATGCACATGTCCCAAAAACAAATGCTGCCAGTCAGCAAACTGAGTCTCCATATGACTTCACCATCTTGTTGCTTGAGAAGATTCAATGCCCGCTTGCGCTGCCCATATCCATTCTCCTCAAAGCCAACCACCGTAACATAGTATTACTACTCGAAATCCGAAATGCAGGGACTTCGCATCATCCTCTCCTAAGACTGTTCTAATAATCAGACCATTAATCATAAATTTCAATGATCTCTTGCTTGATCTGAACATTTTCAACTTCATATACACCATCCTGGTTGTCGTTTTCGCTTGTTGTCGTCACATCGGTGTTGGAGTCATTTTCGCGATTTTCATCCGCCGTGGCTTCATTGGCCATAGAACCTGTTTCAGCTGCCATGGGAGGTTGTGGTGATAATTCAACGAATTGATCGAAATGACCAACATCATTAGATGAAAGTTCCAGTTGTGGTTTTGCATGTGTTATGACTTCAGCTGCGCATGGAGCATTCAGGGAACCAGGATCCATGATTGTTGTATCAGTGCCAGCAGCTAGACCATCTGTGCCGATATCTGACTGGTTGCACTCTTGTAGGGGCATTGTAAGCATATCTTCGAACGTCGTCGCATTTGAGTTGAACATGAAATTTGTGTTTAGACACGGTGCTGGAGGCTGAACTGGGAAATAATCGGCAATCGGTCGATGGCGCAGAAATGGTGACACTCCCATTGGTTCAGGTCGAGTTCGTGTAATCAGGCAAGATGGGTCAATCGTTGGCACTGCAGAATTTCCAGGATGCTGAAAAAATGGTCGACGCATGACACCGTCGGCATGACTTGAAATTTGAAAGCCACCCGTTCTTGTATTGGTGAGGAAACTGTCAGAAGTGTCAAATGCGTCAGTCCAACCAGGTTCGATTTTGATATTCCCGTGTGTGGCAGCAGTGCTTGTGCTATGTTCTAGAAGTCCGACAGATTCCTTTTTGATGAATGGTGAGAGATTGGATAGATGAGACGAACAGCCACCCGGTTCTTCCTTAACAATAGGCTGAGTTCTAGGATCATCGATACTAGTATTGCCGGTTGTTCCGTTCATGGGAGTTTCGACTCTGATCATGGGAGCAGGCCAATGAGGATCCACAAATCGTTCATAGATATTGCGTCTCAGAGGATGAAATGATGCTGTCACTTCCAGTTCCGCGTTCCTTTTGCAACGCTTCCCAGCAGGGTAAACGACCTCACTGTTGATAACTTGCTCCTTGTTCAGGCGCTCCTCCTCCTCCTCGAGAAGCTGCCTCTTTCCTTTGGTCGTATCTTTTGCGGCTGGCTTGTTGTTGGCTTTCTCTTTCTTAGGTCTTGGAGCACGAGGTTGGGTGGGCACTCCTTCGAACTGAGTCTTCATTCGACTGTATCTCATTCGTGCTGCATGTCCATTGGAGATGTCCAGTTTGTCGGCCACCGCATTCCAATCCACACTTCGCAAGTCGAGCTGCTTGAGAATTGCGTATAAGAACATGGGTGTTTGTGCATCACTAGCATAATTCTTGGAACGACGAAGTGAAGCCATGCTTGATTGAAATTCTGCCGACAGTTTCCAATGATGCGTGTTCAGCTCAAGTTCTCTTGCATGAGTCTTCTTCAGCCAGACGCCCTGCCAGGAGGTTTATCTATGCCAACGAAATAGTCCTGCTGGTCATGACCACCCGTTGTTCGTACCCATTCATGCTATTATGCATGATTCTTGTTTTGTACGGGCGTGGTGGTGATTAGTGACTTCTCAGTGCATGCTTTGTTCAATGCAGTTTGCCGCACATGCAGGAAACAAATTAACTGTCTCAGAGCTTAGCCTCCAACGGCAATGCACCGCTCATTGTATATTCTTGTTCTTCTGGGGGCGCTCCAAACACGATATGTTCCCGGCCTCCTCTAGATGTCCACCACGCTACGCAGGCAGCTGCGCGGTCAACATCCATCTCACCATTACTAAGAGCCTCCCATAACCGTTGTTGGCATTTTTGTTTTTGCGCTCCATTGTGCACTTTGTGCAAGAGATCTGCCGTTAAGGGCAGCCATTCTTCCAATAAGGGCACTGGAATGAGGCTCAAGCAATCAATGATCGAAAGAAGACAAACACTTTTCTCGGACAATGGTTCGCTCATTTCTATAGGAATATCAGGGTTCGCCGGTAAAACATCCTCCGGCGCCTGTTCCACTCGGGCTCTCAGCATATCAAGAACAATGGCTTGCATGAGTGGCATTGCCACTGCGACTGGAGATGGCGGTGACGCAATCCGGATAACAGACTTGATTGCTAAGCGGAACTGGCGAGCTGTCAAGGGTCCGGGAAAGCTTTGCAGTAGCGTTTCAACATAGAGCGGAACGCTGTTGACAGCTACTTGTGTATTTTGTGGTGCTGCGAGAATCGCCAACATGACACTGTGTGCCGCCTCGTAGATTTCCCCCAGCCGTGGATCCCCTTGCGGGTTGATATAAGGAGCTGCAGAATTGAAGAGCAGATTCTGGTTCATGGATGGAGAAATAACCAGCGTAAAGTGCTCGGCAGTGTTGAGGAAGAAGAGATCAAGTAGTCGATCAAGAGGATGAAGGGGAATTTGGCCCACCTCAGTCGGACGTATGGCCTCGAGAAACGTCTCAGTTTGAACAGCATATCGACCAAGTATATCAATAGCAGTGAAGCTGACAAACATATACTGGGATGATGATGTCAACCCAAACCTGTGGGCTATAAAGTACGTATCGCGTAAAATGTGTAAGGTCTGCATTGCCAGGGCGGGCGCATTGGCATTTGAAGCAAGAATGCCGTCGCAAAGTAGTCTGCCAAGTACCGATCGAAGAGTAATTACCGAGGCGAACATTGCATCTCTAAGGAGGTGTAGCAGAACGGGAAGCGATCTGCTCGCCGCTTCCGGATCTAGGTACTGTGCCTCCTCTCTCGGATCGATCTCGCTTAACTTGTTCTGTCTCCAGCACGTCAATAGATTTCTTGAGAATTCGGCAATCTTGTTAGTGCTGTATATGATCAGCAATCGGTCCTGGACATTTTCTATAGCATGGGCGATAAGTCGGGATAGTGGTCCGAGACCTGCCGTTAGTTGTCGTGCTTTAATCTCGGTGATTTTTTGGAAAGATTTCGAGTTTATGGGCCAATTAAACGTCTGCTTTGACGACTGGACGACATCATTGTCCACTGTTCCAAGCCAATAGCCATACTCAAGTCCTTCCCGCGAGAAGAAGGTGGCATCTACCAGGACTGGGAGAAGAAGATCATAGTGGATTTGAGCCTGATGCATACTGGATAACAGGGGAAACGTATGGTTTAGGACAAACACCACCACTATTTCACAGTTCGGTTCCGTTTCTTTCTGGACCAAGGCCAAGTTTGATGCTGTAATCAATGCGCCTTCCAGCGTGTTGCGTAGGCTATTGGATATGTGCTCGAACTCTTTTGACTGAAATGCGAGCAAAAGTCCTCCTAATAGCAAGGTGTGTCTCCATCTCGGAGACGAATCGTCTGCACCTTTCACCACAGCCGTCAGCCACTCAGTGACTGATAAATCACTCTGTGATGGCAGCTGAGATGGATGACCGAGAGCTTTGGGAGGTTGTTGCTTGTCTTCGAGAAATCTCAAGGCCGCGGTATAGAATACACTGAAGATCTGCCGTGCATGTGCCAGATCAATAGGCCGCGGGTATAGTGCATCGTTTGACAGTACGTGCGATACAAGTAGAGTAACGTTCAGTGGGTTCGAAAGCTTCGTCAAAAGGCTCGTCACGGTTGGTAACAACCTATCGCGGTCAGTTCTGGTTTTGTGCGCATAAACAGCGATCCTTACCTTGAAGCCTCTGTCGGGTGCTCAGAGGTTTGCAGGGAGCGGAGCAGGGTCGCGAGAGTCCGGTCCATCACTCTTGTGAATAATGGCACGGTTGAATTGAGGCCTGCCCTTATCTACTGTATCTGAGAGCCATCGGAGGAGGCATGTAGCAGTACGAGCACGCAGTAGTTACTCAAGTAGTGTGTTGCGTGGGATAAGCCGAGGCTCGATTAGGGGCGAGTAACAAAGACGGGTGTGCACTTTCTACTGTCAATCATAAGGCGCCTGTTCCCTTAGCTAACTTTCCAAGTCAAAGGTTAAACTCTGGTTCGCATTCAAGTGCCGTATTCAAGGTATGTGCGACTTTGACCACCTAGGTAGACTTCCACGCCGTGAACTGTTATTGCACTGGATGTGTAACATATATGATACTCTGTGGGCATGAATCAACCCCTAGGATTCATCTTCTACCCTGGTGAATACCCTAGTTTACCTCCCTAGGTAGGAGAGAGGTATCCTTGAGGAAAGCTTGGTCAACGCAAATGGAGTGATAGGCAAGAGGCTTTAGGCAACGTCGACAACCATCGGAAAAAAACAGCCCCGCCAGGTCGCCTTGAGGTTGCCTATTCTCAAAATCTTATACACTATCATAATTTTTACCGGTGAGATCCTTTCAGATTTGCTTCTTCCCAAACGTTCGCATTCTCTACACTCGTTGTCTTCGACGCCGCAAAATGCTCGATACACTTCCTCAAGAGATCTTCCAGCAAGTACTACCTTGGCTGGAGAAGAAGGAGTTGAAAGCACTACGACTCATCAATGTCGCATTCTCTCAGCATATATCCAAGGCATTATTTCGCAGTATCGATGTCTCATGTCTAACCCTGCATCGTCTTGTCGCCTTTGGGCATCATCCTCAACTGCGAGATATGGTGGAGGAGCTGTGCTATCATGAGATGCTACTACGTCCAGATAATCCGCGCTGGGTAAACTCGCGGCGGGGAAAAGATATAGAGAATCTGTGGAAAACGATCAGACAGTTCTGCAGACAACCTCGCGATCGGCCACCAACACTGAGGGAGCTGGCCGTAGAAAAAAGATACCGTGTCCCTCGGCCCGAACCTCTGGAACACTACGTCGACTGGAACATACCGATGTATCCCGGCGAAGACCTGGCCTCCATTCCAGTACAACTTAGAGTCCAAGCAGAATTTGACAGAATGATATCCTCAGTCCACAACGTGTATCAAAACTATGAGAGACGCCAGCGGTTGGATTCGTTAGAGCGTGTGTTCTGCAAATATCTGCCACTCCTGCCCAATCTCCGTCGTTTGGTCTCCGTCGAGGCGGCTGCTAGTGAGAATGCCCACAGTTACTCGATTCCAGAATGTTTTCCGCTGCTAGAGCCTATTGGAGAGCATTTTCCCTTGACCGATGCCGCGATTCGCACCTACTTCTCCAGCTATACCAATCCCTGGCCCGGCCACGGCTTTTTCGCAATGCTGGGGGCGCTCAATCTCAGCAGAAGGCTGAAGATCCAGTCGCTAGAGACCTACCGTGGATCTGATCTGTGGAATAAGCGCGGCGTTGATATCAACGAATTTCAAATGCTAAGCCCACTCATCAATGGTGATTCATATCTACGCGTTTTTCAAAGCTTAGAAACTCTTAACTTGTGCCTCGAAACGAGTGAGCATGAATCTTTGTGGAATGACGTGCTTCCCCCTGCGCTTGTTAAAGCTCAGAAACTGAAACACTTGGAAATCTCTCTTACTTCATTGTCCGAGAACATACAGGTGCCATTCACAAGCATTCTGCCCATGAGTCCACTTTTGTCACTGGAGACCGTTATTCTAGAAGGCTTCTCGTTCGAATGCTCGGAGATGTGTGGATGGCTCTTCCTACACCCCATGTTGAGGACAGTCAAGCTTCGCAGTGCCCGTCTAAAAGGACTCTGGAAAAACCTGCTGAACACGTTGTCTAAGAACCGGAAATTCAAGTTGCAATGTTTCGAGCTGAAGTCCCCCTGGGATCATGATACCCAGGAGCAAGAGCAAGGCAGGAGAGCCGACACACTTGTGCCAGCGCGGGTGTCACATGTGGACGCGCTCTACTTCATTAATGAAGGCGGGAGCAATCCATTTGAAACGAGGTGGTGGCGGAAGTTCGACGTATGGCCCAACGAGGACGAAAATACACGGTTCCGGAAACTCAACATCGTTAGGCACAACGAGGACCCAGTCCGGTGGCCGAACTTCGAGATATGGCCTAAGATGGGTGAAGATATGGAGGACAATCAATCCGAATACTCGGATATGTCCGAGTACCTTTCAGATGATCACCCAGACCCCCCTTCGGATGAAGATCTTGACGGGCCTGAATATGACGAAGACTACGACTTCGATGCCGAAGATGACAGTGATGTTGATATGGAGGGCACTTAGTTGACATATGGGACAGTGGAGTCATGTTGCTTGGAGTCATGTTGTTAAACAGATACTTAAGAGAATTGGTGGCGGAAGACATTTGAGAGACGCTGACCAGGTGTTTGTCTGCATCTGCAAGTTCTCACACATTATGCATTTCGCATGGTTGGTTGGTTGGTGGTCTTTGAGGAATTGGTGGTCTTGGGCCGGGGAAAAGTATTAGAAAGTTCTACTTGCTATTTAATCCTTGGGACGCTTTCACTGTCGTTTAGAATAGTAAGGACAGATATTCAAAAAGTGATGTGTTAATCTCATTCTTGATGCGACACTCAGATGTTAATGGGCGCAGCCACGAGGCTGTTCCCTTTTCACAGCGTTCAAAGTTAGAGCGCGCGAAACCTGCTTCTTGGGGTTTTATACATATCTGCAACAACATACGAGTATAAGTGGGGCCAAAAGAGTCAAGATAGTCCACTGAGCTTTGCGCATACTCCAAGAGAATGCTTGCCAAGTTTCAAGGACCTGGCTGCGACTTGCGGAATGCGCATGACCTCAGATCAGACTACACCAAACGCTTACCGTCCAACGTTGAACATTTCTTTTCAGCGTTCGCTCAAGCTCTTGCAAGGAAAGCATTGTATGATATCACTTGGGAATGAAGTGGAGGCATGAGTGGCAAGATGTATGTCAAAACTGGGGCATGCGTATTTGAATGAATTCCTCTTTTATACTCGGTTTAAAGGTACTAGTATTTGCAAGACCTCATTCCTTTACACCCGCTAATGAACAGATGAGCATGAGATTGCCTGATAGGATCCGTTCGTCGTACTGTTGTTTGGATATGACCGTCCAGTCATAATAAATCACCAATTTTTTAGGCCAATCTTTGAACCCTAATACCTACGAGGAACGGCGAGCTTGCAATTGATAAGCTGCTTCATTCTCCGCAGCCTCCTTGCTGATATGTAACGTTGCCGCGAGATATGATGCATATCTGTGGCGATACGCTTCAACAATCTGGGTCGTTCGAAATGTACCCTCGGTGGCTGGGGCTGCTATGGTCAGTTAGTCGAGGCTGGCGATCGTTGCAGGGTCGACGAGATGGTTACCCTTTATTGCAGAGGCCTGTACGGAAGGTACTGGATTTGGGAGCTGGCAGGCAGCGTTGAGAAGCTTCGTTGTTGATGATGTATCTGGTACCATTGGGATCCCCATACCTGTTCTAAATGAAGATAATATGAGGAGGAATGTGGCGAAAATTGAAGTTCCCCTCCGACAATTCAATCGCTGAAATGCTGCTTTTGAAGGGAAGTGGAATCTTGGTAGCGTCCTCGGTTGACTTATCCTTCAGTACTCAGCAGAACAGTGGTGGTAAGAAATCAGCGTGAGCACCCTGAAGATTGGTGACACTGATCATGATTGCGAACACGGTATATAAGGGTTTTCAGTGTGACCAATTGACAGTTCTACCATATTAGTGATGGTCTCTTCCGATGTCCAGGTTTCCGCCAGCCAAATCTTCAGATGGATGTTGACGTGACGCGCAGACTTTGCAACTGCTGTTCTCAACAACAGGCCTCCACAAGGAGGCATTGAACAAAAGAGGGGAGATCCCCATCAGGATCGACTTCCACATGGTACGTATGACCGGACCGATACAGATCTCGCGAGAATTGACTTCCAGGCCTCTCGTGGTCATCCTCCGCCAGGGCTATTGTCCTATGAGGTATTTTATTTCTCTCGTGTTTCTCGACGATCTGACGAAATCTCAAGCAACGTGTCAAGAACGTTTGGCGCATAATCAGTCGTCAGCCAGTTATTTCTGGCGTTTGGCTTGTCCTAACCTCAGGTCGCGAGGAGGCAGTCAGTGGTATGATTTTGCTTAGGCCGTCACAATCCAAGCTATCCGGTATGATCGCCACTCTGCAGTTCAGAAATTAGTCTTTCCCAGCTATTTTTCGGCTTTGGAGCGGTGTCCGCGGTGCACTGCCACCGACACATCCACCTAAATCATGTCGAAAACAGTGGATACACACCTAATCAAGTAACTTAAACTGCTCGAGGTATTAGCCGAGCTGTTTACGAGCTCACAGGTGCTGCAAAACTGCGGGGATCGATGTTGGAATCCAAAATGGCTCGTGTAAACTTTGTATTGGCTCATACATACGTCGTCCTTGATGGTAAAATATTACCGTCATTACGGGCCTTGAACGACATGAGACAGGAGGAATTTTCTTCTGGTATAATTGACTTGAATGTGGGGCCAATATTGTGACCTCCTAAGTACCTAGGTAGACAGTGAAATTATCCTCTGTCATTTTCACCATCGCTTGACTGCTCGAATGTCGCAATACAGCCCACAACCCCGCAGCAGCGTGCTAGAATCCTCTGACTCCCAAGATCAAGCTTTAGGCACAGTAAAGCTCGATCCGTGGACTCTAGCATCGGCAATGCTTTTGGACCCCTGATTGGGCTACGGATTGCAGCATTGGGGTTCGACAAAGCTTGAGCCAGCCAAGTCTTCGTTCCTTCTGCCCAGTAGAGCTTGATTCCGGTCACCCAATGGAAACGAATAGACTTGGTATGAGACATTTCTCTAGGCACAGCTGGGGGCCTACGTCTCTCTTTTCCTCTCAGAATGTCGTCTTTGTTGACCTCCCTCAGTCCATAGCCTACGTCTGGCAGCTAGCCTTGGTTGGGAACGACGAGCTGGGGTCTCCAGTTTTCCGTCCTGCTGAAATTTCTAGCACTCTAGTAGGAGTGACTTCATTTCCCTCACGAATCGCTGGCAGCGGAGATATTGATGCCCATTCTGCTCTCTGACGAAATGATTCGATGGTCGACCATCATCATTCTAAATTCCTTCTCCTCATTTCCCTCTTGATTACTTATGGTCGCTTACCAGGGTCAAAAACTTTACTGCGTATCTTCTGTCAGCTGGCAATTATTCCGAGTTCTGGCTGTTGATGACCTCTGTCGCATTGGAGACTTCGAATTTTCTTCTCGTTCACCGTGTCTATAGCACGAGAATACAAGAACGCATAAGATAACTTGTTGTCTCAGGCGGCAAGAAATAATGAAACAGCAATTCTTCTGGTTTGGCTCAAGGCTACTTCCCCTTTGATTGTCTATTGTTTGTCACCAGTGGCCCAACGATGATTCAAGCTCTTGGCTGTTCCACGTAGAATTGTATTGGAATTTTTCTCTGATTGCGTGTAAATGATTACCATCTCGCCTGACTTCCAGCGACGGGAAAATTGGTTGAACCTCTATAGGCTTCCAAACCGATGATAAGAAGGCGAATACGGCCTCACACTTTAGAGGAAGTATTGGTGACTCCATGTCTCACTCTGTCATTATTCTTTGTAGAGGTGGATCTTCTTTCACTTCCTGTGGCAGTGTGAACATCGTCGGCGGTCTTACTTGCGGCATCATAGTGAGCGTAAGAAGAACTCGACGGTTTCCGGTTGTCTCGTTTCAACAATGTGACTTCGACAACTCTTGTGAGCTTCTTTTGTGGCTTGCCATGCGTGAATATTTCCTCGAAGTCGAGATCTTGAGACGCCAAATCCGAAGCGTCAAACTTTGTGTTGTCGATTATGTCTTGCTCAATACCAGACAGCCATGGATCCAGACCTGAATTATGGCGATATGGGACTAGCTGAACTCTTGTACGGATAGGACCGCTTTCCAAGGGAAGGACAGACAGTCTCGACCTTGGTAGTGTTTTGGGCTCTCGAAACTGACTTGACACTGCGAGGGTAATTCTTCCATCAGTAGTTGGAAATCTGACGGTCTCCATGCAGGATCACAATTCCTGCACACTATGAGAGCCTATATTAAGATATAGGATTCAGGAGTCGCTTCGAAAGAGTGCTCGTGAAGTAAAGGTGGTCAGAGATTTATGGCCTCAAATTGCTGTGGAATTAACACAATGGTATGGAAGAGATTCGATCTTGCTGCAAAATTCACGACACTGATACTACGATTTCTCAAGCATCTTATTTAGATAGTCTCTGACTTTTCAAAGCGTTGTGAATACTCCCCTCAAGAAAACTCTCATTCGCAGCCATAACGTTGAATGTGGAGGTCGTGCTCTCCCTGAGCGACACATACCCTGACCCCTGAGGAAATCCTCAAAGAGAGGTGAGTTGTGTGAAGCAATTTCCATCCTCTCTTCGGTGACCCAGTTTCCGTGCCACCGGAAGGAAAGAGTGATAGTCTCTGACACGTCGATTTGTTTGATGTTCCATGGCCGCCAACTCATTTGTGTGCGCTAGTAGGGAGGCTGAGCTCTGAGGGAATTTTTGTAAAACGTACCTAGGAGATGTGCTGTCATCGTCTAGGAATCGTGAACAAAATGGCTCATATAATTCATAAGTCTGCTGGCGTAGTTTATAGAATGCTAGATAAGATTGAGGAGATACTGCGGGATGACTGTTCAATATATGATATATGCAGTAGTCTTGGCAATCACGGTGCTAATGCATGTGCGCCCACCTTTGCGCTAGCCAGCATGAATGGTGGGGTTCAGCACGATCTAGTTTCTGAGTATGCAAGATCTCAAATAAATGTCGTATTGGAGACGTGGGGTTGTGCTCTAACTCAAATTGAAGCACGATCTACCTAGGTAAGTAGGTACGAGACGATACTAAACGTTGTTGTAAGGTACTGTACGCCGCTATTGTGTATCGAAAGGCCCGTTGCCCATACGTTTCCCTGTAGTAGGGGACTTTTTGCTCTATTTACGACAGTAGGCTATGCTGGAAATTCTGACACCATTTTCGCTGTAAGCGCTCTAGACTTGAAATTGCACTTTAATAAGCTGCCAATATCAGACACTGAAGCTTCCGAGTAGTTCGAGAGGTCCCATCCATTAGACAAAGGGCATTACAGCTTCTTGACTTATGCTGGTGGACTAAAATACAGGAGGTGTGCCCTCGGAGGAGCGCCGACAGTGGTATTCTTGTGTGTGCTGGTGAGCATCTTCGGACATGATTCAATTGCACCGCCAGGTTTAGCCTCCAGCATAGGACTAGAGTATAGTATGTTGCGCCTAAACAGCGAAAAGGACTCCATGAAACTGGCAGCGAGCATGTGGAACAGATCGCGCCAACCGGGCTAAGCATGCCGTTAATGCTAACATGGTCGCAATGCAGCTCACTGCAATAGAGGTCGCATACGCTTTACCCAACAAAATTCGGTGGTGTCTCGTGGTCATTATACCAAGTAGAAGCAATCTGGCAGTCTCGAGAAAGATAGTTCCACTTCTGAGTGCTTTTGTATGAAGGGTTAATGAGCTGGTTCTCAAAGACATAATTCGGATTGAACTGTTCAGTATCAATCGCTTCTTGGAACAGGCGAGTTTAATTGTGGAGCAATATCTTGGGGAACTTCTCAGAAGTCCCAAAGGCGAAGAAGAGCCTTAGTGATCACTCTGTGACCTCACTCAGTCGGCAATTTGAGCGTTACTCCGTAAGTCAAGCAATGAAAGGCCATGGCCTTGTGGTGATACATTCAAAACCAGATATCCATCCATCAGTCATGTCGCAGTATCAATCATCTCGGTATCTACAACCTACCACTGGTTCTTGGAGTCACAGTTCATCCTACTCCGTAAGTAATCCGGCTAACCCAGAGAGGGAGATACTGGTGTTCTGAACGGCAGTTGCCTTTGCACCCTCAACACTTGCCCAACGGGTTGCGTCTACCTCGAGGAGTAATAGGTCGTGAAAACAAGAATGGACTCAACAAGTCAGTGAGCCCAATTCTGGGAATTGGGCCTTTTATGAGGGATTTGTTAGTCTTGGCGTCATCCTTCGCCGCTATCTCCCACTCAGTGGTTGCAATTTCCACATCTTTTAGGCTAAGAAAGAAGCTCCGAAGAGACTGCTTATCCGATCGCCTTGCGAAGGTCGCTGTGGCTAAACTCTTCTACGGATAATCGCCTCAGCCAGCCTCTTCTTCCCCCGCGCCCCTTTCATGGTTGGCGAGGGTTGTGTGTTTAGCTGTGCATTCCTGTGAACTTTTCTTCCTGTCCCTCTTCTTCTGTAAGACATACCGGCCCACGCATGACATGTCTCTATATGGGATGCCGCACTACGAACCTGAACCATCTTTACAGAGATATGCAGATAGCAGTAGTGATTCTGACGATTCTTACGACGTGGAATCCTCACAAGAAGACGCCATAAGATCCTCCCTCATACCTGACAACAAAAGACTGGGACACGTTTTTGTCTCTGATCTGTTTGGTACGTGGTTGAGCTTCCGTGAGTAGTCTACGAGATTAACAACGACGTACAGGCGCCGTACTACGCTGGACGTCGAGATTGCTGGAGAGGATATATGGCCGTTCGCTGCCACAGCTTGAGGCCGCAATCTCTGAAGCAGGACAACAATTTCTGGCCTCGAATACCTTTGAAGGTCGTGACAGCGCTCAGTCATGGCCTCGAACAAAGTTGTGTATCTCAGGTCTGTCCAGTGTCCGTGCAATTGCATGTTACTCGTGGGCCAACCTCTTATTGATATCCGTACCGGTTGGGATCATCTCTCACATACTTGATGCAAACCCGATCGTGATATTTTTCTCGAATGCTCTCGCTGTCGTTCCTTTGTCACTCCTTCTTGCATACGCCACAGAGAGTATCGCCTGTGACGTTGGGGACACCATCGGAGCACTACTAAATATCAGTCTCGGAAATCTTGTTGAGATTGTCATCTTGTAGGTTAGCCTTTTCGGGATACGTGTGTCAAAATTGCTGACTGAGAATTTAAAGTATGTGAGCCACTGTCCACAACTAGGAGTTTCGAGGTGAAGCAATAATTAACTAGTGGCGATAGAGCTGCATTGATGAAGAATCATATTCGAATTGTGCAAGCATCGTTACTTGGCTCGATGCTGGTGAATTTGCTATTGATCTTGGGCACTGCGATCCTTGCAGGTAGCTTCTATCATGAGGACATGGCTTTCAACATGGAAAACGCGCAAGCATTGGCAGGCTTACTTTGTCTCTCAGTGTTCAGCTTCGTCATTCCGGTAGGTGCAATTCTCTGTACATGATGAACCCGGCTAATGAGCCATTGAGAGCGCCTTACACTACTCATTCGATGATCAAAAGATCGCTGACCGAGCAGTCCTCGCTCTCAGTCGAGTCACTGCAATGGCCTTATTGACAGTTTACTTTGTGTATCTGTTGTTTCAGATGAGAGGAACGAAGCGCATGAGCTCTTCGTCGGAGGTTGCGAGTGTTTCATCGCGAAGGGGGCGAAGTCATGATAGTACCATTAGGGGCATGAGGAATTTGTCGACAAGTTCGATTTATCGGACCATCCGTTTCGCCGATGAAGACCAGAACCAACTCACGGAACATCCAGCTCTAGGCAGAAAAATCTCGCTGGAGATGAAAGCCGTAGATTCGCAAAACTCTACTTTTTCAGGAGCACAGAATTTGGTCAGAGATGACCTCAAGATCAAAGAGTCAAACGAACACGACAGGGGAAGAAGAAATGTGGAGCCATCAGAGAGTGAAGCTTGGGTAAATGGTCCATCGCTCCATCAGCTCCACCGACGAGCTGGATCAAATTCAACCTCCCATCACTCAAGTGCTAGAGATGACTCGGTGCCAGAGCGTTCTCGTAGTAGAAGCTACGCAAGATCTCGCGACTCCGTCTCCAGCCTATCCCAGGTATTCGGTCGTGCATCATTAAACTATAATGATACTATCGGTGGGATGTGGGCCCCGCCTGTCAATGTACCCATGCTGGGGAAAAAGACATCATTGACCTTGCTCATTCTTTCATCTGCCCTGATTGCAGTTTGTGCTGAATTCTTGGTTAACACAATTGACCATATGGTCGCCGATACCGTATTATCTGAGTCAGTCATTGGGCTGATATTACTACCCATCGCGGGCAACGTGGCCGAACATGTTACAGCATTAAGTGTTGCAACGAAAAACAAAATGGATCTCGCCATAGGCGTGTCGGTCGGCTCCTCCATTCAAATAACACTCTTTGTGACGCCTCTCGTTGTCATTATCGGCTGGATCTTAGGCAAAGATATGACGCTGTATTTTAGCATTTTTGAGACTATCGCCATGGTCGCTTCGGCGTTTTTAGTCGTTGTGTTGATCTTGAATGGACGGACCAACTACTTTGAGGGAAGTCTGCTCTGTGCATGCTATGTTATGGTTGGGTAAGTTTGATATGCAAATGTACTTTGACTCTACTAACCGAGAAAATCATAGAGCTGGAGCATGCCTGTTGCCTGACTCGAGTGCTTAGCGAAGAGTCCGACAGTGAAATAGCAAGTCATATAGGGCTTTCTTCCCCGTGTCTCTTTCTGGGCCTTTTGTTTGTGTTAGGCTTGAGAACTTGACTGGACGGCTACTACATCATCTCTTGGGTTGATCCCAGATAAGACAGTGCAAATAGATATTGTGTAACTTAGACTTGCTTTTTCATCCTCTAAAGATTTGATCCGGCATGAAAGGAGACTGGAACTCAGGGAAGGTACTACAGTAGTGTAAATGTGAATCCAAGGTACTGCCTAAGGCAGTTTTGTAGGTTCACATTTGGAGTATCAACTCGGAACTCATCATTACTCTTGAACCACCCATTCTCTGTGACTGGTCACCCTGCGGATGAGTTGTCCAAAACACCAACTATGTCAAAATTATCGATCTTTGCTCGGCCTCGTTCTCATTCTCTCCATCATACGCCATCAATATGGAACGCATATGCAACGGCGGACAATTTCCCATCCTCACACTCAGTATATTTCCTCTAGTTGAGCTTTGACTAGGAACCGGTAATGTCGATAAAAGGTATTGTACTATGCAGGTTCTCAACTATGCAGATTTCGAAATCTCCTTTCAGTCGTTTTGGGTCGCAAAATTGAACACCCGAAATCTGAAGCAGGCACCTCTCATATGTTGAGGACGGTTGAGGCGAAGCTGACTTCTTTTCAAACGCTTAAGGTCACCCACATAACACATACAGATTACCCATGTTCGTTAAATAACTAAGAAGGCGGAGGAGTAAGCACTCCAACACTCTACAGCATTCTGGCCTTCAGATTCATTGAGAGTGATGGTGGTTCGCAGCGAGTAGCTGAGACAAGAGACCGAAGCGCCGTGCAATCTTTCTACCCACTGTCATGGCAAAGAGAGGGGGGCCGTTACTCCCCTTCCCCCCGATCCTTCTGGCTTCACGGTGTATCGATAATGACGGCGGGCTGATCATCTTCCATATTCTCAGCACTAGACTGCTGCCTTGTCCCTGCTCGGCTCCTCATCCAGACCTCCCAAGGAACTGGCGTGTTCAGGACTTGTATGAACCCAAGCCGCAGCGTTGTTAGCATTTTGATTATCCTCTCTTGCCTTTGTCTTCCTCTTGCTTGGATTTGGTGACCATTGCAGGTTAGGGTTCCGGAACCCCTTTCCCGACCTGGTCGTATGCCGTGGCCAGCAGGTGCTGACGTTTTCACACTGGTTACAAAGTTTTTGGTTTTCTGAAGGAAAATCTGCTTGGAATTTTCGAGATTCAAAGCGATCCACATCAATGGGATTGAAATACCCACGGTCACTTCGACTACAAACGAGTTCCAAAAGCGATTCTGGTTTGAATTAAAATGTACAGGGAAGTGATACTAATAATTAGATCACTCACAAAATAATAGGGAAGCTGTACTCAGGAGTGTACGAGATAGTGTCATGACATTGGGAACTGCTTCAAATCAGCTACAGTACAAGTCTCGGGATTTCACACTGACAAGGATGATAATTACGATGGTGAACATCATTAGCGTCCTCCCTTTTGGGTCGACTACTGGACCTGTTCTCGCGACGAAATAGCTTCGAGGATCGACACTTCGTTCTGTTTGATATCTAAAATGGATTTGAGATGCAGGAATACCAAATTATTTAAGCCACCACCAACCACGTCTTGAATGCGCCCAGACATTGCATTTATCTTCTCGAGCGGGTTGATTATGTAGTCAGGCCCACCGACTTATATCCCCTTGCACAGGTAAAAGTACAAAGCAGAGCCTTGTTCTTCTATGGTAAAATCCACTATTTTCTGATGTAGAAGCAGTAAATCAACGATTGCATTCTTCCGCAGGGTGACGGCCACCGACAGCACTAACGTTGGTGGGTTTACCTCGGCTTCAGGATCAACGTTTAGACCTGGACTGTAAGCTGGAGGGTTCGGCGCAAAATTCTGCTTGAAGCTTAGTCCAAGCTGCTCAGCTTCTTTGTGGAAAAGCTGTTCGCACCACCAAATGCCAAACATGATCTTGTCACTGACTGTAATGTTGACCTGAGAATTGTGGGTAAGCAACAGCTTCACAAAGCCCTCCCAACCCACAAATACCGTTCTTGTGAGTGCCGAGTGACTGTCGGTTGATGGATCTTCGAGGTAGTCAGGAGCCAAGATTTTCAGGAGAGCGATAGTGGTGTTGGTGCGGGCGTTGTCTATACAAATATCTAGAGCATTTCAACAATCCATGTTTGTTGTTCGTAAGTCCGAAACATCTAAGTGTGGCGGTGGAATCCAAGAACGTGCTACGGCTGTCAGAAGCGGCGTAAGACCATCGACGTCTTTACACCTTAGTGCCATGATAGACCTTGTGAGAAGATATTTTACCGTGGTAATCTTGTTTGTTTTGACAGCAAGATGCAAAGGGGTCATGCCTTGGGTGTCTTCTTCACATACCATGCTGCTCAGTGAAGCGTTGAGAAGTACGTTGACGATACCTCATGGCCGCCCTTGGAGCAATGTGTAGAGGTGTTGCCTTGGATTTGCGACGTCTTTCAAAGACATCAGCACCACGTTCGATTAGATATTCCACTGCATTGAGGCGGCCATCTTTGGCAATGGAGTAGCGTGGCATGGTATTTCTCACCTACCAGGGTGTCGGGGTGGCTCCTTTTCCTATGGACTCTGTGACCTTGTCAATATATCCGCGAAGACGTGTGCACCGGGTCTTCGTCATACGGTCTACTGCGTTGAAACCTGGCGCTACCGTCTGTGAACCTGTTAGGAGGGGCATCTTGCCAGGAACTGGGGGAAGATGGCGGCTTCACTGGTACTTCACCATCAGCGACTGATTTCGTAGTATGTGTGCGTGTTCGATTTTCATCGTCATTCATGGTTATTACCGGCAAAGATCTCGCATCACATTATGTAGCAATATCTACCGTCGTTGCTGAATAGTGCTGATATAAATCGCTCTCTCACTTCAAGAGGACGGTGAGGCTGGACAATTTCAGCTCCTCTGAAGGTGGGGTTAGCTAAGAGCATAGTGTTTCATACTCGAGTTGCTCAGATTTATGAACAACTCGTATTTCAGGCGCCGCGTTTGGGCTAGTAGAAGTACTGTACACGTTCGAGATTAGTTAGACAAGAGACTGGTGGCACTCCTTGCCGTCCTCCTTTAAAGAGAAAGGGCGGGAAAAGTAAGTAGATACCTCGGTACTGCGGTACCTCAGCTTGGCAGCTTTCTCGAATTCTACCACTTCAATGAACTGGAATGCGTTCATTACTTGTCTAGCCTGTATCTAAGTCTCTACAATTTGACAAAAAGCGACCTTTCTCATCAGAGAAACATAGAGATGAAGAAAAAAAGGCAAAAAAGGGCTCAACCGCGAATTGAACGCGGGACCTCTTACAGTTAAGTACCTTGGTGACCCAAAGCAAGAATTCTACCTCTGAACTATTGAGCCGATTTGTGCTAAGATTTTGACGACTTTAAACTATAATCTTATTTCCATAATCACGTGATGAACTCGGTTAAACCTCCACCCCACCCAGACTAAAATGGCAGTTTGCGGCGAGGCTGCGGCAGAAAGAATTATTGCAATTTGAACGCCAAAACTTTCTTGTTCAGTTGCGCGATCAATTCCCGGCCCACAGAAGCGACTGATGATGAGTATTCTCAGGAAGCAGGCAAAGAGCCTGGAGTACAAGAAAGCCAAAGGCATGTTCAAATCTGTGTACCTGGTCCATAGGCACTAATTCCACTACAGATTATGATCCAGAGGACGATACCCACCAAAGCGAAGACGAAGAACAGTCTGACAGCGAGGAAGATGCAGGCGCAACAGGCCGAGAGCATTACGAAAGCGTTGGGAAGAGCAAGTTACGGAAACCGGACGAGTCCGCATTGGACGCAAGATATGGTGGTGTTGCAGTCAGTCGCAAGGACTTAGATGCCCATGACGAAACTGAGGACGACCCATTTGCGGCTGTTGACGATGAAGAGGAGGACGATCCCTTCGCTGCGAAAAATCGAGATCTTAGCGGCTCAGAGGAGGTTTCCGACCCGAGTGATGTTGAGAACGGCGAAGAGGTTATAGAAGACGACGAGATTGACAGCGATGAAGCCTTCGGGGAGAGTGACGTTGAGCGATTCAAGAACTTTACCTTTCGTGGAAGCAAACTCAACAGGAGGGGTGGGGGAGACGAATTTTCGTCCGCAAGCCAAGAATCAGATGAAGAGGACGAGGACGACAATGACTTGTCAGAAGAAGACTCTGATGCTTCGGATTCAGATGTCGATATCGATGGAAACGGAGACGAAGGTTCCATTGCATCGTCTATCTCCTCCGTTCCCCTCAAGAAGCCAACTTCAAATCGATCCTCAGCTCGTGAGGAGCTCCGCAAGGCTGCTACATCGTCATCCTCCACGGCTGCGCTGGCTTCCGCACTCTCAGCTGGTGCCCACGCCGATATTAAGAAGGGCCAAGCGGTCAAGAAACAACAGCAGACCTTCGATAGACTCCTCGACGCAAGAATCAAGTTCCAAAAGGGCCTGACTCTAGCGAGCGATATCCCAAACAACACAGTCTTGGAAGAAGATGTCAAGGCCGCCGCCCAGCAAGCTGAAGACGCGGCTCTTGCGCTCTGGTCCACGATCGATTCAATCCGCTGCACCCTTCTTACGGCACAACAAGATGCCTCCAACACCCAGTCGAGCGGATCAGACTTGAAGCGTAAACGACCCCTGAAGGCTACACGCAGCACACAGACCTCAGACCTCTGGCAGCACACCACATCCCTCAACAGCACCATCCTCCCAATACAACGCGGTACTCTTGACAAATGGAACACGAAAACCCAACCAGTCATCGACACGGCCTCGAAACCCAAACTGCTCCAGGCAGGCACGTCAACACACTCCATGCGCCTCACCGAAGTCCTCGACACCTATCTAGCAACCACAGGCCCAACACTCATTGAATCCTCCACCTCCACCTCCACCTCCACCTCCACCTCCAACTTCTACGACGACAACACCTTCTACCAATCGCTGCTACGCGCCCTGATCTCGTCGCGCACCAACGCCACATCGACCTCGGACCTAAGCGAATCCTACCTGCCACCCAAGCTGCACGCATCCGGCTCGCGCGCCAAGAAAGTCGACACCAAAGCCTCCAAGGGCCGCAAGGTGCGCTATACGGTGCACGAGAAGCTGCAGGACTTTATGGCTGTCGAGGACCGTGGGACGTGGGAGGATGCGGCGCGCCGCGAGTTCTTTGCCAGTTTGTTGGGCGGGATGAGTGTTTTGGACGAGGGTGTTGATGGGGAGGATGGAGATGGAGATGGCGATGTCGAGGATGGGATGGAGGATGTTGCCTTGAGGTTGTTTAGGAATTGAATTAGAGATGGTAAAAGTGGTGTGGTGTGGTGTGTTGGCGCCCACGCATGACTGACATGAGCAAGACTTGGTATAGAGTCAATGAATTATTCTCATTCGTAATTCTAAGTTTGTAATCTCTGTCTACTACTGTTGCACGCGAGTTTGAAGTTGATGAACAATGTAGCTGCTTCTAAGCACGTACAATGGGAAGTTCGATAATGACTACCTATTCCCTGCATAACTGCTTACTTCCTTCTAGTATAGCCTGGCACCTGGAACGGCTCAGGAATGTACCAGTCCTCCAGAACACCCGCTTCACGCTGTCGGTGAATGTATGCGGCAGTGACATGGCCGTTCTGCGTGAAATTGGACTGGGTGTCGTTGTCGAAGCCGGGGATTGGATCATACTTCTTTTTAAGTGGTGGCGGGTTGGGTGATGATGGTATCGAGATGGACTGCTGTGAGGATGGAATTGGGGAGTCATTACGTTTCTGATCAGCAGGACGTCGAAAGTGGGGAGCGTCGGTTCCCTGCTGGAGGACATCGACAGTCCTCTGTATTGGTGGCGTCCTCTCAATTTGTATGTCGCTTAATTGCTCACGGTCATCACGCGATACGGTCGATGGGGGGTCCAGATCAATATCTCCTTCATCATCGCTGTTGAAGGCTTCATCCAATCCAAGATCAATGTTCAATTGTGATTGAGTTGCGTTTATGTGCTGTGGCAATTGACTCATCGTTACCCTGTAAGAACTAGAGTCCTTGATTGTGATCCTGTCGTTCCTATCCTCGTAGAAGCTGTCAAGTAGCGGCCGTGGACAAGACGACATGGGGAAGAACCCCTGGGTAGCATCTTGGGTAGACATCTGAGATGGATGGGGCATTGACGCAGGATTAACAGACTTCTGTGTAATGGATTTTGTTGATGGAAGTGAGGAGGATGATGGGGCTGTGTCAACGTCATTCAGTGGTACCAGAGTGGTTGAAATATGGGTGCTGGTCCGATGAATCAGATTTGGAGCTTGAGGCAATTGTACTTCGTCCGTATCATGACGATTAATGGTCTCAATGGGTCGTCTTGGTGTTGCAGATTGTGGTACTAACTGAGGTAAAGGCAGTGGTGTTCCAGGTTCGCTCACTGGGTGACTTTGGCATCTTTCTAGTGAGACTGGACCAGCTACAGTTCTGGCTAATGGTGAGGGTGATGCTGCTTGCTCATGATTACTGGAGTCTTCCCTCGGTGGTGGCATTGGCGTGGAGGAGCCATTTGGGGTCGTCTTCTTCAACCTCAATTTAACAGGAGAGTCGAGACTTTCAGCTTCTGAGTCCTCCACTATTATTGTATCCAATAGTTCTGAAACATATGGCAAAGGCTCTGGGTCAGGAAGTAGTGCTTCGAGTTCTTGCTGATTGGACTTGCTTATCTCTGTCATTTCGGTTTCAGCAGGAATTGGCGCATACTCACGGTCAATAACGTCATCCTGTGAGAAGCTCTGCGGAAGCGCGTTCTCATCCTCATGGCTGGCATTTCTCAGGTTGGAGCTTTGGCGACGCCCAACGATATCCATAAAACTTGGAAGCGAGTCTTGCATATCGTTGACGGGTGGACTCGAGACCACATTCTGACCTTGACTAGTGGCCGGGATTTCAGTGTCACTCAGATCCCCTATCGTGTTTGGTGGAGGTCGCATCAGTGGCAATAAAGCGGCATCCATCTGTTGTTGCGAGGACGATGGAATGGACCATAGATTCTCCTGGGAGTCTTCAATTCGATGGACCGGTTGAGGTGGACGCTTTGCGAGCTTGAGAACGACAATCTTCTTGGGTCGAGACCAGGACCAAGAAGGAGACTTTTTATGCTTCTTAAAAGTCTTCTTAGGCGATGGTTTTGACGGGCTAATGTGCCAAGCATTGATAGAGCGCTCAGTCAAGGGTGTCCGTCTCGAAACATCAGGAGTGGGAAGATCATAACAGTCACGTTTTCGCATGCTGGGAGGCAAACTCTCCGGCGATTGACTTGAGAGAATGACCACTCGTTTTGCTGTGGGTGTGTGGAGATGACTTAGTGAGGATTGTAAAGCGGGCATGGCGATTGGGCCTTCTGTATGCTCCCCATCCTGATCCGTCTGGAGGGATTCCTTGATCTCAAGCGAAGCTACCTTCGGTGAAGGCTGACTCGGAGGCGTGGCTAGTGCCTGACTGAAGTATTCGAAGCTTTTCGCAGGATCCTCGAAGACGACTTGTTTGGAAGCGATGCGGCGTGACGTCCTCCTTTCACTCGAGGGTTTTGCTTCTTCCGTGTCTTGCAGTGGCCTTTTCCTCCTGCGGCTAGGCCTATACTCTTGACTTTCCGGATTCTGCTTTACGGTCAAGGGCCGCTTCTCTTCAAGAGGCGTCTTTCGTGGTCGTGACCGCCGCGGGCTGCTGTATGGTCCATCAAATTGGTGCAGAGGTCGAGGCTCATCGCCAGAGCCACCACTAGGTTGTGGCCAAGGCTGGTCATCTAAATCTTCCGGGTCTAAAGGTCGATTATCGAAAAAGTCCATCTGGGTCAACGTCGATTCCCGCTTTAGAAGTCGCCTCCGTGTAAGGTTGGCTTTAGGGAGAGTAAAGGACCTAGTATTCTCCTCGAGCATATCATCGTTGGCAAGTTGATTGGATTGAGGTGTCATCCACTGTGCCTGCGTCAAAGTCTTTTGACTCGCGGTTCGAGATGTGGGTTTGGCGCGGGTGTTCACTCGTTGTCGCTTTCGAGATTCTGGAGTAACCATTGCAGTCTTCCTCTTGGTACTGGTGATCGTCCATGAAGTACCGGACTCCATATTGGACAGTGTATGAATTTGTGCTGTTGGCATCGAGAGAACCCAGAGAGCCCAGGGCTTCAAGTGTAATTGAGGCTGCGGGGCTCATCCAGGCGTCAGACGCGTCGCGACTTTCATCAACGCGGCTGCACGTGATATTGTCCAAATTGGCCACTAATCATGTTGCAAAATACCTTCAACTTCTCATTCTTGCTGGGCGATCAAATGCCAGATTTGGCAATCACTCCTTCCAAATTGGGAGGCGAACTTGTTTTCTGAAACTTGAATGCTTTGGACAACCACAATCTACCCTCCCATTTAGAAGTGCATCTTACAAGTATGATCTGAGCAAAGATCTGGTTCTCTTCCTGGGTCTCATCATCTACGCTATCCGTGAACCAATCCGTCCCAGTGAGAAACGGATAATAGGAACTCCCGGGAGCTGACAATCTTGTTGTGCATACTAAATGCTCATTTTGAGACCATTTTGGGAACAGGGCAACAGAGAGGAAATTAACATGGGTCTAATATCTTGCTCATTCATTTTGGGGATATTAAGTGAGCAGGTTCTTGGGATGAGGCCTTCACATATGCTCCTTGGTAGCTTCTCACTTATAAAAGGGCTGTTCGCTCAGCCATGAGGAAGACCGCTCTTAGCATCTGTCGCATATTGATCTTCAATTGACTCCGGTGCCCTTTGGAAAATGACACCTCTTATTGATGTACAGCTAGACATTCCTTCCCGCCAGTCCCTAAAGGACATGTACGAATTTAGATAGGGTCGCAGGTCTGCGCCGAACTCAGAGGTTCTCCTTCGCGGACCACGAGAAGCATCAAATCTGCTGGCCAAAATATGTATTGCCTTGAGTCGATATACAGAAGTGCAAGTATATTACTGATTTGAATCCTGAACCTCTGGCAACCTAGGAAGAGTCTTAGAAGGGTCATCTCTTCGTCAACCACACACATTTCGACCCGCCTGTGGCATACTATCCAAAAACTCCGATTACACGCCCAGTTTCTAACTTGACAAATGTGCTGCGTGCCATTACGGTAACGTTCCACGAAATTCAAAGACGACAGGTAGACACACTCGATTTGTATGCTTGCGTCTAGTTGCGCATGTGCCTGGGCTTGTAGCCATCACCGAAGGCGCGCTTCAAGCGAGGGAAGAACTCTTTGCTGTCGCTTCGACGCTTCAAGCCTGATTCGCCTGAGGTGTGAATGCGGCCGGGTCCGGCATTCTGCCAAGTGTTGAGAGATGAGCACTCGTCCTGGAAGCTTTGTTTGTTGGCATAGCCGGTAATCTCAGTGGGGCGCTCAACCCATTGAAGAGCAAGGCCACCATCAACGTGCCAGACAATGTGGCAATGCATCAACCAAGCACCTGGGTTGTCGGTCTCAAAGCCAATGACGGTGTAGCCCGGAGGGGCACCTGGACCGGATGAGCCAGTCAACATGGCGGTGTCACGACGCATGGGGTTGTTGAAGTTCAAGGTGTTTGTCAAGGATGGATTCCAGCTGACGGTTCCTTGACCCAAAACACTCATGTCATGACCGTGAATATGCATTGGATGGGATGCAAAGAACTGGTTCTGGATGATGAAGTAGTACCATTTGCCTGCGTTGTTGAGGACGATGGGGTTGGAGATCAAAGAGTCGTTTCCACCTTGTGCAAGTGTCTGCAGGGTTGGCTGGGTGTAGTTGACGTTGATCGCGCCGTTGTTCAAAAACCAGCGGAAGACAGTACCGTCATCGCTGGTTGCGACTTGGGCAACGTTACCAGCAGGCAGAGTGGAGACGGTCGCAGAGAACTGATCACTCGTACCAGCAGCCTTCTCCTGGAAGGGGACCAAGGACGCAAGAGGCTCATCCAAGCAGAAGTTGAAGTCAGCAGCAGTCTTGCCTCCAGCGGTAGAGGTTGGCAAGTATGGCTGGGCACCCTCGTATAGGAAGATACCGTTTGCGCTTCCCAGGCCGTTGTTCTGGCATCCACTGGGGCATCCGGTTTGGGTAACAGCACGCAAGAAGTAACCTGCAACAGGCTGGTCCATCTCAATGATGACGGTATATCGTTGACCAATACCGATGTTCAGCCAATCAGTGACATATGGAACAATAGGCACGTAGTCAGCGGAGATGACGGTAATCTTGTGGTTGTCGAAGTGAACAGAGTACATATTCTGAGAAGCAGAGTTGATGAGGCGGAATAGATGCTTCTTGCCCGGCTTGACGGACCACAGGGTGTGTTGACCAGCAGATAGATCTGGCTTGGTGTTATGGCCATTGAGAAGATAGTTCACGGTTCTAAAATCAAATGTGATTAGCGAGTGAAATCCAAACGTCCTTAACAAGTACATACCCAGAGGGTCCGAAATGGGCGATACGTTCATTCTGTTGCTGAGCAGTGACGGGGAAGGTATCGTCAATCATGACGGTACCCATGTCATAGTCGTAGTTGGCTGTAGCAGGTCCATGAATGATCATAGGGCCGCGAATACCATCTCCGTATTGGGCAATGGCGTGAGAATGGTACCAACCCGTTCCGTATTGCTCGAGAAGCATGGTGTATGTACGGGAAGAACCAGGTGCGATGGCACACTCAGTGATACCGGGCACACCGTCCTGGTCATTAGTTCCCTTTTGGGTGATACCTGAAGGTTTGCGTTAGTAGGTTATAGCCAGAACTTAAGATGGGAAGACAAACCGTGCCAATGGATAGTGGTTGAGTTATCTTGAAGCTGGTTGTGGACAGTGACCTGAAGAATATCGCCCCAGTTGCACTCGATGACGGGTCCAGGGACCTGGCCGTTGATAGCGAACGCAAGCTTAGAGCCACTTCCATCCAAGTTCATTGTTGTATTAGTGATTGTGAAGTCATACGAGCAAGTCGCGCCAGTCTTGTAACCGGCAGTATAAGCATCAGTCGAGATCGATTGACCATTGCACCACTTGCTTCGATCGGCTGCGGTGTTGCAAGATCCTTCTTTCAAAGGTAGGTAAGGAGCAGTGACGTTAGATCCGGCCGATCCTGGTATGGGGAGAGTATTGTTGCCAGTGCTCGTACCGTTGCCGTTGCTGGTGCCATTTCCATATCCACCACCTTGACCACCACTACCACCGCTGCCACCTTGACCGCCATTACCACCACTGCTACCGCTACCATCGCTGCCACCGTTTGAGTTGCCGCCATCACCGCCATCCCAAGGCTGAGTGTAGGTAGGAGCAGGACCATCAAAGGTCACTGTTGTAACATCCACGGTCCAGCTCCACACTTGTCCGTCCGTACCAACAGTGCTCACATCGTTTGCCCAATCAATCCAGCTTCCATCCTCAGGCATTGAAGGGTCAACAACACCAGTGATAGTGCTCTTAGCTCCTGAGGCGGTTGCAGTCTTGCCCCAATCACCTGTAACAGTCGCAGTTTGATCCCAGTTAATGGTGCCAGTTGACGTGCCAGCAGCAGGCCATGCTGGTGCGCCGCCGTTGCCTCCAGCTGGAGCGACTCCAGTGGACTGGGCTGGGCTGACTGGAGCAGGTGGCTGCCCAGTCCCAGCTGCTGGAGCAGCGCCTCCTTGCCAGCCGCCATCGGCTGGATCAACTCCAGTTGGGGCGGCAGATGGCCATGCTCCTGGTGGGAATGGCTTGCCATCCACATTGACCACGGTCGAAGTACAGAATCCGGGTGCAACGTAGACCGTGGAGCGATAGACTGTGGTCGCCTCCTTGGTCACGGTTTCGGTGGTAGTGGACGTGGTTGTAGCAGTGATGGTGGAAGTGCTGACATTGGTAACTGTTGTCGTGGCGGTTACCGTAGTCGTGCTGGTTGGAATAGCAGGGATGCTAGGCTTTCCACTATCCCAGGAGTTGGCAGCACCGGTCACGGTATATGAGTCTGCAGCTGCGTGTCCTGCTAGACCAAGGGCCAAGAGCCCTGTAGGTTTGGTGAACTTCATTTGCACGGTGACGAAAAATGTACCAGTAGAATATCGAAGATCGTTTGTTATCGCAAGTCTCGAGGGAAAAGAGTGGCGGGTTGGTGTTTCAGTTGCCTACCCAGACAACGTAATGAGTGACTATAGGGTGAAAAGAACGACAGAGGGATAACCCTCGAGGCCAGGCCAAACAACTCTGTGCGGTGGTTCAAGAGATGAGGATTGAGTCCCAGGTCGCCAACCGTGTGGGCTGCAGCACCATTTTGAAGGCATTGAGGTACTGGGATGATTTACTTTGCTTGCATCCAGACACCCATCAAACACAGCCCCTGTGGTAAAGTCAGAAATACTCGACTAATTGCGAGAAACCAATATTGGGGCTCTTGCATGGACTTCGGTCGCTATCATTTGTCCGGACATGCGCCACGACGTAGAAGACGAGCAGTCTGGTACGAAGATGCAGGAGTAGAGTTTGATGCACACGCGTTGAGAAAAGTCAAAAGACCTCTCCTTGAGTCCTTCACCCACAAGCCTGTGAGGATTTGCTTTGTGGCTAGAAAAGCTTGACGAAATTAGTGATGAGCTTGACAGTTCGTTGCTCGAATTCTGATCCTTCTCAGGTTGCGGAGATGTATGAACTCCGCTCGGTTGTTTTTTGACATGCTAGTGGCAATCTCCTACCTAAGGATTTCTCGGAAGGCCAGACCCCAGGAATCGCGTGTCTGACGTCGTGCATGGGCTGACAGCTTCAGCAGCACAGAAACATGGCCCTCGGAAATGAGACCAAGGTGCAGCGCACTGGTCACAGCAAGTCACTGAGATTGATCTGGTCTTTGCTGATCACAACACTGAGCATCAAATGGCCTTGGGCATCCGAGGATCAATCCACTCTCTCCTGAAGGATTAGAGATTCAGAGTATGTTGGTCGCCGCGTAAACTCGATAAGACATAGAGTGTCCCGTTGGGAAAAAGATGTTTCAAACGCCATGAAAGTTACGCGGTGCAACGTGGGTCGGTTCTCTAGAGACAGACACTGTTTTTCTCTATCGGTTGAACAACGCGTCAGGTCTCGAAGAGTCGTAAGGTAGAACGGCAAGTTACCTTGGACAATTAGGTGCCTATGTCACTAGGTGGAGTCCAGGGGATGTCCCCACAATTATCGGGCTGCGTTAACCGAGGAGGTGACGTTTCCCATGAAAACAGCCTCTGTTCAACATTGTGCAAAGGTTTTACAGGGGCTCTTCTATTTGCGGCGGTTCCCCAGACGCGTAATATTTGACTTCATATCCGTTGTTCATGCGAAATGACTGTCTCAAATCATGGAGTGGGGGTGTTCAATCTGAGGCGGATATTGATGGAACACCTCCCAGTACTCCTTTAGATAACCCCAGATCCAATATATAACTCATGATCGTTTCTCATGAATTGCGACTCGAATATGATTCCACGATTGTTCAAAGTAGTCAGGTTGTGTAAGGGAGGACGCCACCGCGCTGATACAGAAAAGAACAATCTGGTTGAAGACATCCATGGATGCCTGTCATCGCAGCGCCACAAACACCAAAGCTGCGGCTGACAGCGCTCTGGCGGCTTTCTTTTCTCCAAGGTGGAGAAAGGTAGGCATAATCGTCGAGATTGGATACCCGGTGTTAAATGTATATTCAGGTGGACTCTGAAGAGGCTCGCCCAGGACTCAAAAGGCATGATACAGTCAAGATCAGAATACGACTTTGTATTTTCATGGGATCTTTCACGTCTCAAATTTGTGACTAGGCGATATAGGACGTTATCTGACGCGTGAAACCTGCGTGTTTCTTGGTCTTATGGGATTATAGAACAAGGTCTATTGCCCGCTCACAGTTGTTCCAACTCGTCGTCCCAGAGACATTGACGGAGAGCAGAAATTGACGCTCTGCGCAACCCTCCTATGGGTATCTCTTCAAGAATTTACGTTGCATAACCCAGATCCTGCAGAAGGCCTTTTCTTCGCTTCTTCATCGGAAGCATATCAATCCTCGCGTCCTCCCCAGAGAAGCTCCATCAATTCATGGCGAAATCAAATTCTTCGAAATCATCCCGCAAACCTTGTGCATCTTCTTCTTCAGCCGCTTGTTCACTTCCATCCTTTCTGAGTAGTGCGTCTCGCCAGTTGAGTCGATTTTCAAGCTGGAGCAATCCCGCCATCACCTCTCTGCCAAACCAGATATTGAATCTTGTGTCCTCGGGCAATGGGAAATACATTGAGTGCGCTTTTCCCAACGCAACATCCCCATTGCCGTTGCCGTTTGTTTGATCTGCCATCTCGACAGGATCAGAAGCCCATGTCCACAATCGGAAGTAGTCTGATTTGATGGGAAGCTGAGACTCTGGGTCGCAAGGTTCAAAAGCGGGATACTTTTGTTGTTCTCTTGATACCTTGAACGCGGCTTCGACCAGTCCTTTTTTGATTTGCTCGGCTTGACAGGGTATCAAAGACCAGTGATGATGGCGGATCCCCGTTCGGTTGACCTCCCAGCAAACCGTGCCCAGCTGTCCTGAACTCTTACTTCCCACCATCTTGTTGAGCGCGACTCGGAATTTGCTCATCTCCATGAACTCGGCAGCAACTTCTTCAACCGTTCGTTTACCTTGTGCGGCCTCATCTGCAGCATGATAATGTGGGATTATCATGACATGACCAGAGGATGAAAGTTGGGGAAACGTAGCCATTGTGCTTAGCGGACCACGTGAAGCTGTGACTATACTCTCCTCGCCAATCGAGATGACAAGGTGAGTCTTGAACTCGGGTTTGTTGAGACACATGAAGCAGTCATTGGGATCAAAGCGCTCGTTGCGAGCTCGCTTTTGCCGACGCCCGCCACCAGAGTATCTTTCATATGCTTGTCCGTCCTCTGCTGGTCGTTTACGTGGAGGCGATGCACGACTGAATGGCGATATAGTTGGGGGTGCAACGGTTGTCGGGGGCTTTGAAGTATCCAAGGAGAAAGCTGTCATCCACTCTTTAGTAGGCGCGGTGACACTTGGGAGGCTTTTGAACCTGGTCACTGTCCCTTGCTGAAGGGAGTCGTACTCAACGACATGTTTGAATGGTTCCCTTTCCCACACCGCCTCAGGGCTACTTGAGAAATGATACCAGGGCTTCAAAGCTTCACAGAGATTGGAGATTGACTGTGCACCGACGATCTCGGCCAATGCCGAAGGCACGTCAATTTTCGATCCGTTCGTGATATTCGCCGGCCACTGGTTAGTGATGAGAATGTGAGCATCATGGGCACCATGAAGACCACGTGCATCATTATTGAGAAATTGCGAGTCGCATGATCCTAACTTCTCGGTGACTGAAGCTTCGTTCTGGACTTGACGGCCTCCGAGTGCCACAATTTTCACATCTTCGGTCGTTTTCGTAGTCCCTTTGCGTCCTAGATAGAGTAGATTCGGGCAGACGTCTTCATCATGTTCGAGTTTGGCTTTCACCACGTCTGGCAAAGCTACATCCCCTGTTGTGAAGTACGTCGGAAGTGGGATTTGAATTTGACCAGTGAGCAGCGCCTGTAGGTTTTCTGTTGTGCTGTCATCAGAAGTCGGAGCAAAGACATCACCGACAATGATAGCTAAATCGAATTTTTGTTTTGCTTGGAGCTTTGAAATCTTGTCGAATGCCTTCTTGAAGTTGCCCTGAATACTTCCAACCACGAGTCTAAGAGAGTCAGTAAAAGTGAAATGACACGACATATGAATAATACTCACATCTTTGCAGTCCCCATTTCGTGCACTTCTAAGCAGAAAGTAGAAAGGCGTCGATCAATTGGACTTGCTCATAGCGATTTGAGTTTTCTCTTGATGTCAAAGGATTAAAAAGAAATCGAGAGCTCTTTTCCCATTGAATTGTTTTAAAGGCCAGAAGAAAGAGAAGTTCAGTGACTGTTGAAAGGAATCAAGCAATATAGATAGCCAGATGCTTTGGCGCTAAGGATCATGAAGTGAGGGATGGTGAATCCATACGAATAAGTCAAAAACCGGCAGTGATATAGGGTGAATCATTAAGTAACGATAAAAGCGCTCACGTGCTGAGCATGACTCGTGCAATCACTGTACTGCGTTAACGCTTGACTCGCATGCGGGGAAACTTTTTCATTCTCGCCGCCTGCAAAATAAATTTTTGGGACGTTCGAACTTCGTGCTGATCATCCTTGAACAGACTGCACTGCGCTGCATGTTTGGGTGATCTGTTCGCAACACTGCAGGAACACACCCCTTGTACTCACCATGCTCCCGACGAACTATCGGTAACACAATGAATATGGCACCCATATCTCCAGGCCCCCCGCCCCCGTCGGTCCGCCGAACCAAGAAAGCGCAACCTACACCGACCAAGAAACTTCACCGATACGAGTCTTTCACGAAGCGAATCTCAAAGCTCAAGATAGACCCGATCCATGCCTTGAGCAAACGGCAGAATGAAGAGGTTGCCGATGATCTAGCACACAGCTTTTTCCGCGCTTCTCTCGAAGAATGGGCGGAGTTGAATCTCTCGCAAACATTCACGACCTTCCTGAACAAAGTCAATCCTCTTTGTGAAAACCTGCCGCAACTGCTGCATCACTCGGACAGAATCTTCGACTTACTTCTTTATGCCATCGAGCAACAAGATGCCCTGGCACTGGAGCCACTCCTTAGCCTGCTTGCACATCTCGCACATGACCTTGGTCAGAGATTTGAACCATGCTTCTCCAGGACTGTTCAAGTGGTGTCAAGAGTGGCGGCAGCCCATGAAAAGGCGGAAGTTGTTGAGTGGTGCTTCACATGTCTTGCTTGGATGTTCAAATACCTTTCCAGATTACTTGTTGAGGACGTCAGACCACTTCTCGACATCATGATACCCTACCTCTCAAATAAGAAGGACTTCATTGTCCGGTTCAGTGCCGAAGCATTGGCATTCTTGCTGAAGAAGGCAGCCTTGCTGTATCCCAAGCGGAGAAGCCCACTTCAACTTGCAATCACTCATGTGTTCGAACAATTAACCATCAATGTTGTGGCACAATCGCAAACCGCTTTCCAGTTTGGAGTTATGAATTTATGTGTCGAAAGCTCCCGAGGCATAGAATGCCAAGTTCATTCAAGTGCACCCCATCTCGTCAGGTGTCTACTTGACCGTGCTGGGGTCTTCATTGACCATGAGATCATACAGTCGACTGTATCTGGGATTCTGATCAGCCTGATCCATCAGACGGATGGGGACAACTTCGCACCACTCTTGGAAATTGTATTAGAGACTTGTCAGCACCTTATTGCGACTAAAGAACACAAAAATGTCCGGTGGGCGCTTCAATTACTTCTAGTCGTTGTCGGAACAAGGAAGGGAACAAGAATCTCATCCTGGTCAGCTACAATTCAAGTATTCTTAAGCGTGGTTGATGAGTCTAGCCAGACCGATTGGGAAGATTCAAAGTATCGACAGATCGCCATTGGTGTCGCCACCCAATCACTTCAGTATGCACCGATGGACCAGTTACTACCTCTTTCAGAACGATTTCTAGGCTTATTAGCCACAAAACTCTCGAGTCGCGACTTTCTCTCACTCTGCACTGTCTGTGCTAAGCTTGGGGACGAAAGGTTTGTGGATTTCATGTTCCCCCAATTTCAACAGTTCATCGTGGACCACTGGGAAGATGATCTCATGAGTCTTTATTACACGCTTGAAGAATTTCAGGAGAACAATATCACGTCCAACAGATCTGGTGCAAGGAACTGTCTATCTTGCCCACCAAAATTGGAGACTTATATCCTCCAGCAGCTGGCTGCTTCGTCCAAGGAAGCCACAATCTCGACAGTAGAAAATATCGCTGGACAAATACACATAGCCAAGAATACTCAGCTCACAAAAGAGAGTCAACGCGCAAGCCAGTTTCATGCTACGATAGGCGTTCTGGTCGGAAATGCTCTCCGAAAGGACAGCAATGATCCTGATTTACGAAGACGGCTGCTGCTTGGCTGGGGGTTTGAGACCTTACTCGATATTTGTCCGGCCTCTCGAGAAGATGACCAAAAACTAGCATTGCTCGCGCTTGCTGGGCCATCCATCAATTTTCGTATGCCATCATTCTTGTCTGCCGTCAGCAGACTACTTGAAAGGTCTCCCGTGGACACGAAGTTGCAAAGCCTCGATTTCACAAATATACGACATTATTTGGTACAGAACCTGTTGAGCTCATCTCCTGGCCTAAAGTCTGAATCTCTAAAACTTCTTTCCAGCATAGTGCCTTCTCAGCTAGATGATAAGGTGTCGGAAACCGCCGATCTGATGCTCGAGATTCTTGCGGCACCCTATACACCAACCGAAGTGCGAAATTTGACGATGCTACTCAGGAAGCTTCCTCAGCGGCATGATGGCCTCGTTGCCGACACCGATCTGCATGACATGGTTCCTTTCTTCTGCCTTGGTTTGTTACCACAGTTTCATGATAGAACCAGGAAAGAAATCTGCACAATACTTGCTCAGCTCGTCGAGTACTCGGCTGTAGAGGATACCGTGCTCAATATCACAGTTCAATGGCTGCAAACACCATCAAGCCCGAACCAGCCGAACCGTGTTGAGCCCGAAACAGATCGTGACAGGCCGTCTCCATTCGAATGTACCAACTTGTCCTCCTCTCAAGAAATTTGCAACGAAGTCGTGAATCGATACTCGGATACAACCTTGAGTTTCCGAGCGCTTATCGAAGACGCACACACGGTCGAATCATCAAGAACAACGTCTGATCGCCGAGCGTTGGCGCTTCAAGTCCTGTCTTCAATTCCCGCAATCGTGGAACGGCGATCACGGCTTATTGTTCCCATCTTTCTCTCAGCACGAATGAATCGCGCACAACTCTCTCTGAGTGCAAATTCCGACACGTCAACGTCGTCGCATACACCTACTGCAGATGTTGACGACCATGAGTGGTCTTTTCCCGATCGCAAGACATTCCTATTAATGTTCAGTAAGTTCAACAATCCACGCGTTCTCTACAGATCGCAGGATGTCTCTGAGAAACTTTTGGATCTATTGAGCAACGGCAACACGGATATCAGAAAACTTGCGCTTCAAGCAATGCTCAAGTGGAAGGATCCACAAGTGAAGCCTTATGAAGAAATACTCATGTCCATTGTTGAAGAGAAGAAGACATCTAGCGATCTTGCTCAACTATTAACCACAGATGGTGAATTCGGGATCAAACGCAGTGATAGAACTGCCATACTGCCAATCCTTCTTAGACTTGTCTTTGGTCTGATTGTTGGCCGTTCTGGCACGGCTGGTTCACAGGAGGCCAGGAGAAAGGCGATTCTGAGAAGCTTGTTCCGTATGGACAGCAGCGAAATTTCTCTTTTCCTTGATATTGCTCTGGGTAAGCTGAGAGACCTTCGTGTCTCGCAATTCCAATCAGGGGCTGCTATTTCCAATCAATGCCAAATCCCTGAAGACCAACAGTACGGCTTTCTTCGGCTGCTTCTGTCGATTTTGGAAACTCACCAGAGTCAATTTTCACCTTACGGCCGACAAGTTGTCGATGCGGTTGTCATCTGTATACTTGATTCCTCCCTCCACCAGCAGTCGCCAACCACTTCTGTGAAACCTATTTCAGCATTATCACGAAATATCAGACGCATCGGCCTACAATGCTTGGTCCTACTTACAAATTATTGTCCAGATATTGACTGGGCAACCTACCTTCCTCCCATCTTCGCCAATACAATTAGCCCTCGTCTGGAGAATTTTGCAATGGAAACAAGTCAGGGCATATCAAGCTTTCTGCGTTTGTTCGCAACCTGGGTCCACTCCCAGAAGCTGGTCCGTCATTTGCATGACCAGGATTCACGACTTCCTGGGGTTTTATGGGAATGTCTTATGACTGAATCGGCACAGGTGGATGTCAAGGCGTTCATTCTCGAGGAAATAGTCATTCCCTGGTTGTCTTTGGCAGAAAATGCAGAGGCGACTCCCAACATGGCCAAAGAATACTTGAATCCTGAGTCTAGTGGTCTTTTGACAGCTCTGATAGCAAATATCGAGCGAACACCACCTAAGGATATTCTGAATGCTATAACCTCTATCCTCCCACGCCTTGCAAAATTTGCAACATCGGCCGAGTCCAAACAAAAGACAGTTCTACTCCTGACGAATTTGCTGCGTGGCCCAGAATACAAGTTATCCCCAGATATCAAGAGCAAACTAGTCCTTTCCATTGAGAGTTTTCTGCAAGAAGGACATTTCGAAGTCGGTGAAGAAGCCCGGGTATCCCTGTGGGAATTGACCTCCTCGCTGTTCAACTTCTTTAAGGATCAACCCAATCGTTCAGTTTTGTCTCGAACATTGGGATTACTTGCCAATGGCGAGAAAAATGCTTTGCAAGTCGCTCAATACTGCCTGGATCTGAACGCTGTTTCATCAGAACGCCTAGACGAACCTGACTATGAGAAACGATTCGCCGCTCTACAAGATATCAACTCATTACAAACGACAGACGAGTATTCACCTTTGTGGCTACCTATCGTCCACAATTTATTGTTCATCGTTCGAACTGTTGAAGATTTTGCAATTCGCTCAAATTCACTGGCTTGTCTCAAACAATTCATCATCCGGGCAGCGGCTGGGGATAGAGATAGTCTGAATGACTTGCTGATAAAAGTGGTTCTGCCTGCTGCTTTGAAGGGCTCCAGGGATCAATCAGAACTGATGAGAGCAGACTTCGTCATGATTTATGGACTTCTCGTGCAGCATCTCCGCAACAATGAAGATTTGGCCGATATGGTGGTTCTTCTTGTTGGCGGGGACGAAGAGGCATCTTTCTTTTCGAACATTCTGCATATCCAGCAGCATCGCCGTCTGCGGGCCATTCGACGTTTGGTCTCTGAGGTTGAGACTGGTGGAATCAGCTCTGCCCATATTGCGGACTTTTTTATTCCTCTTCTTGAGATGTTCGCATATGACTCGAGTGGTGACGAGTCCATGCAAGGCACCAAAGGACAAAGTATCGCTGCGATGGGCGTCTTACTTCAGTGGGTGGATTGGAAGCACTTCAAAATGTTCTTCCGGAAGTACAAGAATGATATTAATAATACTCATGGCCAGAAAGATACGGTCAAACTCCTCGGTCATGCAGCTGATGCACTCTTGAATGCCACAAACCAGACCCCACCAGATCAGAGCAACCCAGAAATGAAGACGCAGCTGGCAAGATCAATCCGCCAGAACTCTGTCCTGGAGAACGAAATCAAGAGGCAATTCATTCCCAGGCTTACAGATCTGGTCCATTTCAAAGATGAGACCGAAATCAGCTTTCGCATTCCGATTGCCGTGACCTGTATCAAATTGATCAAGATGCTTCCATCTGAAGAGATTGCCCCGGCCGCAGGACCAATCATCCTCGATATTGCGAACATCTTGAGGAGCCGTGTTCAAGAATCACGCGATATCGCGCGCAACACCCTCGCCCAGGTTGTCATTCTCCTCGGATCATCCAGTATGCAATTCGTGGTAAAGGAGCTAAGGAATGCCTTGACACGAGGCTATCAACTACACGTACTATCCTACACAGTACATGCCATTCTTGTTGCCTTGGCGCCTACTCTTGAGCTGGGGGAGCTTGACTATTGTGTGACAGATCTGATTGGTGTAGCAATTGATGATATCTTTGGCGCCGTCGGGCAAGAGAAAGACAATCAAGACTATATCAGCACCATGAAGGAAGTCAAGAGTAACAAAAGCTTCGACACGGTAGAGCTTATTGCTCGTTCCACAAGTGTCCTAGTGTTGATGAAGATTATTGCACCAATTCAAACCATCCTTTCTGGGACGCTGATCACCAAAAAGGTCAGGCAAGTTGATGAGTGGCTTCGGAGAGTCGGCGTTGGTATATCACGGAATCCCGCCGCCAGTGAGAGAGACCTCTTAGTGTTCTCCTATCAACTGATTGAGGCATTTTACAAGCAGAAGAGTGATGTGCAACGTGCTACTCCAACTTCTCAGGAAAAGGCCCGCCAGCGATTCCTCGTGCAATTTTCCTCTGGCCACAAACATACCACAGGTCTCACCGCGCCACTGTTGTACAAGGTCGCTCGTTTTGCCCTGGATCTCGTCAGATCTACACTCCAAAAACACGACCATCTTCTAACACCCGAGAACATACATGGATATCTGCCAATTATTGGGGACACCCTTATCGAAGGTCAAGAGGACGTAAAGATTTCTGCCATGCGTCTACTGTCCACTATTGTGAAGCTTCCTATGCCAGAGCTAGAAGTGAACGCCCCACTATATTTTATCGAGGCTGTCAAAGTTGTGAAGAACTCGACAAACACCAATGAGGAAGGAGCACAAGCCGCTTTGAAGCTTGTTGCCACTATTCTCCGGGAACGGAAGAGCATCGAGGTCCGAGACACAGACGTCGCAGCCTTGTTGCATCGAGTTGCCCCAGATATTGAGGAGCCAGACAGGCAAGGCGTCACTTTCAACTTTATTCGCGCGGTAATGTCGCGTAAGATCCAAGTGTCTGAAATCTACGATCTAGTTGACAAACTTGGACTCATGATGATCACAAATCATGCGCGTGGGGCCCGCGACTCTGCACGTGGTGTCTATGTTCACTTTATTCTCGAGTATCCGCAAAGCACATCTCGGTGGATCAAACAGCAGAAATTTCTTCTCAAGAATCTCGAGTACGAACATCCGGAAGGAAGGCAATCTGTCATGGAGGCCATCCATACACTGGTACAGAAGCTTAAGGGTGAGACTGGTGAGGAATTTGCATCAAGTCTCTTCATGCCAGTTTTACTGCGCGTGGCCAACGATGAAAACCAAAAGTGCAGAGAATCGGCTGGTGTGCTGCTTGGCCAGCTTTTCAAGTCGGCGAATCGTGGTCAGATCAAGGAGTTCCTAGAGCCCATGCACTCTTGGCTACATCAAAAAGAGAATAACGAACTGCAAAAGATCAGTTTACAAGCTTGGAGCATCTTATTGACGTCCACTGTCTCAGTCGCAGAGACAGACTTGCACAGTCTCCGCGAATCGCTCTCGGAGATATTGGTAGCGATGGCAAACCAGGATGTTGATGACTGGGAAATTTTATTCCAGGCTTTGGTGGTGCTATCAAATCTCGTTGAAACGCAAGGCAGTCTCGTTTTGGGTCGAGGTCAGTCGGAAATGTGGTCGCTGGTTTGGCAATTCTTGGAACACCCGAATGGGTGGATACAAAACTCAGTCGCGGCCCTCATTGACGCCTTTTTCCAAGATTGTCGCACAACTTCCGATCCAAAGGTACCCTTGAAATGCCAGCATGGCCTCGTGTTGGAAGAGGAAGCCGTACTTCGAATACTGAAAGCAAGCGTTCGCATACTCAAACGCACTGACAGCAGTGATAAGCTTAGGCTTCAGACTAGTCAAAACATCCTTTATCTTGCGCGGATAATTGATAACAACAAAATCACAATGGAAGTGTCCATGAAGAAGCAAATGGCTGGTCACGATGAAATTGACACAGAGAATATTGTCAATAGTGAAGATGAAGAGCCTGAAGGAACTACTCGGATATCGGGAATTCAGTATATCTTCGACCAAATGGCACGAATCCTGCGGTTGGAGATTAATTACCCCAAGACAAACGCACTACTTCCCAAGATCTCGGCCGTGGAGCTTCTCGCGGTCATGATCCCGGCGACAACGGTCGAACACTTCACCAGCGGAACAGTTCAAGCCATTCTCCTCCCTCTACAGCATCTCACAGACACAAATACCATCGCCCCACGCTCCGTGGACCCCACGTTTGCAACCACGTACCAACAACTGGTGGAGAACGCACATGAAGCCATGGACATGTTGCAACGGCGTATAGGTGACGGCGAATATGTGAAGGCTCTGACTGAAGTGAGTAAGACTGTTCGTCGACGCAGAGAGGAAAGAAGGACGAAACGCAGGATTGAGCGTGTTGCGGAACCAGAGAGGGCTGCGCAGGGAAAGAAGCGCAAGGCCGATAGGAAGAAGGAACGGAAGAAGGAGATGGGAAGGTCTTTTCAACGGCGTCGTGTGGAAGGGGGAATGTAGCGTTGATTATGTTGAACTTGAGAGATTTGAGAATGAGAAGATGTATTGCTTCGTAATTAGTTCCACTGCTCAGCCGCACAACGTACAAAGTCTCTCCAAAGCCATGGTCTCTCACAGCAACAGTCTGAGAGAACACTACCCTTAATGAAGTGCGTCCTCAGCGTCAGGTAGTGCCTCAGTTGGGCTTTTGCAACACGGGCATTGATCAGCTCCCTCGTGCATATCATCACCAGGTGGTCTTCCGATTAGGTGTTGTGGTACTTCTGGCTGATGTACTGGATATTGATGAGGCGAAAACCCAGCCATTGTGCCGGATGATAATGTTGCCGGTCTCTGATCTATGTCATGATGCAGGCTGGTCTCCATGTGTCGTTTCTACCTCCTAATTGACCAATTAGATGACCTACATCACGAGTACAATTTGCACGTTTTAGATTCTTGCCGAATACGGATGCAATCCGGACCAGCACAAGCTAGCCGACTTTTTGAGGATCAATTGACCTATATCCGTACTATAAATTCAGGATTTCTTTCGACCCCGTTGAGTCCCAGGTCTGCAAATACCGCTCAGTAGTATTTCTAAGTACAAATGGCAGAGCATTCGGTTTGGTGAAGCTTGCGAAACTGATGCCATTTCTCGTGATTTTGATAGCCTTGATTGCCATCCACATACCACCTAAAACACCCAGCGTTAATATCACTTCAAGAACAACATGGTTCAGCATCTGACCATCGGTCTCTCACAGTCGCGTACTCTCTCCTCATTGAGCTTGACACTTTCGGCGCTTTGGCAGACCACGAAACAAGCAGCTGAAAAAGGCGTGTCCATTCTTCTTTTCCCGGAGGCGTACCTGGGAGGCTACCCTCGAACCTGCTCATTCGGGACATCTGTAGGCTCACGCTCGGAAAGAGGTCGTGAACAATTCCTCGCATATTTTAAATCTGCTGTTGATCTCGGCGACACACCTGAGGGTGCATGCGATGACTGGATTGAGAACAAGCTCCCACTCAATGGCGACACAGGCCGACGTGGTGACGGCACGCGCCAATATCTCGAGAACGTCGCTCGTGAAACGGGTGTCTTTATTGTGACTGGTGTCGTGGAGAAGGCCGGCGGAAGCTTATACTGCGCGGCGGTTTACGTCGACCCTCGACGTGGTGTTATTGGCAAGCGGCGCAAGATGATGCCGACAGGTTCAGAGCGCCTCATCTGGGCTCAGGGGTCCTCGTCGACGTTAAAAGTCGTTACCACGACCATCAAAGGTGTTAGGGTAGTCATGGGCTGCGCTATCTGCTGGGAGAACTATATGCCCTTGCTGCGATATAGTCTGTACAGTCAGGGTGTGAATCTGTGGTTGGCGCCGACGGCTGACGCACGCGATACTTGGGAGCCGTTGATGCGTGTTGTAGCCTGCGAAGGTCGATGTTTCGTGCTTAGTGCCAACCAGTGCGTCAAGCAGAAGGATCTTCCTAGTTGGATTATCCCCTCAAGGGCAGACGGTGAAGGTCTTGGAGAAACATTAAGTGATCCGTTAAACCCTCCGAAGAGTTCTCGTCTAGTCGGCGACGATGACCACTTCGTATCCGTGGGCGGCTCTTGTATCGTCGGCCCCCAGGGAAAGACGCTCGCTGGGCCGAGTTGGGAGCGAGACAATGATCTACTGTACATCGAGGTGGACTTTGAGGATTGTGAACGAGGTCGCCTTGACTTTGATGCTGTAGGTCATTATTCAAGGCCGGACGCATTCAAGCTTACAGTTGAAGGTTTGGATCTCAATCCACCACCCTGAGAAGCTCTCTGTACCAGGCGGTCCAGTGTGCATAGATAGCTGTGGGAGTGGAGTCCCTAGAATGGTAATCACAATCTAGCTATGGACCCTCGCGGCCTTCGTGCGGCCATCATCTTTCCTAGATGCTTCCTAGCCCTAGGTAGAAGACGCCAGATACGCCGTGTCTAATGCAAGAGATACGAGATCCCGATTTCAAGGTTTGTAGACCACCTAGGTACCATAATCTGGCCTCGTTGCCCTGTTGCGGGGATGGGCTAAGGGCGGGGAAGATGAAGCTTTGCGCCTGGGAGAGCAAGCTAGTTACACAGGACTTAGATAGTAGTCATGCATCACAGGGTCTGCCATGAACTTGACAACCTGCATACTCCTCGCCGTCGTCTACATTGTCACCATCACCGACATCTTGGCCGGCCTCAATCTGGTTGAATTAAACTCATAGTGATCCGAACACATCATGCCGCGAGCATTCCGTGTGCGATTCTCCAACAAAAGCCAATCGGTCGATCCAGCCGTCCACAAGGATGTAGCATCGGATCCGGTGGCGGCGCGAGCCCATCGAAAGAGCCGTCATGGGTGTGAGGAGTGTAGAAGAAAAAGGACCAAATGTGATGAAACCTTACCAAGCTGTTTACGATGTCAACGACGGAAAATCAAGTGCATCATCACAACCCGACCGTCACGCTGGCGTCAGGAATGTCCCGGGGGGCGTCAAGAACTTCTGCTGTCACCACCAACCTCATCGCTGCTCATCGACGCGAAGCTATTTCAATGGTGGCTCGACTATGCGTGCAAGCTGCTAGTACTAGATTCCCAATCAAACCCGCTCTCCTTCCCACTGATTGAGCACCTCGCCATCTCCCCGGCGCTGTGCTTCGCCCTGGAGAGTTTCAGCGCCGGCCACAAAGGTCGTTGGGCACTGGACTCGCGGGTCCAGTTCCTCGAGAAGCGTAGCCTGGCACTGACTCTTTGCCGCTCCGAATTGATCGCCCGACATGTCCCCCTAGAGACCACCTTCTTCACCGTCCTGCTCCTCGGCATCTCGACGCCATTTACAGAGAATGTCGACAACTATGGGAAGGAGCACCTCATCGGCGCACGCGCCATCCTGGCCATCCTCCTGCAACAGGACAAGGTGGTCCACAGTCCGAGGATCGAACAACTTCTCACCTACTATACGTGGTGGGACATGGCTTGCGCCTTCTCCGTAGACCCCTTGGAGCTACCGGCATTGAGCACTGTCGAGGTGCTTTCTACCGTCAGTCGTGCATCTCAGCCGACCAAACCGCGATTCGCTGGCTGCATGGTCGAGATATACCATGTGTTAGGACTCTTACTCCGATACTGCATGCAGCTTCTTCGGGGAGGCGTACGTGATCTGGAGCACGAATTGACGCTGGAACAGGTCTTGACTGGCTGGCACCCAAACAGCAACCGAGAAGAGGACATTCTCTTCGCGGAAGTCTTTCGGAAACATGGCCTCATCATTCTCTACCGCGTCTGCCGAATGGGTAAATTTACCACTGATGGAAACGGCGAGAGTCCGGACGGACGCTCTGCACTCCTGGTCCACATTTATGCCACCGAGATCATCTCCATGGTTCTGCCTCACAAAATGGGAACTGCTTTCTGGAACTCTCTGATCCCACCACTATTGACGGCGGGCGCCGAACTCACCTCTGATGACGAAGCGCTAAGGCACAGCGTAAGAGACGCGTTTTCATCTGTCTGCTCCCAGTGTCAGACCAATACGCTGGAGCGTGCCAAGAATCTTCTGGAGGAGATTTGGCTGCTCCTGGACACCGGCATTGAGATATCCTATCTGGAGTTGATGCTACTGAAAGGATGGAACTTTTCACTAGTCTGAGTTTGAGATGTGTGCTGGTTACTCTGAGCTCACTCTACGCTCGCTTCCTTTCTATATCCGACCTCTTGTCCCATCCGACAACTATCTTGTAAGCATGTCGAGATTTCTAGATTCCATTTGCGGCTTTCTGCATCCTCTTGCCAACGAGCTACGAAAATGAAACCCCCTGCCAATCCTGCCGAACCGAAGACTCGACAAACTCGCGAAAGGGACGCAGACCGGGAAAGAAGAAACGTGTAGCAAAGACCTTGCCGGGCACGTTACCGCCAAAGATCCAGGACGATGTTTTCTTGAAAAGGCTGCCCTCGACAGCATCCTCGCAGCGTCGAGCCCAACCGGACTCGGCCTCTGGGGTGACTTCGACAACGCCGGTGCGTCCCGAACCACTGCGCAAGTCTTCGGATCTTCGAATCGCGCCCATAATCAGGTCTACTTGACTCTCGATCACTGTCGGGTTGTTAGCGAAAGGCGATTGCGGACCAAGGATCATAAACATGTTGGGAAAACCGGATAGCATGACGCCGCAGTAGCTTGTGATGGTTTTGGACCAGTGGTCCCTAATCGTCTGGCCGCAGCGTCCTACAATATGCAGGCGCGTATAGTTACCGTCAAGGGCGTCGAATCCGGTGGCGAGAATTATAATGTCAAACTCACGCTCGATATCGTCACTTGTGGTGATGCCCCGGCCTGTGACGGCGGTGATTGGCTTGTTCTTGACGTCGACCAAATGCACATTGTCTCGGTTGAACTGCTCGTAGTAAAAGTTGCCGCAAATGGGCCTCCGCGCGTAGTGGTCAAGAGGTGAGAGAATGCGAGCCTTTTCCGGATCCTGAACGATCGTGCGGATCTTGCGTCGCACAAAATCGGCCGCAAACTCGTTGGCCTCGAGGTTGGTTGTCAAGTCTTTGAAGCCGCCCAGCATGAACCAGAACCCATTGCCCTCGTCCCAGAGCTCCTCGAAGACTCTTTCCCTTTCCTCAGGAGTCGCAGATGCGAAGGACCGTGTGCTCTCCTCGAATCCGAAAGCAACAACAGACTTGTGAACTTTGTCCCAGAAGTCGGAAAAGTTGGTATTTATGTCTCGCCTCTTCTCGGCCTGGAACTCGCGATAGCCGGCGGGCACAACATACTGGGGGTGGCGGACGAAGCATGTTAAGGAACTCACGTGCGCTGCAATGCTCGTGGTGACCTGAACACCTGTCGATCCCGTGCCAATCAGGGCGACTCGTTTACCGCGAAGATCAAGATCCTTCTGCCATGCAGCAGTATGGACAATTGTGCCTTCAAAGTCCTGCAGCCCTGGAATATCTGGATATATGGGCTGCGATAATAGACCCATGGCCGAGATAAGGTATCGCACGATAAAGATCTGGCCAGTGCTCATGGTCACGCGCCACATGTTGAGTGCTTCGTCAAAGATGGCCGAACGCATTTCCATATTGAATTGCATGTATTTCCTGAGATCGTGCCATTCCACGACATGCCGCAGATAGGAGAGGATCTCCGCCTGGTAGACGTAGTTGTGAGTGAATGGATACTCTTTGTAGTCCTCCTCGTCGAAAGAGAAGCGGTACAGATGGCTGTGGGTATCGCTCATCGCCCCTGGGTACCGATTCCAGTACCAAGTTCCGCCGACATCACCGGCATTGTCCACACAGGCGAAATTCAAACCCAGTTTGCGCAGTGAATAGGAGGCGTAGATGCCGCCAAACCCACAACCTACAACCAGAGCGTCGAGTCGGGTTTCGACATGTTCGGCAGTGCCGTTCTGCATGGTCCCTGTTTCCTATCTTTCGAGTTGTGCTGCGCTTCGACTTTCTGCGAAGTCACATAGCACAGTTGAGACCTCATACCACATGTGGCTGGGAGGAATAGATATACTAGCACTTAAAAATTTAACTTAAGGCACTGGCTCAAATAACTGCACCATGTTGTAAGACAGAGATGCCAACCCAAATAGTTGCCTATTTTGGCACCGTGTTGCGATCATGGACCGCAGCGATGGGCAGCAATAACCGAGATAGCAGTCCTAGAAGCTCAATTCAATTCGCACAGTGGCAAAGTGTCAGGCTTTCGCCACAGGGTATCAGATCTTGAAGAATTAACGGCTCCAATGGCATGGCTGAACACTCTATGAATACTTACTCTTTCGGGTCCCTTTCCGCTGGAGGGGAAACCGTAGGAATGAGACAACACAGCCACCAACTAATTCTTTCCCAACAAGGGGTCGAACCCATAGTGGACCAGGCCAGAGCGGATTAACCTCCCCAATTGCGAGAGATTGAGAAGAGATCGTGAGGAGTGACTGGTTGCTATTTCTCGCGATTCACTGCATCTGGCCTGGATTTTATGCTTTAGGGAAAAGGGGCAGTGAACTCTCAATGATTTCACACAGCTTACACACACCTCTCCAGTAGTTTCTGAAGCTCAAAATGCCCTCATCATCTATGATCGTGCCACATACAAACAGATTGCCGAGAATATAGTGTGGTGAATAGATTATGTACTTATCGCGTGCAAGAGCTTGGAAGAAGCGCTCTAAAATACAGGTTAAACTACAATTACAGCTTCCCTGGCCAGCTTCCAATGAATGAGCTTAGCTACCGACGGATTCAAGTAGGGGGTATATGCAAAGGCGGATTGTTGAACTCCTTCGCTTGAGGTGATCCAAAAATTACACGAGAGCCCTCAATCCCGTTCAATCCAAGGCCAAATGAATATCTGCCAACTCGTAATTTTTACGTCCATATACGCCCCAGAATGTTGCGGCATATATGAGGGCAAAGACCACCATGACTGAAACATAGTTCATGCTGTCTGCGGCGACAGGCAAGAAATAGGGGAAGCTGTAGATCACCAGCGTCAGGAGCGTCCACAAGATTACAACCACGTTAGCCACCAATCCGAACCGAGGCCAGAAAAAGGGACCCTTGTCATGAAAATGATTACGGCCGCGAGCGAGTAATAGCGCCGCTGGAATAGCATACGTGATGTACTGAAGGAGGACGCCCCCAGAGATGAAGGCGTTGAAGGCGGTCAGCGACGCCAGATAGAGGAGTCCACAGAGACCAACCCAGCAGACTCCCCAGAGGGTGGCCCATAGGGGTGTGTAGTAAGGTGCGGGTGCCAGTCTGCTCATGAACGAGTGGAACGGGGTGCCCTTGTCACGACTCAGCGACCATGTGATGCGCGCTTGCCAGGCGTGGGCGCTGGCCAGGGCGTTAATGAGGCAACCGAGCAAGGCCACTCCAAACACGTAGGCGCAGGTGGGATTACCACTGTAAACCAGGTTGAGGAGGGCAATAATGTCGGTAGTCTTTTCAAGATCGAATGCCGCGAAATAGATGCCTAGGGATATCATGACTCCAACCAAGAGCCCCATGCCCGTGATACACATGAGAGCCTTAGGGATGTTCTTCCGAGGCTGCTGGATCTCTTCGGACAGGTGCGTGGCGGCATCTAGACAGGAGAAACTCCAGTTCACACCATTCATCCCAATGAGGAACGCCATGCCGTTGGGCCATCCAGAAAGGTTGAAGTACTCGCCGGCGCCAAAGACCACAGCCGCGGATTGTTTTTGGGAAGACGGTGCCAGTAGGCAGATGAATATAGCCATTGTGACCACGATGACGTAGATTAGAAAACCCTTGGCCAACCTTGGGAGGACGAACTCGTAAATGGTGAGGGAAGCGGCTAGGATGTTGAAGGTTTCCATGGCCAAAAATCCCATCCATCGTTGATACGCAAAGTCTGGCCGGCTTAAAAAGACCATCTGAAAGACGATGTTGGCCGATGCCTGCGCACTCGACGCGCAGATACAAATGACGGCTGCCCATGACAAGATGGCTGTCATGTAGGAGAAGAACCGTCGATGCTTGGCAGGAGAGAGCTGCGCGGCCCAAAAGTATTGGCCACCAGCGTGAGGAAATGCGGAGGTCAGCTCTCCTAAAGTGATGGCGACGCAAAAGGTGACGGCAGCGATGAGGAGCGTCGAGTAAAAGAACAAAGGTCCTGCACCAAAAGCGGTATTCCCTACCACCAGCACCATCGAAATACCAGTATTGGTGATGTTGAAGCCCAGCGAGAGGGCCGACCACATCGTAAAAGGTTTCTTTGGCGTCGCAAGGCGACTCTCAGTTGTTGTCGTTGAGACATCACCAAGGCCAAATTCCTTGTCGACGTTTTGACTGTCGGACTCAGCGATAGCTTTCTCGTGGCCTTGTTCGGACATATCTGCAGGCAGTAGGAAAGTATCAATATCACAAGGTATAGCGAGGTCCTCTTCAAGGATTGCCTGAGATCTTGTTGCTTAGAGGCCCACGTGCGCACGAAGACGGGGGCGAGAGTCATTATACGTCTTTTCTGCTTTGTCGCACCCATGGAAGGTCGATTCCAAGTCCCTCCAACATGGCTTCGGATTGTTGAGGATCCTCCGGTCGAGTCTAATCAATCAGAGTAGGTAGGCCTGGAGGCTCACTGGATCATGTCCACGATGATAAAAGACCTGCCCTTCTTGGGACCAAAACGAAGTCTTATCTGTCCGAGTTTGGATCTGGCCTCTGGCTAGAGGACTTCATCCAAAAATTAGAGTTCCTACTAGATCTAGGCACAATACGGGCCCGGTTAAAGGCCGGTGACTCCAAATGATCATCGGTCCTCGTCCTCGTCCTCTGAATGGTGAATCGAAAGCGGCTAGGGCGTGTTCAGCCCAGAGCGCCCCGCAGCACGGCGATGAGTTTGGCGTTCAAGGCAAGTCCTCGAATTCCTACCGGATTAGGATGCTAAACGGACCAGAGATTCCGGATTCCGGGGTCTTAACCAACTAATGCCGTTGTCTCTAGGCCCATGCCTAACTAAGACACTGTGGGCTCGCCATTACGGAATACTGTCGTTTCTTAGGTTCCATAAACAGCTCTTCCAGCATCACAGAATCTCAGCATCAAGTCAGAGTCTTTAGATGCCCGTCAGAAACTCTGGCGAACATGTTAGAAGCTTTCTCCTTAGCGAGCAAACCCAATCCCTACACCTCTGAAAACTACCATAATCGGTAGCAATCCGCAGACACCTGGATCAAGGATTGACTGAGAGGGGCCACTCAGTTCTCCAGCAACAACGGCTGCAGTCGCTATGGCATATTAGTCTATTTACACATGCCATGGCATTTTGTTTGATCAGACATACAAGCTCAGTACGGTCGCCAATCTATACATCGACCAACCGACAACATCTGCCTTTGATCGATTTTTTATTTTTTGTTTTCTTTTTTTGGAAATTTCGAGACCTCGTCTGGGCGTGACATGGGTTCAATACAGGACGAAGCACGCGTGAACCGCGTGGTGGGCTCGCTGCAAGATAAAGTGGTAAGTCGTTTATCTGCTCACTCGAAACCATCTTCTGCATTCTTTGCGGATCAGTTGGTGCAATGGAAGATATCTGATGCCGGTTGAAGATTGCCATCTCTGGTGCCGCTTCGGGAATGGGAGCTTGCATCGCCCAATTGGTTGCGAGTCGAGGCGCCATCGTGTCACTCTCGGACGTGAATGAATACGGCCTCCAAAACACGCTCAAGTCGCTACCCGGCAAGAATCACATCTACACCTTGGTCGATGTGCGCGATGCGGGTGCGATCGAAGACTGGATTCAACGCACCGTCAAAGAGTTGGGGCGGCTGGACGGTGCAGCCAATTTTGCCGGAGTTCTGTCTTGGGAACGTCGGAATAAGATCCAGGATGAGACGGAGGCCAATTGGGACTTCCACATGAATGTCAATGCGAAAGGCGTCTTTCTGTCTGTGGGCGCCGAGGTCCGACACATGACGGCGGGGGGAAGCATTGTAAGTCGACTTGTCATCACGCTTTCCGCGCTTATTCTTGTCAACAGGTGAATGCCGCCAGCGCCGCAGGCCTCATTGGCTTCCCCACCATGGGACCATACGTGGCCAGTAAACATGCGGTCATTGGTATCACAAGATGCGCCGCAAAGGAAAACCCGCATCTTAGATTCAACTGTGTGGCTCCAGGTATGGCTTCATATTCACACTGGGGTCAGTCCGGTACTGTTCCGCTGACAAACTGCTTGGCAGGAGCAATCGAGACGGCCATGATGCCCGCCGATGAGGACATCAGAGCTGCCGAGATAAGTGGACAAATAATCAAGAGGATTGCAGACCCCATGGAGGTTGCCAATATTGTGGCATTTTTGCTCAGTGACGAAGCTTCATTCGTCACCGGCGCTGTCTACACCGCGGATGGAGGCTGGACAGCATAAGCATGCATTTATGTCGTATTTTCAGAGCATGACTTAGGCAAACCTGGTTTTCCCTGGTTGTGTAGAACTACAAGTAGTCTCCGTCCTAGCCATTCACACTGGCCGACTTGGGTATATCTGTTCCTACTGCCGCCGTCGCCCCAGCATCAACCGGTAAAATCACGCCAGTAATCCATCGAGCCTGTGGCCCAGCAAGAAACCTCACCGATGAGCCGACGTCCCAGCCATTGCCTTCTGTCTTGAGTAGACTCCTATTCTTTCTCGACTCCCTCGCCTCGTCTGCCATCCCTCCAGCATACATCATGGGCGTATAGACCATTCCCGGACATACGCAGTTGACTCTGATGCCATCCGGGGCATGGTTTGCGGCCATCGCTCTCGTCATGTTCACGATCGCGCCTTTAGATGTCGGATAGAGCAAGTGAGGTGTCCCGCCCTTGATACCAGCCACACTCGCCATATTGACGATAGAACCTCTATAGCCCCATTCATTATCGTTCTTGATCATCTCTGGAATCGCATACTTGGCCATCATGACCATGCTCGATACGTTGATTTCCATCGACTTCGTCCACGCAACCATGTCCACATCAACAGCCGTGCCCGGTGCGCCTCCGATGCCCACGCAGTTGAGTAGGATATCCAGCCTGCCGTACTTCTCTACTGTAGCTTTGACAATCTGTGCGCATTCGCTTTCCACGCTCACGTCGGCTTGTAGCGCGATGGCGGCACCTTTCCCCTCGGCTTCGATCATTTCCACCGTGCGTTGTGCTAGTTTAAGGTCTCTGTCGACGCAGACGACACTGCAGCCGTCGTCGGCGAACAGAATGGCAGATGCTCGTCCATTGCCGATCCCATCGCCGTATGCTCCTGCGCCGGTGACAATGGCGACACGGCCCTGGAGAGATCGAGGTGGCTTGGGGAATATGTATTCCATTGCCAACTCCACCTATCGCTTATCAATCTGTCTTTGCTTGCAAGTGCACTGTGTCTGAGCTTGGAAACCTGTTCACGCTATGAGACATGCAACATGGATTTATTCTTGGTGTTTCTTACAAGCAAGAGATGTTCAAGTCAAGTTGCATGCCATGGGGGCTCATTACTCCAAACTTGGGTTCGTCCGAGGCTCGGATCTGAACTTTACATTCTTTCGGATCTGTTCCTCAACGCTCATCTCATTTTGAACGATCATTGGTTATATAGCTACTTGTGTAGTCTTCGTGGTTCTCCATTCAGATTATTGTTATGAACAGCGTCCACTTGGTTGCTTGGACGATTGTTCTCCGTGGCCGTGGCCGTTGCAAGCCCGAGGCTGGCCAACCGATGGCGTTTCGGAACTGGGCAACGCAATTCTCTTACAGGGACCGCCAATTAACCAGCTTTCAACAGATTTAGATATAGGCATTTCCGAAATAGTCCGAGTGAATCGAAGTATGTGATATGATACAAGTAATGACACAAAAGCCCCCATCACTAAGCCATGCCGCGTGAAACAGTGAACATATACTCATGTATCATTCCGTAGGTCCATTGCTCCAGTTTCGTATATATTGACATCCTTCTCTTTATCTCATCCTGCCGAAAGTCATAGACCAAGCGGGTTCTCAGCATTCTGTTCCTTCCCACCAAACGGCTCTTTCATTCTTTGTCCTTCAGCCTCGGCGGCTTTCGCGGGACCGCCTTCTGCGTTTCCATATCCGACACCTGTCTCTTCGCCCCAGGCCTTGCCGCCTTTCATAACGCCGCCGACAAGAGGCTCGACAAGGCCACCGATAGGTCTTCCAAGCGTCTCGAGGCCTTTGCCGGTGTACTTGCTCACCGGTGCAAGCGTCTCTTCAATCTTCTCGCCTGCGGCGTTGCCGTAGCTTTCAGGCTTTGATGCCCAGTGGGCGCCTACTCAAACACTTATCGTTAGCATCGGAGTGTACGCTGGTAATAGACATAATACCTTCGCCTTGACCGTCACCTTGAGGTTGAAGGTTCTCCTTGTCCTCAACGGGACCCTGGTTTTGGGATTCAGGCATGGTTGGGTTACGATTTGGATGGTTACTCTGGTCACTGTTGTCCACGAGGTTGATATAGTTTTCACGTGTGATGCTCATGCTTTGCTCTAGAGGCTCGCTCGCTTACTATATGTAGGAGGAACATGGCGCCACATTGCGCTGAGTGAACCCCTCGCTACATCATAGTCCACATGTGCAACACATTCAGAGCAGGGATTTTGCCAGGCAAATGCGGGATAGCGACCTGGAATTACTCCTCATGCATGACGTAGTGGCGGACAGGGATGGGCGGCAAAGGCATGTAGCACCTTAGACTTGCCACGTTCAACCCCGTGGGCTCTCTCTTAGCTTCGTGTGACACCCCAAATATTGCACCTCCAAACTTGTGCATTGCAGCGTTATGCACTGTATGAGATGCAAGGTATGCTTACCACCGAGCACGTCAAGATGTAATTGGGGCAATAGTCCATGCGACTGGGCTACTAGATTGATACAACCTGACACATGTATTCTGACAGTATTGAGCCCATTGGTCTCGCTAATGAAGGTAGAGGTTGGGTGCATATTGCTGGATGCCTTCTGAAACACCCTCTTGACGCGCGCGAAATCATGCGCAGCAAAAGGGCTGTACAGCCTTGGGCCCTTTTGTCTTAAGGTAGGCTTGTGTCTCGACTCGATATGAAAGAGCTGCCACCGTGAGTTTGAAATGTCCCTTATGCTTCGCTTCCTTCAATCCTGCCTGAATAAACTCACGACAGCAGCATCTTACCATCCCTTCCTCTGCTTGCTTTATGATTTGAGCTCAGGCTGCTGCAATTTTGTGGCAAGGCTGTTGAGACTACCTTCTCCCCGGCCACTCGTTGTTCGGAGGAGCCAGTACGTTTGGAGGAGCCAGTACGTTTATCAGCCCTTAGCCACTTCTCGGCACATCAGGACTTTCGAATTTTGTCCCACTTCGAATTCCTGTCCTGAAATCTGCTTGAAAATCAATCAGGTAGATATTGATTCGGCTGCCACTAGTTATACTGCTATATCATTTGTTTATGGCGATCGCAGCTTGAGCCCGCTTGTCTCTATAACACTGGACGGGTACAACGTCCAAATTCCGCCCAGTCTGCACTCGGTTCTGACACGATTCCGATCTTCTGGACAAAACGCTCAGTGCTTTTGGGCCTCCGCAATATGCATCAACCAAGCAGAGACCGAGGCCGGACTGGCTGAGAAATCGCTACAAGTACGGATGATGGATGAAGTTTACTCCAAAGCCGAAGAAGTCATCGTCGACCTAGGGGACTCAGATGAGGATACCGAAGAGCTACTTCTGGAACTTAACCGCTATCAGCTCATCCCGGAAAGTGTTTGGTTTCAGATCGACATTAAAGCCTCTCAATCGTCGATCGCTCGCAGTATCGAGCTGTGTACAACAATGAAACTTCCAGGACCGACCTCGAAATTTTGGCACACTTTTCGCCGCTTCATGGGTCGGCCGTGGTTTATCAGAGTCTGGATTGTGCAAGAATTTGCTCTCTCTCAGAGAGCACGCTTCATGATTGGTCCACACTTTCGAGACAAAAAATTCCTTCGCAACGCGATTTCACGAGCTGCGAAGCATCTCGAAATCCTCTATCTACAGGACAGATTTTACAATGCCCCCGTGGAACCGAACAAGACTCTTGGCGACGCAATCTGGGACGTACTACCGAAATATCATGCTGTGCATAGGATAAGCCTAACTGCCGAACAAGCGGGCACCTCGAGAAGTCTTTGCGAGCTGCTGGACGCCACTACTACATATTTCAAAGCCACAAAGGACTGTGACAAAGTTTATGCCCTTCTTGGCATGGTGACAGATGCAACGATCAAATCAGATATAGTCGTGGACTACAATGAGTCGCTGGCAAATCTCATGCTTCGAACAAGCCAGTATCTCATTCAACGTCAAGCTAGAAACTATGTGCTCTACCACTCCGTCGGCGATCGTCCTGGCTACTCGTCCTGGACGATCAACCTGCAAGGTCCTCCTGATGGATTGCCCCACCTCATCAACCCCGATGGCGCACTCAAGTATGGCGATTTCACTGCTGGTGGTCTGTCTAGCTATGAGTGCCAACCATCTCAGTCTCGAGCGGGTGGAATAGTAGTTCGAGCTTGTGTGGTCGATGCCATTCATATGGCAATGGCACGAGGTATTCCAAGTAACTCTGAGCTGTCTACTCAGGAGGACCTTGCATCGCATGCGAAATGGAAGCTTCATGCCGTCAAATGGATGCTTGATGTCGTACCCACCCAGTCGCTCCCGCTGCATGAGTTCACGAAACTATGCTGGCGAGTAATTGTAGCGGATCTGATAATGCCGAGTGAAGGTGAGGGTCGTGGCTATTGCCGCATGCGAGACTGGCCTGGATCCGCACGATGTCTGGACACCGTAAACACAATCTTCCGAGCAGTGTACCAAAAATGGACTGGAGAACTACCGGCATCATACACGATGGACTTGACTTCTACACAGTTGAATGATATCCGGATCTACGGCGACAGCATGTCACACACGACTGGGCGGAAGTTGGCCATGAGCCACAAATTAAACGGAGCTTGTCTGGTGCCGTCTGATAGCAGAATTGGAGACCACATTGTCGTTGTTCAAGGCTGCCAAATGCCTTTCATTATGAGACTCGATTGCGATGAGAAGGGCGACTATTATCGTCTTGTCGGCTGTGCTTATGTGCATGGCGTTATGGATGGGGAGATTATGCAAGGACAAGACTGGAATTTCAAGGATCTGGAAATTTGTTAGATGGTCTACTATGGCATGGTTGTTCTTGGACGGTTGAAACAACAGCCATGCCATTTCATCGGGATAGATTGTCCATCGTGCGAGGATCTCTGAGAGAATGAGACTGCAACCACTCTGACGAACCAAGTGATTCTTTTCTTGGAGTTACAAGAAATTAATACTTCGCAACTCCTGACGAGCTGTTATGTGCGACGTAAAATCTAAAACTGGCAACAGACTCAATAGGTTGCAAGAGACAATTCCGTATCTCGTAGAGGCGTGACTGGATGGGTATATTCCACTCCCTTGTGGGTACGAGGGTTAGTGAGCATATCTACCACGTTGTCGGTCCAAAGGTCTCTCCCTCAGCCACTGTCTTCCTTCTCGCCATGCCCAAGTAATCCTGTGAAGCAGTCAGTATCGAAAAAGTCCAATAGGTTGTCAACGGGTTGACTTACCAAAGTCTCGAACACCTGGACATTTCCCCACCACTGGGGAACCGTCACATTCGGCAGGGTAATTGCGAAGAAGACAACCAGTGTACAAATAACCAGGCCCGAGTCCAGTGCCGCAGAAGTGATGTAGTTGTACTGCTTCCACCATCCATTCCAGCGGCGTTGGATGAAGTAATTGAAAGTCAAACCCACGACTGCCCAGGTAGAAAAGTTCAATGGCGTAGCCGGAGGCAACCAACCCATGGAGCCGAGTATCACAGGAGCATTCAGGTATCGGACGAACGATCTGGGGTACTTCCAAAGCGCAAGGTAGAAGATGACTGGCAGAATGGCTCCTGCGAGCCAGAAGAAATGGATGTTCGAGTACATCGAGTTGGAGCCCAGGACGCGTGCAGGGCCAATGACACCCCAGACTATCGAAGATGAGAAGAAAGTACTACCGTTCGGGCAGGTGAAGTGACTTGGCTGAGTTGGAGTGCAGATCTCGCTGATATTGCCCAAAGCCCAGTTCATCACAGATATCTGCACAAATACAGCCCACGTAGCTGCAACGACCTGACAGGCGAATGTCGTCCTGGGAGGAATCTTCATGTAGTGAGCCATCTTCAGATCACCACTGAAGACTTGTGCTTGACCGAGGACGATGGTGCTAAACACCTTGAAGATCATGTTGCCTATGGGTCGTCCAGGGATTATGTAGCCTGCCAAGAATGGTGAAAGCACATTCAAGGAGATCTGGATGTTTGTCATGCCATAAATCATACACAAAGGAATGATGAAGATGAAGGCAAGAAGACACGAGAGCAGGAACGACCACCATGGCATGTTGGTCTCGAATCCAAGGACTGTGGCCAATCCGAAAGCCATGGCAACCACCCAGAGAACTCCATACCACCAATCCGGTGCCTCAGGATATTTCTTCATCATCTTGAAATGGATGTCGGGCTCTTGGTTGCGAGCCTCCTTGAAGCGATACCAAATTTCCTTGCGGTGGAAGAGGATAGTGTGAACAAGCGAGGCAGTCAGCCCGGCAAAGGACAATCCGTAATTCAGAAAGAAGGTCGGTGCCAGGAAAATGGGTGAATAGGTCTTGTACTTCTCCAAGTCGAGCGTGAATTCAGGTGTGAGGATCTTGGTCACATTATATCTCGTCGCGGTATTGTCAAAGGTACGAGATGTGTTGATTGGTAAATAGTCGGAGTAGAACGCACCACTGTACGCAATTCCAAGAGCAGGAATGATCATGACGAGCACCAATCCTACCAGTAAATTGAAGTGAGCGTGCCAGGGTGAAAGTAAAGGACTTTGAATGTAGCCCGAGATTTGCGTCCAGTCAAACGTGATTGGGATCAGGGACAGCCCAGTAAATCCGCCAAACAGCTGGTTGACGACAACGTTCTCAGGCTTGATCCATGTCGCAAACGCGAAAACGGATAACCCTTGCCAAAGGACACCAGGAAACCAATAGTATGCGAACATGCCACAAGTAAGATAGATGAAATATCGGTATTGAGAAATCTTCCATCCGTTTGTCTCAGAAGGTTCGGCTTTACGCTTATCATGTAAGGCGTACAGGAGAGATGTTGTGCCGAATTGACCAGGCCAGATCATTGCTGCAGGCCACACGAGAAATCTTCGAAACATGCCGGACAACGCGATACCAATAAGCTGGCTCGACAGGGTGAAGAGCAGGGCGAATCCCCAACCCATCGGATGATTGTAGAGGGACTTGGCTTGAAGTGCTTCCAACGCATTCGTGCTGTATGCATAATCTGAAGTTATCTTTGCCATCAATGCAATCACAGTATGCTCCTTCACACTGAATCGCCCTGGATTGAGCGTCCATTCTAGCCCGAAGGTGTTGAACTTGTGCATAGGCATGACCTTCGCCCAGAAATGGCCGATAGGATATGTGATAATGATGACCACAACAGCCGGGATAGCAATTGAGGGAGATCTCATACTGAGGAACATGTTGATGCCAGTGACGAGGGTCGACATGGTCATTCCTATGATCCATGCACGCAGAGTGTTTGTGTATTCGCCATCGTCGATATCTCGCACGGCGGCCTGAACCTCGAGATACGGGGATTTCTCTATCATCTCCTTTTCAACCTCAAACATAGTCTCAGGTTCTCCGACATGCAGTGCCTGAGATATGGCGTCCGCCTTTGCTTGGGGCAGATTGGGATCCCATTGATGCGCTTTTTGGAATTTCTCAATCTCTTCATGCCTCTCGGTTTCTGAGAGGGCGATTGAACCTCTCACAGGATGAATTTGCCCATCTCCTCTGGAGATTGTTGGTTCGATTCCAGCATCGAGGTTCTTTTGATCCATTGCTGGAGGCTTTCTAGAATGGCTAGGAGATCCACCTCCACATATGAGGCTGGGGCGACTTCGCAGGATATTTGTACTTATCTGCGGCAGTTCACTGAGAGACAAGTTTATCTCCACCACTATCAGGTGCCATCGGGATGGCCTGCCGATCCGTGATTGACATGTTACATCGCATTATCATAAAAGATCGCTTAGTTCAGTTTATGCTCGGTAGGATAGGGATGTAGTGAGGGGTTGAACTATACCAAATAAGTGCACTTGTCGAACATGTAACCTGATCTCGCAGATGACCGCTCGTTGTCTTACGGGGGCCGTTGAGAGTGGAATCCACTTAGATTAGGATCTTCCAAGACGGGTAAATTGACTGAGCCAACCAGAATTCTCAAGTTTTGAATGATAGTGCTCTTAATTGACCAAGGTGGCCAACTTCGGGGTAGCGCCAAAGGGCCAGGAAGCAGCACCGGTGCTGTTTCTAGTTGGTATCGAATAGTGACCTATACCAGGGAAGATAGCGTAAAGTCATTGTCCCTTCCAAAGCCGATGATAGGGCCTTCAACCTAAACAATAATAGCGCATTGCCATAACTGGACATGGAAGGTCTTAAGGTTGGCAAGACACCTAGTTAGTTAAGTATGCATACCGGCTCGTTTGGGGGTACCGGGTCCGGGCCCGTGCTCATACCCCTACATCTTCTGATTGACCTTAGTCCAGGTAGGAAGGTCGCCCATACGGCTTGCAGATAACTGATGGCCACAATCATAATATTATCTGACACTGGGCAGTGTCCAGAATCCACAACCCTAACTAGCGCTTAGGAAAGATGAGTCTTGCATTCGTGGTAGTCTCAAATGACTAGTTCTTCTCATAGAATTTCCAGGAAGGCCTAAAATCAGGATCGATCGGAAAATTCCGCACCAGTGCTCGTAGAACCTCTATGGGCATTTCGTTCTCATGTAACACCTTATCGTGGAACTCTTTCTCGGTCATTTGCCCACTTTGTAAGACTTCTGCACGGAGCGCATAAAGCTGCAACGCCCCCAGCATGTATCCGGCCTGGTAGAGTGGTGAATAGTCACCATTGAAAGATCGGCGTACTTCTCCAGTGGCTGTGGCGCGTTCATGACCGACCTTGTCTACCAGAAAGTCGATGCATTCTTGAGGAGTCATCTCTCCAAGGTGAAACTTGATCGAAAAGATAATGCGAGCGCATCGATGCATCCGCCAGAACAACATGCCGATTCGATTTTCTGGTGTTCCTGGAAAGCCCTTGTCCCAAAGGATGAATTCCCAGTACAATGCCCAACCTTCCATCCAGAAGGGAGTGTCAAAGATACGGCGATAGGGACGATGGCGTTTGATCATATGAAACTGCAAATGGTGACCTGGAATGAGCTCATGGAAGACAGTGGATCTTGAGAGAGGGATGCTGTTACCACGCATAGACATGAGTTTGTCCTCGTGTGACATTTTGTCCGTCGGGTATGACACCTGCATAGTATTCCCCCCAAGGAAGAAAGGGTTGGCCTTTTGTCGTTCCGGAGATATCATCAACATTCGCCAGGTCTCTGCAATTTCGGGAACGGTGACAAGATCGTGGTCTTTCACATAGTTTGTTGCTTCAATCGCTAGGTCATGGATGCCGTATATCTGCTGGCCAGGCCCAACATACATGTTTTTCACATGCTCGAGCGCTTTGCGCCAATCGGACCCGTAGCCCATCTCGCAGGATGCTTTCTTGGCCTCGACCTCGCACCATTGATATTCCATTTCACCGATGTGAATTAATTCTTCAGGTGAGTAGGCGATCTTTTCGAAATCGAGGTCGGCCAGAATTCCGTCCCGACCAATTGGCTCCCCAATGATGGGATCCTTCACGGAGTCATCGAAACCAACTAGATCCGTTTGAATACAGGCAATGAGGATGCTGAGATTCTCCTGGAAAGTTGCGTAGGGTTGCGAAACCCACCAACTGTAGAGAGGTTCATATCCGAGATAGAAATTGTGCCAATCGCGGAGGACTGAACTCAGCTCTTCGAGTTTGTAAGCAGTGCGATATGCAATAGTGCGCTCGATTTTCCCCCTAAAGATACCACTCGAGATAGCCTGTTTGAGGTCGCGGGCGCTGTTGTCTGCTCGAGTGAAAAGCGCGGCAACTTCTTGGAAATCGAGCTTTTGAATCCGTTGTCGTGCTTCGAAAAGTTCGATGATTATGAACGCAAATGATCCAACGAGTTTGAGTACCTCGTCATCTTTTACCTTATCGGACCTCAACCTTTGCAGCGAGCTCTTCAGATAGTTATTCAGCAGAGCATAATCAACCTGACCTGCTTGGTTGAGCTTTCCGAATGTGATATTCGAAAGTTCCTCCAATTTCTTCTCAAGATAGTGTTCGACCTTCTGGAAGCGCGTTGGCGACAGAGTTATGTTGTAGAACTTCTTCAGCTCACCGAGGTCTTCCTTTACTGTTTGAATAATTGTTGGCATCGTTTCCTGATCAACGGGAACAGCTTTGCTGTTGACATCCTCCTCCACCTTGACCTTACCAGGAAGGTTGGGATGCTGATGGGCTCCCGGCACTTTGCGCAGGGAAACCATTATGATATGCAAGAAACACAAGTAGAGTGGACGAATGAATACACAACAATTTACTGGCGTGGCATGGCAGACGTAAATCTGGGATATGAAATCGGGGAGAGAAGATCAGCCACCTATTCAGGTATCTACCAACCAAGGCCAGTCAAGGAGACTTAGGGCTGCCAAAGCCGGAGGCGCCTGTCGCTGCGCCCGTCGCTGCGCCCATGGGCCATGCTGCGGGACATGAATTATCTGAGGAAGCTACCCCTCTAGGATATCTACCATGCCCGCCATCAATCGGGAATGTCCCTCAGGACTCCGAACTCTGACTAGGCTAGGTAACTACCTACCTAGATACCTAAGGTGATAAGGGAATGAGAGACCTTGGGGTTGCCTCCAGGCGCCTCAGCCCCGCGTGGCTCCAACTACAGGCGGCTGATTTGTTCCATTAATCTCCCTCGCTCCCAACCGTCTAACTTAGTATACTGATCAAGGATTTCTAACGGCCCCAGTTAGTATCACGGCCCGTTCCATCTCCTGTCACTTACTGGCAGGGCATTGCATTTCTTTTTATGCTGGGTTCAAGTGGTGCCACACATTCGTTCGTTCGCGTAGTCGACAAACGATCGAACGAGGGTTTCATATGTAGTCAAACATCGAGCTTCCCTTCCTGGCCAAAACGATTTTGTTTAGCTTCCAGCATGTTCTTGACTTCATATCAGCACGCATGCCATGTTAAAAAGATGTCACCTACTGACTGGGTGCGAAGCATGGCAGGCTTTTCCTTCTCCAAAGACCTTGACCCCCTATTAGGGCAGCCCTGTGAACATTTGTGAGCAATTGGTTGTTTGGATCCAGCTTGTGAAGCGCTGCTATCCAGCATGACTCCTCTCGAGCGATTTTCACGGAACTCGAGAGCTGTGATATATCAAAGCTGACTGTCTCTTGAAACTACACAAGTCGCAAGCCACTCCGACCCATGGCGTTGTTTACCTCAGCATGAGCACATATCTCACGTTTGAGGTGATGACTTCGATCTTAGATGAAATCTTCACCTTCGTGCCAATCACTTGGCATATCACGTTCGTTGGCTGGCATTGAACAATGATACCATCTTGTTTGAGGTACGCTCCATCGCAGAGATCGGGGTTGAAACATGGCACGCAGCCATCATGACACAGGAGAAACTATTTAAACGACGGTAGGTGCAACATGATGGGTGTTCTCGATCAAACCAAAATCCTTCTCGAACTCAATCTCATTCTACCAGAAACACCATCGCAGATTTTCATCCAAGTTTTGACCGCCAAAAGAAAAATGGGCGCCGTTCACTCCCAACCGGTCCTAGAGGAAGCCGATCCCTAGACCCTCAATCGCCGGTTGACGAACATGAGCATTGTTCGGACGACAAGTGGACGAGGATACACGATGATACATGTCGCGAAGATGAACCAGAGGAGATCTTGGAGCTTCCCAGGGACGAAGCAAAGGAGCATTGACGGCGGCGACGAAGGGGCAGTTGGGTGAGAGATCCACGGCCAAGGAATTCCAATCTACAAGGAGTCATTATTCGCGAGAAGCTGGTCAACGTGCAGTGTGGCTATCATATAGGTTCACTAGAGTTCGATTACCTATAGCATGTCAGTCATAGAAAGGCATCAGTTATCGGCGGCAGAGGAGAACGACAAATCAAATAGCAGCGTGGACGTTTCTTCATTTTCAAGGTACTAAAGCGTGGCTCAGAGACTGCTTTCGAGGGTTGGACTTGTAACCAGCACTTATAATTGTGATCCCAGAACCGCAAATCAGGTGTTCAGAAGCCGAAAGGCCGCCTTTGGGTATTGCAAAAGGCTCCGAATGTCGAGATCGTCCGAGTGATATCGGTCCAAGTACATGCAAATCGCTCGGCCCTCCAGATAAGTCCGTGGACGCAGCCACCACACCCCCAGTTGACTAGCTCTCATATACCAGTACGCCAATATCAAGAGGGCGCGTGGATCCTTACAGCCCAGTAAAGCTTTGAATTCTGCCGTCATGTTAGTGAAACCCCAAAACTCCATGATGACCTGCACAGGATGGCATAGCGGGTCGAGAACCCTTGCGAGACGGACGATGGCGTCGCGGTAGTGGTTGATCTCGTCGGTGTCGGTATCTGACAGGTTGTACAAACGGATAAAGGGAAGAGGAAGTTGTTTGAAGTTTGGTCCAGTGCGCAGCGTGAATTCTGTCTCTGGATGGAGAATGACAGTCAAAGCACTGAAGAACGGGTCATCGTGGAGTAAACTCGTGATATTAAAGATCTCGCGTTTTCCTTTTCCTATCTTAATCCAGTCGATCGTGGGAGTCGAATTTGGCCGCAGTGGCCACACGTCTTCGGCACTTTCGCCATCAACTTGTGCGAAGACAATGATGCTAAGCAGGGCTGAGGCAACCCAGAGCCCAGCCTGTTCCGCCACTTGCATCGGGAGGGCGAGTTGCTTCTGCAGGGTCGCGGCAGCTTGGTAACAGTGGTACGTTTCCCTGCTAGATGGTCCACCGCTGAACACGGGCGATAGGAATCGATCGTGCATTAAAGTCAGTGTTAGTAAAGTGTGCATGAGATAAGAGCTCTGTGATTGGATGAGTAATGGTCTTCATTGGTGGTCCGTCATTGATAGACAGCAGATAGGCCTACCGTATGTGCGAGGGTGATGATCTCATTCTGGTAGATCTTTAGGCGCTTGCCGTCACTAACGGTGAGAGAGGTTCGGTTGCGGAATCTCCTCAGCACCTGTTCATGCTCGCTGATTCGATAGGGCAAGTATGAAGGAAGGACAGTCTCCGTGATTAAGACCCCAGAAAGGGCGGCTGCTTCCACCTTGAGATGCAGGTCAAGATTCGTGCCATCGTAATTACACATCACTCCATAAGAACCACACTTCCGGCATTGCGGTTTGGTTTCATCGCACTAGAGGCAAAGTTCAGCCAGGGAAGACTCAGCAATACCAATTCAATATCTGTACCTTCACACTGCGGAGTTTGCAATTTCGGCATCCCTGCTTGGATTTGGAGTGTGCCTTGATCCGTCGCTTGCCTGAGGTGACGGGCCACGTTTGGACTTGGCTTTGGACTGTCATCGGATTCGACAAGCCGGCCAGATGAGCTAGTGTGATGCCAGTTTCGTGGGCGCGCAGAATCCGAAGTGTAGCTAGCTGATGATATCGCGAAATGAATGTGGCTAGTACTGGAAGGATAAATTTGTCATGGGAGAAGAATTAACAATACTAGAGCCCGAAAGACAGATCTTCGCTCACAACTCGACCATCAATGCGGAAAACAGGCATACGAAAATCGATATACCAATCGGGGAGTTCTTGTCTTGAATGACGTGCAGGATATATGTCAACAAACCAATGACAGTCCTGAAAGCGCAAGAAAGTTGAGAAGTCATCCAAAATTGAACCTGGATCGATATTGACATGAGGCATAAGTGTGTCGTTGCGTTCGATGGTGGAGGAGTGTGGTCGGACATAGTCGTACATTGCACCCAGATCATTGGCTAGGCTTAAGGCGTCCCAAAGGCATTGCGGCACATCAATCTGGCCGCTTTCTTCCCTAAGACTCCACCTGATACGCGTGGTTGGACTCTCTTGCGCAGTGTGGCTTGCAATTGGAATGGGAGCTAACCGGCGCTCGGATTCGAAGCCTTTTAGGGTTGTAAACTGCGACAGGGGTTCGGGTTTCCAGAGAACATTTGAAGACTGGCCTGAATGATGGCCAGGTTCGGGCACTCGATACTCGTATGCATCTAACTGTCTTTCGGACGGAGATTAGAGTCGGTGCATCGCTCAAGTCACTATATATGGACGACTCGAAGTACGATGCAGAACACTCGAAAAAGCTCACCTCGCACGCGAAAGTCGAGACCAAAACAGACACATAACGAACAGGCAGAGGATGGCACAGAACAACGCAGGTAAAATGTTCAAAAACAAGGCGGCTTGGTTGATGGGCAACAAAGTGAGACCTCTTGTGGTCAAATCGGCGCCATATACTCCTCCCAAGATGGACGAGATTGTCATCAGGAACGGAGCAGTGGCGATCAATCCGGTCGACGTCATGATACAAAAGGTTGGCTCCCAGATGGCATTCCCTTGGGTCAAGTACCCTTATATCTTGGGAGTTGACACTGCTGGGGAGGTCGTTGAAGTTGGCTCCAAGGTGACGCGATTCAAAGTGGGAGATCGTGTCCTCGGTCAGACTCTGGGTGGTGATAAGAACCGAAGTGGAGCGCCGGAATGCTCCTTTCAAGACTACGTTGTCTTGCTCGCAGATATGACTTCACATATCCCAGACGATTTGTCCTATGAAAAGGCATGTGTGCTGCCCCTCGGGCTTGGGACAGCAGCGTGTGGCCTATATCAAACAGACCAAATGGCACTTGCGCTGCCCACGAAGAATCCAGCGCCAACGGGGAAGACGATACTCATCTGGGGAGGCTCAACAAGCGTGGGGAGCAATGCCATCCAGCTGGCAGTTGCTTCCGGGTACGAAGTCTTCGCCACAGCCTCGCCCAAGAACTTTGCATACGTTCGCTCCTTGGGTGCAACCAAAGTATTCGACTATAACAGCCCGACGGTGGTTCCGGATATTGTCCAAGCATTCCAAGGCAAGACCACTGCTGGAGCAATGTGGCTCGGGAAGGGATCAGGCACGGTATGCATGGACATCATGAGTCAGTGCAGAGGCAACAAAGTTGTCTCATTGGCGGCATACCCCATGCCTCCAGAGACTCCAACAAGAATGGTTATGCTCACAATCGTGTACTATTATCTCTCGGGACAAATAGCACTTTGGCTCAAATCGAAGCGCTATGGTGTCAAATACGCATTCGTTTTCGGGACGACCCTCGCTTTCAACGGCATCGGCAAGGCGGTCTATCAAGATTTCTTACCGGAAGCCTTGAGAGATAACAAATACACTGTGGCTCCCGACCCGCTTGTTGTTGGGAAAGGTCTGGAGAATATTCAAGCTGCGATGGATTTGTTGGGTCAAGGCGTCTCGGCCAAGAAGATTGTTGTAAATCTGGAGTAGGGATATGGATAGGAGCCCGGAATAATTGATATGTAATATATACAGGCAGGATATGGCACAGTGACATCCAGCAAGGGTCCGTGTGGTTGTAAAGGCCGACGAGTCTTGAATTCATTTCTTATTGGCTTTAATTAACGTTCCCGTCACTTCCCCATCAAATGTCGTATTTAAATAAATGCGGGGGAAATTTCAACGTCACCTGAGACCCGGACCTCAACGAGCTCGAACATCAATTCACAAAACATCTACAATCAATTCGGGCATCGTGATAGCCCTGTTTTGGAATAATCAAGAAGGCCTCCTCAGATACAATACTTGGAACTCAAGATGTTCTCCGGATTCATACCCCGGTCGCTGCCCACCTTTGGGTTCGGCCGAGGGGGATCAGGCGAGCCCATCAAGATTCCAGCCGTTGAGATCCACGACGTCGAACTCCTGAGTGACAAACGGGGCCGGAGGCTGAAACATCTCCTCCGCTTGAATCATGCCACATTCTCGATATTGTACAATCACTTGAGATTCCACAATCACACTCCACATGTGAGAGGTTTCCCCTTATGTCTGCCGCTTAAATGAGCTAGCTTGCTTACCATTTCCTGTCACCGGCCTAGCATCTAGGCTCTGGCTACCTTCTAGGCGGCACTGCAGAGCATCTCAACGATATATATGAAGACACGGTGGCCAACGACACACATGATCCCTGGGTAGATTCCCCGTCCGAGATCGCCATCCACGATTACCGCGACTACCTGGGCAAACGCGAATATCAGCGAGCGTGGGTGGACTTTTTCGAAGATCAGCTGGTTCTTGACGGCTATGAGTGGAAAGAAGTCGTTGGCCGGTTTCTCTACGAGCGTGGCTCCAAGGGCTCGGCCACTGAATGGCCGTTGTTCAACGCGCTTGTTGCTGGGCTGGGCCATCCGCTCATCCACCTCGGCTATGCTTTTGAGCTGAACAGCCGCGAGGTGGCGATGGAGGCTTTGGGCCTCGCGGCAACATGCTACGACCCTAAGCTTGCCGGTCTCCTGGAGCGCGCACCGGCAACCCAGCCACCGGATGCCACGAACGATTTATTCGAAGTCTTTGATCGTGTCCACGGCGACAAGAGACTTGACGGTATCTTTGACGAATATGGTGGTGATAATCTATCACGTCTCCTGGCCGACGAAAAATTGACATCTATCCTACTTGAACACTGGTCTTCATGGAAGATAGTGGACCCAACGAAAGACTTCGCACAATCACAACAGCTCGCTACGAATCTACTTATTGCCAGCGGGCCATCCGTGGGAGGACATGGCTATGACTTCTTCCTCGTCCATCTTCTGACCACGTCTCATGCGGTCCGGATTCTGATCCCCTTCATCCCTGCTGAATACCATGTCAAACTGGTCCGGGAGTGGCTCCTGATCACGATCGCAATCTACATTGCACAACTCCGCCCGGCCGTCAAGAAATCGTTCGTCACGGATTTCGACCTGAAGGGCCGAGACTGGGAATTCGCCGAACGTACAGCACTGGAGGGGAAGAAGAAATTCGATGCCCATTTCGTCAAAGCGATTCGAGCGATGAAGGAAGCGCATAAGTTGTGGGGCGATCCGAAAGGAGCGGAGAACTTCTTCCTCAAGGCCGCCGTGAGGCTTGCCAGCGAATTTGATGGGTGGGGAGGGTTTGGAGCCGAGGACGAGGAGGCCGAGCGGGATGTGGAGGAGGAGTTGAAACGAAGACGTGCGAGGTAGTAGGTTTATGAATTTGATATGGAGAAGGAATTGATTATATGCTCGAACGAAATTGTGGAAATGGGTCTAGCAAATTTTAATACAACTGCGACCGATGGAAGGCTCGCACTAAATAGCTAAATTGCCCAACTACCTGCCAAGTGTGCCAACACTATTCGACCAAATGCAGAATTTAGTTCTCATAATCGTAATTGAATTCATTCGCAATGTCAAAAAGAAACATGGTTTCTTCGAACCAAGACTTGGGATCTCGCTCCAAAAAGTCATAGAACACAAAGCGACACAAGACTTCTTCGATCTCGGCCCATGCCGTTAAGCCCATGGAACGTGCCTGCCGAGCAAACATTTGGCTGAACCAGAATTTCGACTGGTCTTCATTGAAATTGAGCTTGCTTGACGTGTTCCGATACTCATAACGAGCGCCGTAAAAGAAGACCCAGAGGAAAGCAGTTTTGTAGCGGTCCATATCTTGGGGCGAGCACCACCTCAGAGCATTCTTCATCGTGGTCCGAAGGCATCCAATAATCGTGAGGTGCATACTATCACGGTGGTCTCCTCCATACACAGTTGCTTGATGTATCCCCCAACGATGTAGGTATAAAGTGGTCAGAGCAAAACTTTCTTCGGCATATCTTTGTGCTGGACTCATCGTTGGAGTATTTGCCGCAGACAAGTCGAGATACGCACTGACCAGGACACCCAGGTCAAACATGGAATATGTAGACAGACAGCTGAAAATAGCATCACAACGCTCAAAATCGACGGGGTCATGAAGATTGATCGGGGTTTTGCGAATGGCGAGGTAACGGCGGAGTCGAATACATGCTGTCCTTGTGGACGACATACAGATGGAGCTGTCCAGATCCAGATATTCCAGCGACACAATTGGAAGTTCCGGCTCTCCACGACTCCACCAAAACTTCGAAAGTTGATGTGGAACCCAGGTCTCGAAGTTGAAAAAGGGTCTACGCATGTGTGAGACAGCGACTTCCGTGTCGTTGCTGATAAGCGTCAAGAACAATGTCCGGATCTGGTTGGTCCCCTCTGTGATCCTGTTGAATAGGCGTCGAATGATCTCCGCATGGACTTTTGCAGCAGTCAGATCCCGTTCCTTACATGATGCTCTGAACAATGACACGATCTGGGCTAACACGGCGATATCGGGTTGTGAGTCGAGCCGCAGTGCGCTGAGCTTGTCTTTCAAGATACTGATGCTTCTAATTTTCATCGATAAGCCCATGACGGCGATTTCTCGTGCTGTCTCCTTGGAGCAATAACGCGCCATGACTGTTGCGTAGCTGCCTGCCCATGCAAGTGCCCGCCCTTCATCATTGAGTTCCTCTTTCATGGAAATCCAAGCCTTATCGGCATTGCGCCTACCCATTACTTTGAAGCCCTCGGCTATTGTGATGATCCTTGGAGGCGCGTCACACAGCTGCTTCACAAAGGAGGTGATGTAAATTCCTGGTAGGTAGGCATCTCTGATGAACGTGATGAGTTGATTAATCCGAGGAGTAATCAAGATACCTTGAGCACTAAATGGGTCCGAACTCCCACCAGGTAGTACTTGCACAGGAGAAGGAGTTGTATTGACCATGTGTACTGGTACTCGTCGAGGACTTGCCGTCAGAGATTTGCCCCGAGTCCTCTGATCGTCAGGACTGTTTTCAACATGGCTCTGTTCCGTGTAAAAGACATATGAAGGCGTCCCGGCGAAGCAATACGGAACTAGACAGTGTCAGAAGAGCTAGGAGGACCGACAGAATCGAAGAAATCCGGACCTTTGCAATGTCCCCTCAAGAAATCCTGCTGCTTCCGCCTCCGTCTGGCGTGAGAAATCTTGGCGGCATGAGATCTCAGCTTGGCAGAGATCAATTCTCTTTCTTTGATTGAGCTACCAGACACTTGGGCAATGAATTTGAAGTTTCCATGTTCAGGAGGCCTCATGCCAGAACACAACCTGGCGAAAATGATTATGTGTCAGATCCCTGGTGGCTTTGGCTGTGGCTGTGGCTGAGTGGCTTTGCAGATCATTCAGCATGTTCTTATGAGGTGCTCAGTCGAGCCTTAAATATGACACGTGTTGACTGGTATTCTCGCCACAGCCCATTTTTAGCACGGCATGTCAGTGAGGAGGTGAAAACTTTCCGCCAGCAGCGTTATCTAGCTTTGTGACATGGCGTAGAGTCTAGCCCAGAAAGTCAGGAACACCCGTTGGCGAGGGTCGTTCGAACGAAGGATCATGACCTGCGAGAAGACGGATCGGAGCCTGACCCAAGAAGTCAGGAATATGCGTTGGCCGTAGGATCACAGCCCCCAATATCTAGCTCAAGGAAAATTGAAGTGCGAGTACGAGATAGAGACGGAAGGGGTCTGATAATAGTGTATGGGATGAGGTCCGTGGAGATGTAGTGGGAGAATTATTTGGATGGTACGCAATGAGATCCGGAGACGTCATGAACCGGATGTTGTCCAGCCGGTCTGTAACGGGCACACCGATGGGCCCTTGGCACCCGAGACTTACCGGCACTGGTTACCTAAGGTAGGTAGTTAATTGCCTGGAACTTAATTAACCGGTTAGTGGGAATTAATATCTCTAGGTATCCTTACCTAAACCGCGCCTGGTTATTTAGGCAGATGCCCCTGTCCAGGTATCTGAGGGTTGACCTAATGAAGAAACCCCGACTGCCCGAAGGCAGTGCGGAGAACAGGTCCCTCAGGCTCATTAGGTAAATGCCTCTTAGAGACCCAAGTTAGGCTCCTCATCGAGAGATTGGAAGTCCTGTCCTCGTTCGTGTGAAGACGACCATTTACACATGTCGCACATGAGTATCAAGAATGACACTTCTTAGGTTCAAAACTCGCGAGCAGCAGACTCAGCTCGGAGGCCATGATGCGAATTGCCAATTGGCAGCCAAGGGCAAACAACGGTCGGATGCAGACCTTTCAGCTGAAGGTATCACTCGACTCTCATCAACGTGAACCATGACCCAGTCGATACTATTTGGCTGAAACCTTACCTTCACGGTGACCCGTTCCCTGGACAATGTGGTTCAGCGGGTGAAACAACAAACTTCAAAGTTGATGCCTCACAAATATCACTCTTCTGTCCGAGTTCAAACCAACGGGCCTTGCCAAAGCTGTTCCTGCCTCGACTTGGAATGGCCACAAAGACCAAGGGGTGAAGAGTTTCTTCCCTCGATCGGTCCAACTGGAGCCTCAAAACCTCTTCATTGTTCTCGTATCACAGCCTGAGGACCTCACAGTTGACTTTGGTGACTTTGAGCAAACTTCAGGCATCCACGCAATCAGGCAGTATCCAGGCAATTTGTAGGCAATTTTCACCCTCAGTTGTACCCTCCGGCAATAAATATTCCATTTGTGCATCTACCTTTTTCCATACTCTTCCCTTTCTCCTCCCCTATCGCATATCTCCTGACTTCTAGGTATCAAGGATCCTCGAGGTCCTTTCGAAGCTGATATTCTCTCGCGGAACCCGCCCTTGGCAAAGGGTGACACTTGCCATTTGTTCTGATCCGCCTCCTCATTTCATCTAGTTTTCTCCAAGATGGGCGACGCTTCTTCACCGCCACGGACTGCGACAGCAACACCGGATCGGTTTGCTTCAGTCTTGCCGTCCATCCCTCTCCGCATCATCACCCACAACATTCGCTATGCCTCAGAAGATCCCGAGGATTCTGAACTTCGTTGGCCCGGTCGCTATCCCAAACTTTCCGCGCACTTCAAGTACCATACCCGACCCGGATTTACTCCTCCCTCGACGCTAGTCTCGATGCAGGAAGTCTTGTATCCACAACTACAAGACCTCCTACGGACCACCTTCAACTCCAATGTCGTTGCCGAGGACAATGACTGGTACAGTGTTGGTGTAGGTCGTCTGGATGGCAAAAGAGGAGGCGAGCACTCCCCGATCTTCTACCGCCGATCTGCCTGGACTCTCATCCACTCCAATACCATCTGGCTCAACGAAACTGGGGCCGTCGGTAAGAAAGGTTGGGACGCTAGTAGTGTCCGGATCTTGACCATTGCTGTCCTTGAGTCCAATCTACCAGCCAGCAAGGGCAGGACCATCCTGGCACTGAACACCCATCTCGATGATTTTTCAGCAGTCGCCCGCCGGGAAGGGGCACAAATCATCCTCAATGCTACCTCGACCCTGAAGAAGCAATTCCCAGCCATCAGTTTCGTTTACCTGAGTGGAGACCTCAATTCCCCTCCTCATGATGGAGCATACAAGCTGCTCAACCAATGTGGATCCGGGTTCATCGACGCCCGACGCTTGATCAAGGAAGAGGACGTCTATGGTGATGAATTGACCTTCACGGAATTCCCTTTCGATGAAACAGCCAAGGGGTTGCGAAGGATCGACTATGTTCATCTGGGCATCAAAGACGATGGGGACGAGGCTGACGTCGAGGCGGAGAGACAAAAAGTACGGAGTTGTGTCAAAGGGTACGGAGTACTTCCGAATCGTTTCGATGATCGTGTATGGATGACCGACCATCGCGCAGTGGTGGTGGATCTCGTAATCTGATCTGATGGCCATGTCACTATTATTTCGGGTCAGTCTCATCTGGATTCAGCGTGGGGGATTTCGAGAAATGGTCTTTGAGGGGCCAATCCTCAAGGCGTTCTGTGGGGTAGCTGTAAAATCTTCTTTCTCGATACGAGTCACTGGGCTGAGAATTGCATTTCATGATCTGATTAGGAGCTGATAGAAAGGCGTCGGCTGAGGGATGAACGGCTTCCTAATTAGTTCATTAGAACACGTTCGCGTGAAAAAAAAGTTCTAGATTGTTAGCACGGGGCGAAAAATAGAACAATGTACTGAGCACAACCAGGTGTCTGAGTTCTTCAATCTGTGTTTTCATAGGTAGGTAATACCATACCACAGTCTAAAAGGATAAGTCAGCATGACCAGCGCCGAACGATCCACGTGTTTCGTGTTTATGTAGCGAGCGACAGCCTGAACCGAAAGCCCCGAAGGCCAACAGCCGAGCGAGCGAGTAGTAGTCCCGTTTCCATCCTCTCCTCTCCTCTCCTACCTACGCAGCCTTGCCGAACAGCGCCCCGAGGCCATCTCCGCTCGACAACCCAGTGTGTCCACCGCGCGGGCCAGCACCAAGGCTCGCAGGTCCAGAGGCGACTGGGACGACCTTCTTCTTCCCCCAGAAATCATGGTCGTAGGTCATCGGCATCGAAGACGCCGCACTCTCGCCTGCCTCAACGCCGGGCGCAACATGCGGCGTCACCAGGTCAATACCCCGTCCGCCGCCCGCGCTCGTACTGTAGTACATCGGGTTCTGGCGTGGGGGGAGCGGGCGTAGGTTGAAGTCGTAGTCGTAGTCGTACTTGGTTCCGTGCTCGTAGTCGGGAGTTTTGTGGTAGTTAGGATTGTAATTGTGCATGTGCGCATATATGGTGCTGTCGAAGCTACTGGGTCCAGTGGTTGGTGTGGCGCTCATGCTGGCGCTCGTGAGGCTCGGGGTGGTGGAGATCGTGGAGACCGTGGTGCTGGTGGAGCCCACTGTATTGTATTGTACATTGTTATTGGTGATGAGGCTATCTTTGGTCTCATCCACGCTGGGGGTATCACATTTTGGGGTGGGGATCATTATCATAGCATCTGCATTGGCATTGAAGGCGTTGTTCATGTTCTGGTGGAATTGTGACAGGTAGCGAAATGCTTCAGAGGTCTTGCGGTGGCCGTCTCCTAATTTCGGCTTCCATTCGGTGGGGTCAAGATCTGACTTGTGTCCATGCATGTCAGGAGGTATCCGGAGGAGGACCGGTGAGGAGTGATTTGGTGATGCCACGATGGCGCTCGAGGAACGCATGTGGAGCGCTGGGCGAGGGGACGACGGTGTTGACATGGATGTTGGTCGCAGGAGACTTGCGGATAGTGGTTTCACGCTGTCTTTGCGACGACACGCCTCGCTGCAGTAGAGAAGTGAGTTGCTGGGCGTCGTGATTTGTTTCTCGCACATTGCACTAGAAATTGGAGTGTTTGTCAGTCCCACGAACTATCGAACACAGCTGGGAAGAAGGGAGGAATTGACTGGGGGCTTGCCCGTACCAGAACTGCAAGAAACTAGCAGCCATGACTTCTTTGTCCTTCACCCTCAAGTTGGTGGAGGGAATGCCGCGTGCGTTGATCGAGTCACTGAGGGTACTCATTCGTTTTAGAGGTTTGCTTGGACGTGGCTCTTTTTTCTTGGTATGCCTGCCATGACTTGGAATGGGTTTAGTGTTGATGGAACTTGTCTCCATTGGGAGCGGTGAGGGAATAATATTGAGGGAGTACAAATAGAGGGTTTGACATGAATGAGATGTGGTGTTGTTGGGCAGCTGAATCGGATTCTGGCTGCACACCGCAATCTCAGTCCCAATGCGAAAGCTGAGGTGCAAGCCTAAGGCGAAGACAGGAAGTCAAAGCCCCCAGATGTCGTGTGCCCACTGCCCGCCCGCGCCCACAACTGGTCTGCCTGCTGGAGGGGGAATGGACGAGGGGGCGGCCAGCAAGCGATAAGCCTCCATGTCGGTCCCATATCGGAATCAGACGATAGAGAGGCAGGGTAGGCAAAGCCTGGAGATGCAAGGACTACCATGATTGCAAATGATGTAGCTAATGCTTAAACGTCGGTCAGCCCCCACTAAATTCTCTCACAATAGGCAAGCGCCAGGCGATAAGCTCGGCGCTAGACAGGTTTAGGCACCTGATAAGGTACATATCCAGGTACATCATCCCTGGACTGGAATTTGTGTTTGCACATGCTCAGCCTGATCAACACAGCCTTGACATGACTCATCATCAACCTGGGGAATTTGTGTTTCCATAATCTCAAAATCCATGACCATCATGTCTGAGTCTGAGTCTCCTGAAGAAAGCCATCTGGGACTCCTCGTGCTGCAACTGCCCCATTGCGACCGACATAACACCCCAGCATACCACTCCAGGCAAAGCCATAATCCTTCAGCTCCTGGAGTTTCTTGTAGGCTGCCGCCGTTGCAAACCCAATACCAGTAGCTGGATCACGATATCGGACCGGTAGAGCAGTGATAGGACATAGATCTTGACTATGTTTGAGTGACTTCACTGTTTTTCCGAGTTTCCGCTGATTGTAGAATAATGAATAATCCTGTCGCGCTTGACTGCTCAGCCCATCGAACTTTTCCAATATGACGAGGTTTCGAGTAGAATATCCAACCACAGGTTCGGGCAGAACCTCACTGGTCTTTGCCTCTAGAGGTGGCTGCTCCAATGGCTCGCTTTTGACAACATCGCTGCCGATTACCGTCGGCGTTGGTGGTATTGATGATGATGATGTTGATGCTCCTGATGGTGCCGATAGTTGTGTGGTCTTCACCACATCCTTTGAATGGACGGCATCGTCTGGGCGAACTCCTTCGGCTTCTGGTGCTGGTGCTGGCAGAGGTACTGGTGGCGCAGGTGGTGGCACCTGGGCTGTCACAGCTGTGTTCGGAATCGCATTCTTTTGCGGATGTGGTTCGACATTCGACGGGGTGATTTGGCTGGTCGCTGGAACACCCGCCGTTGTGTTGATGGATTCACCTGCCGCATCATCCATCATTGGTACATCAGGATCCTTTCGTTCTGCCATCGTTGGACCAGAGGGACGTTTTTCGTCGACCGATCCCTTGAGAGGTATGGGCGCACCTTCGTCCATGGAGGCGTACTCAAAGATACCCTGGAGAAGAGAGACTGCTGGTGCTGTGGGGGAGTTAGTTATTGGGTCTGGTTCCGGGGCGTCTGCTGTCTTCTGAGGCTCAGAAATCTTATCGTTAGTTGGTGGACCCGTTTGTGCTGCAGTCGACATCTCCCTTGTTTCTGGGACCGCGCTGGCAGTTGCAGAGCCGTCCGCTGCATTTTCCTGACTAGATCCTGCACTTTCGGGCTTCGTCTCTGGGAGCACAACGGGTGGAAGATTGTTCTCTGTCTTCTTTGGATCGGCATCTGGCTGGGTCACTCCTGGTGGAAGTGGCATCCCAGCTGGCTGCACTGTTTCGGATGTGTTGTTTGCAGCGTTCTTTTCAGCAGCTAGTCTTTCGAGTTCTGCCTTGGTCTTCCTTCCAGGCTTCTTCTTCGTTATCGTTCCACCTGTATCATTGCCTCCTTCCAGAACATCTCCTCCGTCCTTCGTACCAATCTTGTTCAGTCGAGGACCAATCCATGTGGCTTTTGCGCTCCACCAACTGACCACAGGACCTTCCAGCTTACGATTCTTGAGCGCTGCCAATTTTGCCGCTTGTTCCTCTTGTCTCTTCTTTTCTGTTGCTTCCCATCGGTTCAGGCTTTTAGCATTCTGCCTCTCAGTCCTAGCTGCCTCAGCTAGACGATCGGCTTGTGTCAATTCCTTTGGTGCATCTTCTGCTCGTTCGCGATCTCTTTTCTCCTTCAATGCCTTCAACTTCTTACTCTGTGCCTCACTCTCCTTCAACCGCTGAATCGTTTCTGCTCGGTGGGCAATGGTTTGTTTTCGTAGAGAGCTTCGGCCCGAGTCTTGCGCATGTACCCAAGTCACTCTTTCCTTTTTCTTAGAAGGCTTCGATTTGGCTGCCGGTAGATTTGGCTGCGTGGGATCTGTCTTAAGCTTTTTGCGCAGGCCAGAAACACTGGTCAATGCTAGGTCTGCCTTGCGTTTTTTGGATCTTTCGTCCTTGGCCTGCTTCACTATCTCTTTCTCACCCTCAAGATCATCTGCTGCAGCGTTGGGACCTTGATCATCGTCATCGCTGGACGACATATCAGCCTCATCGTCTCCATCGTCACTCTTGAATTCTTCGTCCACTTCGTCTTCATTGTCGGCGAATAAAAGTGCAACTTCATCAGGATCGTCTTCTGCTGGGGCTTCTTCTAGTATGGTTTCTCGATCGTAACGGTTGCCTGCTGTCTTTCTTCGCTCACGGCCGGCAACAAGGGATTCAATAGGCTCTTCATCGGATTCATTTTCGCTGGAGTCGCTATCCGATAATTGTGGGGTGTCTTGAGTCCCATCTTCGTCAGACATTTTGACAGAATACAGTCGTTTTCACAGACTCATGAACGGCAGTCTCGGACTTCTGGGATAATCGTTGCGTTGTAAATTTGATTCGGATTTAATTGTGAAGAGATGCCCTGCCAAATCGGCAGAGACGAGCGCCGGATAATTATTCCGCCGATATCAAGCCACTTTACGCGTCCATGCGCGCCCTGAGACGCGTTCGACGAGTTACGGTGTCATAGACAAAGATCCTCGGTTGAGGCCATTCAATTTTCTTCACAACCTTTTGTGCCTACACATTTCACATTATGACTCGAGGTCGGAAGCCTGTTTCGGCTACTAATTCTTCTCTGCAGGCTGAAAGCCCGGCAAGCAAGAAACGCAAGAGAGATGAGACTGATCCTAACGAAATCACCCCGACAGGTAAACGGACGAACAACGTCTTGATGGACAGTCCACGATCTTCGCGCCGCTCACGACCAGTTGCGGCCAGCAGTGTCGTCAAGGAAGAACAGATATCTAACGTCCAAGTGTCTCAGAATGGTTCCATAACTATAAAAGAGTCGGAGGAAATCGATATCTCGATCCAGAAACCCCTGGGCAGCAAAGCGAGAAAATCGAAGGCTACGAAAGCCGAACTAGTAGATGAACAAGGATCGGGGAGTGAGGGAGACGTCAGACCTAAACAAAAGAGCAAGGCAAAAGCCAAACCGGTCTCAGACGAAGGAGACGAAGCTGCAGACGCAACCAAATCCAAACGAAAACGCAAGACGCAGGAAGAGAAGGACGCAGAAGCAATGCCTCTAGCAGCTCGGACAATCGGGTCGAAGATGTTTGTTGGGGCGCATACGAGCATTGCCAAAGGAGTTGAAAATGCAGTGACGAACTGTCTACACATAGGTGGAAATGCTTTTGCATGCTTTCTCAAGTCTCAGCGGAAATGGGAGAACCCTCCATTACAAGATGTCAATCGAGATGCATTCCACAAAGCCTTGGTCGAGCACAAATACGACGGAATGAAGCATGTTGTTCCACATGGGAGTTACCTCGTCAATCTGGCAAATGCCGATAAAGATAAAGCTAAGCAATCATATGATGCATTTATCGACGATCTAAGACGGTGCGAAGCTCTAGGGATCAAGTATTACAACTTCCATCCAGGAGGCGCTGGCACTAGCTCAGTCAGTGAAGCAATTGGACGACTTGCAGCCAACTTGAATCGAGCATTATCCGAGACCAGTACAGTGGTGCCTCTGCTGGAAAATATGGCTGGACATGGCACCCTCCTAGGAGGTCGTTTCTCCGATCTACGTGACGTTATCGCCCAAATCAAGCCAGAATTCAAGTCTCGGATAGGCGTGTGCATTGACACATGTCATGCCTTTGCAGCTGGATACGATTTAAGAACACCAGAGGCATTTCAAAAGACCATGAAAGAATTCGATGATGTGGTGGGAATACAATATCTCAAAGCCATGCATCTCAACGACTCCAAAGCACCCTTTGCCAGCCACCGTGACCTCCACCAGAATATCGGACTGGGGTTTCTCGGACTTCGCGCATTCCACAACGTCATGAACGAGCCGCGCTTTCAGGGTCTTCCACTCATCCTCGAGACACCTTCCGAAAAGGCCGACCCCAGTGATCCAAAGGGCAAGAAGATGATGGAGGACAAATCTGTTTGGGCTAAAGAGATCAAGTTGCTCGAGAGCCTCGTTGACATGGATCCTGAGAGCCAAGATTTCAAATCCTTGGAGAAAGACCTGAGCAACAAGGGCAAAAAAGAGAGAGCAGAAATGCAGGCTCAATTTGACAAGAAGCAGGAGAAGGAGAACAAGAAACTCGCCAAAGACCTTGAAAAAGGCCAGCGAAGTCTGGCCGACATGTTTGCCAAAAACGGTGGTGCACCAGCATCCAAGGCACTTTCCAAGCCCAAAAAGAAATCCAAGCGTGAAACGGAGAGTGATTCGAGCGACCTGAGCTCTGTTGGCGACCTCAGTGATGATGAAGAAGGGCATGTGCATTGATTTCGTATTGTTATAAGAGGGAATTATTCTCTTCGGACAGCACAGAGACGGAGCCAGTTTATGGAATCGGCCGCAGTGTTCGAAAGCTGATGCCTGAACGCTGACCATTCGGTGTCGTGGGTTCGCGTGGAGTCGATGCTCCGTATCTACAGATGCCAACAGTCCTAGACACACAACCCAACGGATTGTATAGGATATTTCAGTGGGCGCATTGTCGAGTGGAACTTCAACTGCGATCGGTGATCACTCAGAGATATCACCATCGGTGATAACCAATGTCAGGACCGAAAGAGGACGTGGTACATCGGAGAGCCGATATGGTACTCGTTTATCTGTGTTTATACTTATGTATTGGAGGTGGACAGGTCATCACCTGGTACCTAATGCCATGTATGTGTATTACTCTGTCTCTATTCTCCAGCTAGACTTCTTCATCCAAAGCTTAGATACCTCGTCCTAGAGAAACGCCAAACCCCACACATAAGTCCAACATACACCACATCTACCAGTCCCCAACCTTGTTCAAATAAACCTTCATCCCATTTCTAGGCTTGGCCGTAATGCCACCCTTGATGATGATCTGTTCCTCGGGATCGACCAACTCACACTCAAAACTGCCGACGAATGCAGCAATCAGGGCGGCGAACTCGGCCTGCGCGAATTTCATACCGATGCAACTGCGCGGACCGTGCAAGAACGTCAGGAACGCGTAGTTGCTCACCGCGCCGCCGGCGTTTGCCTGCCCTGGCGCCATCCACCGCTCAGGCTTGAACTCGCTGGCGTCCTCGCCCCACATCTCGATGTTGTGGTTGGTGGCCCACGGCGCGAGGATCACGGTCGTGTTCTTCGGGATAAAGTGCCCTTGAATTGTCGTGTCGCATGCCGCCTGCCGCAGTGTCAGGGGCACCGGGGAGTAGATTCGCAGGACTTCTTGGCAGAAGGCGTGCAGGTACGGCATGTTGTCGAGGACTTCGTGATCGACGCTGTCGCTGCTGAGGCTGGGGATGTGCGTGTGGATTTCTTGTCGTAGTTTTTTCTGGACGTCTGGGTGTTGGCATAGGAGGTAGGTTGCCCACATGAAAGCTGAGGCGGTGGTTTCGTGGCCCGCGGCGAGGAACGTCATCATGTTGTTAACGAGATCGTCGTCGCTGAAGCCGCCTGATTCCAATGCGACTGAGATGATGTCGGGGTGCATGGGCTCTTTGTTTGCGAGACGTCTTCGCTTCTCTGCAATCAGGTCTCGACATGTTCTTCGTGCAACTTTTGACGCTGCGCCGACCTTGTTGTTGCGACTTAAGGGGAGATTTTGGACGATGAAATCCGGTAGAAAGATTGACAGCAATCCTATGATTTGAGCGGCGCGGTCTGGTTGGAACACAGTGCGATACACCCTGTTGAGCTCGTTATCGGGTGATTTCAATGCTTCGAAATCCTTCCCTAGCCCAGCGACACCGATGATATCAAGTGTCGCACGGCTACCCCACTCACCAACTTCGATTGATGGTTTTGGTTCCGATGACGCTTTCAGCTCTGCTTGGATGGCATGCACCATTTCACGTGACTTGGACCAGAAGATAGGATATAGCTCCTTGACATGCCGAAAATTGAAAGCCGGCATGAGGTTCTTTCGCTGTACTTTGTGCTCGTCGCCTTCAGCGAAAAGAATTCCAATACCCAGGATCTTGCCAATACCAGAACGAATCAAACTCGGCTTAACAAAATCATAGCTCTTGGTGACCAGGACCTCTGCTAAAGCCTTGGGATTGGTCACAAGGACGCGAGGCTTGTTGAACATATGAAGATAGTGGATAAGGCCATCGTTGGGGATTTCATTTGCCCAGCGCCGAGGTGGAATACCAGATGGCTCTGCGACTAGGACTGACCACTGGCCATTGAAGAAAGAACCTCCCGTCGGTCCAGGAAGGTGTCGAAGAGGGCTGATGAATCGTGGCCATATGATGATACTGTAGATTCCATAAACCACCCAATACAAAGAGAATATCGCTAAAGCAGTCAGAGCATAGGAGTGGCGTATCGCAAGGTGTGGGAATAGCCTGACCAGGACTATCGAGGATGCAAGTGATGATATCGCCCAGGTGCGATAGGTGCTCATAAACTCCGGGAATTTGATGTACATTTTGGAAGGTTGGCTCTGGTGAGGTTCCTTTTCCACGATACTTTAATAAGACGGTTGATATTATCTGGTACACTGGGTGAGCACCTTTAGAACTTCAATTTCCTGGAATATAAAAGCCAAGAAGAAGAACTCAAACAACAATTGCCTAGGTAGCAAGATCTGCAGCACAGTAACGGTCCGTATCAAAATACGCACAATGGGTACCTAGGTAGGGAGAGCCAGGCAGCCATGAAACGTGCCAGTCGGGGTTCGCAGTCTGGAACACGATCGCTTAGAGCAGAAATGGAGGAGGTGTCAAGATTGATGATGCAGTGATAGTAAGAGGCGAAACAAGTGGATTCACCTTGCGAGTTGCGACTCTAAAAGGCCGATGGATGACATAAGTACATTGATGGAGCGTCAATTGGATCGATCTTGACTGGCTGGGGGGTTGCAATTCATCCTCGCCTCGGCTACAGGCCGATCGACACCCACCAGCACGGCGTAGGAGTTCCTCCGACCTTAATGAAGTTCTTTGGTAGCATACGTGGCTTCGATCGAAAGGTTTCAATATACGTGACAAGATATCTGACAGCTTTATACAAAGGTACTAGCTAGTATCTCTCCGAAAAACGAGTTTGTCACAAGGTACTCCTAAACTTCAACACACTATTCGAATTACGCTTGTGAATAGCTAGGTGGCATGCTTCTACAAGAGACCGGAGACTTTGGTGATCCAATAAGTTTCCGTGCTGCTTTTGTGTGACACTAGTATAGATTGAGGCTATCCCTCTCTAATAGGAGCTCATGGGGGTAGCCCTTCAGATGGACAATGCTGGAAAAACTGCGAACAGACGCATGGTGAACACCGAGAATCAGACTCACTACCCCTTAAAGTACCTAGATAAAGAGCCCCAGGGAAAGGGGGGCAAGGTGTTGGTGCTCTATAGATTTTCATAGATACCCTTCAAAGGAGGGACAGAGGGACAGAAGTCTCTGAGCATGAAGGCTTTGTGCACACGAAAGGCCTCAACGTCCAGTGCTTCTAATACGGTTTTCTAGAAGACCCAGCTCTTGACCCAGCTCAATTGACATTTACCTAGACCCGTTTATCTCGTACCGGGGCCCTACCGAACAGGTATTTAGAGACCTAGAGGCTAGAGGTGCCCCTTTGGAACTAAAGTCTGTCACGGAAAATCACGTGATTGCGCTAAACCCAGACGGAAGGAGCGGAATCAGACTGGAACAAGAGTTTGTCCGAAAATGCAAGACGCGCAAGACGAGAAATGAGCCCATCCTAAACACGTCGTCTCGTTGCCCATCAATTCCCAGCCGAGGTGGATATTGGTCATTGGATACTGGTATGTATCTCATTGTTTATCTTCAATATCCTTCTTGAGGTGTCGCTGTGATACCTGATGCAAACTGTCAGTTGACGGTGATGATTCTAGTTTCCCAACCACCCCCCATCCACGAAATCATTCACCAGCTGTACCGTACCGCTAAGACGTTGAATCATCATCATTAGGAACACGTCTGGTCGCGATTGGATATCCTGCCATCCTACCCGTCCATATTCTGTGATATGTCATCGCCATGAGTGAATCTCCTAACGGTGCGACTGCTCCTGCTGTGGCTGCGCCACTTGATTCCTCCTCCACTCCTTCCGCTTCCCCCAACAATGTCGATACCATTGCACAAGGCAAGGAAAGAGCAAAAGAAGTTCTAGCAGCCTCAGGCATCGATGTCTCAAAGTCGGACTCTACCTCGACCTCAGATCCTCAAGAGCAAATCACCTTACCCAACCGAAAGCGCAAGCGCGAGACCCCCATCAATCGCATTCAGGCTGAGCAGTATGTCGAACACGAATATCAGTACAAGGGTCTTCTGGCAGACCAAGTGAGCCATCCGAAAATTGTACAGGAGAAGAAACAAGAGCTTGCCCTCTATCAATCTCTACGACCGCGACGAGAACATGACCCCGGTGCCATTTTCGGGGTGGGATATGAAGGCTTCGGTAACCCTCGAACAGACGAAAAGAACCTGCGCGACCCCATCGTCTACCCACGACAGAGAAGACCGGGCAAGAAGAAGACACTACCACCCCATGTCTCCCGCAACGATTTTGTCGTCGCAGCCGAACAGCCTGAAGAACTCATTCCCATTCGTCTTGATATTGACTGGGCCAAGATCAAATTGCGCGACACCTTTACCTGGAATATTCACGATCGCACGTCATCCATCGAATACTTTGCAGAGAAACTCGTTGAGGACTTCGGCCTCGAAGTTCAGAACTGTCGCCCGTTGGTGCAAAGCGTGGTAGCACACATGCGCGAGCAGATTAGTGACTATTGTCCTCAGATCTACGCCGACGATGTCACGGTCGAACCCACCCTACCATATTTTGCCTACAAAAACGATGAAATGCGAATACTCATCAAGTTGAACATCACGATTGGTCAAAACACCCTGATCGACCAATTCGAATGGGAAGTCAACAACCCCTACAATTCTCCCGAGGAATTTGCACGCCAGATGACCAACGATTTGTCGCTGGCCGGAGAGTTCACCACCGCTATTGCTCACTCCATCCGCGAACAGAGTCAACTCTTCTCTAAATCCTTGCACATCACCGGACATCCATTCGACGGTCGGCCAGTGGAAGATCCAGATTTAAGAGACAATTTTCTCCCATCCCCTCTTCTCACCACCTTCAGACCCTACCAAGCTGCAAAGGACTTCACACCTTATATTTACGAGCTCAACGAGGCAGATTTGGAGCGTACAGAACTCTCGATTTCCCGCGAACAACGAAGACAGAAGCGGTCTACAAATCGTCGTGGAGGTCCTGCTCTTCCAGATTTGAAAGATCGACAACGAACTATAAGATCGCTCGTTGTCTCTTCAGTCATTCCTGGTGGTGCCTTGTCGATGGAAGAAAGTCGCATCTTCAGAGTGCCCAAAGCTACGCGAAGATCGGCTCGTGCAACTGGCCAACGGGATGGTTTCGAGGATTCGGACGATTCGGACAGTGACGATTCAGCTCCTGATTCTCCAGCAATCCCCACCCACCTACTGCAACAGGGAACTGCTCGAACTAGGGGCATCAGAAATGCGGCTCTCTCTGCCACCGCCGGAATTCGATCCAACTTGAGCGGGTTCGCCTCTGCACGTTCCGCCACCCCAGACTCCATCACCCCGTCACATCATGATTCACGAACCTCGGCCAGAAAGAAGGACTACAAGGAAGAGAGTGATGACGAATCAATTCCAGAGAAACTCGTTGTGGTTCTGAAGGTTGGAAAGGCTAAACTTCGAGAGTTCTCGCGAGCACAGCGACTCAAAGATAGGGGTGCTCTGATTTCCAACCATGGTAGTCCGTTACCAGGAACTCACTCTAGATCTGTATCATCCGCACCACTCAACCTTGCAGCTATGCCACCTCCACCATCGCCAGTGCCAGCACCTGCAGAGATTCCTGGGGCTGTTGATGCTACTCACCATCCTCCAAGTTCCTCGCACCCAGCTGTGAGTCCACATTCTTCGACGTGAAATGGTATGAAATTCTGCTAATCCAATGAATGTAGCCTCCATCTCCGGATTGGCTTGCACAGGATCTTGACCGTCTCCGGAAGATTTATCCCAACGATAATTTCGAAGCTGTGATGAAACACACTGCAGTTGACCCCAAGACACACAAAGTCATGCCGGTCAATGAGACGACTCGTGCTTTCCCTCACAAATATGTACCCAGAATCAGATGTGGAGACTGTACTGGCAAAGGTGAGCACACTCGGTTTAGACTTGATCATTCCCCACTCAACATGGCTAATCAAAACGCAGTTTACATTCCAGGTCTAGGTGATGGATTGAATGCACAAAACTTTGAATCCCATCTGAAGAATCGCAACCACCGGGCGGCTGTGGACGCACGACTAGCCAAGGCTGCGGGTGCATAAGGCTGCTGTATGAAACATATTATACATTAGAATAACCCATGATGAACGTCCTCAATAGATTGACGTTTGATTTGGATCAAGTCTGTTACATAAACCAAACACATTGAGCGCTTTCCCATTCTTCTCAGTGTTTCAATAATGATAGGGATTGGAGAAAGTCTAAGTAATGGCCTACGTACGTTGTCCCTGAACGGTGTCGCTGCTACTAGAAGTGGCCTGGAAGTAGCATCAAGTTACAAGAGCATGGGATACCAGATACCTAGGTAGTAGATGTAAGTCATCCACTTGACCACGTCGAGAGTGGCGGGGGGCAAGAATTACCAGTGTCCCAGGCTCAGGAGCAGTCCATTCACAGGGTAATACTCTGTAAGCGCACAACTTGACTACTTGAAAGCTACAGCAACCGTCGTGGCATATTTATGCGCCCAACTCTGTTGCAAGTACTCGTACGAATACTTCCTATTTGGCATCTGGAGAGCTAGTCCAGAGCAACCCAAGCCGCTGGTGTTGGAAAAGACGGCAAGGCCATCCATCGGCCAAAGCGACCTGGGTCAAGCGAGACCACTGACGCCACCAAATGATGTGATCCCAAGGTTTCTTGGTAAGATGACAAGCTCCACTCGTGCGCAAACCAAGAGCTATCAAGCATGCCCATCCGAGAAGCAAGCAACCCGACAAGCACTGTAGCGTGGGTCATGCATTGCTTTCGAATTCTCCTGCCAACCTAGACTCCCGAGTCTCCCGTGGCCCCTTCATGCTGCCTGTACTCCGTATGCATTGTATTACTGTCTCAAGTGGCTAAAACATCCAGTTCATACCTAGGCTACGAGTCTATCCCACTCTTCCAGTCCTAGGCCCGGGAGGAACGTGGTATTCAGAGTTACGAGGCGTTCGGTCCCGAGCTCAGCACTTACCAAAATGTAGCCTTATCTCAATCACGCCATGCTCTAGGCCTGTGATAGGCCTTGTCGCCAGAAGAATCATTTCTTCTCGCTGATGCTGGCTGCGGATGCATGAAAATGTTTTTTTCGTTGACATACCCTGTCATGTATAAGTAGGAAGGCTGTCTCGCTTCTCAAGCTCACGCGAGCCGCCTTTCGACCTTCCAGTTTACGCGCTCCTATTTCATCTGCCTAACTTCCCACGGTTCAATCCTTGTATATCACGAAACGATGGCGTCACCACCGTATCCCGATGAGAAGAAAGTCACTCCTAGCACCGATGCTTTCGAATCTGATGGCAGTTCCATCGATACCATCACGGCGCTGGTAGCTGAGGGTGAGTGTTTTCCAAATGCTTAACGTTTGCCGCAGCAAGCTCACAAGATCACAGACCACCAACATGAGATCAAGCTGCGCACAATGTCGTGGCAGAAGGCTGCATGGCTGCTGGCTGGAGACCAAGTATGCCTTGCAATCATGGCCCAAACATGGTCGCTCTCAGTTCTAGGCTGGGTGCCTGGCATCATCACGATGGTTGTAGCCGGCGTTCTGTTCTGGATCACTTCCATCACCATGCACAAGTTCATCATGAAACACCCTCAGATCAAGG